GAGTCGCGTCGTAAGGACAAGTGTACGAAGACACATAATTACAGAGCGATATAAAAAAGTCCGCTGCCGGAAGTGGGAAGCCGGCATCAGAACTAATTGGGTGTAAATTGTGTAACGTATTGTCGTTCGGATACAAAAAGTGGTGAGTTAATGCGGTTTTTGAATGGATGTCTCGATGAGGTGTGCGGTATATTTTGTTTAGCTTAACAAGGCTGGTATGCTTTGTGTACAGCCAGTGCGAAATAATTAGGAATCAAATCAATGCGTCCCGGAGCGCATTGTATACTGCATGCTGCACAGTGGAAGATCACTGCTGTTCTCGATTCTGTTCCACATCCGGTCAGAGCCGAATGTGGTCAGGGCCTTCTAATTAAGTCACTTTGCACTGTTCAAGTAGGTTAGGTGGATTAACGTCCCACCAAATTGGGCTAACTTTCACTGTGATGCTGGACGCAATTCAACAGTTGACCGATACTATTTACAAAATTGAACTGTTTTCGGGATTTGCTGCGCCTGTACAAATTAAATGCAGCACTATGCTGGTGATGGCCCCAGTACTAGCGGCACTCAAGTGTTGTACTAACTATTGGAGTAAATTATATATAAATTCGGAAAGAAGAAATTTCTATCGAATGCTAAATATTCATTCCTTTAAATTTATTATTAGCGTGTGTTTTCTCTGTAACGCGTGTGAAATCATGGACGATGGTACGCACATTAGAGCCTCTACTGTCTCTACAAATGCCGGTAGTCCATATCTGCAGAGATTATGCTGCTGAAAAGATAACGGATATAACATTTTGTCCGAAAACGGTTAGCATAAAATTTCTTTTCAGATTTGATTCCTACTGCTGTATTATACCCTGTTTACTTGCTCTACAGTTTTCTTTTATTCAGTGAAAATATCTGATGGTGAATTGATTTGCCAGCAATCCGACGCCACAACTGGTTTAACTGTGTTTTTTCTGTAATTGCTGAACATAAAATACAACTTGCCTATTTTCCTTATTATTGTGGACGTGTACATAAGCCGTGTCCTTTTATTTTTTGAGAAGTCAGTTAGAAGCTTTCTGGTGTAATGCACAATAAAATTAGGTCGAGTTGGGAACGTTGGACTGCAACTGACTGGGGAATGAGTCTCAGTTATGTAGGAAGTTACTTTGAACAAGGTAGAGAGCTCTTCAGGTTGATGAATACGCGTAAAGAAGTCTGTTGCCAGCCGTATTCAACAGCATCCTCTTGGTAAGCCCGAAGATTTAAAGTTCGTTCTGCGCACTGGAATGGACATGACATAAAATTAGAGCAATCCATATGTTTGCGCCAGTGCTTTGTGCCTTTGCGGGGTAAGTGTCCTCCGAGGAGGTTTGCATTTTGTACACCGGAGGTGTCGATGGTTTATCTGGGTATGTGTGAACAGGCGTTGAACTACCTGTACAGGTTGCATGCATGAAGTCTGGACTGACCGTTAGGATGAGTTGAGGACCTGCTTAACTTTGGCGGTTTAGCCGATGGAATGCGTGATGTAAGCAGGATTGAAAGCAGCTTATACGCTTGTATGTAAATATTTGCAACAGACGGGTATCGCGGTTTCCTTACAGTTAATTAAATTAGGCGTTTAGCACAGCCCATTCGATCAGTGATGTGTGGCTGTATGTACGATACTACAAAATTTTTGCAAGTATAAATATTTGTGCTGTATTTGTGCGATCACTATAACTGAGTATAACATACTGTACATGGTTATCGGTAATTAAACAAGAATAAAGTATTATATATTTGGTTAAAGTACTACGTTCTGAAATAAGCTATACGGAATCTCGATCGACCTGTTTTCTGGTTTTTCGAGGTGTCCATAGAACATAGAGATGTTTTCCTGTTTGTTATCAACGTTTTGATGAAAAGAATGACTGCAAAGCACCGCAATAGGGATACTTGTCTCGTATTTCGTAGAGGTCGTATCGGTTCAAAATATGCCTTTGTGCAGCAACCGACGGAATGTTGTGAAATGTTGCTCTAATGAAGTCTTTATAGAAGCCGTAGTATTTGTGTGCAAAACTGCACAAAAGGGCTTTGTTGTGGCTAACACTGAGTGTGAGTGTTGAATGATAGATTTGGGAAGTGAAACGAATCACCCAACCGGAAAGGGTATTCCAAGTTCCGTTTGGTCCAGTTGATCAATGCATTCAGCACATGGAAGTGGACATTCAGTAACATGCGGCAGCATAGAATTATTTCCCAAATCGGAAATGGTCGATAGCGGTCATATTAAGTTCAGAATATCTTGTGGGAATTTTTCGGATATGCGTTACTTCATCGAGATTTCAGGTTAATGCATTTGGGCAGATATGTACGAGTACCTGGTATTTGTGTCTGGACCCTGGCGTATTATTAATTACCAGAATTCGGGTATGCACTCTATTTGTAAATACGTACACATGTATTCTTTGCAGACCGGAAAGGTATGCAAGGAAAAAGTCTGCAGCCACTATGCAGGATGAAGAAGTGTCATCAGGAAAGTTCGGTTGTGCGATTTGTTGTTTGTCTCTTTATTGCTCGATCGCTTTTCATTTCTTCTGCGGTTTATTAACCGTTTATGGGAAACATGTTTTATTTTGGAAAGCTGGGGAGCTGTATGTGAGAGTAATACGGGTCAGCGGTTGGACGCTACCAGCATTTCTGGAGATCTGCGAAAAATCAGAAAAATTCTCCATTGCTGGTCTTTGAAAATAATTTATTTGAATAAGTACCTGAAAGCTTCGTAACCATTCTTGGCACTATTGTTAAAATGATGTTCGAGGATCTCGCCACTGCAGTGCCATACAAGTGCGCTGTAGAACTTTGACTAGTATATTATCGTTCAATGTTAACTTTTGCATCTTTTAAGATTTGTTATACCAGCGACTATGGTTCCTTTCTTTTCGAGTAATGTATGAAGATTTTACGAGGCTAGATCTACTTTTTTCAGTTTTTGAACCAGTTGTACAAAATCAAGCAGAATGTTCTCGTCAAAGGTCAGTACATTTTGTTAGGTGTACTAGAAGGCTATTTTCAGACTTATCTGGCGAACCGGTGTATGCTTGCCGGTGTATACTTGCCTCCTCTGTTAGTACAACCGACTATTATTACGTAGGGTCGGTAGGGAAATCGTAGTAAGGTTATTATTGTTATATACGTAAGAGTGATCATATCCTTTTCGTAAGTATATTAGTAGGACCAAGCTCTAGGAGCACGGAATGAATGAATTAAGTACTTCGGTACTCCTAGAGCGCGGTCGTAGTAAGCGCGGTCCTGATAATAGCCTCGAATATGGATGAGCATACATGAAACTGGAAATAATTGCAGTTCACGTTTGGCGAACGGATAGAAGGTTCAGTGTTTACGAGGTACAACGTACGAGTCAAAAATGTCTGTAAAACATATGCGATTGAAACACGGTTCTTAGTTCTTACCTTGGCGAATTATTTGCAGTTGCTAATTGCTCCTGGTATCTACAAAATATACAGTACAAGGCTAAGCGGTTATCGCGCTCCAGGTACTCGATCTTCCTTTCGTGTTATCCAAGTTGGTTATAAGATTTCTTGTACGCTGAGAACTGTTTGGTGCTTTCCGCCGCATGTTTTTTGGCGTACAAGGGGAAGCTTTTGCAAAGCAGAGGAAAACATGGGCCACTTAAGAGATCTAGAAACACAGAAATTGCTAGCCGCAACGGAAATTGGATTCATTTAATCGACGATTGCGGGTTTCTCGTACCACGTATAAGTAAACACGAGATATTGAGAAGAAAGGAAATTGAATTTTGCCAACAAAGCAACCATATTACTGCTACTACTACTACTACTACTACTACTACTACTGTTAAATGTTGAATGAGTCACAATATTACATTTATTAAAACACATCATTTTAGAAACGCTTGTAATCAGTAATTACGTGTATGGGTACAAAAACCATTATCACTTCTTTTTTAAGGCCATAATTAGGGTCTAGGTTAATCGCGACCAAGTTTGGAAATATGAATTCGTGTAAATCGAAATATTTCTATGATACTGGCACGTGATTACTATTTTTAAGGGCAATTGCAAAAGTGAAGGAAAAATATTTTTAGGATTTTTCACGCAGTTTCGACGATGTTGTAGTGGCCACATTAATTTCTCTCATATCTATGCTTACATAATACAGTTCCATATGTTTTCCAAACAAAACACCAAGACGATTAACAAGCTACAAACCGTGAGTTTCAGCTTACCATTAGTCGGTATTGGAGTACAGAAATACAGTATTATTATATTGCAACTTTATTCCCGCATCGTCAAAAAAATGGTTGGGAAGGTTTTACGCGTGTACTACAGTGTAGGACTTTCGAATAAGTATGTCAATTGTTGTCTTGATTTAACTGTTAGAATTTCGGTGTGGATTTTTCATGAAATTATAAGTGAGTATGCACAAATGAAAATGCACACTGACCTTGCAGGTAGTAACTATGATTCTGGACCTTACTGCTGTGTTGAAAGTATTAGCACCGTACACTGTATGATCTCATTGATCTGTATCTACACTCTGCACAATAGTGTAGTTTTTTCTATGGCAGTAGCAAGGTATATAGTAGCGATAAACCTATATATCGTTATCCCATCTCATCTTGGTATAGTAATACTGTATTTGTACCATCCTGAATTGTGGAAAAGCTGTACGCATATACGGAAACTGTTTTTGGACACTGGGCATTGTCTGTTATGTGTCAGTGAGTGTGCTTGCGTAAATTATTAAAGATTTACGTAGACATTTAATCACATTTTGATACAGATGCAGCTGTTCCCATATTGATTAAGAAATTATTATAACGATTTGACCAAGTTCCGACACACTGGGTTGGGCAACATGTGATATATTATAGTATTTTATCGTTTGACCTGATCTAGTCCAGTCAATTATATGGAGATATGATGACATAGAGTACTACGCCATCCAACTGAGTGAGATGGCAACCATGATTTATAAAAGGAAGATGTTATAAAGAAGTGCAGCAGTGAATCAGATTGGCTAGTCGGGAGAGCAGCCCGGGATTTGGTAGCAATTGGCCCGCACTGTACTTTCTGTACTACAGCTGGATCTGTGCAGTGCTTAATCGGAAACAGCAATGAGAACGATTATTTTGAAAAGCCCCCTTTCATAATTTCGGTCCTTTTATTTACTTGTGGGTTGTTGCCAGTTGTACGCCGGCGATCGTGAGGGGCGATAGAGAGGGAGAGTATCCCCACGCTAGTGCGTGATTCCACCGATTAGTCTGTACTAACTGCCACACTGCAGTCGGCATCCCCGGCTTCTCCGGATTCCATTCTCCCGTTTAGCGCAAGTTGGCTGCTTTGTGTGACTTTGTACTCTTTTGCACCTACACTTGTTTCCCGAACAGCTCATAGTACACAGGCTCATACATCCCGGTCGGTGACTGAGCTCTAAGGGAGCATATATCGTCGCGCCGGTAGAGCAGCGATGATTCGCGTAATATTTGGTAACTGGATGTATGAAGAAGTTGCATGCCAGGACATGGTGCAGCGGGATGAAGATTAAGCCGGCTGGATATCCTAGATGTGGTTTCTAAAATGGGAATTTTTGCTATTGTGCACCATGTTTTGCCGAAACCGCATGCGACATCCATTTTCATTAGGCTTTCATGAGTTATTAGTTGCGGATTGATGTGCTGTGGCAGCTTATGAGCAAAACACTAAGCAGTCGCAGCGGGTTCTGATGTGGTCGATCCGATATGACACCATTGTGCTTTGTGTGACTGGAATATGTTAACATCAGAAATATTTTTGAATATTATTCTTCTCACACGTAAGTAAAAATGCCTCAGATCGTGTTTGTGTTAATTTTAATTGTAGGTGTAAATAATGTAATGCAGAATACCGGAGTATGAAAGTGCTCCTTTTAAAGCAAATCTGTACTTTAATTACGGAATTGCAGTTTCGATGTTTTTTTGTGCATCTTAAGCAGTTGGCATGGTGCAAGCAGTGCCGGATAGCTGTTTTGCAAACTTCCTTACTTGAATTTGGGGAGTGTGTATTACAAGTAGCGTAACAAAGAGGAATCAAAGTGGATTATAGCGTGCAGCTGGTTCAACTGGCTTTGGCGACAGCGACGTTTTTTGCCCATGATTAGGATAATTTGTACCATACACAATGTAATCCAAACATTGCTGCAACATACAGAATTGACATTTGTATTACGGGACTCTAAAATCTGTATTACGAACTCAAGATTTTGTTGTGCTCATGCACTGCGATCTGGTAAATAATGGTGTTGCATCTCGCAATGTTATGGGTCACCGGAAGTAGCATGCCGCTTACTTGATGAAACTTTATATTGAATCTGTTAGCTCTTTCGGGAGAGACTGCCAACTGTATTTACTACTTTTTTGTCGAAGATCGACTGCCAGTCGCTTTACTGATAGTGCACTCATTGTATTTAGCAGCGGCGGCTGAACACTTGCATCCAGTTAGCCGGTTATTCTCCAAACGGTTGTGAGCTTTGTCGGATAATACTGCGATAATTAAATTAATTTAATGTCTCTGAAGACTGCGGCCGTGTCATTTTCCAAGAGCTACTCATAGTGATCGATGTGCTCATGAAATGCGTTTGTATTGTACACTGATACGATGACCGATGCACAGACGACCACATTATCCAAAGTAGGTTTCCATGTCGCTGATTTGTAACTGTTCCCCGGTATTCGCTCTGGGATATATGTGTTGTGGAGGATATGTAAGCACGTTGTGAAGTATGATTGTCGTGATACTCTTTTAACGGATAAAATTGATGAACCTTGATTATATCTGAAACGTACTTGAAGCTTAATATTAAATATCGGTGAAGGAGCGATTCTTGAACGATAATATCAGAAGATATAGTGCGTTCAAGGAGATGAATACAAAATTTGACTATGAATGCCGTGTATTCAAAGTGGGTTCGTAAAATCACCCTGAAAAAGTGCGTGCGACTTTTGTGTACCAAAGAATAGTAATTTCTCGAAGCTTACAGTGTCGCAGAAATTATCGTTTGAATTTTACTAAAACTGTAACTTCTGTGTAGTGGTCTGAACGGTGGTTTCATCAGTATTTGGGACAGTATACCACAGCAAACCCCAATCAACGCAATTATACAAAGAGAAATCAGGCGTTCATCTTCAGCTTCCGTAGGCACATATTGCATTTTACAGGCAGTTCGAACATAAATCAAAGTGGGACTGGTGGTACGGGGCCTGGGTTTTACAACGCGTACCAGTATGTCAAATATCTTTCCCGTAAGTGCACTTATCACATTCCATTACATCCGCTTAGTAGGCGAATTAAGAGCAGTGGTCAGTGCCAGGCCTAGCCAGGACGGTTGGCATCCAAATGGATGTGGTGCCACCTAATTGTGTCCGATTAGATTAGGGTTTTAGAGCGACCACACTGCGCGTCGGCTTCGCTTAACATATATCCGGTAGGAAAATTTACCAAAAATTAACTCGATACATTTACGAAAGCGACTAGCGAAGCCGCTGCGATGCCGGCGTTGAGGAGAAAGACTTTTTAGCTTGCGAAATTAATGCAGAAGTTGGCACAATGACGAATCGATAAACTGGACTTAAAGTGTGTAGATCTGGGATATCTCATCAATATTTTATTACATTTATGTTGTAAAATTGTGCGTGATCGATATAGTTGTGCCTGTGTTATGATCCGAGAAAAATGAGACACAGTGGCTTAAAAAGCAGAGTATTGTGAAAGCCTAATGCATTGGTTTGGTCTTTGACCAGTAAATTGGAACTGATATGAAATGCTGTGTGTGTTGTATAGATGCTCCACAAATTCTCAATCCTCCCGTTGATACCACGGCCATCCATGGCAGAGCTGTCAGTTTCATTTGTCGTGCATCGGGTAATCCAAAGCCGCGTATTATCTGGCAGAAAAATGGTAAACGAGCCGCTTCTTCACGGATCCTTATCAAAGATGTGCCGGGCGGAAGTGCCAGCGTTTTACGGATTGATCCTGTTAGACAAAACCGCGATGACGCAGTGTATACGTGCCTAGCTGAGAACGGCATCGGCACACCGGTTACCGCCAGTGCTAAGCTAACCGTGTTGAAAGGTGTGTACAAGGAGGAAAACTTTATCTGGAATGCGAAAATTGCGTCTGATTAATATGATAAATTAAATATCGGTGATTTGTGATAATAACAATCAAATAAAACCCGCCATGCAGTAGTTGCGATGCAGTTCAGCGTTTGCCAGTAGAAACGCTTGTTACCTTAATTGTGATGCATGCATTTCGCTTTTCGATATTCACGAAGGTAAAAGGTATGCATCTGGATTTTGAATCATAATCGGTACTCTTAGCCGCATAGCACTCCGCGAAGAGAGAAAGGGAGAAAATCTCTTCCGTTGGCTGGCTTTGGATACTTTACTCGAGAATGGATGATTAATTTCGCATGGCCTGATTTTTCTCTTTTACTGTGCTATGTGCAGATGATGAGGCGCCGGCGGGCTTTCCAAAAATCATCCATCATCCACAGCTTAAGTCAGTGGAGAAAGGTGGCAATGCTGTGATGTTCTGTCAAGTCGATGGGAATCCGCCACCGGAAGTAATATGGTTAAAAGACAACATTCCTCTCGAGCTGGATAGTAGCCGCTACACCCTGCTAGATCAAGGTTCGTCTCCCTTGATTTGTATTGATTCTGCTGCCTGTATGTTTGGTCAATAAGCTCCTGAGTCTATTTTTTCTGTGTTGTTTCTAGGTTCTTTGCAAATCCGCCAAACAGTGGAGCAGGATGAGGGCGATTATGAATGTCTGGCCAAGAATGTCCACGGTACACTCCAGTCTAACAGCGCCAAGTTGTACGTTAAGGGTAAGAGTACTCTACACATTTGTTGTAATATATTGGATTTACTGTTTGAGTCCTGTGTGAATGTATATTTTTTTACTGAGTTGTACCGGAAATTGCCAAGGAAATGCAGTATGTGTATGGTTTCTCTCCCTTCTAGTGCGCCGTGTCCCTCCATACTTTTCCATTCCATTTAGTCAACAGTACAGCGTCCCGTTGGGAAGTGATCTCAATGTGACTTGTGTGGCGGCTGGTGCGCCGGTCCCTTTCGTCAAGTGGCGTGAAGGTATGCCAATCAATACTGTAATTGCTTTTTGTACTTGGTGCAATTGACATGCCGAAATTTCTACGCATGCTTCGCAATGTGTACACAATGTACTGTAATTTACTGTATTTCAGTTCTTGTGATTGACGGAAAATTTTGTTCGACTTTTCGAAATGCGTAATCGTTTAGGGTTTTTTCTGGCTACTGATGTGGATTTCAAGAGTTTTTACCATATTTTTTGATTTGATAGGCTTAAGGGATGTCGCTCCGGGAGCAGGCGAGCCACAAGCTATCGGCAAAGTTGTCTTGCAGCTGAAGAACATCCGAAAAAGCGGCAACTTCACCTGCGTTGCCAGTGCCGAGTCGAACATGCAGGATCCAGGCGCCATCGAAGCCAGCACGTGGATTAACGTGGACGGCGTGGCTGACCGGCCCCGAGCGGATGCCAGCAGTGCCGGTCTGCCGTTGCCGCCGCGCAATCTGAAAATCTCCGACGTCACCGGCAGCTCGGTTAATTTGTCCTGGTATCCGGGTGGGGATAATGAGCAGATTAAGTACTACGTGGTACAGTATAAGCCGCGGGATTCAGCGCAAGGCTACTCGGAAATCAGCGGCATCACCACGACCAGCCACACCGTCACCAATCTGAAGCCCTACACACTGTACGAATTCCAAGTGGTGTGTGTCAATGACAAGGGCCGCGGACCGCCCAGTGATGTGGCTGAAATGACGACCCTGGAAGCTGAGCCAGGAAGTGCTCCGCGCAATGTGCGTGCCAGAGCGCCCAGCTCCACCAGTTTGTTTGTTGAGTGGGATCCGCCTATGTCACCCAATGGACAGATTGTGGTACGTGGCAGAAGCATGATTTCTAAGCTCAGTATTTTGCAGGGTATTTTTGAAAACTGTAATAAGAGAGCAGTTTTAACCATTTGAAATCTTTCTTTGGTATAAATTTGTCAGTGCCCTTGGTCATCTAGTAAAAAGGAGCTGAACATAATACTTCTACACAGTACGGACAATAATTACTGCAAGTTGTTGTGAATATGGTTGTCTGCAGCACCCGATACCGGTTAACCAAACATGCTTTGCTTGAGTGGCTGTGCTAAACGTATCGGCTTGTGGGATTTTTTAAATCCCTCAAGTGCCCGACAGGTTACGCACGCCAGCACGCGTGAAAATTTTCAAATACAGAAATTTATAAAGGTCACAATTTATTGCCTTGACTTTTTATCGCTCTAGTTACGCTTGACGGTTGCAAAGACATGGTATATCCGATATCGTATTGAAACGCCCAGTGGGGTCCTGTAAATTGTCTTCTCATCAGGTTTATTTCGTAATGTAGCCTAAATTTTAGACCACTGTTGTTTTTCATGCGATACGGCTAAAATGTTCGTGACTAATGAATGCCGTCGATTTCAGCCAAAGAAAACCGGCAAAAAGCAGGGAGAAATTTTCTAGGGAAATTGTGTGCGATTGTTGATGATTAGGAGTAACCGTTTTGTGAATGTTAGGAAACAATTTCTCCTAGATATCCGTGACCAATATTAACCCACTTTCGGCCGCTAGTTTGTTGACTGCACGCAAGCTTTACGCATGGTGTGGTGAAAAAGTCTTTATTGATTTTATTGTGTGCTTCGTTCCAGGGATATAAAGTGGCATATACGACTGATGCCCGTTTATCAGTTACCAGCTGGAGATTTGAGATGGTCGGGAATGAACTATCCACAACTTTATCCAATTTGCAGCCGCGTGCGATGTACACTGGTACGTAACGGATAGGCTAATAAACCTCGATTGGGAGAAGGAAATCGTGGCCCAGCTGCTCTGGGTTTCCCTCTGTCGTACATTTTATCAAAGTTAACGTGATTAAATTCGTTTAACATTTTATTTTTTGAAAGATGGCTTACCCTAGGTTTTATTTGATAGCAGTACATTGCTTGCTAATGCTTGCCTTGTTTTTCCTATTGATAGTGCGTATTCAAGCGTACACATCGGGCGGTCCGGGACCTTTTTCCCGACCGATTCAAATTAAAACTCAGCATGGGATTCCCGGTCAGGTAACGGACGTGACCTTCCCGTCGGTTTCCACGGATTCCGTGCGTGTGAAATGGACTGCACCCGCCTCGACCGGCCACCCTATTACGTCGTACAAGATTTACTACAATTCCAGCGATGGCGCACACGGCCACGAGACCGTTGAAGCATCCACCACCGACACTACTATAAGGATGTTACGCCCGAGTACGGAGTATTTTTTCTACATTACGGCATCCAGTTCCGCTGGGGAGAGCCCGGCATCCGATGCCCTCAAAGTGATGACCAAGCAGAGCCGACCCGTCGCTCCACCTCAGGCGCTGGCTGGTAAATATTTGGACAGTCGCCGCATCGAGATCACATGGCTGCCGCCCGAGCAGGACACTCCGCGGGGCCGGATTATTTCCTATAAAATCTTCTACCAGCCCAGTGATCAGGAGCAGGGTGAACCGATGGTGGTTACTGCCGAAGGGGAATCACGCCGGTATATTCTACGGGATCTTTCGACGTGGACTGAGTATAAAATCTGGATGGTGGCCAGTACAGCCGTGGGTGATGGGCCGCCCACGGAACCCATTATTGTTCGCACTGATGAGTCCGGTAAGAACGCCTTTCCTTCCCGTATATATAGGATAAAATACCCGTGTTTTATGAGAGTGCCCTGTGTGTGACACTTTATGGTTGTTTAATTTGCATGTTGTGTTTGCTGACTTTGTCAATTTAATGCTGCGAACTTATTGGCGAAAGGCATTTCCGGTAGTATAACATTTCTGTTTCCACCATTTACGTATATGACCCCGTTTAGTAATACTCTTTTCTTCGTGCTTTTTGCAATCTTGCGTAACTTTGCCAGGCGTGCCATCCAAAACCCGTAAGTAATGTGTGTGCTCCTTTATGTGTTATGTTATTTAAGCAAAAGCAAGTGGCGTCGTGCCTTTCCTTATAATTATCTTCTAATGTCTTTAAATTTGCTTGTTTTTTCTTGCTGTGTTGGTTAGCGTAGCCTTAAACTTTTGATTTCTGGGCAGTTCCGGAGCGGCCACGGAAAGTGGGCGTAACTGTGAAGAACGCCACCAGCATCGATGTGGAATGGCTGCCGCCGAGCCAGAAAGGTCAAAACGGGATTATTCGCGGCTATCTCATCTTTATTCAGCCGGTTGATGAGCGCGATGAACTGATTGATGACACGTATAAGTACAACATAATGGATGGAACGGCAACGCATTACACTGTGACCAACCTTAAACCGGATACGAATTACAACGTCCAGGTAGGTTTTCGCATTATAGTTAATCCAAGATTGTGCGCTTGAGGCCTTGAGTTATATGTGCAGTTACCACTAGCAATCTTAGTACTGCAGGACTACCATTTCGACTTTGTTATTGATTTTCATCATTTTTACAGGTCGGCGCATATACGCGTTCAGGAGATGGAGAGCTGACTAAGCCGAAAAAAGTCAAAACACCTCCCGGATTGCCTCTCTCTCCCAAATTAGACGAGCCCAAATTATCGGAAGACCAGGGAAAAGTTCAAGTGAAACTGCACTGGAAGAAACCGGAACAAACGTACGGCGCGCTGAAGGGCTATTATGTGATGTACGGGAAGAAAGGCAGCCCAAAGGAGCAGTTCACGGTCAAGGAGATGCTCCCGGGGGATGAATTCATCAGTATCGAAGGATTAGGTAATTACTGTTTACTGCGATTTTGATTGGATGGTGGGATTAAATGGGTTAATGTGCAGGTCGCGGTGTGCCTTATGAATTTCGAGTGGCTGCCTTCAACAATCTGGGCGTGGGCGTGGAAGCAATTAAGGAAGTGCAGATGCCTGAAGGCGGTGAGTGGCGAAAATATTTAAATAAGAGGGACGATCAACCGCAAGAGCCGCAATGTTATTGCAGTCCCCACTGGACCGCCGCAGAATATTTCCTATCGTTTCGATTCCCCTTCGGCGGTGCACATCACTTGGGATCCGCCAGTACCGGATATGCAGAACGGCCTGATCACCGGCTATACGGTGTACTTTGACGCCAATGGGACCATCGCTAAAACCAATGTTACGCAACCGTTTTTTGACTTTGATAAACTGGAACTGCGGAAGGAATACATATTTCGCATTTCCGCATGGACAAAGAAGGGCGAAGGGAAAATCAGCCAGAATATCGTCATATCGACACCCGCGGAAGGTTCGTGTCGACAGTCAAGTGCTTTGCTTATGAAGAGAAAAATCGAATTGCCAAATGCAAAATACATGATTGAATAAAAGTTTTTTTATTATATTTGCTACTCCTTAGACCGAAATGCTCAGTGAATAACTTGCGTAGATTTAATATTTAGACGAATATTGGTAAAACAGTTGTGGAACCATTTGGATCGATTAACAGCATTGAATATTGATCGAGCCAACTAGCTATTAAACTGCTTTGTCATTTAATTTAATACAGTACCGCCGCCTCCTGAAAATGTACGTGCCGCCGCTATTAACGACACTCACGCAGAAGTCCGATGGAATGCTATTCCGGACACCCCCGCTATTAAAATTTACGGTTATAAAGTATGATACATTTGTGTGCGTTATTTTATTGTCGGAATTTTTATGCGAATTGATCCGGTTTGGTGCAGGTCTCATTCAGCTGCGTTAAGGAAGTTCGGCATCTCTGCACGCACGCGGGATCGGTTGATGTAGATCATGCTACGTCGGTCATCCTGCCAAATATGGAGACCGGCAGAAATTATACCGTCATTGTGGCGGGCAAGACCACTCGTAGTGTTGGGCAATCGTCCAAAAAAGTAGTTTTCCGAATGGCACCGGAAGAAGTTCCTAAAGACGTACATGTGGTCAACGTACTGAAAGATTCCATCACAATTCGATGGAAACCTCCGTTAGTCGTCATTCCTTCCAGGTGAACTTTTTTTAGTATACTCGTCTTTGTTAATTTTTTTTATTGTTGTGGTGTTATTATTTATATGTGAACTGGCGCTGTTGATAGTTCTTGACCAAGTGTTGCATGTGAAATACTTACCCTCGATGCTCGTGACCTTTAGCTCATAAAGTTTTTGAACCGAAACGTTTTGCCCTATATGTGTAACCCTTGCTTTTTCTTTTTCGTAATTATTATTATGATTATTTGTAGATACATGATATCTTGGCGTGGCCGGAAAGTATTTTTGGACCAAGACGGCAGTACTCAGATTCGTCAGATGCCCAAAGGCTCCAATGAGACTGCTAACACGGAAATAACACTGAACAATCTGCGACCGCACACCACCTATTACATTGATTTAACTGCCATTCCCCTGGATGGCAGAGAGCCGCCTGCCGTGCGACTGGAAGTGAAAACAGCAATCGATGGTAATTACTATCCTGAGACGATAGTTTAATCATTGGGAAGAACTTAAGCCTGTCATTTATTCTGCCCACAGTGCCACCCATGCTGTTCCCGCCTAATTTTACCACTGTTACGAAGAAGGAAATGATTCGAATCCAGCTGAAGCGGGCAACGGAAGAATTCGGCCCGATTAAGCATTATTTGGTAGTGGTTGTTCCCAGTCAGTTGGCGATCAAGCATCCGGATAATTACACTCTTGCTGAGGTATTCGTTTGATTACAGTAAATACTTGTAGTGGACACTGAATACATTTGTTCGGACACTTTATGTTTGTTCCTTGACAGTTAACGCGGCATGAATTGGCGAGTGGACAACAAACACATCGTACTGTAAAGCCATCCTTCCCATATATTGCTGCAAAGTTTAGTCGGGAAAATTTGCCGCACACGTTCGATGTTGGCGATGGGAACGTATATGAAACATATCTGAACCGGCAGATTGTCCCGGGCCAGCATTACAGGGTCTTTGTGCGGGCTTACGTGGACAGTCAGAACATCGTAAGTCCGCTGTGACATGTCATTGAGGATTTACGGAAATGAAATCCATGAATTTGCTTTTCTACTATAATGCATGCCCTTGTAGTCTGAGCCACTGTACACCAGCAGCCCTTTTTCGGAGGACATCAGTACGGATAAACGGGCAAAGCCGGAAATACCGGAAGCCACCCAGAAAGCTGCTCAGTTTCCATGGTGGATAATATTGGTTGCTGGATTTATCTTGGCTGTTATTATTGGTCTTATTATTTTATTCTTCGTGAAAAGGTACAACACACGTAGTTTGCTAATGCAAAATTTTAGGTTGGCGAGATTACCGATTAAACATTGATAGTCTTTCCAAAACAATTTTGTAACAACAAGATAAAAAAAATATCTTGATATCTATCCAAACGTACGAAAAGAGCTGTAAAATGAATATTGTCGTGGTTTAAGGAACAAGAAAACCAGAAAACCAATTCCGGAGCCGCACGTGAAGCCGCCCCAGCCCAGTCCCACATATGCCCAGAAGCCGACCACCAATGGCAATGGAGCCATCGGTAACGGACACGGCGGTCATGCACTGCAAGTCAACACCAGCCCAGAAACAAAGGCTCTTCTCGGATCAACTTACCCAGAAGAGCCGGAACCGTCCCCCAACTCGACACTGCGGTTACGTGAAGTCGGGCGGGACAAGCGGGACTCCTATCCCAGTCCGCAACCCGGACGACATCCGGCCATTCCGATCGAAGATTTGGCCAATTACATCAATAACCTCAAGGCCAATGATAATCTGAAATTTTCGCAAGAATACGAGGTATTGCTTACAGTAATCGTCGAATGTTTTTTTATGTAGCAACAATATTTGCAGTTATTATGCTGATATAAAGTACTATACAGTAGTGATAACTTTTATTCGACACCAGTCAGCTTACAGATCAGATGGGCTAGCACAGGTTTACACTACTTAAAATGATCAGAATTTAAACATTGAAAAAACATCCAAAATCGTTAGTCCCATTAGTGATCTTGGGGCGTGCAGTCAGTGTACCCAAAACCGCAGCTGCATTTCCTCTGACTACTGCAAGGCTTAAGCGCTGCCTTAAAAAGGCCGTAGATCGTGGTTCTCCGGTAATTTCGCGGATCTTACGGCCGGCGAAACGGATGAGAAAAAAAAACTATACAGTAGTTGTAGTATTGTAACACGAATCGATAAATACTGTTCACTGAACCGCGCACCATGGAAGGTGCTAGCAAAAAGCTCAAGGTTTTATCAGAATTTGATTTGACAATTTCTTGTAGAGTGTGGAAACGAATCAGCAGTTCACCTGGGAAAACTCCAATCTGGAATACAATAAACCGAAAAATCGTTACGCCAACGTCGTGGCGTATGACCATTCGCGGGTCATTTTGAAGACGCTGGACGGTATTCCGGGCAGCGATTACATCAACGCCAATTTCTGTGATGGTTACCGGCATAAAAACATGTACATCGCCACTCAGGGTCCGCTTCCTGAAACCTTCGGGGATTTTTGGCGCATGGTCTGGGAGCAGAACTGCTTCACCATCATCATGATGACGAAACTGGAAGAACGTGCTCGCATTAAATGTGATCAGTACTGGCCGTCCCGTGGTCACGAACAGTACGGCGTGATGCTGGTGACCTTGGTGGATGTACAGGAAATGGCATTCTACTGCGTCCGCACGTTCCACCTGCAGCCCATGGGTCACATGGACCGGCGGGAAGTGCGGCAGTATCAGTTCACCGGGTGGCCGGACCACGGTGTCCCAGAGAGTCCAACGCAGTTTCTCATGTTTTTACGGCGCGTAAAAACCGGCAATCCACCGGAAGCCGGGCCGTTGGTGGTGCACTGTAGCGCCGGGGTGGGACGGACCGGGGCTTTTATTGTGATTGAAGCACAGCTGGATAGGCTGCAGAGCGAGCGGAGTGTTGATGTGTATGGCCACGTGACCTGCCTGCGGGAACAGAGGAACTATATGGTCCAGACAGAGGATCAGTATATTTTCATCTATGACGCCGTGTTGGAGGCCGTCGAGGCCGGCTTCACGGAAGTCAGGGCGGGGAATCTCCATCAGCGACTGCAGAAACTGATGCAGCCCGTGGGGGGACCGGAAAGCATTACGGCCATGGAATTGGAGTTTAGGAAGCTGGCACCGGTGAAAGCGGAAATGTCCAAGTTCGTTAGCGCCAATATGCCGGTGAATAAGCATAAGAACCGGCTGATTAATATCCTGCCCTATGAGAGTTCACGCGTCTGCTTGGAGCCCATCAGGAGTATTGATGGGTCGGATTACATCAACGCCAGCTATATTGATGTGAGTTGGAGTGGTGCTTTTATTCAGCAGAACTGGATTTTGAATGTGACTTTTTTTAACAGAGTTATCGGCAGCGCAGTGCATACATTGCCACTCAAGCGCCACTCAAGTCCACCGTCGATGATTTTTGGAGGATGATCTGGGAGCACAACTCCACGATTATTGTGATGCTAACCAAACTACGCGAACTAGGCCGAGTACGTTGTCAATAAGTGACTGGAAGTTACATGCTTATAATAATATTTTCCGTACAGGAGAAATGTGAGCAGTATTGGCCGGTTGAGCGATCTCAACGGTACCAGTATTTTGTGGTGTATCCCGTGGCGGAGTACAGCATGCCGCAGTACATTCTGCGCGAATTTAAAGTAACAGACGCCCGAGATGGACAGTCGCGCACCGTCAGACAGTTCCAGTTTACCGACTGGCCGGAAGAGGGTGTGCCGAAGATTGGTGAGGTCTTTATCGATTTCTGCCATCAAGTGCACAAGACGAAGGAGCAATTCGGTCAGGAAGGACCCATTACCGTCCACTGCAGGTTGGTGAACAGAAGTAAAATTAAGTTCTTGACCTTTCGTTATGAGCTTTCAACATAGCGTTTGTTTATGTTGGAAAATTTTTTGAAAAATTAGATAAAATCCGGTTAAGGCGATGGTGGTAACTGTGATAACCGTGATGTGGCAAATATTAATAAGAATTCAGGGAACAGAAAAAATTAGTAAGTATGATTAGTTTGCTAACGAATTGTACTAACGATTGATATCTTTGCAGCACCGGTGTTGGTCGAACCGGGGCTTTTATTGCCTTAAGTGTTGTATTGGAGCGACTGCGTTATGAAGGCGTTATTGATATTTTTCAAGCGGTCAAACTTCTTCGAACGCAGCGACCGTCGATGGTGCAGACACTGGTAAGTTATATTTGATATCAACGCATGATTTTTGTTTGTGATTCGTTAGTACCTCTTCACTGTGAGCATCGATTGTACCGTTGCAGGATCAGTATCAGTTTCTGTATTTTGCGGCCTTGGAATATCTCAATTCTTTTGATGAATACAATAATTCCTAAGCCATATGTTGAGCACTGCCAGATTTGTTTGTGCTTCAAATTACCGATGATTCCTTTCATGCCTTAAATGTTTCCAAAGAGAAACGAATGCTTCATGTTGTTTACTCTGCGCTGTCGGCCATTTTCCGAGGACCAGTTTGATCGCATTCCGCTGTGGCGTCATTGGACGCATCTTCGCTGGCGCAGTGCTGATCAGCGTTTAGTCATTTCCATGCCAAACACGTATCTCCTCTTGTGCAGTTAGAGAAGTTTTTTTATTTTTTGTTTGTAGTTTTTTGTGCAACCTAAAGTGGATTTGATGTAATTTTAGTTTTTAATTTTAAAGATTTGAATGTACAAACAGAATTTCTTGGTTTTTGTTGCTTTCGGTATTTGTGAATGGTTAAAATAATTTGGTTGCATTGCCTGTGGACCGGGGCTGTGTTCAACCCTTCGCATGTTTTTACCTTGGAATTGGTTCGATGTTGCTTTTAAAGGCATCGTTCCTCTCCTCTGCTCAAATGAAAGCGATACCAAATAAAAATAACGTAAAGAAATTACTCGTATTATTCTGTATGCAGTTTGCATAAAATCACTGTTACTGTTTATTTGATTACCAACGAGTAGCAAGCAAAACACCGGCTGTGTTTATGGTCGTGTCGCCACTATGTAGGAGTACTAATTACCTTCACAAAGTTCGACAGTTTTGGTTTTTTGCAGTGTTAACTGATCTTGAGTGAAACGTATCCATATTTAATTCGAAATTGTGCCAAATGCAGTTATTTCAAGAAAATCGTGATGTTAGGACATAAACACATTGTATCGTTACGGAAAGCTAACGTGACCTTTCGAGTGCAAATAGCCTTCGCGACCTCACAGTCAGATTCCCACTTTGGTATCTATTATAAGCAGCGAATCTACATGAAGGTTATACTCCGCATCAGCTGCCTGTAGGCAGCTACGAGAAGCAGAAAACGAGTCCTTTCAAAACTGGAGATCTTGCATGCTACATAGCCGCATTGCTACCGTTCGATGAGGAGTGGCCTGAATTTTGATGACCAGCAGTCGAAGGTTCTGTAGAAGCTGAATACTCTACGAGTAGATTTTCCCTTCTGTACAAAACTTCAGTCGCCACTCGCCAAGGGTAGTTTTCGCACGCATTAGTACCACAGTACGTGACGGAATTTTAGACCGATGCGTGGTTACAGATTTTACGAGGTGGGCCAGGTGGCACAACGCAAAGCTTCTTTAGTATGTACTATGTACGCACGCGCGCAACTGGGATCGGAGACAAAGCCTTGGGGTTTGATGAAGAACCAATAAACGAGAACAGCGCGGGCTGTTTCATTAATTTTGCAGTAAGCTTACGCAGATAAACGAGAACCAAGTCACATACAACATCGAGCAGCAATAAGAATATTCTCGTACTCCAGTACCTGTAGTACTGTACGAACAAGAAATCATGGAAACTAACGGTAAGAAACTGCTGCGAAGTCACCGCTCGAGTAGATCAACGCCAGACTTGCCGGTGCCCATTCCCACTGCACGAGTTACGCCACCTGCGCTGCCAGATTTGCCTTTATTCCATAAGCGACGAACGATGCTGCACCTTAAGGAGATGCACACGTATGGGTTCGTACGAAATTTCGACACGGACAGTGAAGTTGCAGAATCATATAGTTCCTGAAGCAGTTAACAACTTAACATCCTGTAATTAACCGTGTATGACTAAATGCAAGCCTGTGACCAGTAAGTCCTGTAGCATACGGCCGGTTTTACTACATACTTAGTTTTGTTATCTGTTCATATTCAGAGCCGTTCTCGAAGAACAACTCAGTACTCTCGAACAACTCTCGAAGAACACTCTAGCAGTGCAGATTGCAGAAAAACATTAACAAAAAAATTTGTGCAAGTTCTTGCGAAAAATTTAGTTCAGCTAGATAGAGCTGCAAGGATGCAGTTTTTCATGCAGAACAGAATTAATTGCCATTGCTCTTAAAATTCTTCACATGGCGATCATGAGCAGCAAACGCGGTTTAACCAGCAAAGCAAATTTCAGGATTTTCGTGACCACCTCCATGTTCACGGAACCTAAGCAAGTATTATGACGACAGCTTCGACGACTACAGCTGTCCAAGTGGCAAGTGTTGTCCAGTGGAATTCGCAGAGTTTGTAGTAAGCTGGTAACTAAAAATGGTCTTTTGGTACTATGTAATAATTCCGTATTCCCGTTGCACAAGATGTAAGTACATTTTACGCTGGTTATGAATGGATTGGTCATTCTCCCCGTTCTCTACATTCACCACAGGAAGTAAATGAATTTTCTTTCTATTTTTTCCAGTTTGTATGCGCACTAACGAAGTCAATCCGTGAAGCTCCACACTAAATCCACAATCTGCACAGCCAGGGAGTTTCCAGTTGCATATGTTCACGAGAAAACTGGAAGCCATTTAATTCTGACAGTAATTCGTAGCTCTGCAGTCTGCATCCATAAACTAGCCGCACATTCCGCCACATAATTACATCTTTCCACATAAATAAAAAAGCAAAACAAAAGATCGCGGAAAAATAAGAAATGAAAATCTGAATCCGGATCACCATCATGAATGTCAAAAAATACTCAATTTCTCGCTGCAAAGTTAAATATTATCAAAAATACGCTATAGCAAATATTATTATTTTGAACCTTGAACGACAGAAATAAAAACAGTCCCGAGCAAGAATAAGAGTCAGCAGCCAAAACGGCAAACTCCCGAAAGGCTCAATTTCGCCGCAGTCAGAATGCCATCTCTGGGTAAATGGATATATGGAAAGATTAATTAGACAAAATTATTTCAAGAAGCTCCTTGTTCAAATGTCCATGACGTGCGTTATTCGTCATCGTCGTTCGTTATCGAACTACCAACCGATCCGCCATTCTTGTGGTAGTCACCCATCCCGTTACTGTCATAGGCTTTCCCAGATGATGATGGCACAGTCTTCGTAATTGTAGGCAGCTCCAGTTCTTCATGCTTAGACATTTTCAATCCCAACTGCAGCTTGTAATGATGAATAATATCTTGATCGGCAGGGCAAGATTCCAAAAATGCCGGCAAGTGATACATGGTATCCATGTAGCGCCACAAGTTCTGCATTTCTCCAGGAATCTCAAAATCGTAAAAGTGTTTCCCTGCAAAGAAATACCTCTTTTTATGATTTTAAAATGTAAAAACGGAAAACGAAAGTGATTTTCGACAAATATTATACCACAAAAAATATACAAATAAACGTCAAAGGTGGATCAACTTACAATGGTGGATCATAAAACGTAACCGTTCGCTAAACTAGACAGTAATATTTGAAATTTGAAGATCACCTGCAATACGGATATTCTGAAGACGGGGCATCAATTCGCAGTCGAAGCAGCAAATGGAATCGCCTGTCAGAAATCTTGATCCTTTCTGAGCCAGATGCGCATCGATGTTTTTCAGGCAGGTCAGCAATGAATTTTGGGCTTGTGGTGTATTGTTCAAAAGAAACATCTTGAACTTCTACAAATTATGATAAATAATCAGCACAGTCATACTGTAGCACTGAACCATGACAGCAACATGATCGATCTTCCGATTACGTCAAAAACTCTAAGCTGTGCTTCGGCAACGACAATGGAAAAAAAAGTTTATCCATACGCAGCAAGATCACAACGTTGAATGCTGCGGACAGTCATGCATTTCCAAAACAAACTTAACGGAATACAGTCATGAAAAACTTTTACCGCAGCTTCAAATTATCGTCTCACCTTATACAAATTTTCGATTTTCGCCTCGGTTTCCCGGTCTTGCACGAACAGGTTATGACCTCCAGGAATCTCTTTCATAATGTGCCGTTCGATCTTGTCGTTTTCCGAAATTACAATCCCATCATGGATAAGTATCGGAGGATGGGCCGCTTCAAAATTGCTTCTAAAAATTAAGATCACTCGTGATCGAAAAGCCTAACACCATATAAATAAGACATTGTGAAAATGGAATGGTCGGACATACTCGCATTAACAATTTCTATAATTTCAAATTTACAGCGTACATGATAAAAATCATGAAGGTACCAGCTCAATCTACCGCAACAGCGGGAGCTTGTACCATGCTCTGGGATAGCTTTTATTTTTCGGCTATAATCGACGATTCACGTTCATCGACTGCGAAACAGAGATATCAAACGTGCGCAAACTCACCTGAAATCAGCAGGAGGTTTCAGCATGTCGACAGTAGTCACTTTCAACGCGATGGTTTTAAGCTCTGCGAGTAGATAAAGTTCCATAAAGTATTCCTGACAAAACAAGCAGGCTCCTTTTCGCCGGCCATCGATCGTGGATGCCTAAAATATGTGATGCGTAAAATTATTTTGATAAAAGCAGAATCTAATATTACAACAGGCGTCAAATTCGTTTTACGATACTGTAAGTAATTGTAACAATTTTTAATACTTGTACACTACTTGTACACTAGTTGTATTTGCAGTTTCGTTCACAAAAAACGACAGATTATTGAACAAGATATTTTTCAGGAGCGTTTTGCCGCAGGTATTGCACAGCTCGGCGTTTTCCGGAACAAAAGCATTTTATGCGCAACCATGAACGCCGGACAATGTAAACACGATTGTCTTTCCACATTTATAGTATGTAAATAATTTATTAAGTAAATGAGTGAGTAAATCCAATTTTGGCAGAGAATCTCCGATTCAATGGTTCTCGGAGAAGCTCCTTTTTTCATCATCAAATTTTTTTCTGTAAACGTAATACCGTAATTGGATTGACGTAAAGAATTATTTAAAACATCTTATACCAAATCAGAACCACAAAACATAAACAATATAAACGCCTCAAGGAAAAGGTAACCAGAAAAAAATATTACCATCTACGGAATATAAATCTATCTGTTAAAAATTAATAATATGATCAATACAATACACAATCTTCCGCTCACCTTATGAAAGCGTAAAAAACCTCACTATTATTGCCGACGATCCTCATAAGTCATACATGGGCCGATATCGAATTCTTTCTGCGTTGACTTCCACACAAACACTTTATGCTCGCCAAGCTACTTTTATTTCTACGCTCTCCACCGGATAAACCTGTCAACTATTGACTTGAGGCAATATTATATCGACTACAATAATTTAACTCCGTGGAGCCAGGTGAGCATCACTTTATTTGCCAATATATTTATACAAAACGTGGACGAACAAGACCATCGATGCTGTGCAATGGACAGAGCGTGCAGCTTCAGCATAATGTCTTCTTGCAAATTTCTTCTACTTCTTTTCCAGTTCGAAAAAACTAAGGCGGCAAAAGGTACGGCAAACGGAAAGGTACGGCAAACGGTTGATGCAGTATCAATCCTTTTATATTACAAGTGTTTCATAATTAAAGATTAAAACCAATTATATGCTTAATTTCGCACCTCAGTGCGTCCATGACGCGCGTATGTCGCTTTACCAAAAGGACTCAAAAACACACCACATGAAAGGTAATTATCGAATCGTAAACTGGTGCTAATTAGGCACATCACTGCATCCGTGTAACATAATTGCGGTAGATTTTCAACAGGAAACCCAATGAACCACGAAATTTACTCCACGCTTAATTCAAAATTCATTCTAATTTCACGGTGGTACTAAAATTAATCACTGGAGCCAAATAATCCAATACTACGATATCTCTACATGAAAACTGATGTTGTTGGTTGATGCTTACAAGTTCGAGAAAACGATGAATCCTAAATTAAAACTTAGCGCGTGGCGGTGTAAAAACTACGGAATAATTTAAGAATAAAGTGTATTAACAATTTAACAGGCATTGAGTCCTACTCTACCTTACACTAACTGTTTATAAACTTACCATATTTGATATTTCTATACTTCTCAGTAGACCTATGCGAGATCCAGATATTTCATATGGGCACTTTTAGCTCATAAAATCAAACCAGAAAAAGTATAAAATTTTCTGAATGAGCCAAAAGAATTTTCCAATAGCCTGGTAAAATATCTCCGTTAACGGAGTTTGGCTACTATAATTAGGAGTATAATAATATAGATATTAAGCACAATTATGACATTCTGTTGAATGAAACTGAAAATAAAAGATACACAAACCAAACAAGTATACCAGCTAAATTATGATTATAATATCTCAGTAAAATAGTAATTGTTAATCACAAATTAAAACACTGCCATTTTTAATAAGCAGCTTCTAAGTACTAACTACCTAGAGTTTTTCGTTATCGTTTGCTAATACAGTTCTCCACCACTCTAATGTCGACACCCTTTTCATATAAAACACTAGGTTATAATCAAAATATTTTACAATAGTTAGCCGTCAGATAAGAGAAACTGCCGTCTCGATAACTGAAGTGTGGACTGTGGAATGCTCACTGCTGTTGCACGACATTCAATCATGTTCTGCAAACTTCCCTTATCAGTACAATTTGCGTTATCGCTTGTTATGAAAGCATGCAACGGCAGCGACACCTTAAAATAACCGCCAACGCAACAACCGTTCGATTTCCAAATGTAAAGCAGTGAAGCAGTGACGGGACCCATTTCAAACACCCATTTCTTATCTACAGGACCGTCTGCAACCGTATACAAAGCCCTTACGTAAGACCGGATCCTCTCACACTGCAGTTTAGTGAACAACCACGAGAAACTTACAGAAAATAATAAAATTATGGTTTTTTTTTTAAAGAAATCACTCACAGTAGTTACTTGTTAGTTGTTACTAGAACAAATAACTAACAAAATTAATTTAAAGCACCTCACACAACATTATTGTAGCACTTCTAATGCCTGAACGTTCGGACTATCGTTATAATTGCAACTTACTCTGATTAACAGCTCCACTTCCGGTAAGGGTCCTTGATCACTCATGGTTTCAGAATCCAGTTCTCGACAATTTGACCGCAAAATTTATTCAGCAGAATGAAAATAATGGATCTCGCGTCACAGCGAAAACTCTAATCCAAACCACCTGTGCGTTCAATGATAATCTTTTCGCAGCCTGAATGAGTGGTTTGAGAGAAATGGCGACATGCAACGACTACCTGTCGAGCAGTCGACGGGCTGTGTGATGCTGCAATAAAAATAGCATTCTTTGAGCGTGACTGACTTGACTGAGCGTTCACGATGATTCACGAGTCTGTGGGTGTATGAGCGTACAACCGAGGTGCACGATTGGTTGAAAATGTGAGCTGTCCGATTCATTAAGGTTGAGCCATTTCCGGTTTCATGAGAAACGAAGAATTTACTTATTAGAAGTATAGATGCCACTTTCGAAAATATAATCATGTTTATACGGTGTTGGATGCTGTACATATAACCTCACAAAAATTTATTTTTTTTAGCTTACCGAAAGAATGATTAAACTGACAATTCAGCTGAAAAGAAAGTGACGCTCACAAGATTTAATTTAATAATTAAAATGCATCCATACGGTATTATCAAGCTTAAATTTCATCACCCAACTCACAAACCGGTCACAAAAATTACCGTGCACCTCGAGGTATATAAATGCAAACAAACTCACAAGGTATCAAACCACAAAAATGAAGAAGTAGTTTAAACGTGGAACACGAACTATTTAAAAATCATGAAAACATATTCTATGGAAAATCTAGCAGCAAGTTTTAAATTTACCCAAATTCAGCCGTTCACAGTTTGAGCTAACTCCAAAATACCGAAAAGCGCGTCGAAAGACCACTCATTAATAATATTATGCACGCATATGGCATATGGATACAGTCATTTTTCAATTTTCACCGATGACGGAATCACAGCTTTTTGACGAAAGTGCATCCTTTATCATTGCAATCCTCCAGGTTGATTTCGGGCACTGATCCACTCTTCCGCAGCGTGCTTTTGTCACCGGTGAATTTATCCAGAGTGGAGGGCGTCTTGGGAGCAGAACCCAGATGCTTCTTCGTATCAGTGCTCATAACCGAAACGTACGTTGAATCGTCACTGTATTCATTTCCCATATCAGAAGTAGCATCGCCAAGGAGTGGAAAAGAACTTGCGCGATCGCGCCGTCGAATTGTAGTATTTCGGGCCAGGAAACCATCGCTCACCGGTTGAACTGCTCGGGTTTTCAGAACGCTTTTCAGAAACTGCAAGGTGGATTCCACTGGTTTCTTTGCAGCGTCCAAAAGTGACCGGTTAGGAGTAACGTATTCCGATTCAACTTCCTCGTTTCCGGATCCCGCCGTTTGATACTGGAACGATATTGTATTGACAAATTAGCTTAGGACTTTGCGTTTCAAATCAAAATACATAGCGTCAAGACTATTATGGACATACAATTTTATAACATCGTCTTTTCTTTAAACTTAGGATGCTACATATGCACCTTAATATCGTGAGCGGCCTGCAATGACGGCGACCTAGGTGGTAATTCTGGGCCAGCGGGACCACCAGCTATATAAATGGTCCTCAATGGCTGTCTGTTATAATTGAGCGGAGCATGGGGGTTTCCATGTCCAACCGGCATACTCTGGTAGACATGATCAGGCGAGGTAGCTCCAGCCAACGTGTTTCGGGTCCAAGCTTTGGCAGCATATTCGTTGCGACGTTTGAATTTCGTGATCCTTTTATGATAGATGGCCCCAATAATTGCCAGCACAACAAGAGCAGCTGCCGTGAATCCCAGAGCCACACCCAAGTGAACATCATCTCGTACCACTACCAGAAAAAACATATATAGGTTAACTTCAAAACGTGTCGAAACAACAGACAAAAAGATACGATTTCGCAACGTGAATAAGCAAAGGAATTATTCCTACGCGATGTCAACCGCCATACTACAGTAAATACCATTCAGTTACGGCTTTTCTGTTGCATTTTATGAAATCAAAGCTTTTAATCACCCGCCCTGTACAAAAAATCAACTCACCATGTAAATCAAAATGTACGTACGTATACGTACATCTTTTTTACTAAATTAACCGTTCAGTTACTTACCTTTTGTGCGAACAACAGCACGAAATCCTCGCATAAACACATTCTGCGGTGCCTTGTATCCGTACCACGAATAATAGTTCAAAACAGCCACAGGCGAATCCGACTCGAAGTCTTCCGGCTTCTCTGACCCGCAGAATCGTTTCCCGCTTATGAGCAGCTGCCCCGAACGCAGTAACGACCCAACCATAACGCCACTGGTCTTGCAGTCCTCCAGGAGTTCAAAATCATCAAACTGCACCGTGACGGGATACTCAGGAGTGGGAGAAAGGAATGTCCATTGACACGCCACAACCGGCAGAATTCGGCTGGGAAATCCCGGCGACATGACGACCAGCGGCTTATCTTCCTGCAGATGGACAGTACCCCCGCACGATCCGCAAATAATATGGGATAAGCGGGAGCAGGACTGGATGGAGCTGAGGATGCATTCGTTGATACTGGTGGCGGTGGATTTGCAGGTCAGCGTAACGTAATCCGAAACAACGGACAAGGACACATCGACTTCCTTCAGCTCGCGGAAGGTTTCGAAGCCGGCTTCACGGCAAATCAAGTGGGATACCAGGGCGTTCGGGTCGCAGATGGGTAGGAAGTTGTTCTTGGTGACGTCGGTAGACATGACATGGGGAACCAGCAGAGACCGGGCCGCGGATGGTTGGTCAGAAGACGACATTAGCGGTGCCGCTTCAGCCGATAAATTCAGCGGCATAAATTTAAACGCAACCACTGCAAACAAGTGCATTTATATGTTGTCACAAATTTTTCATACCGGTTTTATGTAGATCTCCAACAGAAAAATAGAAAGTTCATAAAGCCAATTATGGCATAAATGTGAAATGTTTGACGCAGTCAAATCACCTTTGGAAACCAGCAGAATTGGTTTTTCCATCCCGACCTCCTGCAAAGCATATGATCCAGATAACCAAATCCGACTGCAAAGTTTTTCAGCAACGAACAGAACAGAGCGTACAATTTACAAATCAAAATGACTTCCAAATTCCATAAATCGAAGCCGCAGGCAAGTTCAAAAACATTTGTTCGCAGTAAAATGAGAAATATTTCTGTTCGCGAGCGCTGTATTCATCGCTCACACAAAATCTCCATTAAACTAGAACAGGAAGGTACGGTAACAAAAGGTTTGCGTTCGTGACAATGCACACTTTCGACAACTTACAGGGCATCCGCCTCCTATTACAGTAAAAATTTCTCAGGTTTCATACTTACTTATTTCTTATGCCAGCTGAGTTTTAATATTGAAATTAACAACTTTCACTGACCACATCGTATCCGCTAACAAAAAAATCCCAAATACTAATTCACTAAAGTGACTAAACGTTAGAAACAATTAGAAACTAAAAATGCTCAAGTATGTATTATGTTCTATACACATACCACAGGCAATGGCGACAACTGCAGACTGGTTTGTGGCGAAGGGCTGAAATTTGAAACATTCAGGGGTGATTCTCCTTTAACTAGCTCCTGACAATAATTAAAAAACAGCAGAATAACCACAGAATTTCCGTATCGAATCATTTTAAATTAAAACTCTATTACAGAACAAATCTTCTCAAAACACCTGACTGGTTCGCAGCTTCTCAGCGATGTCCACTCTACCAGTACAAATGAAGCGAAAGATTTTATATTAAAATATAGCAAAACAAGCCGTTTGGTGTTTAGCATTGGACATGAGTCACAGGACAAGAATACCGTACTTAAGGAGTTATCATTTTTTGTATGATACGGTACTAAAAGTGCCTTGAGTACTGTACAGTGTACAGTAAGGTCGAGAAGTTACTTACGCACGCAAGTGCGCAGCGCACTTGCACTGCTTGCTGACCACGTCCAGTTTCCGTCGGGCTGACTGGTTAACCAATACAATATACATGTAGTGTATGCAAAAAAAACCCCCTCCCCGTTGTAAATACATAAAAATTATTTTTGTTTTTGGAGTAAATCTTTATACATAGTTGGAATCCGTTTTTGGGTACCATTACAGTATAATTATTCTGTTACAAAATCTTTTAAAGGCACCGATAAATTAGTACAAATTTTTCTACAAACTTATACTTATCGGTGCCTTCAGGCTTTAGCAGAGTCGCAATATTTAGGTTACTAACCGTAAGTAGTGAGCAGGTACTAATAGTAGAGCTATTGTAGTAGTAGTAATTAATTAGTTTTTATAATTTTTTTAGGCGGCAGCTGGTTAGTAAGTATGGTACACTTACTACATTGTTAAGGTTAACTTATTAAGATCACCCCAGTGACCCCACATAAGCCACATAGTAAACTCTGTTATAAAACAATCCGCAACTCCGCACTATTTACAAGACCGAAATGGCTAGTGCAAATCCGAGTGCGAGAATTTGTGAAGTTATTACTGCGTATGCTCTTTAACGCCCTGTACTCCTTATTCTGTACGTACTGCTGTTAAATTTTTCTTCTGTGTTGAACCAGTAAGTACTTTATACAAGCTGTACTGCAGCCTGTAGTCTGTACCATGCTGCCATAAAACGACTTTCGTTTGGCTTTGGCATACCCGATTTGCCGTGCTTTCACAAGCAGCAGGATAACAGCTGATTTCTTTCTTCCGTCCCTGAGCTCTTTAAATGATCGATCAGTTTGCCTGTGGTGTACAAAAGGAACAGCTGTAAAAGAGGACCATTTGAATTGCGCTTCAAACTGGAACGGAGGTGCAGTGCAGATTCATAGCTGCTGCAGTTGCATGGCTTGCTCGTGAATGCTGCAGGCTTTGTCCTTCTGCTTTAAATGTGGATCAAATTTTCGCACCTTTGAAAGAATATCATCCTTCTTTGTTCTCTTACTGCCTTCAAGTGCCTTGCAAGCAGGTAAGCCTGGTAAAATTTATCGTACGCTTTCGGTAAACAGAGTAAAAAAATTAATTTCGGTCTTGTTAGATTGTTTGTACTGCAAACTTGCCATACTATTATTTGCTGTGGCCATATTCCCATAGCTGCATAGTGCATGGCTCTGTGCTATACCAAAAATTTTCATTTTTCACGTATTTTGATGAGTGGGGACCGTTTAAAGGTGCGGACTAAATACTTTTTCGTTGAAATTGGTTGTCAGTTTGTTCATAAGTTGTATGATAAACATATCGTCAAGTTTGACACTCTGAAACAGAAAAAGCGTTTGCATAAACTGTAATGTTGAATTAGTGGACAATAAATAATATACCTGCGGTCCAGCTATTTCGATTGTTTGCAGCACGAGAGAAGTATGTTTGTCAGTTTGTACAACTTTTACCGGGATTTCGGCAAAACTTTCTTTGTAATGTTTTTGGAAAATCTCAGAATGAAATTGTACGTTCGCAGTGTGCCATGTAGTGATATATATACGAAGCTCGATCCCGCGATTGCAGACGAATGATACTAGGGCATTCAGCCGCAGTCTACTTGCAGGAATATTGTATGGCGTTTCTGGTTTCTCGAAAAAATTTGGTCCTACAACCATCTTTTCTCTGCTTTTGTGTTTCTGCATTTACAAGCTATATTTTTGGTTAGCATTGAATCGAAATTCTTAGCGCTTACGTAAAAGATGACACTTGATCATTAATCACATACAGACATACTGCATACTTGTTGTCCAGGTCTGCCATATTCTGGTACTCAACTTTAAGTCGTCAGTGTGATCAAATTGGCCCCATTTAAAAGTGTTATCTTGCTTCTGCTAGCCGCTGAAATTGTTACATAAACAGTTGATCATTAGCATAAGACGTTCACGTTATCTGTGTGCTGTGCTGCCAAAATCAATGGAATTTTCTTATACACAGCGTGGGCCATTTGGCGAAATGTCCTACCCCTAACCTTAAATGTTTTTCGTTTGCAGAAGCTGGCATTTAGCATAAAGAACAGTTGTAGGTTTGTGTTTGCATTTGCCCTTGAAACCGGTACTCTTCACTCAATTACGGTGAATAGGTGTAGTTTTCCAGCACTGTTTAGCTTGCTTTTTCTGTCGAGGTGCAGCATAATCTTACTTTAAATGCCGAGATACCATACCTGGTCCGCTAACTAACACAGTTATCGGTGCTCCGTTTGTGCAGTAGTTTGCATTTAGCAATATAAATAGACGGCGAAATAGTGTTTATTATATGGTGCACAAATCCAGAGAAAAAATTTTAGTTCTTATGCAGTAATTGTGCGCTTGCTGCTGCCACTATTGACTGTGGCACCTAGTATTAACATTGGCTACCGGATGGAGAATTTCTGAATTTCCTAATAATTATTTTGTAAAGTGTTATGATTCTGTAATAATGATAACTGGTCTTTTGCTTAGGGGACGAGTACAGTTAGTCATAATATTTTTGCCCTGCATTTTGTACAATACGAAGATGAGTCCCGTAAGTATGACCGTAATTATGCATAGGAACAACGGGTTGCGTCAATACAGATTGCACTAACAGTACGCAATGCTTGACGCTTTGTGGTACGAATCAAGATGACACATACTCGTATGCAGGGCAGAGTTGCATTATTTAAGTGATTACTGCGAATGCGTCATGGACGAGATGTACATAATAACCGTGTGCATTACCTTATATCGCACAATAGTTTTCATTTTTGATGATACCAATAACGATACGAGTACTGGTAAAGTGATTAATTTGGTTTGCTTTAGTTTTAAACTTGTTAGAAAGTAGGGAATTCTTGCTTCTAGTTTTCGCTTTAAACTTTTTACTAAGTAAAGTAAGCAGGTATCCTTCTTGATGTGTTAAAAATCAGCGGTTTTTTTCTCAGGGAAACAAGCCGAATAAATTTCTATCCGCGCTTTAACAAGCGGAATTTTTCCTGCAACAAATTTGGCCTGCATCATAACGAAAATGACAACAGTAGCAAAAACTGTGGATAACATAATCAAGGATCGCCATTTGAACCAAATGGCTGCGGAAAGCGAAACGCCCAACGCGAAAACGGAAGAGGAAATTGAATGCTTGCGTGCCCATTTGACCGCACAACTGCGGGAAATCGAAATATTGGAGAGTATGTATAGCATGCCGGGAGAGTTCTATTTGCACAGTCCTACCGCACGGGCGGATTTGGAAAATTTTTGCATGGATAAGTCTCTCATTGTTCCGACAGAGATCTCATACGATATTAAGCTACAGTGTGAGCAGAACATTCCCCAAGTCCCGGCCACCGAACTGGTAGCCACTGTCACTTATCCTCTCGATTATCCTCTCGCCCCACCCAACGTCCATGTGCGCTTACTGAATCACTATGCAACACGCCAGCATCAGCACTATTTGAATCGTGCGCTGACTTCGTGGATAAAGAGCTTCTCCAAAGGTGATCCGTGTATTTTACAAGTGTTCACATGGATAGAGCAGAATACCACCAGTTACGTGTCGTCGATTCGCCCACTGCAGCTGTCTTCGTCAGAGAGTGAAGGAGATCAGCAGCCGGCGGAAGTGGAATTTGAGCGGCTGTGGATCTATAGTCATCATATTTACGGGAAAGAGAAGCGGGAGATCGTCATGGCTAAAGCAAGGAATCTGGAGCTTACGGGCTGGATGCTTATCGGCAAGCCAGGTCAGTTTATAGGATACCCTGCTATGTGATAATTTTGATTATTCATTGTTATTCAAATCACTGATTCACGATGCGCGGTACCGCCTATATGCCGTACCGTAGGGGCCGTAGGATTAGTAATCCAATAGGAACGGAAATACTGGTTCCGCAACAGGAAAAGGATGTTAGTTTCACTACTTGAAGTATACGTTCTGCAGAAATGTGCTGTACTTTGTGTGCAAAACATTAGGGTGATTTTGCTAATGTACTTTTTATTCGTTCCCCCTCTTTTTCCAAAGGTCTGTGTACTGTATACGATATTCTTGTTTCTTAATATCATTCTGTTTCTTTCGCTTAACTGTGTGCAACTTGCCTAACGGACTATTTTACACTATCTAATGGAGTAGTAGTTAGTATAGTATTAATATTTCTGTTCTCTGGAACTGAGGTCGAATAACAGTGATTCAGTCAATACTTTCACTTTTCGTTTCAAATTATCTCTGTGGCCTCTTGCGAACAAAATCTGTAACTCAAAAGTCAAAGTGTAATGAAAAAGTAGGCGGCTAAAGGATGAGAGTAAGTACTCTTCTACGGTCTACACGTGCTGTGCACGTTGTTGCGCGATGGCTAATATTTTGCAGGCCAACTATCGGGTGAAAATCTGGAGTGACGAACGATCATTACATTTAATTTTAAAGCATTTTCCATTTTATCGTCTCTCTGTCACTATTATCATGATGGTTTATGATCGTTGTACAGTTTTCCTGTTGCCTTGTCAAAAGTGATAAAATGCGCGATAAAGCTTACGTAAAAGTTTGGATAAAACTGTAAACAACAATGTTGTGTTTTTACGTGCTTTTGTAGGATTGATTTGCGTGGAAGGGATGCGCCAGGATACGCGAGCTTTCTGGGAACAAATTCGACGTTTATCATGGCAGCGCATTACTCTAAAGCATCAAGAGAATTCTACTATTCCAGCTGATAACGTAGCAAAAGAGCAAAAATTTTCCAAATTTAAGGAAATTACCACAACTTCCGCCAATAACAGCAACAGCGCAGGCGGCACTCAAAGCGGTAACCGAGATATGGGCGAATTTTTCCGCTTCCTGAAGGAACACGACTGTGAGCATATCATACAGCTGGTTTTTGGCATCAAGAATCAAAACAGCAACACGAACGAGGAAACAAGCTAACAAGGGACGTATTTAAATAGCAATGCATTTTGCGTGACGTTACAGTTTTGCGCGCGCGACTGGTTTTTTTATCCCATTTCTCCACTCAACCAAACCGTTGCAATACGTGTTTTTTTGCTGGTTGATTTTGCAAAGGCAGTTCTTGGTATTTTGGTTGGTTTCTTCCACTGGCACCGTGTTCGGTATAGTGCTTCTCTCATTTTTGATGCTTTGTTTTGTTTTCATAATTCGGTGCAAATACCGTGGTTCCTAGGAGAAATCCAGCATCTGCAAATAACGGATCTGGCATGTAGATCATGTACATTATGTTTGCAATGTCTTACTTCCGTGCGGTTGTTTATTATTGCAAGAAAAATGTTGATCTTACGAATTGCGCCAAAATTCTCTCCAGATGTGTCTCATCAACTTTTGTCTGACGATCTTTCTACAAAATAGCTGCAGATGAGTTGTCGAAATTGTCAGTTCGCTTTCGATATGAGCCCGAAGCGTAAGCACTGCAACAAACTTTACCTGGGCTTCCTGAGCACAACGGCATAATAGTTCTACAAAAGCAATGTAAGAGTACATTTGGCTGTACAATTACTACTGTACTAGCGAGTGCAGTAGAGAATATTAACTCTATAGCTAATTATTGTTTTCATTCTTACTGCCTTGCCACTTCGTTGTTTTCGCTTGGATAATGCGAAGTGTGCGCTAAAAAATTTACCGTTTACGAATATGCGCCATGTACAAGTACAGAGTATGATCACTATGATGCTATGTAAAAAGTATGCTTAGTAATTACAGAACTAGCAAGTACAAAGTGAAAAACTGAAAGAGTTCTACAAGTGTATATACTATAATTTTAAAAATAACACCCCTGCTTTGAAACAGTATGCCGGATTAGAAATTCTAACAACATAATTCAACTTCATTCTTTAGAGCAGTTATCACGCATTGCATAACGCATACGAGTATAACGGAAATATTCAACAAACACATTTCATGCCCATGACTGATAAGATGGACAAGTGAACATCGCAGTTTGTTACCGAACAAAAACTTACTGTACCTACAAGAAAAGTTAGAAAACTAAGTGCTCTAGGAAACAAAATTTTTATTTTTGTAAAGTTGTAATAGTTATCGCTTAAATTGAGTAGGCACGAATTGAGATTTGCGCGAAAAATTATAAGAAATAATATATAAGTAAAAGACTGCAGGCTTAGGCTACATCGCCTTTATATTGTAGTAAGTACTAAGCAGTTTATATTATTGTTCTGAATACTTGCCTAAAACATAAACCCGAGTAGCCCATTCCATCATCTGCACAGCATCACCCGCAACTGTCAATAAAAATGGGCAAACACATTTTAAAACGATGCCGTGGCTAAAAAGATGACAGAGTTTGTCGCACAAAGAACTAATAATTGTGGATGCGCGAAGAGCGTTCGCGTTCGAGGTATTGTATACTTCTAATCATGCAAACTGGATATGTTATTTAATTGTTGTAAGAAATCACGTAAATTAATAATTACTTTACAGTTTAGACAATTACGCTGATCTTAAAATCTGCGCAAACCGTGAATGAATGCTATGCTGGTAAGTACGCCAGAGTCCATAAAGTATCCTGTATTTATCGTTACGAACCCTACCATCGTACCTTTAGTTTTCGACTTCTTGAAACCTTTGGCAATGCATGTGGAGATAACGTTTTCCGTAAATTTAACGCTGGAGTCTGGCATTTGGGGCGGATTCCGAACCAGCTCAGGATCCATTTCCCCCTCAGGCGATCCATCTCGAGCAAGCTTCTCCTTCTACGGGAACATAATGAAATCCTTAATAATAATTCGCACTTAAGTGACTTAAGGTAATTAATTCTCCGTAAACTCTTTCCTGTACATACACGATGTTTAGGCACATCGGAATTTTTAGGCATGTTATATCGCTGTCGTTCTGGTCTCCAAAGTTTTATAAGACTGGGCAGACTCTCTGCGTGCTGTGACAACTGACTATGGAAACTTTGAGGATACTCGAAGCATCAAAGCAAAAGCCTCTGCATGGTAAACTCTAAGGTATTGTGGATAAAAGAAACGTCCGCGACTTACAAAATTAACCAATAATGACCCGTAGCAAAAGTATCCCCTAATACCGCAAACCCATTCAAAAATCTGCCACGAGCAAAAATTAAGTATTCGAAAATTACAGTAAGTAAGTACAGTACTGTATTTACTGCTTACTGGTTAGTGCTTACGTTTATCTGGGACCGCCACAATAATAGGTTTCCTGCTTTTACAAAGGACACGCATGTATGCGCTCATGTCGCCCCTAGGCGGATGCCTACTGAGCCAAATAAGAGCGTTACATCTTCCACGGCAGGCATATACTGGACTGAGTGCGAAAATAAGCTGCCGGGCCGTGCCGAAATGAAGCTGCCTGGCGAAAATGTTTCGATTGGTCGGTTTATATAATTTTCAAAAAAACCGACCAATCGGAGAATTTTCGCCAGGCATCTTCAATTCGGCACGGCCGGCAGCTTCTCATCGCACGCAGTCCACTGTATGTCTGCCGTAGCCCTACTGCGGGACCGAAATCTGGAGCATGAATGAATCATCTCGGTTTGCTCATGGCCCACCTACTACGTACTGTATTTACAACTGCACACTGAATGGATTTCGCACACAAGTGACAGCACTACACCAGGTATGAGTTATCACGAAAAATTTGAGAAAAATAATAATAATTATATTTGCCTTTCTCGTTTTGAAAACCAAACTAAGAACGTCTGATTATTTTGATGATTTACAGGTCGGATATCACAGCCTCCCGGTGGATTCCAGTTTGGCTTTACTTTACGCTTTATTGGACTATTGATATTCTGTCTTCCTGGCTCAGTCTTCCACGTTCCAGTTATTTCTTTTATGCGGAAACGAGAATTGAATTATTAGAGTGATAGGTGCTGATGCCAGCAACCTGTTGTTCTTATGCTGTCCTGTGATTAAGTGGAGAACAAAAATGCCTTAACTCGTTCTCTGGCTCGCCTTAATTCAGGACTTGACTGCAAGTCTGCAGCTTTGATTTTCGTGTGTTTGGGTTCTGGATGCTGGACCAGATTACGGGATTACCTGATGTTCGAGGTTCGTGAGGAACCACTGATGATTGGTTATATTTTTTTTTCTTGATATCATTACCACTGTATCGGAGAACTTCGATTTTAAATTTTCGGTTATTATGCTGTTTAATAATTCTTTTTACTCGAAAATGCATTGTAACTTTTAATGTAATTTGTTAGTACGGAGTTTGTTTTGTTTGTTTATTAGGCAATAGTTTGTTAGGCAATATTAGGCCATAATTTATAATTAGGCAATAGTTTTGTTTGTTTAATTTTGTTATTTTTGCGAAAAACAGTGCGGATTTAATAGAATTTTCTGTGGATTTAACCGGTGAGAGTGCTGTTAGCACTGATTACGGACTCTTTGACTTTTAATTTCAGTCTGTTTATTAATTACTGAGGATTCCTGACGCTTTTACGGAAGTTGGTGTATACTATTTACATTTTTCATTATCTTATCAGGAAAGTGGAACGTTTATGCCTGGACTCACTTTAATTTAGGGCGCAAGTCGTTGACTTGAGATGTCGACTGCGTAACTTGATAATTGAGTTGCCACAATATATATATTATCTCTTTTTTCCCAAGCTAATCATTAGCGTTTTGTGAACTCGGTTGTGGTATTTTTAATCTGAAAATAATCATAATAAAACGTGGTAGTTTCTAAAATTTAAGGCTTGCTACATGGTTGTGCAAGTGTGCATCCGCGCTGACTCAGCTGTTATCGTTTCAGTGCGATTTCACACTGGAATTAAAAGATTCAAGTGCAAGCGGCAAGCAAACTTGGCAATTATTGTAAACATAACGGGTTGTTTATTTTGCAGTGTTTGTGGGAGTATCGCACAAACTGAACTATAGGCTGGTGTTTTATGTAGGTATTTAATCAGAACTACGCTCAAACTGTTTCGCAAATGAGCGTCAACATGCTCGGCGCTTTCGGTATTACTTGTCGTCGTTGTCGAGCGCTTTCCGATACGTAGACTGAATTGTCCGTATTTATTCCCAGCTTGCATAAGCAGGTTTATTCCGCTGTACAACCGGTGACCAGCTGGATGATCAGCTCGTTCACCGTGCTGGATGCACGATTATTTAAAGCTGTGGTGTAGTCCGCGATCGGTTTCTCCGATTTTATATTTTAAAATAGCTGGCTTTGGTTATGGTATGTGACTCCTTGAAAAGTATGGCACCGGCAATTCTCACGGATAGATATGCAGAAGCTACAAATCAACCGGTACATGCAATTTATTTTTAATAGTTCGTTTAAATATGAGTGCGTTTATTGTGAGTTTAAGCATAGGTATATTGCGTTGACAGTTATCATCTTTCGCTTCATTAGCTGATAGTGATGACGATGCATTGAAAGTACGAGTATTTAATTAACGTTGTGAAAACGATGCCAGTGTAATAAGACTACTGCAGTGGAATTTTCCATAGTTTTTCAAATGCAATTTATGAAACACTAAGGTTTACTTTATTAAATGAATTAGTTAATGTTGTACTTGCCGTTTTGCAGGCCGCTGAGAGAGTCATGCTGGAAGACATGTCGGAACCACCGGCCTTACCTCCACCACGACGCGTCAACCGTGCACCGGAAGATAACATTGCATATCAGCCGACCCACCCACCGCTGACTGAATCGACCACTTTGGCTTTGAGAAATATTCCGGAATGCTCGTCTCCAGTCGAAAAAGCTGCACCAATACCACGACCACGAAAGCCCGTGCCGCTGCCCCGTTTCAAATTACCGTCTAAATCTCCGTTAACTCCTGAAAGCTCAGTATCCCTCCATGACGAGCTGTCATCTGCTATGGGAAGTTCCGAACATCTGTCAGAGCTGGAAAACTTAAAAATGGATAATCTGAGTGAACATGAGTTGGATTCTTTCCCTTTATCGGAATATCTGCAGCCGGTGAAAACTGATCAATCTCAGAGTGGCCAACCCACTAAATTTCCTTATCCAGCGCGCAGTGTCTTATCGAGCACTGTCAGTACTCCGATCGTACCGTCGGATGTTCAACAAGTGCCAATTCATCGGTCTGCATCCAATGGCACGATGGCTTCCGCTAAAAGCCTGATACAGTGGGAATCTATCGATAATCTGCAAGATTTTCATGGGCAGGCAAGCGGTTTACGAGCAGTTGAGCCTGATGTGTTCTCTGCTGTCGATCTGGACTTGACTCCTCCTGCTTACAGTCCTCCACCGATACCTAAAAGTCCCGAAGTTCCGGAAGGGAACTGATACCGATCGAGCCGCCACCTCCGCTACCTCCAAGACCTTTGAAAAAAGACGGCACTTCAATGGATGTTATAGTTGAACGACCGGCTCCGCCACTTCCGGTGGCTGTTAGTAAAACGGCGCACGAGCGCGAAGTGCGCAATGGAATCTCCACTTTGTGCAGCGATTTACTGACTGTCAAGTTTAACCAAAGAGGTTTGTGCAATAGCTTTTAGAGTCCCATGCGTTATGCTTTTTTGAAATTAACTACGGGTAGAAGTTTTGTGTTCCGTGGTACACTGAAGTGCAAAATAGTACTTATATATATTGACATGCGGAGGTCTGCAGCCATATTGAAGTGTTGTAATTTCATTTTATTTCAGAGCAGGGTAAGCGATGGTGTGTTCTGAAGGATGGCAAAATTAGCCTGTATGCAGATCGCAAGGTAAGTACCTGTAAAAACCATGTGCCGTTGATACTACTCATTGTAGACAATAACTACAATATTAAGCAGCGTGGGGTAGGCATATTGTATTAATGTAGGGATTGTTTGATTTTGCAGTCTTTGATAAGCCCAAAAAATGTGATATTATGCAGCGAGATATTGGATATCACTGTGCTAGAAGAGAAGAAAAACAAGTAATTTTTGATGTCGTTGTTGGAAATTGACGCGAATAACTGCACATGTTTCGTTCGTTCATGTCATGCAGGCTTTCATTTGGTTTTGAGATCACTATGATCAAAGACCGCAGCAAGCCTTGGACTTTTTCCGCGGTTTCGCGGGATATGGTGATTCGATGGATGAGCGCAATAGCCAAGGTTGGTAGGCACTTCGATTAATGTGAATGCCGTGTCCTCGATCGAAAATCTGACGTGTTTGGTTTTTAGGGTATCTGTGATGTGTCGGGAATGTACCTCACATCACCTTTGGTCGGATCAGAAGTAATTCATTTGTTTTAAAGCTACAGTAGAATGCTTTTTGTTGATTTTGCTATGTTTAGGAATATGAATTTGGAGGGAAAGTATTCATGCGCCGAGGCTCGACAGGGGTGAGTGATTCTCATGAGTATTTAAATTGTTGTACAGTTTGTATGAACATTATTTTTGATTTTTCGAAGTGCTGGTCCATAGTATGCAGAAGTGATATGACGTAGCGAGACCTTTAGTTTTGATTTGTAATTTGACACGTACAACGTCTTCGAGTCGTGGATTTTCGATTTTGGGAATATGTAATGAAATTTTCGCAATACTATTTCATAGTAGCAATAATTTTCCCATCCTGGCTAGGGCTAGGGTAGTTATCTGTGCCTAGCATTGACTTGGGCTCATTATCTGTGGATACTAGAGTGCGTCTTATCTTAACTCGTAGATGTGTTCTACAAGACATCAATAAGTGGAAACTGCTTTCATTATTTGTATGGTTCATAATAGCTTGCTTTGATTCGTGTTTGTAGAAACGTTAATGAAAAATAGAACTCTTTGTGTTTTTTTTTTGCAGGAATGGATGAAAATTTGGATTGAATTGCAAGGACGCACTCTTCGAGTTTTCACAGATGATGTATTGGAAGAGTTTGACTTGCGAAAAACATTATCGTTCAGTATGTATTTGATTACAGCACTATGTGTTCGATTTCCGATAATTGTGCCTCACGCTGCACTTCCGTTACGTCCTCTAGGGTTTCCATTATTTACCTATACTTCTTATATGCAGATATGGTCAACGTTGGCCTTTACGAAAATAAATCCGATGCAATGTGCCGGGACGTTGCGCAAGAAAGCAATCCTTTCATATTAAATATGCCCGGGAAGTGAGTCACGGAACACAGTTCATTTTTTGCAAACCACGGGTTTAACTTAAATGAGACACGTCGATGGGATTATCCGTCAGCTGAACTTAACTCGTGGAACTGCGATTTCTAGGTCGTTGCATTTTCAAGCGGACACCGACAAGCAAACACTGCAGTGGATGAAAATCATGCAAAAACGAGCTAAGGTAGCCGCCGCATCTTTGGTCATCGCTTACGCGGAAACGAGGATACTAATGTTTTCAGGAATGTGGCGATTCTTTGGAAGATCAGCCTTTGACTGCTGACGATGTTCCGGTTATTGTCGATAAATGCATGCAGTTCGTTTCCGCATATGGTACTGCGCAGCATTCCAAAAATATGGGGTATTCTCACTGTTCTGCTTTTAAGCTTTTTAAAATATTATGTTGGATTAGGATTGAAATCCAAAGGAATTTATCGACAAAGCGGTGTGTCCTCGAAAATTGCGCTGATCTTGGAGATGTTCGCAAAAGGTTCATACATACGGTTCACGTTTATCTCGAAGTGTACGCCTGAAGCTTTATAACTATTGTTGCTTTTCAGATGCTCATTCATGCTATCTGTCTCGGGAAAATTTTACGGAGCACGATGTTGCTGGTAAAGTTAACAATAGGTTTCACTCCGTCCAGATACATTTTCAGCTTGCGAGTATATTGTTTATTGGCTAAAAGTTTGGTGGTGCGTTTGGATTTCAATGCAAAAAATTTCTCTAATTGTGTTGTGCCTGAATTATTGCATAAGATCAATTCAAAACAGTGAATTATGGGGTTTTGGGGGCCTCTGTGAAATGCTTTTATTTTTAAGGTGCTCTTAAACGTTTCCTCCGACAGTTGCCTGAACCAGTTATCAAAGTGGAGTTGTATCAGCCTCTACTGCATTGCACCGGTAAGAATTATTAGTAAAATTGATTTTGAAATGAAATCATTGTTGACTGGTGAAAAATTGTGTAGAAATGTCAACCGAGGTTAAACTGAAAATGTACCTATCTTTATTGGATCAGCTGCCTCGAGTTCCCAACTATGCTACGTTAAAAAAGCTGTTGGGCCATTTGAAAGTTGTGTCAGAATCAGCGAATGAAAACCTCATGTCGATACCGAACATTGCTGCAAGTTTTGGTAACACTTTGATGAGTGGAAACGGGGATAGTGAAATGGTAGGATGTTTATTGTTTCCTATACTATGGTTCGAAAATTTTACGTATTTCGTGTTTTCAGGGCGATGTATCAGGCACCAAGTTCGACACGACGACTAAGGAAATTACCGTTATGGTTGACCTTCTAACATTTTATGAACCGTTATTTGATGTAAGTCTTACCGGTTGCGTCAGCTCTCACTTTCAGTAAAGTTTGTTAGATTATCTGGATTGTTAGATTATCTGGCTGGAATATAGAATACAGATACGATGTATATAGAAACGTTTCGTTACCCAGGTTAAACAAGCCGATTTGGATAAAGAACGAAAAATTCTAAACGCATTGGAAGCAATAAACAAACAGTTACTGTTGCCGGTAAGAAATTTCTGTTTTCTTGCTGTTTCGATTTTTAGTATAGGGTCAATTTTCGTTGTAGCCTAGAGCGGGGGACTTTTTAATGGGTGTGTACTGGATTGACAAAAATGGAGAATGCGTTAATATGCGCTTGAGTAGCAAACTGACGGCTGGACAGTTATGCCAGAACATGCTTGACCATGAAAAAATGGTCCACGATAATTCGTATTCCCTCTACGAAGTCATATTCGATGACAAGCTCTGTAAGTACCAGCTGGTTTATGCTCTCTAAGAGAATGCATTCTTTGAATTTATTCTCTGTAGACCGGCCCGTCCATTATGCGGAAGAAGTTAGCTCGATAATAATGCGATGGACGGAATGGAACAGCTGTAACATTTGCGAATACTCGTCTAATTATCTCTGTGTGCGGAGGAATACTGTGTACGAGAAAGTGGCTATGATGGTAAGGAATTAACTAATTTGTTTATTATCCATAAGTTTTTGTATGCCCTGTATTGCGATCTTTATTTATGTGAGATATCGGGAAATGACTTCACGTTTGTTAGAAAATGAACCGTAATTTTGCTTCTGCAATACTTATACTTTTGTTTTGTTTACACAGGAGAGAAGTCCGCTGTCGGTCACACAGCAGTTACGATTCAGTAAAGATAAAACCTTCAAGAAAGTATCGATGGATTTCAGTCGTATGGCATTGACAGTCCATAAGTCAGCTAGTGTAAGTGGATAGATTTTTCTCTTACCATTCTGGTCTTTCTTATTCAAAAGACCGCTTCTAGGTGGAAAAAGATCTGGGTAACTGGAAAGTGGAAGATATTATTTGGTTTCTGGGATGCAGTCCCCAAAGGACACCACCAACGAAATGGACTTTCTCTTTTATTGAAAAAGACAGAAATGCTGTGCTGTCGAGATTGTGAGTTTTCCAAGCGAACATATTTAATTATATCATCATACATTGGTTCTCTTGTTTTTCGGTTGTGTTTTGTGCAGGGTCAGGGTTTATGAAATTAGAATTCCTGTGTTGTCCGTGCCCTTCTTTACAGAATTATTTTGTTTCAGGAAAGAGAATCGTGTAGCCTTTGGATTCACAGTGTGTTGCGATGAGGAAGAATGGTTAGACAAGTGGATTGCCGCTATGCTTCAAGCACAGGTATTAAAACCCAGCTTTGATGAATATTGCGAAATCGGTAGTTTTGTTATCTAAATTAAAGTTGTTATTGCATCATTAAAAATATATTCTTTCAGCACAATATGGATTTTTATTCGGATGCGGCAACTTTTGTATGATCTCTGTGATACTCGGCACCTTACTTGTTCGTGCAGCTCGTTGTCACCCAGCTAATGGAATCCCATTCCTGTGTGGACTGTGATCTGATTGAATTTTGTCCGATTTCATCGTTTTCCCTGACACGGTTACGTTTACAGCGTTTAAATTCTATATTGTCGTTTTTATTGTTTCTATTTTTGTATTTATGCTTGTGAATATGATTGCACTGGGCATCCTTTGTTTTCCAGTTTTAACTGTGAGCCTCTGTGAAGCTGTTCTTTTTAAATTTTAGTGATTTTTTTATGTGCACGTGTACAGTAGAATAGCGTTTGCGGCATTAATTTTTGAATCGGTGCATGTTTTTGGGCAGATGTGCGTTCAGGACTGTATTGTGTGGTTTTATTAAAGCTGACAAGCAGTTGCACTGTTTTACATAACATCACCAATATCACAATCAGTTTTAAGGCAAAAGAGAAGAAAGTCCACACAGTGGCAACGCGAGACCAGTATTCGATTACTATTAAATAATTAGAAAGTCATTACAGATAATATATGGGCTGCTAATTACGTTATAAAGGAGTTCGCAATTATGCGGACAACCTTGTTGTCAGTAAATAAATCATAAATGCAGAGATAGTTCCGATTGTACAAACTGGTCTGAGCAACGAGACGAAAAGTCCTTGATCGTGGGAAGACCATAGGCTTACATCCGTTAAAATACGTCATAATACTTAGTACAGATAAGCATATGACGTGATAAGAAGGCGCGTTGATCTGGTTAGCCGATGCCGCTCCGACCAACACCCGGTTCAAGATTCCAAATGAGGCATACCAGCTGGTCAAATGTTAGTCATCTTTATCTTTTTGCGGTGATAAATCAATCATTTTAAATAATTCCTCAGCGCTAACGCCGAGGACTTGCTGGAGGTCACAGACGAAGCGATAAACGTAGCGTTTACCATTGGTTTTGTGAATGATATTCTTATCATAGTAGTAGCGTAATCCGCGGCTGAGTTTCTCGTAATTCATTTTTGGTTTATTCTTCCGGATGCCCCATCGGCGCGCCACTTCGTCCGGGTCCAGTAGTTTGAATTCCCATCCATCTCCTGTCCATGTGATAAAGGACTGGCAAAGCTTATCCGTAAGAAGCTCCAACAGAAACTGCCATAGCTGTATCGGCCCGCCTGTTAACGTAAAAATATTATAATATTAAAACATGCCTCATTGTCAGTAAGTCATTTCACCACTAGTACGAGTACTATTCTGAAGGATGTATTTCACTGCCACCTGGCACAATGATACACTGCGTATGTAATATAATTATGCTGTGTTATACTACTTACCTGAACAGAGTCTTTGTGAAAAACGAAATTAATAATAGTATCAAGGTGGAAAACAAACAGAGGCAGATTTCTTAGCAGCACTGCACTATAGCGTCCACTTTCATTAGTACACAATTTGCTTAAAATAAGCAAACCGCTTCCGCATATAAAGTTCACTCCAAATTATGTAAAAGTCTGTATGCTAGTTTCCGCAATTCGTGTTTTTTGTAGAAGTGTTTAAAAAGTTATTCTATTATGCGACTCGCTCTTTCTCGGCGAAATTCTAAAGTTTTAAAAACCTTAAAAACTCTTTCGGGTAAAGATCGGTTCCGTTTGTTAAGACAAATCTCTACTTTATCTTATAAAAGACTTATAGGAGCGGTGCAAGTTGCATTCCTACATACCGGACGCTTGCTGTAACGGCAGGAGTTCGGTTGGAGAACTAGGATTGAACGGATGATAGGAAGGATGGATAATGGACGGAACAACAAGTTCAGGGTGGCGATTATGGCCATTCATTTCGATGACGGGATGAGTGGGAGGTATCGAGGGTGGATAGTAGTCGGCAGGAGGGGATGGTGGATGATAGGTCACATCGGTCTGCCAATGGTAATCATCGTACGCCGACTCGATATTTCGTGGGACGGACGGTAAAGGATTCCCATAGCTACCCGCTGAACTGGCTTGTATGGAGGTAGTATAATGCGAATGCGAAGTGCTCATAATCACCCGTTGCCGATCCGCTTCTGTATGCAAAAAAGGGTCACACTATAGGATCATGGGCATATGCATAGAATTACTGGCATATAAAAGCGCTACATATCTGTTTAACATACCTCTGCGAAGAAAATCCAGATGTTCATAAAATATCTCACCGGCTCCGTGAATTATAAACTGGGAAAATTCGTCGCGGGTCATTGAGCTGAGTTCTTGGCCGGTTATCCGATAGGGATGAAAGCTAACTCCATCACCGTCCGGCACATGATACTCGCGCCGCACCCAGTTTAACCACTGTTCTACGTGTTCCTCGCGCCAATAATAGGGATCTGTAAAACGGTCGACTGTTTATGAAGCTGCGGAGTCCGAAAATCAAATTTTAAAAGCTTTAAATAAGGACTTTGAAAATCTAATCATTCTTCGCAAAATCTTTTTGCAAATACCGTCACAGGTACGAAAAACTGTTTAATATTCTGATAAAACTGGGAGATGTAACCATCAAGCAATGGACGCGAATGGTACTCCGATGCGACAACTGCAAGTGAAACTTGTGCGCACGGACAAATATATTTTAATCAAGTGTTCCTCTCTTGTGATATACACATTTTTATTACGTAGCACCTGGGAGTAGTACTGCTACCTATTTACGCACAATGCAAAGCTAGGACGTCAGTTGTTGTTACCTGTTGCCGATTACTATACCGGTAGTTGTTAGCATTTATGCATCCAGCTGATAAGCAATAACAACAATACCATGGGGCACTGCGATTGTCAACACTGGCTGTACCTTTTGGTATATTTAGCCGGCATCGCTCCTTGTCGAATTGGCTAAAGCTGGCGTAAATCGCTTGATTCATTTTGCTTTTGGTAACCGGTGTAAGAGGTGGAACACTGCTTCCAGGTGTATCGCCTAAATCACAGTAACAATTATTAATGTTTCATCAGTTTGCGTTTATCCATTCATTCGTATTCAGACCACAACTGCGCTGGTGTTTAAGTTCGTTATGAAAAAAATAATTGTAATGATGTGGGCGAGGTAAAGAGGTAGTTGTAGAACACGCAGTTAATCTTGTTTTCTTACGAATAAGTTTTATAACCTTTCGTATTGTATCGTCTCTGATTTACAGCTATGATCAGAACTTTGTAAGTGATGATATTTAATCTTGTTATGGACACTTCGTGTCTCCAAGTGTCGAATTGGGCGTTCATACGGTCTTACAGGTAATTTATAATTACCGTTTGCAGAAGGGCGTATAAGCTTTTACACACTCAATGCTGATACGCAAAACACGAACAATTAAAGCCGCAGCTGTTGCACAACACAAGTACCTAAGCGAACTCATTTCTTGAGTAGCACATTCCCAGATACTTTATAACAGATTCTGTTACAATTAAGCTCTTTACTTAACAGATCTGTTCCTTTGAGTATTTGGGAACTGCCCTCGCTTACTCTAAGAATTTACGCGGTTTTGTCATGAAACGTTAACAACATAAGTACCAGCAATCCGGCACGAAATCGTATTAGAATTGGTTATTGCATAATTATCATGCGCTTAATCTTTCAAATTCAAATGCCAAAGTAATAGCTGCTTAAACTTATTTAAACTAAAATCCACATTCCACACATAATTTTATGAACAAATCTGAAAATAGCATTTTCACTTGGCCAAAAGACTAATGGTGATTAATTATTGTTAACATGCGAACTAACATCAGAATCAGTGGTTATGATGTTAGTTCGCATGTTAACAATGTTCTGTTATTTGTCAGAATCAAAACGGAAAAACTAATATCGCTTTCATCTTTAATTAAAATTCATCTGTAATTAAAAAAGGTAACAGAATTAATGTTGACTCAAATTTAAACAAGTACAGGGGGTAGAAGTATGGTAGATGGTCAGCAGTGGCAGATAAGTTTGCCAGAGTGATACGCGACATCTTTGCATGAAGACAACTCTATAGCTCTGACGTAGTGGAAGAGCGTCATCTTATAGATGCAGTGCAGATAAGCCACGATTAAAACGTTACGGCGGTTATCTCAACCGGATTTAAAATGTTCATGTGACCATAAACAAACGTCTACATAATTATGGCAACATATTGCTCATACAGAAGAAATACTGTAAACAATGGAGGCAATGTGTAATAATATTCGATCTTTAACATGTTTATTGCACAAAAAATTTATCCTTTGAAAAAAAGACACAGTCAATTACTGTACCAGGCTTTTCTCCAAATCTTAAATCTTCTTTTTATAAGTTTGCGCTTGTAAGAGATTATTCCACATTTGTCTAGCTATTCCCATGAATAATTACTCACTGGTTTTGCGCAGAAAAATACGAATTTTTCGAAGAGTTTGCGCATCCGAATTTTAAATTTTCACTTGCGTTTGTGGGCCCACAAATGGACATAATAAACATTAAACACCAATTTCAAATCTTTCGTGAAATAAGAGCTACTGCTACAGACAGTAAAAGTGGGAAGAAAATTTGAAATTTAAGAAGAAAATAATAAGAAAAATACCGAATTTAACAGAATCATTAATTTTCAAAAATGTTTACTCTGAGGAACTGGCAAAAATTTTTGAGGGAATATACTGTAATATGTACTCAAAAACGTCAAAATGTAGTCATTATTTTGCGCTGCTGAACAAAGCTGAATCTGCTGACTTAAATTTTGAAAAAAAAACAGTAAGTACGTATGCATATATTATATGCTCAAAATACAATTCCTGGAATACAGCGATTTCTAGGTATGCAGGTTGTACGAACAAAAACCCTAAACTTAAGTTTAATGAATTAATTAATTTTTACAAAGGAAATCGAAAACTCTCACAACTGGCTTTTTTAGCGTTTCGCAGACTGGAAATGAATGAATAAGAAAAATTTAAGTACAAAAGTACTTATACTTTTTCATTCATGATAACAAAAATATAATGTGTGCTCTGACCGGGAACGTGGTTATTTCAAATGTCGTAAGAGATTCTGTCAGGGACTGACTGTACAGGATTCAAACCGCAGGGTTCCGCCTGTTGCACATACATAATACTCGTATACCCGAATCATTCTGAGTTCTGGTTTCTTTAAAAGTTTTTTAAAAGTTAGTCCCAGATCAAAATATGCACACAAACGCAGAAAAATCAGATGGCAAAATAGACCAGCCGGCTGAGTGTCAGAGGCATACTGGTGGAAAAAGATAACCGATTTGGCGATATCAAATCAAATCAAATTCAGTAGCGGTAGGTCGGGACTTTCACATAGCGGTTTAGTCACATAGCTTGGTAGCTAAATGATCTGCGCTACCGAAAAATTGTGCTGATAAAATTAATGCTCTTTTCAGAAATAAACGTCTAATAAACAAATGATATAATTACATATTTACATATTTCACATATCGCGTAAGCACGCTTATTACAAGTTCCCATTTGAATTTCATTAAAGGTCACAATGGTGACTGATCAAAATAAAACTTGACCACGTACATTAATAAATATGTAATCAACGGCCAATACGACGATAAAGGGTGATAAGCGAGAAAATAATCAGTGGATATCCAAAACGCAACCCAGCAATATGTTTTTCCATGACAAATACATGATCACAGGAGGTATAAGGAACGAACCGCAGTAGTATCCATAGAAGTACGCATAAATATTTGCACTTTTCTCGGGTTGACGTTCAGCCCGAGAGTGAGATCAGGCGCACGAAAATCCGCTCTCAGGTACCATGCATAATACACAATCAAAATAGAAGCGAAAGCAAATGAACTAGCCAACAACGTAACCGGTGAAATAATCGACTATCGCCTCTGATACGTTAATCCTGTGAGGGTACAAAAACTACCAGCAAACTATGCTGGGCTCCTTCTGTAAGTGACCACAACAAAGCTCCGGCCACTACAATCATCAAACACAGCGCACACCGAGCTCGATACAGTTACCGTTACTATCCAAAGTAGCGAGATAGGGTTCAAGAGGCAGGGTATTTTAATCTGCATTATAATCGTTACTATTGGAGGTTTTTGTTGTCGTAACATCTATTTAATGATGTTTAGTTGATTGCCGTTTGGCTTTGGCTCGATCGTTACAGTATACACACGTATATACCGTGTGTGCACACATAGTGTAACAGTGTAGTCAAATCTCTCCAGTCCGCACGGGTCGGGCCGGGGCAGCCAGCTGGTTACTTCATTAGCGGGCTGGTACCCTAAACTAAACTGTACAGCCATGGCCCTGACCCATTGTTGTAAGTTTGCGCCGGTTACGCGGCCCTCGGCCAAGGAGTGCATATTGCACTGTACTGGGCGGGTCAAGTGGACTTCGATCCCGAACTTCAATAACTTTCAACCAGCGTTATTCGCACATATCGAGCAAACATCAAGTTAAATGGCATGTTGCTGCAAAACTCCAAAAAGCCGATCGCAAATTTCGGATACGGCATGGCGAAATCAGCTGGCGCTGTTCTTCTCTTTTAACAAGCATTGTTTCGACTGCGGGCACACTGCTGTCTGCGAGCCGCGACTGCAAAAACTGGAGTTTACCTGTGTGTACGCAAAGGAAAACTTTAAAAGACTTTAACTGACTGACCCCTCCAGGAAAACTCTTTTTTTTTAACTATTAGAAAGCTGGATTCGGTATAACCATCTTTTACATAAATATTGGATAGAGTTCGCCTTTTACAGCAAAGTTTTCTCGTTTTCCTTCGGTTAAAGCTGGCATGGTAGGTCTATTAATGATTCATTTTGTCTTACTCCAGGGTGAGATGCAGCCAGTTTCGTTTACTTATCTAGCAGGCACTTGATGACCCGCACAACTACAACATAACCGAGTCGAATAAAATGTAATATATTAATGCTTTTTGAAGATGTTGTCAAAGACACTCGGCACGATGGTTGCCATGTTCAAGGAAACTTAACCACCTCTTATCAGAGCCATATGCTCATACATTAAAGGGACCATGTTATGATGCTTGATAGAGCTACACAAATTTTATCTTCGGGTTTTTGAAGTATACTTGTAGTGAGTTGGTAAGTGCGCATTAGTCTGACATGACGAAGCTCTATAAAATTCCAATATTTGTTTATCAAGTATAATAATTTTGTAATACATGTGCATATTACACACTGCTGTAAAATACCTACTGTGCTGCCATCAAAAATTGAGTTGCCGGTCATAATCATGCAGTATTTTATTCATTAGCGCTAGCTTGCAGTTAGGATGTACTAAATGTCAAAATGTTATATCGTTATGCAGACATAAAATACAGTTTATAACGTTATTAACGAAATATTAGAAGTATATATAGCTAAAACGATGGACGGTGGTTCTCGCCGCTTAGAATACCCGTATCCACTATCCAGCGTACCAGTTCAGTCACACTCCACCTGTTTTGTTTTTTTTCACTTTTGTTATCGAAGCTGTTATGTTGACAATAGGCATTAGCTCTGAGCGCATACCAGCACATTTCCGCTACGCGGCGTACAGGTAACCGAATATACACGAGTACTTAAGATTACGGATTAAGCTACGGGCAGTAACATTTGCATTGTGCTGCTAGTCGCAATACTTATCGATAATCGGCAACTTATACGAGCGGAGTCACCTGTTGCATATATATGTACCTGTTAGCTGCGTTATCATTATCGTAAACTTTTCGCCTTCATTTTCAAACATTTTTCGAGCTATCATATGTACGACTGAGCTGTGTAATTGGAATGATGTTTTTTGTGTTATTAACAGTTACTACAGCCAGTGCGATGAAAACTGTGCTACATAAAATAAAAAACAAGCTGCACACGGAATTGTACAAAAACATAACTTAAAAATTTAAAAGCATTTAATAAGCGTGTCGCAGAATCGACTTTACGTACCTGCAACGTTTTCGTCGTAACAGTCGCCGGGCATCGTAGGAACCGTCTGAGCTCCCATGGATAAGCTTAGTTTTGACCCCTGGAATTTTGGTTGCAGTTTTGGATTATAATGGGGAAAGTTAGGCACGGCCGGTTCTGTTTTGATTCGCTTGACGACATCGAAATTGTTATCGGGCAGATTGGAATATAAGTCGCCAGGTGAGCAGAACGTCGGCACTGTCAACGTTTGTGAACCATTGCCATTTGCGCTGGACATTCTTTGGCGCGAGCGGAAATCACTGATCAAACACCGAGCGACAGCGTCAGAATTTTCATTCACATCCCAGGGTGACATATCAGAAACCTAAAAAGTCAAAGAATGTAACTCGAAAAGCGTATTTATCAAATTAATATGTACGAGCTGTCCAACGCAACGATTAGTCAATTGAATATATTCTGACTTCAGATTGTCCAGTCCTTCACGTCCTTATATGGACATATAGGATATGGCGAAAGGTTAGGCGCTTATCGAACAATATGAGTATACAGCAAGTGACGTATTTTGATCACAATCCATACGTACTGACCCGCCAATTAACTTGTTTGTTGCGGCAATTATCAGTCCGTGCATGCGGTGCTTATTCACTTATTATGGAAATCACTTACAATATAATTAATTTTAGTTCCCGAAGTATTGTTACAATACGAGGACTATTACTTTTCAATGGTTGCTTACGGTTAACACTTAATAATTTTAAGAAATTAAAACAATAATTCCACAATAATAAAATTTGAAAAAGTTTCTCTGCATGCGATGTTCGTTCAGTTTAACAGTGGAGATCTAGTGCGGCAAAAACTACGATTGCCAACTTGCCTAGTCGCTAGTCGTGCTACTCGCTAGTCTTTATTACGAGTAGAAGTATCGATAAAAGTATCATGAATCACAAGCAAGTTTGAAAACATTATATTGTAATTTGTCAGTAGTAATGCGCGTACAGATCCAAAGCGATCAGGAAAACTCGGATAACCGTGAAGATGGATCATAAACAAAGAATTCAAAAACGTGCCCACATGCATACGAGATAATACGAGTAATATATAGGTAATTCTGATGTACGAGTATATCTCGAAAGGATACTGATACATCGATACATACAAATATGTTGACGCAGAATGTTGAAGCTAGAAGGACTTTATCAATATGAATAAACGGAAAAACTCTGAATAAGACGATAGTCTACATTAATAATAACCCATGAAGGCATCCAAAATGCATGGTGATACAATACATCTATACACATGTTATTAGGGCATGGAATTAACTGCGATTCTGTATTGATCCATCGTGTCCTGTGCTTGTTCCAAAGAGCGCAATAAAGTTTAACAATGCAATTTTTTGCTCAGCTCTTTTGTGTGCCGCTAGTGAACCTTGGTTGGGTTACCTGCGTAGCTGTTTATCAGCCAACAACAGCCATATACCATAAAAATTAATTTGAATTATACATGATAAATTTTTTAGTACATAAAGATACATTTCGCAGACACCAGTCAGTGTTTTTGGTTTGCAGCTTTCGGTCAGAACTTACCAAAGTATAAATGTATATATAGGTATGTATCTCCGCTATATCTGTACTGCAGATACAGTGTCGCATGGAGAGCTTAAGAAATTTTCGTCGTGTTTTGTAAACGGTCCGATTAGACCTGTCTTGGGGTAAGTGCTAAAAACGAGATTTGAATGGAAACATCCCTGCTGGGATCCTTGACTTTACACGTGCCTGGCGATAATCTGACTACCTCATTAGGAAGCTAATTAAAGATGCTGCGTGGCGACATTATGTCAAATGAGAACTAGCGTACGAGCGTTATATAAGACGTAATAATTACGCAGTAAAAGCTATGCAACGGCTCACAAGTCAATCATAAGACGTGGACATATTTAAACTTCCCCAGCATGGTCGTTTATTGATAGCTATTTGTTGAGGTGGAATTGGCATATGACATAATTGCGTCAGTTTGGATATTGCGGACACCGGTCAAACAACAAAAATAATCAATAGGTACCGTTGTCAATTAATGTCTTTTTAGCATGAAATTCGGTTGTGAATGAATGGTACAAATTGGTGCCTGAATGCGACGCACACACTGTCCGCCAGAACGTCCATCCGGTTAACTACCATTCTCCACCCTGCACCCGCGGCAAAAAGCAGCCAGAAGCAGCACCATTGCACTGTGGGAATAAATTCTAAGACAAGGGCCCCGTCTTCGAGACGTTAACTATATGGGCTACGAGTGGTTTTTACAATTGTAATTATGTACCGATAGTAGCGCATCATTTGTCCACTGATTAGGGGTGCAGGACCGGTTCTCATTGATTCAAACGGCCAGTGTTGTATCGTTATTTCACACTTCACCAGATTCGCGTCCCCGCGCCGGGGCTAGGCCTGACCATCGTCCGCAGCGAAAAGGGCAGAGAAACGATTCATTGTTGCAGAAACTTGCAGGCCACTTGTCTGCCCTCTTTAATAGTACTAGCTAGCCTGCCCTAACTGCCGTGCTGGAAATTATTGCTTTCATCGAATTTATTCAGTCATTTTATGCGAATTCATTCATAAAATTTGGTACAATTTGAAACTAGCTATATATAGTTGACCATGCACCTTCGTATACCATTTGTACAACAAATTGGCACTGCTGCATATATGCGCGCAATGATACAAATGTTGGACGCAAAAACCCGGCGAGACAACCGGTGAAACAGAAAGAATCTGGTACGGTAAATCAAACCGTACGGTAAATGATGAAAATCAAACCGCCACAGTACAGCATGTGGGTATTATTGATTGATGTGAGACAAGCAGCGCATAATTGATAATTCGATCACCCCGTGCCAGCTGTTTAATCAAGGGGAAGGGGTGTTAATCTGTTTTTTGTCTCTTATCTTTTGCCCCACCGCACACAGATGCCGTAATAACGTGAATGTCAGATTTCTAATACAGCCATGCTCTGCATCTCTGGTTTATGCAAGATCAAATGGATAGGTAAAACATGTACAATACTTATATAAAAGAGATGCCTATCTACCTTAAAACTGACAAGGATGAAGGCATGCTGGATAGATTTATCTTAATAAACTACTTACATGACAGCTGCTTGCACAGTGGTTGATGCCGATATTGCAGTATAATGAATCAAGCGTTCCTAATAATTCATGATCATGACTTTTTATGGGTAGTTGTGCCTGCATCTCAATCAGCTGGTATCAAGGAATACGTTTCATCAAGTTTTACTTCTTCGGTGGGTTGGCAATGCATATGCTATAAAAGCCATGCTACCCCATGAAAAAGATCGCGTCAGTGCAAAGTGGACAATCAAGTTGACACGTGGCACGGTAACACCGAATACGATTGCTGCCACTTCTGTTTTGCGACTACAGACTATACGTACTTAAAATTAAGCTATTATCAGGATAGAAATACAATGAATAAATTACTTGGCAAAAATAATATTTCAGAAGAGTGAAAAGTTTTGTCCAAGGCGAAAACATGAACCGAACTGTGATAGCTATCCACACTTTGTGCGCTCGGCATTCGAATCGTGTCCTTTGCTTTGCTAACAACAATTCAAGGAACAATTGACGCCGTAACTTTCCTATTACGATTACATACCGTTTATTCTATGACGTATCTTCCTAACGACTTCAATGCTTGAAAGATATAAAAATTACCTAATTCTGAGCAAAGCCGTTTGTTGATAATTCGGACTAGGCACGAAGGAAATGATCAATAAGACGCTGTGTTAAGTAAGAATGAACCAGGGTGGAGTCATACAGTATCTGAATGAAAAGTCAAAACAGATTAATTTAACTTTGTCAGGATTTATCATCCCTGATAAGCCGCTTATCCAGCTTTGAATCAATAAAAACCTCCTTTATCTTCTTACTCGCAACATAGTCCCATACCATAATATCCTTGACCATTATCCATCGGCTGATAATCGCAAGCGAACTGGATTAAAAGATAAACAGATACCGGTATCGTCTGTTTTCGTATGGATCATACGAGACCTTTCCCAAAAATATCCATTACAATTTTAAGGCAGCCAATTCTAGACAGTTTAATTGCAGCAGAGATAGCTGTTGTTCAACACGTATCTCGACTGCAGCAATAAGATATCTGCCCATGCTGAGTTATGCAGATTTAAAAAAACGAAATAGTTCGGTTCCGGAGAGGCCTAGAACTAGACATACTGTTGGTTTAATTACGTACTGAATCTGGCCATGTGAGAAGATTTTCCCTGTTTTAATGAAAGGACAAATGATGCAGCAGCAAGTGAACTACAAAATTATGCGATACTGGCCCGTAAACCAAACCGTCCTTCATACAGGATGACAGTTCCGGACTACATGAAATCTTTGAATGAATTTCAATTAATCTGTTTTGTATTCCAGATCAACCACGAGCTGCACACACCAAATGCATGGCTGTCGGATGCATTGCTAATAAATGTCAATGAAATGCGATCAACAGTGCACACAGATTTTAATATACACATTTTTTGGCGGTCGCCGGTTCCAGCGACGGTCTGCACTTTGACGATGTTCACACTCCACTCACCGCTGATATAAGAATGTTATGAATTGTTTCCCCATTGAAAATTAAAAATCGTGTATAAATGAGCAAAATATTAACTAAAGAAGTGCTCTAATGCTCGCATATACAGGAAATAAAAAAATCCTAAAGGAGTTGACTCTTGGCACGGTGTGACCTGATGGTGAGGTCACTAAATTTCAATTATGCCTTACGTACAATGTCAGAAAGACATTCTCTGATTTGAAAAGATTTTTCCTTTTGCACTAATAGGTTGTGCTTAAAGCAGCACTTACATTGTTAGAAGTAAATTGCAAGACAGAGTTAATTACCACACAAAGGCAAGCACACAGCTTACTCTCGTTCATACAATATAAACAAGTGACTTCATTACCGTTTGATAAGCAGAACAATAGTCTACATCCATAATCCTCCTCCTTGACTGTCTCTTTCCAAAAGGTGAAGATGGACTCTTGCGCTTGCTGTGTAGTCTGAACGATCACTTAGACGAGTCCTCAGGTTTGCCGCTTAACAAATTTTCGAGCTGCACCACTCGAAAGCTGCTGGAATTTGGTGAAATGTATTGGGGCATTAACGGGATAGCTTCAGCATGTATTGGTCAAGCGATATCATACCATCAGATGCTAACGCTTCCATGAATGAATGAAAGTTTCAAATTTTAGACCAAGCCGGACAGTAGGAAAGTAAACACAGAGGTTATATATATCCCGGGTTGGGTTCGGTTGACATAAGACTATGTATGCATTGTTTGACCAGGGAAATCCAACACAACCAAGCCTTCATTCCCACATAGCATACAACTTTAATTTTATACCAATAAAAGTGCCCTTTCTCGCTTCGGATCGCAGACTATAATATCATCCATAAACCAGGTCTCGTTTCGCTCTCCGTTCTCAATGGAATTAGAGAACTAATAGAGCAATCGCCCCTTCTCTATCATTGTTGATCAAATTGAGCTGGGATTGACCAATGGCCAGTGTATAAAGGCGGTAATGCAGCAGGCAGAAGGGGTACGAATTCCGGTCGACTAGTGTGCGCAGTGCACAAGCTGTAATCAGAAAGTTTACAGGGAACGAATTTACTTGTGCATGTACTGTTACAGCGAACCACTTCTTTGAACCAACGTCTTTAGAGTAAGTAACATTAAATACTGAATAATTACTGATGACGCTAAATAATAGCATTAGTTCGTGCTAAGTTTTGTTCTGATATTGCATTAACTGATAAAGCATCTTTTTATTGATGATCACTTCCGTTGCTTGCATGCAAAAGATTAAAATAATTAAGCGGCTACAAATACAATAACTACTTCTACAGAAGTACTCGTACTGTTCGAACTCCGCAATAACTTTAACCCGGCAGCGTCTGCTAGGTGCAAAAAGCACCACTAAAGTTCCTTAATTTTTGCCAAACCAGAATAGTCGATATTATTGCAACTATGTATGCATGCGATAGAGCAAAGATTGCTCTTTGCACACAGTATTTTTGTTTTTTGTTGAAACGCACTAAAAAACAGCCACAGTGCTTAAAAAACACTACAAAATTTAAGAAAAGTTCTACGAAGTGTATATAAATCAGCGATTATGCCAGAAGACTGATATTAAATTAGTATCAACTTCATAATAACATCTCCAAGCTCCAGTTATCCAAAAAATTTTACAGCTCCGATGTAAAAAACAATGAATTTTCAAAAACAGCTGGTGCAAATTGCACCACTTGGGCATTGCCGGGTAGCAGTAAAGTGCTGCCTGAACAGGCAGAGTGATCCGAGCCGCATACTAATATGACGCAGCCGTTGCTCGCTTATGAATAGTTCATACCTCTGGCAGTTAGCTGATCGATTAACAAAACAAATGAGGACACCTAATTGATTCTATGATTCAAAACAGCAGTAGAAAATCGTTTTCCTGATTATATTTTAATGTTTTCTTCGAGTGAAATAGGAACAATAACAATAAAAAGACGTTGTGGTCGAACAGCCAGTCAACAATATGGCTGACCGTGCCTTCAAATTTTAAACTACTGCAGCAAAAATTTTGAAAAAATTAATTTTAGTTCATTATATTATTGTTATTCTATGGTATGAATTTCAACTTCGACAAAAAACTCATTGATACCCCGGGCACTGCCAGGTTAAAGTCGTCTGTTCGGCTGTGCATTGCATTATTGTGCGCATTGCATAATTGAGCCTATTGACACACGATAGTAAGAAGCTGGTTTGTTTTGTAGTATTTAAATATATTTACGTATACCAACTCAGAACTCTTATAATTCGAGATGCGAAAAACAAGCCCGACAGATTTCAGCAAATTTCACAAATCAAGATCAAATGGGCTATACAGCTTTTTTGTGTGCATAATAATACGTCTGATAGTGTGATGGTGATTACCGTGTTTGTTCTCGTTTCATTAATACGAGTAGTGACGCACATAATCTTTTTGTTCATAGAATTGGCAACGCGAGTAACTTCTTCCTAGCTAAAAGATTTTTCCTTGGTTTACAAAAGCGGCATAATTAAGATGCAGCGTGTCAGTGACCACTTATCGCTGGCCGTCATCGACGGGGATGTGGACAGCGGCTAACCTTAAATTTTAATGAAGGGATTCGCCGAACAGTCAACAGACTAGCTACGAGTATATCGGTTACAACGTAAAGTAATCCTGGCTATGACAATAATTTCCCATCGTATTCTATTATAGATTTCATAATCAAAATCTTCCAAAACAAGATCAAAGAGCAAAATCAGCATAGGCAAAGTCATAATTATTTTCTGATCAAAATTAAACATGACAACTGATTAAAAAATTACATAACAATAGCAACTATTCCAAGCACGTGCCCGTTTAACACAAGAAAATGGCGGTAATTTTTAGTGGTAACTGGTAAAGAACGTGTTATAACAATTGGCGATAAAAAACTTCTTCATTAGAGTTTTACAGAATACAAAACCATCCAACGCTTCTTAAGTACATATAACTCATAAGTATGGCTTATTAAATTGCTCCTTGGAGGTCGAGCCCAAACGCTTCCTCCTCGTCACAGTGCGGAATCCATGCTCCTAACCCCGCATCCTGAACCGTTTTACGAAATCCACAAACAATCTCCCTGTAGCTCTCACTACTGCTTTTAGCCAAACCATAAATTACTGAATGTTCGTTCGATTGGAATCCAGCTGGTGGCGTCACACCTTTATCTTTCATGAGAGCCACAACCTTCATAAACGATGCTCCAGCGTTACCTTTGCTTATCTCTGCTGTCGTCCCTGCCGCCGGCTGACCCATCGTGGTTTCCAGAAAAATTTCCCGCCCACCAGAACTTTCCGAATCGGTATGCCACACAAATCCTTTCAATGGAATGGTGTCTTTCAAACTGAAGCGTTCCTTTACAGGGGGACAGTGAATGATTTCAGGACATTTGGAAGACGCTGCAGTATCGTTCGGGAAAGTGCTCTGTAGGCGGCCGTAAAGTCCCTCAGCCATAATGGGCAAATCCATATCCTCTGCTACGGACACCGTCTGCAGAAAGATGGCACGACAGAAGCACGACGCCAGCGCTCCCTGTATACCCACAACCAATTTCTTCATCAGTTTATCCGAAGCTGACATGATGCGCAGTTTTTCGTGCCCATCAGTTATATCCCAAAACGAATGCAGACCAACGTCTTCGGGTACGGTGTGGACATTACCAGAAACGATTTCCCCGTCGATATAATGGAGTTTTTTGTCGGTAACCGCAGGCTCATTTTTGGCAAGCAGAGTACACGATCCCGAGGGATATCGTGAGAGAAACAGGTGGAAACCAATGCCCGGCTTCAACACCAGCAGCCCGTTTTCGCCAGGTCCACTGAAGATTGTTTCCTCGTTTTTATAATACGCTGCAATCTGATCCAGCAGAATTTTCTTGACAGCTCGCAACACTAAAATTTCGGCTTGGCAATCTTTGATATTTCGGCCTCGCGGATTCAAGTGTTTTCGATAAATTATCGACGAACCAGTAGCCAGTGCGACTGGGGTCATTTTACGGTCAGCAGACATACAGACAGCGGCCATGGTCGGCGGATGAATGTAATTACTCCAAACCGTTCCAGCGTGTTTCAGGGATATATCGCTCAATATTTGAATTACAGCGGAATAGATCTCACTTGCTAAGTGGCGCGGATCTTGAATGGTGGCGCTTTCCACCTGCAAGTCTGCTAAACGCAGACATAATCACACCAATACATATCAAAAATCGCATCGATTAAAGAAATAATTTGCAAAAGCTCTATGTAACGGCAGTCTCCAGCTGCTCCAAAAAAATTGCGCTGACTGTCCATAATCTTAAATTTTAAAAACTATTGTTTCGGCGCAAACACAACCGCGTCAGTTGGCGGCTCCTTTGGTGCAAAATAAAAACATTGGCATTTAATAAAGGTTATAAAACAGAAGAAATTTTGATATACATACGAAATTAAAAATTCAACAGAAATGAGGAGTATAGATGCAAGAGCAGTTTACAATATTTGCACCCAACTTACCATGAGGCTCAATGGAGCGAGTCGTAATTCTTCGCCAAACCGCAGGAAGAACGTCCACAAGCCAATTGAGCGCTTCGCAGGCCACCATTTGCTTTGCAACCTTTTTACTATGGCTTCGCGCGAAGAAAGCCTCCTCAAAGAAATTCAGCTTCACTACAAAGCTTGAACTGCGCTTTCGTTGACGAAACACACTATCTTGATCCGATTCGAAGGGCTGGTGAGGATCCCAATCAACAAACTCATGCGGGAATTTCAAAGCATCTGCGATTCGCAGCACCAGTCCGATAGGATTTGTCATGGATTTCGGAGATTTTGCTTCGCCCAACAGCTGTTCTAATGCAGATAATTTTTCATCATTTAAAGAACTTAACAGTTCCGATAAACGGGCCACCGTAAGTGGATTCGTTGGAACTGCCGGAGCGCGATACAGCAGCGTATTTTTTGCGCTTTCGTATTGGGGCAATTCTGGAGAATCCTTCTGGGCTGGCTGCAACGTCGCTTCTTCAACCGGTTCTTCCAGATTATCTTTAGTTTCAGATTTTATTACACCAACAGCATCCTCAGATGCAGATGATGATGCTGGGCAGGTCGCTTCGGCCGTCTCGGATTTGGACAACGATAACAGTGCATCCACAGCTTTGCGTGCCGCACACTCCTTGGCCTGCTTTTTTGACCTGCCTTCGCCTTCATACACCACTCCGTCCAATTCCAAACGTATTCGAAAGTTGGCCAGGTGAGTGGGTCCTTCGGAAGTCGCTTCGGAAAAAGCTGCTGACAGTTGCATTTCATTTAGAATCGAGATGGGGTTCTTCTCGGGTGCGTATGCGCGGAGGAACTTCGCCACTATAGAAAGCGGTTCATCACTCTCGGTCTTGCGTTTTTTCGCTCTCGGTTTCGGGAGGTCTTCGGATGGTCCCCTTTTCAACGGCGCTTGGGCGCACACGCCTTGGTAGCCATCCTGCGGAGGATCATCGAATGTGTCCACACTGAAATCCACCACGCTAACGTGTCCATCCGTTTGCATCGCTACAGACGCCATTGCTTCACAGTAATACCTTCCCACACATCGAACACAAACAGTACGAGTACGGGAAGCGCCGCCAAAAATAAATGTTTCGGACGTTTCGAATAACTGTTGTACGTTAGCAGGTTGTCGACACCTGTGCACATTTCAAAAACGACTGACAGATATGCCGAAAAAAACTTATTGTGAGCTTTATTTCGAACTGTCGAAATTTAGTAATTTTTATTATTGTCAGTAGATTCATGTGACGTGCATTGCCGGGCGGTCAAGAACGAAAACCCTTTCCGAAGTTGTAGGCACGCACTTGAGTGCCCACTATCGACATCTGTGTCCGGAATGCGAGTATCGAAGGTTGTCCAAAAACATTTCCAGCAGCAAATTTTAAGCCAACTTATATGTACTAATTCAAACGTCAATTAAACGAATCAAACATGCAAGGACAACTTCTCACAGTATGAAGTTTGAATTACACAACTTTTACCAGCCTTCGCGGAAAGCTGTCTCGAAACTTTTTTAATTGTTTTCATCGGTTTTGGGGTAAAACTCCATTCACAAAAACGTTTGAAACCTTTACAAACTGAGCCGACTAGCTACAGACAGGATTCACATGACGTCTTCAGCACAAAAAACGCACTCATACAACTCTGTACAGGGATAAGGGAATGCGGTAAAAATTAATTCACCTGACCCTAAAATGCAGCATGTATTAAGTTCTTACACAATCTCAAGTATACGAGTACCGTAACCATACAGTGTGAGTTATCTCAATATGACTGCATAATACTTCTGCGGTAATCAGCGTTGTTTGGATGCCGGTCGGTATCCTTTATCAGCACCACTCATCATCTTCCCGGCATTAACTGTAACATTGCCCACATTGACCATATGCTGATACTGTGGATAAGCTGTCGCCATTCTTTGACCAGCCTGTTGTGTCAAAGGACTCAAGACCTACAAAACAATTCGATTTCAGACTACGCTGGAAATTAGCACAGGAATATTGTGGATTTATCAGGAATCAGCAACGCGACAATCCATTTAAAACGATGTAAAATACAAAAAAGTGACACGATTAGAACAAAAACACTCACGTTTTCCCAAATCCAAGTTGCAACTTCGTCGATTGCTTGACCAACTTCGCGCGCACTACCCGTCAGGCGGCACACTCCCCAAGTAACCACAGCCGTAATGACAACACCCATAACCAGTGCGAAGAAATTGGCATAACGAAGCAATCCAATCAGGTCCAAAAATCCCGAAATCACATACAATACCACAATGACCACGAACAAGGTCGCCGGTGTTCGGAAGGAACTAAAGAAGTTTTTGCTTTCGTTGTGCTTCATAAACGATCCGTATGCTGCGAACAGTTCGTCCTCCAATTTCTTGAGATAGCTAGCGCTGAATTCATCACCGCCCATTTTCGGGATATCCTTGAATCTCTGCACAGCCGCACCCTGTATCAAGGTATGCTCATGTTCCAAGCTCTGGGGATTAAGGTAAGGCTGTTCCCCACCACAGATCTGTAAACATCCATACCATCAACAACTGCTATTCACTTGCAAATCGCTTTAGAGTGACCAAACCAGTTAATACTCACAGCTTCCATCCGCTCCATATACAACTCTCTAGCAGCATTCACAGCGGACAAATTATTTGCTTCAGCTGTCGCCTGTATCAAATCCATACACTTCGTAAATAAGTCGGGTGGCAATAATATTTACAACGCACCTCTAACATGGATTTCGGTTCAGGGAGTGTATCACTTTGATAGATTTTAATGTAGGACTGCAAAAAATCACAGTAAAACAAACAGAAACTCTCGGGCGAAATATTTCAGCCAACCTTAAAATATTCCAAAAGTTCGCGACCAGTAATTTTCTGGCCATTAATTTCTTTGGGCACCAAATAAGCTTGACTCAGAACTAAAGGCATCAATTCGACCAAACACCGCTTGAAGTCCGCTTCAATGTCTGCATTTAAAAACGGTACGTGAAAGCACAGCATCGATTTGAAATTAATTAAAACATCAAATAACCTGATAATCGACCATCGAACTTCGGATTCGTAGCAACTCTTAATCCAGGATGGGGCATTAGGAAGCACTGAATTTTGTCAAAGCAAGATCTGATATGCCGTCGTAATTGTTGCAGTTCAGGATGCTGCCGATCAGATATCTACCACATAATATCCACTATCAATCAGCAGAATTAACACCACCGGCCCACGGTTATTATACCTGCAGTCGCTTTTCCAGAAGCTCTTGCCCTCCCTTAATTCCGTAATCACTTTCGTAAGGGAAGCTCCAGTCACGCACTAGGAATATCAACTCCTGAAATGGTTTCGCAGTGCTTTTCTCCATAGCCAAACGGCCGTATTCCGTGAACAGCTGGAGATGCTGCAAGTCATCTTCCTGGATGTTCGCAGACAGATTATACATCTACAAAAAAATTCTGATTTCACAAATCACGAAAAACTAGCAGACTTATGACCACTGGCAGACCTGCACGGAACTGATCATGGTGCTCAAAGCAAATACAGTGGCACAGTCTTTGACAGTTGATTCCGTATCGAAGGCACCCTGAGTATCCATTATGAGCACTACAACTTCTTCGCCGTTCGGTAACTTCCGAAAGAACGGCTCATTCCAGAGAAGAATTCCTGTTGTGTCCCGTTCCGATCCGCCTCTCCAGTGGAAACCAGTTAACGCTTGGTTTTCATTTCCCAGCCAACTACCACTTCGTAATTCCTGCGAAGAAATGTTCCGAATAGGAACAGACTGGTGGAACGTGCAAGGTTACCATACTCCATCCAAATATCACATCACAAGCGCTTTACGATAAACTATTACAGTAATTATCGAGCCTCACAAACTCAGACGCAGCGAAAAGTGTAGACTGTAGATTTTAGAACGCAAACAGCCGGGATGAAACACAGACATTGGTATAAAAACGTTTTCAGCAATGAAGGTGCAAACGATTAATAAAACAGCAAATTTGAAATTTCTCGTCATTCACCAACCAAGCTGGTAAGAATGTCTTCAATGTCATAATTAAGCTGTTTTTGTTTCTAACTAATTATTTAAAATTAATAATATTGCACGAAAAGTGTTTGTGAAATTTACTCGTATTTTAGTCAAATCGAAGGTTGACTTATACTTTAGTAGGCAATAGTCAATAAAATGACTGTGAAGCAAACTGTTACGTCTTATGGGCTACGAGTTAACTAAAAGGATTAATTAAGGAATTATAATTGTTCCGCTATATATTAACACGATTACGAGCTCTTACGATTAACCCTTAACGAAATGAAAGCTGCTCAGCGCGCACTTACTTCTTCTGAAAGGCGTTCCCCTGCTCTTAAGAAGCGGAGCATGAAATCAAGAAGGAAGCTTTTTCCTTTCCGAAACGCTCCGGCGACGGAGATCAAGACAATCCTTTTGTTCACCACATCCTTGCGCAAGAGCAAATCGCTAAGCGCTTCCTCGTCCAAGGCGAACGTATGGTCATCTTGAGCGATGACAATCTGCAACGGAGCAGGTCCAGACACTTCCTCATCCACAAGCGACGGCATTTCCGTAATGAGTGCGAGTAATTCCTCGTAATTGGCCTTCACACCTAAACCACAAAAATGGAAGTTCTGGTGTGCAGCATACGAATTCCCAGTTTCTAATTCAATGTGATCAGCCAACGACATAGTATCTTCCGTCATCCACCAGATCAACTAAATCACCACCAGATCCCCATAGTCTGGATACTGTAACAATTTAGAAATTATTCGCTGTTATGTTCTGTATCATCTAATAAGCAAAAGACAATGAGAATAATTGAGAGCATTTCTATGTAAAACCAGTCCACTTCAGTACAAGCTTGGCGGACAGATTAAGGAGCAAGAAAGATCGCTGATGATGTAGAACGAATGCACATCGCCGTACTGAAAACGTCAGACTGATTGAAAGCGAAAGTTTGGGTTTCAACACAGCAGCTGGCTATTTTTCAGTTGTTGCTCATTTAAATTTAGCTCATCAAGCTATCAAGCGCACTTTCTGCTAAAAGGTTGACTGTGCAACAACTAAAGAGCTCAGCTGGAGACCAAAGTAATTTGAGATAGCGTACCACGCACTTTAAAACATGGCACCACTGTAAAGAACATGTGAGACTGTGACATAACTTCGGAAGAATGAAGAATCTATCCCTGACATTCCCTGCCCCGAGATGAACATGTTCGACAGCACTGCTGCGAAACATTCTGGGAACCATACGAAGGAATATGACGGAAAATACTTACCGATGATAAACTTTACCTACAGGAGTAACAGGACTACCACAGCCACGTACCGTGTCCGAACTCAAAATGAAACAGGCTAAAACAGTATACACTGCTAGTCAAGGGTGTTAATTTGCCCGAGCACAATTGAATATAACACTGATGAAACGGAAGTGAATTTTAAAGGCAAACAAAAGCACAAAAATCTTTCTATCACAAAAGAAACAATTTGAATGAAAATAATTGTTAATTTTGTCGCTCACAGCTGGCTGCGGGTAGGCATTAACCACTACGAGTACCTAAATGCCAAAAATAACGTACACTGACGTTCTGAAAATGAATGAATATCCAGGTGGCAGCCAGCCAATGAAGTTAACGAACGCCTCACCGTCAGAGAATTGGTGGTGCTTTTCGCTCAATGCAGACCGCGGCCACTCAGCGCAAAATTACTTACTACTACCTTACTTAAATTACTTACTTACTAATTATTACGCAAAATTATTTACTTAGTGAGCGTAAGCTCAATTTACAGACTTTGCTACCACGAGTACTCTACCGTTAGTAACAACAATAATACGTAGATTAAATTTTAAGATAAGTACTGTGATAGATACTGTGATACTACTACATAAATGGAATTACCGTTGTACGATGATCTCACGAATTATTATTAAATACTGCACACTTAATTTTATTTGCAATATTTACACAGCGAGCTTCGCTCAACGAAAACTATCAAATGAAAATTTTGTCCCAATTAACCAAGAGATGGGACTGTAAGCAAAACACTTGTGACGGCTTACCATTAGTACGAGTACATACACAGCGTAACCCGTGGGCCAGTGGCACCTACAAAGCATCGTTTCCAAGTAATTCACCTTTAAACGTGGAACAGAAAACACTTTGTCAATTTACAGTTCACAAGGTAACATAATAAAATTACAGATCATGCAGTTGTATATATGCCTGAAATTTCGATACAACCGAAAAACGGGGAAATCACAGAAATCGCAATATTTACTTAAAGATGTTATGGTTACAACTTACAGTCACAATGTCCGTACCGGTAGGTATTCAAACAGTAACTTTTCCTTTCAGGAATCCATAATTTATTGCGAGCGCTTTCGCAAAAACTTAAGCGAGACGAATGTTTGCAAAGAGTACTGAATTGTAAGTCGTATGAGTAGGTAACACGGGTGATCATGACCTCCTCGGTTATAGACTCATTTAATAATATCAATAATTATTGCAGACTCATTCGTAATTATTGTGAGTGTCGGTTTATTTTCATGATGCACTTCTGGAGTGGTAAGGTACTTACTGTACTTCAATTTCAGGAAAATTTTAAATTTATAATTCACTACATCAAAATGATCCTTTTCTCCAGGCATCCTGTATATTTTGCAAAAAAAATTTAATTTACTTATAACATTTGGGAAAGTGAATTAATTACCAAAACGTACAGCATTGTATACGTATTTATTGCATTGTATTGTATCTATATCTATATACGTATATTGTATACGTATTTATTAAAATTATATATGTCATTAGTCTAGTGGTTGGGAATGAACACAGACTGATTAGTGTGACAATTCTTGGGGGTTTTGTTATTTGTATTATTGCTGAATATGGTCAAAGCGAGGAACAGTTGTTATTAAAATTTAGTTAATACTGAATGTACGAGAACAGTTTACAGTAAAAGGATCAGCTGCTGAGGCTTTGAATGATCGCATAGCTATACAGTACTCACTGACTACTGTAATTCGCAAAATTCTCTAAATATTAATAATAACTATTAATAATTAAAAAAATTACAATTGCTAAATTCTTGATCTTGTACAATTCGCTCGAATCCAGCAAACATGTAGTAAGTACGATGTACTGCAAATTACAGCAATCAATAAAAATAATGCGGATTAAGATTTGAGGGTCCTTTCTGTGCAGAGAAGAGTTTACAAAACTCGGCTTGTCCACATAATTTTGTAATACACGTACGTGAACCTATAACGTGATACTACGTCAACTACGTACGATGGTTCCGTTTCCCATGGGCAACGTCGCACTACATTACAGATCAGCATTCAGCAGCACCCTTGAAAAATTTGCGAACCAGGCTCGCTCGTGTACTTATACTCTTTCCGGTTTTCACACAAGGCTCCGCCCGCTTCGACTAGGATTACTTATCGAAATGCTGATTCGGTGCTTTTATGTTTCCAGCACCGCCAGGCAGCCGCCTAGTACTGAGCATACGCGGGCAGTACGTTCTCTGAGCCCAGCCTTAACCGGAAACGAACGTGAAGTATCGTGAACGAAAACGACAGCTTAAATCTGTTCGGATTACGTAGGTTTACGCGCACACGTAAAACGCCACAGAACTCCCTGGTAAAAACATGCTAAACGGTCTCGTGGTTTAAAGCATGTCAATGGCAATGCAGAAATTTTAGATGGGTTGACGCAGCGGTATCTATTCACGGGCGTGAGACTGCGACGTACTGTACATATCAGCCCGCATAAAACGCGGTTGGTACTAACGTAACACATGCATGCGTTCCAAGCGGTGGGTACGCCACAGCAAATGTCTCGAAGACCATGGCACGACAAAAACTCGTGTCTGAGTCTGTCGTTCGATAAAATTCTTGGAGACCAAATTAGTATGGCTTAGCTGCACTTATCCACGTACAAGAAAAACTGCTGCTGGCATTTGGGTACAGCTGGATACGTGTTAACAAGGCACTGCAGCATCATATTTAGAGTTCTTGTTTGACCATAAAAAAGTTTACCTCATGGCTGGTCGTAGCTGCGTCAGCTGATTTGCGTTTGATCCATTCATAAGATCAAGAGGTAAGCAATGCAGCTCTCTTTCCGCTCGATGTATGAAAATCCCACTTATTTCGCAAATCTGCTGTTTACAATGATAATCTAAGGTCAAGGTTAAAATATTGGAATACACAAAGTTGAATCTCTTTTCCTGTAACATGCAAATATCGCGTATTCTGGCCTAATTACTATATACATTATATGTACAAAATGATAATATTTTATTTGTAATTTGTTAAGTAATAGTTGATGGTTATAAGTGTACGAGTAGGTTTAATTTTAATTATTACTAGCTCAAATAACTTCTGCGGATGATATGGCCATACGGAATACTATTAATCATGATTTATGTGTACGAGTTTGTCTATATAGATATTTGCTAACTTGTGTGCAGTAATTGCACAATTTATTAGATATAATGCTGTACTTACATTTAAATGCGCACCTTCCTTTCTGTTTATATTATATAGCACGGGTATTACGTGGCACACTAATTGGCAATTTGGCAGTAAATGTAATTGCTACTGGCCTGTGGAATAAACTAGTGATAGTTTTTCCTCTACTGCATAGAACTGATTCATTATGAACCAAATTTGTGCTTTTTAACTCTCAGTAACTACTAACCAGCATAATTTGTTCGTTTGTTTATTATTGTGTCACTAATAATCAATGATAAACAATTTTGCGAAATTGTGAAAATGCAGCCGGTGAGTACAGCGTGACATTACATTAATTTTACAAATAAGTACATGTACGAGTATTTGGAGTCGCAGTCCTGTTATGGTTTCCAGTTTCCTTTATCAAATGCATTTTATCGTTATGTGAATGTTCGATGTAAACCGCTATGTTGCGCATGGTATTACAGAATCTGTCTTTTTTGTTTGGAAAACTATTTTATTTTAATGTTGGATAAAATATAAAATGATTATTAAATTTGTTAAGTAGCAATTCTTTTGCCTTTTTCAAAACCGAAATAATTTAATGAGTGCAAAATTAACCAGTGCATCATGCGAACCCTGGAATCATTTACGGATTGATCAAGGTCCCAACTTCCTACTCATCGATTTCAGAAAAAAAATCGATATTAAACCAGCGTACCTGTTGTGTGAAGGCGACTCTGTGCGCTCTCTCACGAAGCCTGGAATAATGACGACTTATAGGATCGAATGCGCTGCGCACGTGCTTATTTCGCGTTTTCTTTATTCCTGATCATTTGATGATGAAAATTTTCCAGTACATATTGCACCTACTTTATGACGAATATTATTGTTTTAATGGAATGGCGACAATTTATAGTGAACCAGAATGACCGTTTTAAAATTTGAAATTTATTTCTAATTGTCGTATTAATAAATAAGTGCCGGCGTGCTCCTTTATGTTTAATTATGTTTCCATATTGGTGCCAATTGTGTACAATTAAGTTAATGTGGTGTAGTTTAGTAAGGGAAATTGTTAGTACTTGTAGAAGCTAAAAATTAATATGCACAAGGGTACTATGTACAATACAAAAAATCCTTATTTGGGTTACGGATACTGCGCATTGACATCCAATGTCCAAAATAATATATTGATTACTTACATTATTATATTTGTAATTTACAGTACGCGTACACTCTACGCCGTACAGTGTACATTGTGGAGTATACAGATATTAGCAGAAGTTCTATCTATATAAATAACAGCCCTTAATCAGTAGTGCCTGTAGTGGCATCCTTGATCCCATGTGGCTATTTTCTAAACTCTAATTGTACCACGCAATAATAGTTACGTACGTCGCGTTTATACGGGAACCGCAGAACATACCGGTGCACTGCTCCGTGGAGTCTATTAGATTAGATACGTCCTAACAGTCCTGTAATATAAATTATATAAAATGAGTACGTATTAAAAAATTTTTTGGTGCAATGCCACGCATCAGACATGGTCGCTTGGTTAATTGTGAGCCCAATCAGTACTTGTTAATTAATATTGTTTTTGGGTCTTTTTTAACTCGCGCTCTGAAGACTGTTTCGCTTTACGAAAGTTTTCTTAATTAATATTGCTTATAACAAGACATTAACAACTAAGACTAGAAACAGGTTGAAACTAGAAATACTACGAGTAACTTTCAATTTATCTCTTTGTTCCACTTCGAGTTTCCGATGCCGAAATGGTTCAAAGGTACCGCCATAGGGACTGTACGGTCTCTCATTGTTTCATTGCGGCGTTTGTGTGTGTGTGTGAACTAGTGAATTGCCGTAATTTGGCACATGAACATCCGAATTTCATATTCCACTCCCTTCTTTTGCAGACAAACAGAAGAACTGCTGCCTACGTACTCACCATCAGCCTCGGACTACGTACACGTTAGAATCCAAAAACGCGATCTAATCGTCGTCACTTGTATGCAAGCGATTAAAACTCATGCACAGCGTATCTACGTACTCCATTGAATGACGAAACTTATCTCGGATCTTTTTATCGTGGAATTCGACCTGTGTGTTGACGACGGTGACCTTGTGGCATTCAGTGCCAGCTCAGTATGCAAAACGGCCAAAATCCACTCTACACTGGCGGCATACCGCGAGCAAATCCTAATTCTTTGTACACTGGAGGTGGGCCACGCGAAAGTGATGCTGTTAGTATAACAAACATTTTTGCCCATCATCCCCATTTGGGCCATCATCAACCTGGTAATTCTCCCTCTAATCCCAGTATGCCCGCGGATTCTTTATCAGGATCATCGAGAGATCATCATGCGTTGCTGCATGGCCGTTATTCCAATAAAACGGCTCCCGGTCTCAATGGAATTATCGTGCCTGGATTGCCGTCGTTTGGGCATGCACCACAGAGAACCTTCGATTCGCCTATCGGCAGCGGCGGGAGTATTGTTCATCATGGCGTAAGCAGTAATATTCACACGGCGAACCTTAATGAAGCTTTTGTTAACTCATTTGGACTGTCGCCGGGATCGTTTTTGACTCCGTACTTCGCGGATCGCACCACCCGCACGCCCAGTCCATTGCATCGCTTCCTGCAGAATCAGCTGCTGGGTGGTCATCACGCAAACAGCAGCACTGATAATCATTTCAGTCATGACGATTTATTGCTGGATTCATCTGGCTCGTTTCGCGGATTAAATCTGTCAAATAATTTTGCACATAGTGACCGACAACATGCTGATCCTTTGATGGGCTCCGGGCATCTAAGTCGATCTCTGGATGATTTATCGGCGATGCTGGATAATTCCAATGACAGCGGTAAGGTATTTGTGTTAGGGTTCGACGGTTCGTTTGTCTTATTTCTGCGCGATACATTTAAGGTCGACAATTTGCAGAATCTTAAGATTCTGCATCTTAAGATTCTTATGTCCAGGTTTAGCACAAAATTCTCTTGTAATTGATTAGTAGTGCCTATTTTTTCTCGCGAAGTACAGCCTTGGTGATCCTTCTGGGTTTCATATCTACAGTAAAAATTATTAAATTTTCAATCGTACTTTTTGACGATTTTCCGTTTTTAATCTATTCTTTGAATTAGTTAGGCACCGTTAAACGTCAAACTTTCCGTATATTTTATTGCGCAAAAACATTTTCGTCACGAACCGCCGAATATAATAATTTAAATGGGGTTTAATTGCAAAGAACATTTTGATCAGTTGATCTATAGTTCTGCTGGCCAGTGGCCAGCAGAACCAGTTTTGATATTATACCAGTTTTGTTAATCCATGACATCTGTACGATGTATCCCAGTCTCCCAGACTGAATTATATGTGACCTGGAGAAAATATACGTATTAGCGATTAGCCTATCTAACGAGTAAATTACATTTGCGGATACATACTAGAACAGTTGAACTATTTAAGGTGTGGTGAATCATTCGCTGCTCTTCATCGGCGTGTTTTTTTCTAGTAATTAAAATTTCAAGATCTATATGATTACTGGGTTTCGTTTTGCAAAAAAATGGGAATGGGCGCTTCGGGAAAATTCAGAATTATGCAGAAATACATGTGATCAACAAACACTGGGTTCGTTATGCATATTCACCATTTTGGGAAACTCAAAGCAGACGTCCGGCAGATCCTCCGGTAAAACTGGTAACCTTTACACTACGGGGGTAATCAGGGTTGACCGAAGAGCGGTGCATGTGGTAACTTGCAAGTGTTTATCGTAACTTTCAAGTTGCAGTTGGCACCTTCGCAAGTTCACACTCGTATAGCGGTGACGCTTTGGCTTGTTCGCGATTGGGGCTGCCTGCCGCTTTGTCGTGCATGGCGCTATCCCATCGCGATCGGTACATGCATATTAATGATATTATTGCGTTCATTCTGAAGCTGCTTTGTCAGATACTTTCGGTTTTTGGTTCGTAATTTAATTTAATGAATTTTTAAATAATCAGTGCTTTTACTTTTTTTCCGATGAAAGAAGCGAAACCGGTTGGGAGAGTCCTGCCCTTATGGTTAGAATTATAACAGAAAATTTTATAACCAGAGGCTTCAGCTTTACAATCAGAGGCTTCAGTGGCAGCACTGCCGCTGTACGGCAACACGGCAGTGCTGCATCTCTTCTACTTATGTACATCATAATGAACAACAGTACCGAGTCTACTGATTGGTGAATGCACCAGAAGTATCGATGAATAACTGCGGCGTATCTGGCCGGCCCAATTGCGTAATCGCGTACTGTTTATTGATTGGAGCTCAACACGCGCATTTCTTTACAGTGGATTTGTCGATGCCGCATCGGCATAGCTCTTCCCCAGATGAGTCAATCAACAATGATCTCACGCAGTCGGAAAGTGTGAGCAGTACGGTTCAAGTACGGGGTTCCAGTCGATCTACCAGCAAGCGTCGAGCTAACGGACGTACGTGGCTGAAGTCTGAACCTAAAGCACAATCATTAATAATTAAATTTTGCATTCATACGACGAGTGCGCTTTCACTGTGCTGGAGTGACTTTACGTTTCGCGACTTTCAGCAATATTTTATGTAGTACCTACATGTTGACTACTGTTTTCTTCTGAATGCCATCTCCGCAACAGGAGCACATTTTATCTCGTGGTATTGCAGGAATTGATAACAATTCGCGGACCTGTCCAACATGTGGAAAGGCCTTTGGAAATTCCTCTGGACTTGCTAAACATCGGTAAGCCAGAAATTCAAAAACTTTGTTCTGCTCGCAATAAGCGCCTTGCAGTAAGTACATTGTTTCTAATGCACGTATATATGTATGCTGTAGTAAAATCTGTTACAGTAAATGCAGCCATGCAGTATGGAGATTTGTGCGAGAGGTAGAGAACTGCAGTAGACGCTAGACAGTCAGTAACCATGTTGTTGCGCTCTTGTGTTTGGTTTTTCATCCTTTGCATTGGAAATCATCCTGGTAATTTATTTTGAGAAATCCCGTTAATTACGTAACTTGCATCTTGTAACGGACGGGCTACGTATATTTTGGAGCATGCTGATTGTTAAACTTTAAAGTATGCCTTATGCCATGGGTGGAGCTGATGCAAACTGCAAATACGTCAGTGAATCAGGATGCCATGAGAACTGAGCATGGCCTGTATGACATCATAAATTCTTTGCATTCACAGACATTATTGTAAAATATTTATGTCTGTGCTACTGTGGAAAATCCGGATACGCGTTTTTTATTTGGATAGTGGAGATCGTAACTACCTTCCCACTCACTGTTCACAGGCATGTGCAGCAGGAGAACGGTGGTTTTCTTATTGCTCTGTTATGTAATAACTGTTCGTACGTATCTTTTTACGCTATGCTTGTGACAGCCTGTCTGGTAGGCACCACTACGGTAGCATGCAAGCCGGAAAAGTATTAGCTGCCTTTGTCGGTGGTTGTGAGTATGACTTTGTATGTAGTTTGTAGGCAGATGCTCGCTCAAATTTTACCATACTTTACTATTAGGACGAAGGTGAATTGACAATGAGGTGGAGGGTGGACCAGGTTCAGCATTGTTCTGAAGTTGCAGCAGTACTTACTTCTATTATTCGCTTGCAAATTTGCATTAATTGACAATGAACTGTGAACATATTGGTGTTGAGGGATCGGAATTCTGAGAGCGTATTACAGAATGTCGATACAGTTTTACGAACGACCTTCCGTTTTTGTTTTAAAAAAAAAAAGTGTATCTTTTATTGTGTGTGCTAGACATTTCGTTTAATTTGTGTGTTTTGAACTTGAAACCATTTCTTGCTGCAGTGGATTGCTTAGCAGTGTATTTTCTCTGGTTTGGATTGTTTGGAAGCAGTTGTGAACTTGTGACACCAAAGTTTTCATTATTCGGCAATGAAAATTCACATGTGCAAATTAGTTTGCCTAAATTAGTGGGATCACACGTGTTTTGGCGAAATTCTGCAGTTCCGTTATTGTCTTCTTGCTTGTTCAATGTTCAGCATTCGCAAAATCTCGTACGAAATGTACGAGATAACGTCTCTGCGTGTGAATGGTGTGTAAACAAAATATCGGAACGACTGATCGGCACAGAAGCTTTACTTCTTATGGGCGTAGCGAACACCGAAGACAACATTCTGGCTAAACACACGGTCGTCACAACAAACAGCAGGAGAAACACGAACAAACCGCACGAGGAGAGGCGGACAAACAAGCAGCTCAACGCAGTGAGCCCCCTCCACCGAAACAAGGGAAGCGGCGGGCGGGGGAAAACGAAAGTGAACTAACTGTACATTCTGCTCTGCAAATGCTTATATACTATCCGCACATTCTTACTCTTCCACATACAAAGACACCGCACTCGTCCACAACAAGTCATTAGCAGCTAGCATGCAATTATTACAGTGACTGCCTTTTTGTCTTTCCCCAGGTGGTCAGATGCAGATTGGGTGGTCGTTATCCATGTCTCTGAGAAACGGTCACGCGCCGTTATAAACAGATTTCCATAGAAATCTTTCTCATAACGTCTCTGCGTGTGAATGGTGTGTAAACAAGAATATCGGAACGACTGATCGGCACAGAAGCTTTACTTCTTATGGGCGTAGCGAACACCGAAGACAACATTCTGGCTAAACACACGGTCGTCACAACAAACAGCAGGAGAAACACGAACAAACCGCACGAGGAGAGGCGGACAAACAAGCAGCTCAACGCAGTGAGCCCCCAAACGAAGCCCAAGGAAAACCCGTGGCTGCAGCACGGGCAAAGACAAGACGACGGTCGTTGTCGCGCGCGATGTACTCCTCAAAACACGCGCTACGCCAGTTACCCTGCGCTTTTATAGCATCTGGTGACGCTCCACATTCGGACGCGAATGTTGCACCACCGCGCCGGAAGGAATGAATACTGAAACTCGCGCCATCGTACCCAGCGGCATTTAACGCGGTATGTAGTAACTGGGTAAAACGATCCGCTGACAGTTCTTTCACCCGACCACTGTTATCGCGGTAACAGAAGACTGATCGGTGACCTTTATGCACGCCAGAGTCGCGCAGTTCCAAGAAGGCTTTTGTAGGACAAAATGCTGAACCGGCGCGCATCGGAAGTGGAATAAGAATACTATGTCCAATATATTTGTTTGTCTTCATTACCGGCGCCGAAACGAACAGGTTATCTTTTCCCACCGTGACATCCCGAAAGCAAATGCAGTCGATTATTCGGTGCGGCAATAGTTACTCTTCGCAACAGCGAAAAGAATGCAAATAGGCATGCCGCCCGTACTTCCGCGGAAGTCGGTGTAAGGCACCGTAGATGCCTTTAAATGCCGTGTTAGAATAGGAGGTTTTTTATTTGGAAATTCCCTGCGCTGACGGCGCACTCCCTCCAGTGCTTGCTTAATCACAAAATGCTTAAGATCGGGCGCTGGTTTGTTACGAAAATGATGTAACGTCACAATGGCTGCCACATAATTTTGCACCGACGAGAATTCAAGGCTGCGCGACAGCTCAGCAATATACAACCCGATGGTGCGCGGCTTCGCCGGTACTGGCTGTAGTCGATGACGATCGCAAAAATTTAAGTATCGGCACCATTGAACTTTTCTAGTGCGAAGGGATGACGGCGCCAAAGCATTCAGCCGCAACGAGTTCAGGATCCGGTTGAGATTGGCTGTTTGGGTACCTGGAACAGTAGTCACCTGTCAGGCGCAGTGAACTCTGGCCACGGTTAATGCGGTCAACAACGGTTGACTTATAGATGTCAGCAGTGGTGATGCGGCTCATAGCATCTGCAAAACTGTTATCGGCGCCAGGAATGTGGCAAGCGTCCACATAAAAATCATGCCGGCACGAAGCATAAAATACTAACTTCAACCACTTTAATGCCTCCAGAGATTTGCAAAATCCGTTTTAAAAAGGCAACCGTGGACGAATTGTCGCTTTCAATCAGTATCGTGCAACCACCGAACGCCGGTGCCCAGACCAAGATCGGGATGCAAGCGGCAACCATTTCCAAATAATTTATGTTCGTTCGTAACCATGACTAACCAGCGGCGGACGAATAAAATTTGTCAGTACGCGTAGGTGATGGGAGATATCCGCTAAATCCCAACTGCCGGCTAACCAGCTATTACCCAATGTAGCACCAAACCCAGAAAACGACGCGTCTGTAGAAATGCGAATCACGCGGCGTGGCTTTGAGATTACACATTGCGTCATACCATTGCTGCGGTGCGACTGTTTGCCACCAAACCAACTCACTGCGGATTAGTGCAGTTACCTCACTCTGTAGGAGGCCGCTGCAGTTGAGTAACTGCATCTATAAAATTCGGGAAAACGCCCGTGCGCCTTTCACTGCTCGCGACGCAAAACAAATCAAACCCAGTAACGACTGCAGTTGAATTTTACTAAGTTTTTCATTATTTTCAAATTCAGCGCATTTAGACACTAATTTCTGTATCTTCTCTTCTGGTAGTTCCACTTTCTGCGCCACGGAATCGATAATTATGCAAGCAAGAAAACGTACTCGTTGCGTAGATAACCTTGTCCCAATTAATAACGAAGCCGAGCACAAAGTAATGCTATTAGCGCCTGCTGAGCGGCCGCGCATAATTCGTAGTTGTCAGCGATCACCAGGAAATCGTCCAGGTACGGCACAATTTTAAACCACGTCTACGAATCATCCATGCTACGGCGGTAGATAATCGATGAAAAATACTTGGAGCACAAGACAGGCCAAAACTTAAAAGTTATCGACATAGTATTCATCAACTCTGTCAAAACGCCAACGAAAACCCAGCAGCTGCCGGTGGCTGAAACACGGGTACTGAACGGTACGCCGATTTTAAATCAGTGACAGCAAAATAACACCCTGGTTTACATTCAGCTAATGCGGAATCCAACGTGGCAAAGAGAAACTTTCACAAACGGCATAAGAATTCAGTGAATTAATTTCCGGGCGACTGCAATCAGTTATCATGAAACCCGCCATCTTTTTTTTTCGGTACTGCGCCTATAGATTGAACACGTATTGGTTTCGTAACCTGCCTGCTTATTTTGCCAGCACGTAACTCGTCACTAAATATTCTATCTAATGAAAATTTCGCGTCACCGTGAACTAACTGTACATTCTGCTCTGCAAATGCTTATATACTATCCGCACATTCTTACTCTTCCACATACAAAGACACCGCACTCGTCCACAAATAAGTCATTAGCAGCTAGCATGCAATTATTTCATACAGCGACTGCCTTTATTCCTCTCTACAGGTGGTCAGATGCAGATTGGGTGGTCGTTATCCATGTCTCTGGGAAGCGGTCACGTCGTTATAAACAGATTTCTATAGAAATCTTTCTCATTTTGTACGCAAAATCGCGTACGAAATGTACGAGATTTCGCGTTTTCTTTTATAAATACTAGTACTACAACGCATATCACACAGAGCGAGTCAACCCAAATCGTAATAAATATCAAGATTAAGTATCGAATGTTTTTCGTGTACTAGAGTGTCTTGGATTAAAGTACTTGCGTCTTGCTCCCCCATTTTAACTCTATGATATCATCGGCGCGTGCCATCACTGCCATGTACAGTACTGTAGTTGATTGTGCCATTCGTATGTATGTAAGTAAATACGGTACTGTCCGTGCAAATTTTCGGCGGCACGCCTCCCGCGTCGGCACCTTCACAGCGGCTCTGCAGTCTGCGCTCTTCAGTAGACCGACTGTTACTATTTTGTAACCAATTCGATTATCTGAGTAATTCATTCGCGTGCCATTCGCATTGTTGTTGATAGGGTCCTGCTACCGTTTGCACGTGAGCACTATTAACTTGTAATAGCTCGTTGGTTCCTAATTGGTGAGAAATTACGTCTTAGTAGCGTTTGTGCTAATAATTACTGTATTGTTTTATTCGTGGGATTTCATTGCACTAGCAGCGTTACAATTTAGCTTGAGTTTGGTGTCAAATTAAGGTAACCTTTGCAGGTTAACTCACTCGGACGAGCGGAAATACATGTGCAACATTTGCATGAAATCATTTAAACGACAGGACCACCTTTCTGGTCATATGTTAACACATTCTGACAAGAAACCATTTGAGTGTCCTGTGGAAAGTTGCGGAAAGAGCTATTGCGATTCTCGCTCATTGAAAAGGCATCTGGATCAGCACGAGCCGGTAAGTGAATTAGTAAAAACGACTTCACAGGAATTATTTACAACCAGTTGAAATGGAATAAAGTAAAATAACGTCCGCTAAAAAATTTGTTTTAGTGGTTGGTGCCTGAACACGTCAGGTTGCTATTTAACGATACTTCGGGAGAGAATGCGGAGGAACGGCGTTCCCAAGTATCCTTAAGTGGACGTGATTTTCATTTATCTGGGTATCTATCTACATCCTAAGTCCTTTATATTTCGCGCTTGTGGCGAATGATCGGTTTAAACATAAAACAATCATTGCAGGAGCGAGTTGAAGCCCTTTGTCTGCCAAATTTGCCGAAAGAGGTTCAAAAACGGCCCCGCTCTAAACGGACACATGCGATTACACGGAGGATTTTCCATTAAAATGAAGGTGAGAATTACTGTGGAAATACAACCAGGGAGTAGAGGGATTTTTTTTGTTCGCGTTGATTGGCATTTGGAAATCCATATAATTCCATGTTTTTGAATAGGGTGGCTGCGATCTGTACGCGTCCGCTCCGCCTTCGGTGCAACCGCCAAAGTCTATCGACTCATCGTCGCAGAATTCGTGCGATCTGAACTTAGCGGACGTATCTCCACATTCCGTACAGCCACACTGGAACCCAGCCTCGGAGCTGTCATCAGAGACTGCCTCTGTCAATGACCAGCTGAGTTCTCTCAACCAGGTGGCCGTTATTCGCCATGTTCCGCCTGTGATTGTCCATTCAGCACTGCCCCCAGTGAAGTCACTGGCCTCTCCTGTAAATAGTCCCACAACTGCTACATTTTCATTCTTCCCAGTCAGTCCGGTGGAATCACCGTCCACGCCAATACCCCCGCAGCATCCGCAGTTCCCAGCCACTCCTAGTACAGCACCGGCGACGTTGGCGCTTCCCGTGGTGGCCGTAAACGGGAAGATTCGGAGGCATTCCGATTCGGATAATCTTGTCCCACCCAAACGACTTAAACCAACGGTGGCTGACCGGTTACGACATACCATCAACATGAATATTGTCAGGCGCATGAACAGCGCTTCCCCTGAGCGCGATTTCAACAATCCCTTCGGTTTTAAACCGGGACCACTGGAGGTAAAACTACTGATTTTCTCATTTCTCTCTGCTAATGGTCTAATGCGCTACTGATTGTGGATACTGCTAGTCTGCTAATACCAGTGGACGAAAATATATGAATCTAGCAATAGAAGTGCACGTTGCACTTAGCTTATACGTGTATTATGTGTATCAGTTATACTCGTAAAAGCAGTATTAAAAAGTGTATGATAATTTGCAGGATTTCGACGTGGTGGATGAGAAACCACCCCAATCGTTTTTGTTTCCTGTTCCCGCTCTTTTGGAATCAGCTCCTTATGATGGTAATTTACATGGCAACTTTCCACCATCCAACGAGGATCGTTTGTCCAGCGACGTCTTTCTTGCGAAATCCCCTGAATCCGTTACATCATCCAGCGGGAGCAGTAGTGTGGATTATCCAGAACCGACCAGTTCGATTAGTCCATCTTTATCGTTGATTAAAAAACAGAAACGCGTAGGTTCATCTGATTTTCCGTTGGACTCATTTTTTAGTGAGACATCTGTTTTTGTTTTGCGATAGCGTCCTGAACCTTTGTACATACCTCCATATGCTAGCACTGCTCAACCGATGTCGTTGTCGCCCGGAAACGAAACTATCTCTATGACGCACAGCATGAGTATGCCGTCGCCACTACAGACGACGCTCTTGACACCACCGCCGGTCAGTTCGCTTCTGTCGCCTGGTATTGGCTACCAGAGTCGATTGCGTTCCCCTCTGCCCCGCGAAGGAACGGAAAAGCACATCTCACCACCTCCTTATACTCCTCCGCCAATGTTGTCTCCCAATCGACATGGTTCTGGGTTGTTCTGGAACGTGATCAGTGGCAGCGGATCCAATGGCACCACGACTCCGCAGTCGGGAGCCAAATTCAATCTTCTGAGACGAAGTTTGTGCTTTGCATTGGTTCTTTATGTGAACGAATTCTAGTTGTGACTTTTTCAGGTCTTTCGAGTTCTTCTACGGGACATTTGGATAATCAGAGTTACTTCCGACGGGCATCCACCAGCGGAAGCGTCAAAGATGAACACGACTCCCGTGAAAGTCCATTTTATTTTGGACCGGCTTTGGATGCCCCCGTCACCGACATGATGCCGTATGTGGATCTTTCATGCCTTTTTAAGCTTGTTCGAATTTTTCGCTAAGCGCGTGATATTTTTCTTACTAGGCATATTAATCTTGGAGACAGACATCAAGCGGATCTTCCTGCGTTGAATTGTGAGCACTCGGTGTAGTAAAAGTATTTGTATTGTGGAGATTTTAATCGTTATTGCTTCAGATCATCGTAACGAGAAGGAAAGTTTGCCAGAGGATCTTATGTGTGGAAACCGGATGTATTGCAGAATCTCGCCGATCAGGAAGGTGGGGAGTTTTTACAGCGTATTCAGGCTTTGTGCCATGTAAAAGGTCGTCGGTAAATCTTGGTACAGCTGCTGCTGCAGTAATTGTTCCTTCGAGTTGATTGAAGTGCAATGTCAGGTTTTTATTTTACTAGTGACACAAAGAGACTTAATTTTCGATTCATTAGTTGTTTCCGCAACAACAAACCAGTAGGCTTGTTTAATTAAGCGGATATAACAGCCAACTGGTTTTTCGTAGATGGTTCCATGCTTATTTTCTAAAAATAGCAAAAGTACTGTATACTTGGCAGTTTTTTCATGGAAGTATATTTCAGTGCGTGATTATATCGCTTTGGCTGACTCTGGCGTGGTTCCAAAAAGCGGAAGAAACACCGAGTTGGCGTATCATTTGTTGTATTTGACGTCTGGAGATGTACGTCTGTGTACGAAGGCCTTGCTTAGCACGGATACCCTATGCGCCATTGTACCGCCACATCATCCCATTCGGGAGTATCGCTACCAGGAAAGTGATCTCTGGAGTCAGGAAGAAATTGCTACATTTTCCTCAGCACTGCACAAATACGATAAAGATTTCTACTTGGTATCGGCGGCGGTACGTTCATTTGCCAGTCCCTGGTTGTAAAGAATTGTGCCGAATCTGGTTGTTAACTTTTAGGTTCAATCTAAAACAACGAAGCAGTGTGTTGAGTACTATTACTGCTGGAAAAAACAAATGCCTGATGAGTATAAACGAGTACGCGGAGCGCGTTCGCGCTTCCGACGGCAAGAAGAGCTGGTTACCCGCAGCAAAACAGCTGCTGCTCTGGCAAGTGAACAAAAAGAGTCTGCGGTGGAGCAGTCAAAACCTGTTACCGAAGCCGCTAAACAGAAAGACTCCACAGGACCGTATGCTTGTCCACAACCGAATTGTGGCACTGTAAGTGAATTAATTTTGTTACACTATTGACAGAAATTTACCCCCAGAGGCAAGTACAGCTAATTTGCCTAAAACAAAACCTGGGTATCTTCATAGGAACTGCAGATCATGTTTTCGGGGTTTTTATATTTGCTGTTAATTGTTCGTTAGTAGTGTGTTTTAAATCTTAATCTGACAAAGTTTATTTGTATTGTTATGGGTTATTTTAGCTGTTTGCTACCAAGCAAGCCTTGTCCGCACATTCTCGTGTGCATCTTCCTCGCAGCAGCAACCGTGTAGCTGCCACTTTAGACAAGTGCCCTCCGCCGGACCCAAAAGGCCAAGGAAGTCCAGGCGAAAAACCAGCCAAACGCCGAGATGCGTCACCGTACCAGGAATCTGAATCAACTGAATTTCCTTGTCGAATATGTGGAAAGTATGCCGTTTGTCGGTTATATCATGATTTAGTTAATTGATATTGCTACCAAATTTTTTTATTTCTAGGGTGTTCCAAGGAGTAAAAAGTCGTAATGCTCACATGAAAGTTCATCGTCTCACTGAGAATCAGTCCGCATCCCTTGTCAGTACTACGGCCCAGTGAGCGTGATGGGCAACGTTGACGCTCCCACTGTAGTAGCTGACAGTGATTTATATTCGTCGCATGATGGGTGTCCCTTCCGGTCAGTTTTCCTGGTCAAAATAGGAGGCCGGTTTTTGGAAAGTTCTTATTTTTTTATAATTACCTACCTCTAAGGGGGTCTTGTTAGGGCGGAGTATTACTAATCGACTGTCTTTCGTTGATGTTACTTTTTAATTGGGTGTTTAAAGAGCACAGAGAAATAGATGACTTTACATATTGTACCTTGCTAGGAATGGGTGACTGCGTTCCGGCCGCCATAGTGATTGCTGAAATTTGTATATTTTTGAGTTGTGGAACTTTGTTTATAACGGTGTTATTATTTTTCAAATTATAAGTTGTTGTTACGTTGTCTACAAGGTAATAATGAGAATTCATTAAAGCGGAGACACCAAGTTGTTTCCCTTTATTGTATCATACCGTTGCTTTCCAGGAAAAAAAAGCAAATTTACGACAGAAGCAGATAACAGTTCAATACAAAATGAAAGATTACAACGAAATATAAGAAACTAAAATACCAAAAGGGCTGAAATTGATTCTGAGATGAATTATACACAGTAGTAACGACAAATGAAAAAGTCCTTATCAAATTGACATTTGTGGTTACATGGAATTGTATGATAGCTCTCTAAAACTCTATTTGTGCATCGAAGATCTATCATAGCCAAAAATCTATCTCACACAAATTTTACACGGAATCTTAGCCAGGGCCGCTGTACACTTGCAGCTTACTGTGACTTGGATAAACAATGGTTCGAACACCCTTCCGACGCCGTAACTGCGTCAAGTCATTCAACTCCAATACAAATCAAAAATTCCAAAACAACGTTTCGCTATACGTGTAATATTCGTCCAGGCTCCCCCGCGCCATTCACCTGTCGATTCTGAGTGAGCTGCCTGGCGCGCACATCGCCACTGGGACTACCCGAACTCAACGATCGCAGATCTTCCTGTATCACACTGGCAATGGCGTCAGCCGATATCCGCTTGGATGTTGGCTGAGACCGCTGATCGATCCCATTCACGGAGCCGTTCGACGACGAACGGTATGGTGGGATGGCGTGGTGCTTCTTCAGCACCGGCACCATCACAGCACTGGGCGGAAACGGTAAGGGAAGGATATCAATGTCCGCCGCCGGCTTAACTGGGCGATCATCGTCCGAAGCGTCATCGTTCAAGCTCCCACTGAGACTGGACGAATCCGAAGGATCCAGTTTAGAACGAACGTAAGCCGGCAACTATAAGGAATATAAAAAGTGAATGTTTGCAAGGCAGGTATCATGCACGCTACACATACGGTGTGGAAATCGTGATCGACAAATCCAGCGGGATTGCACTGCAGCAAGGACAGGGCCAGGTTGCAGTCCCTGCGGTATCGTACCTGCAATTCAATAAAAACTTTATTCACCAAAATTCAGAATAAAAACGCACTATTATTTCAACAAACCTGTAAGCTACAAAGCAACGCGGTATGATAGTCCCACACAGGCAACGCTACACGTAGTGCTCACGTAACTCACATTTTCTTCCTCAAGTTGCTCCGACCGGAGTTCCGCATTGATCATCCGTTCTTGCATTGCTTCCATCTTGTTTTTCATCTCAGCTTTTTGTTCTTCACAGTTTGTTACCTGTAAAATTACAACACTTTAGCCAGCCGCAGAGATATAGGCACGTCATCGCTTTCCAGCAGTTCTTACCACTTTGAGGAGCTTGTCCTCGAGATTCTGATTCACTTTCAGTAGTCTATGGTGTGATTCCAGCAATCTAAGCAGAGAAAGCACAGAATCAATTTTTCGGTTTGCCGAAAAACGCGGTTCACGGAGAAGACCTGTTGTATTTTTCCAACAGCATGTAGGCATCCGGATATGATGATTCCATCGTCGTCGACTGGGCCACTGTCAACGAGTGGCTACGATGCATTTCAGTAAAACACAAACGGGTTTCAATATTAACAAATCAATTTGTTATTCCTTTCGTCAGCAACAGATAAGCCTCTTGGAATAAAACCGTCTTGGAAAATCCGTCTTGGAATAAAACGATTGTGCAATCCTCAACCGAGTTCTTCCTACACACTTGACTGACGTGAGAACTATGTTCAAGTTCAACACTCCATATTGCAAGCCTGCCAATGTGCGTGCGATTCAATGCGAGAGAAACAAATTCTTTTAATTTTGATTCACATTTCAAACGCAGATGATAACGAAGACGACGAGTAACTGGGACTACAGATTTATACTCCGGGTGGCGTGTTAAAATCTAATCAATAACCGACGGTAACCATCAGCCCATTAGTAATGGCCCCCCACTCCCCAGTAGCAGAGTAACAGTAATTAGGGGTTTAGAAATTAAGAACAAACAAAGAAGACTGTAATATTAAAAAATTGTGGTCCAGAACAACAAGCAGATTAAACAGATAGCTACTACAAGTACTTAATTGTAATTGTAATTGCTGCACCTGATTATACATTCTAGATACTATGGTAAACACGCGGAAGTGTGCGCAGAAATCTGACTGCCTTTAATACACCTGTGTGACGTTTACAGTTCTTTCGATCGTGTATTATTACTCATGCTTATTGCTTACGTAACGAATGCCGTTGCGTAGCTCGTTCACGTACGAGAACGAAAAAATTAATGAATGACCCAAAAAATTCGAATTGCAAGTTACCTTTTTAAGTCAAACAAGTCAAATTTCCAAACTTACCCACGAAAACAGAAACTTTTCGTCATACGGTGATAGTGAATATTTTGTAATTCTTGTAGCACTTGTTGTTGCGCTTTCGGCTTTCAGTAGGGTTTACAGTTTAGATTACTTTTGGTTATCTGCTGCAGTTTGCCCTACTATTTTCAGTTACCTTTTTATAAGCTTGACGTTTGTGTAAATATTTTAATAATACTTGAACCTTTTGGTTTGTGACATTTCAGAACCGAAAGAAAATGTGACTGGTGCAAACTAACCGTGAGTTCTTTTACCGAGGAATATTTTGTGGAAGCGCACACGGATACGTAATAAGCTTGGACTTGCCCATAATTATTGAGATAGGAGATTAAGAAAATGAGTCATTCCAAAAGCCAGGAGATTTTTACCGTTATCGCGGACGCTAAAATTCGTGAACTGCGTGAAAGCATGGCCGCGAAAGAGGATACATCTGGACATTCCCGAATAATTCACTGTAGCGATGGAACTATCAATCTGGACGAACTGGAAGACGATGACGAGGAAACGAAGGAAATGGGACCTGTCGTTGATCCGGTAAGAATGTTCTTGGGAATGCTAATCAGGACGGAAAATAGGCGGTATATTATACGGTGATTCAATATTTTTTTGTTGTTAGAAAACACTGACATGGGCTCCGTGGGCCTGGTACCAAGCATTGAATGTGGGTGGAAAAGTTCTTAAAGGTGGGTTCTTTTCCAGAATCTCCAGCATTTTTTTAGATTGTAACTGGAGCCTTCTTCGTATTTGTGCATAATATATAACTCGCAGCTGAGCTAATTTGTCGCTTTGCTCCTTTGCTACGATGTCTTCGCCTTTTCGATGGTTTTCTATCTCTGTTCTTTTGGTCTCAGCACGAGTTAAATCCTACTCGTAGGATATTCATTATCTACATCTCTATAACAACACTTTAATTTCCTTTTCCCGTTTACCATGTAAGTAGCTGGTTATGTTAACATGTTAACAATAATCAGATTTTTACTTGATAGAAATATGTTACTGTTGCTATTTTGAGCATTTTCACTTCTATTTCGTCACTGCTTATTCGTTTTTTTTTGCGGTGTTGACCAGAATTTTCACTGCTTTATCTGACAAGTGTACTGTGTAGGTAGTGTCGAAATTGTTTTTGCAGTGTGCGACTTTCTGGGTGAGCATCTGGCCGATTTTTTTGGAATAACTACTCCAAAATACCAACTGGAAATCGATGAGCGTTTGGCTATGATAGAGGAAGAAAAAGCTGAACAGTTGCAGGCGATGGAAGATCACAGGCACTGGGCTGGTCGAAGTGAACCATTAATAGAACTGGGACCGCGTCTGGACGCGGGGGATTTATCACATGATGTTGACAATCAGCTGGAAATCGTTTCCGAACAACCATCAACAGCAGCGCTTGGTCAAGGTGATGCTCCGCTAATGCATTCCAAATAATACGGCCTCGGTGCCGTGATCTTCCGCGATTTTTCGCCAAGCTTACACTGATGGATCTGACGGTTACACAGGTTCCTAGATTTCACGCAAAAATTAATTTGTTTTATGGTTAAATCGACGCGATCCGTACTTTATTATTGATTTTTCTTGTTCAAGCTTTGGTTTAATGACAGAATGTCTTGGCTGTGTTGACAGAATCAGTTTTTTATACGGGTAAATCTCAAAGGCATAAAAAAATCAGATTGAATTATCACAGGCATTGGCATGCTTAAGAAGATCAAAGATCTCTTTAATTAGCGCAGGTATTGTTAGCTGCACCCGGGAGGAAACACGGTCGCGAAAAGGAATCCGGTTGAATCATCTCCGTAATCCCGGCATATGTGCCTGTGCCAGCGGCAAACAGTCCGACTAGCATAATCTCAATGATTAGTGTTTTCTCCCATAATGGAATATCGAAGGACGAAGCGGGATAATTGCTGGCGGGGCCCAGTATTTCTGCTTCGGCTTTGAATTTGCGGTTGAGAATAATGTAGAATAACCCAGGGAAGACAAACGAAAGCATGCCAATGGTGGAGGCGCCCAGCAAATCCAGTAAAACACCGAATGTTGGGATAGTTTCGGCAATGAATACTGATATAAGCAGCAAAACTGTGCGGGTTGCGGCTCGTTTCCACCCGAATGCTGTTATAAAAGCGCGTAATGATTACAGTAATTATAGTTTTCGCTGAAACACATCCAGCTGCAGTGCAGATTAGACAAGAGTAATTTAACTGTGCCACACGCAGATAATGCTAGAGTAGGTCACAATCGTAGTGTGATTAAATTCGAAAACTGTACTTATAGGTTTTGTTACGCCAGGTTAACGACTACCGGACTACGTATATAATTTTCCATTGCCACTCCATTATCATTGCACTAATTCAAAAGTGTGAAGTCTGTAGAGCAAAATTAAAGCGGTTAGGCTACTCTTTCTGTAAGTGTAGATAGAGATCAATGCACTGAACCACTGGTTTGTTATCTATTTTCGGAATTTTTTAGCCGTTTGTGTTTCTATCGACGGACGGCGCAGTTTTGCTAAACAAAATTAGATAACTACGCCGATTGGACAGGAACAATCAGCATCAGGTATTGATCTATTGATAATAAACACAATTTTGGTAATATATATATAGTCTGTACTTACTTTTGGGTACTTTTAAAATTTCTTCGGTTTCCTGTAAAAGATGGACGATGTATTCATATTAAGAATGCATAGATCGTGGAAACTGAAATAAATTGATGTGTGAACTAACTTGAAATACTGCATTCCAAACGATATTAGATGCAAATAGCAAATGCATCGTCACCAAAACTATAAAAGGCAGACATATTTTGTTATTGCAGATTGCAGTCACTACGTACATAACTTAATTGTAATCATACTCATACTTAAAGATGCATATTGTAGACCGCCCGGAGTTATACTTTTTAAAATGTTGGACTTCAGACCCTCGCCATAAACAGCAAATCTGAAGCAAACATTCCAAAAGCTCGTGTAAATACGTGAATGGCATTAATATCAGCCTTACATAAGAAATAGGGTAGGCATCATACGGTCTAGACAGCGCAATGAGCAGTCCACTGCTACTGGAACGACACGGCTCATAATATGCCTACGTAATTGACTTACCCGACAGTAATCATCGGAAGATATAAGATTAGTATCACTAAAACACAGCAAAATATGCATATTAACGTTAATCTTGTAATGTTATTGTTTGTCCTAATGGTAAGTACATATCTATATATTGTTTTCGTTATTTTGTACTAGCAGTAGCGACATTAACACTACTGCCATACATATCCGATTGTTAAACTGCAGTTTTGATAATAGTGACCTTTAAGGAGAATTTGGTATAATGTAGTATAATTAAATGTAGACTCAGTTGAATATTTATAAGTAACTCGCAGTGCGAGTTACTTAGCTCGTACTTCCCAGCTACGCACTTGCGTATGCAAAAAAAGCCGCTCGTCCGAATTTCTTTCCATCCTTCATGTCATCTTGAATTGTAGGGAACGTTGGATGTCCTATACACCGTCAAACGAATTTAAATAAAACCCAGCAAGAGTATAGACCAATTAATTGTTCTGATTACTGTTCCAGTAGGAAATATTTCTGGTGCCGAACTCCGACCGTAATAAGTACATAATTATTTCAGCACGAGATCAAAATTTTGCTACGATGCCAACACAACTACTCGTAAAGCTTATGAAAATTCACTATCGTATCATACAAATAAAACAAATATTCATATTATTTCATCAACAATTCTCAAACATTTTATGCTTTAACAATAAATTCTATCGTGGCAAATCTCTAGATTCACTTATAAAGTCTGAAACCTAATTATACACTGAGTTGCGAATCGCGTTACCTCCGAAGGCGAATGCCATAGTACCAAAAGCCAAAAAGAAAACCGAAAAAGAAGATGTGCCGTATTTAACTCCCGGTGTAAAATCCAACCCCGCTTGAATAACTGCAAACATATTATAGAATATAGCACGATTGCATACTTATGTACGCGTACTTACCTAATTATGAGTCGTAAAGTACGTAGTGCTGATGATTTATGATTTAATGTTTATATAATAAAATTATGAACGTTTTGTTGCCGTTATACACGTTCTCTGAAACAACGAATCTATTGTCATAAAACCATTGTAATTTACAAGGAACGAATCTATTGTCATAAAACCATTGTAATTTACAAGGAACGAATCTATTGTCATAAAACCATTGTCATAAAACCATTGTAATTTTTTTAGTTTAACTAATTTCGTCAAACCTTAAATAATTGTAGAGCAAAATGGTGTTTTCTAACACAAGGGAAAGTAAATGTCTACATTCTACAAGAATGAATGAAATACAAGTTTTTAGGATTAGCTAGCTTACTTATTAAAACTACAGCAATGGCCGTTGCAAGTGCAGCTCCCATAGCCAATGGCTAGAATTTCAGAAAACAAGGCTTATGAAAGTTGCGAAGGTGCGGAGTTGTCGTGCTAAAAAGCATTCCATACCCAAAAATCTTTCGGAGTTCCAAGCCATAAAATGGGACACAATACCGCCGCGACAATAAGTATCCAGTAACACTGGCTTATAGCAATTCCTCCAAGGTTGCAAAATAGTGTCTTCATATTTTCCGCCGCCAAAAGCACTACGATAAATCCCTTCTTCGTTAAAAAACAAATATCCGGCAACCCAAAATAATTTGCAGCAGTACATGTACACTTTATTTAAATACTGCGTTTCTTACTACTTGGAACTTGCGTGGGAAAAGGACAGACTTACAGAAAACAGTTCCTGCTCCGAACAGCGTTATGTTCATACAAATAGACACGGCAATCCTGCATAGAAATATTGTATATTATTTTTGCAAAATTCTGAAATTGCTAACGGCTACTTTAACCATTCGAAAGTAAGTCTCGTGATTTTTAATTTCGACGTGAAACGCGACAATATAATTGTATCGACCAGCGTTAATGATTAGGTGTTACCTTCCCGCTCGACCGCCAGCATGAATTCTGCAAGAAAGAAGTTGTATATAAGGCTCTGATACAAAAAAAATTCAAATACAGTAATTTTCATCCTGTGTAATGTCTTGGCGTCCCGTGTTGCTCACGTAAATATTCTTGTACAGTACGGTACTTTTACAATTAAGGACCAGTACTCATATCATCAGTCATATGCACTATCTACATATCTACACCTCGTTCACGCCAAGTTGGCGGTGCGTCATTTTAATTTTCTGCCGAATCGTGTGGCGCATGTTTTGCTTATCTTTTTAAAGTTTTTAGTGCAATTTTCTTTTTTGCATTTGTTGAGCAAAAACGTTATCGATTTTCGGTAGCGGTGTCGCGAGAAACACCTTCCTAAGCGAAGGCACCGATGGAGCAAGTCATCGCAGTGCTGAAACGCAGTTTAATTCAGCCAGAAATTCAGGAAAGACTTTAGGCGCTTGAAATTAAGGTCAGTTTGGGGACCCCCACGAAAGTGCTTCGTAAACAAGAACTAAAAGTCAACGGCTAGACCAGACCTGCAAAACGCCTAGGGGAGCGAAATCGTTTTTTCGCCAAAACAAAGCACTAGTGGAAAAAAGAGGTGGTGTCAACTGAAAACTGTTTCAATGGAGTGTCGCGCGCCTATGGTGAGGACGGTAGTGAACAAGTATTGCCCAACACCTTGTGAATTTTATTTTGTGGAGTGTGGTCGAGGAGGACTTCCCACGGCTGTATGGTGACCTCGCGAAGGAGGTCGTCCTACAGTTTGGCCACGCCCACCGTTATACCGGTGCCCTGACCCAGGAGTGACATCAAGTTAATGGTGTTCAGTGCACCCCAAAGGGCCAATGTATGGCCAAGTCAACAGTCTCAGCGTTCTTGGGCTACCTCATAAACGGAAATTTAGAACGAATTTTATGTCGGCGGGAGGAAACCGGAATAGCTGGACTGCAGCGCATTGTTGAAGTGGTCTCCTCTAGTGTTAAAATTCCTGTAATTCTAAACAAGCGCAAATCCTTGGAACCTTAGTTGCAAATGGTGTTGGATAGATTCATTAATAACATAAAAGTTAAATAAAGTTAAATTTACAGAAGTGGTTCGTGGGAATTTTTTAAATAGAAACCGCCAACTTGGCGTGAACGAGGTGTATATATAATTATGTTAAACAGAATCTACCCAATAGCTTGGTACGGGTAACGGCAGCCGCCTCTGTACTCAGGATAATGATCTTGTAGCATCGTCCAGCAGCGACCAAGAACCGTTCCGGTATACCTAAAAGAAAACACTTAATCCAAAAAAATTTGGCAGAATGGACAATCTTAAAAAAGCTGATGTCATTCACATTTAAATGGGAAAGCTTTAATTTCTCTGTAAATCGCTGCCACATTGAGTTATGCAAACGCAAGGCTGGTCATCTTTCAAGCAAAAACATTATTCTCCACTATACAACATATTTGTCATTTTCAAATCACTAAAACTATAGAAGTACTTCATTATAAAGCGAGAAAGTGTCCGAACACGTCGCAATTCGCACTGTAATTAATACTGGTACAATTTAGATAGCGGTGACAAAACAACTACTTTTTCGATTTGACAGCACAAATCGAAAAAGTGCATAACACCTACTGTACATACTTGCACAGACTGTATGCAGTAGCTAACGATAAGTACTAACCCGCTACAGAGTCCGCAGAATATCACAACAAGTAATCCCGACCATCCACCTATTAATTGGCAATACAAACGGATGTGTTAAAATGTAATGCCAAGTAGATAATTATTTGCGTAAATGCTTGACTAAATGGATCAACAAGTGCTGGTGTACTGGGCGTCTGGGATGCATAGCTGCATACCTGTTTACATACCGGTGTCATGGAGAGCTTTGGGCATTGCGAGGATTCCCACCCCTGCTACCTCTCCAACAAGAAAGAAAGCGGTTCGACCAACTGTCAAACCATGCTCCTTTTCTACCGGATGATCTTCCGTGGCATCACCAAGAACCTCTCCAGTGACGCCATCACCTGGAGGGATCAAAGGGTCACGATCAAAAGCCGATCCGTTGGCATCAATCTCATCCGCGTGAATGATTGGTGCAGCGTCATCGTCAGGAGACATTTTATTAAAAAAATATCGGCGCTATATAAACAGTTGTTATTCTGACTGTCGACAGGGTACTGCAAAAATCTAGCGCCGGATGTATAATATAATTTTGTTCCGGATATAAGGATTACTCATTATAACACACGCGATGTTGTAATGAATATCCTTCGAACTAGGGTGGTGATACTGGTATGCAGTCGACCCACGTTGTTCGTGAACTGGGTTTTAATCGGTGATCTAACATCAAAATTATCGCTGTCCGCAAGATCGGAAGCGACAGTTCTGTTAAAAACTTTCAGATTATGTTCCATTCAGCCATTGTCGCATTTATTCAGCTTTTTGCTTATCCCATACGACTTTGACTCTCGATAACAGTATAACGAACTCTTCGTTTATGCAGGTATAAGTATACATATCAGGTACAAACTTGCAACTTGCCGCAAAAACAGTTATCTCAACAGTAGCCCATATATGCACAAAACTGTACATTACTGGAATGGATGATATGCAACAATAATAGCAAACTTAAACGACAGAAAACTTCAGTAGCAATGCATATGATGTAGAACTTCCATGGGGTGCTGCTCAAATGAATTTTTGATAATTGCTGCTATAACCATTAATTTTAATCACTAATATGGCTTTCACTCATGCTTCACAGAATACGATACCATACCGCACAATTTCGAAATTCCGCCTAGGCACACAGGCGGTTATTATTAAGAATATTTTTTCATCTCACCAACATTGAACATATAATACATAGCCCAATTTTTATTTGTCTTCTGTACAGTTCATTTCAGGTTAGTAAAGACCGTCAAAAACTATAGTTTTCATGTTCCATGTAAATAGGCGTTTATTGATGAAAAGCTAGCGGATCACCAACATTAACCGCAGCCGCCGCATGCTGCACTGCCCCGTTGTGAGGTAGCTGTTCCTGTAGAATCGTATCTGATTTCAATGAATTAAACATGGCAGCATCCAAGAGTTTTGAGCGGGCAGTAGGACTGATACTTTTCACAATCATTGATAAACAATCCAAGCTTGAGATATGGCTGGCATCTTGCTCGCACTGTGGGGTCCCAATAGGAGCGGGAGATTCTAAACAGTAAAATATTTTGAATTTTGTCGGCTTTTATGATGAATATTTATTAGCAGCATAGTTGTATTAAGAAGATGATTATGTTTTATTGCATGTATATGCGTTTCGAAAGTTTTTGGTAATTACAATACCAGACGCAGTCAGTCAGATAAATTATTATTTTGACACAAGGTCAAATTCATTATCGGTCAGCTTGTGTATGTCTGACTTTTCTAATTAAATTGTCCCAAGACAATCTGAGTAAACGGAACTCTTTTAAATTTTAATGTAAAATCGTAAAATATTTCAAATTTCTATACAAACAAAGTTCTATGCAAATGTTTTTTAATCATTTTTTTCCGTTGGTTTAATAATACGTAAAAACATAGGGCGTATGTTTTATGATTTAAATACACTGTACACAATATACACAAAAGCATAACCAGGGTATATATAATGTACTCGTAGATATAAAGTACTGTACTACTCCCAGCAACTCTAACGGGGGGTGAGTTTTGCATAACTGTCCAGGTTTAGAGTAGTAGATAAAGGAAACCCACACCTTGGCAGAACCTTACACATTATACAGGTATGTAACACGTTCGAAGTATTTTGCGAATTGATAAAGGCATTCAGCTTATTAATTGCGAGTTCGTACTAACAATAACAGCAACTGCATTCCAAAGTGTACGTGCAGTTAATAATTACTGTGTAGAATAATAGAACGATTGTTTACAAGGCGAGCCAACAAATTTCTTCGATGAATCAATTATAAATGGAAACATTTTTCTACATTCCTAGATCTAGAATCTAGATCATCGCGATAATTCTTTCAAGTTTACGAAGCATATCGAAATCATTTAACTCTGCTCAGTCGTCACATTTTTGGTGTTGTATATTTGATATCCATAAGGATTCCCCTCCCATAGCGAAGATTAGCATGGTGGTAGGTTTGGAATTATGTTCTGAATTAATTACACATCGGATTTTGACAGCGATTTTGTGATATACGACGGTTGCTGTACGCGGTGTTTGAAATCTGGATAATAAAGTAAGTAAACGGTTAATGAATAAAATCACCTACGCTGGTGACCTTTATTATTTTCTACGACGGTTGACAAAGTAATTTTCAAAGCGCCGTTCTTTGATAAATGATACTAATATTCAAGAACATGCGGCACAAGCGAATTAATGAAATCACCTATTCATCTACAGTCATTTTTTTTCCTGATGGGTGAATTCCTAAATCCCTGAAATTTATATATATGAAATAACAGTACAGTGCTTTCTTACCATTGGATTCCGATTCATTTCCGGAAAATGGCGCTAGCAAACGCTCGGGATAATTAGTTAATGAAGTGGAAGCTTGCGACAATGCCTGGAAAATAGGAAAATAGTGTTCCGTACGTTTCGCAAAAAAACTTTTCGAAAGTTTTTGACTACAGCCGTAGCAGGTTTAAAAAAGCGGCAGCAAGTAAGCTGATTAATTTAGAGCTGCCGCTTAGAAGCTCACCTGATGGTCGTTTACTCGAAGAGCAGAACGGCAAGCAACATTGTCATTCCCACGCAAAAATGCGCTGGTGGTATGGTTATTATTTTTCAGAAGCTGCTCTAATCCTGAAATCGAAACTCATTATGATCTAGGTTTCGGAAAGCACGTAATTAACACATGTTTAGCCGTTATCGTTGTACACATTCATTCGAATACATATATACATCGAAACCATCCTCGTCATTATATCTCTCACAGATTGTTGCGCGCATTATTACTATACAATGTTGACGCCGCTTTAACCAAAACAATCTTTACTTGGCCCCAAAAGTTTAAATCATTAAAACTATGCATAATGATGTACGGAAAATTTTACCGCACCATTACGTGTACTCGTACGTAGTGAAATTATACATTAGCTGCAACACTAAATCACCTGTATGATAGCCTTATTACATAACGTTAACGTATTTATTAACATTTGAAAGTTTGCTAACCTTCAATATATTCTATTGCATGGCGGAGAATCTCTATTTTGGGCAGTCGCTGATTAGGGTTTGGACACGTTCGACGTTTTAAAATCTCAAAAGCCTCATTAACACGACGGAGCCGGCGGCGCTCGCGCATGGTAGCCGCTTTGCGTCGATCGACGGTGACAGCCTTACGTTTACAGGCTTTGCAGGCCCACAATAAACAACGGCGCTGTCCATGTCCGTGAATATTCGGCGGTGCCAGGACATGCGGAATATGGTTATCGTTCTCCCCATCTAAATCTTCCGAATACCTTTCACTGCAGTTTTCATCATCGTAATCACTGGCTCCTTTTGGCGGCTGTTTAACACGATTTGCCATACCGATGATACCGGCATCTACCGCTTTCTGTGGCATGTTAGAGGAAAAGGTCATCTGCATGCCGGATGCGCTGGTGAGGAGTTTGTGAGAGCTATCAGAAAGTCCAGTTGCATCTGATGGAAATTGATCATTTCGCCGCGGTGTATCTTGTAAGATTACTGTGCTGCTTCTGTCATTAATCGTGCCTGTTGTTGCCGATCCATTAGCCACTGCAGCCGGGAAAGTGTACGTCGACAGCGACTGCTGTTGTGCTGACACAACGGAGCAGGATTCTTCGTTAAACGGCGATTGCGCCGGCTGTGGCATTAAATTCGGCGGATAAATGGGCAAATTTAAATGTTGATAGTTGTCTGTCTTTAATCCATACGAATATGGATAGTGATCAGCAAAATAATTGCTCTGCGCGTAGACGGGATACTGCGGATGCTGATTGTCCATTTCGCCACGCAGGTCAGATGTCACACATAAGATTTACACAATTATTAACAACAACCAGAGATCTGATAATCGGTTGCTGACGGGCGGCCGCCACCAACTATGTCACCGATTTACAATTGCTGAATGTGCAAAACTGGAAGGAATTTTTCGCTGGCTGTAAAACGACGAAAACGAAACTACGTACCAAAAGGCCGACCAAGACGGACAGGAAAAATCAAGCGCTGACTAGAGAATGAAAGATTTTATTTTTCTTTGCAGGATCCATTTACAATGCACGTCATTCTCATCTTGGAGTTCGTTAGTGATCTCTTGGCTGCGGCTAAGCTGCCTAGCCTGTCTAACATCCATTATGCTCCTTTGCCCTGTAGATTTCACTACTTGTCACAACCCATTCGTTCTTTCCCTGCGCCAAAAATATCCTGTTCGGACATTTGAGGATTTATCTTTCTAACGACTCTATGAATTTTCTTCATCGATTACAGTTGGCAAAAAGGGTGACATGTTGCTGCTCTAATTTTGCTCTACCGTCAAAAGTTAATTGTGGCCTTTATCGCGCTTCCTTTCCAAACGCAGCGCATTTTACTGGCTTCAGCTTGTGAATATTATGGAGAAATTTTTAACTTTAGAAGATTAAATGTGTGCATCACCAGCTTATCACTACTTATCACTACTTAAAGTCTTAAACTGCAAAACTGCACCTCGTCCTTAATTTGTTATATAGTTATAGGCACAAAAAAGCGAGAAAGTTATAAAAGGTCATTAAATATTTCTGTAGGCTCAAGTATGGACTACGTATGTACAAGTTCATCACAGTCGCGCGTACGTTTTAACTTATCTGAAAAGTAAAACAGAAGTCAAGTTGAATAGAGTGGTTTTGTAAAGCTTTCCAGATTCTTTTTAATACGCCAACTGCATTGTGTTTTTCAACTTTTCTAGACTTAAAACACCACATCTCATGGACCAACAATTCAGTAGCTATGACCATGAGAATATTTACCGTTCGCGCTGACAAGCAACCGCACGCAAAGTATAGACATCATTAAATTAAAATCTAGTTTCTCACAAATTAATCAAAAGCACTTTGGGTGCTTTAATTAGACTGATGAATGAAGAGCACCCGCAGGCAGTCTTGGCTAAGACTGGAGTAACGAGGAAGACCGTCTGCACTGGCATATGCACCCCGTTTCACCTTCTGTCCTTATGCGACCGGACCGTAGCATACCGACACGCTATCAGCTGCAGTATCATTGTCCTAGATTTGTCTGGTAAATGGGTTATTCAATAAAAGGTGTCATCTGAGGTTACGACAATCTGATCCGCGAAGGCTTGCATCCGGTTGGTAGCGCTCTGACTTCTGAGTGCTGGCTTACTTTATGGTCATCTGAATCGTTGGCTAGTTCATTATTATAGGCAGTCGATCAAACACCTGCCTCCATTGCAGATGCATATGAACCTTAATATAGCTGCCATTATTGAGACTCAATGAGAGAGTTCTTGCATTACCAAAACAGTAGAAACCGACCTGTCTGCACAGCTGCAAAATAACACAACACTTAATTATTTGCCTTTAATCTTAGCGAAAATCTAAATAGTCAGCAAGTGTTATGCGATCTGGTAATGACAATACGTGCCGTCATTAATGTCCATGCATAGCGGCTCATCCTTGGTACTGTCTAAATCGTCTATTTCATTGTCCATGTCACAATTACAAAATGGTGCTCTTTATAAAATTTTTTAGTCAAACCGATAATTGACCTAAAGAAATAGAAAGTTATTAATACGACCCCACATGGGCCAAAGATTAGCAGAAAACTATAGAAGAAAATAACCGAATCGCGTTAGGAGTTACTTAATTATCCACTAAAAAAATCAGTTTGCTGTTTGCGGTTATCGTGATCGTCATAGCGAAATATCACGTAAATACTCGCTAGCCGAGTATCTTCTTTCGCATGCTCTCAACCTCTCTGTTGGACTATGTATTATTGGCCAAGAAAGAATGTGTTGTTCAAAGGGTGCGAGTAATGCCTTTCACCACGTTCAACATGGATGCCCATCACAGCTTCTTGAAGCAATTTAAAAACCCATTTGCTTTTGCAAGCTCAGCGCCGCTGCTTAAAGACGTGTTTGTAAGGCCGTATTCCAGGGCTAACACACATGAGAGAGTAACTAGGATCTATCTTCTTTTCTGGTGACACGACGTCAAGTGTCAACTTGGAAGAGAAACAATTAATTGAATTAGTGGTCGTATTTTACGCCACATAAATCCTGTCATTCCATTTGCGTGGGCTCTCCGCCGCGTGCATGTAGCCGCCTGTAACTGGTAAATAGCCTGCGATGCGCAGTTCTATTCGCAGCGAATTCTGTCTCTCTTGCGCTGCACTGTAATTATTTTTGCATCTTGTTTATTCGCATTTCGTATTGCGTCATACGCTCTTCTGTGCATGATTTTTTTTGATCATGTACGCAAAAAATTATTCCAGCAAAAATGAAACACAAAATTTACCATAAAGGCAGACCTCATTTAAAATCAGCTCACGAGCAGTTAAGCGTAACATGTACAATCCACGAGAAAGCAGCATAGAAACATGCCCGTATAATTTTAAATAAAAATCTATTTCTGAAATACCGATGTTTTGCTGTTATTTTTGCCCAATGGGAGTCATAGCTAATAAATGCCTAAGGATTTCCTATTTAGAAACGTATGGTTTTATCGCACGAAAGACTGCATCAAAAATCTTTTAAAATGTTACAAAGCTAACAGCTTCGATATTCTGATAACATATTATTATACACCAAGAGAAAAATTTGGTCTAAAGACAAGCGTTCTATAGTTGCTAGAGCAGTTGACATGTCCTGCTAGTAATTTACAGACTGTACTTGTGCAGATGGTTTCGGATAAATGAATAGCGCCATCGTAGTTATGTACTGTACATTATTAATTGTTTCGTAGTCCAATGCCGGCACTGAACGAGTGACTACAAAGTACCGGAGTCTTATATAAGCACCCAACCCATGGGCCATAGTGAACACGTGTGAATTAACTGAATGCAAATAAACATTATAGTCACGATTTGACAATTGACAGAAATCTGATACGTTTGATACGGCAACATCTCTAAACGAATCTCATCCTTCATCGGAGAGATCAGATTTTGCAGTGTTAATATTCGGAAGCGAAAAAGTACTACAGTTCTACCTTTCAAAAATATGCAAACGTTTGGTAATCACCTTTATTCTTAGACGAAGACTTTGAATAACTTTCGCGGCGATCACCTAATTGGCTAATTAAGACTGGCTAATTAAAAACAGTTTCTTTTGTTGTCACATATTTAGGTTGTTATAACTGAGCTGCGTTTTGATGACCTTTAACACTGACCAAAATTTACCAACCATAACAATCATTTTTTAAAAATTAATGTAGGCTATAGCTGACAATCTGCCTTATACACATAGCGTTGTCAGACACATCACCGGGCATATACATATGCAGGTAACTAACCGAACTAGCGCAAGGTGTATTTCAAGTAAAAAATACATATTATTTTGATGGATTTGCTTTCCGAAGAAATTCTGCACGTTGACCTGTGTGGCAAACCGCTTGTTGTATAAATATATTGTATAAATTAATATATATATGTATAGAGTTCGCTCTCGTAATTTATGCGGCTGACATAAGAATCAAAAGAAAGTTGAAGACTAGAAGCTCCATTATAAACTAAACAACGACAACTAATTAGTACTCGTATGTTTAGCATGCAAAAATAGGGACAAGAATAATGAAACAAACAATTTAAGCAAATTCCGAAAACATTTGCAAGGGTGCACACAACTCTAACGGTCCTTCGGAAACATGTTTTTCTCAGCGGAAGTGAAATTTTTATCCGACGAGAAATAATTATACAGTCTAACAAAATTAACATTAGTATCCGCGAAAAGATTGTTATTAATATCTGATGATGATTGATCATGAATGCTAACTTCTCCTGAGTGAGTTGCATCGGTTTTATCCGGAAATTTTATTTGAGGAAATAAATTCTTTATGAACATTTCGTGGCTGATGCCTAATATGGGAGCGGGGTCAATTTTACCGGAAATAACGTCCTCGGCAAAATAACTGTGGTAAATGTCGATGTCCGTGGGATACACTATACTGTTAAAAAAGCGCAGATATGCGGCCAAATAATCAACCACCCTAAAATTAAGATGCTTAATTCACCACGATATGTTTGTAACATTTGTTGGGTTCTCTTAAAATATGTTACGTGTACCTGGCCTGATTGGCACGGGGTTCGATCCCTGGCAATAGCTCGCGAAGTCTGGCGAACGCTTTTCCAGCGCGGCATCTAGGAAAAGATCCATGAATATTTGCATATTTGGACTGCTTTACATAATCAGCCATGTGAATGCAAGTACACTGTAATCGAATAGCCAACCGCCCACTGGATGATATTTTACGATAATATCAAATTTATTCGTCATAATGATATTGACCAAAAATTATATCGTACCATTATTTTTGCGTTTAATCTTACTAAGCGGGAATGATGACGATGTTGCTCTGCGTTAAAAGACGATGAATACTAGAGTAGTATATACGAGTACAATCGTAAAAAGCAGCTATATCGTGCCATAAGATTGTAATAGTAATTAAAGTTCAATATAAACAGTCAGTTGTTACCTTCTTTGCCGTTGCCGCAGAGCATGAGCTTCGGCATTTTTAACGTTCTTTTTTTTAGAGTTAACAGCCTTGATCCCTGAAAAGTCATGTCATAAAATACAGAAAATTTGGCAATTAATGCTGGTAGAAACACATTCCTACCACGTTCACTTAATTACATTATTATTTACACCATACTTCGTCTTAGTACATGTTTGTTAGTTAAGTGAAATAAATGGCCTTAATATTTGAATTAATAATACTTTACAAAACTTAGCGTTAGACCAGAATTGTTTTGTAAAAAACAAACCTTTCTTTTAGCAACTGAATACATTAATCATAACTGAATATTTTGATTCGCTGCTTTTTTCATAGAGTAGCTTACATTATACCGAGGAAACTGTATGATACCACAAAGTATAAACTTGAAAGCAAATGGCAGAAAGGCAGAAAATAAGCTATGCATTTAATAAGTAATTTTGAAGACGCAAAAAATACCTGAAGAGCACATATACATGATTATCTAAAAATATTTACCGGTAGAGGCATTCAATAACATTTGATTGTTATTTGTCCGCTGCTCGCTGGTCTTTGAGATTGGTTTCTGGATATCCTTTTACGTTGATACCTTGGTCACAAAAACTTTTTAATACTTTGTGTATTATAGTTTACCAAGTTTTTTCGTTTTTATATAATGAAGATCGCTTAAATATATGTAAGTATAATACAACCCGATGTCGAAATTATATAGAAATGTAATAATATATCAAGGAACTAGATCTATAATATAACTACAAAAAAAGCTGAGGCATCGAGATCGGAAAAACCAGAACCTAATAAAAAAAACTGTAAACGCCATTAGATTCAGCATGTTTAGAAACTGTGTCACATGCATTTTATTTCTTAAAAAAATTATTTAAACCCGTCCCACCGATGCCGGTTTCGGCAGAACTGGCTTCGGTAAGGCTTTCAAGGTGACCTTGAGAATAATAGCCGTATTTCAATAATAGCCGTATTTCATAATAGCCGTAGACAGTCCGTATTTCAATTAACTTACGTAAAGTGTATCATAATATCTATATTACTAAACATACGTACGGGTTTATTAATATTATGACAGACTGACAGTCTGTCAGCGATCGCAAAGCAACACATTCTTGGAATTAATGTACTTATTTGTAATAGTCATCAGCCAATATTCATCCGCGCTGGGCTTGTTAAAGTATTAAGTATGTACTACAATAAATTTGTAGTTATTTTATTTGCAAACATGTTGAATTTTAATTGCCTGATTGCTGTTCAAATGTTCAATTTTAAATGCCTAAAAAATCCGATTCTTGGTTTAATTAGCCCAGGTTTCGAAGGAAACAGAAGCCAGTGAACAAAACTGCTAAGGCAGTGAGTGACCCAGCTACCGCCACTGTCCAGTGAACAAAACGAAATCACTAGCGGCTGTGGATCACAAGAAACGCGGAGGCGAAGCCGCAGCGGTTTCTTGTACAGATATATTAATAATATAGTATGTAGATATTGTAATTATAAATTATGCATCTTAGAATGGAAGGGTACATGCATATTATTAAGAACAATGCAGGGTCAAAATAGAACAATAATTCGTTATAATATAACAATATTTTTACTTTTTCCTTGGTTGAAGTCCATCTGATGAAGCATCACGCTTGTCTGCTCTTTCTAGAGAGGGAACAGAATTTTGTGTAGATGCAGTCCACAAAATTTCGGCAGAAGATATTTGTCCAACTTCCGAATGCGCGCCTGAACTCATCTGGTTGCATTCCTGAAAGCATCCTGGTCCTGCTTCAAATCTGCGGGTTTTACGGATTGATTAATAACGTGCATCGAATTTTAAATAGATTTGTTTGAACAGATATAGGAGTATTACATAAACATTTATTATTGTTTATGATTCTGACGCGTAACAGTTAACATTATTATCGCGTAACAGTATCATTAACTATATTAAAATGCACGTACGGCTGGTCAATTTCTGAGTGTTCTTCTTCAAAGTTTGACGCATTGGATGGTTTTGCGTGACCAATGAAACTGAATATTTGTTGCTCGCATTTTCCATTTCGTTGGACGGCCAAACAATTTCCTGCCATTTCGACCATGGGATGAGGAACTTCTTCAGTTGTGCACAATTTCTGATGTTCGGCAAATGCAAAACTAACTGATGCACGACAGTTTTATGTTTCTGTTAAAAGTCTGGAATCCTGTCCTAAATAGTGAACTTCCACCTTTACTCCGGCTCTCTAACGTGGTTTGGTAGGTTGTCACGCTCACATGCTCAAATTGAAAGCTGGATGTTTCCTACGCAACTTTTCACATTTTCTTTACCGTTGCATCGCTCTAATCAGACAGCGGAGGCTGTCGTTATCCATGGTTAGGTGAATGTTAGAGCAAGATTGCAAGGAGACAAGGTCACCGCAACAGCTGTTACTATAAGTACTTCTTGTTTGACACTGAATAAATAAATATACGAGTAAAATCCGTGAAATAAAGTATAGTTACTTTTTAAATAGCGAGTATGCCGTCCTCGAGCGTATTATGTACAGAGTCACAGACCATGAAATATTCAAAAAGACTGTATGTGTAAGTTTTGATTTGCAAAGTGTGCTTCATTTACAATGCGACAACTGGAGTCTGATCCTGATATTTTATACTACTTCACACCGATAATTTTACCTAAATATTGTTTCATTAAAAAAACTTTTTCACTAAAAACGCTAGAATTGATAACCATACCGGTCCATACGTGATATCCGGAGACTCTACTGAATACTACTGAATGCCCAAAAAGTACGTCTAAGGATGACCGTACAGATACATCATAACATTAATAAAGCCGAAGCATATCATTAAGTCATGTGTCTACGCAGAAGCTTCCGGTGTTTTAAAAAGGGACTAGTGCTGTAAAAAATCAACTTTTTCAACCATATCTGTTGTTTCTCCGGGCCACAGGAATGCTTGTGTTCCAGTATCGATATGTGCGGATCATTTAAGTGTCGCTAACCATAAAACTCATTTTCCATTTGTATGACAGTTCCTACTTTGTATTTTGCTCATTGCTCATATCGCTAGCAATATCTAGCCGTAACGTCCAGAACCTAACTTAAGGTCAAATTTGTGACAAAGATATAGGTAAGTACGTTGCAAGATTATTGGCAAGTAATAAACAATAATTATTCAGCTGATATACATTCATTATTAGGTCAGAAAGCGTCTTGAATATCTGGCATCTGCTCACTGTACGAGCAGTGTGGAGGTGGTTTTGTTGTTGAATGACTCCTTCACAATATCTATTAATATCATCTCTGTTCTAATTTTACTTTTGTCTGTCAGCAATTTTGACAACACTTCCGGTTGCACATGTATTTTTTCCAAAATTAAGCGCTGCCTTCAAGCAGGTTTAGCTACGTATTTTATGAGAAAAGGTCATAACGTTGGTACACATGTATCAAGTTGTACATGAACACCCCATCTAAAAACGCCAACCAGTTTCCCTGAAAGATCTAAACTAATAATTACAATAAAAATGATTGTGCCAGCTAGTACACGGAGTAAAACACGATCATCACGCGTAAAGCGAAGGTATAGGAAAGGAATCAGAATGACAAGCATCGTCTTCGTCCGTGGCATCCTCGGTTAGTGAAATACACTCATCGGAATCCCGCACGCTATACTGTCGCTGGATGATGGTGGTGGGTGATCCGGCGGTGCCAGCTGTCGGCGTCTGCATATTAAAAGTCCAGCTTTGCAAACGTCGAATCGCCGGCGTGTGGCGCATTTCAATTTGAATATTGGAATTCGGTTGTACCGCTGCAATGTTAATTGCATTTTATCATTAACGCGTATGCAGGCTATTAATACAGCCCAAATAAATGCCACGTTGCGCAATATGTCACTTACAAACTTTAAAGTTCTGGCCCGGCGGCCGAAAATCAACTGAACTCGGTCGCGTGATCACCCGGAAACTCCCAATCGGACGAGGACTGGCGGAATGGCTGTACTCAACAAAACCATGATCATCCGCGGCGCCGTTAAACGCCAATGAAGAGGAGAAACGGGACGACAGAAAGGGATCGTCGTCGTCCATAACTGGCTCTTGAATGTGCTCATGGAGTGTAGTATAACGCACGTAAGGTTCCGGTTCAGCGGCCTAAACAGATAGAACCTTCACTTCGATGCTTTTTGGTCGTGTTATAGCTATTCATTAAACAAATTCACAATTATTCATGTTTTTATTTTGTGATTTGTCGTGGTTACATTTAGTTTTCTGTGATTCTAATTATAATTCGTTTGGTCATGCTTTCATTTCATAAACATTACTTACGCGCAGTTACGAGTAGTACACAAAACTACACATTGAAAATGAGATACAGTCCAACCACGCCATACGCAATGCGTATTTATTGACGGATTTAAAATTCTGATACAGTGACACTTACAATTACAGGTAGAATATTAAGAGTGTTGGTATGGCTTCGTGTCGTATCGACATCTTGACCGGAAGGTGCACTTCCTCGGAACAATACTGTATCAACTTGTCTTTCATCCGGTCGCTGCGCACTGGGCAGAGAGGATGCAGTTTCACTATCTCCTTCTACAACAGCAAAATTTATGTTTGATTTAAAATAAAACTGAAAAATAGATAATGGAGCTGACTGTAGTAAATATAACGGAAATACATAGAATTTTGTTCAGTTTTTTTACCTTCCACAGATCTGACTGAGTATGCCGGTTGTTGAGATCGCTTCCATTTTATCGGCTGGAGTGCATCGTGTTTCATGAACCCTAATATGCGTTCCAGAATTTTTACTGCCTGCACCATTCTCGGCCTGTCAGTGGGTAGTCGAGACCAGCACTTTGTCATCAGAGTTTCTAAAATTACGGGAGAACCACGGATTTTCGGAGGTCGAATTCCTGCAATCAATTCAATCAGCTTAAGCGGTACACGAGATGGTCACTAAAATCAAATCTGCTATACAAGCATACGTTTTACCGGAAGCATTAAAAATTGTTTGCAGTCCGTCTATACGATTTCGCCTTAGGTATTACAGTACTGTAAAGACTAAAGCCAGGAAACTGCCACAAAAATAGTAGTATCCTTTGCAGATTATATTATCTGTGAGCATAATTTATTTGAAATGGATGCACGCATGAAGATGGTAGAGAAAGAAGATTTTCAGACAAATTATTTTGTTAACTGGCAGTGCACTTTTTGATTCACATACCCCTGTGGATTGCCCACATAATACGATAAATGTTCCCGCCGACTTCATCGTAAGGACGCCTACACCGAGAAGAAGCGGTTCAAGTGCGCCGATTGCATAATTGACCAGACAAGAGGTGAGTTCTGCTTGTTGAACAAGACGTTTTACCTGCGAGTCAGCACTTCCCAGATGATAATTCCAAAAGAAAACACATCGCACTTCTCTGTGTACTTGTTACCTGTAGGAAAATATGAATAAGCGACTGTCTATTTATAACCAAACACGATAAAAATCAGTAGCAACAGCTGAGCTTACTTTCGAAGACTTCTGGCGCCATCCAAGCGGCTGAACCCTGTTCGTGCGCAGACAACAGAATGAGCAATATGTATGTTACCGTTATCAGGCAGTATATTTGTACAATAAGCATTTCAGCCGTAAGTCATATCCGATTGAATTTTAATTGCACTGTACCCTGTTATTCGTCAAATACGTCCTCGCTTCACATGCTGTCCCAAAATCACAAATCTTGCACTGGCGTCCGGCGTTCGTCAACAAAATGCTATAGATATTAATGCCACATTTATATAGATCAACTAGATGATAAGTAAAGTTATATCTGCAACACGATATTATAATAAACATTCTTATTTACAATCATAAAAATATAAAAGTATATAAATAATGCGTGCCTTACAGGAACAAAATATTTCGCAAATTTTTTAAACCGAAACAAAGTTTGATATCGGCTTAAACTGACGTTCATAAACTCGTCTGCTGTCGCCGCAATTCTGACTAATCAGAATTGTAACGTTCGCTGCTGTCAATTTACAGTGTCTGTACCTGTATTTAGTTATATGTAACAAGAAAACGTGAATGATTCACACAAAACTTTAGTGTGTGATGTTATTATACGAGTGTGGTTAAACAGAACTAATTTTTTTAGCGACGGGGTTTTTTGGTTAATGACTACTCACTTTGGTGGTTTTAAGTCCCGGTGAATCAAAGGTTTTGGTTTCATAGAGTGAAGATAAGCGATACCTTTGGCACATTGCAACAGCCAACTGGAAAAGGTAAACAGAAGTATTTTTTCACACGCTCAGGATACGAATTAAAAATGAACGCTGGATTATTTTATATATTCTCTTAAATTAAAAACATGCAATATTCACACTTCCCACTAGAAAACATTTTCCTGCACATGCATCTCAACTTACTTGACAGCGTGGCCACATGTGTACGGTGGAGTAATTTCACTCCCATGCAAAACTACAACATTAAACACAGAATTACGTACATATATACGGATACCAAATTATGTGCTAATAAACAGTTACATATTATTAATATTCGGGAAAACCCTAATGATTGTAATGTATCGTATTTATCCAAAACATCGTAAATATCATCTGCGTCGTATACAGAGATTATAATGTGATAATTTTGTTTTTTATATTTAATACGATTATATTAAAACTGGTGGAATTCGTCTTCGAGAACTCAGTCCTACAAAGTTGCCCATCCGCCATGTGTACTCACGTTGGTAGAGCGAACCACAGTCTGCATATTCCATAACTAAGCAAAGAGGATTTGCGGTGTGATCGGCGCAGATACCGTACACCGTGATGATGTTGGGATGGCATACTCGCTGCAGTTGACGAGCCTAAACAGAAGAGTGCACAGTGTACGTTATTGCCGAGCCACGAGATTTACGGACCGGTTATATATAGCAGAACGCAATCTCTTAAGAGTGTTTAATGGCAAAACAAGCAACATACCTCGATTTGGAACGACTGAATTTCGGTTTCTGTCTCGGCGCGCTTAACCGCTACCGTTTGACCTTTCCATTTGGCTGCAAAGGACGAAGGATCAGGGAAGGTAACATAACAAACTATCCAAATTCGAAAGTATTTTCCCTTACCACGATACACAACACCGAATGACCCACGGCCAACAATCTGTAAACCATAAATCGTTTAACCGTAAAGTCTCGATTAGTCGAAAGACAACTCGTTACAGACAACCAGTTACAAGTTTACAACTATGTAACCAAGAGAGCTCTGTAAGGTGCATGCATCTGCCTGGACGAAGACTTCGGTTTGGCCTTTCCGAAGAAATGTTTCTTCCCATTGAATCACTTAGTTTATATTATAAGCAAAACCCGTAAAAATTTATTAAACAATTATACGGGTTTTTTAAATTAAATATCATTTTAAATTGTGTTAATAAAAAAGCGGCAATCTCGTCTTCCGGGAAAATCGGGTACCGGTATAATTGCGTTTTGCGAACGAGAGTACTAACATAAGGTTAGCCTTATATTATCATTTTCCAGCCTTATAATCCCGTTTTTGGAAAACGAGCATGTAGTTACTTTATTACACATACAAACAATTTTCAATTTTATTAAATACCCTGAACATCTAAAACAATGCTTGTTACTCCAAGAAGAAAAAGCGAATGCCTTAACAGTCATATTTACAAGTGTAGTAGAACGAATCTGATGTTATAACCATGTTCAGCAATATTTGTTTTGCAAACGCCCAAGACGTAAGCTCCGAAGTGGCGAAGTCCAGTTGTTTTTCGTTTTTCATAAAGCCTGACTACATAACGCAAAGCGATTGTGTTCCATCAGAACAGCTCTTTTACAACCAAAGTACTCGTATAGCATTTTATCACATGCCATGCTTCTTTTTAGTTATTTAACTGCGTTTATAAGCATTCACTACTTAGTACTTACCTCCTCGAAATGTAATTCCGAATATTTGATGTCTTCCAACAGAGATCCCATCGTGAGCAATTTCCGTGAATTTTAAATACTACTTTTTGTATAAGTCAAAACCAGTGGGATTAACTAAAGCCGTGTAACAAAACCATAAGCAAAATTTTCGCCACACGAAATTGCCAGCGTTCTGGTTGTGCCAGTCTGCCAAATACATCAGTTTTATATCTCCACATGCAGAATGGATCATCCGTTATGTTATCAAGTCCAGATACACTGGAGTAAGAAGCCCCACTATCGATCATCAGGAACCATGTCAAAACGTTTGCAGTGCGTAATTGAAAAGAACATTTTACTGCATAACTTTGCAGCGGCGGATAATTTCCGTTCGAGTGCGTATATCATATATGCACACACACATACGAGAAAGACGCAGCAGAATTGTTACTCCGTACAATGGAATGAACACAACGCTGGTGAAGTTGGCGCCTGTTGCCGGAAGGCTCTGTACAGACAATAACCACGGAAACCTGATGGTAAGAATCGTAAAAAAAACCTTCGAAGCAATAACGAGGTGTGTTGGCAGCACCAGCGTTCAATTGCAAATGTCGATGGAGAATGATCGCTGTATTAGCACTGACGTTGTTTGTTGAGAAGCCACTTTTAGCACAGCAGTCAATTTCGGCGTACTTCTAGTTCTACTCTTGGATCGTACTTTCGCGCAGATATCGTAAACCAACTAAGTGCGGTACATGGGCAAAAAGCAAAGAAGCATGGAGCATTCAATTCTCGTCAAGCAGCTGCTCCTGATCAAGCACGCGGCATTTATTACAAGTGGTAAAGACAGCACGCGCCAACCGATCGACTACTGTCTGCTGTTATCACAGAATATCGTCTGTTGTGTACCCGTATAGTTGTACCGGTTAAAAAACAGCATCGGCTGCGAATGTCGCAGCAGTAAGCTGCTTTATCGATCCACAGACTTCAAATAAAGTACTTCAAATCTGACGCAAATCTGATAACAATTTTATTGTTAGTTATATCTATAGAGACACATATTGTACAAGACAGCGTATTAAGTATTTGGCAAATTTGCGGCGTATATAAGAATTATTGCACACGAAAAATGGGTGCAGCTTCGCCTCCGCGTTTCTTGTGGTATACGGTACTTGTTCAAAAATCAGAATCTAAGGAAGCAGTACTCAAAAGTCAGAACTTGGGCCCGGCCCACTTTCGTGACGAAGTTATGAACTTCTTATTTGGATTTTATTTAGTCATTCTCGCTGATTTCACATGCCAGCGTTTTTGAATTTTTAACGAGGTTACCCGAATTGCACAGCTCTGACCGCATGGCTGAATATGGAATATCCATTAATTACGTATTTCGTTCCAACTTCCCAGTTAGCCTGCTGACCAGTGCCTATTAGAGAAAATATTGTAACATCAGCCGGTTTGACTGCTGTTCTAGTGGGTTGGGTTGGTTAATCCACCTTACCACGATCTGTCGGCTGTTAGTGTAGGAAAGGCTGGCACAGTCGGCAGCGATGCTGACTACCGTTTACGGGGTGACAACGGTGGGAGGTGCACGATCATCCCATAGCGGTTAAGCAACACAACACAAGGTCATCGCAGGTGTTTATTAGCAAGTACAACGTAGCAAGAATCAGCGAGCAAAGCAAGCTGAGGAGCAACAACGCATCAGCGTGGGCAAGAAGCGCGGAAGGCGCGGAGCAAGATTCGGAGCAAGCTGCACCAAGACTAATTTCAAGATGTGTCTGACCGTGAGATGCGGGCGGTAAAATGTAGGAAAATAAGGATTCTTCTCTTCATAACACAACAACCAATAATCAGTAGAGAAAAGCAATTAACACTTCTACTGGCGGTACATCGAATTTCTATCGCTATAATATATATTATCTTAAAGATAAAGGCTCCGCATACCTCCTTTATACCGGTACCGCCGGTGGCTCCTAATACCACATTTTACCACCTTTGACTCCTAATACCATCTTTTGCACACCACTTTTGACAATTCCTGTAGGAAATGGCTGCTGTTACCCCCTTGCACCTTTTTTGACTATTGCACCCTTTCACCCCTTTTTACTTCTTATAAGATATTGTCGCTAGTCTGACCTTTCAGCCAACTTCACAAGCCAGTAAGATTGTAAACTACCGGAAAGGAACAAAAGGTGCCGGCGACAACCGAGTGCTGCAGTGCGGAAAGAGGGACAGTCGTGGTTTATATGTATAATTATGACCCGGCGCTTCCTAAGTTCAAAGACGATGTTTTATAAAAGTTAAAGCCTAAGAAGTGCAGTAAAGGAAATAATGTTATAAGATCAAATTGCCGGAATTATTTAGTTATCTCCGATGTTAAAATTTAAATAAAGGTGGATAGACACTTAAAAATATTAACTACTAATAAATGGTGATATGCGGAGTAGTGCCCTGCAACGGACTAGAAAACTTCGTCCAGTCCGGTCCAAACTTAAAAAAATTTATCCGAACCCAGTCCGACTCCGAACTGTAAAAATCTTACTCCGACCAATCCGATCCGTAAATTTTTTGGCCACTCCGAACCCACTCCGATCCGCTCCGAAAATTTTTCCAAAATATTTAATACAGTACTGACTCAGTACTGTATTAAATCTTAACTTCACATCTTAACTTTACAGTATATCAAAAAATTTGTTGGCCATTTTGGCGATAGTAAAAAGACAGACTTCACAGTTTGGTCTTTTCTTGGGCGTAAAATATGTTACTTTAGAGGTTTTATAAAAAAACTTATTTTTTAAATTTAAACTTTTTCTCTACACTATAGTGTAGCAGGATTTCGGGGAGTTAGCTACCTATTCTCACTGTCAGAAATCTGTATCAGATCTTTTTATTGTGTATGGTTCAGACCTGTGCAGTTATTTTTAACTATTTAACGTAACGCGAGTTATTTTCGAGTTATCGAGTTATAACGTAACTCTGTAGCGTAACTCGTCCCCCCGAAAACTTAACTCTAGCGTAACTCGCACAAAACTTGTATGTATTGTCTATCGTAGCGTAACTCCCTGAATAACTCGAAACTCGGTTTACTTGCGTGAATAGCGTAACTCGTAGCGTAACTCGCACGCTCCCTGTAACTCCTAACTCTAACACTGGGTGAATTTTCCATAACTGCACAGGTCTGGTATGGTTCTACCCACGGATCACTAATAGAGCCAAGGTAAAAACGAGGAAGGGATACTTCTAATCGTCCGCAACTGTAAAAAACGGCAGTTTCATGTATTCAAACCTGTTCTTTAGGCTTAGTTTAACATATAAATACAATATTATTATTACCGTTATCACCGGTACTAATCGAATTACCAGCGCTACAACTATAAGAAATGGAAAACCGGTGACCAGTTAAATTGTCTGAGCCGTGAAACCAATGTTGGAGAGCGTAATTAGTAAAATACAAAAAGTATTTAGTAAAACCATAACGACTAATACCATGATACCACCACAGCAATCATAAAACACTAATTTTAAAAATTGTCAAGGGAATTAGCAAGAGAAAGCGAAAGAAATTCATAACAGTTAACGAAACAAAACAGATACTTTGGCATTGTGGCACAGTATGTTAACGCAAATGAAGCCTCGCGCGAAGCGCGAAGCTGACGAAGTTTTTTGTTTGCAAGATGCGCGAAATTCAATAAAAATTAATTAGTAATAATTATTTATTACGGATAATTCGGAGTCTTGATTGCATCCGAATCCGATCCGGTCAGATGCACATAAACTCCGAAACCACTCCGAGTCCGAATTTTCGAGGGTGGAATCCGTCCAATCCGATCCGAAAATCGGAGTGGATTCGGAGCGGTTCGGATTTACCAGTCCGGTGCAGGGCTCTAATGCGGAGTCAAAAGTCGTAAAAGGTGATATGAGGAGCCTTCGCCTATTTTAAATGCTTACTAATTGTTGCATTTGCTGATCTCACTGAAATAGTTTTCAGTTTAATACAAAGGTGATTAATTTTGCGCGTACTTATACAATAGGCTCCTGCAAGGTCACCTTGCAGTAGTACTAGTTTGAATTTACTGATTTACCGGTACTTACCCGAGTCTGTTGGACTGTGTCCGAACAACTCTTCTGCAAAACAAACACGCATGAAACAGTTTGAAAGCATGCTGAATCCGATGGCGTCAGCAGCTGTAAGTGCTTCGCGGTAAAGCCTGGTGGACGGGAATTCGATTCCCTGCGTTGGCAACATTTTTCGGAATAATGCTCAGATTCAGGTTTATTTAGGCTATTCAAGATAACTCTTAGTGATTGCAATCAAACTGCCGAAAAGATCAGTGACAATTTCTGACATCTGTTCTCGTGTAGGTTTGCACGAACGATTTTTGTCATTTTTCCCAATCTTCTTGGTCCCTTTTCGCGAAGACCAGAGTCTACTCGTTAAGAATTCTTTCACCTTGTAACCTGGATTACTAAACAAAATTACCAGTTTCATAAACCCGGTTTTTTCACAACAGTTCATACAGGCGTCAGTTTTTGAGATAAAATTTGCACAAAACGTTCGCGTTATTTTTACAATATAATTGGGAATTGCGACTAGTCCGCGAGAAAGCAAGTCACCCTTAAATTTTGCAGTAATTTAAAAAATCGTTCACAAAATGCAAATGGCAACGTTAGCGTAAACTTTACTTCAACGGCGGCCAGATACGACAGTGGAATGCTAGAAAATGTAATTATATCGGTGCGAACTGCGCAGCACAAATGTCATCAACAAACGTCACATCACCAAAAACAAATGAATAATGACGATTAAAAATTAATGTAATAACTTACAAAAAAGGTCGAGAACATGCTAAAGGAAAAATAGGACGTATTATTGTGAGTTGTTCTGAAAGTAATTTGCGAACGGCCATTGTCCCTCCGCCGTAACAGTTGTTTTGTGTGGACTCCTTTTTGAAAACAAAAATCAATACCCCTTTACTCAGGCTATTGTCAGCACTTTTGACCATTGCCACTCCTTGGCAATTTTTACAATGCTTTTTTGTTGAGCCGACCTTTCAGCCAAGGGTTAAACAATCACCGATCGTCGATGCCGTTATTTATTTATGGGGAAGGCGGCTCCGCACATCACGTTTCACCACCAGAATCTCCGCACACCACGAAACACCACCGCCAGGTTCCGCACACCAATTTTTAATATTTTTTTTTTACAAAACCACCGAAATCTCCTGACACCACCAAGGGCAGAGTGCACACCACCACAGTCTCTACACACCACTATTTAAAACAAAATTTATTAATTGATATTACGGGCGGAAAAAAGACAGCTCTTTCGTCTCGCGGCCTGGCTCCTCTTTTTTGATACCACTTGTTTGCCTCCGCTTCCGTTATAGTTAACAAATTTGTCGGTTTTACAAACTTGCCGAACGCAAGCTTTTTTGCTTGCGGGTGGTTGCGTGCCGAAAGCAAGCAACCACCTGCTTTGCTATGCTTACTTAAGAACTTTCTGTGCATATTTACTTGCATTACGCATGCTGTATCGTAAAGATTTGCCTTGCGCTATATGGAAAAACCCAAAACATTGTAATTTATAAGATACAACATATTTTAAGTAAAGCACTTCGCGTAGTTGTACACACACGAAAAATACAACATAGCTCATGTTAGTCGTTTATACGACCGAGCACTGTATGTTTTCGAAACTACGAGTATAAGGTGGTGTCCCGAGACTGCTGATATTTTTGAATATATATGGGGGTGGCGCAAAAATGGTGGCCCGAGACAAAACGTGGTGCGAACAGTGGTGTGCGCAGCCTAGTGGTGGTGAAAGGTGGTGAGCGGAGACTTCGGTGGTACAGCGTGGGGCTACTTGTATGCAAAGAAGGACCGCTGTTCATTTATGGCTCGGCTCTGCCGCTCTGGCAACGAAACCTTAGATTCCTGCTAGGTATCTCCATTTCTGATACGAAAAGTATTGAGCCAACCGGAAACGACAAAACGCAAATTATGTTTCCGCCAGGGCGAAAGCAGCAGGACGGCTTGAACTACAGCATTTTGCTATCGTATTCGCGGCGGAAGTATTACATCTTTCGTAGCAAAAAAGCATGAAAATGAGACCTCATTTTAGCTACTCTCAAGTGTCAGTAAGCTTCGTTGGGTACGGTAGCTTTTCCTGCTGGTGGTGGCAAGGACAAAATGAGAAAACATCCGCTGGGGGGAAAATTCTACATGTAAAAGTGACAATAACCAAAAGGGGTGTAACACTGTAACTATGGGTGGCATTAATAGTCACACCTTATTAAATGAATGAAATTAAATGAATGAATTAAATGACTTGGTGAAATAAATTAAATGAATTGGTAAATCAAATTAAATGAACAATTTTCGAAGTGCTTTGTAATCTGCACAGGGCAAAAAATTTAAAGTAAAAGCTATGCTGCAATGCAATTGTCAAGTCACCGATGGCTAATCTCAAATTTTGTTGAAATCGGAGTTATGGAGAACGTTGTGTTATGGATCTGGAGCTGAGCTATCACTGCGGCATAATGACATTTCGGCATTCGAGTGTTTGGTCTCGGCCGGTGCATATATCTGCAGTTATCTGACATGAACTTTATTTTAGTGACCTTTTTTGGTAGAGATAGCTGTAAATTTTTGCTTTATCCAAACATGTTCTTATCAAGAACCAGAATGCAACTACCGTACGAAATACTACGAATTTAGGCAATCAGTACTCCCAAAATTCACATACGAGTATATGCGGAGCGACCCAACCATAATTTACCGGAGCATGAAAAGTCATTTTTTAAGTACTGTATCTCCTACAATAGTTTCCAAAAACATATTGCAATGGGTCATTATGGGTGGTATTTATGGTAAAACACCTGAGGCTGCACGATCTTTTTTGCAACAGTGCTTAGATCTACCGTATCTATAGATATGCGACTGTTTTGACAATACTGCTTTACCATCGAATAACTTCACGAAATAGCATATTAACAAATAAGGGGCACAGTGTAATATACAGGTAAGTGCAGAGGCCAGCATATCAAAATTACTTTGCAGAAAAGACTAGTTCGATATTTACCCAGACCCAGCAAACATTATTTTCATCGCCACCTCAAAGAACAACAATCCCCTCGTGCTCCTCATAAGGTCACGACAATACTGTGACGCATACAACATTCTAAAACAACTAACAAAGCAAGCAGCTCCAGAGGAACGCAGAAAGACTAGAACATGTCAAAATAAAAGAAACATCAAACAAACAAGAATGTTACATATCGGTTAGATTCTTTGTACTGCGTCCTGGATCCCACTGGCAAACTAGCAGGACATCCATCAAATCGAAATCACTGCAGCACTGGTTAATTACAAAACAGGAATGCGTTACGCAAGAATTTATTTTCTCTTGGCATCCTGAACGAGCCCTATTCCTGGGTACGCAAATATTGACTCATCTGAAAAATACCGCATTTCTATGAATGCCAGTGTATATAATTTCCAAAACAAGAAACCATGAAAAGAATAATTCATCCAACCTGGAGGGAGAGTGAGCAAATCTGTTGGCAGATCCGCGAAATAATGATGACGAAGAGCATTGTATGCCGAAATACGTTTGTCCGGATTCAGCTGTAAATTTGTAATCACATTAATAAACTAGCGATTCCCAAAAACCACTAGAAACCTTCAAAACAAATGTGCCAAGCAGTGTATGGAAATTAGTGATACGAGGAAAAAACAGATACTTCGTGCAGATACCATACATACTAATACTACACACCAAACTGCCGCAACAAACGCTAATTTCACAACAAAAAACTTTTCTATAATTATCCATGTTTTACCTGCAGGAAGGCGACTGCAATTTCTTCCGCAACGGGATCCGTAAGAAAACGTGGAAATGCATCGTGAAGTGATACTGGCTCATATCGATTCAGATACATCGGCTGATATCCCGATAAATTTTGTACGGGAGGCCAGATCTGCTCGTTGATTGTTCCCAGAACCTGCAGTCATAATTACGATCTCAGCTTACGTAATCCCGCTTCTCACGCATTTAACAATCTCACCCTAAAGATTTGATCGATTTGGTCATCAGCTTCCTTTGCTCCCGGAAACGCCGGTAAACCAGTCACGAGTTCCACAAAAATACAGCCTACGCCCCTGCAACGTTAATCAACACGGGTCGTTAACTACGGCTTTCAGGAAAACAGATGAAAGCATAACGTGATCAAATACCCCATCTCAAGCAACTAAGTATGTATTGTAAATTTACTAAGTTTACTTTAGTACCGTACATTAATGATTTAGCACAACAATAAGTACGTGCAATATTATTACTGAGCCGTTGTGCGAGGTATAAGTAAGTATAGTACTGCAATTATTTTTTACTCTCAATTTCCCAACAGCTGTTCCCAGCTTCCCACCAATTGTTTCGCCATCAAGTTAAAATAAAATAGTGCCCAGATATTTTATATTCGAATGAAAATTTTCGTACTTTCCTGAAGTACTTGGATTTTACATCAAGAAAAAATTAATTAATAAAGAGCAAATTTACAAACAGCTAGAGATACAGATATTAAAATTATACGTAGACGAAAGTCAACAATTTTATACTACGAGTACCTTGTCATAATTAGTTACTTTCATGATTATATTACGACAACAAAAGACTGAATCACGCTTGTAATCAAAATAATTATCGTCTGCCGTGCGGAGGACGATGGCATTGGATTGCCGCTCGTGTTAACTAACACCACACGCTTATTGTTATTGTCCGTGCTCCAACAAGCCGGAAAGCAAATCTAACCGGATATGAGACAATTTAATGGATAAACCCAGCTAAAATCGATTAACAGTGCTTCCTGTGTCACTGAAAAGCAACGGAGCCAACCAAGGCGGATGTACTCCAGCAGCAGCAATACACCAACGCTTACCACATGTCCAGAGAAGTGGAATAGTCGGTTGAGCCCAGAAGAACGTCCGGCGGTCGATACCACAGCGTCACAACTATATTAAGAAGAGGAAACCAGATTGACAACCATTACAAAACGATACATGCATCCTAAGTTAACCTCGGCGTATAGTACAGCCAAGGCTACAGCGTTATTTAACCGTCGCATGCCATCTGCGTAAACATACCCACCCTACGCGCACAGTAGTGCGGCTGCATAGTGTAGTTTAATATTGCAGTACAGCTGATATGGTACAATTATACGTGCCAGATCATCTGTTTTCTTATTCAACTAACCTTCGTGGGAATACGTGTGCGAAGGAATGGATTTCGCCCGAGCCAAGCCTGCAATTCCACGCACAATTTGATCACTCATGGATAACCTATAATCTGCGAGGACACACTGGGCACAAGGGAAAACACCAGGATAAAACTGGCTTACCGAAGTCGGCTAATTTCAGTTCCCCGATGTCGTTAATCAGTAGGTTTTGAGGTTTCAAATCCCTGTTGCAAAATTACGATTATTCAAGCACAATGAGGATATTTTTAAACACAATGCGTACGATGAAAAAATAACAGATGAAAGGACGATGAATACTGACTGAGTAACAGTAACTTGCCACAATTTTAATGCAACGCATCCATCAAATTATAAATTTCAAGATACAAGATTACTACATGAAAAAACTCTAGGACAGTGTGGACTTGCCGCCGTTCACCCTTAAACATTAACTTTACAAGATGCAGAAGCCGAAAAACCATAAAGCTATGGTAGTGGTTTTTTGACAATAACATATTAACCGATATGAGAAAAATAACAACTACAAAAATAACGGGAACGCATACAACACAGGTTTCGTTAAGGCTATGACCATCAGAAAAAATTTGCAAAAAGAAATTTGGATCAAAACAGTTGACATTTCGGAATGTTAAGCGTGACGAAAAGGTCAAGTTTTTAAACGCTGTTCTAGGGAAATCAAATGGTCTGTGATCAAGTCAAATATTCTGAGATTATGCAAGCCGGTTATCGCAATACTAAACAGTCTGTAAGGTATTGGGCATTGACCTGTGTAGTATTTTCCGCATATGGCAGTATTGTAAACCACGGAGCAACTGGAACAAGAACAACTGCAAAACAAAAGCATTCTCTCAAACATCAGCCATGCGACAACGGAAGTAGACCTCTGTCGTGTTCATACTTTCGCGTTGTGCAAATGTAAACCTCCAGGGTGCCTGTCCAAATATTGGCCAAGATTGTGAGGCTACAGATGGATGACACAAAGTAACATTTTTAAAATTATCTAGCTTTACACGTATTTAAGCAGGAGCAACGGCAAACTACATATGTTGTCTGAAGGATAACCGATGAAGACCATCAGTCATCATCAGATGCCGGACAGACAGTATTGTCTGGTCTACGACAGTAGTTGGCTCGGTGATAAATAGTCCCATCTAAATTAAAACTTACCACAAATTCAAACACAAACGTCAATGTCTCTTTTGTGTGAACTATGTCATGCAACGTGACAATGTTTGCGTGCTTCAGTCCTTTCAAGAGGGAAGCTGTAAAACAATCCCAGACTGCCGACCCCATCATTTGAACGGCAACAAATTATCGACCCTAATGGTCGCAGCATATGCCCCAGCAGACAAACCAGCACTCATTAAACAACCGACCTTCTCGAATGGCTGTGAATGGAGTGCCTTCTTCAGGGTTGATTCGGATTTCCTTAAGGGCCACTATTTGGTGATTACGGCTGAAACACAAAAAAACTAGTAACTCGACACTGTACACTGGGATTTACAAAACCATTATGTAATAGTGAACCTTATGATCCTTATATACTTGTCAAGCCTTTTTTCACACTGTGTAATTATAACATCCCGTGACAAAATGGCAATATCAGAAGCAACTCCAATATCATCATTATTACTGCAGAAACTCGTATTATACCATCAAATTCGAGCTAAAATTTCAAAATTGGCGGTGTATGGAAAAAACACAAAAACATAAGTATAAATGCATAATTACTGCCAGAGTGAGCAACAACGGGATGGCAATAGGCGGTAAAATTCCGAACTCGTGCGTACACTTGCGCATCTATGGTAACTGGAAAAATCGATTGCTATTTCTTTTTAATGAGGAGTTCAAATACGCACTGACGTTAATGAAATTTTGTAGCCCATAATCACAGTCCACTACAAAAATTATATGGTATCGACTAAATGTATGCAATTATTAGGGACGTACACGGAGAATCCTTTGTAAACAATAGCATAACTGCCTTCGCCCAACTGATCCAATTTAATATAGCTATCCAACGTCGTAGTAAAAGGTCGCGATTCCTACACAACATATACATCACAATATAAACAACCATCAGCCTTATAGCTCATAACGGAAATTGATTGCCTAACCGGAGTGAAAGACCGTCGTCGGCTGTAAGCAGCCTGCGTATTGATTGTATCCGATTCACAAATGATCTCAGACTTTGGCCGCGGACGAAAGCGCTTGGCTGGAATGGCATGGCCGGCATCCTCTGACTGCGATATGTAGCCGGATGTGAATACCTGGCTTTGTGAATGAGCGATGGAGGAATAATTTGGTGTATCCGTTCGGGACTCAGCATCATTGGATAATGCACCGAACAATCGAAAATTAAACAAACTTTTGGAAGGACGTAGTTTCCGCTCACTAGTCGGAAGTGCGTCGGATAGTTCGGCACTTCGCTCACTGCGACTGAATAAACGGGAGACGCTGCGTGTGCGAGAGTTTTGAGTTAGCTTGGAAAAGCTTTTCCATCCACTTTTCTTTTTGGGATAAGGCGAACGCAGACGGTCCTGTGAGCCCACCGAAATTTTATCATCGGTACCGCTCCGGTTGCTGCGATTCTCGACCAGTACGAAATCGCTCGAGGATTTCGGCACACCATGGATGCCGTTGTGCCCTTCCGGTTTCAGGAAATTATAATCAGTTGGGCTATGAAATCGGCTGTCTGATCTTGTTTCGCTTATTGAAAGACTCTCGTGAATACCCTACAGACAGAAATATAATCACACAATCTCGAAGAAATTTCAAAATAATTGCCACTGATCGGCAAATGTGCCAATTTTACAAGAAAAAAGGTCTTGACACAACTTTTTAGAAAGTGAATAAATCGGATAAAATCATTAGAACAATTTCATAACGCTGTGATGGTAATGATGCCTCATTACGCAGGCTAAGATCCAGCTGTGCTTCTATGTCCAAGAAACGGTGTCTTGATCACGAACTGATTAAGGGCCCTGTCGTAAAATCCTTTCATGCGAAACGTTCGTTCACAGACAATACAAATTGCCGATAAGCATTCGAGCAGCACAAGCTGCTTCCGGATGATAAACTTAATTCATACAACATCAACGGCTTAATTATTTCTCGAAAAACACCACCGAAAAATGATAGAATGATTTTGATTTTGCGAGACTATTGTCATTAAATGTCATATACACGGCATAACTGCTCCGTACGAAAAATTCCAGTGTTATTAACACCCTTATGACATCACCAGATTTTTACTAGGTAGGGGTAGTAATGATTTCCTATGCGGGAAAAAACTAACCGGTTCCCACCGGTAAATACTCTTTGCACCTGCACTACCACACAGCCTTGCTTGAACGAAAACACCGATAAATCAGCATGGCAGACTTTTCAATGTTGGCGATACAGTTGCCTGATGTGAAAGTCAATGCTTTGTTTACCTAAGCAGATTAAGCACGAAGGGTTCATCTCGTGCGTAATGATACGAACATTCCTTAAGAAGAAACTAACCCAAATCCTATGTACGTAAATAAGAGATTAAAACATTATGCACCTTTAATGGACGATTTCGTGCTAGCGGAGATGATGCACTCTTTCCGTTCCGACGATCCTTTCCATTAAGAACTGAAATCAAACAAAATGCACAATAAAGAATTGTTTATTTACGGTATCTCACTAGTATCATTTTACAGTGCTTCAAACACCTAATTAAAAAAACGCTACGCTTCCACACAACTATAAAAAATAAAAATATTTTAACAAATTTTGTTATAAGAAAATACTTGTTGACCTTATAGTTTAGTGGCATGGCTTCGTATCCTTATTTGCTTGGTAAGTAAAGATAACTTCCGATTACTTATCGACTGGGTAAAAGCATAAGACAGAAGTGTACCAGATCGGCCTAAATATGGTATCTTCAAGATTCCGTTGTACAATTATTGGTATTACACTGTAGATAAAACAGCCATTCAATTTAATTAATTAAGAAGCTAGTAATATGTTAAGAGCTGATATACTGTACACGATAACATATTTTTACTGAAAAGAGAACTTTACAATGTTGTACCTCGCTATTATACCGGCTTTGCCTTCAAAATTCTACAAGAAAGTTTTGCTGGCTCATTCAAAACAGTAAGGAATGTATAATGTCAACGCAGACACGGGAAATTAGTTCAGAATAATTATTTTTTTAAAAACGGCATAATGCGTAATGCAAAGCAATGATAAAGCTTTTTCTTGCAAAGAAGTGATTAATTACGATAAATAATTAGTAAACTACATTTACATTATGGTTTGCAGCGTTCTGCTGTCATAAATACAGTGTGGGCGAGATTATAATTATTTTGTTACATATGCAGGAATACCGAAGGTGCTAACTGTTAACGAATTCTAGAAATTAAGTACTAAACTTCAGTTAACTAAAATTCGTCACTGCAAGCGAAAACCGCACCTTCGAACAACTCCGTAAAACTACGTACTTACTAGTTAATACTTACCATTAATACTACTGACTTGAAAGACCACACTATAATACAGGTTCTGCGTATTCATTTTTACGGACGTGACTTTTATGGAATACAAGCAATCCAAAAACCAGCTACCATTGAAATCATGTAAACAAAATAATTACGCTATCCGTCACGATAAATCGAGTCAATTAGCGAATGCCGTACGCTTTGGGGGGAAAGCTAACAACAAAATATGAATTTCAAAAAAGAAGTTGTGCTCGTGCTTCCATTGCTGCCAGCAGCTATATACGATCGGGTTGGTATCACCAGGATTTAAACTTATTCGGCAAAGTTAAAACAACTGAGACTACTGAAGAATAATGCAGGCCAGACGGAGAAATAATAAGCACTAGAACAACGGAAAAAATCTAACCAAAGTAATTCGATTTTGATACGAATTTCAATACCGGGCATCGAGATCTTAATTCGGATTTTGCACATAACAGATTTCGAAAGTTTAACTCTGCTCTGCCTAAATAAATGTTCTTTGAAAGCAGAAAAAACTGAAAATCCTTACCGAATCTGTTCCAGCTCGCACTTAACTGGCGTTTGAACCGTAAGAGCGGATTTTCCACACTCTGGTTTCGAACATGGACGGGCTGTGCTGCAGGATTTGATTTCATTTCCGTAATATCCGAAAACGCGGACGGGTTCAAAATGGCAGCATCAGATCCTTTAGGCACATTTGGTTCATGGATTTCGGACGGAAAAGCTGCAGCCGCCGACTGCATAAGCTGATTTGTGTTATCCTTTAGAGTACCGTAAAAATTTGATGCTCATAAATCCATGCGCGATAAGCCTGCAAGTTTGGCCTTCTTGACCGCAATGGGAACTGATAAGCTGAACAGATTCCAGCAAAACACATCTCCACTTTCCCATAATTCAAAATATTTCACATTGCGTATTTAAATTACATTTTGATGCGCGAACATATATGCTGCGGGTCCAGATATAATACGGCAACAGGGTTAGTTCTGCAAACATCACAAATTTATTTAACCAGTAACACAGTACCTTAACTCATTTTAAATACGTACTTAACTGAATTTAAAATTAATTCTACTGGAATGTGACACCATAGTTAAATCGACGCCATGAACTGAAGACCACCATTAATAGCAAAAAGGAAAACCGAAAATACACCGTATCCGAGTAAAACCGCAAATCAAATAAAAATACCGTCTGCGAGTATCCGATGAGTTAATTATTCCAGTAGCAGCGTCCTTTGTGCCAGGAGCAAGCAAAATATGTAATTCTGGATTTGCGTAAACAACAACCTGTAATTTCCTGCAAACCACAACAACCAGTCAACCACCACTGAGCGCAGCGGATTTTCAGAATGTCGGACTGATACGATCGAAAGAATGGCCTTACTTCACCTCGCAGATTTTCGACTCATTCATTGGCCGATATTTCGATTCTAGTGATTGGACTCAGTGCAGTTGAGTCGGTGCATGAGCCGAGTACAGAGTTGATTACGTACGAATTTAGCCAATTGTACTAGTACATGCAGTACGTACTTTTACTATACCCTTCGCGCCGTATTATAAATACAATACAGGCGGTACGATTGAAGTGCAGTTTACATAATACACTACGTGGACAATCTCTCGATTGTGTAGCGGCAGCTTCGGTATAAGAAAGAGGAATACTGGGATTTAAAATAATTTCGGATTTGTGTATATAAAAGGAATAATAATAGTAGGGGAAAGAATTTTGTGAGTGCATGAAAAACATGAGAGGTTGTGGGTGTTCCTTTACTACAGTTGGGAACTTGAAAATTGCGCATTTAGTCAGTAACTTTCCGTAGGTTTACGCAGTCATTTTGGTAGTAGTAATATGTGTAGTCAAGAAAGTTGATTGCTTAATGGAGCGAACTATTATTTCTTGCACTGATAGTCTTGGATGTGTAGTAACGGGTGGTTTGTATATCGGATGTAGGCTGGGACGTACATTAAAGATTGTTCGTGAAAATGTTTGGTTTAATTGGTTTGTTGACTGGATTTCTTGAGTTCGGTGGGTATATTAGAAGTTGAGGAAAGTTGTGTTTGAGTTATTATGGATTTGACGAAACATATGCAGTGAGGAAAATGATTTTCTTTTTGGTTATTTTCTGATGGCCGGTTTAGAATTTCGGAAGCGTACTGATTTATTTTGTTGCGTTTTGTTTGGCTTTGGTCGTTTTAGGTTGAGTATAATTTAGTAAGTTTTCTTTCATAGATAGTTTCTTTTAAGTATTGGTTTTTTAATAAAATAATGGAAACTGGTTGTGATCGCAAGAAATACATGCGTGAGTATGTGCGTGATTATAGAAAAAAACCGCAAAATGGAAACTGATGGTAATTGTAGCAAGGAAGATAATGAAGTAGTGATGATGTTAGACATGAAAATGTAAAGTTAAAAAACAAAAAAGTAAACTCAACAGGGTCAGCAAAACACAACAATTCAGGACAAAATCGTAAAGTAATGCTTAGAAAAGATCCGGACAACCATTACACATTACCATACTCCGCAAATGTCATTTTGCACCATTGTAATATGCTTGACTACCTCGCGTAACCTTTCAAATTTTTGGATATAAAAACTTAGCAACGATTTTATTACCTAAATCTTTCCCTTTACAAAAATTGTCATTTCTCTTTACAAAAACTATCATTTTTAAGAACATAATTAATCGTCCGTTCTACCTGATCCCGTTGATAAAGGTTTAGAGCTCGAAAACGTATGAGCAATCTTTTTGAAACCTATTCTCTGCACTTAAAAGACGCAGTTTAAAATATTTTTCAGGAGAAATACTTTAAGGCCGATCATCAGTTAAACCACCATAACCAAACGGAAATAGATTAGGATGCGCTTTTTTCTTCTAATCCAGTTTGTGATTTCCAGTCCCAGATTAATTCCGAAATCAAAAAACCCGTTATTAGAAATAAAAAAATCAAGCGCCTTATAGACAATATTAAAATCAACAGAATAAATGACTTTTCGACTACAATGATCAAAATCATTTTTTTAGCCTGACATACAGCTAATAAACAATCTGTAGCCGGTCGTGGTAGCAAACATTCGAAATTTTCACTAGGATCACTAGTTACATGAAAGAATTGCCCTACACATTTTGTTAAGCTATTTTTCAAATGCAATATTGTCGAAAAAGGCTGTACTAAACGCACTGCCTGGACTTCCATGTAACCAAGATTATTTAACCAATTTTCTCAACCAATATCTAAACAATTTTGCCGTAAATCGTAAACACAAAAATTAAAATTTTTATGCTTACGTAAAGTCATACATCCTGCACATAGTCTAGCATCAGCTTTTAAATCACTATGTAACATTCCTGAATTATCACCATTCAAATCAGATGCAACTAAAATATTGCAACAATCGCACGGCAATGAGCAACCATGACCTTTCTCCAATAACTTTTTCCAAACATACCAGAAAACGCACCACCTTTAGTATTCTGATTACATTTTTGTTTCTAACTTTTACATTCTCATATCTACCATCATCACCACTTCCTACATTATCCTCATTGCTACAATTACCATCAGTTTCTATTTTGCGTTTCTTTCTATAATCACGCATATACTCACGCATGTATTTCTTACGATCACAACCACCTTCCATTATTTTATTAAAAAAAGAATTCTTAAGCGAAAATAATGTATGAAAGAAAACTTACTCAACCATACTCAACCAAAAAAGACTTACCAAAGCCAAACAAAAGACAGCAACCTGAATCAGTAAGTATTCACAAATCCACACCGGCCACCAAAAAATAACCAATAAGAAAAACATTTTGCTCACTCCATATGCTTCGCCCACTCCATAATAACTCCAACACAAGATTCCTCAACTTCTTATATACCCACCGAACTCAAAAAATCCAGTCAACAAACCAATTAAACTATACGTTTTCTCGAACAACCTTTTAATGTACCTACCAACCTACTTCCGATATACAAACCACCTGTTCCTACACAACCAAGACTATCAGAGCAAAGCATAATAGTCTGCTCCATTAAACATTCAACTTTCTCGAAATTTCTTGAATTTTCCACAACAATCCATCACCATCTACAATCCGCAACACACTCCACTTCCTGTAACACTTCATTAAACACTCAAATACGAACAACCAGAAAGTCGAATATATTTATACCATACTACAGTAAAACTCCCACTTCCTTCACCCTAATTCAATGTAGAACCTTTCTTCCCTACACTGGATTAGTGCACTCTTTCTTCATTATCACTTTTCGTCAAACATATCACCTTTGATATAATTTACTATATTATTAAATTCCTTATTCAGCACTTTATATTCCTACCTCTTATAATCTCCACAGACAATATGCTCCTGCAATGTACTCCTACATTATGTAGGAGCATATTGCAATGTGCTCCTACATATGTAGGAGCACATTGCAATGTGCTCCTACATATGTAGGAGCACATATATGTAGGAGCACATTGCGAGGTGCTCTTACATATGTAGGAGCACATTGCAGGAGCATATTGAATTACGTTTGTTTGGATACTACAATTCCGTTTTTCTCCTCCAAGAACCGATGCAATGTGCTCCTATATAATGTAGGAGCACACACATAATGTAAACTAAAAAAGATGCCGAGCTAACAACGCCATCTACAACTTTCACGCATCGTTACTCGACTCATGTCACATGACTCGTGTCACATGACTGTTAGGCCCCACCGCTTCCTTCAACCGGCCGGACCCTTCCGTACTCTACGGGCGCCAAAATTTTTTTTTGTTTACACACGGATATCGAAGACCAAAAACCGAAACTACAGTTTCATATATGCTACGACTGATTCTAGTCGTATACCGCATATAAGAACCTGTCACGGTTCAAATGAACCTGCCGCAAAATATGACTTTATGTCGACGGTCCGGCCAAATGGGCGTTTTGCTTTTTCTGCACCAATATAAAACTTATTCGAATTATTTTAAATGTGATATAAATTTAGGTAGTAGTTTATTCTGTACAGATAGCAAGTATTTTTCTTTTATTGATGAGCGAATACAAAGTAATCTGGTATCCACAAAAGAAACATTACATTACGAATTTAACAAACAGCGGAAACAGGCGGCCGAATTACTGAGAACATTTGATCTAAATTAGCCGTGGCTGGTGCCGTTCCCAGGATGGATGCCGCGTTTTATTTACGATTTTTTAAGTGGTACGAAAGTGCAATACTGTTATATTTGCGCCAGTAATTCGTACGCTACATGCTAATATTATTAAAGTTTTGATATTTTTCTCGTTTTAAACTTTATGCATTACACAGTGCAACTGAAGCGCGAGCAACCTGAAACACGCGTGATCTGATTGTGAGCGGTTAGAAAGTACTTTGACAAACCATAACTTTATTATGAATGCGTACTCATTTCCCTACAAATTATGTCGTTTCGGAGCAGCATCTGCTAACAAGCGTTAAACTATATTATCTCAAAATCGTAGAGGAAGTTGCAGCAGCACTTGTACATTAACAACAACGCATTCTTAAAAAATATTAACAACAATTAAAAATTATGATTTACTAACTTGAACGCGAACGATGACGAATCCCATTATCGCAATGAGTCTGGTTCGTGTCTCGTGGTAATTCGCATACACATGACACATGTAAACACATGACACAGAAAAAGCGAAAAAATTAGTAGCATTTCAGTGAACTCAAACTGTATAAAAACAAAACGTCATGAATACAAGGACCATGGATGCATGGGTGTCGTATATCTTTGGAGAGGTTGAAATTTGGTGAAAGCTTAATACTGTAAGAAATAAGTCATTAGCGTGAGATTTCGCTGGAACATACCAGGTAACGAAACTAAGTGGACGAATGATTTTTCGAACGACTTCCACCAGGTTCAGGATGCTGATGTGCCGCAGAATGTTCATGCCGTGATGAGGAACCAAAAATTTCCGGACTGGCTTGCGATGAACTAGCCTGCTCAGTCTGCGGCATAGCCAGTAAATGCAGTCCTGCTGGACGCGTTGCGGTGGGTTTCGGTGCAGTGTGGTGCGAGGATGACGGGTTGCGCGATCCTTGCGATGGCCCACGAGCCTCTTTGCTGTGCGCAGCAGAGGGATCGATCATCTTTACCATGCTCATATTGGGCTCCTCGCAGATGGGAAAACAAAACTCCCCCGTTTTCCTCAGCTGTCCGCCTTTGCCAACGTAGAACGTCAGCGCTCCCTTAAAAACCGTAGCAAAGCCGTTGTACACTCGACAGATATCTCCTGGTCGGAGACATTTTCCGTTGTCGCCGATTACGGCCAGGTTAATGGCGCCGCTAATGTCAGCCACTTTGAATACCCAAACATTGGCGCCGTCCTTCGTGTGGTTCATACCGATCTGCTCCAGCACCATAAATTCCGTGTTGGTGTTTTTCATCCCCGCTTTCAACTCGCGGATTGGCAGGTGATTTGTCCATGGTGGATTCGACATTCATGCGCTGCGCGCGGGAAAAATTCAGAACACTTCTGATAAGAATTTAAAAGATGCATTTGTTCGAAACTGTTCGGTGCTGTTTAACTTGTATTCGTGCTTCAAGTATTTACGATTCGCTTTACTACGGCTTCTCGCTTACTTTTTCGCGGTCCGGATAAACGCAATTCCTTCGCCGTTTGGCCAGGAATGTTTGCACCGTGTTATAAACTCTCCTCGCAGTCGCCACCAGTCCTCCAACAAAATAAATAAATCATCACAACTCGAAAGGGGGAGACAAGGTGGGGGGAAGGAGGAAAAAATCAGCCAGGTACTGACAACAACAACATTGGAGAGTAACACTGGTAGTCTGCCTAAGCGCACTACAAGGCGTACAAGCAAATGAATTTATGAAAAACAGCTACTATTAATTATTATGAGTAAGATTATACCGGTACCGGTACCTCGTATTCCTAATGAAAACAATGAGTACTACCCTAGTGGGAACTGGGAACAATGAAAACCGTTTTTGGGAACGAAAAATGTTTTCAGTTTCCTTTTTGAAAACCAGAAAGCTTTTGACTGCTTTTCTCGTGAATGATTCTGCACCCATTCACCGCCAGTTTTACCCAGGCACAAGTGAACTGGTAGGAAAGCTCGGAGCGGTTGCAACAAGCGAACATTTCAAAGCTTTTACCGCCCTCGGGAAGCTTACAGAAGTAAAACTAACCGTACTAACTTGCATCAGAAAGTCTCATGGTCAGAATGTGGTAAAGCCTTAAGGCTTAAAGGCTCCAAAAATAATATTGTTATGATTTTATCGCGTTCTCAATGGATTTTCCTTTTAAATTTTAATATTAGTTTTTGAATTATTTATTTGAACAGTAGAATTTCTTGCATAAACACAGCCGATAGTTCGAAGAAGTAACTTCGTTTGTTGTCCGCTGTTTGATGACGGATTGGTCATTGGTGCGATAGTAGTGAATCTTTGGACTTATGATTTATCTGTAAGTTAAGCGGTAAGTAATATTAGCCGTAAACGTTAAAACGTTAATACTCAGAAATTTATGATTTGCGCTCCAGTTCTTCAGTGAGCACACCGATCACGGGCTCCGATCAAGCAGTTTTTGTTTGCAGTAATAGAATGGTAACCGCATCAGAGTAAACCAATCGACCGTATGTGAGTTGTTTTCGGGAAATTCGCCTTATTGCTTGCGCTAGCCGCTCTCGCACCAGCCATGCACTTCGCAGTGCATCATCATATCCGCCGGTGCTGCCAGAGGTGAGTTTCATGGCTTCTACGACAGATCCATGAGTTTACATTGTTGAAACGAGATATATTATAGATGCCTTTCCAAGGGGAAGGTGCGCAGCTTGGATCCTTCTCAGTCTGGCGGCCTGTTTCGGGTCTTCACGCGTCCGTCTTCGGACTCTCCGGTTTGGACCCGTACTAAGTCCGCGACGATTGAAATCCCCTTCTCCAACGACAGGCCTATGAGGATAAGTTCGGGGAAGCTTGCACGTTTTGCAGATGGGAGTGCTGTCGTGCAGTTAGGTGATTCCATCGTTTTGTGTCATCAATTTTGCAGCTGGCACTCACTGCACGGATTTTCATTTTTTAAACTTTGTGAACCATTTCAGGGGACACCACCGTGATGGTAACCGCCGTCGGCCGCACTCTCGGCCCGAGTGCCACGGCATCCTTTGTGCCTTTGGTGGTTGATTACCGACAAAAAGCTGCTGCTGCTGGACGAGTTCCCACTAATTATCTGAGACGAGAACTGGGACCATCCGAAAATGAAATTCTGACCAGTCGGATGATAGACCGGTGAAACAATTATTTTATTTTCATTCTTTTTGGTAAATTGACGCATACATATACCCACACAATTTATGAATGTAGACTGCGGATGAGATGTATCAGTACTAATTTTTGGCTGCTCTTTAATGCTTAAAGTTTATGTAGCGTTAATAATTATATTGATGCTAATATTTATATCACTTTTTGTTAATATCACCTAAGAATGGATTCCTTGATTTCTTATTTTCGTTGTGTTTTGGTTTTTGACAGGTCCGTTAGGCCGTTGTTTCGTTCTCGGCCCTTATGTGATACACAGATCGTTTGCAATCTGTTGGCAGTTGACGGCGTGCACGATCCTGACATTGCCAGTATTAACGGCGCATCCGCCGCACTAACGTTGTCCGACATTCCTTGGGATGGACCGATTGGAGCGGTGCGTGTCGCATTGATTAGCGACCAGCTAATTGTGAACCCGACCCGAAAAGAACGTTTGTCGAGCCCACTGAATCTGGTGATTGCCGCCACCGAGCGTAACCAGGTGGTTATGATTGACGCCTCCGCTAACAACATTCTGCAACAAGATTTTATGAAGGCGATTAAATTTGGCGTTAAAGAAGCTCAAAAAATTGTTGCTGAACTAAACAAACTTAAGATGATGATTGGTAAAGAAAAGCGGCTGGATGTGCCTCCTCCAGCGAAAGTTTCGATTCCCGCGCCGGCTCCGGCGCTGATCAGTGCGGAAGGCGAAATTGAGAACCTAGTTCCTCCTACATCGCCTGAAAAAGTGCGTGAACGATGTTTCGAGTTAGCAGAGTCGAAGCTTCAGAACGTCTTTACCGATGTCACTCATGACAAAATCAGCCGGGATGTGGCTGTCTCAGAAATACGTGCGTTGACGTTGGAAACTCTAAGAAAGGAATTCGTGGATTTTGACCCTAGTCGAATGACTGAAATCTTCAGTACGATTTCCAAAGGAATATTTCGGGATTTGATATTTTCAACCAACACAAGGTACGGCTTCCTTAAATTTTTCTGCGTATGATTGCGTTTGCTTGTGTTTAAAAATTTTTTTAATGTGATCTGAGCGATGTGTAAGTAGTTTTGAAACCTATTAGATGACTGTCTGCATTTGAATTAGTTTTGCAGCAGAGGAGCCTTGGTTTTGCAATATTATGCAAAAAACATTTTTTCATCAGTTCCATGATTCTGATATGCTTGCCTTCAGATGCGATGGACGGAGTCTGAGTGATTTGCGGCATATACGTTGTGAAGCGGGAGTTTTTCGTCCGCTGCACGGATCTGCGTTATTTGAGCGTGGACAAACTCAGTGTTTATGCACGGTTACTTTTGACAGCATTGATTCGGCTTGGAAAGCTGATCCAACTTCCGTCATAATAAGGTAATAATAACCAGAAAACTGTTTTCCCACTGAGTTGAACGTTATAGTTTAATGTATTCGGACCACAATACCTTACAGCGGCAGTTTATCAGTTTTTGTGGATATTAAATTGTTTGCAGTGGGTTGAAAGAAAAGAACTTTATGCTTCATTATGAATTTCCTCCATATGCAACGAACGAAACCGGACGCAGTATGGCTTTTGGACGACGAGAGTTAGGGCATGGTGCGCTGGCAGAAAAAGCCTTACGAGCCATCATACCATTGAATTTCCCCTTCACTATTCGTTTAACATCAGAAGTACTGGAGTCTAACGGTTCCTCGAGCATGGCCACTGTTTGCGGGGGTAGTTTAGCCCTGATGGATGCCGGTGTACCAATCACCGCACCAGCTGCCGGAGTCGCGATCGGATTGGTTACAAAATACAATGAAACGGGAGATGAAATAACAGATTACCGAATTCTGACCGATTTACTGGGTAGGAATGGTGCCTTCGGTCAAAATTAGGTCGGTCAGCCTAATGGTGCCTTGTATTCCTTATTTAGGTATCGAAGATTATCTTGGTGACATGGATTTTAAAATGGCCGGAACAAGAAGTGGTATAACAGCATTGCAGGCTGATGTTAAGATTCCGGGATTACCGCTAAGAATCGTGATGGAGTCCATACAAAAAGCCACGGAAGCTAAAAGCAAAATTTTAGATATTATGGCTCAGTGTGTTCGAGAACCTCGCCAAGAACGCAAGGAAAACGCCCCTGTAACGGAGAAGTTGGAGGTTCCTGTACATAAACGAGCTAAATTTGTCGGATATGGAGGGTACAATTTACGGCGAATAACGGTGGAGACAGGTATGGTGTTTTACTGACAAATTTCAAATTTATGCATGTACTGGAAGATGTGTATATTATTATTTGTGTAGTTTATCGTTGGCCTTCTGGGTTGGCGTTTATGTTGGACCTAATGCTTTCTTGTTCTGTGTTGAAGCGATACTGTACTATCTTAACAATTGTCGGTATATATGTAGACCATAACATATTGAGAGAGTTTAGTATTTTGGTACTAATTGGATCTTGATATTGTTATCGTGCTATTGAAATAAAGTACACTGGATTTGGTAGATGTACCTCTTTTCTTAGGCGTCCAAATCACGCAGATTGACGATTCTGTGTATAACCTTTTTGCGCCCAATCAGATGGCTATGGATGAGGCTAAACAGATGATTACGGAATGTCTGGAAGAAGAGCGTGAGCCGGACTTGCAGTTTGGGGCGGTATATTCGGCTAAAATTGTGGAGATCAGGGAAAGCGGATTAATGATCACGCTGTACAACGGTCAAACTCCGTTTTTATTGCCGAACTCTCAGTTAGATACACGGAAAATCGCTCATCCAGATGTGTTAGGGTTTGAAGTTGGCCAGGAAATTTCCGTGAAATATTTTGGCAGGTAATAAAGCACTAAATACTATTGGTGTAACTTTGTTAACACTTTTCTGTACATCGCTCATGCAGCAGGGATTTATGATTGCAGGGATCCAGCCACCGGACGCCATCGTGTTTCTCGCAAAGTTCTGATGAGTGTGCCTACTTCCGCCGCAAGATCGCTCAATTAGTGATAGTTGTCATGTTTTATGGTTTTCGAGACGATGATTGTTGTGTGTTTTAAATTTGTTACGCAGTGTATGTTTTAACGGTGTCATTTCAACACTGTTGTAGTACTTCCGTTGAGATATTGCAGAATTTAACTTAATTTTTGTCTTAAAGCTAGATTCGGATTTCTGAGTGAATAAACTAAAATTATGATGAACAAGGTTACTGAATATTTCGGAACCTAACACCATAAGCTAATTTAAAGAACTACGATTTGAAATCATTTTATTGTTGGATTACTGTCGAAGTACAGACTTTCTCCAAATTTGAAAATATGTATATTATGGTGCTTTGGTATGATTGGTACCAACTGAGTTACAACTTACGGTACAGCAATTTCACTCGCTGAGCCCTATGATTTTGTGCATCAAAACGAAACCGTTATTAAGTACTTATTGTTAAAGTACTTAAGGGTTTAATTAAGCGATATGGTACTTATACGATACATAAATTAATGTTCTCGTAAAATCTCATCTGTCAGAAATTCTAATGTCGTGGTTGTTGCGCATGCCCATAGAAGACGCAGAAGTGGTTCGATTTCTGAACGCATGATTTGGCGACCAAAGTATATCTGTGACCTTGCCAAAAGAACAGATTCGATTAATTGTACATCTATGGCGGAAGATGCTCGAGCTGCATACTAGGTACTTCGCCCGAGACAAGTTAGCTCGATGGGTCAACACTGGCGATTATTTCGATCGTTTTCCAGATTTTGTTTCTCGACGTTTTTGAATCCGCTTTTTATTTTTTTAAATACAGTATGTGTGGGGTAGAAGTATCTGTAACTACAGTACAATGCTTTGGTTAGCTCGGTGCCTAATTAGATATTTACTAAACTTTCACAAATAATTCGTTTTTAAAGACGTTGCAGTTTTTTTCACAAACAGCTCACGATGTCATATCATGCTTTGTCAGGACGATCTAGTAGAAAACGGGACACATGCAGCGATGTCAGTCAGACTCAGACATGCTTTTTGCTAATTGTAAGTACGTAGTTGATATGCAATTTGCATTACTACGCGATGACGTTTCACTCTGTGTGCAGCTAAAACGTACCGGGAATAAAACGATTGCATACGTACTTGTATTTGTGTGAAATAATGCGGCGCAGATAATTTATTACAAGCTGAGCACGGATGAATATTGGCTTGCGACTATTTGTAGAATTTTGTTGCCGTCAAATCATGCAGTATGTTGCAACATCGTTAGAAATAAGCTGTTTCCCTAGAGCGAGCACCCGCCCTTGTCGGCCTTATGGCATCCATGGTAACAAGCTTTAAAGTGACCACTGGTCATGAGGTTCTGCAGACAGCAAGCAATAACTGGTCTCAGAACACCCGCGTGATCGAGAGGTTTCTAACGCATTTTGAAGTAGGAAAATTGGATTTGCAGAAGCTGAGATCACCGGCGCCGAATGAGAGGGGCCGAAATCCTGGCACAGATAATTAGTATTCATATAACAAGCTGAGCACGGATGAATATCGGCTTGCGACTATCTCAGATTTTTTTATCAGAATAATGCAGTATGTTGCAACATGGTTAGAACATAAGCTGTCTCCCTGGAAATGTGCAAATTAGTAAGCACACGAGCGTGAACCCGCCCATGTTAGCCCAATGGCATCCATGGTAACAAGCTTTTGAGTGACCACTGGACTTGAGGTTCTGCAAACTGGCAACGACGATCGGTCTTAGAACACCCGCGTGATCGGGAGGTTTTTAAAGCATTTTAAAGCAGGAAAATTGAATGAATAGAAGCTGAAATCACCGGCGCCAAAGGAGAGGGGCCGAAATCCTGGCACAGATAGTTAGTATTCATGTAACAATACAAACCAATCGATAAATAAGTAAGCTACGGTTTAGTATGAAATGCTGCCTTTGTAGATTCCGAATGTTCTTGCGATTTGATTGCGTTGAATACTTTATCCTCGACTTTTCGGCGTAAACTATCCAGCTGTACCATATTAATTATCTGTCATGTCTGCTTCTTATTGATTGTGGCAGAAAACGTTTTATCACATAAATTTTTAAAATATCATGGTATATTCAACAAAATATAAAATCCGAAATTGTGAATTTCCCAGAAAGAAGCAATGTAAATTTAACGTTTCGGAGTATTCGCGATGGGTTGCACACGTATATTAATTATATTTCGCTGGTCATCATGGCCTGTGGTCGTGGAGCCTGCCGCAGCACTTAGCTGTTTATACAAGGGCTGGCGGGAAGTAAATTGCGCTTAGAATTGTTCAATTGAGCGAATGAATAATTTTTATGCACCGCTTATTAGCATCGTATGCGGAAGCAGTGATATCTGCTGTTTACCTGCATGTAGTGCTAATTTGCTGAAAAGTGATCCGCTGCCACACTGCCCGCCTGCTCCTGTTCGGAGAGTGCAGTACCACTACCGACATCATTCTGTCTCTCGAGCGCTGCATGCTCTACGCAATCCATATGCAGCGGAAGAAAGATAATATGCGTCTTAGCAGGCTATTATTGCATCACCGATGAATACATTTGGTTTCCATCGTTTAGACAAGCAGTGTTTGTGGCCTTGACTTTGAGAGTGTAAAGTGAAACTCAAACATTCAAAGAAGTGAAATCCGGGTTATTTGAGCTGCGCTTGAACAGACTGGTCTAGCTGATAGCCTGATACTGCCGCGCTGGCCGCATGTTACAGCATCTACTCCGCCATTCAAGTCTACGAGCGTGATCCACGTACTGATTTGAAACAGACCAAATTTACCGGTTACGTAATATTGTTATGAAGGCAAGTTCACATAGGGACAACCGTCTACGAAATTCGTTTTTCTTGCATGGAAATACACCAACATTTTCCATTCTGCACGCACTGCACATGGAAAAAGTCACTATTTACGTTCAAAACGTTAGTAGCGTAACAAATATACAAACAACATGGCTTTATTGTCTATTCGGATTTTCGTGCTCACCAGCGATAAAATACTCGTACTAAATTAATTGTCTCTTTCTAAAGTCCTTTCTCGACCGCAACGGAAACCCGGGAAAACAAAACGTTCCCGAAGGTTTGACTTTCACAAACACAATATTTTACACAAAATACACCAATTAGGGCAACTGCATTTTTCAACAACTTTGTACAGTTTACAGTTAATAAATTGTATCAAAGCCGAATAATAATTTACGTTACTTTTCCTTTAGCAGTATCAAAAACACTGGCGATCCGATTAGAGAAAATAAAACTCAATATTAAGCAGTCTTACTCAAAACAGTAATCAAATCGCTATGTGGCGTTTTGTATGCAGAGACAGGTGGTCACTTCGAGAAAATGCCCTTTCGCAGTGTGGACACTGAAAGGGACGATCACCTAAAGAAAAATTAAAGCTTCATTGAAAATTGAATTTTATAAGGGAATAATGTAAAAATTAAAAATTTTCGTTTCGCTCGCCATTAAATATTGCGATGGTAGGGTAATGAAAGGATACTGAACAAAATTTAAACGCAGTATTTGATTACCGGTATGTTTCCGATAGTGTCTTGTCAGCTCATCCGAGCGAGCAAACTTCCAGCCGCACCCCTTCCAAGTGCACTGATAAGGCTTTTCTCCTGTATGAGTCCTAAAAAATTACCATAACGACGGATAAAACAAAGCTCACTTTAGTGTACAGTAAACCAACCTTAAATGCGCCTTCAAATGCGAGCTCTTTGTATAAGTTTTCGTGCAGCCGGCATGTGTACAAGCGTGCGTCGTGACCTTTTTCCGGCCCCAGCTCCGTCGTCCGCGTTTCCCTTTCAGACTGACTTCAAAAGTCCCGGGAAAGCTTGATGACGAGGGTTGTTGCGAAGCATGATGGAAGATGGTACTGCCCGGGTTATATGATACGAGTCCCGGCTGTGTTGAATGGCATTGCACCGTGCCTGTATACTGGTCATTGTGGTGCATCAGCGGCGATGAGGGTGGGCTCATAGTGTAGTTACTGGATGCAGGATAGATAATACTGCCCGGCAGATTCTGTGCTGAATGCATGGGCCGGGACGAGCTGGTGATAAACTGTCCGATTTGCTGCTCGTTGAGCATCATACGGTTCGGATGGCACATAATGTCGCGTAGATGATTTTCCGGGGTGGACGGTGGTGAAATGGGTGTATGGGCTGGCGGACGACATATTCGGGACGGCAGCTGCGACTGCTGGGCATGCAGCCGTTGCAGGTATGGAGACACGTCACTTTGGCCATCTTCTGTCTTAATACGACAATGGGAGTTCGGTGGGAATGCAGCAACAGGTAGACGCTGATTGTATACCAGGCGTCCATTGCGCTGCTGTCCCAATTCAGTGGGCGCGAACGGATGCGGTTCGCCCGTGCTGTGGGCGTAGCCGCTCGGAAATGGCATATTGTGCGGATGACAGTTAACATCTGCATGGTTTTGGGACTGCGATGAGTAGGCTGTTTGACTGGATAAGCTGTCCGGAGCGGAGTGCAGTCCGGACGAAGAGGGAAAACAGGGAGGAGGAATATGCGGAGAAAAGGTGGAAGGAGCATGCGACGGGAGTGAAGAGGACGCCGTGAAAGGCTGCGGTGTGTTGTCGCAGATCGAGTCGTTTAGCAAAAAATCCAGATCGATCATGTCATCCCCGGATCTGTTTGTTGATAGGTCGATGCCGGGTGGAACGCAAGGAGTGGTTGAGGAGACAGTCGGGCTTCCGGTCAGGCTGGATTCATTGCGGCCGTTCTCATATAGAAAGGTCTCGATGTCTTTCCACATCTGTTACAAAAAGCAGTGTTCGTGTCCACTTCGTACATATACTGATTTCGCTACCTTCTGTTTTAGCTTATTAATGCGACAAAAGCCAGCAAGAGTACACTCGGCACTACTAAAACGAGCTGAATCTCAAATTTCGAATATTGCAAAATGGGCTCTTAAGCATGAGGTCTGAAATTTGGATCCATTGGGATCCGGAGGTGGCAAACCCCTTCGGCATTAGCATACACTTGCAGTGCATTTCCGGTGACTTGGGGAGAAAAATCTGGAGTTCATGAAGTACGCAGTACTGGCTGTCGCAAAAACTCATTAACAAAAAAAGTTATCACTTAACGTCGCGCAGTTGAAATTAAGCATATCTCTCTAGAAAATCACTATGATACTCTTTTACAATTCTTCGGCGTTGTAATCATATATGGCAGCGGTTGGTATTTGAAACGATTAATTATTTCTTAAAGTGTTTCCATTAGCTGCAATATGCTTTTCATTGTCAGATATAATACCCTAGTATATCTGAACTTTCTGCAGATCGTATCACTTGCAGGATCATAACTATCTGTACTACGCCTTTTAAAAAACGGCACAGGATGCTTAAATTAATTTTAGCAGAACATGTCACATACATCAGGCGCTGAATTACCATTATAGATATAATGAATGGGCATTACAACTACTGATGGGTTACCATCGTTTTATTTTGGTAAAAGTCAAAGCAATAATTTAGAATGCGAATGCGAATTAAATGCGAAGTTTTAGAATTAAATGCGAAGTTTTTCAAAATGTGGATACATTTTCTACACTTATAAAATGTAAGGAGCGAAATTTAATTTTTAGAAAAATTTGGAAAGGTTTTTCTGTCCATAGACATTCACGCTTGTGTTCGAATATAAGTACTATTAACGGATTTGATTAAACTAATGTGAAGTTAATTTCTTGGAATCGACCATAGTTTCTCTGATGCACGTCCGCAATAGCCACATGACAAATAAAAAGTAATTTGAAGACGATATTTCTAAGCAGTGGCGTTAAGTTATATTGGACAGACAATAATTTACTTTATTCTTTTATTATAGGAATTAAACGAAATTCGGACTTGTGCTACTCTGGTGCGGATGCTGTGATTCAGACAGCGTTATAAAGATCTAATGTTGAAGGTCATTCTCGAGAATGGATCTAATCGGTGTAATAATATAAGCTGTTTACATGGTAATCATAGCTCATTTATTAGAGTAGCTGGTAAGTAAATCTTCCGTTCTAGCTTAATAATAACAGCAAATAAAAGCCCTTGGTATCCTTTGCGGCCGTATGAAATCATGGATTCACATATTCCAAAATTAAATTAAAGGCTGCACCAGTTTAAAGAGACGGTTATGAAAAGATGTCAGCTGTTGTGTAAATTATCTTAAGTATAATATCTACTAATTTCAAACTACATTTTAAAGGCTTCTAAATGATTCTGCCGTTTCTAAGTCTCGTATGCACAGTTTGCACAATTAAAGTACATAACGTTAGGCGATGCATTAAAATTCATGGCATCATTAACAACACTCGCTGCATAAAAATGGCATGTAAAGTCCTGCCGCACACATTGTCCGTCATAGTTATTACATTTCTGGAGTAATAAAACTGTATGTAAAAGTCTCCAAGCGTGTGCAGGTGAGTGTTGGTAAATATTGTAAAACTGCTTTGTTAATACAAGAATATTTCGCGTTCCATTTTTGATTTTCAGTTGCATGACCCAATGTTGACTGCAATTATACCAGCATTTAAAATGCTCTGTTTTGGTTGGGCAGTCAGGTACAATAGCAATCTTAGCTGAAATAAGTACTTGCTTGCAGTCGTGGTGCGTTAAAAGCAGCACCGCACAATCGAAGCTCAGGCGGATGAAATCTAAAATACGATATTAATTATTTAAGTATTTACTTATACTTCCTTGACAAATCCTTTTAATATTCATACTGGAAACCATTTGCATGTAAAAATCAGCAATCATCTTAATATTTCATCATTTTTTTCCGCAGAACAAGTAAGAATTCTTAATAATACAGTAATAACGCCGAAAACGAATTTTTCATCCGAGATAACAAAACTAAACTCCAGGAAAAGAAAAGAGACATTTGCACTTGAAAAAGAAATAGCTTTTTCATTTGATTTAAAAGTGATATCGATATCATAACTGCACAAGAAGGATGAACACTTTTTCACTGGTACCAGCTTCGATAGAACGATTTTGTTATGAATCATTACCAAACCTAACGTTATCTCGTTCGATCGAGGCTGATAAGCTTGCTGTCATTAATTAGGTACGAGTAAAACAAGTGGATCAATAATTATATGCCACGGAGAAGTTTGAAATCCTTTTATACAAATTCTATTTCTCAGTTTCTATCCAACTGTTTTGTAATCCGATATGACAACCACAGCTATTTTTTGGAGTTTCAATTTAAGGCTTTCTTTTTAAGCAGAACGCGGTTTTTCATTTAGAAAGTCAACTCACGCCGGCCGGAAGTCCGTGATGCATTGCGGACAACATTTTATCTCGTCAGGACTCGTAACAGAACCTGAATTTAGCGAGCTGCTACTGTAGTGGTAATTTAAAAAATTTGTTAATGTACCTTTTGGTTCATAGTTAACGCTTTTCGATCTTGAGAACCAAAACATGCAGCTTTGTTTTTTATTTGTTTACATTTTTATGAAGTATTGATATTAGAGAATCATTCATTAGAAATGGCTATTTTGCGACGCCCAAGCGGTTTTTCCGGTTTCTGCTATTTGATTACGTCATCCAGAAATAATGCTTCTAGTTCACTGCTGTCGATGTGTGGTCTGTTATTTTGTTGAAAATCAACAAGCGCTGTTTATTGAATTAGAAACTTACACATATTATTTCACCGATCGGTCATTGTCAATGCAAAAATTAGCAATGCAATCATCGCAATGCGGCTCACTTACATCGGTGATGTCCTTGACTTCCACTCCGAATTGCGACATCGATTTAACACTGCTGCACTTCCTGGGAAAATATGTCCCCGTCGGTGGATGGATGTGATCAGGATCATCCGGTACCGCTCCAACAAATTCCAGTACGGCTGACATGACCGCAAATTGTTTCAGATTTCAAGAACAAAATTTATCCGTGTATGACAAAACTGTTCCTATTTTTTGGCATTGCAGGCTGACGTTGAAGCCAACCGCATCTATGGGAACGGGAAACGCAGATTCAGATATCAAGAAATCCTAGAATAACCGACGAAGAGCATAAGGTCACGTTGCGGCAGTTGTAGTTAACGCGAATACAACCACCGGAGTATTTTCCAAGAAATGCGTAGTGCGCTGAAAACACAGCGCCATTAGTAAAACAAACGGCACGGACAAACTCGGACACATGTGGTTCGAAGCAACAAATCCTTCTGGCCAAGGTTGTCCGTCCGTCAGAGTGAAGGTAACTAGGCCGGCTCTTATGGAGAAGGAGGGATTTGCAGCCAATGCGCATTACCTATGCGGTGAGTATCGCGAATCCACACACTCACTCACATCATGATCACTTGTTGATTCGAGGATACAAATCGCACCAAAAATTTCTGTGTTTCGTCGTGTTGTCTGTTTACAATTTGCAACGCGGATAAATAATTTCCGCTCTGTTCTGCGTGTTTGCATGTACTGGTCTCCAAATTTTTTGGTTGTTAATAACGCAATACAGTTATAGCAACTAATAACAGACACGGGTTCCAAATTACGGGCGCTTATGATCCGTCATCCGACAACCGTAGCACCGGCGCACCATAGTACTGCAAAAAAAGCTAAACAATATAACTGAAAAAATTTAAAGATTGTAAAACATGTTAGAGTGCATATAAGGAAGTTAAACTATAATTTCCGAAATTTTTTAACGAGATTTTACTCAAGACCTTTACAAACGCACTGTTTTTTATATTTAACATCAGAGTGTGATTTATTTATGCACATTACAGCTACAAATATTATCAACAATTTAAACTTGTCGACAACGAAAAAGATCTATTGTATTTTCATGGATAATCCAACTTTCCTTCGAAACATAAAAAATGAACTTTATAGCGCAAAACAAATGCTCAAGAACATAACAATTCAGAACTTAGAAAGTCTTGTACTTGCGATGTGGTGTGGCTGTAATACAAAATAATCACATTATACAATTAATTATCTATTAAAAGTCCACACATAAAGTGCGACATGATTACATATGCTGAAGTGTAAGGAACAAGTCGTCATTTAGGAAGCCGTGTGTAATATCAGGGTCATTGCCTGTTTAAGGGATGTTATGTTGTCATTCATTATTATTATGGTGACATTAATTACTAGTGCTACCATGAACCTATTCGGGCTGCTGTACATGCAAAAGAAAGTCGTGATAATTACAATCGTTCGGCAAAAACTTACAACGGAAGCTCTCGCGCCGTGAATGCCTGATGTTGGGATTTATCATCTGCCGGTAATAAGTTAATTACAACATGCAATCAGTACGTTAATCAGTAATTACAGTGTGCAACCCGTACACATCCGATCTCAATTAAATATTTGCTCATTAAAAATCTGTAACCGATTGTTAAAGTTCCTTTTAAGCTTTTTTAAGTGCTAAACTGTTACCTGTTTTTCACACAAGATATCTCTAACCTAGTTCGGTTAATAAAAATGTGTTTTTACTACTTATTATAGTCATTATTACTAGTAGCTTGTGATACAAGAATTCTAATGTGCAAATGGATTCCGTGCTTTAATGATAGATCAAGTCCTTCTGTTAGTAAAATGATTTTTCAATAATTAAACAGTAAGTAAATGCGGAACCGTAAGCAGACTTAACGCTGCTTTGGGAGCCACACAAGTGAATTACGGTTGAAACGATTTAATTCTACAGTTTTCATTGCGCACAAAGTTCAAGGTCAACTGAATGAATATTTGCTCTCTGGCATTTAATATAATATTTGAGTACTTGCAGTTGCGTGCCGGTAAAAGAGCAACACAAAAAAGCACTAATACGATACTTCACTAGCTTCAAGCCACTTTGATATTAATTCGTATTAAGTGATAGACACGGTAGCCGGGTAGAGATATGAAGCGAAGCACAATTCAAATTGTACGAGTACAAATGCTGCAGTTCGCAATGCGTGGATACCAAAAGAGAAAAAATTAAATGGGATAATGGAAATGGAACCATTATTTAATAGGTTCACGAAACAATCCGGAGTAATTATAAAATGACCTACTGAGTAGCTATTTTATAAAAAAACGCTTACAACAAATTCTGTCATTATTTTGCGGCATGGTACATTAACACTTCACACAAAATTGTGCGGTAGCTCTTTAACGGCACCTTATTATGACTGTGCAAGGTTTCCTGGCTTTGCATAAAACGTTTATTTTGGTGTTCCTGTAGGGACAACATTATAACACCACATAATGTGGAGAACCAAGAAATTTGCAACATTTTACGAACTTAAGCTGAAGTTTATATGATGAACCCGCTTACACAAAAAAAGTAACAACCATAGACTTCACAGATTACTGGATTCAGGATTCAGTTGTCTGTAAACCTATTTTGGTGTCCAAGATATTCGACCGCCACTCACTTTCAGGCTACACATTTATAACCAATCCATCGTAAACCCTTGGTTCAGTGCGGGAATACAAAATACTGGTAAGTATTCATTCACAATCGGCATTGACAGCAGTAGTATCACTAGTGTGTGCTGCATGCGATTAACATTCTAAAACAGTTGTACGGATCTGCGTGGTATTTAGAGCGTTTAAATTGCATTCTATTGTTGGAATATGGTCAATATACATTTTACATTGTTCTCCTGTTGGGATACAGAGCGTATAACATGGGACACTAGCCACGGACAATGGTCAGCGCCAGTGCCGGAATGCGGAGATGCGTGTAACTAAGTGGAAAAGAGGACGATTTGGATTTGTATGTTAATGAAAAGCTTCATTTACAATGTTAACGTCTTGTGCAGCCAAATTTAATAACAATCCCCCATAAGAATCGATCTTTTCAGTCTGCTTCGCTTTCAGGATCAACAAAATTCTTTCGTTTTAGATAGTTGGGAATCATTAGGTTCATTTTTTAATTTGAAATAAATTAGTCAGCTCAAGCTACCGCTTATTAGATCAACCAACATTTCCCTTGTTCGGAAAAACGCTAAAATTGTTGCCTATAACGCCCTATTAATTTTCACCTCCCAAAAGCAACCACAGCCGACGTACGTAAAACTAAAATCGTGAAATAATACAGTAAATTTGAAACAAATAATTTATTGGCTGCTAATCATCCTGTTTCCTAAAAGATCATCAAACAGGTATCTCCGCTTGAGTTACTGCAGTGTACTCATCAGATATCGCGCGTTAGTTTATTTCGTTAGATAAATCTTACACAATCGCAAGCGTTCTACGGTATATTCAATTGACATAAGACCGGTCTGCGTGAAGGCGACCCGGAAATTAGAAAGATTCTGAAGAAAAATTTAATGTAACAACACATGCAACAAATACCAAAATATGAAAAACAAAAAAATTGTTCAGTCATCAAGTTCAATAGTAGTATTACAGTTCAAAGAAAAGGATGCCACAGCGTGATTTTCTTTTCTGACCATCTTTCGGAAGGGAAGTCGTTGCTGTAATGTCGATAAACTTTTTAAAGATTGAGAGACAAATGGACTAGATGGCGAAGCTTCACCAAACACGGATCGCGCAAACTTCGCTTTTTTCGTATTATCTCTGGGCTTTGCAAAAATTTTTTTTCCACTTCGCAGAGGTTCGTCTGGACTGTCCAAAATATTCACAATAGACTGAGTGTCTGCTGGACTGCTAATCAAAGTATTGAACATCGGATGAGGGGAATTGTCGGTATTTCTTGAGCTGGAAGAGTTCGATGGGTTCATAGAGGGGCTACAGAATACGATGTCGGCCGGCATTGGACTACAAAGCATCAATTTTTAACTAGCTATCGAACCTTTTCACAAGCTACTTTTCAGCCAACAATCGTGCACAAAACATCAGCATGGTTTATTTTGTTCCGGTCAACGTTTATTTGTAATAAGTATTCTAGGAAATACTACTCAAATACGGCAGACATTCACCTGAAACACTGCCAAGCGATGCAGTCTTAATTACTGCACAGTTTTTCCACTTTTAATAGTTAATGACGTCAAAGTAGCATTGCCCAAATACAACTTCTACAAATATAACAATGATTTCACGACTGGAATTCCAAAGTCCTACCTCTCGTGAATGAATCTTTTGACCTGGGTTTGAGGGACATCCGGTCGCTCTTTTTAACAACTTTTCCAGTGTACAGATCTTTAGTTCCAATCGTTTGATACGCTCATCACGCTCCCGAAGTTCTTCAAGCAGGTGTTTATTCTTATTTACCATGGACTTAAACTGCTCATCTAGCTTCACTTGATGGGATCTAGACTTCGCCGTCTCGTCTCGCATTTCTTTGTCGTTACTTTTCATTTTTTCCATTTCCCTAGAAAAAATGCAGCGTTGCGGTTTGCATAAACAAATCTATCACAATTAATAAAACGCTCACATCTTCAGGGCTTCAATGCAACACATCAAGGAATCTCGGACAGCTGTGAAATCCGCGTTACTCTGGATATTGGCCAGCATGCCCTTTACGTCGGTAACGGAGCCCGTCATTACACAAGACACCCTGTAAAAAAATAGGCTAAAATTTGTTGTTGTTTTCCATTGCCATATTTGGTGGTAAAGATTGTGCTAACGGTATTTTGTTATACTGTACAAAACATGCCTATGCTACTTGATGAAAGAATAAAACGAATGCACTTTTAACTTATGCAGTGTTAATTAAGGAAAATCAATAATAAAAATTTACAAATTAGTTACTGGAAAACTTAACGTCTTTGGCTAAAGGAAAACTTACATAAATACTGTCTGTTTGCATACGCTCTCGTATACAGTAAAAGCGTTAGACAAAAAAAATAATAAAACACGGTTGTCCTTAAATACAGTCGATCCATTATTTAAGGAAAGAGGGGAAACAAGAAAAGCACTCCTTGATTTACCGCCCAACATCACGCACTATAACAATAAAATAACGAACCGTTGGAGTTTCTCAGCCTCGTCTCGCCATGTCTTGCATTCCTTCCGCAGCTTCTCGTTCTCCTCGCGGCTCTTCTCCAGTTTCATCCGAGTTCCCGACAATACTGTCATCCGTTCCTTATACTGTTGGATTTCAGATTGACGGGCGCTGCAGGTTCGCTCAAGATTTTTTATATGTTCGTTGGATTTTTCCAGCAACAGCTTCTGCTCATTGACTTCATGCAATGCTTGTTCGCATTCGCGAGCCTTTGTCTGACATTTTTCAATCCACTGCTGAGCATATTCAGCAGCAGCGTCTGAAATACTGATATCTGCGGATTGAGATTCATGCTTCAGGAACAAGCGGACCACTTTCTGACTGGAACACGGCGTGCGACATTCTGGGCACTTTCCCGCGGACTGCAACGTCAAATCAACAGTAGCAGATCACAGGTTTAAAATAATCTTCAGAATTATTGAACTACCTGCAACCACTGTGAAATGCAAGCAAAGTGATACACGTGTCCACATGGGATGCTTGAAAATGGAGAAGTCTCAACATTCAACGACGACGAAGAACCCAAGCAAATGCTGCACTGGACAGCCATATTTAAAAGAAGAGCATAACCACAAATTTTAGCAGCCAATTAGAAAGGTGGTTTAAGAATCTGGAAAAAATTTTGATAGCTATACATGTTTCATCGACATCGTGGTAAAAAACCGAAAAGGAAAAAATAGCAGGTTTGTCGCCGTTTGTGACCATAACAAACTACAGAATAACAAAACATTTGGTCCGCGTGGTTTTTGAGTGGATCAGCACAAACAATCCACCGAGGCGGGCGTGGAACGACAGGGCAGACAGTGCAGTGCAGTTTGTTGGCATACTGTATTAAACCGTGAGTTTGTGAGTTGTGAGCACCGGGCCACCGGGAATTTTTATAAAATTAATTTACCGCAGTTCCCATTTTACATTTTATTAAAACACTCAGTTTTATGATTTCATTACGGACATTAATCACCACAAAACGCTAATGCCGAATAAGAATTGCAATATGCACGGGTATCACCGGGCTCAGTGTTTGCCATGAAATTATGGCATTCGAAAAATAAATAAGTCCATGAACTGGCGCGACGCATTAACAATTAAAAAAAATAGCAAGAAACTCTATAGTTTTTAGATTACATACAAGAAAAAGCTCCGCCATCAACATGGTAAGCTGAGTGCTGCGTGAGTGAAAACATTAAGTTACTAAAAACAGTTGTAACATTAAGTTACTAAAAATCAGACATCATCTATTTTTGCCGGGCAATCTTTTGGCAAAAATTTGCAAACCACCAGCATCGTATATCACAAACTCACAGCCACATCAATGACTTGAAATTTCGGGAAATCAAAAACAGCACTTATGTACAACACAGATATGATAAAGAACAGAAGACGAAAACCTTTTCAAACAATTTTCAATCGGCCTCGTGGATTTTCTAATTCCACTTCCAAACTGGTCAGATGAGCATGATCACGGAAAACATCGGGGACTCTACTGGCCTCCATATACATTCTGGCACTTGATTTCGGTCCAGTAGCTTTTACAGCGAACTATTTACCACAAACACAAAATTAAATCACACACAACAATTCAACAAAAGGGTGTGAAAAAAATGAGTTCACCGGTATTCTCTGCGTACCTTGAACCAGTTCTTATCTTCCATTGTAAACCCATCATGCACGTCGACTCCCCGAATTCTTATGGGCTCACCTAATAATTCACTTCTTTTGAAGTTAGCTTTGCAATTGGCTTTTATAATCGATCCAACATGCGATTATCTGAGGAACCGGAGACTTACCCAGAAAATTTTTTATATGTTTGTTGTTTGTGAAATAATCAACGGCTTCTTCGTATGCATCGATATGCTCATACCGCTCTGCAAAATTTTCCAGACCTAAGTTAAAAGGTGAATGTAAAATGACTAGGCTGAAGACAGCATACTTTTAACGCGACGTTTTGCAACTTGCCCAAAACCGACGGTAACCAGTCCAAGCACAAATGCGATTTGGGTGAGTCTCCGAGTGATGGGATCCACTTGTATCGCCATTCTGACAGCACGATTTGCAATCAGGTAGGAACTGTATCGGCGGGGCTTTGTGATATCTTTCACCGCACATCTTCTGAGGAGCGTACAACAGCTGCCAGAACTAGCGAATCTGGTCGCATCGTTCCAGTATTCCAACTTTTAACAACTTTTAACCGGTCCGTGGCAACCCACTGATTCTGCTTCACCCAAGCAATCCACTACTAATATTACCAGGGGACTCTGATAAAACGTTATACGATCTAACCAACAGATCAGCAAGAAACACACATAAAAAAAAGTGCGCTTACGAAAGTTACAATTTTGTATTGGAATACTGATATATTATTGTGCTTCTAACCGAATCTAACGATCTTTAAAGAGATTCAGTATCCGCCGAAACATCGCGATCGTTTTCGATAAAAATTTTTAAAACTTGACAGCACGCGAAGTAACTGTAAGGAAGGAAGCGGATGCCCGAGGGCGGCTGAAACTGCCCAGAATGATGGAGATTCGTGATTCTCGCCGAGACTGCAGACTGGCAGTGTGTCATTTTGACGTCACTAACAAACAGGGATATTACAGTGCGCCAACAGGAGAATTATGCATTCGCTCTGTTTCTGTTCGAGTGCTGTCATATGGGCGGTGGTGCAATACCGTGGCCATAGCACTAGCGCTTGATTTAAGAATACTGTAAGCATTTTTATCACACGTTTTTTGCTCGTTTGCAAAGGATGGTTTTTTGTGAATTTTCATGTATCTGCCCAATTACCAAATAGCATAGTTTGCAAACGCGCGGTATTTAAAAAGTGCCGGGCTCAGCACTAGTTGTTATGGGCCTACGATGACTTCCCGGCACACCTTAGGCGCACGGCTGCCAACCGCCACAGGGTACCATCCCGGCGAGAATCATCAATTGATGAGTGGAGACAAAAAACTGAAAAAATATCCGCCTAGGCGCCTACAGATACTCGCTTCCAACAGATTTCTGATCCTGCATTGCCCCTTTTTTGTCCGGCTGGAGTAAAAATCGGGGGCATATTGATCTTTTCATTGGGCTCGAGGGCGGAGGATGGGGAGCGCCGTCTTTTGATGGCGCCATGTTCCTCTGGCCCAAGGTTGCACGTCCTACTATCTGTAGCCGACCTTGTGAAAGTGAAGCTGTTAAGAAATTCCTAAAGTTTGTAAGGTCTGCAATCAGTGCAATGTTTCTAAATCTGTTTTATAGTTTTTGAAGTTTATGCGGTAATTATCATATTATGTCTGCTGACGCCACCCCGGCCCAGTGCCAGTAGTCCGTAGCTCCGACTCCATATACCTGACGTATGTCGCGTAACGAGGGTACGAGTGTATTAAAGCATTCATTTTTGGAACAAGGAGGTTCCGAACTTCCGGTTTCTCGTGACAAAAAAGACAATATATATATATATATATATATATATATGTGTGTCCTATATGTCTATTAATTGTCTATGTCATAATATTTTGTCTTAGTATTATTGCAATATCTGGCTTCTACTGCCGCTATCGGTACTTGCATGCTGAATCCGTTTAGTTATCTACTTAAATTCAATTTTTATTTGATATCATCGGTATAAAAGTCTGTTATTTTTTTCCGTCAAGATGGAGGCTTACGTGTGCCTCAGTTTTAGAATACCGTTTAGCCGTAGAAATGGATAAAATTTATTTTGCTATCGGGCCATGTACAGTATCAGTTGTTTACCACAAATGCTTACAACATGATCTGTTTAAATTAAACCGTTTAATAGTTCCGTAGGCGTCGCACGGTAAACCATTATCGATGCATTCAGCTTCGTAAGCCACTTACTCGCAGTCATAAATCATTACACACCGAAAAGCAAAACGACTTTTCGAAGCGCTTCTTAAACAAACACGTAACAAATCAAAGAGCCTATTTTCTTTGGCAAATTCATATGTATCTTTGATAGCCAGCATAGTGTCTGAATCAAGCGGCAACTTTAATCGATGTGCGATTACAGTAAAGTAAACATAATAAAATCCGTTGTGCAGTTTGACAGTGACCGAAACAAGCAAGTTATAATTGTTCCTTATAAGTGCAAGGACGACCTTTCGTCAACGATTTTTGCACCATGTTGTATAATTATGGTAAGCACTAACAATAAGCAGCCCGCCTGTCCTGCAATGTAGAATCCTTGGAAGGGATTCAAATCAAAATTCTAGTTAAATTATTTGGGCTGCTTGAGCAGACTTTCCATATGCGCAAGAACTTTAACATTTGAATTTGAAAGTTTATTGGGTAGGCAGTGCTGTGCATGTATACTGTAATTGTCGACCACTGGATACGCTTAAAATATGAAAAGTTTTAATTAAAGAAACAGACCATATCTTCCACTGTACTGTATAGTCCGTAATAACAAGCTAGAAATTATACAACCATATACTGTAGCACCGTATTAATGATATTGAGCGTTAAAATAGGGCACGGGTGGGTACGCGAATCAGGAATCATACAGGTCGCATTGATTTATTTTCTCAAGTGCCTCGCAGAAGGTGGATCGCAAAGGCAAACACGGTGTGATCTCCTTTAGGCGCTCACACGAGTGCACAATATGGGCACTTGAGTTCCGATTGTATGTTTCTTGTCAATAATTGGTCCAGGATTTATTGAATTTTACCTGACACGTAACCATTGGGATGTAGTGACCTACCACCCGGCAAATGTTTAAAGCTGCATAATAGTGCATAGGTACGAATGCATGTTACGGTACGTATATAGATATGTGCAGCAGGAAGCGCCACGGCGGGTTAGCTCTGGCAGGCGTTAACATGTTGACAAGCCATGGACTGCACGCTGGAAACTAAACCCGTCAGAGAAATTAGGACTACAAACATGATTCTACTCTGTTCGAATGAATGAATTATTTAATAACTGGCAGTCTACAGGAAAAAGGACTCTGGACTTGTGACCTTCCTCCCTACAGTTCCATAGATGGCATATTGCATACGCACAATGCAAAAATGAACTACGACCCTAAACTGTATAGCATAGCGTGCCGACGTTGCCCCGTCTACCGGTAATCCAAGCGGCCTGTTTGTTCGTTTCATTAAATATCGAGTGCAGGTATGATTCAGGACAATATTTCGCTTTCCTCCCTCTTTACAGTCACGGTACAATGCCGCAATGTATTGCTTTATGCGGATGATCAAATGGTACAGTCCTGAATCACCAACATGTACGCGTAATAAGGCAACAGCCAGCACAACTCGGCAGGGCTGCGCTCCAGTAATCTAATAAAGCACCTAGAAGTAATAACGGACGGCGTTGGTGAAATATGGATAGGCCATTATGTGTGCGCCATACGTGGCATTTTCCAGATTTGTGTGCGAGTGCCGGGAGAGAATGCATTTGGTATCTTTTCGGCTTTTTGTGCAATATAACTGGGCATTATGACCGACAAAACCCTTATCGATCGCAACTACCCAGCCCACCTGTCAGTAATTTATGATAGTTAAATCACTGGAAATCTACGAATAATCTATACAAAGCCAAGCCAACGGAATAAGCTAATAGGTCTATACACTACCGTTATGAGTAATCTGGTATTAACAAAAGCACAGTGCGACAAACATGCTTTGCATAGAAAACGGCATTATTATTACTTATGGTGCTATGAAATACTAAAATAATTGGAATGGGATAGTGATATAAGTGCATCTTGTACAAATATAGTTAATATACCTTCACTCTTATTATTTTTGTCTCTTGGCATAATCCATATTTCCGAGATCTGGAACAGTGCTATATAGCTAATTAGAAAGTTTTCCGCAATAAGTCAGTAAAATTAAAATTCCATACTATTACTTTGTACTCTTAATTATTACCATTTCACTGTTCGTGACCTTTAACTCGGAATTGCTACCCCTAATTGAAAGTCAAGCATTCAACGTTTTGTGCACGCTGGGAAGGAATGCTCAGAGATTCCCAAAACCATTTGCGCGCCGCAATAAAACGGCATTTAATTACGCTAAGAAAATAAATAAAAAAGACTGTCATGTTTGCCGAGCTATTAGATTCGGAAGCACTATCAATGAATTCGCCTTGTTTGCGGAATGTAATCGAGAACAATAGACTTTACTTGACCACTGCTCTCTTGTTTTGTCTTTATGAAAGTGGAATCTCTCCCCTGCCCCTTACACCGGCTAATACTATTAGATAAGCCGAGGATCCCACGGCATTCTGCGCACTGAACAGGCAATAAAAGTAAAGAAGCGCCAATTTGTTATTTCCCTATCTGGCCTGAGTACGGCCGTAAATGCATTTTGTAGGTAGCGCGGTCCAGTCAGCCCAGTGGGCGATCTCACACTATCGATATAATTTATTTAAGCCGCGCTCTCATTGGTCGTCGCCGAATCGGTGTATGAATCATTCATTCAGTAACTACAAGTACATACAGCCTTTTGCCGGAGCCGGGACGCTAGAAACCGCATCATTCTGATCTGTGTATTAGATATGCAAACTGGCCAGCTTCTTTTCGTCTAGCGCGAGTAGTGTTCGTGAGATTCGCCCGAAGCCAGTCTGCTTGTCCAGAGCACACATTTTGCGAGATTATTAATACCTAATTTCACATTTCCCATACGATACCATTCATTTACCGGTTTTATCGTTAATTGCATGTTACTGCCCACGTTATCCATACCGATTCTGGAACGGAAGCTTTTCGCTTTCTTTTATCTCAGCATGCGAATTGAAAAGTTGAAATTTTGTCTGGAATTATTTAACGGACATGTGGTGTAGATTTGTATTCGCCATGCGAGATTCGTTTTTTCAGCATCGGAACTTTTTGCCTGTTATCTTCGATGCCTTGTGTACGCCAATTTATAAGTTATCGCTATCCGGGATTCTACTTCTCTTTCTGGCATGCTCCATCAAGGTGCGGTCTCACGATGGAGAAAAGCTTCGTATTGTTTTAAACTGTTCTGTTGCAGTAACAATTTAATCATAGTACAGCAAGTATTTTTTATGTTTAATTATTTTCAGCAAAAATTAAATTTAAGTTGTGACTCATGTATGTCCGTTTATACTTTTCAACATAATGATTTTAATTTGTTTTTATCTGTTGGATATGTGAATAGTATTTTTAACGCTATGTCTCATGATCAGCCATGTGTGATGTAAACAGCATGGGACTACGTAAAAAAATCATATTTTCTGGGTCAGTAGTCATTAAAATTCCTTCCGATGTGCGTAGGTAGCGGAGGCGTCAGGACAAGTACAGCTGGAAATCCTATCGGTGAAAAACATCCACAGTGATCCGACCGGCAGTGTATGCTGTACACGAGGAAGTGCGACTGGCCAGAGTCAGACAGCCGCACAGCGGTCAGCGCCGGGCCAGGACGCCGCGGCACTTCCTGTTGCAGGGAAACCAGCGGTTCCCAGTGGCGGCGGATCTACTCAGAACTCTAGTCACGATCAGGCGGCATCATCATCATGTTTTGGCATCTGTCGGCCTTATTTTCGGCTGTGTTTTAAGCAATATCAGCAGTCAGTATCGCTGGATGATGACTGTACATACGGACAGGGATTTAGTCCACTGCTCACCTTGCCTTACATCAGTCCCAGTAATGCCCATGTGGGATCATTAGCCAGTTGGGCGCCGCCCTCACCTGTCACTTTTCTCAACAACAACTCATTCGTTGCCATCAATCTGCCCTTCGATTTTGCATGGAAGGTACGTGCGGAGGCTGTAAAACTGTAACTGTGCATATTCTCAATAGGCATTTGCTCTATTTGCTTTTGTGCATCCTGGGCTGGCTGTTGCGTATTCAGGGAGCAACACCGATTTGGGAAAATGTCAATATTTTATGCTCTATTGAGAGGCGATAATTTTTAGGTACATAGGTTTTACAAAGCATTAAACCCGTCTGCAGATGCACTACCAATTCGCGTTAACAAACACCATTTTTATGACAACAATCCCATAGAAAATCTTTCCCCATTCAAGCAAACTGCTTACATTGCTATTCAAGCTAGTGTTTCAACTCGTCGATCCTTTGAAGTCGCATTATGAAGCGATGATTATATGGAAACCCTTCGGATTGTTTAGATTTCGAATCTGCGTTTTTCATTACATTTAATTCAGATGAAGTACGTTTACTGCCTACATAAAGCCAGTAGTACTTTTGAAAATTTGCACTGCAGGGATAATTCTACCAGTTTGTATCTCAATAAGGTTTGCAAAAATATGACTTTTATAGAACACGCCTAATCGCAATGTTGTCTGGACTCGTAACTTCGTGTGCAATGTGCATGTAGTCCTATTGCTATCTGTATATGCGTCTTGCCGGCAAAAGCCCACCAACACAATCATTTTGGCGGTCAGCTAGGGTAGATCCTCACCGGTCAGAAAGGAAATCCCTGAATTTTAATTCCATAGTGTGCACCGTGCACACTTCCTGTTTTGAACTTGCTCCTTCGCTTTTCTAATATTTTATCTAACGATGAATGTTTTAAAGATGAAAGAATAACCTTAATCTTTTTTGTTAGGATTTATATCATCAATTTATCTGGGGGGTTCCCTTTTTATGGTTATTCTTCATAATACTAAGTCACAGTTGCTTTCGAAATCTGCTACTGAATTGCAGGTTATTTTTGCAGCTCGAAGCTGTATAATTTAGCAGATTTCTATGCTGGAAGGTTTTGTTTTAGGCATTACGTTCCAAATATTTTTAGACATTGCGTTTTTACTTCGCATGATGGGTTAGTAATGTGCGCTGCATCCTTGTGGCGTACTGTATTTGGCGGTCTGTTCTGTTTATGTTGGCCAATAATGTTTTTAATTGCCAAAGACTTATGTCAAACGTCCTGTCATCTGCAGGGAAATATTGGGTTCGTCTGACATTTTGTTATTATGTTGGGTGATTATGGGAAGTTTTGTTAATGGTGCGAAATCTGCTTTTCGACAAGTCTCTGCCACTTGCGGTCGGCCAGTACATTAGACTGTCTGCATGCCTAGTCGGCTTTTAGGACTTCTGCGAAAATATTAGCAATTTGTACTTGCTGGATACTGCTTGTTACACATGCTCAAATAATGTTACACTGCTGATTTAAGAGAGTGATGCGCGTGTGTGCCAGCCGTTCATACACGACATATACGTATTATGGTTTCTCCTTGTTAGTTTTAAAATAGATGATCCTTTGCTTGGTCTGAAGCTGAATGGCCTGTACATATAAAAATAAATATCTGAAAATGTTTTGTTGTAAACTTGTAAGTTGATAATAAAGCAGAACATAATCACTGATGCTTTCACGTTGTTTGTTGCAACAGTTCCGGTTTATGGTCAAATTTTTGGTTGTTTTTAAAAAAAGCGCAAGCCTTCACGTACAGCCAATTACGAGGTTAATTATGTTGATCATCTTGACTTTGATCAGTTCACACGAAAATATTAGTCGCCGACAACTTGATATATATTTATGCGCGTTCGTAAGCCGCGTGCGACACGACTGTTAGATTCGGCTATGGATATTTGTTGTCAAGACGGTATTATGAACTCAAGCCGTTGATGTGTGTAAAATCTAAACTTAAACTTGCATTCTTAAGAATCAGCTAATTTACGCGGTCATTTGGTCAAGAGAGAGACTAGCTTTAGCTTTCTTTTTTCTGTAGCCGTTTATTCATGGTAGGAAATTATTTGTCCTGGTACGAGTAATGAGCCTGTCGGAACCACTTTTTTGCACAGTGTTATTGTTATACGTGGGAAAGTGTACACGCGACCATTATCAAGATTCTGCACTTAGCGGCAACGCCTTCTCGAAAGTTTTTCCAGCCGCATTGTTATACCTTTATTAAAATGTGCTGTTAATAAATTTTCGTGCATACGACTTATTTCGGTATTAAGCTTTATTTAACTGTATACGCAAAATTTAATTCTTAAGTAATACCGGAACGCGTTTTCACGGTATATTACGCGTCTCTAATGGTTTGTCGGTTTGCACGTGAAATGATATAGTCACTCCATACTCCATAGAATATCAATATTTGCTAAAATGTTTGCTCTATGTTTTCACATGCTGCTGTATCGTACGAAGGCTTGTTGAACGGAATATTGATAAGATGTTATTAAGATAAGAACAGTCTGCATGTCAGGTGTTCGTCGAGCAGCTTTCTTTGTACTCCAAATATTCCATTAAATTTTGATCCCAGAGCAGTGGTGTTTATTACCGTCTGGGGGTCCGACGTACATTCATTCATTTTCTGAAATCTGAATATTTCGGAATTCTTTACAGGACATTCGATGTCAGTTGTTTGTTGTTGCCTTATTAATGTATAATATCCATTATGGCGGAACTCGTGGGACTTGGCAGTTATAACTGATCAGCACAGTGGTCAGTGGTAACCTTCGCTCTTGTACGAAGAATACGTTTTAGGTCGATTACTGCTGCCACTTTCGCTTTTAATTAAAAATATTGTTGAACTGAATGCAGTCTGTACTAGTAAAGCGGACATTAGCCAGAATAATGCAAAGATTTACTATCCTAGACGCTGGTGCTAGACCGCACTCGAACTTTGTCAATGGGAACGGTGCATAAGGTCACCAACGGTTCTCCAGGATCTATGCTTAAATAAACCCGAGAGTTTATTGTTAACAATAAACGTAGATCGGTAGATGCAAATGCATGCAGTATGCCATTGTGGATATTTTATTTAGGGCAGCTGTGTGGGATTTATAATGGCTGCTCTCCGTTGGTAATCATCTTAACTGCTCGTGCATATTACCTTCCACGAACAGATTATTGTATGGTAAAAATGATTAATATCGGCTTTAATTCACGGCGGTTGCAGATTCTTAAACACATTTAGAAATGGCTAGAGCCTCTAGAAATTTTGCAAGTGAGTGAAATGATATTCCGTACATAGTCGTTTGCTATACGAAACCAAATAGAATGGACATCACACACGTTGGCTGAAGTTTCTGACCAGCAATATTCATAGGATAATGTGTCCTGCAGAGTGTGTTATCGAGATCATAAGCGTGTATCCACATGTAAATAATTAGCGGTCTGCAGCCTTTAAATAAAAATTATTGATTGACCATGCGGTGGACAACATCTATCGCTGCTGTTCTTCTGTCTGGTATATATTGACTTCAAGGTAGCTGTATGCAGGCATTCTCAGCAACAACAATTTCAGAACTGTGTTTGGCCGAAGATGGATATAATAGTACGTAGCATAACCTTACACTGAATTCAAGAATATTGTACGTACTGCAAATGTCCACACAAATACTAAGTTTCGGCACAATGAGAAAGAGTTTGCAATTTGATCTGCGACTACTGCGTTCCTTTCTCATGACCAGCAGCAATGAATCCCGTAGGAGAAGTTGTGGTTTGTTCCGAAAGTGTAATGAAATCTGCTCTTAATTACTGATTAACATCATTAGTTAATTTGCTCAAGGACTAGCGCTAAGTTGTGCGAGTGATTAATGTCTGTGCGGACAGTAAGAATGGCTCTGATAATAATTTGTCGGTGCTCCCACTTCCTTTTATGTGATTGTAAACGTACTAGTTCTCATTCGATATAATCGCGATAATGAGCATTTTATTTGTGAAAACTTGACGGTGAAGTGACGGTTTTGATTGAACATTCATGGCTGTCAAAATGAAGGGGCCCTTCGTGCTGTTGCAAACGTAGTATAAAGTGAACTCCGGGGCCATGCCCAGCCTCTTCACTGTTTTGTCAAGCAGCGCATGTAAGGTCAACAAAGTCTGCTGGTGTTATGCATGCTGCTGATCCATGACCCGGTCTTGGCGTCGCTGATAAAAGAACTGATTGTCGAAAATCTCCATACGGCGACGTGATTCATCCAGAATATATGTTGTATGTGTTAGCTCATTTCAATAACATTCCTACGGAAATGTATTTGAAAATTTGACATGTAGCAGCTGGTTGAGTGTTGATATGAAAGATCGTTATTAATTGAAATGCCTGTTCGAGAGCTGCATAGTGAAATGTATGATGTGGTCGTGTCCACTGTCCAGTCTGCGGCCAACGTGTGCAAACTGTTGCTCTTTGCACGGCTTGTACAAAAGTAACAATTCTGATGCATTGAGATGTATCGCGGCTTGTAACTTTCCGCATTCGCTCTAGTCTGAAGGATATATAATAGCTGCACACTGCACAGATATAGGAGAGACGTACGGGCCCTGATTGAGCAGGCGTAAGAACGCATAAATTGCCCGTAAAGCGTGTTTCCTACGGGCCCTTTCTTGTGCATGATCTCCTTGTGATACGAGTGCGCCTTGAATCGCTCGATTGCCAATCAAGGACAATAGGTGCTTGCGCCTTCCAACAGCCATAATAGATATTCGTTTATCCACCGGGTTTGCGTGCCAGTTGCGAATGTGAGGCATAACTTATCACACTTTTCAGGAACTATGCACAGGTTTTGTTCGTGCAACATAAAATGAAAACTCATACATTCCAGCTTAATATCTCTTTCGGAAATAGGCAGCTGTTCGTGCTGTTTGAAAACTTTCGAACATTCAGATGTTAAACTGCTCCAACCAATAGCGATCGAAATTAGAGAGAAATTGACATTAGAATGAAGAAATTTGAAGTTTTATAATAATTGCATCCTGTCTCGCATAAGTTTCGTCAGGTTGCGTGCTTGCGCCTAAAATAGTAACTTAAGACCTTTGTGCTTGTGACGTGATATAGCATACGGTAGCGATGTAGTACGTAAAGTGACGGCTTTACTCGTACTTTCTATTATTCGCTGTACTTTCTCGATCTTTCTCTTTTGTGTTCGGATTTACTTTTGGTTGTTTCTACACGGATGCGCCGTGTCTATACAAGTCCCTGAGTGGCAGTACTTTAATCACGAGTTCTCTCACTACGAGTTTTGGCAGTTTCGGAGTTTCTAATAAAATTATCGTCGGAGATGCAGTTCTCGCTTCGCGTAGATTCGTAGACTTAGCTATGCCACATTGAGATATTAGCTCATACTCTGTCGTTGAGTAGGTCGGTAGGATAGATTATTACGGTAATTATTCCTATCGTACTGATCTCTCCGTCATGGCGCCCACCGATGTTCGAACCTAACCGATGGCCAGCTAAGTAAACTGTGACTGAAATTGTGATTGAAATGGTGAATGTCAGCTTCTAGAGAGTGCTCAGTCCGGGTACAACTGTACTGACTGGACGGATGTCCGGGCAGCTGGTCTGCCGTCTGGACGCCTAAAACGTTAGTAGTCCGGGTACTGGCGACGCGTTAGTAAGGGGAAACCCTGCTGATCCGTGCCTGCGACCCACGACGAAAACTTGTAAATGTCCGGGGGCTCTGCCCTGTCTGGACGCTGAGCAGTTTGACCTGCCAGCAGGGCGATGCAGGGATAACCTGTAGATCGACCCATGAGCACTGAAGTGAAAATGAAATGAAGATGAATTGATGAAATGACGAAATGTTGAATTGATGAACTGAATCTGAAGCAGGTACTCGTAGCTACTGGCCAGAGCACGAGTTTCCAAAAAATCTGAAGCGTAGCGATTACGTAATCGGCTGTGAGTAGACAGAGTGTCGAAAGCAGTTTCCTTGAGCTAAAGTATTTTGTTTGCCAGAGCAGTGCCTGAGCATTCAAAGTGTCGACACAAATCTTGAGCTATAGTTTTGTATGCGAGAGCGAAAAGCGAGAGCATACAGGTGCACCATATCGTAGCGTAGCCATACAGCCAAAGCAGTTGCGAGCGCTGTGAGCGGTGAGAGAACACCGACGATCGAAATCTCAGTCTGTAGTATCCGGGTTAGAACAAGAGTCTACCTGGAAGATCAGTGTAACGAACACTGAAAACTAAAGCGTAGCTAAAGTTTCCGCGTAGAGCAAAAGCCTACCGGATGAAAATTTAAAGCCAGTGCAACAGTCACTGCGGATAAAAGACGTAGCTAAAGCATCCGGGTTAGAACAAAAGAGTTCCTCGGAAAGTTAGTGCAATGGACACTGACAAATTCAAAAGAATGGAAGGCGCAAATGCCGTACAGTTTGGCGGCATCGCAGAAGATGAAGAATTGTGGTACGACATGCACCCGCTGCAGTCCGAACTAATTGACTTCTCGCTTGACCAGGGAAGATTTGAGAATGCAGTTGAAAATTGGGGAGGCAGAATTGATGAAGAAATGAACGTGAATGAACTGAAAGAAATTGCTTGGGCATCTCTGTATGCCGCACTTGCACTTCAGAGGAAGTACAGCAACGCGAACCGTATATGCCATGCATTAAGCGGCCGCAATACAGATATGGCCATTGAAAACAGTGCTTTAACTGCTGAACTGGTTAAACTGCGTAATAAAGCTGGACGAATTGAAAATGAGTGTTGCGAAGAAAAAACCCGAGCTGATGAATTGATGAAGCGCCAATTAGCGCTGATGTTGAAAATGGATGAAATGCAGCGAATGCCTAAAGCGTCTGAAAAAATTCAGTACCCGCAGACATACGAAGGTGCACAAGAAAGCGGTAAAGTTGAGCGCTTCATTCTTGATAGCGAAAGGTGTAAAGATTTGAATGAGTGGACTGAAAAACAGTTGATTGAAAAAGGGTTGTCGTACGCACTGAAAGGTGATGCGTATTTGTGGTATGCCGAAGTTAAAAAATTAAATCCAGATAAAGACTGGACTAACTGGAAAGCACTGTTAATTAATCACTTCTAGAGCCCCCAAACAGTATACTGTACTGCCGTATACGGCATACTGTACGGCGCAACAGTACGTAACCGTAGTGAAAATTGGTACGGTAACGAAAGTGCCGTACGTAACCGTAAGCCAAAAACACGCTTTTACAATGGGCTTGCCGTATACGGTACTGCCGTATACGGTATACCGTACGGTCAATCCAGTTATTTTTGCCGTAACCGTAGCGTACAGTAGGAGCCGTAAGCGGAAACCGTACGTAGCCGTACAGAAATTTGCTACTGTTTGGGGGCTCTAATCACTTCTCATCGGAGAGTGACCCGGCTGAAATACGGCAAGCAATGTATCATGTATGCACGTGTTTTCACAGAGGAAGACACGGTGAACTCATATGTGGATGGTTATTTAAATTGGTTCAATACGCTAAATACGAAAGAAGAAGAAAACGAAGTTTCAGTTCTCGTTCAGGGACTGAAGAAAACCCGAATGGAGTGGTATGGCAAGCTGGTCATATCAAAACCTAAGACTGTTGAAGACGTTATGGCACAGCTGAAAACGCTGTACGCACTGAAAGTGCAACGAGAAATGTACGAAAATGATGACTGTTGTGAGTATGAAGATGACTGTGAATATGTGTACAGTGAGTGTGAAAATGGTAATTTGAATGATGACGACTGTGAATACGATGAAAATTATGAAATCTACAATAATATCGGTCAGCCGATCTGTTTTAAATGTCACGAGTTGCATCCGGCTAAGTACTGTACATTTAACGGTAAATGGAAAGAAGTGTCAAAGGAACCGCCGATTCAAGTATTGAGACGTTATAATTTGAAAAATGTGGAAGCACGTTCATTGGAATTTCGCACTGTGCAGTGTAATATAAAATTAACTGAAAATGTGAAAACTGAAATGCGGCGGCACTCAAGTTTGCGGGGGCGATCAGTGCCCAATAAGCTACCGCCCGATGCGTTGCAAACGACTGTGGCCAGTCAAGTTTGCGGGGGTAAGCCGGATAATACTGAAGTAGCCTCTATGGCCAAAAATTTTGTAAATGAAAATTTTTGGAAAGTTGAGCAGCGGAAGTACAAGGATACCAAACACTGGTATTACTTGTTCAGAAATCCCATAAAAGCGAAAAATAAATTTCAAAACGAAGAAATTTATCACATGATTGTGAGAAATGGATTGTTGTGTCGTAAGCGCACAGGAACTGGAATTGACAGAATTGTTGTGCCTAAACAATGGCAAGAAGAACTGATTGATTCAGTGCGAAAAAGATGTGCGAAAAACGAATTAATACCGCGCGGCGTGTCCGTTCAAAAGTATTTGACCGCCCGGTATTATTGGTACAATATGGTGAAAACTATTGAAAATGTTATGAAGAAATGTGATAGCGCTGAAGTTTCTGAAAATTTTGAAAATGTGTCAGATTGTGCGGAAATCCGCCATGTTGAATGCATAGCTGAAGTGTGCAGTGAACTGCAGAATAAAAAAGTTGAAATTCCTCTTACACAGTTGGAGAGGAATAGCCCATGCACTACGAAATCGGTTCAGTACGAGTATAATGGGACTGGTCGATGCATCGACGCAGATGACTGTGAAAAACCTGAATTTGTGTATCAAACTTTAGCGGATTTAAAAACTGCAATTATCGAAGTTGATGGTCAGGAACTGAAAATGGTGTATGAAGAGAAGTCCAGTGAGGTAGACAATTCGCCTGTGAATTTCTTGGGATTTTATTCCCGAAGATATCCTTTCTGAATGCCGCCAAACGCTGATTGTGTGTGCTACGAGAGTCGCATTGGTAACCGCCTTCGGGTGTTACGCTGACTGACTATTTGCGTATACTTGCGTTTCGCAAATTCAAAGTGGTGTTTTGAACTGTTTTCTTTTATTTTCATTTTTCATCGCGGATGTTTTTGCCAAATTTTCATCGGCGATTTTCTCTTAACTTAATTAATTTTGCCACTAAAAATCTTCATTTATTTTATTCCGACGTTTTCCTGTTCATTTCACTCCGACTGCCGTGCTGCCAAGTGCCAACCTTCTCACTATCCTGCCTGCGCTCAATCTCCACCGTCCAGGATCCTCTCCTCACTTGCCATCTCATTCAGTCACCCGTGGAGGAGGCTCAGGAGGATCAGTCAGTCAATCGTGGACGGTGGATGGATTTGCCCGTCATGCCCAGTCGAGAGCGTGAGACATCTCTGTTTAGTTTTTATTCCCTGTTTTTGCTTTTCTTTTCGGTTCTTTTTGTGTTGGGTTCCCCAAAAGCCGTTTGCGGGGGTGACGTGATATAGCATACGGTAGCGATGTAGTACGTAAAGTGACGGCTTTACTCGTACTTTCTATTATTCGCTGTACTTTCTCGATCTTTCTCTTTTGTGTTCGGATTTACTTTTGGTTGTTTCTACACGGATGCGCCGTGTCTATACAAGTCCCTGAGTGGCAGTACTTTAATCACGAGTTCTCTCACTACGAGTTTTGGCAGTTTCGGAGTTTCTAATAAAATTATCGTCGGAGATGCAGTTCTCGCTTCGCGTAGATTCGTAGACTTAGCTATGCCACATTGAGATATTAGCTCATACTCTGTCGTTGAGTAGGTCGGTAGGATAGATTATTACGGTAATTATTCCTATCGTACTGATCTCTCCGTCACTTGCACCTAAAACAGTTTAAGCCTACGCAGGACACATCAATGTCCCAAAAATAAGCACATATACAAAACGGGGGATCCAAAATCATAACCATACACTTTTAAAAGCCTGCCTATTGTAAAAAAATACTGTATTTCCGCCCAAAGCAAAATTAACGTTTGTGCTTATTTCTGCAGAAAAGTTACACTTTGATACTGGATTTACTGAATGCCCAAGACGAGTCTCCAGATTGTAAGTGTTACGATTTTTTCCGTATCGCACTGACTCAGTGAACCATGTTTTATTGTCCTGAATATGTTTTATTTCGTAGCTTCCGATATATCGTTGGAAAGAGCTGTTCAGTCGGAAGAAATTGGACCAAGGGATGACTGGAGAGTTTTTGTCCATTCCGGGAAAAAGGCTGTAATTCGATATCGACTGCGGATTGTGTGTGATGAGTTCTACGGCAGCGAAACCTGTAACACTTTTTGCAAAGCGAGGAACGATTTTTTTGGTCATTGGTTCTGTTCACCCGACGCGGAAAAAGTCTGTCTGGACGGATGGACGGGATCGAACTGTGATAAAGGTATAGTTATTTTCCTTTCGCAGCAGGAAATGGCCGTTACGTGTTTCCGGTGGATGTGCGCGTTCATTCGGTGAATCTGCACTTAAAAGATAAAAGTGCATAGTTTGGCGTGGCAGGGAAGTTGTAAAAATTCCGCAATATGTGCGTAGCATATTGAGGGCTGGATGCTTTTGAGCGCTTCTCTGCTTGGCATTTGGTCAGCGAGGCGCTGAAGCGTACAGAGACAGTGGTCCTTGGTCAGGCCAGTTGGCCTCCACGGCTCGTCTTCCCTTCCCTGACACTGACATATTGGACATGTAATGACATGACAGTGACGTTAACGTTATGAGCCGCACATTTCCAGCCGGAAACACTTTACGGCCTTATATGGGTTATTTGACACGGCAAATACAACGCGGCATTTTTCTCTCTTCTTTTCGGTTTAGCCATCTGCGCGCCGGGATGCCAAAATGGGGTTTGCTCTGTGCCGGGCGAATGCAGGTATGCAATATGAGTTATGATCCATTTCAGGCAGGAATTTGGAAAGCTGTACAAGTACTACCTCCCAGCACGTGTTTCTCATGCTGCAACTACCTTGCTACAACTTATATTTAAAGGTGGAAAATATTGGCTATTGGCGAATATTCGGGGAGCCTTAGTTTTAAGTATTAATTTTTGCTAGACCGTTTTGAAGCTGTATGTTTACTGTAGTTGGTCATAATTTTAATTTCTAAATACTGCTTTCGTAAATGTTGTGGGCTTTAGTTACGCAGAAGGAAAGTGTGAGTGACTCGTACTTAACCGTTGTCGGCCTTTTCAGAGCTCTTCTAACTCGGTTTACCGTAATTTGTTTTAATGACTGCAGTTTTTTCAACCATTGCAAAAAACTGCGAGCAGTTTTTAAAACGATTTATAACGGTTGAGCACATGAATTTTTAATCGCTAGCCAACTGCTTCCTGTTGACTATCCATATGCCAATCACCCGCTGGGATTTATCCACAGTGTCCTTGGCTACTAGAAATGCAAAAGCACTCCTTTGAGAGCGATCTCGATGAGGTTCAGCGATGAGCCGCGCAAAGTGATACCCGTATCGGCAGATTTTGACAACTTGAACGAGCTGATCTAGATTAATGTGCAGCAGAAAGCTGTTGATGTTGATGAAATTTGGAATCATGCGAAACGAATGTATGTCCGGTTATGGTTGCTAAATCTCCATCCGGCATGCGCATAAATCTTGTCGACTTGACCAAGGGGCAGGTGCAGAGATTTTTAAGACACACCTGACAATTCAAATTATAATAATTTTTGCTTTGAAATTAAAACGTAAACGTTGGAGCGCACAGTGTGCGTTTTAAATGTATTGCGTCCGAAAGCATCATGAGAATCGGTCCAGGTTATTTAATAATAAAACAGGGTGCAATTAGGGCAACATACGCTCTATCCAGGCTGCTTATTGTGAGCGCTTTCCTTTATGGGTATTATGCTCAGTGTGGATGAATTCAACAATGGTTTCGTAACAAGCCATAATCATAACGGTTCGGATTTCAGCTCAATTCATCTTCCGTGCTAAATAGTCATAATGGATCGTATAGACACTCGCCCAGTCCTATCGCATTACGTCCATTCTTTGTATTGCAGAGCAGACACTCTCGGGAAATGGAGTTTTTCGGGGTTGGGAATTGTTTGTGGTGTGTGCCGGTAAATTTGTGATATGCTTCACTCAATATAGTATACCTTGCAATGCAGACTGTTATGGTGCTGGTCAGTCACGTTTGGTCATTGAAAAATGACGCCATTAATGGGTCTAAGCCGCACTGCGGGACGCTTCAGTGAGCTAGCTTGAGTTCTCACTGAGAATCGTATCCCCTCCTGTGCTCTCGATACAGTGTCCCTGACGGCTCCCACCCGTAATTTCCCATTGTCTCAAGCGTATCTTTCATTCACTGTGGCATCGGCTTTTTCCAAATAACTCACAGTGATCGAAATTTTATTTGCCGGTACTTCTGGCGATATCCGGTGGTTCTTGTCTGCATAGCTAGTTTGAAATTTGCGAAATTGGAGCAGTCATGCTGAAATTTGTTCACTTTAGCAGCATGCCAACAAGTGAAGCAGGGCGCGTTCACATGGTCGTTGATATGGTTTTTATATTGCCACCATGATTGGATCCGAATCGAATCAAGGTCGAGTTAAACCTTGCTTACCTTCGATGGAGATTTGCTTTGTTTTAAATTATCGTACTACTATGTCTTTTTCCTGCTGATTTTGATTTTTTTTAAATTTTAAGTTTTAGTTCGCAAGCGATATTTGAAATAAAAATTTCGTAACAGGGATTTTCTCAATGATTGTAAGTATTTCCCGGTTTTGTGCGGATATTCCGCCTGTCCATGAAACATAATAGCCTATGATACCTTCCTCAAATTAGATGAGTATATTGTATGTAGAACGTGTTTTGTATTTTGTGCTAATATTTTAAGATCATTTGCTCACTTTTCTTCCCTCACAAGTCAGAACTGTTTTGAACGATTAACTTTTAATATCGGCTGCTGCTTGGTCTAAATGGATATTAACACCACATAAATCTTTTATATCAATTGTAGCAAAACGTGTTAGAGATTGGCCGGATTGCTGGATTATGTCAGGGTGAAGCGGATTGTTAAGGAAATAGTGAAAGGAAACAGCGGGATAGGTGCCAGTTTCAAAATACCCATTCATAATTTTCACTAAAAGCAGTTTAGTCATTTGAACAAAACGGGTTGCGCCGATGTGCCCGAAATCTTATCAAATGCGTTTGGTTTGCAACTTTCACTGATCAGACAAAGCTATTTTGCAAAAAGAGATATTATGTATGATTACTATGATATGTGCTTGTACGTAGATGTTTCTCCTGTCAAGATAGAATTTAAAAATTAATGACCTTTGATTAGTGAAAGGTTGTTGTGGAACCTCTCCGTTCAGTTGTGTAACAAAATATTGGCTAGAACATTTCAGCTGCGAAAAATTAATTCGGTAACGTGGCGTCGTAGCAGACCATGGCAAAAACGAGCAGATGGTTAGCTGGCTACCTGGGAAAGATATAATTTTGGTGGGAAATGTGAGGCTGAAGCGTACTTCTAAGAACGTCTGAAAGTAAACGGGATATTGACTTACTGTCTTTCCCCGCACTTTTCTTTTGGAGTCGAACAATAAAATGATCAAGGAAACACCTGTTGCCTCCTTTGTTTAAGCTGCACTGTGCTAGTCCACACTTCGGGCACTCTTCGATTTCTGTCCCGTTAATGATCTGCTTAACCAACCGAGAACGCAATAAGAGATGCTTCTGCTGATGAAAGCTTCCACCTGTTGATTTCGCTGCATCGACATCGACGGAAAGGGTGCAGCAGTTAATTACGTTATACGTTATCATTTATGCGTATCCGCAGGATGTCGTTGTTACTTCCAAAAAATCGCATTTTGTGCCAATAATTTAGGAAAATTTTTTTGTAAACCGGTGTGACGAGTGATTTTGGGATTTCATTTATACCTACTTAGATCAGGAGTGTGACTGCACATTAGTGCTAATGAACAGTAGTAGTCATTTAGCGTGGCGCGATCCCGTGAGAAAGTGTGGTGGAGAAGCGAAGATAGCATACTAGACAGAATGATTGGCTTGCACGCCGTACTTATTGTATTGTCTTTAATCATTTTGAAAGGATTAGCCGAGAATCTTGGTGCGCCGAACAAATCAAGGGCGGATCCCAGTAACTGTTGCTCGCGCTGCACGCATTTTCGCATCAACGGGATGTCGTGCGCCGGTCGCTCGCGTCGAAACCGTGCGGCGTGGCAGCACACACAGTTGCGACTTGTGATGTGTAGACTTTTTACGCTGAAGCCTTAAGGTGCACACACAGAGTAAGGATTATAGTGGTGGTCAAAAGCCTCCCGCTGCTGAATGATGTGATTCTTTGAAGGAAAATGTCCACACGATCCATCATTTGACCTGTTAGCATGAAGCACAGTCGCATATTCTCATACTCCTGTCGTGTGCACAATGATCTTCTTTCAGATTAAGTACTTGTAAGTTGGCTCCGATCGGGAAATGTATACCGCACAATGCTAAAGCGTTGTGCTTGTTATGAAATTAAGTTCATGGGCTCGAATTGCACAGATACACCGTGGTTCAAGTAGCTGACTTCCAATTTTCTCATGAGGCGAATGGCGCGTCTCCCTGAAAATGGGCGCGGGCGAAGTTATTACAAACAGACTGGCTGTATGTTTTGCAATACTGCTATCTTTTTAATATTTAATAGGGCCGCTTTGTGTGTTTTTCAGCTTCACTGCTCGTGTATAATAGCTTACAAAACTTGTTACCAAAGCCTTAATGCCAGGAACAAAGCCATCTGACTTTTCGCATTTTTAACTTCATGCAGAGTCTTATCGGCTGCATCCGCATTCCATGACCAACAGAATACAGATACATGGTCGGCCACTACACCACACCAATTTGTGTTATATAGTGTGCCACAATAGCATAGTGTGGATACCGATACAGTATCTGTGGCTTAATGATTCTGCTGATAAAATTTACTCTTCATATGATAAAATCTGCCGATTGATGGCGCGGTTTCACGACCAAAAGGCAGTCGAATTCCATGCCGGATGATACAACCTGATTTATTTCAATACGTTAGCTTAAATATGTTGAAATCCGAATTTAAATGATATGATAGGGATCATATCATATCCAGGATGAGTGATGATTGGACTGATAGTGTCTTATTTAATTTGGGGTGACGTCATGCAGAATAAATTACGAATAGCAAAAACAATGGGATATGTTTCAACCTGAAAGTGCGCGCTTGACTTGGAAAGTGGTGTTTCATTGCAAGTTTCTGTAACAAACTAAAATAATTATGACCTTAGCTACATATAACCTAAAGACAGTATTGCTGGGTACTTACATTTCCGCAGATACAATTTACAATACAGAATCTGATACAGATACGGTCATCATACAGATACAGACACAGTTGTACGAGCGTTTGTCGATATCGTTAAGGAACGTTAACATTCGTATGACATATATTGTATGCATGCATGTATTGCTCATAAGATTACTTACATTTTTTTACTAATTCTGCAGGTGTCGGAATGGATGGAAAGGAGAAAAATGCGATCAGTGTGTACCGCATCCGGCCTGCAAACACGGAACCTGCACCGATAAGCCCGGAGAATGCGTATGCGACAAGGACTGGGGTGGCCCAATGTGTGACCACGGTACAAAATCAGTCTTGCTAGACTTGAATTGCTAAAACATTTTGCTGTGCAAAAGTTATTTTTGTTGTGCTAGTATGCGTCGATTTGTTTTCACAGCCTTTGCTTTTCCGTAGATTTGAACTACTGCGCCAAACACAAACCATGCTTCAATCATGCGATCTGCTACAATGTTGATGACGGTAAACAAGCGTATGAATGTCGCTGTCCGGAAGGATTTGGTGGTCTGGACTGTAGCCAGACGACAGAACCCTGCGTTCAGAATCCGTGCAGACATGGAGAATGCTACGCTAACAACGGAACGGCACAATGCCGATGCGATGTTGGTTGGGTGGGAGATCTCTGTGAATTGGTCAAAGACGCTGTCGGTAGGTATTAAGACTTTAATTTTATAAACTTAATACGCGGAAGAAAATTAAATTTTATTAATGTGGTCGTTTACACTTTGTTTTGGTGAATCCCCGAACTAAAGCATTGTTTTACAGATAACGATGAGTGCGTTAGCAACCCGTGTGCCAATGGGGCAACCTGTAAGAATGAAATTGGATATTACCGATGTATTTGTCCGGATGGGTTTTCGGGAGAGCAGTGCCAGAATAGTACGTAACCGCACGGAGCCTATATATATTAAATATGTTGTGTATCTACTCTTATTTTGCGCAGAGGTTTAAAGATTATGCTTAAAAATTACAGAAGTCAAAAGAGTTTTAGTGACTCCTACGGCGATGGTCTTTACAACGCCGGTTCCGGTGCTGCCAGAAAATACGACTCAATCGGCGTTGGTTCCTCATGCTATTAGTGATGCCTCTGTGGAGCAGTTACCTACCAAATTAGCTCATGGTAAGAATCGAAGTACCGTACAATTCGTATATCCTGTAATGGCAAAACTGTCGCACAAGTATGCACAAGAATACGTTGGAATATCGGTGTGATGATTCATGCACGTACAATGTTCATTGATGATGGCTTGTTATTGCAGTGGACAGCACGATAGCGTTGACCGCGATCGTTTCGGTCATCCTGGTTTTGGTCATACTGGTTCTGGTTCTCGTCGCTCTGGTATTCTACCATCGCCGTCAGCGCAGTCGTCGTTACGACGATAGCGCTTTTATCTCGGAAAAATACTCACTTCCGTCCAACAATCGTCAGGTGACCAAAGACCTGTTGAGTAAAGACCAGGCAGACCTTTTAGCGCAACGGAATAATCAGGACAACGAAGTGCGCTTGAAAATTCTGAATAATGTTCTCAAAGAAACCAAAATTCCCATGGAAGATGAAATGTCGAATAAGAGTGATGATTTGAAAGCGGGCATGTTGTACCCCAGAACACCGGATCCCGGCATTGCGCGATATATCTGCGGTGATCCGTCCACGAGTTATCCCGTCTACGCTTACGATAACCACAATAATAATCGACCAGAAATGCAGAGCAATAAGAATACCAAAAATTCTTTTATGGAAAGTCTAAGAGCGGCCAGGAATAAGGATAACAATGGTTCCGTGGGCATGGAATACTTTTCCGCACCGCTGAGCGACGGTAAAGTACCTGTGGAAGATTTCACTGTGGTCTGATGACAAGAATTTCCGTTTCCGGATCTACTCAGTCCCGTGTGTGTGTACCATTGGAGAAACGAGGTTCCTGTGCACAAAGTAGAGTTTACGATGTTTGTACCTCCCCGCCAAAGTTATTTCACTTGTTTCCTGCTTGTTTTTACTCAAATCAGTCCACTTACCTCGGTTGCCGGCAAGGTGTTTGACTGTTGGAGAAATGGACGTTGCTTGTGAAATTCGTTACCCTGCAGCAAGATCACGTTGGTCCTTGTAAATTAAAATTTATTCGTTTGGTTTTAATGTTCGGTTTCTGTGCAAGTGATTTCATAGGATTTCTCGCATTTCTCACGATTTTAACCCGGATTGTTTGATACTTCTGTGCAGCTAGAATTTTCTCTTGCCGTTTTAAAGCAATGTTGTTTGTCCTGTTTCGTTTTAAATGGTCTCAGTAGATTGTTGTTCCGACGTTTCCGGAAACGATGGTTGAACTGCGCGGTGACTGTTTTCACTTTGCGCACTTCGTAATTCTAGGCTGCATTGTGATTTTTTATTCTAAGACTTATTTTCATTAACAACCTAACTTCAGTATGTTACTGCTGATACAAAATCGTATGTTCAATAAATTGTATCCTCGACGACAAACACTACCGTGTTTGTGGTGTTGCAGATGCCCGGGTTTAATGTATAGTGCATTTTAAACAATCCTTTTACGACTTTATTGTAAGTCTATCTTTACAGAATGTCGTTGTCAACAGTTAAACAAAACCGTATCGTACGGAATGGTTACGAAGTGATTTGTATTTTGTACCGAAAACCATGTCATTCTGTATCTGGCCATGAATTTTTTGCTGAAGCAAAGAATATTCTTTGCGATGAATTCGAATTCATCTCGATCGGTCACGAAGTGCAGCAGTTATTCCAGATTGCTTTTGCATGTACGTAGGGTCAGTGTTCCTGACTCCAGTTAATCTAATGGCCGGTACGGGTATCATAACACATTATAGCAGGAGCAATAGTTATCAGTTAACTAACAGCTGATATTAATAATAACATGTAAAAAGCGAATTTCTGTTCTGTAAAACTAATTTTCACAAGCCGGAGATGTCCACTGATCACGATTACTGAACGGTTTGAACGGTTCTAACACATTAAAAATAGAAAAAGAACCACGAATATCAGAAAACAAAACATAGTAATCGTTATTCAGCTGAATGTGTAAGACACATTCAGCTGAATAACACATTCAGTTTTCTAAGTAGCTGAATGTGTTAGACAGAAAGGAAAGTTACTTTTGGAATGACCTTTGTAATCATCCTGAAGCAACCAACTTCATCATGGAAAGCCGACAGACTCACCCCTCGTGGCGCATACCCTGATTGAGCTACTTATTATACTGTACTGTACGTATGCCCCTAGCTTCATACGTCATGCTGCACACAAGTACGTTCACCACACTCTGCATGCTTCAAGGGAGTCATCCATAAATTACGTAACGCCAAAATTCACGGTTTTAAACACTCCCCTCCCCCTTTGTCACCAATGCTAACAAAACTGATATCCCCTCCCCTAAGCGTTACGTAATAAAATCAAAACCCGTCCACCATTGTGACGTCATAATTGTAACAAAACGTAACAATTTTTTATAGCCCCCGTCCCCTTTGTCATAAATCGTAAGTTTTCAAAGACTCCCCCCTCCCTCTACTTGCGTTACGTAATTTATGGATTGTCCCTTGGCGGCTTGACACACTCACAAGTCGGACGCAGACTATGTATAAGTATTGAAAAAGCACTCTACAGCTTCCACCAATACATGATACCGTATTTACGAGTTAATATCGTGTACCGCCACTGCCACAGTCGTGACTTCTCTATCGTTTCCAGCCAGATTGTGCTTTGGCCTTGAAGTGCGTTGTCACATGAATGACACATAACGTAAGTAGGACCAATACTCCACTAATTTCCGGGATGTTGCTAAGAATGCATTATGTTGTAGAGCGGAAGACAGTGGAGGGGAAGCCAGAAAGCGCTATGCGTCTGCAGTTGACGGTCTCAGTGCGTGCTTGGTTTTCTCGCGAATCTTGGTGTCCAGGTGCCCATGGAGGAGAAAGCCTCCACATTGCCTTTTTTCACCGTTCGTCCTTCTAATCTCCCAGTGACACCCGGCGATGGCTACGCCAGCCAATTCGATATCTCTCGAAAGAATATCATCGCCCTAGCCAGCACAGTCAGTTTAATCCGAACTCAAAATCCCGTCGTCGCATCCTCCGACGGATTCCCGAAAGCGCACGTTAGCGGCTTGAATACCGATCGTCGAGGGACGAAACGAACAGTGGATGATCAAGAGAAAAACGGCAGAAATGACTCTCACCCGGACGAGCACGATGACCACGTGGAGAAGGAGAACCTGGCTGACAGTGCAGCGGGCATTGTGTCCACGGTGTATCTGTGTGATGTGGAGAATGTATGGCGGCCGTTTGAGATTTTCCGTTTCTCCGGACGACCGTCAGTGGTGCGCTGGAGCAACAGCGCATCCACGATCCTCGTGTGCAGTGAGCGAGGAATTTTCTACATTTTAACCAACCGCACTGGCGCCATGAACGCCTGGCATCTGCTGCATCGAGGCAATTTGAATACAGAGGATAAAATCATCCACGTGGCGTGGCTAAAACAGCTGATTCACTTTTCCTCGGAAACTGAACCTCCCACCGATGGCATTATGGAAACCCCGGAAAAACCACCGGCATCCTGGACGGCGGTGTCGAGCAATCAGGACAGTGAGGATTATCTTGATGGATTTTTTTGTGTAACGCACAGCGGGAAAATTGTTTTTGTGACAGTTCAGGGCAAAATGTTTCCTGGTGGAAAGACGAAATGTAGTGTCACATCGGTGGACATCCCCGGAGATATCCGTGAATTTTCTATGGCCGATTCCGTCTTCGACCCGGACGATCATCGTTTCATTCTGACGGTGGGTCATCCAGCATTGTCGGAAATTATTTGCTTAAAGATCGGTTTATCGGAGGAAAGTGTATCGCCGCTGCGTTCGCCATCCGCCCTGATTGATAATCTGGTGAATATTCCGTTGAAGCGGAAAATCAGCCAGCTGTCGTGGCTGAGTGGCTGTGGTCAGAAAGAGCATTTTTTGGCGGTGGCTACCGTTAATGACGACGAGGAAAGCCCCGCTGTTCTGGAAATTTGGGCGCTTAGTCTCGTTATGCAGGATGATTTTTTATTATCGCTCGATGCGGAAGTCATTGAGCCGACGGCGGTGAAACTGTTCTGGACCTGTCAGGCGGAGAAAGCCGTCCCGTTTGAAATTGTCAGTATTGTCCAGTCAGTACAGTGTTTCTATTCGTCGGATATCCCGCGGCAGGGAACGATGGCGCTGCAGGGCCGTAATCATGCCATCAGTCTGCTGAACGTTAAACTGGATATGGAAATCTCTTTTTCAGATTTATGCCACTTCCACTTGAACCCACCAAAACCGGATGTGGCCGCACACAGCCCGGTGTGTTTCAGTGCCAATGGTTTCTTGTTATTGTGTGGCAGTGCAGACAGCCGTCTCGTTGCGTGGCGTGTTCCGCAAGAGTTTTGGTCATTTTTAACGAACGACGATCCAACGCGATTGCTGCTGAACACCAGTGGGGACTTTTGTGACTTTCTCGCAGTTATGGAGCCGTCGAATGTGTCCGCCGAATTGGAATTATTAGAAAGTACTTACCGCACAATATCGGCCTTGCAGAAGCAGACGTCGCGATTGCGCTACTACCGGTTGCGTGCGGGATTAACGGAGAAACTGGCTGGCAAAGAATCAGGTTTTATAGTATTATTAACCGTGTATTTCGACTCCTTTTTATCGTATCTTGAACAGTTTCTGACGCCCGACGATGCATCGTTAACTTCCATTTTCCACATCAGTGAGCTGATGGCCATCTTGGAGCAGGCGGATGCTACTTTGGACGCCGTGGTCAGCGTGGTTGACCGGCAGGTGGCCTTCGATAAGACAGCTCTCTGCCATGTGCAAACCGGTTTCCACCAAGTACTGGTCGTGACGTTTGATTTTCTAATGTTGTGCGTTAAACATCAGCACGTGCTGATGCATGCCGGCGAAGCATTGACCAAGGTGCGCTTAATTCTGGCCACCTTGGCGGCGTGGATCGGAAGCCAGGGTTTTTTTAAGCAGTTATGGCGCCGTCCAGCTTTGTATCCCGCTGCGTTGAATATTTTGGATATTATGTTCTCTGCCACAGCTGTCCTGCTGACAGGAACACCGGAAAAAAACCTTTACGGAGATTTGATGCGTGTACTGGAAGAAATTAATGTGGAGGACGATGCCTATGGTAGAAACTGGAAGGAGCTGTATATACGTGCGCAGAGTCGCATAAGTGTGGAACAGTCAGAGCAGATGAGATATATTTACAATCTTCGCTTCCCGTATGCCATTCATGCTTCTCCCGAAATGGAGAAAAATGGCAACAACAAGGAAGCGAAGTCTGATGATGCGGAAATTCTGATGAGAAAGCCTGGACGCCGAAAGTTCTGCTCGCGGTGTTATTTCAATTTTCCTTGGCGGCTTAAAACGAATTCGGCTGGCTCATGGACCAGTCATATTCAACAGCGCTGGACTGAGTGTTTCTGTGGTGGTCAGTGGATTTTCTTGGAGTGAAAGAATCTTTTTCAGACAGAAATTTTAACGGTTTTTATTTGCACATTCGAGTGTATTTTGATGTGAATGCTCGGCATTTTCTTATCTACCTCGGTGAATTACCTGTCGGTGTTTTTAAGCTTTTGAACTTTTTGTGTTATTTAATTTTTAAACCAGAGTGCAGTATCAATCAGAAAGTAAGAATATATTGTTACTTTTATTTAATGAATCCCCCTGAACGCCTTATGAGATCCCGATAAAACATTATTTACAGAAATTTCGTTTTAGCAGTGAAAAAACCATGTGCCAAACAGTCAAACATAGAGCCGCTTGTAATCGGGTTTGTTTCACCGCATTTCGCATGATATCACATGGGGCGCTGCCAGTACAAGTACTTACAACAGCCGCGTAAAAGAAACCTGCTGCGCAGGCGCACCAGTGAAGCCAAACTACGACCAGGGCTTTTGAGGAAGACAAGCGCACATCAATCAAATATGCTGCAAGAGATCGTTCCAGTACGGGTTAAACATGCAGAATTTCCTGGGATGATTATCGTCAGACCACCGACGTTTCCAGTGCATTGCCCCACAACAGATCTTTGACGTTCAGTGGAGCCGTCGGATTCACAGGTTTTCTATCACAGGCCGACTTGGAGTTCTCCCAACTGCGAAATGCGGTCAGTGGCGTCTCCGGGTCCACTTCCTCGTGTGAGATACCAGTAGAATCACCAGGTAAAGGGCTTTCCGACGGTGGAGCGGGCTCCTTTTCATTGCCGCTTTCCACATCAGTCAGCAAACATTCCGCTAGATCACGCAATACATCCAGTTCGCGGGCCTCAATCAGGCCAAAGTGCTGACTAAAGATGACAAAATGAACGAAGACACTGTTGAGGTACACGTGGGTGCCAAGCTGAACGTGGGCGTCAAAGTGCGCATGGTACATGTGGGCCAAGACATGCAATAGTTGACGCTGAATTCGTCGAATAACCGTATCGAAATTCGATGGGAACGACATACCTATTATCAGCAAAACAACAACTAATTAACACAGTCTTTAACGAAACATATATTATTAGCCGCGAATTAAAATAACATGTAGTGATGTTTTCTTGAAACACGGTAAATGCTAACCAACGGCCACACGAATTCAATATATTACAAAAATTGCAAATGTCTTTCGTACCGTGCCTGGCAGGAAACACCGTAACATCCCGCATTAGCCTTTCTATCGAAGCAGTGACGTAATCGATATACTGGACAGCTGAACATTTTGATTTTTTCCCTTTCTCATCAATCCAATAATATATTCTGCCGGCAGCCGAAACAAAACAACCGTCAATAGTCGAGATTACGCAGGAAGAAAATCTATTACGCCTTACGTGTTATTTGGCGCAGACATCGTGGGGCAAGTTGACTGAGTGCAGAATTCCGATATCGTTCCGTACAGCAAGTTCACGTTATTAAAAAACGGAATAACTATAACAATTTCCAAAGCTTGTTTATGCTATGAGATGGTTCTTTTCCGACATACGATAATTTACGATACTGGATAACGGATTAAAGTTTAAGCAGTTCTAAAATTAAAAGAAATTCCGGAATTATCTAATTATCTATGTAATATTCCAGACATAGCTGGGAAAGCAAACTCCACGTAAATAAAAATGACACCTTTCAGATAATTAATTGTTACAATTTAAAATCGATTTTCACTCACTCTGGGATGCAAGCCATTCAGACAATTCTATTTCTGACGGTAAGCAAATGATTTGGCGAAGCTGGCTGGTCTGAATAAATCGCTGCATCAATGAGCGGTTGAGGTAAAGTTTGGTGCTGTCATCGGTTGGAGTGGACGTTGCATCACCGCTTCCGTCATTTTTTTCCTTCTTTCTTCCTTTCCTGCAACGCATTAGCAATTTCAGCGTCAGACGTACAGTGGAAACAGGAAGTCGAGAAAGCATGTTCAAAATGCAGTTAGTATCAAAATCAGCACTAAAAAAGTGTTGTTGTGCTGCAGTCATACACACACACACACGCACTTCGAGATGAGGAAAAATCATTAACCAAACACTAAATTTGTTTCCCCCAAATCACACTAGTATCAAATTGTACGATCTGTAGTGTAATGCAACGGGGAAACAAATTTTAACAGAAACAAACCATACGTTAGCCTTCCATACAATAATTACCTATTCCATACACAATTTCACGCTGCCTTCTCTTGACTGTATGGATGATTCAAACAGCAGAGCATATTTGATTAAAAAAGCCGATGTGCACCATTTAGCAAACACCCGCTTGTTTGTTGTCGAGGCATTTACTATTCGCTTGCGGTCTACTAGGTAGCTACCAGTTACGCTCACTGACCACTGCACACCGCCAACGTGCTACATTGCTAAAAACCAATTTCCTGTATTGGAACCAACTTCGCCCTTCGGTCAAGCGGTTTTTGTTAACACAACACAACCATCGTTTTTGCAGCTCACACAAAGATGTTGTGTAAGTCGTGCGATTTTCAAATCAAAGAAAGAAATACACAGGCATTATTACTGCGTTTACAACAGAAGATATATTATTTATGAGTTTTCGCTGAAAAATTCTGTTAATGCAAAGTTATTCGAAAACTAATGCCAGATGATGCATCTACAGAAAAGGACTAGAAAAATTTTCAGTTTATGATACTGCAGCTACGGTAATAGTAAAATTTCTACTGTTTGTTCGAGTGCTCAACGCTACTATGCGCGACAACAATCATTTCAAATTCAGGCTAAAAGAAACTAATTTACCAACCGCTTGCGGCGCACCACGCCACCCTGACAGAACACCGCTCGGAATCCAGTAATCAGTCCTCGACAGTTCGCAATTGGACCGAAAAGTGATCCAAACCAAGACCGGCTCTGGTGGACTGCTTTCGAAAAATCATTCGTCATTTTCCTACTTCCAGCGAGGTATTAAGAAAAATTCATTGGTGATGACTAGCAGCTAAGAGCAAAAATCACCACGGCTATTCAGCTTCCAAAACATTCACAATTTCTAAAACATCACAATTATTAGTCATCATTCGGAAATAATGCGGCATGCTGAGCACTCTATCTGAACGCGTGAAATTAAAAAGTGCCGACGCGGTTTACCAGACAAACTTCCCCGTTAAGATTAACTCGCATACATATAATGATTATCCAATCAGGAACTATTTTTTCACCACGAAGATGGAAAAGTCCATTGACAGAACGACAGAAAATCATCATCCATGTCAAAACTAAGCGCCTAATAGGCAAAATCATTTTAAATATTTACCTAAGTACTATCAACATGCTGCTTAGTGCTGCCAGAATGACACCAGATGATACAGAAAATGTTCCAACTTTGTATCGGAACAATTTAACTTTTCAGATCGTGACATTTCGTACTAAACATGCAACGATGCTAGAACAAAAACAAATTTTTGGATGCTCACGCAGACGTTTCAGGCATCGCTTATCAAGTATTAGTCGGCATTTCTTACCAAAAACGACGGACTTTCAAGTACGCCTTTTGCGTATCATATCATGATTGCGAACTCCACACAAAACATGCAGTAACCATAATTAATTAAACACAATCATCTGCACTCTGACAACGCTTAAAAAAAATTTGAGATGACAGGTTATGCTGCGTCACGAAATCTTGCTAAGGAACACGAATGTTAACAATTCAAACAGATTTATATTCCAACTTTGTATCGGACACAATTCAAGTTTTCAGGTATCGTTATTAAAAAAAATTCAAACAATGTCTTTAACGTTATATATCATTTTAAAAATTGCCAAATGTCAAAACGTCGAATTTACTGCCACATTTTTGTTGACATTGATTAATTACAGGTGGTTTCTCCCTTGATTTTGCATTATCAGGACTAGAACTGCAGAAAACACATTTTCAATATTTGCTTTTATCGTTGTACTTGTACCTACTTTGGTTTAATTAAAGGTACAGTATTTTATTGCGGTAATACAGATTCCAGCTTGTCTGGGTTTCATTCTGACTTTTAACGTTCATCACTCAAAATAAAAGGAAACAAACAACAAGATTCAAGAAATACGAACGCCACTTTGTGCGGTTACATATAGCTCCACACTACTGGGATATGACTGACAGTCGCTAATTCTAACGATAACGATAAAATCATTAGCGCTGGCCGTGCCAACTGCATTGTGAGCATGTGTTTTGGAACGATCTACTCGTACATTGTACAAAAAAATCCTGGAACATAAAAATCTTGGAACAAATAAAGCATAATACACAGATTGAGCATTGGTCGTGCCTCAAAGGCGAATTCGAAAACTGGTACCAGTAATCCTGTATGTCGAAACTATGCGACAATTGGACTCACCCAGTGAACCAGTCCAATGTGTCCCGAAAATATCCAAATCCAAATCGCTCACTAAAGGGTCGACTAGTGGATGGCAGTTGTTTCTCCTGCACATCCTTATCTTCACTGGCAGTCGGGGAAGATGCCATTGTCAGACGAAGGAACTACTAGTAACTTTATGGCAGTTTTCCAGTTTCCACCAATACAGAGGCTACAGTTCATGCACTAGCATCACTACAAATAAAAATTCTCACGGTCCTTCAGACAAGCCATGTGTAAGCCAATAACCAATGTTTTACCAAAAAAGCATCAACGGCATATAATATTATATTGTCACAAGCGACACAAACACTTTGGAGTTTCCCCCAGAACTGCGATTTCAGACCGATAAGGGATATGATCTTAAATCTTAACAAGTGACTACATATAAGAAGTTATAGTTCGGTAACGAGACCTGGCTGTGATAAAACCATTCTGCACTTTTCAACGTCGCACATCTGGAAGGCCAAAGGTGGGTTTTTGCCTGAAGAGATCTTCACTCACGATATGCCAGCGAAAGAGAAGTTCCTCAGTACTCCGTATCACTTCCGAGATCTTTCCCAGGGGCTGCCACACAAGATGCCAGTGCGACTTCGCCTGCCTGCAGATAATCACGTCTCCAGGCTGAGAACAACTTGGTGAATATCGTGTCCCGAACAAACGATAATTTTATATAGGACAGGATGTTATCATGGAAGCGAAAACTCACAGATCTGTTTATCCGCATCCACAAACAACTTCCCAAGCCAACTAAGGAGCTAACTTTATGGCACTCGCTATCACTTGTACAGCTTTGGCTTAACCGAACGATCCCAGAGGTTTAGCTCTTAGATAGTAGAGCTCAGTCACAACTACGAAACACATCCCAAAAGCAAATGTATGGAAAGCTGGAGACAGGGAAGATATCTCGTCTACTGACGATCACAGCAATGAGCAACTCTCTAACTATCAGCTAGAAATACTGCAAACAGGTCACCAATCATTTACGTTTACAATAAATCAAAAATCAAGCAATACTGTAAGAATTAATAAGCGCTATATAACTCAAAAACTTCCAGCCCAAGAAAAACAGAATAATTACACTACACAACCATTTCGTTTTAACTTGTCCACTTGCATTTTATGAAAACGATGGCGTCATAATTCATAAACATGATAAAAACCTCGTCTTTTGGGAATCCTGGCACCCGTGTGTAGCGTCTTTCCTCTGGGTGAATAATGGCAATCGCTCGAGGGCAGCAGTTATTATAAATATTGAACTATTGGGGCAATACTTACACAATGTACAGTAGTAAGCAATGAACAAAAGGACCATACTATCCAAATAAAATAGAAAGCCTTTAAGACTGTGGCATTACCGTAACTAAACCGTTTCGGATTGTTTGGAAAAAATATTGCACATTTTTTCTAAACGCAAGGAGGAAGAGAGCGAGTCACAAAAATATAAAAAGTTCGCTGCGGACAGGATTCGAACCTGTGCGGGTGAAACCCATTTGATGTCTCGACTATTCAAGTCAAACTCCTTAACCACTCGGACACCGCAGCTTATCCATCAAGACAAAAAATCTTGTTGAACGATCCGTTAAAAAATGTCAGCCTTGATAATGCATAGTGCATATTTATAACGTATCTTTTTCTGAAACACTGGTGCCGCGGCAGACTATTTTACTTTATCAGTTCCATTAAACTAATTAACTGTGCTTTTGCTAGAATACTAATAATGTACAGTAATAAAAAAATATCGCTCGCCCTTATATATCGTACATTACACACGTATGTATATTGTATACAAGCACAAGTATACGGTTATTCGTAGTAGTAATTTCATAAGGGAACTGTAACAGTTGCTGCCTTGCGCAAGCAGTCTGTTACTTATGAAAAACCAACAATAAGCACCATAAATCAACAAATTTAAAACTGAAAATTGTCTAAAAAATGAGAATGGAATTCAGGGAGATACGAAAACATCGTAACGCTTTTTAGGAGAAAATTAGTAAGTTTCTGATGTTCTTAATTTAACATTTTATTTTTCAGTTTTGTTTTTGGATAATTTAACGATATGCACCAGACACGGTGCTATAACAGAAAGAATTACATTGTTTTGAACTATTAGAGGATAAAATTGTACTGTACACGGTACAAACACAAAAAATACTAGTACTAGCGGCAATTTCGAAAACTGTATTGCAAGTACGAGTATTTATCTAATTTTTAGTACAGACTAGTGCCAGTAATCAGGCCATCATAATAAACTTATGGTGAAACATTACTGAGGTACTGCAGGACGCCATCGCAAATATTTTTTCGATTTGTTTGCTAGCCTTGATGGACGGGACGTCATGGATCGGATGAAAGTGCATGTATTGGACCATCAATACAGTGCTGCGTTACGCTATGGACGTCGAACAATAGGAGGACACCGAACACTTACTATGTTCGTGAAACAAGGACGCCGCCATTCATTTATGATATCAGTGTTAAGTAGTTCAGTTTTATGAGTATTCACTATTCACTTCCAGTACTATCCGCTGTAACCACATACCGCACATTTCTTGCAAGCATGTACAAATGTGCCTCTAACTACAAATATTTATTACAGCAACAAATATACTTCTATACTAATTTCATCGTTATTATTTGTGTGGATTACAATTTTGTGAAACTGCAACGATGATATTTATGAACTTTTGAAAACATATAAATGCCTTTAGATATATCATAAATTAGCCAGGAACTATTACGGTAAGTCACGCTATAATTAAATTATCAGACAGTGATGATCTGACAATTTATAACGCATTTTGTAATTTAACTCACTCTACCCAGTAGTTAACGGTGTCCACCTGATGCACCTGTATTTCTAAGCTAGACAATGCATAATCGTATGTAAGTACTTAATACAAGAATATGGCGTGCGTGCTTTATAATATAATTATAGGCTATTTTTGCAAAGCTTTATACTGCCAAAATTCGTCTCCAACTTTGATTAGGCTGGTTTGTTGCGCTGAGGTGTACGCTTCTTCGACTATCTACATTAACTTGCAATTATAAATACTCCGAATTTTGGAGATATTACTTGTAAAGTGTATTCCGACGTTGCCGAAAGCCGGCATCTTTAATAAGTTGGAATATGATAGATATTACAGTAGTATCAACTATTAAATAGAATTTAGTAAACACGATATTATTACAGACGTCTGTGATACAACGCATACGAGATTGTACATCACCCTATGTTGTTGGGAAAGGTCACATAAATAAAATTAATTAGCTTTATAAGTTTAAGTAGAAGTATTGATTTATCTATGATTCTACATATATTTACCGTAAAATTTTTCAATTTGCTCTTGGTGGGATATTTTTGAGAGGCTAATTTCTGAAAGCGTTTTTGCAAAGTTCCTATAGCTATGCTAGCAATAAAAGCGTCGAAGATGTTGTACAATACGGATATCAGTGCAAATGATGTTTAATTATTTTCTCCTTCATAATCTGTACGCATATTCCTGGGTTTTCTTGGTTACTTGTGTCTTAGCTACATTTGGGAATGAAACACGTTTTGTGTTGCTTTTTTATTGATTTGATACTATATTCATATTATATTATAGTTTCACTTTGTAAAACACAGTGATTAATTAACATGTGAAACGCAGCGATGCACGACTCTTGAATACGTTGTATACGTATTGGATACGTTCACGAAAACGGCTGGAAACGACGTTTGGAATAAAATCTGCAACCTTTGGATTGCACGTCCATTACTCTCATCGTTTATAAATCCGGCAACCCACAACAAACAAAATTACAAGACACTTATACAATCATTGTATCCAGAGGACTACAATCCCAGAAGTACCGTTTAACGCATATAAAAGAGACATTGGTATTTGGTAGAGATCATCCGAGCGCTGTATTTAGTCCTTAGACCCTATTAATTTAATAGTACTAATTATGTTATTGCAGTCTTACTCTCGAATCACAGTAATTCTTACCGCACATATATTCATTGTGGAACGTGATATTGCATAGACTGCTCTAGGGCGAAGGCAATTATTTTTTAAATTACAGTTTTATTTGATTTGATTGATTTAATTTTCCTTATTTTTGAGTAGCCAAGCCCGTAAACGGGCATGGTCACATATCCTTATCCGTTGAAGAACATCGAAATTGCTAGGCTAGTCAAGTCACCACAACTCGTTAAGCACCACTCACACCAGTAATACGTACGTAGTGACTACGTACGCTAGAGAAGCTAAATTTGTAAGTAGTATTCGAAGAATTTGTTATGAGCAATTATCACAATTATGCAAAAAAGCTATCATAATTATCATTAATAAGCATTTCAATATTTATTAAGATCGTAATTCAACAATTTAATTTTAAATATAGCGTTACGACTAAATCTGCTGATAACCGTAAGTATTTCTTAATGGTCTACGCACTCGGCACTAGTGTGACTACTGACCCATATGACAGTTATACTGACCAGTGTACAGTATCTCCTATAAAACAGTTCGACAAAATCTCCTCTAAAATTAATACGAACTGTATACTGAGAGCACATTCGTAGCTACTCTAACAGAAACTTCGTAACCACCCTAACAGAAAATAAGCAATCCATGCAAAGTATACATACTCTATGGTCACAATTGTGATAAACTTTTGAATGACCGCTGAGGCTGATGGGACTGCCGAATCGCCGCTCTACGTGAACTACCCAGGATTCTGGTGCACAATCACATTACGCACCTCACTTGTCAGTTAGATGAGCAGAACCCAAGTTTACTCCTGGCAACGGTCAGGGTCAAAATTGTGTACCACATGAATTCGAGAGAGTACTTATTTATAAAATCACGGGAAAGCGCTGACAACAATGCCGGTAGTGGATTAGGTTCAAAATTGGCATGCATCCAAGCGCCCATATATTTTTCTTCGATTCGATTTTTGACTGAAGCGTGGAATTTTGGTAAGATCGGTGTCAGTAATTCTGCGAAATGTTTGTTAATCTGCTTAGACTGCTTTCTCGCAAAAGAATCTGCATATGGAAATGAACATGCCAACAATTATAATAGTTATATAACAGACGTTCCCGTTTCCGCTGGTAAAGAAAAAATTGCTCACGCAAGTAGAGAAGCACTTATATTCAACCGGGTCACTGCAGCAAATTTTATCCTAATTTAAATTTTGCAGCCACATTACCATAAAATTGCACGGTTGTTTGATTTGGAATAACGCGGTATGCACTTCAAAACTTAATGGTTTATACAAATTAGAGCAATGATGTGATTCGAAGATTTCGGATGACAATTAATATATATTGTTCAGTTCCGGTATTTCTCCGAATATCATATTGTTCCGATTGTTTTATTTTCAGTTTTTCTGCTCATCCGACCAACCTGATGCTCACCCATGCCCGGAAGCGTCAAACCAGCGGTTTGTCTGTATAATGTGAATTTGGTCAGTGACAGTGTATTGGCAGTCAATGGTAATACGTGAATCGGGACACTGGGAAGAAGCTGGATGGCAACCGAGCGCAGCAATCCGGCACATTGACGGGATCTATTGCTTACCAGCCCAGCCAAGTTGGCGTTATGTATTTACTTTCCGCGAATCGAACAAACATGGTTTATTTGGAAAGTCAGCCTGCCGAGTTTTGCCATCGTTTACGAGCAGCGCCATTATACTCGGGGACGATAACGGTGCAATCATAACCCAATCGAAAGTACTGATTATGTTGGCCACGTTTCTATTCCACGCCGTCCGCCGCGTTGCCTTTTGCATATAATATTATTTCGGAATTATTACGTATATATCTTTATCTTATCGTTGTCGCATGCGTGAACATCTCCACGAAAGAAATGTAAAGGAATCGCCTGTTTCTTCAGCTGAACTGGCTATTACAACCGGCTGACGATTTCAGGAATGATGACAGGATTATTTACTTCAGGCATTTGATTGTGATCCTGCTGAACCTGGTAAATATATCTCTGTTTAAGAATAGTCTTCGGATACAATTAGTCATGAACAATTTCCCTCATTATTCCCCTATTAATCTCTTGGGAACTGACGCAATTTTGCAGGCTTAACAGCAGACTGAATGACAACCGGCGGGCTAAGTTTAGCGAGCGGAAATGGATTTGCCGCCATATTACCGCACATAATCGCATTATTGCTACCGGTTCCGGTCGGAATTGACCGGCGTACATATACGGGAAAAGCAGTCGATGCTGATGCCGATGGACATATAAAAGCGGGCATTTTTATGCTTGTCCTTGTTTCCATCGCGTAATCCATTTCTGCGAGCGGATATCTATTGCCCAATTTTGGGATTAATATATTCAACCACTGCTGATATCAATGGCGACAACACTACAGCGTCTTTTGATCTTTGTCACTTTCATGCCGTTCTTCACGCTGTTTATGATCATGGTGTTGCGCAATGATGAGTCGCGACGACGAGACGAACCAAGCCCTTTCGACCGGTACCTGGACACCGGTTTAGCCGAACCGGACAGTCAACCGTACTGGCCGGAAATGCGCCCCGCTATACCAATCGAAGCCGGTGATAGCAGTCATATTAATAGGACGATTAGTTTCCGCCGCAGTGATCCCGTGGATGCGCGCTGGTATCTGCCGGCGGAGGGAGATGCCGCTAATTACCAGGACACTGACATCTTGATTTGGGATAAACAAGATTTATGGCCAGAACAGAATCCATTGAGCGATCGCATTGAGAATCAGTTAATCTACCGACCGGCAACGGCGATGGATTACAACGCAAATGACACCGGCGATGTCGCTCTTAAGACAATATATTTACCAGAGGGCTATTCGTCGTGGGGTGTGGAAGGGGAGAGGAAGGTTTTTGTTGTCAGGGATAAATGCCCGGTGAATACATGCCGCCTGACGGATAAGGCCAACGAGGCGGACACCGCGGATGCAGTGCTGATGAAACCCCGATCCACAACACAGGTGAGAATTATTGATAGAATTAGGTTTCTGTGGTGCCAAGCCAGCCCGGTGTACGTAAAAGTTTGCCACTCCATGCATAAGTAATCATCAAAATATCATTTCACGCGTTTATTTGATATATTGAACGAGAATTGATATTTTGTTACTGCATTATTTATTGGTCATCCACGCATGATCCGACACATACCGGAATCGATTAAGCTACCAATCAGTACCATAAGCATGCTGTAACAAAATTGCTCAATTATCAATAAATTGCTAAATTTAAAATCAAATCATATTTTGGAAAATTCAGTAAATAATCACCGTCAATAACAAGGGCAAATTAACAACCGTGATTCTACTGATTACAGCGCGCTGGACATCTGTCGAAGCAGATCTGGATTATGTACGCTCTCGAATCTCCGTTTCACACTCCCAGTTTTACTACATCGAAAACTGTTTATAATTGGACAGCTACGTAAGTTCGGACCTTTCCTCCCTTATTTCAGTTCTATGCTCCCGCAGCTTCTGTCAGACATAAGGCGTTTCAGTCGATATGGCTGCATTTTAATTCTGTAACTGAACGGTTAATCGACTGATAAGAAAGTTATATATTCTTCAGTCCTTTTACTTAATCAATGATGAAATCTCATTGCATCATGAAATTTTTAGAAAGTAAAATGAAACACGTAAAGAATTACCTTTCTCTTATTTTTTTGCGTAGATCTCTAATGTTTGATCCGCAAAATTATGTGCCATCATAATTATGCACGATGTGCATACTGCATTGTATGTAAATTTCTATATAGATGTATCGACACCAGGTCAATGCATGACATATGACATACAATTTGAAATCCCGGCCGAAAATTTTTGTGGCTACTTTATGCGCCTACTCTTGTACAACATCTAATAACCACAGCCAAACAACAGCAGTAAAAAAGTCAAACAATAATGCTTTTTAGTGACCGGTGGCACCAAATGTCACTCTGTCGTCCATGTACAATATAGAAATACTGGTAGCTGAGGGCCGATTACGCTTGCGGCATCCAGCGGAGCATTAGACCACCAGTTTCCGGTTGGCGGGATGAGAGATAGCTTGACGTTTAAGTATTTGCATTAATCATCGATCCCTCTATTTGCGGTCCATTTTGTATTGTGCATGTTCAGTCGCCTGTACACTGGGAGCATTTTCCCCAGCAACTCCATATGGAGCCTTCTCCTTAAACTCCGACGCAATAGCTCTGAAGTGAAGAGCATCATGTAATTTGATTAAGAGTCTTGTGCCGTGATTTTGCAGTTACCGGCTGGACAGTGACATTGTCGCCCCGTATGAGAAATACGTCCTATACAATCCCGCTGTCAGGCAGATCCCGCAAAAAATCAACTATGCCGGCAGAAAGACGGGAAAAGGCAAAGTCGCCTGGTTCGTCTCCAACTGCAATGCCAAGAATAATCGCCTGGATTATGCTCGACAATTGGCCAAATACATCTCAGTCGATATTTATGGATCGTGTGGAAATAAGAAATGCTCAAGATTCCAGAAAAACTGTGAAGAGATGCTCCAGACTGACTATAAATTCTATTTGGCATTTGAGGTATCGATTTACTACCTACCGGCTTGTAACGGAGAATTGCTACAAATGAATTGTAGTCAGCACTTACAAATGACAAACGAGTGGTCTTCAATGGCTTTTGCCAAGGGTTTCCCAACATGTAACGATTTTTTAAGATAGCGCAGTATTGATGTATAACTGAATTAACTGCGGAATAGTCTTCGGAAGTGACACTATTGTATTCCGTCGGCTTGCCATGATTACTTCAGACATATTCTAGATGTATAATAATACCCTATTAACGGACCAGCGCAAGTTTTTGCAGTATGCAGAAATCCTAACGTATTTTTTGTCTTAAGCACAATATGTAGAAGTACTGTAATACTGTGTTCGCCACTTACGATTAGCTATTCAGAGCGCAGTTCTTACTTTTTGGACATTACTCGTAGGCGTCTTTTCAAACAAATTCGACATCTATGTAAAAAAAACGCAAGCTGTTTTTTATCAGCTCGTAGATGTTTACGTAAAAAACCTATAGTACGATTATAGAAGCATCTTCGTAGTGACGAGTACGTACATTTTTTGTATTGTTATGACAAAATATACTATTGTTATTGTGATTATTAAACTTAACTAGACAAATAATATTTTTGATTGACTTGATTTTTTATAGAACAGCAACTGCCGATGGTACATAACCGAGAAATTCTGGATAAATGCGCTAGGGTAAGTTTACTGCTGTCTGCGGATAATGATAACTTTAAACTCATGCCAACTGTTACAAAGCTTGTATATTACAATGTGTATATAGATATACAGAGATCACAGACTAGCTTGTATATAAATATAATGTACATAAAACATTACACTACATTATACGAATCTTATCAAACACAAATTCAATAAGCTTAATAAAATTTAAAATGGTTTTCTTTACTGCATGCAAATGCTTTATAAACCGATGAAACAGTTTCTTTGTGTCCAGTTGCACTTACGGTTAGCCTGGTACGGTTTTCCGGATGCTTTTTGGCTGAACTGAATGCTTTTTCTCTACCAGGTCAAACATCGTCCCAATCGTTATGGGAGCCCCTCTAAAAGACTATCAATTATTAGCTCCTTATAAGAGCTTCATCCACGTTGACCAATTTCCCAACGGACCACAAGAGCTCGCCGAGTATTTGCACAAACTGGATTCAGATGACAATCTCTATAATGAATATTTTCAATGGAAAGGCGCTGGCCAACTTATCAACACGTTCTTTTATTGCCGCCTCTGCGCGTAAGTGTACCCAAAAGTCGATAAATCAGCCGGCTTTGTTGATTCACGTAAATTAGACTAAATGTTGGTATGGGTGTGGAAACACTCTTTATCTTCGCATCGGTTAGTGTTGTAAATGTGCTGTTTGCTGTTTTCCCAAAACCGATAAGTTTAAAAAACTGCTGTTAAAAAACTAGTTTTTCGCTTCCATTCTTACTATGTTGCCCAGAATTAATTATCTGTAAAATGTCGAATTATAAAACAAATCTAGCACCATACGATCCATGCCATCCTATGTTGATTGGTTAGCGAACTGAATAACCAAATTTTTGATGTTTGATGACCTTTAGTTGTCTATGGAGCTAGTTAGTTAGGCTTAACCGCTTCTATTAATTTCTGTAATGTATTGTACACTGTCACTGTCCACACCAGTGACACCACATGTATGCAAACGTACGGACATGTTCGCAGAAAATATCTTTTGGCCCAACTGACTTTTGAGGGTTTTTGGGACTTCGAAAATGCAATGACATGTACAGCATTATTTTATATTACAGATTATACTGTACTGGCTGTCCAAATTCCAGTTGCAACGGACTTGAGAGAGCAAAAATAGGGAAACGTAAAGCTTCAACTTTTACCACTGTCTTGTAAATGGTTATTTGTGTTTTGTTCTGATTTGCATGTAGCAAACTAAAAGCATTTTCGTTTGTGTTTCAGTATTAAAGCAGCTAATCTTTTACATTGCAGGTTACTACATTCCGATCGAGCACCAAAAACCTACGCCGATATGGAGAAGTGGTGGCGCGGTGAGGGAGTCTGCGTTTAAAACTCCAGACTGCTGTGGAAACTCTTCCTGCATCGCGGTTCACGCTTAAAAATTCTGATTCTAAATAGTCCGGTGATCGGCAAGTACACAGTGCGTGCGCTGTGTTCATCGCCCTGGACAGTTTTCGATGCGCCTTGTTAATATCGCTCTGCTGTGATAACTGACTGTTCTTGTTATGAAGTGAGATAATCTAGTGCGCTAATTTTGTAAGTTAAAATTACTTTGTTGGTGATATGGTAACAGGAGTATTTTTTTCTGTAAGCTCATTGATGCAAATAAATGAACTGAAAATGAATGAAATCAGCAGCCCAAATGCAAACTGCAACCAGACAAACTTTACTGGTAAATACAAGATCTCACAGTCGAGAATTCCCAGATAGCCTTGGGGAAAAATGAGGTACCACTAGTAAACACTTCATTTAGCAAACAAAAAATAATTTAGATAATCCACGCAACGTGAAATGACACAACGTGCTAAAAAAACAATGAAATCCCAGAACCAAGAACTGCAATGAACAAGTGTAATCATGCCGTACAAACGTCACAAAATTTCGGTAAAGCATAAAACACCGAATCCCATAGTATCCATCAAATACCACCCTTGATAACAAATCAATCAGACTGAATGTCCCTTGGATACCCGCTAGATATTGTGCTCGGTAGTTCAGTTAGCCAGGCTCTCAATCAGGTGAATTTGTCGTGATTGGCATATATAGAGCACCCACTTAACCATTGGCACTACCGGCCGACGCCGGTTCAGCACTGCCATCCTCTTCCGTTTCCGAATCGCTTTCCACAGTATTCAGCCATTCTAACCATGCACTGACCTGGAATAACGCTTTTCCTTTCTCCGGATAAGCATTATTCACTTCATCGCGCCACATATTGAATGTTTCCGGCTCAACAATGTCCAATTCATGCAGCATACAGAACCAACATAAAACCCAGCCTGCCAGAACAAGACCAACCCCGATCAGATATCCGTGCAGTTATATGGAGAGCTTAAGTTAGGTTTCCATTAATAGGAGACCCTGATTATGGCCATACCTTTCGGAAATCCAATTGAATGGTAGAATGTCTGTACGGCGTACAGAGCTGTCAGCTGGTTCAAGTGTGAGTCGAGGTATTTGTGGAAGAGTTTCTGCCAAAAAGGTCAACATAAAGTTAATATTCTGTAGTGTGTACCAACAAGCATATTCATTTTACGAATAATAATAGGAACTCGAAATTGTAAATCCCACTAGCTATGAAGAAAAGCACAAATAAGTTTGTCAACAACAAGTTATAAGGTTATCGTACCTTGTAATTAAGGATGGATTTCTTCAGCTTTTCTTCGTTAACCCGTGTCTGATCCATACTATCGCCGGCCTTCTTTTCCAGCAGGATAGACTGATAATGACTATGCTTAACCAAACTAAAAAAACATAAATTTCTTAACGCTGCAACAATCTTCACCCCATCCATCTAAAAAAAATTAGAAATACAAAGAATCTTATAAAAATAGTGCGAATGACTGTACCTTATCATCAGATTAAAAATAAAGTCAGTTTTGTTGTTAAAAATGCTCTGCGCATTGTCTGCCAGCCATTGATCGATATCAGCCGATGTGTTCCCATCCATTAGCAGTCTTCCCAAATGAGCTTGTAAACGATAACTCGGACATAAATACGTTAATCCATAGGTATTGAGTACTTCTACCACATGATCCACGCCCATTTTCAAGTCTTTCTCTATATAAGCAACAATCAAGCTAACTAGCTTCATTTCCCTACTGTTACATCAGCACTTACCCGGGAATAATTTCAGTAAATCGGTTTTATCGGCTACAATCTGCTCGGCTAAATAATCAGCTCCCTTATTCTGCTCCAAATGCTGAAGGCACATTAGTGCCACAGGGAAGTGCTTGCCATTTTCAAATAAATTGACGCCATTTTTAAACGAGAGAATCCCCGAAGCAATAAAATCAGCCAGATAAACCGCCATACATGGTTTAGGATCACAACTTCCAGAATCAAGAGCATCCAAGAGTCGTTCGTATCCCTAAACAGCAGAACATGATCACTGAAAGTCAGTTTTTCACTTTATACTCCACATCAAGACACATATTTTCTTACGATTTGAAGTTTAATAATATCCACAACTATTTAAAACATCAATAAAAACCTCCTTTACTGTTAATATTTTGTTAATATTCAGTTTCCTTACAGCTTATGCGAACCAAATTTCGAAAAGACAGGAAATTTGCACACGAGAAAGGTAAAGATACAACAGTCCAGCATGACAAAACCATAAACTGCAAACCATAAATTTAAACTGTCTCACACGACAGGAAGTAAACAAATTCATAAAATGCTTACGTAATCCATACCTCAATAATATCGCTTTCGGTCACCCACGACTCACAGACCAAGTGGGCAATCAAATTACATATGCTTTCCCGATTAACTTCCCCTTGTTCCATGCCCATTTTCAGCAATAATCCCACCAAGTCCGGTTTCAACCTACGATCAGCCAGAAACCTTGTGAACAACAACCATTTCACCCCACAAAACACGGCTGCGAGGAATAAACCTTTTCGGAATATTGAATTCTTTCATATTGGCAACAGCGTGTGGACGATCTTTCGCTAGAGCGAAATATTCCGTCACAACGGTAGAAACGGCTTGGATGGCTTCGTTCTTGTTCATGGCCTGCGCTGGCTTGCCGGTCTTGGGCTTCTCTTGACGGTTGGGTGCTTCTTCCTGATTCAGCATACCCCGATATTTCTTGACATTGATCAACTTTTAAATTTTTACTGCTGCGGCTGCTGCTGCTTTTTTTTAAAGAACTTTCACATCTATGCCTTTAATTTACCAACAAAAGTTACTCTGACCATATGAATACATAAAACTACGACAAATATAAAAACTGTAGCGCATTCGCAGATTTCAACATGGTCAGGATACGTTACTATGTGGACTGGAGTCACTGGATGAAAACCATACCTTGATGGGGACAGCTGGCTGAGGACGCAGAGGCGCGACTGGCGCCGCCTCTTTCACCGTCCGAACGGGTTCAGCTTGTTTAATAGGTCTCTGTGGAGCAAAGGACGTAATCGGGCGCAAAACGATCTCCCTGGCTGGCTCATTAGCATCCTGACGCAGAAGATTGAGTAAGGGCTTGGAACGATTATCCTTAATTGGGGTCACCGTCTTCGCTGCATTCCCGCTACCGCGATTGTAATCCCCTTTCCCGTTCAGCATGCGCCCAGAAGACATTATGCCATTTCGTAAATCTACAAGGAAATCGAAACGGTTAACAAAATGCAATCCGACCAAAGAACAATCGTAATTTGGTTTATTTATTTCAAAAAACTATTGGCAACACAAAGGATGAAATTTTCCCCAAGGCCCCAACTAACCCTGTTGCTTTTCCGCGGTCGTTCGTGGACTGTTGGCATGACGAGTATTGAGAGCCCCTTCCCGTTGGGGCGACAGACGCGTGGCTTCCATTACATCCGCCTTGGCTGCACCGATTTCTGCCCGTATTTCCTCCCGAATCTCAAACATAGTCTTCGGGGCATTAGACTGATGGATCCTCCGTGGAATCCACTACAATCCAGAACCATAACGTTAAGTACTCATTTAACAAGGCAATACATGCTGTTGCTCAGGATAACATAATAAATGTCAGAGTGCAACGATACTTTTGATAGCCATGACTTTCTACTGATCCGAACAATCAATCACAGACGAAAATCAAGAAGCGCAACGTTAGCGTTTCACTAAACCGAAAAGGAGAACTCACTGCCAGACGAAACAGCAAACTTCGTACACTCTGTGGTCTCGTCGCTGACCGTGCCCACTCCTGAAAGCGTTTTCATACTGCGCATTCGAATATACAGTATCCTTTGTTTGAGCATACGAATACAAGTACAGTATCTGCTTGCACCGCCAGCAGATTTGCTCACTGATAAGCCTATACCGCTGCACCATGCAGTACATGACCAGGGTCCACTAATCTAATGACCGGAAGACGACAGATTAACACTGCAGTCAAAGCTTATGGATCGACCTATCACTTCTTAATCTCGTATCCGTGTTTTTCCTAATCACCCGAATTTCATACTCATGACTATTCTAGCCGGTCCACATAGTTATCTCTGTTATCATAAAGGACTACAGCGCACCAAAAAGATGAATGAACTCCAAAGAAGTACCAAAAAATGCCAATAACACTGTACTGTGATTTCTCGCGCTCTCCTTATCCTGCCTGGAACTGTTTTTTTTCCACTTGGAAATTTTTTTCAATTTTAAATGTAAACAGTTAAGTACTTTGTTAGACCGCAACTCCACCACATCCAAGCAGAGAAAGCGGATTCTGCTGGGCAGAGCGGTAGTGTCGGAATACCCTTTCAGTTGCTGGATGTAGCCGTCCATTAAAACCTATAAGGACGCTCCGTTAAATCAGGCATATTTGCAATTCTACAGTCATTCCGATCACCCACCTTATCGGTAGCCCGTGAGTCCAGTGAACTGCCAATGATTCGCATCATTTGACAAAGGCATTCCAAGTCTTCCGCCTTATCCGCGATCGATGTGGCGGATTTCTCGTTGAGTAATTCCTGGATGCAGAGGTGCAAGATTTGTCCGTGTAGCAGATCAAGTTTGCCAAGTTCGCCTAAAACAAATGCGCCATCATTTTGGTGAATTAGAATTATGGTACGTACATCAAAAATCTGCCAACTAATAAATCCGAACACAGATTCAACGGCCACACACCAATAAATTTGATGTTACTGAGATGTTCTTGCTTTTTCCTGCGCTTCTCGTCTTTTGTTCCCACCGATCCATTGGAAACGGCCTCTGCAAACATAAGTCAATTTTTTTCATCGGAGTTTGTTGTCTGTACTATCCCGCTGTATGGCTGGCGGCCGTAAAAATATGCTGGAAAAGCGTGAGTTATTATTCATCTACCGGCAGATGAGCTTGGCAAGCCAGATCGCTTATTATAAACATTCTGCACTTCCGTCAAGAGAACGCGCTTAAAAATCTATAAAAGAAGGCCAAGTTTAACAACATTGTGACTATTTCCAGACACTGGGCAACCGATACTAGCACTTACATCTTTATTGACAGCAAAATCAGATAAGCGGCGACATAATTGCGCGTAAAGAGAGTTATACTGCGGCTCTTCTAGTGCCTTGCGGAATATCTGCAACACAAGCAGTCAATAGTAAATATTTACCAAACAGTTCCTGAAACGATGTTTCTCAAAACGTACCAGGTCAATAACAGAAGTCAAGATAGTTTCAGACTTGAGGGCAACATTGGTTAGATCGTCAGCAATTCTTTCGAAATTTTCCGGGGTCAGTTTGTTAAGTGAACTGCAAAATAAGCAGAATTTAATTACTTATGAAACTATAATTCAAATACTTAAATAAACGAATTACCAACACAAAATTCAAACAGCCTTTACGGAATAATCAGCCTTATTTTCTACCCATTCACTGGCATACGCAGAACAGAAGCTGCGGATCAAAATTTTTACGCTCTATCAAATAATAATAACCAAAGAATTTCAACGTGGCCAAAAGAAAACGGAAAAATCACTTTCATATTTCATTAATACCCACTGCGTTAATGCTCACCTCCGAACACCGCGCCGAATCGCTTCCAGCCTGTCTTGCTCCGTTGCCGTGCCATTACGTCGGCTCAGACTGGCAGGAATCCAGGGAGTGATCGCCGCGCTGCCGCTAGATTTGCTGCAACCGCTGTCTTCCCGGCTCCCACTGTCCTTACCTAGCACACAACCAAATCCCGATCATAATCCAAATTGTACCCGCAAAAAAAGCAGAAATTCTGCTGCATATGTACTACAGAGTTTGTTACCGTGGGGAGCCGCTTGGGTATCCGTCTTTTCTGACAAACAAAAACTAGAGCCAAAAACTGCCGTGCCCAACGTTCTTTCTGATTCGGCCACCGTGGATGTACTTCAGGACCGATGGCAGTTGGAAACTATCCCTGTTAAAAAGCCAGAATAGTTAAATAATGGAAGTGAAAACCACCTTCCAGTTAAAACAATTAAACAGCCAGTCAGTCGCTACTGGTTAGCGTCTTGTGTGCGGTCACATCTCGACATCTTCCTTATTGTCTGTCTGGCACATGCGTGCTGATTTCAGTTTACCGAAGCTGCCGTTGAACAGGCACTACAGCAATAGTTATGAGCCTTGACTTGAGCTCGAGGACGAAAGAAGACGACAAATAATCACCAAAAGATTACTGCCAGCCTTGGAATGCAATGCTCACCGACTCAACACTAACACACTAATACTCCAGTCCTCAGCACACACATATCCCAGTGGCCAATGCAAAGGAATCTCCGCCATACAGGCGCAGACACCAACTATTAACAAGTAAGTGTATCGGAAGTCCCGTCAGCGTGAACGACAACACTGACAGCATGCGAAAGCGGAATATTTTTATCGATCGGTACTGCCATCTTTCATTCTCAAATGCTACGCTACTCGGTGTCTAGTTCGACTACCGTACTATACTTCTGGTGCAGACAGCCAACAATTCCTGCTTTGAAGATAGAAAAATCCTTTGAACTACATAGCTTGTTAGCAAAACACATCATTCCAGCAAGTACCATGGAACAACTACCCTGTACGGCCGCTATTTAGTACGAAAAGAGAATCGTTGATTCGTTCGTATCAAATACATCAACTTAATTTTTAATTGAGCACGAACAGGCCAGATCCACCAGATCCACTGCGTCTGTGGATTAAACATCTCTTATTTACTCAGCATCGATGCAGATGCTGTGTAAAATATGCACGCACGACATGCCATTACACTATGAAAAAATTAATATGGATATTGACCACGTCATAGTGGTGTTCCACGTAGAAATCCTTTTGGAAAGTGGAAATCAATCGGTTAGATCGGTCCACGTCCACGACTCCACGTACTGTACATGCCGGTGCAAAAAGTGCAATTATACGTAGTGGCGGTAGTGCCAGTGTATAACTGAAGCCTAGCTTTGGCGGCAGACAGTCGACTCAGTAGCCTACATATGCTATAAAAAATTTCATTGACAGCGTGGTCGTTGACCCAACCATTTGCCTACAACATAAGCCGACGGACAACGAACTTCCTCATTTATCGTTCAGCTGAGTTCGCCATCCTTCGGGTTCTGCATATTGGATAAAGTACAATACCTGTACATAATAATAATTACTGTTCCATTTTATTTCTTACGAATTCCAGGAACTACCATATAAGTGTTAATTTCGTCGTTTTCGATTAAACAACTCATTACTTTTTTGAGTTTTTTCTACTTCTCAAAAAGAATGAGCAAATTACAACCTAACACGAAATTAATGGGCTACAGTGCGTGAATGCCATCCCTCACGAAACGTTAAACAGATGAATCTCCGACAGTCAAAATTTTTCGTAACGTCCTAAAATCGCACAAAAAACGAACTGCTTAAAAACAACATCCAACCCACATCCTTAGCGTACTAATCTTACAACTGTCTGACTGAATGATTTGAGAAGCTTACTGTACTCAAGCAGTAAAGTCTAAGAACGCAAAAATCTATTAAATTATTAACCCGTATCTCAACTGTTTTTAGTAATAATCTTTAAATCTGTATTATTCTGTTTCAGTCTCGACAACATACTTAATTATGACATCATAAAACCGATTTTAACAAATGGAAATTCCCGCGCAGAGAGTAGAAAACTCACTGAATTTGTATGCAGTTGCACGTTAGATTGCGGTTAGAAGTTAGAACAAACAAGTTTGGCGAACCAGGGAAAAATTGTATTTTCAAAAATTTTAATTCCTTTCCAAACACCATTGATAGTCATTTGTCGATGAACTAAATCAAAAATTAATTAAAATAAACATGGAGCTCATCATATACATTATCTCATAAACTGAGTCGATGGCAACACCGGGGTATATTTAGAACATTACTTCTCTAATTCCCATCTATTAATTAAATTTACCTGTCTATAATTATGCGCTTCTCTAATTACTCCGGCCTCACTCCCATTTTGATCAAATCTATCGATAACGACAAAGCGCAACGTGACTCGAAGCCTCCAAAATAATAAAAACTGTACAAAGGATAACAATACAAAAAGTAAGTACCTGTACGAATATTATGCCAAGCTTTATGAAATATGCCCTTATCATCGGCTTTATCAGTCTTTAAGATCTTTATCCTAGTAGCACAATTTACTGCAAGTCAGCAAGTGGTTTTGGTACCCTGCTCAGGCTGCTCTCGAAAAGTTTCTACTTGTTCCATAAAAACGTTAAGCTGCGAAATTTCGTAATAACAAACCAACAGTAGCTCTGGACCCCAATCAACAATCACTAGTACTATTGCGATTCGTAGTCACTGTCTCACTGCTATGTTAGAGCGTTTAATCAGTTATTATGTCTTAAATCATAATGATTAAAATCATAAAATTAAGTTAGGCTGCAAGTACCTTATGGATAATCCAGAGAGCCGTCAACGCAACGTGGCTGAGGTTTCGCCCTAATAATAAGCGGCACTAAAATTTTTTAAATTCTGAGCTCGTACAAAAAGCCACTGGAACAAAAGTTACAAAACATATGGAGCTTCGAACTTAACGAATTCAGTTCTAAAAACCAAAAACTGTTGTGAGTGAATTAACCTTAAAAACGTCTTATAGAGTGCTGTACGGCGTACGCTTTAGCATTTTGGTGCTGATTTCAGTGGCCTGACTCTACAGAGAACTATCGGCGTGGACAGCGTGAGTGTACTGCAATATCGATGCATCTAGGCTGGAAAGCGTTTTATCTTATTACTGTTCCTTTGGAAATTGTACTGCAATAGATTAAAGTGTAAAAGGATGTATTTGTATTCGAGAACCTATTAACAAATACAAGCAAGTAGCAAGGGATTGTGTATTCACATGTTAAACAGTGTTTCTAATAGAACGGTAAGCAGGTAATAGGCGAATATCTGGCAAAGCTTTCGAAAAATTCAAATTTTACAACTGGCATATTGGCCCTAGCGTTTAACTTTTAACTTGCAAAAAAGTAAGTCCGGCCATTTCCTCGATGAGCGGCAACATGGGCCTGTCCCCGCTCCCGACCGTTCAAAGTTCGTATTTTAGTTACTTAGTCTGCTTAAAAGAAAGCAAATTGAGCATTTTTGGAGCTTCATTATTTATGTTAATTTATGTTTGTGTTAATTTGTTCTGTACTGGTATTAATCTTTTATTATAACTATTTTGTTTCAGCTACATGCAGTTAAGTCTAACCCGGCTCTACGGCAAGCAATTTTTTGACGTGCTTGAGACATTTTGGCCTTTAACTAACGTTTAGCTAACGTATTTTTTACAAACTGTTTTACTCGGGCAAGGTGTTTCGTAGAAATACGTATAAACTCATGATTACTCATCACATCAGTCAAGAAACGATTAAATTAATGTCGACATAATTGATAATCGCACAAATCAATTTTTTTGCAAGAAAAAAGGGTTGATAGCCCCAAGAACAAGCATTTCTCTGGTCTGAAAAAGTTCAACTAGTACCGGTATTCCTTTGCGCACGGCCATATCTGTATCTAAGATAGCTTCAATTCATTTAAGTATGCAAAAGCCAACAAAAGCGGGAAATTCGTTATCGTTAAAGCGTGCACTTGTTAAACTCATCATTCATGGACAATATGTGATCAAATTTTCAATAAGTTCTTTAAGTTCCGGTGTAAACTCGAAAGAATACATGAAAATTTTTGCCAGCTACTCTACCGCTTTTGCACTTTCGAGCTCGCAGATACCCCTGGACTGTTTCAAAGCGTTCGACAATTATCGATATTAGGTGCGATAATATTGTACGGCATTGCACTGCAGTGATGGTGAAAATTAAACAAACTATACGGGAACTGTAGTTTTAAAGTAAAGCAGAGTATAAATGATTAATTAATAATGTATTGTACAAATATTCGTTATTATGTGGCAGTTAGTGATACTTAAATGAACTGATCTGGTAAAACTGCGCAGCTGGATCAAAGGTCACAGTATAACTGTGAATCCATGAACTGGATACGGTAACAATGTTGACTGTACATACTTTATAGAGTAGTGTTTTAGCGTTTTATGTGAAGACTAATTATATCGATGAGTATGGCTGAACGCCCACCACCGAATTACTGCGCTACAATACAGTACAGTTGATATTTTCTTTATAAGAAGCAAAGAATTTATCGACAACTTTTCGGCGCACATATCAGTTGAATGATGGAGTAAATATAAGTACTTAACAAATTAATTAATTGTCCGTTATCGCAACGGTGTAATCTGAGTAAAGTGTCGCAAGTTCTACTGTATTTACAGTATAGGTACTGTAGGTAGTTATTAGTGTACCAGTATCTGGCTTGTTCAGTATTAAAATGAATATATTGTAATGATATTTACAGATATAATAAGCGACATCCATAATACAAAATGATTAATTTTGCAAACACTTAATTAATTACTAATACTAGCCTTGTTAACTAAAACGAATATTTTATAAGAATAAAAGCAAGATGTTGTTGTAAATTTTAAGGATCAATTGTAACCATAATAATTACTCGTATAATTAAATGGGAAACGATTTAACTTATATTTATAAACATAAGAGTAAGAAGCTGGTATTTAATTCAGCCACGCTTCGATTGTTCCAAAATCCAAACGAATCAAACTTCGTATAGAGCACATTCGGCTGATATTTCTGGATATCGCAAGTTGGTTTGGTTTAATCATTTAACTTTGCTCTTCGTCTTGAAGGTTCATAAATAAATTCGAAAAACTAATTGCTGCCTTGCAGTTGGCTTTTACTGCATGTAGTGCTTAAAATGCCAGACTTACAGTTTTGCATGACGAGCAGCGAAAAGAGAATTTGAATATCGAATACAAGAGCGAAATTATTACTAACAGATACATCGCTGTCGATCACGCGATATCAACAAAAACATGCACAGCAATTACAATCTAGAATTTTGTATAAGTGCGAGTATTGCTATTCTGTACTGTTCTAATCATGACATTTATATACTATAACACTACATACTAATGAAATGAATCTTAAGTTACATTAATTATGTAAAATTTAGCGCTTTTCGATCTTGCAGTTGCGGGAAGAGCTTGCTGTCTTTTTAAACACAAGCCTACAACTTTTTCAAAAGGGCACGGAGGTCTGGTTTAACTGTTTAAGCCTTTGTTTACTGCCAAAGCGGCGTCACATCTAAGTGCAACTATGGCATACATGGTAAAAGATGGTTAACATTTCGCTTTTAAGTAAGTGTAAATTCATTTTATTATTCGTATGAACGCCTTCAAGTCGGAAATGCACTGGCGACAACGCTGGCACCGATCACAAACCGGAGTCAACCCAAAACCAGCCCTTCAACGAGGGCGAATAGGTCTGTTGTGCGCTGTTTAGTACCGCACTACGACGGTGTTATTGGTAACTCGTCATTACACCGCCGACGATGTATCATGCTGCATCATGCCGCGGCCGTACACACGATGATGGCAGTAGTAGTGTCACGCTGGAAATGCGGTATAATGAGCCAACGTTTATGTACCGACAACGTTTTTACCATGCGCCAGTGTGAAAGAGCTCTTCGGTCCCAGCGCCGCGCTATGACATTGTAGTACCATCGGAGCTGTATAACGCAACACAGCAGTCGGCGAACGGTCGATATGCGTAGAACGTACAATATGCTGACTCGTGTGCTCCATATTCAGCCGTCTTGGCGTACCGCTTCTCGCTTCTGGCACGAACTTGGCCTAGACAAATCAGTCTGAAAAGCTTATTTTTCCACATGGTGTGCAACCTTGAAATTTGTTTTACAGGTGCGAGGACTGCCATCACGGCTAGGTATCACGCAGACTGCCTTCACGTAAGTCAAATTAAGGTAAGTGGGAAACAATAAAATTAATTTCGAAGCAATTGAATTGTAAGAATAACGAGCTGCGAGCACTGGCTTATCGATATCGTACACTTCGCATACGCACAGAACGACCGATGCTTCGGAGAAGTTACAGCAGGAGCGAATGTTGTCAATTGAACAACACGTTATGCGGTAGCTGTGCGTAACAGTACTGCAGTGAAATGCAGCTAGCTATGTTCGGGCTGTTTTTTGGAACTTGCTTGTAGTTGAAGAGTTTTACGCTTTTGCGACAGCTTGGCGAAAGTAAATTCCCATAAACCTTTTTACCGAGCTTTTCATGACCAGTATCCTTATATATGCGGCAGGAAAACGCCACTCGCAATACAGTCTTAACAAACACAGTCGCTTTTTCGGCAGCGTTGGGTGGGATCAAAACATTAAAGGTCATATAAAGGTCAGGCTGCAGAATACGTTGGTGTGGTATGGAATACCACAAAATTCGGTATAGGATGTACATACCCTGGTGTTCGAATTCCGGGAGCTGATACCAGCTCTGCAGTACGAATTCATGGCCGGCTTATTTGCGTAATAGGACTTCTATTAGGTTTTCCTGCCCAAACTTTTGGCCTAAATTAAAGAAATCGCCCGGATTGCGATCCAGGCTGATATTGCGATTAAAAGTGTTTTTCCGAATAGTTACGAAGGTAGTTAAGCAGCAAAATAAATTTCTGTATGTAAGAAGTAACTTACGTACATAGTGAGCCAACTATGAAAACTACTTAGTAAAACCAAAAAACTGTAGTTCTTACTACGTATAATAATACAATATGCGTTCCAGCGAAGCGTAAACAGTCGAATCTAATCCAGCCAGTATGCTGCTAATATAACTGGTACACAGAATGCGGTAGCATTTTTTCCAGCAATATTTCACTGAAATGGTAAAGCGATTCTTCTTCAGAAGTTTTAACAAATGGATCTATATGGACTACTTTCTCACTGCAGTAATTTCCTTTTTTTGTAGCTGCGCGAATATATTCCAGCAATGTGTGTACTTCATCAAACATATTGTACACGCGATTGTAAACTACCCACACTAGCCTAAATACCTGATCTACAGAACTTTTCGTAACAAAAGTCCCAAAATGTTTGGCTTTTTTTGCCCTTAAAATTTTTTCTTTTTTTCACCCTTCATATAGTAGGCTTTCATATGTACTCGTATGATGATTTAAGCTTTTCGGAAGGAGAATAAAAAATATTACACACTACAGAGTACGTTACAAACGGGAATATCATATTTTCTGCAGTTACTCCTCATGCGGCTCATCGTGTGCTTGTCATTTTTTCCGTAAACACGTGAACATTTTGCTTGATGTTCTTTAATTAAATTCCCAGTAATGACTTTGCCACGTCTGTCTGCATCAAACTGGAACTGGAATTACTGTAGTACCAACAGAATGATTAGCGTTTAAACTAGCATTTCTGTTTTTGTAACAGTTATAAATTAAGGACGACTGCGGACGACATCGCTGCGTGCATGTTTGATGTCGCTAAAACTGCAGTCGACTTTTTACCGGAGGAGTGATAAAAAACGAAAAAAATTGGTTTGAAATTTTTTATTTGGGAGCTCCAAAACATTGGTTTCTTGACGCTGTATTCTGCTGTCTTGCAAAAGGTCAAGAATTGTACGAGTATTATGAGGTTTGATGGAAACGCAGAAGTTAATTTAAGAACCCAGAAGTATGAAAACTTGTTAAAATTGACAAAAGGGTCTTTCAAAGCTACCCCAAACCAAAACCAGCCAAGGCCAGACGTAAACGTTTGCCTCCTTTAGCATACACTGCCATATATTTTAGTTGGGTTACGTAAGTAGTTTATGAAGTCCTTACTAAAGGTCGATACTAAAAAAAATTGCAGAATATAGACTGCTAATAATTATGCATTTGCTTGTAATATTATTGGTAAGTTTTCGTTTTTCTAGAATGTTTCGTCAGCCAGATAAAAAATACACTGAATCAAAATGGCTTGCTTTGGCTCTTGCTACCTGGCCATGGGTCTTCCTTGGGAATTGATGCGGCCGAGTACTCGGATACTTACAGTACTTGTAGGTGGTAACGTTTAGGTGGTCGGCGAGTAACGTTTAATATTAATACTGCCCTGGCGAGCATCACTGTTGCTACTTGCCACTACAGTCATGCAACACCCGCAAACAGTTTACCAACTCCTTCAATACCTTCCACGTGCACCAGAAATCTGCGTGGATGCTCTGACCGTAGATGATCTTGTTGCATTGCGAGTATCAACCGTGTATACTCGAGGTCACCACCACAACGTCATGCTTTTCAGGCCAACACTGTACAGATATATCTGTTACTTAAGTTGTTAATTCTGGCGTGCCGCCTGAAACGTTTATGATGCTTAAATCTGCCTAGCAAAACGCATAGTTACTGGTTACGAGGAACTTTTCTATATGGTTTGTGCATTAATTAAGAACACTGAAATAATTCCTATCTGTTGACTTAAAACTGATCCGTATTTATTACTCGATATGTGCCAGGCGTTTTGGTTGTGCTGACCGTCGTGGCACATTGTGATGAAGAATCATAAAATGTATGAAATCTTACCATTAAACTTATATAAACATAAATTTGTAACAAATTTCATAGAGTTCGAATTGATAATGTGACCTTTGAACCGATTTTAACTGTTATAGGACTGCATTATTATAATTCTCTAATATTGCTGTTGTGGAAGCACTGCACTATGCACGTATATCGTGACACTTTTATAGTATGTTCTAAAATTTTTTGAGTTTCTGGACTTGATTTGCAGCAGCCCCGACCCATCAAACCATAGAATCATTCCGTACCATACCTTTGGCAACGAAAGTTATAACGATCAGCTGCAAGATTAACATTAACATTGTTTTCGTAACTTTTCACCATAGTAAAAAAACATTGTTTTCTTAGCTGATGGTATTTAGCGTATTGTTTTAAAATTTAAAAACAACAACAACGACGACTTGTTTGTAAATTGGGCACAACAACCATGCGTGTATTATACTGTATTACATTATCGATCCTATGCTTGCGAGTTGCGATACGCTCGTGAGTTCAGCTATTATATGAATTAAATGGACTTCTTAACATGGAACGTCTCTTCTAAAATGTCTATCGCTATCGTTTCATCGCCTATCGCTGAAATCATTTTTTATCAAATTCAACAACTTTTTAAGACTTTTGAGCGAATGTTGTAAATATAGGTAGTGCAATATCTGACTATCATAAAAAAAATCTGACTATCATAAAAAATGTGTGCCATGAGGTCAAAACATTTCCGTTCTAAAATCGTATGAGCGCGCTATTTTGTAACACATTTATCGGATTTGTAAAATTAGTTTTTTACGATTCTGATTGGCATTTATAGAGAACAGCTCCAAGGCGCAGTTATTTGGAAAACACTGTCGCAGAATATGGCGAAAATTTTCATATCGAAGGAATCGAAAGGTCGAATTCGAAAGCTAGGCTACTGTTTAATACTCGTACAATTCCCTAAATACTCTCAGCATGTACCAGTTACACAAATGTTTTTGTTAATACGATTTGTAAAATTGACTGTAATGATTACTGGTTAATAGCTAGATATAATCGGCGCTTCTACTTGTACTTGCAAGTTGATATATATAGTCGACGCCAAAAATATAATCTTACATAGAGTTAACGTTGTCCGTGCTACTTTCACACACACACGTGTTGTAACATCTGTTCGTTCAGTGCACAATTAGGACTTCCTAAATTTTTTAAATAAAACATTTTCTAGCGTTTGCTTTTGTAAACGTACATTCTCACGCATGTTCAATATTCTGTATAATCTGCGAAGGTATTTAAGCGAAAGCAATAAATTTACTTAATTGTTATTCGTTATCGATCACATAGCTATTTCTAAAACTTATCAATCGTGAAATCATGGTTAATTAACTATGTAGTAAATTAATTAAGCTTTAGTTTCCTGCAGTGTTGTAGTAATATTACTTATATACAGTTTCCATAAGCAGGCAGTATCTTTGTTGATATGAAAATGGCCAGAGATCTTGTGTTTGCTCGAGTGTGATTATCGACCGAATGAGCGGTGCCACCACAAGTGTTATATCTGTACGAGTACATTTCATTACGTACACCCGTACTGCATGCGCACGTTGGTTATGTTTCCATACTATCAAAGACGTCATTCACTTGAGCCATGATTATTTGACTGAAAACGAAGCATTTCCAGCTCGAAGTGTGCGACCTGTACATGTGACGGAAAGTTCTAAAATTCTCGTGATTTGATTTTATAGTGAACCACATTTGTGGAATGTGGTGGCGGTCTCCTGTTTGTATGCCCTTACAGTTACTAGCTGCAACTCTCGGCTGGCTTCCTTGTTCAACATTGTAGCATGAAATTTCACTTATACCTGTTTGCTCCCGCTTTGATGTCGTCTTCCGTTAAAAACAGGTTTGCTCATCATCAGACGTTTAGAACCTACATAGTGATGGTACGCCTGACCTGAAGTCACAGTTACTCATTTAGCCTTGAAGTTTCCAGTACGTGTACAGTGTACTTACTTGCAGTTGCCGACGTCTTATACTTAGCCATTGTGACTATTGTCCTTTCGCACCTTGCCCGTAAGATGGCTACTTCACATATTAAACTGAATCATAACCGGAGTATTATACACAAGTGCAAAGGCTAGCGAAATTTCATCAGTTCTTCTGTGATGCTGTACGTCTACTCACTGTACTGTACTTATTGTTAATTATGTTTCAAAAGTAAGTGCTACTGTTTGGTCACACTTTAAGTTGCAATTTTATTGTCGCGGAATCCGAAGGCCGTGTGAAATGTCCACATTCAACGGGAGTCACATTCAACATTCAACCATCAGGATCTTGGTTCCGATTTCTGTATTGAATGATGCCGCATAGAGGCATAAAGGTTTTGGACAAACGCTCCGCAGTTTAACTCGCAGCAGCTAATGCGCTCCCGACTCAACCACAATCCTCCTCGTCGTATAAAAAACGGTGTTTAGAAAAGTGCTAACCAAAAATTTTTTAAGGGCATTTGAAGAAGTGAAAGCGTTGGATTAATACTATTCGATATCTCCGTCAGTTGTAGACAGACATAATAGGCACCGCGCCGGTCAGTTGTGTTAATTAAAAGTTAATGGTGCGAAACGTCGCTTGCAAGTATTTTATTCGTAGTGAGCTTCGAAATGTGATTTTATTTGTACGGCAACTGCAACAAGGTATTTTATAAGCGGTGTTGTTTCACAGGTCTGTTATGGCTCGCCGAGAGCGGGATGCTCGCCGCGAAGCCAGCTTAAACGCATCTGCCAAAATGCAACTGATTCTGACCCGACCAGACGATGCCAATGTGTCTATTGATAACGCGCTACCGTCTCCACGCTTATCCTCTCAAGGGAAAGACCTACCCAAGCACGTCAATGGAAGACGTTCCACGCCTGACGAAACGCAGGAAGTCTGTATCAATTCAGTGCCGACAATTGTCGTCGATGATCCGGTTTCGCGTACGATCGACGAAGTGATTGCTCGCTCTGTACAGCTGGTTGACCGGCTCGCCGAGCCGGTTGCACCAGCGGTCAGTCCGGCGATTCCATTGGTTAATGGTAATCGTCGCAAGCAGGCAAGTCCGCGGCAGCGGTACGCCGCCATGGCTCCCAAAGTTATGCCATCTGTGATACCTGCCATGCCTTCCACTGGAGCGGCAATTTCTCCTACGAGGAAATCCAAATCGAAATCACCGCTGATAGCCAACGGTCCTCAGATTGTTCTGCCGGAAATTACAAGTCCATCAGCTTCCGGTCACCTACGTGGTCCTTTGTCTAGTGACGCAACTAATGATCTTGACGCGCTAGCGGATTCCAATCCTTGCGCCGCCATCAACGGTGTGACAGCAGCGTATCTACCGCTAAATGTCGTCACATCCGGGAAGAGCGGGCACGCACACGCTCTGACTGTAATAAAAACAAATGAGCGTGATGATTCACCTACACGGTATTTCCTTGCTGTTCCTGACAGTTCAGACGGTATGATGGAAGCTCCTGTTCATGCGACAACCTCGTCGCCTGTTGCGACCAGGAAGAACAGCCCTGCTGGCCGTGCCGTTGACAATGCGAAACGGAAACGCTCAACATCGCGTACACCAACTAATCCTGCACCAGTTCGGAAAGAAAAATTAGCCAACCTGCTGAAGAAACGAAAACCACCGCCCACACCGGAATCACCGGTTGCCACCCCGTCCAGTTCCAGTCGATCCGCCGGCGCAAATGGCGGGTCGCGCTCTCTGACCCAAAAGAAGCTACGGATGCGCAACGGTACGGCCGTTGAGGAAGAACGACCAGCTACACGCCGGCGGAAACTGGACACGATTATTGCCAAAAAAGGGGAGCGGACTGTGTGGTCATGGCGGGGTCGATCCTTCGAGAAAACAGTTTATTCAGAGGTTCGTTTCGTAGAATGTGTTAGTAATTTTACTGTTTTTACTTCCGTTGGGTTTCAGTTTTTAAGGCGACTTAAGTTAAAGTTATCAAAGAACTATTGTAAATGCCGCGTAACACTAACCATAAAGAGCGTATCTACGAATTACTGCGTTTGACGAAATGTAAATTTTTTTACGCTTTTTGTAAATATTCATGGTGGGTAACTGGATGCAGTTTGAGATATTGTTGGCATACTGATTTCATATTGAAACTGGTATGATCTGCAGAGTAATTACGAGCTACCAGTAGCACGCGTCGCCGCCGTATGCATCGTTTTACAACATACGTTGGTGTTGTGTGTCTGTACTTATGGAATGCATCCAGTTTTTGCATGATAAATTCAAAGACTAACTAAACTGATGAGAATGGTTTATTTAGACCATGCGGACACCATTTTCTGTAATGCTTATGCATCTTTTTTGCACGTGCTTCTTTTACGATATGTACTCTGAAATCGGAATATGATGCAGTGAAATTACAATTGTATGCGAATTCCAGCTATCAAAGCACGAAGTTGCGGAATCTTGAGTTACCAGATCCATATGTTTTTGGTTAGGCTCATAAGTGCAACATTCAACGAACATGCTATCACGCCGTCAAGCATTACGAAGGAGAAGTAATTAAAGTTGGTGATTGCGTACACCTGCGCGCGGGAAAAGGTCAGAAGCCACACGTTGGTAAAATTGCAGCCTTTTGGGATGACGAGAAAGGTAAATTGATTGCTGACCTTATCGTTAGGTTAATGTGACCTTTCTAATGGGTATAACCAATTCAGGTAATAACGTTAGATAATTTTGCGTCATTATTGGCGGCGCATGTAACTGTTCGTGCAAATGGGGCGCGCTGAGCGGAAAATGCTTATAGTTCTAATAGAGACACGTTTTTCTATTAGGGGACATGATGATGACGATTTTCTGGTACTGGCGACCGGAAGAAGTGGAAACCAATATGCGACCAAATCATGGAGAGATGGAAGTTTATGTATCCAACCTTCGCGATGAAAACCATGTTGGATGCATTGATGAGAAGTGTTATGTCTTGACTCTTCATCAGTATGCATGGTACGTTTCGGTTACCAGCATCGTCGGATTAATTGTTTTCAACTTTCTTCTCTGTTATTATAGAAGTGAAATTAAGTACAGTATATGATACAATACTAGTAACTAACCATAAGCTTAATCGTATTAATGATTGAAAATGAGTAGCACGCTATCGTTAACTTCGCTTTCTTGTTTATATGCAAAAAAACATACAGCATGCTATTCAGAAATCTGACCTTTCTGTTTGGTAGTTTCCTTGCACAACAGAAAGAAGACAGCCTTCTCTACCGGCGACCAAAGGAACGAATCGTGCCGGAGACAAAATCCTTACTATTAGACGATCTGCCTGATGATGATACTGATCTGGATTTAGTTTATTTTGCCGATAAAGGCTATGATGGGAAGCACAAACGATTCTGGCGGTATTATTTCCGGGGCAATCGCCTTCGAAAGTTCGTCAGCGATAGTTTTAGCTGAAACGGACGAATTCCTCATGGACATCCTTGAATGCTTGTGCAAATTCTTTATGTGATTCTCAGTTGTGGGAAGACTGCCGTTTCATTCTTCATAAACCAGCGCAGTCCAACCGGTGTGATACGCTTTCAACTTTCGCAAGAATGGTTCGTCGCCTGATCTTGCTAAACCTGGAATGGAGTCGTAGTTACTGTGCCGCTAGAGTTTACCTGTTTGGAATGTCCTTTTAGCTTTTATTTGACGATTTGAACTTTTTTTGCACATATTCGTGATAAGGTAAATAAATTTTATTGTTGACTTCAGTCTCCAGTTTTCCGGGTCAAAACAAAGATATGGAAAATAAAGCGCAAATTTACATTTAAACTGGTGACAAGACATCCACGTAAGTCAGTTAAAAAACCACTGTAAATTTTTCGAAGAACGAGTGCGATATGCGCTCTGAAAAACTGCATGCCTCAGCGACGTTTTCTTTTGGAATCCATTAAGTCCCAAGCCGCGATGGATCGATCATGCTATCGATGCCCACCCATTTGTCCACTGGCCCCTTGTAACTGTTTCATCATGTTCTGCAATCCTGCCATGCCACCTAAAACATGATAATGCCGATCAGTGTAGAACTCAGAATACGCGTTGCGCTACTGTGTGTTATTTTATCGCTGCGTTCAAACTTCATAGTAAAACAGAGACGAAAATGGGACCTTCCTTCGGCAGATCCAAATTGGGCATAACTGTACGTAATAACAAACTATATAGCGTATCGCTCTTAACCTGTCGTCTTTAACTGTAGATACACGTAACTTAACAGCCTATGCTAAAATAAAAAAAACCCTTCACTGTAACATCTCATTCCCGAGATAACGTATCATCGCCGCTCCACATTAAACACCATCACCACTGGAAGTTGCGAACGCATAGTAAAATTATATTCGTACCCATCTGCTGAAGTACGCGAGGATCTATCATTTTGGCCATTTGTTGATTCAATGTCTGCATCTGCTTGGGATTAACGTTTTTCGATATATCACCACCTAGATCGATAACGAATTCATGTAATCCACAATGAATATTTCAGGACAGGATGCATGAAATATCTGTGTCGATCAAAAGAAGACTCACCTTTGAACAGTCCCTTCATACCACCCATCTTCTTAACCACAGCGGAGAATTTGGTGTACTGAGTTAAAAGGTCTTGCACTTCTTGCTTGGATACACCGCTTCCGCGTGCTACTCGAGCGATCCGCGTCGGCTGACGGGTGAAAATTTTGGCTCCCTCTTTGCTGTCCAGTTCTGTAATCAATAATAAAACTATGCGAATAGAGTTCATGATGAAAACATTTTATGCACATCTGACATGTCCATCAGCGCACATCAGACCAAGAACTTTCTCTACTCGTACAATATTACTAATAGTATGTATATACTGCAGATAACAACAACTATTTGTTAATTCAATAAACAAGAATTTTGCATTTACGCAGTTTTTAGTATAACACCGAACCGGCGCTCATTGACGACTACAGACAGGTAGTTTCTAGTGAATGTAAAATCGTTTGGCAAAAATCCCAATAAGCACCACTACGCAACATAAAGTACCTTCGTCACACATGCTGTCCATCATCGTCATCATTTTTTTCAATCGAGACATAGATTCCTGTTCTCCGCCTTTTGTTAGAAAATCCGTAGGGAAACCGGGAATCATGTTCATAATCTGCCCAAAAGGGCCCATTTTCATGATGTTCTGGAACTGCTCGTACATATCACGAATTGTAAATTCTCCTGCAAAAATTTCAAGTAAGTAATTGTACTAGCAACACACTACACAAATTGCACTAATTTCCGGCTATCACTCATTACCGTGTTTGAGCTTCTCTATCAACTCTTCATTATCTTCCAGCTTCAAATCATTGACTTTCTCAATTAAAGAGTCCATATCTCCCATTCCTGTAGGACAACCGATTAAGAATACCAAATCAGTTTTAGTGTTTCATCAATAAAGAGAAAGAAACGTCTCGGCATACCTAACAATTTGCTAACGAAAGACTTCACTTTGAATGGCTCGAATTCGTCGATGTGTTCACCAGTTCCGATAAATATCACCGGACTCTGAGTAGCAGCCACTCTGAAAGATACGACGGTTTTGAGGAAGACTTTGAAAAATAACTACCAGTACTAACTCCGAAGCTACTACGACAAAACTGGGGAATAATGCTTACGCGCTTAAAGCTCCACCACCGCGCGCATGGCCGTCAAGTTTTGTGATAATAACTGATGCGACATTTACTTTGGACTTGAAAGCCCGAGCCTAATCACGCAATAAAAATGAACAACCAATACGCCAGTTCTAGGTTTTCGAATCAAATTGTGTATACTTGTGCTTCGCAAGCTTGACCAATTGAGGCATCCATCACGAATACAATATTGTCCGGTTTCTAAAAAATTATAAAACGTTCAAAAATCTTCTGAGCGTTACAGTATTAAATTCCGTCAGTAGCGGCGCTCTCACAATGGCATTGGAGACTTCCAGCATCTCTTCAAACAGCGATTCTTCCTGTTTGTGGCGACCGCTAGTATCAACGATGATAATCTCAAAGCTTTCGTCCTTGAACTTCTGAACTCCTTCTGCAGCAATTTTCGTTGGATCCGATTCTGTGTAGCTGTAGCCAAACTATGTCAGAATTTATCATCAGCAAGAACTCAAGAGTGCGCCTCTTACTCTCCATAGAACGGAATCCTGGCTTTAGTAGCATTCTGCTTCAGCTGATCAAAAGCTCCAGCTCGGAATGTATCGGCGCAAACAAGGGCAGTTTTCCATCCCTTTTTCTGGTAGTAGTATGCCAACTACGTACAACGGAAATGCTCAGTCTGGATAAACATATACCACCAAGAGAGTAATCACCTTGGTACATGTTGTGGTTTTGCCGCTTCCTTGCAGACCGACAAACATGACGACATTTGGTTTCGCTTTAACGGGCGCCCAAGGTTTCGTACCAGGGTCGACCAACTAAACGAGCAGCACAAAATAAATCTGATTTCACAAAAATATTGCACGATTAACATTTACGATAACCTATTGAGTCAGTATTTTTTGACGTAATTGTCTCGATGGAAATGACAATGCGATTTGGAAAGTTCTAGAAGCGGCTGCTGTCGCGCCTGCAAATACGAAAATACGCTTGACGACATCTGAAATCATACCTTCATCAGCTCCTTAAATACCGCAGTTTGAATCATTCGGCGCTTATTGAGGCCGCCAGCCATCTCCTCGAAGTCTATGCTATTCCTGCAAAAAACAAACATGCCTGCCGAACTACTTTTTTCGTGATGTGAGAAAAGGTACCTGACGCTTTCTCTGAGCTGTTTAACCAATTTGACATTAACATCCGCCTCCAGAAGGGCAGTGCAAATTTCTTTAAGCATCGAGTCCAATGCCTAAACCACCACAACAACCGCTATGCGATATCAGCAGCATAAGAAAATAAATACAACAGCAGAACAACATTTTATTTCTTTACCTCTTCGTTGATGACTGTGGCATTGTTAAGGGACCGGATGGCTGCAGTGATCTTCCTGCCTAAATCCGCTAACACCATTTTTGAGACGAAAAGGGAAATCCACCGAAGAACTGCAGTGTCCGCAAAATAATATCAGTGAACACTGAAGTCTGACCAAATTTTGTACTAAGGACAGTAAATCATCACAAGCTTGTTCCGTAGAAGGCAATGGAGATTTCGTTCCCGTTTTTCATGGTCCAAGAACAAATACAGTAGTTGTCTTCGCAATTGGAAATACCACGCTCTCCCAGGGCAAAACACAATGACGAATTCCAGCACCTTCAAATGTGCTGTCGTAGTCGGGACTCGGTACTATTGATTCTGCTAATCTGCACCAGAGTGTCACACTCGAATCTCCTAACTTTCAGTCACAAAACGGCACCCTGGCAATCTTAACGTGCTCATGAGTTACAATTACAAATAAAAACGTCCACAAAACCACGGTCATATACTGCAATGATCCAGAACAAAACGAAACACGAGATACTGTACAAACGCGGGATACTAGGCAAACCTTAACCGTTTTCGTAACAATACTCAGCGTAATCCGGTAATCGTCTAAAACGAACTCAGAGATAATAAAAACAAAAATTTATTGCAGGCAGTGACAACTATGAGCTGTTTCTGGCATTTGGAAAGAAGATGAGGCACTAAAAATGAAAACTGAAAAGTGTGAAAACTGAAAAGCCTTTTATTTTTGAATTTTAATACATGCCCGTATTAAATAATTGATTTTGAGAATTCACGTGGCCAGCTGTTGTAGCGGTAGCTGATTTAACCATGACGACATGGAATTCGCTGACTGCGTAGTGTTATTGCTTATTGGCCGGAATATTGCAGCTTCTTCGTCTCCCAAGTGGGAGTCTGCAGTAGGGAGTTATGAACTTATGATGTTATCGTATAATTATGGTTGTAAAAAAACCGTTCAAGTGAAAAAAACGTTTATACCGCTAATGGCGCCATTGTTGGAAAACTGCAAATAATAATATTTAAGACTCAAGAGCATTGTCTCATGCAGAAATTATAATTTATAAAACTAAATTTCGTTCGCCTGATCGCTGTTCTTGACAGAGCCCCGCCTTATTGTGTGTACGCTGGCCAACCATTTGCTCCTCAAAGGCACGTAATCGTGCTTAGTCACCACAACAGCAGCTCATAGAACGAAGTGTTGTAGCAAGTAGCAACTGCTGGCGAATTGTGCGGGAATCTTCTTTAGAACGTTTTGCAGTTTTTTCAATTTTCAGCAAAGCTTTTCCCGAACTCTTGACTGATTTTCAAAAGATGGCTGGTAATTAAACGTTTCGATTTTTTGGACTTCGGGACATTGTTCTGCTGCACATCCAGAGCAATTCCAGAGCCGTCTATTTTGTGGATCTGAATGGTGTCAATTGTCAGCATCCCATAAAGAACAGGTTCTCCAAGGTGCGTTCGTTTATTCAGTTATGTTATGCTGATGCATGTGTTAATTTATGGTAGCGGGAGGTATGACTACTACGATACATAGAAATATAAATATTCGTAAAACCATCCCAGTAACGAGTAAAACATAATTGGATTTACCGCACAGTCCGTACTGTTGGATCGCTTATCAGCAGCTCTATTTTAAATTACTTTAGTTAAGTTTAGTAGAAGTTAGAATCCATTCCAGAAAATCATGGCGCCTTAAGTCCCTGCATCCACAATTCATGCGTATTGACCTGATGAATAGCGCTTGAGTTAGCTTTATAGATTATAGGCCCGTTAGATTGAGTATCCTACCTTTTTCTTACTTGTTCGGACAGGGTTGTGTTTAACTCTTTCCATTTGAACTTGGAAGATTTGAATTCATTTAATAATTTAATTTTTATTCTAGTTTTTCTGTTACATCATGGTCGGTTGAGCAGATGCCCGTTGAAGTGTCAGCCTTTAACAGACTGTCTGTTAATTACTGTACGTACCAACACCAGGTGCATACGTAGGACACTTCATCGCATTTTGTGGTTAATTTGAGGATCGTTCGTCTCTGTGCTCCTCAGTCCTCACAGTCAGCCATTAAAACATCAGTGATCAGTATCGATTTTTCACTATTTTTATTTGCAGGAATGGTCTTTTTATAGAAAATTGATTTGGGGATTTTAAAATTATCAGGGTAGTTATAAGTTATGTATCTGACTTGTGAGTTATGTATTAATGTAATATAGAATGAATGCCTGCTGCGGTGACCGCTGATTTTAATTTTTGCGTACGGTTCGAGTTGTCACTGCCACGCTTTGCGGTAAATATTCGCAGTGTATTTTAACTTTTGAGTCCGGTCGACTCAAAAGTTCAGTATTTCGCGCAGCATCGTTTGTTTTGGTTTGTATTATCGATATTGCGCCCTTTTCAGATCGAACTTGTTGTCACCGTCAGTGCAGCTTTAATTGTGTTCTGTTGAGCGGTGGCATCGCATTTCTGAGCGGTGTTGATATTAGGCAAAGCCAACAGCGCTTGAAAAACTGCGTTTCCTGTCCTTCATCTGCCCGCATACGTTGCCTCCGATTGTTTCAGTCGTTGAGTGGGTTTTTGCAGCCCCCAGGAGAGAAATTTACATAAAATTCATTGCCTTTAAACTGTTCGCTGTGAGCATTAGAGAAATGAGTGTAATACGTAGAGGATGTGGAGAGACACACGATCAGCGCGTTTAATAAGCTGCTTCGATCGGCTTTTCACTGCCGCGTTTCAGCATACAGACCGGAATTCCTTGGCGGTATTGTCTCTCTTTAGCTCCTGTATTTGCAGTATCATAATGCATTATTGAACCAAGCGAAAAATGATTTTGTTGATTGAGTTGATAGAATTCGTTCCGGGACCGTCACACAACAACTGTTACGTTGTCCGCGCGTAACCAATCGATATATTGGCGGGCAGCTCATTGAATGCCATTACCGGAGTGCTTTGCATATTTATTAGGACATAGACGGTTTTTATGCTGTGCATATATACTTTGTTGATTAATCATCATTGCATTTTTTGCGCTACCATTGAGCGGTCACATGTGCCGATAATATGATGACGTTTCCTGCAGCATCTTGGGCATGTTTCCTTTCTGCTGTACTTTGTTTGTTCCGAATGGTAGTAAATGATTTGTTTGACTGAAAATGTTTCATATTTATTTATTTTATGCTGGCTTTCTTACATTTTATCCTTTACCTTGCAGATAACTTTTTGGAGTTCTTGAATTCCAGAGCAAAATTCTCTTGATCATGGAGAACGAATTTCCGGATGACCAACTGCATACTCCAGAGAAGCAATCCAGTAGCGGCGCTTCAGAAGAAACCGCCACGCCGCTTGAGGACGCACTGTCGGACGACGACCAAGACATCGTCAGTGATGAACTGACTACTGCGGAATTCCGCAAGAAACATCCCGATCTGACGACAGCACCGGCCGCCAACATGGTTCAGCGGAAGCGTTTGGAGCGTGGGCACAAATATTTTGACTCTGGGGACTACAACATGGCCCGTGCTAAGAGCAAGAAAGAGGGTGTGCCGATCGGTCCGAAACTGCTGGATGCGCTGAACGCCACAGGCGAAGATCATCCCACACCGGAAAACATTCCTCACAAGAAGTACCCTCCTGCCCCAGGTATCAGTAGGCTGGCTTCTTGAAGAATACTAATAAGCATCCGTCACCGTTCGTTCTTGGATAAAGAGAGTTTTAGTTCCTGAAAGAGTTTGTTCCATGTTGACTTCGGTACCTTGCCTTGCTGTTGGTTGTAAACTTGTAACTCGATTGCATTCCTCAGGTCTTCTTGGGCTGTTGAATTTTTCGCCTTGACCTAAAGCAACGAAATAGTATTCCTAACACGGTTTAGAGGTTTTGTTGGTGCCTCTGTTTTCCGACTGACAGATAATGCACGTGCCATGGTTTGCAAATTTCAAACAGCTGTGTTCGTAGAATTACCTGGAGATTTGTGTTTTGAAGTGTTAAAGGAGGTTGACATCACTACTCGTACCAGAGTTTGCAGTTTGGGCTTTAGACAAAGTGACTCCGCTTTTTGAACGGTTTATGTTGCACTGTTTAATAATTTAATTGTATATAATAACCTGAAGAGGCATGCAATTTACGTTTTTTTGTTTTTGTCAGTTTCCTTATTCGTCTGAATAATCTCGGTTTTCTCACGCTTATACCGTATTATGAGTTACCGTATTACTGCTGCTGGCTGCAGGTAGTGGAGTGATTCATAATGACTATTGTGATAATGTGATCCCAGGCCTGGGAAAAATTAATCATCGCACGGTTCGTACCTAGTATGCACACTGCACAGTCACCCACGCCAGTTAACGGCACTTGTAAACAGCAAGGGCTCCTTTATCCAGAAAATACTCCATGTTAGCTACAACACTGGCCACTCAAAAAAACTACCTCATGCTTGTCCAAATATGAAAATGGGTTTTCATTTACAGCTTTCAACGATTTCTTTCGAAAAGAAGCAAAAGATACTCTTTATTGTATTAAACATCGGCCTCATTACCTCATATGACTTCTTGATGAATCCATGAGATTGCAGCAGCGTATCTTTTATTAATTTATTCATCAGTATTCAAAGGTCAAGCAGCGTAGATCCATTATATTTCAAAACATTATGATTTCATCCGACACCCATCCTTTTTACCACCGCAAAAAAAATAAAAATCTGGAACAAATGTTGCTTGCCACGCACTACAACGACTCTAATTAAACACTGTGCAGTAACATACTAATGCTACAAAAATCTATAGATTTTTGTTCCATTGAGCATAGCTTTGCTCAATGGAAAAAGTTCTGAAAAGTTGTGCAATTATTTTTAAGTAGTGCGTACGATGCAGTTGCACAATTTAACGGGACCATACATGCTGCAGTCTTGAAATCACAATCATGATCAGGTGAATGGTACGTGGATGTACTGTAATTATGAGCTGTTAGTGTTAGTATTCTATTGAGGACATCAATACTGTAAGTAAACTGCTTCCGTGGAAATCGTATGACATCGGAATAGATTTACTTTAAATGAAAATAAAACATTTGTTGCGTCGTAGTCTACTTGTTAAATGCATCCAGTCATCCGGAATTGGCCATTTTATGTGGTTAATGTGGTTTAATATCTTGCCGTGACCATTTCATAACTAATATAATACATTACACGCGACCATCAAACTTACGGCTAGACATCACACCAGATGACATTTTAACTTGTCACAAACTTGATAAGAATTTCGGTAATATTTCGCATAAATTAAGAGGTTTTCTTCTTCCTGTATTATGCGCATCATGCAGCGCGGCAAACCGGATGTTCATATGGATCACAGTACGTTGTATAGCTTTGACGAAGTTGTTTATTACTCGGAAAAAGAGAGGCAGTTTTCTTATTGACCGCTTTTGGCCATTATGTGCTCCTTGAGATCCGCTTCCTCGTCATTACACATCCGCGGGTTGACGAAGCCGAACACATTGTATTCGATCATGACGGCCAGTATCAAATAAATGCCGTACGTAATGTAGAATATCGTCCCCACTCGCCGGGTCAGTCTCCATCCCGTCGAGCGTAATCCACCCAGCTGCGCAAATGTAAACGTTTGTCACATACACGATAATGTTAAACACTGCAGGAGAATATTCCAGCACAGCATACCGCAATGGCAACGGTCACAAAAAGCAGGACTGCGTTGTAGACCAATCCGTTACTATTGATTCTCACCTGGATAGCAGAAGAAAAACTGTCATAAACTAGTTAACTACAAAGTTTACAATACGCTTACGGTTCACCAAACATGTACGCGCAGTTTGCCACCAGTGTCACGTTATGTACAAGCCGGTAATTAAATTCTTGCGTTAAGGTACAGGTAGTAAAAGTACCGGTACATACTAAGCGCGATGCTGGCGCTTAGAAAGCAGTCACTACGCTACAATTATTGCGGTCATAAATTTATTTCTACGATAAATTATTATGATAAATATAATTGATAACTTTTTTGGTTATACGATTATACGATATAAATATTTATTTGACGTACATCAGCCATGCCCGCAACGTGTTAAGAGCGTGGCGGGGCGTGATTTGGAGTTTAGCGTAACCCATGAATTTGCATTTCTCGCTGTATCTTTACGCAGGAAATAAAACACCGGGCTTGTATGCACAACAATGTATAGTCTATTGCAAAACAGTTCACGTCGCAGTTTGAGGATCGTGCAACCTTGTTATGGGAGTTCGTAAGCAAATTAAATGCTGGGGCTGCAATTTAAATACCGTATGTCCAGGTCGAACCATGCTTGTACTTAAGAACCACGGAAGCGCCAGCCCAATAAGGATATCGAAAACGTTGCTCCCGATGCTGTTTGATACAGCCATATCTATAACCGGTGTTATTCCGTCATAAAGCACACTAAACTATTACGCTTATTAGATCAAAGTGACGGCCAAACCTATGGAACTGTAATACCATTTTCTACGCTAATTATAGAATATTTAAGTAAGCGTTTTACCTATCATTCCTTGGCGGGCAACTATTAGGCTAGCCATCTGTAAAACGTTAACAGCGATTAATGGTAAATACCAAGTACAGTAAGTGTTTTATACTACAGTAATATTAAACTGTTCATTTTTTGCACTGGTAGAAGATTATACCGTGATACGGAAAGCGTAGCTGTTTCATATATGCGCCGCATAATGCGCGATATAATCACGTCACGATCGCAAGCGACGCGCAGCCATGTTATGTAATTTAATTAGAAGTAACTACTTACTGCATCAGGGATGCTTGTTCCTGCTGCAAGGAAAGTTATCCCCATAATCGAGTCGGGAATGTTCATTGTGTGACCCATTATCGTTACCTGCATATGACTCCATTTGGTAGTGAACTCGTATATTCAAGTTGCAATTTTAATCGTAATAAAAAATATTTTTAATGTTATCCTGAATAAACAATTGGTCGGTATAAATTATATAGGACCATTATAGGTATACCGTATACATAAAAATATAGATGCTAAATACAGATATTAAACACAGTTTATAATTTAGTTTAGCTAGACGCTATTGTAAGCATACCATCCAAACCATTATATAACTGAACACCGCAATCCATGCGATTGAGAGGAAGAACGTCGCAAGATACCTGAAATAGTCAACAAATCACTGATTAGACCAGATTATTTAGTAGTTTGATTTTGATTGCAGTTGTTATGCGCAAGGTAAAGCTAATGACGTTTTTGATAATGGATTGATGTTGTCAATTAAAGTACAGTATTTTATTGTACATCTGTCTTGCATTTTGCATTTTCGTGGTCGCGGCGGAGTGTTAGTGACCTTGGCGTGAGATATGCAATGAAGCTGTACAATATCTATTATTTATTTAACTTTAAATATCTATTTATTTATCTATTATTTATTTGTATTTATCGTAGATACTCGTACTAGATTCAAAATATAAATATGCATCGTATAGCAGCACTATTAAACCGTGTAGTTGTTCTGCGCCCCCCGTTTAACGTACATTCACCCGGTTGCAGTATTTTTATGTTGCGGAACAAATCAGAATCATAATTATTTACAAGAAACAGCCGCGGCTTCGCCTCCGCGTTTCTTGTGATCCATGGCCATTTTATTTGAATTTGAATAAATATTTATTAGATTAACATCAGTCTATTGGTCGAAACATGATCGGCAAATGCAATAGGGTAAACACGAATTTTCTATGAAAATCAGCTCATGATTCTCTCAACCTTGAAAGCATTCCCTTTCGTTGTACATACAGATAATTTTACGATATCCCCTACCCGAAAAGAAAGTCGAAATATCAATCTATAAGGTGTGAAATTCGAAACAGTGATAGTCATCGGTTCCGATACCGGATAAGTGATAATCATCGGTACCGGTTCCGTTCTCCGGACAGTAGTGGTAGCTCGGTCACTCATGTACACTGTACAATAATGACAGCTCGGTCACCCGCTCACCTCGGCTTTCTGCGCTGGACAGCAGTGTTAGCTCGATCACCCGCTCACCTAACGGGCTTTGTACACGGACAGTAGTGGTAGCTCGGTCACTCGTTTCATCTCGGCTTCGCTTCCGCGTTTCTTGAGGTCTACGACTGGTCTGTTCGAATTTTTATTTTAGTCGTTTTTATTCGTATCTTTTGACTCTGTGAACTGGACTGTAGTGGTGGACTGGTGGGGCTTTCTGCGCCGGACAGTAGTGGTTGCTCGGTCACTCGCTCACCTAACGGACGCTTACCTTCCGTCTGTACACTAGGGCAGCTCAGCACTCCATCACCGAACAGCAGTGGTAGCTGATCACCTGCTCACCTCCCGGGCTTTCTGCGCCGGACAGCAGTGGTAGCTCGATCACCCGCTCACCTAACGGGCTTTGTACACTGGACAGTAGTGACAGCTTGATCTGCGCCGGACAGCAGTGGTAGCTCGATCACCCGCTCACCTAACGGGCTTTGTACACTGGACACGCAGTGTTAGCTCGTCTGGACCCGCTGAAACGGACTTTGTACACTGGACAGTAGTAACAGCTCGGTCACCCGCTTACCTTCCGGGATCTGTACACGGACAATAGTGGCAGCTCAGCACTCCATCACCGAACGGGCTCTTTGTGCGCCGGACAGCAGTGGTAGCCGGTCACCCGCTGACCTACGGACTGGTCACCTGCTCACCTCCCGGGCTTTCTGCGCCGGACAGTAGTGGTTGCTCGATCACCCGCTCACCTAACGGACTTTGTACACTGGACAGTAGTAACAGCTCGATCACCTGCTCTGCGCCGGACAGCAGTGGTAGCTCGATCACCCGGGGCTTTGTACTGCGTAGTGACAGCGGACAGCAGTGTTAGCTCGATCACCCGCTCACCGAACGGACTTTGTACACTGGACAGTAGTAACAGCTCGGTCACCCGCTCGACTTCCGGGATCTGTGCACGGACAATAGTGGCAGCTCAGCACTCCTTCACCGAACGTGCTTTTGCGCCGGACAGCATTGGTAGCCCGGTCACCCGCTGCGCTAACGGACTTTCTGCGCCGGACATTAGTGACAGCGTGGTCACCCGCTCTCCTACCGGGCTCTGTGCACCGGACAGTAGTGGTAACTCGGTCACTCGTTCCCTAACGGGCTTTTTACACTGAAAAGCAGTGACAGCTCGGTCACTCGGTCACTCGGCATCGGACAGTAATGACAGCTCGGTCAACCGCTCACATAGCTATCCATAGTGGCAGTTCGGCCACTCACTGGCTTAGCGGGCTATTTTAACTAGAATGTAGTTGTAATTTGGTCAACTAACGGGTTGTGCACTGAACAGTGGCGGTAGTTCTGTCTATCGCTGCGTGGCCGGTACTTGTTTAGAAATTGTCCTCGATGACAACATTGGATATGTAGTCGTTTTTGTCGCAATAACGCCAAAGGTCTGCTAATTAAATTGATTCTGATATTAATTAGTGGAAAGTACTTTCATTTTTTAACTATATTTTATTTGGTTTACGTGGCAACATTGCCTGGTTAAAAATACCACGCTGATAATTATTATTATAATAATTTAGTTACATTTGGTGAAGGTAGTCAAAACTCTTCCGCTGTGGCGCTCGAAGCGGGAGAGGTTTTAAAAGAAATGAATACTATCTGGCCGGGTTTTCGATTACGGGCTTTCAGAATATAATATTGGTTTTGGTCAGTCTTTTCTGGTTTGCCGGCTCTGGTGTATCCCGTTCGTGGCAATATAGATCTGAATCTTGATATTGAGATACTAATGAAAATGACATGATAATACTAAAACTGCAAAAAAAAGCACGCACATTGTCCGAATGTTTCCTGGTAGTTGGCTAGAAAATTTTGAGTCCGCGACTGCTCTGCCTTTTTTCGCACTGTATTACACGACAGTAGCACTGCCACGAATAGCTGGTGAACACTTACCATTTAGCAAATCGTTCCTTTTTACAGTCGGGTATGGTGTAATAGAGCACAAAATAAATAGGATACATAACGATCCATCGGGCAAAGGCTTTCTTCCCGGACCCCGGCTGCGGCTTAACCCGCCATTTTTCAAATTCTTCATGAACCACTTCAAATGAGCTGAAATTACGCAAATTGTTAACAGAACTTTTTGAAGGCTAAGTCTTAAAACTATTTCATCATCGTTAGTAAATCAGAACAGGAATTATGGTCATGAATAGTGGTCCTGTTATAGTCATGTCGTGCGATAGTTACAGTACATTTAGAAGCTGCAAAAAGTTTTAATTTCCTATAACCGTTTTGCTGTTAAAGAGAAATACCAAGGTACTGTACTTCTTGTTGTAAGTAAATTAATTATTATATTAACGATTTGGTACTTCTCATTATATGATCTGACTGATGTAGCAACTAGCAAGCATACGTACTTTCGTTGATGCCATTGCACTTTTTCGTTGGAAGGGACACTTAAAGAAGACTGTTTATGTGGATGTGGAGACATCGCTTCGTGATCCTGGAAATTGTCTGCTTCATCGGCGAATTGTTCTTAATAAATAAATAAGCACATTTTTGCCACGTTTTCTTCATCGACAGTTGATAGCCTTTTACGTATTTACAACTGATGAAATCCATCGACGATTAGGAATTTAACGTTACGCTCGAATTCTAAAAAACTTACCGTAACCGCTAAAAACTGGCTTGTCAAACCGTCCACCACCTGAAAGCCGTGCCGACTCTTCCACACCCTGAACTGGGCCACTCCAGCCAGTCTTCTGGGACACCCACTCGAACGCTCTTGTATTAAATCTGGTTGAAAAACGGGTAAGTGTCTGCCTTTTTTGTCACAGAAACCGCTGTTTTTGCGCTGTTAGTCGTCAACTTACTTCATGGTGCATACATAAATGCCATAGAATATCAACATGATCAACGATTCATACCTGCAACAGAAAGACATTTTTTGTATAACAATCTGATGCGCTAGATACAAAATTAAAATTATGTAGCCTCCAGTGGAGTACATTTTGTGATCTATTAAGTAAGTATTCACACTTAAGAATAAATTGTTTTTAATGTACAGATATACGGGTACTCATCACCAAAAGTTGGATAGTTTACATCTGTCCTTAACGTGTAGCGGTAAGCTTACCAAGTCACTTCTCCGTCAGCAATAGACTGCAATTAACACTCTTGTTAGTTGTTTGTCACATTACAAAACTACTGTCATTTATTTTCGATTATCATTGTGCTAGAAAGCAATACTCTAAAAAATTGAATCGGTTTTTTAAATTCACAGCTGCGAATATGCGTATATATACAAATGTACGTACTGTATATGTATGTATATATTATAATAATTTACAGCTGTGAATGTACATATATGAATTCATGCGCAAATGTACATATAGATATATGTATATGTGTCATGTAGCTCGTAGGTTTTTCCATGAAAAAACCTTTCAAAGATTAGCTACGGTAGAGCTAGAGAAGGTCATAGATAAGATTAAGAAAATCTTACCGCAATCAAAACTGCAATAGAAATGGAATAAAATCCAGTGTCCCTCATTATAGGCCACCACGATAATTGTGTTCCCTAAATTCAATTAGTGTTATTATAAGGTAAACGTTTTTAGCTCTCCCGAAATGGGCGAGGCTGAGCATGAAAATAATAAAACAAAATTCTTATTTTAACTTGCAAGCATCCGGTAGCTGTAGTGGACTTCCGTGACGCAAAGAAACAATCAGAAGCGCATCAAATTTTTTTTGTCTTGTATGATAGTTCTGTGCTACTTGTAAAATGTAAAATAGTCAACAAATATTTAGACAAATACGTGTATGCTGTGTATGTGTAACAGCAATGTTGTATATGTTTAGAAGAAGTACTGGAGGAGTGCAAAAATGACGAAATTATCTGTTAGGCTAAAACATCGCTACCTCTGTTCCAGAAAAAAATGCGCAGGTTCCCACCACAAACAAGACATTGAAAACTGCAGATCCAACAATAGTTCCTGTTCCAACGTCACCTTTCGCCACGAACACACCTGCCGACAGAAAACTTAACGCTCTTAGCGAGCATTATTTTTAATAGCACAGATTTCCAAGTAATTTTAGGTACGTGTTTACCAATAAGGCTAGCAAACAGTTCGGGCGCAGAACTTCCAGCTACATCGCAAAAGTAAATGAAGTTAACCCAATGGTACCAACAACTTAAAGGATTAAAAAAGCGAAAGGTGAAATTTCCCACCAGCCATTAATGTTGCTCCTGCGACATCTTCGCTCAAGTTTAACCTCTAAATAACAGAAAAATTAGATTAGCGCATTGACTTGTAATAAAATTTCTATAAAGGTCACGTTAGAAAAAGTTACAATCTCGGCTGGTACGCTTGCGCAGGATACGGCCGAATGCTCGCGTAGGTCACACTAGATGTACAACTAGATGTACAAACACAACTGGTCGCGCGCTAGCGCGACCGATACTTGTATATATATATAATATTATGTCAGCATCGTCCATACTTTAAATTGCAGTAATTACACTCTGTATTCTTCCAGCAGCTAGTCTGTCAAATACGTTTACTTTGATTTATCTACTTATTTAGTAAACGAAGTTGGATCAGGATGTTACTGCTTTCAGACACAAACCTTGCAGACAGTTTCCAAACTTCCACAAAAATAATCATCGCAGACAACCGCCAAACACAGAAACATATACACAACCACCAGAATGTGTACAAGCAAACCTCCATAACGGCGGCCTTTCTGATCGAACATATCTGGGGGAAACTGTCTGATAGCTGGAAACAATCGAAAAATAATTAAAATATGCGAATGGTGCGCTTTTTACTTAATCTTTTTTTCCCTTTAGATGGTTCGCATTGACAGAGGTTATCGTTATACAGCTTGTACTGTATGTATATATGTATCTATATAATATATATATTCTATATTTCACTCTGTACGGTACCTGGTATAGTGCATTCCGGCTCTTTTATCGGTTCTTCCGTCGTGCTGTGTCCATAAACCGTTGCGCCTACGCTAGTGTGGCTGTGTGCGTGTGTGGAGTGGCTATGTTTTTTGTCGTCTTTATCATCCTCTTCGTCGTCATCATCGTCACCATTATCGTTGTCCTTGTCAGTTTTTACATGTTTATCTTTTTCTTTTCCCTTATGCGAGGTATGAGTAGATTTCTTCCGCGCGGGTGTCGTTGTTTTGACAACCGTACGTTTAGTTGTTTTATGCCGCGACTTCACTGTGGTTGTCGCGTCCTCTTCTGTTTCTTCTTCCTTTTGTTCCGCATCCTCTCCATCTGGATCCGTCTTTTCGCTGTCTTCACCAGCAGCTGGATCATCCGTTTCCGGTTCGGCATCTTCAATTTCTTCCTTATTGGGTTTTTGTCGAGCATTCCGAATTAATTTCGTTTGATTGGATATTACTGTTTCGGTATCAAATATAGCAGCTCGTTTTTGTCTGCTAAGGGTGTTCTGTACGGGCTCGGGGTGATGGCCATTGCCTTGTCCACTATCCTTGGATAACGACAAAAAGGCAGGGCCTAAAAATCGTTCAGTTTTAATACTTACCTTAACAGTATTTCCCTACTCACGTTTTGCTGTGTACCATGTATACAATGCTGCCGCCATGGCCCCTACTCTACTTACATATCCACACTCGAAAATTTAATTAAGTAACAAAACTTCATCGCTGGAATACGCAAAACATCCAACTACACTCTTAATTCAGACGAAATGATCACTACTGCCTATATGTTCCTCAAGCACTTTTGGGAAAACCGAAGCTTTCTCAGTTGCACGTCAATTAACCTAAATGTTAAAGAACGGGAAAGTGCACATACAGCAGGAAAAAAACTCACGACCAGGTTTAGGATGAAATTATAGTTCTAAAGTTTAAGGACTGTGCTATCTTCCTTTTTTAGCTCAAATTTCCGTTTTCACCTGAACAACCTCCAGGGACGGAATATACATATATGTGTATTTTGTATCTATCTACACCCATGTGCTGGAATTACGTATACTGTTAGGGTAATTATGACGAATTATTTTCAGGTCAATAAATTATAGATTAATAGGACGTCTCAATAATTAAGCGGTAAACCGGATCAATTTAATTCAAGCAAAACCATAAAAACAGATATACCGTGCAAACTGTAAAGTACATTTATTGCCTGTGGTAAGCCTAAGATCGGCGACCAGATGGCAACTTTGGTAGTCCATAGTATTTGTGATGGGATAAACAGTGTTTAAATCCTAATCGAAAACATGAAATGCAACGACTGGACACCGGTGTAACACGTGTTCCCTACAGAGACCATTGTGAAAAACTCATAATACTCTGCTGTACCGGAAGCTATTTGCAGTCGACAATCCGACTGCAGTAACCTATCGCGCCCTATGGTGTACTGCAATAATACAACGTCAATCCGCTATGTAGCAGGTAATTTCATCACAATACCGTTGTAACAGAAAACGTTATGAGCTGAATTTTTACGACTATTGATTGTCATTCTGCTCTCTATTTTAATATCCATAAACTATAAAGCTAATTTTCCTTACACATTTGCATTGCAATGGGTTACGGTCACACGGGATGTGACCGTCCAAAGTGGTCTAATTATAGTATGCCGCTGTCAGCCTGATATTAGGCTGTTGAATCGTTTGATACTCTTAAGTACAAGTCACGCAAATTTTTGTTGTGTACGCGACATTAAGGCCGATCTTTCCGTTCAAGGAATAAACCACCCATTTTAAAATCGACTTCACATTCCCGTATTAAATAATTTAGTTTAGTGCTGATAGAGACGCGCGGGATTCCTATATCCAGATACTCTCGAAACTGTTTCGATCCTGCATCATTGACAATGAGCTGCTGTACACTATTGCCGACGATAGCCTACGGACTGAAAATGCATGGCTACAAAGCCTTGGCGTAATGGCATACTAATCGTGGGTTCGTGACTACATGCTTGTATATACAGATCGGGCTCCAACACGATAACCGTAAAAATCGATCCCGCCCGATAAATCGGACATGTTTTTGTATTGAGAGCGAGGCACATTGACTGAGGCTAAAATTAATATTTTCCCGTCCTGTGTGTACAGTCACATTTTATCCCTGTCCTGTTTTACACCCATGCCCGCTTACGCAATCGTGAGTCCATGAACATTAGGAACAACGTAAGGAAGATAGTACAGCGGCAGATCCGGCGCAATGAAGACGATGTTATCGTAGTCGATGGCATGATTTTTAAGTGTGTTTATGCCGCTCGATTTGAGCAACTCTCACAATCCGGGCAACAGGGATAAGGCCAGGATCAGGTCCTTTTGAAACAATATAAATCCTTTTGGCAAATCCCCCAAACTTTGTGTAAATACGCCGGCGCACATACGATATGACATAAATGCATCAGGAAAGATTGATTAAACGGAATTGTCGGTCGTACGTACAATCACGGCTTTCCCACATTAGGCAGCTGCATTTATTGCAGTCAAAAAAAGCCCGCAATGTGCATTTTTTTGCGGCACACTATACTGCCGATTATTGAGCACGCAGATCACACCTTCCGTCGTATATATCTTTTTACTGAGTAAGTATTAATGTGTCGCAAGAATCTGAATGTCCAGAGCCGCTGTCAGTCCCGCACAGTTTTCCTGTGTACTGTCTCAGTCAGCTTGCATCGTCGAAATTTCCAACGGGATACGCAATGAATTCGAATATCCCTGTTTAGAGAGCAGTATCATTACGGCGTCAATTCAGTTTGTCAATTGCTCTACGGGAGGTTACGGTGGTAATCCTTTAAAGTGAGCAGTCGTCAGCATTTTATCATCGTTTATCCGCTTTTAAAGGCAACCCTGTTCACTGCAAAACCAAAAAACTTTGTAAATGTTTATCGATCTCAAGCATATACGCGAAGTTATTTTTGTGAAGTATTCTGTATATCTGATTTTGCTTGTTGGCCTAATAGTTATATTATTAGATCATCATTTTGGCTCGATCCGCTTAATTAAACAACCACAAACGAAAAACTTTCAAACTGTTTACATGAACTGAACAATGTTACATTCTTAACCAACGCCCAATGCAGGAGGTACAGGTAATTTTTCTCTTTTGTTGTAATTTTACAAATTTTTCCTTTAAGTTTAAAAATTGGAGCACGACACATACATCATATGCGAATCAAATTTTTTACTGTACAATTCACGCTTGACGCGTACGGTACAGATAGATGCCTGTCTTCATTATATACAGTTCATAAAGACCAAATTCCAAAGTGAACTTACTACAATGCGGAAGACTACGAAGATGGAAGAGTGGATCGGCATGCAGAAAAATCACCGCCACACTGGAATATGTCGCATATAGCAGGAAAAAATCCTTGCAGCTTACGTTAATGCCAGGTCCAGCAGAACATGCACAGTTATAGTAAGATAGCAATATAAAAGCGTAATACAACAGATGCCATTCACCAGCGTCGGCACGCCCGAACCACTAGTAACAATCCCGCACTGCAGAAAGGGAATAACTTCCCAACTCTGTAGAGGATTGCACAATACTGTATGATGTATCGGCGGGAATACATAGTGTTCCGCACGGTACAACAAAGGGCCACGCTCAGACTGATATATATGCATACGCCGCGAATACGATCGAGTCATGCCCTCTGTACGGGTATTCCTACCGGAGCTTCCCACCAACAGCGAAAAAGTTCAACTCCCTGATATACGCACTACCAGTAAAGGGATACCACAAGATAGAGGACGGCCGTCACTTCGCTGCGGAACAGCGAATGCACTAATGTTTGATCTGAGCGTTTTCCAGTGCGTCGGGACCGGGCTTACTTCCCTTTCAACGGCTCATCTATCAAAATCACAGCCGAATCAGATTGTACTTAGGGTTACCAGTCGCGAACCGCCAATAATTCAGCAAAGTTTTTTTTTCCTTTCGCATGTACAGCTCGTATTGCGAGCAGCACGGTGTGCGGTTAGAGTATCAGTATGTATTTACTGTATACAAGTACTGCACAGGTTTTGCATTGACGCGAAAGTTTGGAATAAGTAGCAAATTTAAACAATACAGTTTTCACCAAGTTCGACCATGAAAGAACATACAAAACATTTGTGAACTGGTGATTTATTAGTAGCTGTGTGCACAATATTAAGTTCAAACGTCATAACGTGCGCATACAAGAAGCGCCTTTTGTACGGTATTACTTGCAAACTGCAATTAATAGCCCTCAAAATAGTAGCAAAGTACACCGTTGCAGTAGCAGTTGCACGATGTCAAAAAATATAATAATTATGAAATTATGTTTACGGGTTTCAGAATTAAAGCCCTGCCGTATCTCTATTCGGTGCATGGACTGACAATCAAACTGATTACGAGTCCGTCACCATCTTGCACGTAGCCGATTAACGAGAAAAGCTACATTTATGCTATGAGTATTCGGTATTCCCTTGACCTTTTTGCAATGCGTTCATCTTCTCTACTAATGACTAAGCATGATTTCCATTTCTTGACTATTTCAGTTTTCGACTTTGTGTAAGTACTGTATTGATGCAATACAGTAAGTATTTAGTTTGTTTGCGTGTACTTTGTAGATCGATTTACCCAGTGCACGCTGATGTCGATATTGCAGGTAAGTACTTACTGGTTAAATGCACATAGAGATATAACACTTTTGTGAATGATTAAAGACATGTGGTAAAGTTTTACACCATTCTAGCAGTAAATTTCTGTGCAAAAATTGTTTGTTCATTAATCGATATTGTGCCTGTATGTGGCACTTAAACTTTAAAGACAAAAAGTGTTTTCGCAAGGCTTTGCACAGGCTCCCAACTAGACTACAATGAATGTCACACACATTATACCAAAAGTCAGCAACCATGTCAATGATTACAGTAAACAGAAAAATGCAACAACAATGGAATAACAGACATTACAGGTACACGACAGTACTAGTACGAGTTGAAAGGCAAATTTTGTGCCCATTTTGCGCATGCTAGCGGAACTAAATTTTTGAAACACCTCTATATTTTAGCATTTCTACGTTAAACTTTTAAAGTTCAATATTGTAAAATTCTAGAACGTGCCAGAAAGGTCAATAATAATCATATTTTGCTGTTTTCTGTAGTTCTTAATTTTTTGTAGTTCTTAATTTTGAAACCCTTCGATTTAATTTCAAAGTAATTTCAAAGCTGGCCCCGCCCAGGGGCAAGTACCATTTCTGCGCTTTCAAATACTAATAATTATTATATACGATATATACAAAAATTTTCCACAAAATTAGTGACATATTTCTAGATTCTTAATCTTTAGATCGAAATTTAATACCTAAAAATCAACTGGGCGCGCGCTACGCTAGCGCGACCAGCACTTGTATCAAAGAAACGCTAACAAACAGTCAGTGACCAAGGGATAGCCAGTTTTATATTTACAGGAAAGAAAAAAATACAAAGTCGTGAGAGCTAATAAACAATTTCATTATGACGCGCTACTCCCTAGTTCCATAAAACTGACTTATTTTCAATATCTATAGCTATTATATATGTGCGCAGTGCATCGACGGCCGATATTAGTCCACAAAATATTATATATATATATGATTGTATAGTTCTGTATAGTTCTTTTTTTAATTCTTAACTGTGCAATGATGGCCGTAGTTAATGGAACTATGACTGTAATGTCGCGATTTGAAAACACTATAAAATGTATCGTTCTGTATACTTAAACGCAACAATGCAAGTGCTCTCGTCTGGGTTTCACAGAACTTGAAACATCTATTTTTGTATTCAGTATTTATGTTTTGGGGTGTCATAAGCAGTCTGTTTATACTCGTGTTCATACTAAACGTCTCCAAGTACTGTGCGTATCTACTTTACATGCAAATCGACCTTTGCAATCAGCAATCCAACAAATAAACTATGTAAATCATGCGCATAAACTAAACTATTAATACTAAGTACTATTAAATACCTCGTGAATTTTTAATTGTACACTACCCTCGCGACAGACTTAATTATAAGGCTTGCCATAAAAAAACACCCCAAAGTCGCCTGCCCTCAAAAACGTTAACTACTCTAGTAGCTTTTCTGAGTTTTAGTTTCCAGTATTATTTTCTTGCATTACCGTTGCAAGTTGAGCAGACAAGTTGTTTCTTGAGTGGAACGACAATAATGACATAAAGAACGACAATAATAAAGGGCGACAACAAAGGACAATTAATAATGACATTTTTAACTGGAACGCCAATAATGATATTTTGAGATGCAACAACTCATAGTCCAAAACAGCGTTATGATTTCGAGTCATATGTATTTGGCTTCGTTCGACCGATCCAAAACGTTTCTCCCGGACGGGTTCAGATCGTGCCGGTAATGACAAAATCCAACATAAAAAGTGATTCGAAACGTTCGTTGTGGGAGACGGCGCGTAAGTTTTCCGAAGAAATGCCGTTGCAGGCAGTAAGGGGAGGACATTGGTGGCAGTAAGGTGAGGACATTGGTGTGGTCTAAAAGAATTTAATTTGAGGAATGACCGCACATTTTGAAGCAGACGGAAACATGGTAAGATTATAAGAGCAAAATTTATTTCGAATTTTACCAATATATATAGCCTAACTGTGGCACATTTTTATCGGTACGAATATATTATGTTCTGCTTCAGTACGAAGTATAAGTAATGTATTGAATATTGCAAATTTCTTACGTTAGGTGAATTTCGTACATTTCGAACTAGACACAAGCCGGGTAAAGTTTGGTTAACAAAAAAATCGAGATTCCGTTTATAATCTTTGATATAATTATTATCTCTCGAAGAAATACTACTTGCACTCGCACTCTTTATCAGCTTTGCCTTGCGTTTTCCAGTTAATGAACAGTTGTTTAAGCGATAATCAACATAATGGGAGTCCGAAAAGGCCGCAGTATATATATAGTCTCCTCCAGTCCTGTAGCTTGTCTTCCAGGCACCCAACAGATAGGTTTACACCTCTAGAACTTTCAGATCGGTAACCTTTGGGTCATGCCGCCGGCGGTCGCGGGGGGGTTTCATGCGTACCGCCTATCTAATGAAAAAGTTTACATAGGAAACCTTTCCAGTGAATGAAGAGTGTGGAGCAGCCGTATTTTCATACTTAATTTACCTGCAAAATTCAACCGCGAATTAACATAAAACCCGATAGACACCCCAAAGAAAAAACGATGCTGATCCAGCACTCAACACACTCGCACTGGTATTCTGATTCGCGAAAAGGGCTTCCAAGCAAACCAAACGGAATCCCTCACATTCTGGAACGGCAGCACCCGGAAGTGACATGTACATGCTAGGCAAACACGCAATACACAGTTTGCAAGCAGGACATTTCGAAATACTTCTTAAATAATATAAGATAGATATTATTACATCTTAATCTTTCATGCCTTAAGTCAACAATCAGAACGCAAAACCGAGGAGTAACGAATATGAACATACCGTTAACACATACAATATTTGTGATGCTATCAAATTTATAGTATACTATCTGCCATAAAAATTACAGTAATGGTATTGTAATTACTTACAGTACATGTACGCTAATTATCTCGTACAATAGTTTGCGAAGTATACTGTTAATGGCGGCATGGTCGCGGCATGCCGGCCGGCACGCCGGCCAGAATTTACCAAATTGCCATTTTAGGTGCCACATCCTCTTCTATCACGGCCCACTGATTCTTTTACCAGCTTAAATTTAACAGCTTGAAAAATGTTCCGGGAGTGTACGGAAAAATAATTAATAAAAAGGTGGAACTAGGAAGCTGACAGTACGCCGGTATGTATCAGGCATCGGTTATACGAGTACGTTAATTTTGGCCCTATCCTGAGCCACAAATTGTTTCTCGCAAATCCCAAGCTAGTTCCCGTAAGCAGTTTATTATTATTTCGGTGGGCGACCAACGATTCTGAAATTTTGTTGTGACCATTGTTTGCAGCTTAATAAACTTTTAACTTTGTGGAAACTACCGTTGTTTTATTGACGCATACAGATACACTCTCTGTATCATACGGTACATTGGGCCATTTCGCTACTCACTAGCATTCTGCTCACGACAGGCGTGCTCAGCGGCAACATCATGCACCCGTTGCATCGACGTCGCAGAAGCAATACGGCAACTATACCGGCATAGCACACAGTGCTACAGTGTGCAACATGCAATAACAAGAAAAGGCCCGTGTTGCATGTTCAATTGATTTGTCAGCCCTGCACGGCAAAACCGTCGATTTCATATTCATATCCAGTGTAGAAGTTTTACAGGTGAGCCATACGAAATAGATCTAGTGGGTATTTGCACAGTGCTCGGTTATGACCAAGGGGGTGTCATTCGTGGGAAAGTTGTGCTGTTTGCCATTTGCTCCAATTATTAATTGTAAATGATGATCAGCGTTTAATTCGTTCTTCTTTCGGATTCTGTATCGATTCGGGAGCATCGTGTGTGCATTCTCAGGGATCGCGGACCACGATCATGATCATTCATCGATCGCGAAGGTTCTTTCTGTAATCTCTGGCATATCTGTTTTCGATGAATCCGTTTCAGCTTTAGTTAACGACAGAGTTTGGAATTTAATCTTGATCAGTGCGAGCTAATTCGGAACCAACTGGCATCTGGATTAATTGTTTGATTTCTTGTTGTGTCATTAGCTCGGGTAAGTGTTTGTATCTCTAACTGCTGTCCAAGAAACAAGAGTATTTTAATTTTTTTTTGTATATGAGATCGGCGGATTTTTTTCTAACCGGCATTTACTATACATCTGTGAGGTGCGAACTTGGGCGACCAGTTGCAATGAGAACATTAATTTAGCACCTTCTTTTAGCTTAATAAGGAGTTCCATCACGTGCTGTTTTTCATTGCAGTTTTCTAATGAATTCTATCCGGTTCCAAGTCAGGGATATTTTTGAAATAAACGAACAACTGTAGAGCATTTATGCACATATTATACAGTAGTTCTTTGATATTGCGTACTGTTGCTTAGTGGCAGCATTTGCAGTTTCAGCAAACCTTCTCTTTCAGAATTTCGACGGTTTTCGTGGATTGTATCTCTGGAATATTTTGTGCTCTGATTTGTCCGTTTGACTCCATTTTGTCTTTTTCGGCTGACATCAGAACCAGAGAGGACGCAACTTTGCCTGTGCATACATTGGGCTGCTCTTTGCGTAAGTACAATTTTTTTCCATTTTTTAAATTGTCCACAATGTCCAGCGCTGGATTTTTGCGGCTATTTTTTGTCAAGTGTTAGGGAAGTTCGTCGTACAATAAGTCATTTGTAATAGCGTTTGTGAAAGTGCTGAATGAGGAGTTTTAGTCCGTATTTTTAGAGAATAATGAGCCACATTTTGTCAGTTTGTAACACTTGAATTGGTTTGTGTGCGACTTCGCATCCCTCGTCAATCGTCCCATGGATAGAAAATGCTGATGCTGGTCGGGGAAAATGCACTCCGTTGCATAGTGGGCAATAATCGTGAGAATATGAAAGTGTATCGAGCCTGTTAGGTGTCAAGTTGAGTGCATTGACTGTGACGGTTAACAACAGAAGCTGACATCGGCTGCGCTTGAATGTTAGCTGATTAAACGTAAATCGTGTTTGCCGGTTGGGTTTTTATGTCAATATTTGCCTTACGAGGACTACCTGTTACCTGTCATTGATGTGCACCCTCGCCGCTCAATAACCGCGTTTTACAACAGTTTCCTTGTTTTTTTCTGCAGGAACATGGGTGCTCGTGTGTCCCGTGGCGATTACGAATGGGTGTACACGGATGAACCTCACGCCACCAGACGCAAGGAGATTCTCAGTAAGTTGACTAACCTAGTGCTTAACCACTGACTCACCCGGCGGGTTTTTCGTCGCTGTTTTATGGAAATGGGACTGCCACGCAAGTTTTCTTTCACATGCCACTAATGTCAGTCGGTTACTCTACAGTCTACCGAATACGAGTACGCTGTTTCTGCATCCGGTTGTTTACCACTGTAAACACTGCTGGCACTCACAAGTCAGTGCTGCTTGTGAAAGTGCTCAGGCAATGAACGGTGTTATTCTTGTTTGGGGCCGTTCGCATCTTTTCGTACATATACCCTGGAAATGCTAAACAGGCGTGCATTTGTATTATAAAATTGATAAGGAAATAGTGATGCGAATCTAGTTTTGTATACGCGTTTTTGTGCCTATCAACGTATTATGATATCGAAAAACATGGACATAATTTTTTCATTCTGCACTGTTATTAGTTTGCATTTTTGCACCTGATTATTTTTGCACTTTATTTTGATTATTTTTGCACCTGATTATTTTTGCACCTGATATGATTCATCATTCTTGTGCTTGATGACCGACTAGATAGAATTTATGAAACCGTTCTTGAATGAAGTTATTACTGGAGAAATATAGACTAGCAGATAAATTTTGACAGGTCACTACACTCGACATTTCATTTTCACCACCGTTATCAGGTTGCGATGCTGCATAAACTGTAATCGAATTCGTAGAAGTTGCCGTATCGTACCTGTAACTGGGCTGCTGATTAAGCTTCGGCATTGATCCTAAATTATACTTTGGCACCTGCTGTTTTTGATCGCTTACCTGGTTAGGTTTAAATTAATCAGTTTTATTTTGCAGGTAAATATCCGCAGATTAAGAAGTTGATGGGACCTGATCGGAATTTGAAATATATTGTAGTAGCAATGGTGTTGCTGCAGCTAATAAGTATGCACATAATTAGCTGCTGCCTAGTGCCTACTAGGCACATTTTTTTAGAATGAGTTACAGATAAATTTTTTCTTGCTTAGCATATTTTAACACCATGTCTGACAGCTTTTTCTATTTTTTCTTTCAGCATGCTGGATGATTAGCGTCAGTGATTGTTCTTGGAGCACCATCTTCATATTGGGCTACTGCTTCGGCGGGGTGATCAACCATGCAATGACACTTGCTATCCACGAAATTGCTCACAACCTCGCATTTGGACATGGCCGACCGGGTTTGAACCGAGCTTTCGGCATGTTTGCCAATTTGCCCATCGGTGTACCCATGTCCATATCCTTTAAAAAGTACCACTTGGAACACCATCGCTACCAAGGCGATGAAATTCTGGATACAGACATACCCTGTCTGGCGGAAGCCACGATTTTTTGCAATACTCTTGCCAAAGTGTTCTGGGTTATACTGCAGCCGTTTTTTTATTCGCTTCGCCCGTTTTTCGTCAACTACAAGACGCCGACACGGCTTGAACACATAAATCTGGTCGTGCAAGTCTCATTTGATGTGGCTTTGTACTATTATCTTGGAGCGAAACCGCTGGTCTACCTTATTGCTGGCACTTTGTTAGCAATGGGTCTACATCCGGTTGCGGGGCATTTCATTTCAGAGCACTACATGTTTTTGAAAGGCCATGAAACATACTCATATTATGGTCCGCTGAACTGGGTGACCTTCAATGTTGGATATCATATGGAGCATCATGACTTCCCGTACATAGCGGGTTCTAAGTTAGAGCAGGTATGGCATGGTTATTTTTGTTTTATCGATTGTGAATTAATGGTCGGTCTGCTTTACGAGAGCCGGTTCCAACCACGCTTTGTTTTACCGTATCAGATGGCAGATATCTCTTACTTTGTTATAGTCGTTTCCTTTCAGTTGTTTAATTTAACTTTCTCTGCGGCGTTTGGAGGCAGTTGATTGAGCCTTATCGTTGAGTGCTACCAGTCTACCATTTCTCCGAAATTTCGAATAAGAATTGGCTTACACGAAATACGTAAAATGCCGGTCCATTAATTCCTGAAATTATACTGTATAGTTATTTTAAATACAGTACTTGCATTACTTGCATCTAAAATTTTCGTGGGTTGTTATAACTATAAAAAATTCTATAATTATGAAAACATTACGAAAGACTTACAGACTGTTTTTATTTCATGAAGTTAGAGATCATTTAAGCCCGCTTTCTGAATTACATCGTGGGGTAGCTGCTGACTGCTGTGCGCATCATTGTATGTAAAAATGTTTTATGAAGCACCCCTCCGCATCGGTAATCGTCAACGTGTTTTTATTGTTGAGTCATAAAGGAACCTCCGGAGATTCACTATCGCTCTGAGCGTTTATGCTGGACATAAACTTTATCGCGTGCAATAACGTCTGTTGATTTAGGTGAGACAAATTGCACCGGAATACTATGACACACTGCCACAGTATCATTCCTGGAGTAAAGTGATATACGACTTTATCATGGATCCGGATATTGGTCCGTACGCTCGTGTCCGTCGTAAGAATACCATCGGTGGGGATGGTAATGTGGACGCCGTTCCCGAATCCTTGACTGCACCAAAGAACCTTGTAAACGGATGCGCTAAAAATGGACATGCGACGGGTAATGGACACTGCAAAGAGTTGAATGGTATTCTGGGGGCGCAGCGCAAAGTAGTCAACGGAAACGTTGCTCACCAAGACAGTCCTGTAAAGAAGAACACAGAGGTGAACGGCTCATTAAAGACTAGCTGCCTTAATGGATCGCTAATGTCATTTGCTCCTGTTTCCGGAAGTAATGGAGATCATTAGCGCTCACGCCTCGGTTTCTCAAGTTCCTGCTTATCACTCTCAGTCTGATTACGTGTGATATCTCGAGAATATCAGTAACTGCCCGTAATGGAAGACTACTGTTGGATCTCGATAATTTAAGAAAATGGGTAATTAAGGGCGTGTGTGTGTTTTGCGTTTTGAGTGCTCATTACTTGTTGTTACTCAATTAAGTTTTGCTTCACTTTAGACTTATGGTTCCTACGTTATTATTAAAACTATCTTAATTTGCCGATTGAAAGTTATTTGATCGCCTAATTCAATCACGGCGTATACGCACCATTTTATTAAGTGATGTAGCATTAAGGAACTGCATCCGAATGGTTACTCAGCCTGCAGTATTACAGTAGTCTTACAGTAGTCACAGTTTAGTGTTCCACTGCCTTTAGAAACTTTCCGTGATATACATATAATCTTCAACTTTCGACTGTGTGTTAACTGTAGTTCTGTAAGTAATGGAGTAATCTTCAACTTTCGACTGTGTTAACTGCAACTGTGTGTCTGTAAGTATGGTAATGTAACAGCCACAGGTCACCACCATAAACATAATTTTTTTGTATTAGGTTTCTACTTCTACAGGTATTATGCTCCCCCCAAAGCGATCGATCACTGATAATCGTTGTGGACGTTTACTATCTTTACATTAACACTGTTGTATTTTTCATTACTTCAGTAATTAAGTACATGTGCAGCATTTATGGTCATACTGTTGCCGTTAGTGCAATATCTTTAAAGATTTAATTGTTCGCACATTTAGAATAATTTACGATAAGAAGTGCAAAGTTTCGGCGCCGCAATTAAGGGCAGCCGACCATCACATCACAGTGGATTTTAAAAAAACTAAGTACCCACTACCCAGGTACTGTACTGTAAATATAGATATATGGTAGCTACTAGCTATACTTTACTGTGTTATAACCCATAAGTAGAATGCGTGAATACCGAGTGTCGTCCCTGAAACCTTGCACGATTTTCGGATTCTGGACGCGTCATAATCTTCAGCACGAGTAGTTGTGGTATGGCTCCAAGTCAAGTGCAAGTTGACCCATACCGCGGGTATATGTAAACCAGTAAAGGCGGGCTTTCACTGTCAGAAGCATTGCACTCAAAACATGCTAATGCACAAGACAGCGCTACCCAGTATCCACGTGCATTGCTGGATTTTCTGCCAGTTTTAATCGTCATTGTGACACTGCCGTCGCCGACGGGACTACAAGGGATACGGGGTATGGCGGCAGAATTTGTGGTTTTGTAGTTTTAACTTTTACCTACTAGAAAGCACAATTGAATTTATAACGGCCGCCAGCAGCATTTCTGTCTTGGTACGACTAATAATGCAAGTACTGCAAATTTGCAATCAGTTATCATACTGAATTTGGTGACTTATGATTTATGGATACAAATACTCATCTATATACTACTACCATTACCGTCCTGTATCAAGCATCTCTTATTGTTGGCGGTTTCTGGCGATTAATAATCATTCTGACGGTTTTAATTTAAGAATAATGGCGGACAATCAGTTACTTGAACCTGAAGCTCAATTAAACATCCAAGTGAAAAGTACGACAAATCCCAACGAAATTTGGCATTTCCCTCATAAACCGTTGGCATCCGAAGAAACCGACTTTCACTATTTACCACGCGCTTTGGAAGTACCAGATTTTCACGACGTCAAATTCGACAGCGTCGTGCATGCAACACACACGTGCTACAAAAGTGTTATTCTCAGCCAAAATGGTGATGCTCACTTCAAACCTCATCCCAAAAGAGGATTCGCACATGATGAAATGCTCAGCAAACTTCGGTTTGTATGGTTTTCCCCATTGATTTCTGATTATGAATCAGAAAAAGTCAAGGAGCGTATGAGAGAGCTCTTAACTGCTACTGTATGGCATTATATACCAGACACCATGAAAAAATCGCCACAGGAGCTCTCCGACAGTGCGTCAACCAAGGAAAACGAGTGGAAAATCCAAGAAACCTGTCGGAATCTGCTTGATGGCCCCCGTACAACATACGCTGCAAGTCCAGCCATGCTTAATGACGAATCCCGATACGGCCCGCATGGTTTCGTTATCCCGTTTTCTGCCGTTCTTGCCAGCGTCGCTGCGTCCCACGACGTACCAGTCATGAGACTGGGATTTTATGACATGGGCACCTTCGCGTATCAGAGGGAGCGCATGCACGTAGTTCTTGTTTGTCCAAAGGGGGTTGCTGAGAAATATTCTTTCAAGGAGATCACTAATAATAATGATGAATATGCCTTTTTTGGTCTTCCCCAATGCGGAGCGGACTTGTATCATTGGTACGTGCGCTCGACAAAAGATTTTGTGGACTGGCATCCGCGTCCATCCGATTACGCAATACCGACCGCACTTGGTCTGGCGGGCGCGCCCTTGTCGGCGGCTGGCATATCTCGGTGGGAACATCTTTCCTTTGCCTGCCTTGTTAATCCGGGCCAAGAACTGGTAATTCCCAAAAAAGATTTCAATGAGAAAATTCTAAATCACAATTTCTGCATAACGAAGAATCGCTTTCCATACAACAAATGCCCAGATGAAAACCTACTGCCCCGCAGAAGATCTGATAGCGTTCTAGAGGTTTCAAATAAAAGACTCCAAAGTGCAACGGTCGAAAAACGTCAGAACAAGGGAGATAACGACAGACACATACTGCAAGTGCAAGCAGTCCAAGGTAAGTAATAAACGGTTTAATAGCATTGCTAGATTTACCACTTACTGTTATATTAATAGTAATAGTAATATGAGGTCTAAATATGTGGAATATTTTTCCAGAATATTCTAAAGCAGAATTATTTAATATTTCGCCACTTAAATTTGTTTTAACGTTGAAATCATTTTCAAATTTTTCTGGTCAGTTTAGTAATTTGCAATTGAACAAGAGTGCTCACATTTAGGGGTATTCACTTTTCAGATGAAAATATTTGGTACTTACTGTTTTACGACCCGGCTTTAAGTATGGAATCAACTATTTAGTGAATAATTATATTAAAATTGTTTCCTTCTGCAAATATCACGTACTCCGGTACTCGTGAAGTTGTAAGTGTTCCCAAGTACGTGTAAGGTCACCTGTTATTCTGTTCTTTTTGCTGCTAGTTTAAGTAGTTATTATTGTGGCAGTATCTCCGTTGTTTTTTAATTTCGGTCAGACAATTGATTTGATATTCAAAATTTTCTCAACTTTTAGGCGCGGCCCGTGCAGAAGACCAGGATCCCTTGTTACCCCGTTTGCCAAAGAGATCTTTGCCCGAGACCTTTGATGAGATTACTAGTAGCTTTGACAAACGGTACAAGCCATAGAAGTATGAAGTATAGTACTGTACCGTAAACATTATCGAATAATCATAATCGAAATCATTACTAGTACTGCTGTTACCATGATTTATGAACTCTCGTACCTTCGAGTATAATAATTGTCCTCCCTCATGGTGCATCCTTTTTATTACCACTGCAAATACTATCTTTTTACTTACCTTTACAGTAATTACATACAGTACATAATAAATTCATTTTACGAGCTGACATACAGAGGTGTATGGGGGCGCAGCCGGATCGTGCACCGGTACCGGCAGCTGTGAATGGCTTACATGTTAGTTTAATACTATATTGGAAATTCGACAGATTGTTAATTATGTTTATGTACTGTAGTACAAACACTAAAAAAATACAACATATAAATTCTAACCTGCGATTCTATAATGTTATGTAGTAATGGCAAGAGGACTGCGCAAACTGTTGACAGCGTGCAAGGACGTCGCTAGCTTTTCGGAAGGGGCGCACGCCGTTGTTCTCCTGGAGCGAGAAGAATGGCGCCGTTGCGCCATTTCTCAATTTTCAGAGTTTTATACGGGAATTTTTGACAGAGACGCTCAAAATGGTACAATATTGCAGAATTAAAGGTTAAAAGGATCATCATCTTGACAGATGTTCAACCAGCCATGTACAGTCAACAACGCACAACTGGAGCGCAGCCATCTACTCTAGCTTGATGTACTTCATCGGCATAGCACAACTGCAAACGGAATAACATGGACAACAAAACAAAGTCATCAACTCATCGTAAAATATGCAGAATTTGTAACCTATTTGTATTTGCCACATTATTCACATATGTACACTTTCAAATGAAAACAGAGAATCCATTAGAAGCAGCGGCTCGCCAACCAGCGAACAGCGCATAAACCAAAACGATCGGGCATGAAGTCCACTGTCAGAGTAACAAGTCGGTTCGCTGACGATTGTCACATAGCTGTTGCACTGAGACTGCTGAACGTAAGGGAGAAGAAACGGAAATCAATCCAGAAAAATAACAAAACAAAGTCCTCAACCCAGTCTGAAACATTCTGTACTAACAAATAAAACAAAAATCTCATTCCAATACAATCCACTATTTCGAAGTCCCACGGTCTACTCATCCGCCTTTATCGATTTCGGTCCGATAACGATCCATCTTTCTGCTCACCGGATGTAATATAGAGAAAGGCAATTTGTGAAATAGTCACAGTTTTCACTATGTCTCCACTGGTCCATCTTCCGTGGGTGTCCATATTCGGACAGTTCCATCGTCCGACACACTACATATTGACAACTTAACTTTCACAACAAGTACCGCCTACCGGCAAGTCGCCATTTTTAAGAAGTATTTTTGAACGAAGGTAATAACTAATGGTAAGTAGGTAACAGAAAATTACTGAATCACAAAAAAAATAAAACTGTCACGCGAAACATGCTCGTACTACAGAACACTACTAAGTATTTACAAAATAATCCCGTTATTCGAGTTAGTTTCGTTACTGATAGTTAATATTAGTTAGGTATTCTAACCACAAGGTATTCGCTTTGGTAAATCATTGTAATCCCGTAATAAGCAATTACTCAACAATCATAAAACAAGGCTAGCATCAACCAGTGCAATAAAGACAAGTAGTAACTTTGCGGACTTCTGTACAGCTAAAAGAGTTACGTCTTTTACTTGTTCTAGTTGTGGGATATTTTAGCTTTAGTTTAAATAACTTTGCGTGCGGAAGTTTCAAATAAATCACCGAAGCTCAGTGATTAACCTGTGATTAACTGTTCATTTTTTATCTGTATTGTACATGCGTTTTATGAAATAAAACTTCAAGTAAGTACCTCGTACTATCTACTCTACTCCATAGTCAACCAGAACAGGGCAGAGCAACATGTTAATATTAAAATTATTAAATAAGAATGCCACACACACCTTGCCAACATAGAAGGGCATTCCGGATTCCAGTGCACACAATTTACAGTCCTTGTGTGTCCGGAGAGAATTAATACGGGATTTTCTCTGGCAATGTTCCAGATATAAACTTTGTTGTCTAAAAAGTACCATTACAAACCTTATCAATGCAACTGCGTAATTTCTTTCACCTGGCTTATATAAGTGCTATACATATCTGTACCTTCGCTTCCGCTTGCCACGAACTTATCTTCAACTCCCCCAAAACATGAGTGAATTGTAAAATATCCTTGTTGCAATCCTTGGAATTTTCTTAGCAGGACTTTATCTTCTAAATCCCACAAGTGGACACCTTGGCTGGCCACATTCAGTAGGGCAAGACGGCCAGTTTTATCACAGGTAAATGATAAAATTGACTGGTCCTCTTTCAACCTGTTATTAAGCAAACGGAAAATGTTTGACAGCGAGAATAATATCAAGAAAACCTACGGATTCATCGAGTTTTTATAAAATGGCACATCGAAATTTGAAACTATCGACTTTTATATTCCCCAGTAAGGTAACGAATACGTACATATTAGCAACAAAATAATAAGAAGCGTACAACTTGATAAAAAATAAACTTAAGCCATGTCTTAGATAAGCAACTCACAACTGCTTGTCCATGACGTTAACGAAGTCGTACTCTCTGATACGATGGTGAGTATCAGATGCCAATACTTTGCCATCATCACGGAAAGCCAAGCCTTGCACTCGAACACCTTCCCATGTATCCAACAACTTTCCATCAAGATCCTGAAACCAAACGGAAATATTGCCGGTATTTCTTGACTAATTGCTTATTCAATAAGCTTAAACCGTACACAGATATAGAACTGCCCCCGCGCGCCACCGGTAACGAACTTCTTGCTATCCTTATGCCAGGCACATGATGTGAGGCTGTCTTCGGGGAAATGATTCAGTTTGCATCGCTGTTCGCCAGTCTAAAACAAAACAGAACATTAACAAACATCTCGTGCTCATAGTTAACAGCTATCGCAGAGCAAACGGTCATGGTTATGTATGGCACGAGTACACTATTTGCCAGCACCGCTTAAAAACGAAACAAAATTAACGATTATGTTCACCGATCTTTTAATACTGCATACTTCTATATTTGACAATGTGATGTGACTATATGTCAATGACAGTCCAATACAATATTACAATATTACATTTGACAGTATCAATACATGTTATCTAAAAGCAACACTTTCTAAAAAAAATTAACAAAATACAAACTGTACAGAATCATAAAAATCGGTATGTCAAGCGTTTCTCACCTCTACACTCCATATCCACAATTCATCTGAACTATCATCGGGGCCACAGGCAGCTATGTACAAATCATCGGGACTCCATGCCAGGTATGAGACACCGTAAGGATGATCAGAAAGGACACGGTGAGAGGTAACCCTTTTCGTGTCCTACAACAGAACGACATTAGCATTTCAAACATGCAGTAAATACAAACCAATCTCGTAATATGCTGCTAAATGCAGCACCGTATAAACTTGCAGACAGGAGCTCACCAAATCCACATCCCAAATAATAACTGAATTATCTTTGGATGCGGTAGCCAGCTTTCGACCATTGTGTGAAAACCGACAAAACCACACTTCATCACGATGATCATGCAAGATCTGAGAGGTTTCACAAGGAAACAGTTCCCTGAAAATTACATGTTACAATAAGAAGACAAATATACACAGACAAAACAACAGCATATAAGAAAAGAAGCCAAGATTTACATAATGGAAAATCATTATTTGTACATTTCAGAAAAACTGAAATTAACAAACAGACCAGACAATAAAATTAACGATCATACTTGTTGCAGAGATGATCAACCAACAGCGAGACCCGACTTAGAGCGCGTGACTCCGATGGAGTATTATGAAGCGGACATCGTTGCACTTGCAGTTCCGTCGCCTGATCGAGCAAAGCCCGCAATCGACGGGGAGGAAGCATAACCGATGGTGGGAGAAAAGCTGCCGATTTCAATAAATAATTAGAAGTACAATACTTTTGGGAGAGCAACTAAATCTCGTACTCTGAAGGCTATCCATTAAGTTTTGACGCGACACGAATCCTTTTCCTGGCCATCCAGCAACGGTACATAGTTCGTCTTTCCCGCGGGTCATCAGACAGCTACAAATGCAAGAATTCGCTCAAAGCTACTCTTTGTCAAAAACAGCACGAAATGCTTTACCGGAAACTCCTTTTACCTCACTGTCAGAAGATCTACATTTACTCACTAGCTTAGCTCGTGAACACGGTGTGTGTTGTATTCCAACGGCGTCAATTCATAGCGCAAAGTATGCAGTGCCTCCAGTATTCGCCCATCTTGAACGTTCTCTAGATATTTTTGTTCACGGAGCAAAAACTGCATTTTCTACAACCGAAAACGTAACATTATATTACACGATAATCATGATGATAGCTCTCATTAAAATCTACAATGGACAGTGGACACCACCGGATCTGCTCTATAGCGTTCTGCCCTTATTTGCCAATCCTAATATATTTTCTCTCAAACATTTTTGTCAAACATATTTAATTTTTCTAAAACTTCTGTTTGAAAGGTACCGTCACCCCACTATCTGTGCACTTAAAACACGAAAAAACGTGTAATAATAGTAACTGATACGGTAAGCCGAGATAAGCAATCAAGTAGCTAGTACCTTTTGGCCACCTGGAGTGCTGACAAGAGGAAAAAGTTCTTTCAGCGATCGCTCTGCCTACAAAAACACGAAATCTTGTTTACAAATTTCTATTGGTCATCGCCAGGACACCATATCATACATCTTCCCAATTCCCATTCATAACATTTTCCCGAAATTTCGATGCACTTAATTGCTCCATCTGGCAGCCAGATTCTGCAATCAGTGCTTCCACCGTTTTTCTGTGAAAACACTAGCTATGAAAACCACGAAAACGCAAACAAATTAAATATGCTTACGTCAATCCCAAGCTCTGCAGATGCTGCCCCATCAGTCGAATGATCTCCTGATCGCGTAAGGAGAAGGTTCGAAAATCCACCTTTGCTTTCATCGCATGATGATGTCCATTGGACGCATGAACATGATGTTCGTCCACCACACCGTCTCCTTTGCCTATACCATTCCTTTCGCCTTTGCATTTGCCTACGAAGCTGCGAGGCAGGGCTTCAGCACGCTGATTGCCCTGATCCAGCACGTCACCCGTCGCATGAGAATGACCGCCATCCACTTCTTCTTTCAGCATTGCTAATGCGGATCCACTTATCAGCAGACGCTGATAACCTTCCACTGGTTCCACTTGGGAGGAAAGTGAACCAGATGACTGGACGGAAGCACCAGTAATGCTGCTGCTTGTCCCTTCACCACGCAGACGCTTCCGAGGTGGGACGCGCGACCCTTCCTCGTCTTCAGAGCTTGGAGCGGATATTTTTCTTGATTCCAGAGTAACTAGGCTAAATAATGCTCGGGCTTTTTCGTTCGCTTGCGTCTGCCTTGGCCAGCTGGTCGCATTCCTTTGGAGCACAATTCCTGACTGAACGTGAAAAAGCCACGAAGTCGCTAATCCCGACTACTGTCTCTTCTTAGACGTATTTCTGGTTCTTTTTTACGCGAATTCTCGATCTGGGAAAAACAATTTCGGGAATTTTTAAAACATTATTTTTTGGATTCACGTGACTAAATTTGGTGTGGTTAGCAGCAAATGTTGTCGCGAAAAGAACCTGATCATGCAGCAGCTTGTTTACATGTCGCATGAGTTGCAAGCACTGTATGATACGATACCATCTGCAGAATAGAGCTACGGATTTGATGCCTTTAGCGCACCATTTTAAGAAACCACAACACTGAAACGAATGATTACGTAGTCGTTTTACGTAACCTTACCTCGGATCCGAACGTGTACGCTTCTCACTTACTGAACGGCAAAACAAAACTGCTACCAAATGCAAAACTCTGTAACGCTGTAATCACGAAAAACAAAACAATCCACCATTATCATTTCCTTTCTAACAATGGCCCCGCAATACTAACTCTGCATAGTCAGTGGTGCTGATGACTACGTATAGTGAATCAAAACACTGATGAAAAAGCTGGCAGGTTTATCGATAAATGATCATCATGTTTTTAGAGAAAGACGCACTCGTACGTACAGTACTTGCTACGCACTCGTACTTGCTCGCAGCTGCTCAACTCAAACGATGTACGACATCGACTTGCCATTAAATTTTGTACTAACCAGTATTAGCTGAACTACGGTTGAACTTCATTTTGATCCTGCTGTAGCAGACAGTATCCGGAATCCGGATGCTATCAGTGGCGTACCAGTACAGTGCGGCACATAAAAAACATTTAATTTTTTCTTTTGTTACAGTTGAGAATATTTAATATGCAACGAAGAAAGCTACAGCAAAGCTGCCAAGGAAGAAAACAGTTACTTAAAAGACTTTAAAAACAATCAACACTGCTTACTTAAAGCTACGTACTTCATATAGTAGGTACAATAAAATTAACGAATGCAATAAATAAAATATTACGTTATGTACAGTATTTTATTTTTGTCTTCAATTTTATTTTATTTGGAAAATATGTTTAAGTGAATAGGAGCGCTTGTAAGTTGTATCTATATAACTACTGTAGTAAACTGACTGCAGTTATGTAAAGAATTCGGCCGTCACTGCTTCAAATAGACGATCCTGTTTGATTTTTTCAATACTTCTACTGGTAGTTCGCAGAATAATTTTGTGCAGTGCATGTTCATAATAAATTTCAAGCGCACAAATAACAGTTGATATACTCGTCAGTGTTTATAGAATATTCTTTAATAACAAATTATGCGCAAAAATATTTGGTTTCGCGCTAGTAGCGTATTGTACTTGCATCTGCAGCAGTATTGCATCTGCGTTAATCAAGTGTATAAACAAAACCAGGTAAAAAATTGATATTTTAATTACTTAAATGAAACTGGCGGGCCAGAGCAATTCCGGAAGCTAACTGTTAATTAACTGGCATTTACCGCCTGCCGATAAAAATTACTGCAGTGATGGTAACAATTCATGGCTTTTTATTTTAACTCATACCTGTAATTTTCGTTTACCATCCGCCATCGTGGGATATAATATTATATAAATTATCAGGTACTATAGTAATACTGCCTAGGGTGTTGAAATTAAAATGACGCGTGATAATAATATAAGGAAGCATGACCGTAGTAGTGCAGGAACCATGGCTTGTAGTGCAAGTATGCAAAATTCGGAACGTCATGCTTTCGGCACCGTGTTTCCAGCAATCCAGCTGATACATGTGGAAAGGTCACAACTACGTACTTCCGTAGTTCAGCTTGCATGATACTCCAGGCGACAAAGAACTGGATGAAGCAAATATCCGCGTTGAATTTTGTAATGGGTATGGCACCTGCCAGTGCAAGCAAATAATTTTCGATTTTAAAATCGAAATTTTCGTTTCAAAATTACTGTAGCAAAATCCCATTCCTCAAGTTTCTAGAAATTTAGGAAACGAAAATTCATACGACTTACAGGTATCACTGCTCCTGTGTAACCGCTTTAGATTGTTTTAGTTTGGAGTTCGTCCCTTATTCATGAGAAATTTTACAAATATAATTTATCTTATATTTTTAGTTCTGCAAATACTTTTTGTACATAGATAATAATTATTACTTACTTTTTGTACAAGCTGTACCCGCAATACAATACATACGGTATTTGGTCACTTTTGCATACTTGTATACCGTACACGGTACTAACCATAAGTAGCATGGGTAGTAGTACAACTGCAATACTTGCATAAACCCACTGTATAGCGATACAGATATACCTTATATAAATATATATAAAAATACAACAAATATATTTATACTATATTGCTAGACGCTAGTCACGCAACCGATGCGAAACGTCACAATAAGATTTTTTTCTTGTAGAGCAAGCAAGAACAATTATTTAAAACATGGTTTAGGTTACATATGTATTGTGCATTGTACAGTACATAATTTTTTCTATATAATTTATATACAGTTGCGCAGGTCCTATTACACTATGCATATGATCTCTGAATATTGCATGGGAAGTGTGGCTCTTTATTTTTTAATGATGTTTACCACACTTCGTAGTCCGCAGCATTGAAGTACTCGTACCTTTCTGTGGTTGCGGCTAAAATCACAATTAAAAACTTTGCTTTAAAATTAGTTATGCGACATAATATACATACCAAACACATACTGCGTTACATATGTCATAAGTTCATAACTATAAGTTCATAACTATAGCGTATAGCGTTCAAGTGAACGTTAGATTCAAAATTGTGCGGTAACGGTAACAACAAATTCTGCATCCCTTTTGATAACTGTAAGTTGTGGCTTATTCCTGTAGTTAGACTTCGGGTACAAAACAATAATTACCGAAGCGTACAAACTATAGTTCGGCGTGCCGTATCTATATCTATATTAAGAATACAGTATCATTAAGTACCCGGTAAAGCAAACCAATGCTATAACGATAAAAACTACCTCGAGCTTGGCACTGTTGAGCCAGCATCGTATGTTTGATTTGTTACAAAAAGACCATCTAATGGCAAAGCGAAATGCTAAATCAATGGATAAGGGTTTTTGCAAATTATAAGTTAGCGTGCAGGTTCCGTATCGTTAATCACGAGCCAGCCCGCGTAAACCAGTGGCACTGGTGTGGTTTGGCGAGAAAGTCAAGTCAGATCGGCAAACACTACACAAGCCGCTTTTGCAAATGATATGTTTGTTTTTAACCTGCTGGTGTAGTCTTGGTGGTTACGATATGGCCTTCCACTAAATATGTCTGATCATGACGTTTGTAACCTCTGTCTACGCAAATGAACAGTTTACAGCGTCGCTGCTCGTCATATGTATCAACAGTTCTCTTCAAGGCTTCCAAAGTTAAATTTTTAATTGCGCTAATCCCTAAACGATTTGCCAAGAGACTGCCTGTGCTACACGAAAGATGTGTCTGCGTTATAATTCTCTTGTAATCAGCATCCGGTCGCCGGCCAGTCCCATTAATGGATATCCCGTTATACTTCATTACATTGCAGCTGCTCGCATTACCGATTCCGAGCGGGTTTAGCGATTGTTCATCGTTTGTCTAACAAATCCTATCGTCTGACACCAATCAACCGGACAACGTCTGATTCTGTGCTTCTGCAACCCGTTGCAGAACTGAATGTTACTAATATTATTCTATCTGTCGGAAACCGGGAGACTGCCTCATGTGTTTCCTGGCGTGCTTCGTTAATGGTCAAAACTACCGTACCTTGTTCGGATTTTGTTGGTCAAACCCTGTTAAGAATGAAGTTTTTTTCAAGATTCTTTTAGAACTTGTTTTTTAACGAAGCAGGTTTAATTAGTTGACATCTCCAACCGCCGCCGATTATTAGCTGGAGCCGTTTATACTTCATGGCAAAAATTATTAAATTTGGGCGACTGTGACTTTCACGCTCGTCATCGCTCACGATAGTACGCGTACATACGTACCTAATTCCCCTTCTGCATTTCTGGAGTCTGTTAGCTGTCAATGTTTAATTATTCGTACTCTCGTTCCGCTGTTTGGATAATTAATGTCCCCTTGGACTGGGCTTTCTAAATCTTCGGATCGCACGGCCAGCGGATTTCCACAATGGACTGGTGTTTTAATTCTGCAAGATGTTTTAAACTGTCTGATCTTCTGATTTTGTTTCTATGCGCATTTTCATCCGTATCGCAGTGGACAACACAACCCTCTGCGTCGGCAGTTACACTCTCTCCTACAGCCATTGTTTGCCCTCGAAACTGCGATTCATCACTGTGTCATAAATATTTCCGTGGTTTGACATTGTGTCCTTGTTGTATGGCGAAAGAGCGACATCATCCAGATGGCTTCTGCCGCTTTCTGGATAAAATCAGAGCGACGACAGAGTGCTTGCAGGATTATACCTGCTTTGCCCTTCGTGCTGGAGCAGAAGGCGACCAGTTCGCTGACTTTATCAACATGCCGGTAGCGTGCTTAGGTATGTGCCTGCCACTAGTGACGGGATATAAATTTCCGGTTATTCGAACACATTTTTGGTCACACGGATTGACATGCAGTAGTAGGCAAACATTTTATATTCCGTGGTACCATACCCATCATAAATCTCCCCAGCGCGAGTCAAGTTGCTCTTCATTTAGGCATAGTTAAGTGGACCTCTCGTCAGTGTCCGGATAACCTTGGTCAAAAGACAAACTTTCGCCGTGTTCAATTTTACGGTAGTTTTTTTATGAACTCAATGCTGCTGGCAGGAGCTGATAATGCAGTTTAAATCAGCTTCCTGCCATGGTTCTGTTTTCAGTTTTACAGGAACACAAAAATTATTCCAAACAAATAGCGCTAATTGCATACTATGTACAACAAAATCTCTCTCTCTCTCTATATATATATATATATATATATATATATATATATATATATATATAGATATATAGTACGATTAGTAGCATTCACATCAAGCTGAGTATGGTTCTCACCTTTTAAAAATAAATGAGTATTGAGTAGTATCTAAAATTAGTTTAATTAATCTGATATAAATGGAAAAGGTTGCTTATTTTTGAGGCGGACGACTGCAACAAAGAAAACCACAAAACAGGAAATGCGCATAGAAGTATGCCTATCATTCTTGCGAATAAAAGCTTGAAATTGTGAATGTCATTGTTGTGCTTTGCGGCTGACCAAAAATTAATAATTTGTAAAATGATGCTATTAAGAGGGTATATCAATAAAGAAAGTAATGACACAAACGATCGCAACCATTTTGGAAAGAACAGTTTGAACAAGTAACAAAAGTTGCAGCTTCGTTCTGGTCGCTATTTTTTTAGCTTGCATATACTTATATTGCATGCGTCGTATATGTGATCCCTCCTTGATTTTGAAGTATGACAGCTTACGGTACATCAATATTTTAGAGCCAGTGGTCATCTCCAATTGTCCGAATGTCGAATTTAACGGGAATCCCTATCCGTGGAAATGCAACTGCTCTGCCATTAAGGATAGCCGCGCAGGTTGCAAATGTGAGCAGGCAAAACCATCATCAAATATTTTGGATAAAACTCAAGCCTTTGACTGCTTATGTAACCGGAAATGCGCAGTATCCCACCGGTTGCTCCCCAAGACCACATTTATTGACCCATCCGCTTCAACAGGTACAGTGTAAGGCAGCAAACAAGCTTGTATACGCATGTACGCGCATACAAACTCTTGCTAATATCATTATTATTTAAAAATATCTACCGTGACGACTAGTACTGTTATAAGTAACAACTTCATCACACCGCGTTATCCGTAAGCCACAGCACCTTGCTTCTGCTCTTTCTATACAAATTTACCGTTACAACTTACAATTTGGACAACAAGTACCATTCTGGTTAATGAAGAAAGTTTACCGGTTTGAACAATATTATATATGCCGTACACAAATTTGCAATTCTCGTTGGCACTTTCCAGTTTCCAAAATTTTTCAGAGTGGGAGCATTCCCATTTCCCGTGATACTATAATACATTATAATAATTAACTGGCTACTAGCAGCTTCTAAAAATAAAATGTCATAACAAAACACATTTTCGTCTTTTAATTACGGCGCTATACTACAGATCGATCGATCGATCCGTGATTTCTTTTGTAATTTTAGCAGTAGATGGTATAACAAAAAAGGATGTGCTGTGAATATTTTAACTACGTGACACAGCGGATCACGCAGCTGTGGCATGTGAAAATAAACAATTCATAGAGCTCTTTGTTACCTAACTGTCTGCATTTAACTTTTAAGTACTTAATAAAGTCATCTTCCAACGGTGACGCCGGTAAGACTATAGACTGGGCTTACATACGTACCTGTACTTACGCTGTTATTAACTCAAAACCTTGGATAATGATTTCTTGTCGGCATATATCTAAGTAGCTGCTGATAGCTCTGTGCACAACAGTGAAACTATGGCACCGATTTTACACCACCTAGTTATTCTGCCTAATTCTGGTAATATTAAGTATACTGGTAGTAGTGGTAGATGTTTTAACAATTAGAACTGGTCCCTCATGCACATGCTTGGCTTCTGTTTTTTTGCTATCTTGCAAGTTCTAATTACTACAGGGAAAAGTCAGTGGGTGGGAAAAATAAATCAAAACAGTTGTGCAAGCTTGTCTGCCCTTCAATTCACTTTCCGAAGTAGTTTGCATTACGCTTTAGTTGAAAATAGCAGGACCATCTAGAAGTATGCATAATTGCATCACGCGTATTAGCACAAGTGCATGGGGCAACGGATTAACCAATAATTATTATGCCCTTAATCACATGAGAAAGCCGAACAATCCAAATGTGAATACTTGTACTGCTTTAAATGGTTCTGTGGTGCATGATCATGGTCATGGATTCTCAGTACTGCTGAAACCTAAATTTTATAACCACAAGATCAAAGCCCGTGGTACATGAAAATGCAACTGTATTATTGTTAGCGGCAACTACCGCAATGGCTAAAAAACTTTGCCGCGCGTATACGACCCGAATAGGCTGAACGGTACCCAGATTATTTTAATACCGGCCGGCATTCTCTTCTCACCATCACTCGGCATGCATATGCTTTTGATCATGAAAGCACCGATTACATAATTGCATAATATAGGCGTAAGTATGTTTAAATAAAAGGTCCAACAGATATTACACTGTCTCAAGATATCAGCTTCGGGGTTTGCTAGTCAAAATCAAACGAGCTGAGTAAACCGTAAACGAACACGTGAATGAAATTTACATGGGTTTGCTTCGTGCATAATTGGACTGCGTGAACTTTGTTTACTGCGATCGTGGTGCGTGCTCCATTGTATGAAGACTAAAATCTTTATGTACTTATTATACAAACTTACAAGGTAGATAACCTCTTAATCAGTGACAAATTCAATGTCATTTGAATCAGAGGTATTTAGTGGCAGTGTGCCGGTTTCACGACTTTTATTTCTTTACTTAAGCGGAGTGTTGTAGCAGCTTATAGTTAAGTTATTGAACCCATACGGAAAATGGTATTAATTTACCGATTGTAGGCGGCTGACAAATTATACAGTCTCTAGTGTGATATTTACAGTCATCGTTTTCGTATTGCTTTCTAATCCGCATGTTTTATTTATATACACTGCATTACTGCATACTTTTCACGCTGTTATGGTGGCTCTTGTTAAAAAGATGTGATATTATTCTGAATGTTTCGAAATATCGTTATCTGATCCGTCGCCATAGACAAACAACCATAAAACGATGAATATATGGCACCTACGTCAGGACGAGAAGGTTGGACGGATTATAACGCGAATCATATGTGTCCTTAAGTTTCTATCCTTCTACGATCGGATTCCAGTGCAAAACATTTTAAAGCCCACAATAGTATTTCATGTTTAAGCTGTTGTAACCGCGCGAAAGGCATCTTCGCCAAAAGTACGAATGCTCATGATATGCTGTACAACGGAGATGTTTTATGAACGGCACGTCGATCATAACTTGTGTGACTAATCAGCTGATGTTGTCGTTTTTTTCCGTTTGTTGATTTATCAGCGAGAGAACCGCGTATCTGCAGATACACTTTTACGGGATAGACGGACAACTAACTGTTTTGATCCAGTGGAGTTTATTAAACGATGCACGCTGATTTCTGCTTCATAAACTGCTGTGTGCATTTTTGCCGCCAAAATGATCTCGCGGTGCTCTGATCACAACGTGCTACAACTGCGTTATAGTAAATTGTTGTGTGTTAGTATTTACACCATCGTTCTCATATCAGATTTAATTGCCGCATCGAATGCGCGCTGTCCGGGTGATTCTCAGTATCTTCCGGAACTAGATATATGTCAGTGCTATCCCTGTCCAGAACAGCCATTATGCTTGTTCGGTACACAGCTAGATTTATTGCAAACAGCAGAAGGAATTCCTGGACGATGTTGTCCAGATTACGGATGCATCCCCATCAAAGGTTAGAAGTGAGAATACTCAGAATACCCATTGCGGTCTATCGCGTAATATTATTATGCCATTTTTGCATGTTGGCCGGTCTCCTTTCTTATGCACGGACATTAATTTTTTACTTTGTTACGTTATTTATTCTTCCATTAGTGCATTGTTCAAATTTCTACACGGTTAACAAAGTATTCACAGAGACAGGGTAAGATGTAAGAGAGGGGCGATGTGTTTCAAAGCAACCGTAAATAGTTATTGTTTTCTTGTTTATTGATATTCCACTTAGTGATTTGGCTGCGTACGGCTAAAACCAAATTGTTTTAGTAAGTCCTGAAGATTAATCGTTCATACTTAGCAATATCTCTTGTGTAAACACGATATCGTATTATATTAATGCTGTGTCAGTTTATACATCTGATAACTTTTATAATCAATCATTAAGTAATTTCTTTCGCTGTGCCGGAGGATACTAACTTTGATATCCATCTTTTAATGTATGATAATGATATTCTGCAGCTCGTAAGCCGTTGCACTGACAATTTTTTTGTATATCTGCATTCTGCCGTAATAAAATAAAATCACACGGCCGATTTTTTGGCATGGTAATTATGCCAAACTATGGCTGTACAATCTGTCGTGTGCCATACGTTTCAGTATTACATATGATTGATTTGGATTTGAGAATTAATTTGTAGAATATACTGTAAAATCGTGAAATATTCTGCAAGCTATGTTTTGGACTTTTCGTGCTTGGCAATATAAGAAGCATATGCGTGGGAAAGTAAGATGTCCATAAACACAACACTGTATTTCAAACCGAAAGATCTTGGTTATTCCTGTGTGTAATTGTACATAATATTTATCTTTTCCACAACTGTCCGAATGGCATACAGTTACGGTTTTGAACTGCGGATGCGCACGCAACATACCATATATTATTCGCTTTTAATTTAACCATCGGTGCATGTCCATCAATGTTTACGGACAGTCTGTTTGCAATACAGTCGTTTCACATAATGGTAGTTATAAGAATCTTTGCTCCTTGCATTGGCAGTTCAGGGTGAACAGTATGGGAAAATATTGTGTAATGCTAGGAGGGTCTTGATGGTGTCGCCGATTGGCATTAGCAATGAGTAATGACCTTGTGGTCATAATTTGACGGAACCGAAGCATTTTGGAGGTCCATTTTTAGTATCTTATTAGCTAATAAAACTGATTAGAAATGTTATTCTAGTGACGCGTTATTCTAGTGCAATGTCTATAAATTATATAGGGCTCAAAAACGAACAATTACTGAAGAAATATGAATATGTACCAGCTGACAATTCGCCACGGATTTTATCCTTTATTAGCTGGTCTTTTTAATTATTTGAGTTTAAATCCAATATACCCAATTGACTGCTTTTAATAAGCTGAGCAGTCTTCGAATATTTTAAAATTTAATAATATTGTGCAAAGTAGTCCATGACCACAACAGTGTACGTGTCTCTTTCCAACTGCGATTTAACTTTCTGATTTTCTATTAGGTTAAATTGTCCGCGGTGCGCTTTAAAAAATGCTACGCCTGTGCCGCGATTCTCAAGCCATTCAAACAATGTTGTTTTTCCTAGAGCACGATTGCACAGGAGTGACTTGTCCACCGGAAAACATCAGCTGTCCGGATGACAGTGTATTATTGGCAGGTGTACTGCATCCGGATCAGTGCTGTCCTACACCTTCACGGTAAGGGTTCTATCTTGTCGGCAAAAGTGTTATCAAATTAGAGATGACCGCTGAAGAATGCTCCATCCATAATGAGGGCTCTACTTGCCATTGTGTGATTTTGTGAACTTCGCTCACATAAACGGAACGCGAAGTGATGTTGTCGCATTGATAAGTCACTTCAATTATCGGCTGCATAGGCAAACGCCTTTGTTTGTCAATAATGCGAACTATTTCAGCATTTTGCAATAATCAAAGCGCCGCGACACTGTGGAGGAATTTTATTTTCCCATTACAGATGCCAGTGCAAAGCCAAATGTCCACCGACGGTTTGTCCTCGGGCCACTAGTATGACAATGATTCGGCGCGCTACCCACGCACCCGGTTCCTGCTGTGATCGTTTTGTGTGCACTAGTGTGCAGCAGCGATCTTCACGCACCAATGGTACGTTCACACCGGGCAGTCGTAATCCAGTAATCCAAAGAATGGCGTATTTGCAGATTACTGCAACAAAATAAGCTTTCTGGAAAAATTAGGTTATAATGTTTGGAGTAATATTTAAAATCCATGCTGTATTTTGTACTTTCACATAACTGGAATATATGGAAGTAACACAAGGATTTGTGCCTGCTGTGAAAAGCAGTGCGCAAAATTCGCATTTGTAGTAGCGTAGACAGAGGAAATTTATTTTCTCTACGCTTTTCACAGCAGCCACATGGACACAACCTCGTACCATTCTTTTTTAAGTAAAAAGTGCGATTGTTTGAAAATTTTTTGATAAAGTTTGGCATGTCTTTTAATATTGTTTCGTAGGCCCGTATTTACAAATTGGTTTAAACTATTTCAAACACTTGACCACCTAAAGGGTGCTTGATGAATATAATTTCCGTAGGGTCTAATCCATGAGAAAATATAATGATGTTGACGGCTGTGCATCTATCCACCTTGTCAAAGCTTCTTTAAACAATGACAATACAATCCATTTCATTCTGGTTAGGTTTAAACAAATTCAAAGGCTAAATATAAACAGTGAAGCTCTAGATTTTGCAGTCCACTAGAACACGTCACTTGAATGTAAACATTATAGGAAACCGAGACAGCTGACCAAAAAAGTGCATGGGAAACTTAAGTCCGTTAAGTTGTCTCATTAGACGGTTAATGCCGGTCACCTGCGTCGGGTGACGCGATTAAAATTATTACTTACACATTTACTGTACAAACATGCATTTACCCCCGGTATCGACATTTTGGCCCAAGTGAGCTAATGCTTAATGATTGATTTCCGGATATAAACGGTATAGGTTTGCGCTGTTGACATTGCTGATGGATTTGTTCTAGATAGTGCTACTGATCGCTTAACCTGCCTGTATGACAATGAGGAGTACATGGATGGTGAGAACTGGACAGATGGGGACTGCATCAAATGCCAGTGTAAAGGCGGGATAGCCTTCTGCAGCCACGAACAGTGTCCTAGATTGCACTGCGACCAGCCCATACTCAAAAAAGGGACATGTTGTCCTTCTTGTGATGGTAAGCAGTAAACTTAGCTACAACGAAAGTTTTAATGCAGGATTTCGGTAGCGGCTTTACTACCAGCACGACGCAATAAGGGCGAGTGATGCACTGGCGCACGCATACAAGTGTAACTGTAAAATCAATTAGTAATTCATAATAGGACATTGGTGCACATGAAGTTTTGTATAAGATTCATATACGCTGATATGTCATAATGAGATGCGAAACCTACTCTAGTACTAGATTCGTAATTATAACTTATACCCTGTGAGTGTTCCTTGGATTTTGTTTGACCCTCGGATTTCAACATTTTTTAAAAGAAGTTGGGCGTTACGGTGGTGAAAATATTATACTTAAGTGATTAACAAATCACAAAAAATGCCGCAAGGGATAGGGTCAGTGTAATACAGGATACTTCGCTCCAAATCATTGCATGGCGCCATGGCATAAACCAATAGTAAAAGAATGCTGCTTGATGTTGTATAAAAGTTCTTGTGTAATGAATTTCAGCGTAAGTAAAAATTTTTAAATGCTCTTCGGCCACAGTATAAGTACCAGTATCAAAAGCAAAAATATGTAGAGAAGATTTTGAATACCGGATGTGTGTCAGTATACGCTGACAGGAGGCGTCTAAATATCCACTTAAATATCACTAATTCAGTCCTGGCTGCATTAAGTACAATATCTACCTTCCTTCAATGCAGCTGCGACAGCTTCAAATAAGTGGATTTTTAAGAACCTCTTAATTTTCACAATACTCTCTTTGCTACCAATTGTAAGGTTTTAATAGGGTATTAAAACTGCCGACAAGAACCAGTTTTGCCGAATCTGTGCGTAGAACAGTAAATTATTTATTGAGCTGATATTTAGCCTATGCGGCAGTCAAGAACAATCCGTCAAGAACATTGCATGCTTCAGAAATACGGGTGCTAAGCAGTTCGAAATAATTATACTCAACAAGCGGAGTGGATTTAAAGTAGATATACTAGGAATACATTTATCGTAAATTCTACGGAGCCTTTGTTGGTATTAACTCCATAGAATTTTTATTACTTTATCAGGATGCGTAACGGCAGCGGGTGTCACACACAAAGAATTTGACGTCTGGAAGGAAGATGACTGTGTGCATTGTTCATGTGAGAACGGACAAATTCGCTGTCGAATTGAAGACTGCCAAGCCAATTGCCGCAATCCGAAAAAGATTGATGGGCAGTGCTGTCCAGTGTGCGACAATGGTAAGATGAATAGTAAGCACGTAGACCCTTTTTGCTGCAGTTACAATTTGGATTATTGTTGCCGGCGAAGATTTTTGCTTAATATGTATTTATACTGACAGATGATGTGTCTTTCGTCGCCTTTCCAACAAACTGTCCGCAGCATAAGTGCGAAAAACTTTGCCGCCACGGTTACGTCAATGACTCCAATGGTTGTTACAAGTGCGAATGCACAGTCGGTAGGTCCAAAAAGTGAACCATGCATGACAAGGATATACAATGCGCGCCGCGCTTGTGAAAATACTGTATAAATAAAAACCATTGTAGATGTAAAAAATATTGAAAAGTGAAAATATTGCATATTTGAAATTGCAAGTTGTCATTGGGTTGTCAATCTTTTTGCACAAAATTTTATTTTTTTGTGTAACCGACTCCACAGTTCTTTGTGATATTGATCTGTGTTGCGGGAATTTATTTAGAGTATCTATTTTGCATACATATGCAGTATGCATTCGCGTGCACGAAATTAGATTGTTGTTAAATGCAAATCTCGACTATTTACTAGCGATACTTCCCGACCGAGAGCAATGAACTAATTGTATTCACACTTCTTCCTCCAGAGAACTGCACACTAACATGCGAATTTGGCTACGAAACCGACACGATTAGCGGAGAGGCCACATGCAGCTGTTTGCGTAATACGGTGCAGGAAGCGCGTAACCTGATCGGCAACATCAGTGCCATGTGTCCTAACGCCACCAATTGCACGGACACTTCGTGTCGTCTCAATCATGACCAGCCGGATGCCAACGGATGTCCACGTTGTGTATGCGATCGATGTCCCGAATTCCGCATCGAAAAATGTCCTGTTGATTGTATTCATGGGTATCAGTACGATGCGAAACAGTGCCTGACGTGCAACTGCATCAGTCAGGATGATGCCGATGATCATCATATACTTACAAGCAGCACTGATTCTGTGTCGACGAGCAGCTCCATTTACATCGCCTACACATCCTCCGAGGAGAACTTAACACAGTCGACGACATCTTCATTATCGGTGTCGGCCAAAACAACACTGGCCAGCCCGCTGCCGGAAGCAGCGCTGCGGTCGGTGTTATGCGCTAATGGAACGGAAGAAATGCATCCCTGGACAGAAGGATGCCACACTTGCATATGCTATAATGGAAGAAAATTGTAATGATCTCGGCATATATACATGTAGTAGCGTCTGGCCTCTTGTTTTATCGACCGCATTAATTTACAGGTGTGATGTACAGTTTTGCCAGAAACCAGACCAAAAGAGGCCGGAAAATGCATCTGATCAGGAATGCTGTGATAATATTTATGGTAAGAGGAAAATAACAGCCAAAATTTTACTAACTGCGTTTCTATGTTACGTAACAGCAACATCTCAGAATATCTGAAAATGGTAATAACAAATTAAACACCTGTGATCATCACAACTACTTGACATGATTGAATTATATAAAAACCGCAAATGTCAAGATAATTTGCCACTTGATTATGATGAGTATTGATGGAAACTAAAAGCCACTTTAGTGGTGCGTAGTTGTTGTAGCGGTTCATAAATTGTCAGGGTCTTCTGCATTTGACAGCTTGACATACTCTGTACTTCTATCATTGAGTGCAAGTTATGTTTGTTTCAAAATAACAATAGTCACCTGTAATCAAAAGAAGCACTTGATTACACATTATTTGCAAAATAATTAACATGTGGCAATTTTAATCGGTTCCCCTAAGTTGAATTCTTAAGATAGGCTGTTTAAAAAATTCCCGCCGTTCTAGACCTATTCTGCGTAGGAGACCTGAATGTAACGTGTATTTGCACACTAGTACTTGCTTTTTTGCTTAATATTATTAATCAGATGTAGTTGATTATGACCGTACTAATGTACACTCGTACTATTGTTAAATTGAAGTGATTTTTCCAGGCTCGCGTTCCGAGTTTTCTCAACCACCAAAGACGTTATGTGAAGCCCTACCGGACGGGACACCCATCGGAGATTCACACTGGCTGCCGATGAAACTTTGTGGTACCTGCATCTGCCAGAAAGGCATTATATACTGCACAGAAGATCCATGCCCTTTGGACGTTTGCAACGGCACGTTGGTACAGCAGGACTTCGCCTGCTGTCCATCGTGCATCGACCACCCAGAAAACGACCATTCCACACAATTGCCCGCAAACCATCGAGCGCAGACGGGTTGCCAAACGCAGCAGCAGACTTTCCCATCGGGTGCAACATGGTGGGAATCGGCGTGCCGATCGTGTCAGTGCATCAACGGTGCGGTCCAGTGTCAGGAGGTCCAGTGCAGCAAACTGGATTGTGACCTTGCTATACGGCAAAAGGGCAAATGCTGTGACACGTGCTTGAGTAAGTGGAGCCATGGAAGACAAATATTTTGTCGTTCCACTTAAAATACCGCTGCCTGCTAAGAAAAGATTACTGTTGCGTAATATCTTATGCTCAAAAACGCATAGGCGTTGTTATTTATCACCATTCAGAAAACTGATCTGGCTGTAATGAATTTCATAGCACTGCATTGCGGCCTGTGTTGAGGTTTACATGATTGGTCTTAGTATGTTGTAAGCGGTTGTATTGTGGTGCACATCGGGTCGTGTAATAAGTCGTATTGTTTTTAATAGCGAGACACCGATTTCTCCATCAGTTTGCAAATCTACTGGGAAATTAATCAATATTGTAGGCGTATTAATTTTACACCCACACTAATGCATAAGATTTTCATAGATACGACACTCGATGTGGGCTGCATTTACGGCGGCAAAACGTTTCGAAGCCGTGATCACTGGAAACCATCCGAGTGTTCATCGTGCGCCTGCTCCGACGGTCAAGTTATATGCGAGGAGTTGAACTGCCTACCATTATGCAGAATTAATAGCCTTGGGCCCTGCTGTAACGGATGCAACTTTGGTAATTTTATAGAAAATAATGTATTTTTATACGCTTCCATAGCAAATAATGTATAGAAATATAAACTAAAGAAATTAATTTTACCAAGCATAGTTAACAATACGAACAAGTGTAGTGAACGCATGACGCTTTAGACAGTTCTAGCAATTCTTAATTCTTTGCACAAGAAACTATGCAGTGTATTCGCTGGATATAACCATAAGTACTGCATGCAGTGCAAGAAATAATATTTTTATTCTAAAACTAGAATAATCACACGAATGAACAATTGAACTTCTGTTAAAGCATGCATCGACAGTTTTGTGAATTTGACAATAAAAGTACGTTTTAGTGGCCTGTAATTATCCAAAATGATTACGCATGCGTATATATGCATATACTGATCATATCCTTCATATGGCGTTTACATGTGGGTACTGATTCAGTCCATGTCTTCGCATTTTACGCTTTCTACAAATACAAAGTACTAATTAATTAATTGTTTTCACTTGTAACGCCATTTTTTATAGAGACAAAACTGCATACGAAAAAGGTCAACGATAATACTAACGCATCTCCGACGGAAGCGCCTTATCAGGCCGAGTGGATGTTCCCCTTCTTCATCATTGTCATTTTTCTCATAATTATCCTGATCGCGCTTTTCTTGCTGGTCAAGAAATGCCGCAATAAGCGAACAATTCTGTACAGTCGACCGGAAGTGACGCGACTGGAGTCACCTGATACGGCCTCTTCATCCAAAGCATCCACATTGCACAAACCTCAGCAGAGTTCGTTTTTCTTTTCCGTGAAAAAGAATCAAGTACCGGTGTGATGCGGAAACACAATCCACAGCATCGGACGCCGTTCCCTCGGCTTCTCCCTGTCTTTGACAAGCTTATTGTGATTAATTGCCGCATGGGTGCTGCCTGATCGGCCGGTGCGTGCAGCCTTTACAACTCAACTAATACCAAGCATCTCTCCCAATTAGGTATATAGTTATTATTACTATTGTTATTGCTGCTATGAGCTGCATCCTGAACTTCAGTTTTGGGGTAATCAGACATTTTGATCTCATCTTCTGCATTCGACGCGGGTTGGGTTGAACAGACATGGCTATTGCATAGCTCGATGTCTTGGATAAAAAATGAGTAATATTCTTTATTGAAAATTCTGCCTAAGTGTGTCTTTGGGTGCAAAACTGAAATGCCATGCAGCGTAATGTTTATGCTCTGTTATTATGACCGTTTTCTCAGCAACTGAGATTTTTAACGATCATGTACATGGCTTGTTCTAACAAATAAATTTAATGGCAATAAAACTGACAAATATGCTGCACGTTGACTTAGTCTTTACAAGAACATTCAGCCGCCGTAATCAACGATTTCGCTGGTAATAAATTTACCACTCATAAACTGTGCGCTTCTTTCACGAACAAAAAGCTTCGATACGCTTATCGTTTACGATGTGTTTTCCCGAATTTCTCTTTTTTACAGCACTAATATAATTTGCGCATAAAGCACGGCTTGAATTACGGATTCACATACAGTCCAATCAAAAGTCTCGACACAGTGCACAAACACAGGCAATCGCAAAATGACTGAAATCTGGGTGAAAATCCACATATTTACGGAAGTGCGTTACTTCCTGAAGACTACGTCAAACAGAGACTTGAGCATTTCCGTATCGCAGACACTATCACCATTAACCATACTGCTTCAGTCGCCAGCAAATGTACTGGAAGAATGATCCTGCTCTGTGGCCTTAATCTCGTCCTTGGCACTCATCAATAACTGGGCTTCCTCGAAGGGCACCATAACTCGCAGCTCTTTCTCGGTCATCACGTCGATAATCTCGGGAATTCGTTGCGGGAAACATGCTGCAGCGTCCATATAGACCGCCTAGGCAGAAAAGGTTTAAATTATAAAAAAAATTTAATTTTCAACAAAATGCAACTTTGGTGTTTTTAAGTTTAAACTGTGCCACTCTATTCATCTGCCGCAAAAATGTCGCTGAAATTAAATCAGTGCGGCATCAACACAAAAACCTATGGAAAATGGGAACATAACCACTATTAAACAGAAACATTTTCTAAAAAAGACAGTACACTTGGACTCTAATAGTTTAAATTAAAAGTCGTCGATGCTTTCGCTTACCTTTGCCCACGGGCAGCTCTGGATGGCCCGATAATATATCCCTTCCGCACGAGCTAAGTTATCCTCTTCGCATTCAAACTTCAAATACATCCGCCACAATAATGGACAATGTCGGCCAACTTCCGATGTCACCGCTCGTTCAAAAAGCGCTCGAATTTTGTGGGAGATTCCGGTGTCCCGAAACGTTTTCAGGGAAATTTCTAAAACACAGCCACAACTTTTCATGAGTAAAAGAAAAAAATTAAAACACTAATTATCTTACCGTCAGAAAATTTTTGGTCATACGCGGCATTGAGGTTTCTCCAGAGACAGTATTTACGCTCGTATTCAGCGTACACCGCAAATATCCAGGGAATTACGGTGGCTGCGTCCCGCACACTGCGATCGAAATACGCACGAATTCGTCCACTCACGAACGCCTTCAACTCGTTCTTGATAAAAACTGTCAACAAATACGGATTATCAGGAAAATCAAGCAAAGCATAGTGAATAGCATCTCGCACGCTTTCGCTCGGAAGCTGGCCATTCTTTTGATGAAACTGATTAAGCATCACCATAAATTCCGTCAATATCTCCCAGTCCATTAAATTCTTCTCGTAACCCACATCAAATGCGCTTCCGGGATGATTTCGGCATCCTGTCAGAAATTCGCTGAGAGTTTTCACTGCATTTTCATGGCCAGACGACAAATACTCAAACAATGCCCAACAAATAGCAACGTTGCAGCGCATACTACCCAGAGCGTGCAATCCTCCGGTCGGATCAGCTGATAGCGGCGGACATCCTGCAGCCAGGTGCTCAAAGGCTTTTCTGGCCTTCAGAACGCGGTTCCCGTGTAATTCTTCGGTTATGTTAAATGTAATTTGTCGATTTTCGATAAACTGCACAAGGACACTGAGGGCTACAGTCCGAAGGCTAGCATCTTGCAGTTTCGATCCATTAAGCAGTCCTAACGAGTTCATAACGTAGAAGCGCACAAGTCGAGCCAGAAGTAGTGTTTGAGACGGGCTTTTATCCGGGATGGTCGAAGTGAGGATTAGTTCCAGAATCTTTGATGATGCTAAGGGACTGTCTTCTAGCACGCCTTCCGCGAATGCATACCATTCCCAAATAATGAGATCGTTACGATTTTTTGGCTGTTTAAGCAACGTTTTGGCGGTGGTGCGTATGTCTTTCGCGACTGCGCTTTTTGATGAACCCGGTGAGGAAATAAACTTTGAGAGTTTGAACTGCAGGTAACAGGCAACCAGGAATGAGGATTGAAAACCTAAATACATGCATGCGATAGTTTATGTCATTTTTACGTCGCGCCACAAACATTTCTTCAAAGAGAATAAGAATGATACTGACCTTGAAGTACTTGGGAAGATTGCTCAAAAATTCCAACAATCAAGGTTTCCGAGTCGGCCCAGCCATTCGCAAGTGGCTGAAGTAAGGGAAGCGCAAAGGAGTCAGGCAAAGCACCATTTGCGTGCGCTTCCGACCAGTTTCCAAACAGCGTAGTCCATGGATTTTCCAGCATATCCGCCAGCATGGTGCGCCAGGCGCAACTGCGCGTAGAGAAGCAACGGGGAAGTGGACATCGGAGCACATTAAGACTGATAATCACCATAAAAAAGGTAATATCCTGATAATCAGATGACTGCAGATCAAGTGGAAACCGAAATAAATATGATTCAATATCATCGAACAAAACAACCCGCTCCGGATCGGTCGGTTCGTCATCGCCACTAAATGGGAGGAGGAAGCGATTCTGTCGGTATCTTTCCAGTTTCAACCACAATTCCATAACCGAAGACGAGTCTTTGATTAATTGATTTTCGTCACTATCAACGGAATTGTCCAGATTATTTTTCGGAATGGACTGATCTTTTGTTTTCATCACGTTATTCCATCCGCGGGCATTTTCTGAGCCAAACCTAGGAGCTCCGGAATCCCAAAACGGTTCAAAGAAGACAAGAGCATCTTTGATGGGGGTATTGGCAGCGAGGTTTTCCGGAAACCTCAGGTTGAATTCCAACAAACCTTGTAACAATCCTGTGGCCTTTTCGTTATGACCACTCTGCATCCAGAAACTGACTAGTAAAAAAATAAACAAAACCAGATGGTGTTCGTGATTAGGAAGCGGTGAATGCGACTGGAATGTCCCTTCCAGCATGCTGCGCGAGATCGAGATAAATTTTGGGAACAGTTTACATGTTCTTGTCACTTGGAAAAGAGGAAAATATGAGCGCTGAAATTCATAATAGGCTTTCCAAACAAAAGGGTCGTTTGGATACGTGAAGGCTAATTTTCGCCATTCTTTGGCCAACTCATCTTTTTCCCACACCTCCTCACAGAAATTCAGCCGGCGAATTTTCAGGTCTATGTCAGCAGGGTTTTCCGCGATAGCTCGCTCGATAATGGCAATTTTCCGCTGAATTAACCCGTTACGTGTCGATAATCCATCATCCTTGGATTTCCCGGCAGTAAATGCATTCTCAATGATATCCTCCTGGAAGTTTAAAAACTCCAGCCACAGACGGAGATCAGTTGGATTTTCACGTAAACGTTCATTAAACTGCACAGTACGCGCGCGAAATGGATCACTCTGGTCAAATATTTTTTCTTCAGCTGGAACGGACAATTCTTCTTCCGGAAAAGGCAGATAATTTCGACCAAACGGTACCACGTCGGTTCGCCTGGGAATCCGTACTCCGGAGAATTTCTTCATGAATTCCAGCTCAACTTTAGCATTAAAATACCTCTCCAAGGGTACAGAAAATTGCGAATTTTTTCTAGTCGGTCCCAACGTCCATCTGGGCGGTCGCTGGATTTTGGACACATCCTTCCAGTACGTTGCATCAAACGCGAAATTAATTTTCTCCGGTTTATCCGCCACACAAAAGGCGGTCTCCGCTGATAAACCAGACTGCTCCAAGAATTTAATTTTGGGTTGTTGCTGCGCAGGGTCGGTTTTTACAGTTTTAGGCGGCTGCGGTGGCGCTCGTTGGTTAGCACGGCGCTCCTTTTTCCGCTCGCGTTTCTCCGCCTTTTTGCGCTTTCTCTGCATTTTCCGCAGGCGCCGTTCTTCCTCTTCGCCGGATGAATACACATCAATGACATCTCGTTCCGATGAAGCCTGTGCTCGTCGAACATCCTGCAGCTGCGCAGTGACGGTAGTAGCATCAAAAGAGAAGCTCGGCAATTTACCTGCAGAAGAAATAAATTCGATAAAATAAATGCAAAACTGGAATAAATTCGATCACCATTCGAATAGTCCTATTAGTAATTTACCAAAAGGTTCAAGATACATAATTACGCCAACACAGAAATATGAAGTGAAACAACAACTGACTATACGTAAACTGCAAGAGAAAGTCTGAAAGACTGACAGGCTTACTTTTAGCTGGAATCGTCACATTTCCAACGATTTGAACATCGACATCCGGCGTATGCTGCTGGATTTCCGGTGTATAAATAGCGAGGTCGGGCTTTCTCTGGTCCGCAAATGCGGGGAAAAGGGACATCGTAATAACCTTCAAAGTTCAACGAGGAGAATAATAATAATAATTCATAAGACTAAAATGTGAAGATACGAAGAAAGCCAGTTTCATCCATGATCCGTTTAACAACCTCCATACAGGCGAGAACCACAGTGTAATACCGTCCAGGTGGAAAAGCAGTCACAAGATGAAAACTACCGCCGTTTTGAAAGGGAACGTAGAGCTTAAATCAGTTTTGAATAATGTTTTCCAGGCTCCCATGCAGCTTTCGCAAATAATGAAATATTTAAGCAGTTAAAAATTTGAAAGGGTCCAAAAATAATTTTTGTATGCTGCAGGTCTACTGACATACCCCCAGTGGAGGAGATTACAGAGCTGACAACAAACTGCTAGCCGGGGCGGCTCGTATATAGACAGTTACAGTAGTACCTCCTACGGGTAAAATGCACTCTAGATTGAATTTTAAAATTGCACGATTTCCAGTTGTGCTGGCGGCAAGCCGATGACAAAGATTCTGGGATTGTTAATTTCTTATGTTTTGTTGGCGATCTTCTCGCTGGGAGATAAACATTGAGGTTATCTGACAAAAAGAATATTGTTGAGATTTTGCATTACCAGCAGTTTCAGTTTTCGGCCACTGACGATGAGACTAGCATGCTGAAATACCTCTTCTGCAGCAAGAATTCTTTGGGGCAAGTTTGAGTTTCTGATTTGATTCTGCTGCCAGATGACCAGCAGGAAACTAAAAGCTGTGGGATACACCGGCGATTTGCCTGTCGATTTGGAGGGTAAGTTTTACATCCGATTTCGTACTTTCAGTTACAGTTTATGATTTTAACCATTAAAATTTAAATGATTAAGAGTACTTTTTGCCACTCATTTTTGTAATGTTTCACTTGCTGCAGCTGTTTGTGGTTTATCTTCAGATCCCGATGTTTACACGAACGTGCTTTCTTGGCTCATAAAAGATAAGCGGCTGCAATCACTTGTTCCTGAAGCTCGTAACAAGTTTATCACTGCATGCGAGAATGGATTAACAGTTGCCCTAGATGAGGTAAATTGCAACATCCCAAAGACTTCCTTAGACACTGCAGAAATGAAATACTATATCGTTGTGTAGTATTTTAATGCGGTGGGATGTCCCAGCACAATTTCTGCTCCACAGGAGCGCACCGACTGGCTGCTTAGGCAGCTGGTATCCAGGGAGTGCAAAACTCTGGAAAGCCGATTCAGGGTTTCGCACAACTACGAAAATGTCAGTATTTGTAAAGGTATGTAATCTTGAAATTTGATTTTTCTTTTAAAACCAAATGTTTTTTGCGCTATGACTAGGGCGCATCCGGCATCCTGTTCAAATTTTTTAACCTGCACGTGTGTGACGCGAATAGGGAACCGCCCACGGGCGTTCAGTTCGGAGTTTACAACAATATTTTGTACCTTTGCAGGTGATGGTGCAAAATTTATTGCAATAGAAGGCGTCATTCCCAAAAAACATCCATTGGACAACATGAATGGTAAATTACAGAACTTATAAGTATGATTATCCGTACTGTCGATAAGCGACAGTAGAATCTTCTAGGTTAGAATAAAGCGGATCCTGGCAAATGTTGCCGGTGTGAGACTTACAGTTGTCCAGGTCTTAGTTATGCTCCGTTAGCGGAACATTTGTTTCCTTCACAAAATCTGCCATTCTGTGACTCTTTTGTTTGCTGCAATTGACAGAAAATTCCCAAATTGTTCAAGCGGGGCTGCAGTCTCTCGCAAAGATGTTGCACATTTTTCCGGCTGAAGATCGGTCCAGGGTATTGGAAATGGTCGTCCAGCGCCTGGAAACGCTCTCACAAAACGGTCCTGTCGAGTCTAACGGAGAGCATGTACGGTTCGTTAACTTGATTTAATGCTCAAAATACTTTTTTTACAATAGTTATAATTGTATGTTAAAGATAACTCCTTTCCCGTTTTTTACCGTTTAGGGAAATGGTGCAACAGTTCCTCTGGATGCAATTCCGCTCGGCTTTGCTGTCGGAGGCATGTACTGCAGCAGGCATATGTTGGGCTTCCTTAATTCAATCATGTTCGTATTTTTGCAGATTCATTGTTAGAAAATGCCATGAAAGTTGTGCGGCTACTGCATATTGAGCAGCTTCGAGACCTGCAGACGCGCATGGATGAAGGTAGTTGTCTAAGTACAAAAGAATCACTCACGAATTTATTAGCTTTAAAACTACAACATAATATTTGTGTTTGAGTGGAACTGGGGCGTTTTGACTAGTACAATTTTATTTTAATTCAGTTGTCGTCGTACATTTCTCTATCTATTTGTAATTACTTTGTGTATTAAGTAAGGTCACCCTTTTGGTCTGATGGTTTAGTACTGGTTTTGATGCAAGAAATTACCGCCAATCCTCAAACGGATGAGAGACTTGGCAAAATTGGACGATGAGAACGGAATGCAATGGAATAGTTGTTATCCTTTTTTAAGTTTACAGCATTTAGGTAGATAGTTTGTTCGCCATTGTTATGCATTTCGTGCTGGAATCTGCTAACTGGCAGCAGATAATTGTTATTTTTTATGCTTATAAGCTTTTTTAATTCTTATTCCAGTTCTTGTACAGAGAAAGGAAAAAAAAGGTTTGTTGGTTAAAAACAGTATTACAAAATTTTTCGTCGCTATGACTAAGTGATGCAGAAAACGAAACAAAATCAGATTTTCAAACACGGTACTGCAAGAATGCGTTGAGCATGTAGTTGCGTTGTCATGTAAATGCACTGTAATTTTTGCTTCATCAACCAAACTAATTTCTGTAGACTGGATCTTCAGCGCATTGGTCTTCCGAAAGATTCTCAGGGCATGCACATTTACGTTGACCGTTTTGGAGCGGCAAACAAATAAATCTGCAGCCACCGTTGTCTCCAGCACAGCCGTTGGTTACTGCAAAGTACGATTTTAAGTTTTCAACGTCGCTTTTTCTTCGATTCTAGCACACAGATTTAAATTTTTGGATATAGTCACTTACATCGGGGACACTCTTCGGGAACGCTGGCAATGCCATAAACTTTTCCGCTGCTTCCGATAGGCAGATCATGAATATGCTTTTCGCTGCCACCTTTTCTAACGCTTATCACGTTATTGCTAAAAACCAAAAGAAAACCCTGAAAGCAGTACGCACTGAGGCCAGGCGAAACGGAGACTTAATAATCATGCACTACAAATATGCAAAGCTAATTTAATATGATTTACAATTTGCACAACCGCATTAATTTCACTGATAACTGACTTTGCCCAATCCGTCCAATAAAGCGTATCTTGATAAGCGGTCATGCTGAAAGGATACGAGGCTCCGAAAAACACCATGCGCCGGTTACTGCCATCAACGGAGGCACATTCCACCTTCTGATTTCCTATACACACGTGAAAACCATCAATTTGGGCGCTTCGAAAATTAAAGGTTGGGGCAGAAGATTATTGAATCGCACAAATATTATTATTGAGAATGAGAGAAAAAATATAAAACAATTGACTTACCGGCATCCGCCCAACAAACATCGTCCGTGTTGAGATCTACAGTCAAGGCGTTAGGCAGTCCCAGTCCGCTGTTAATCAGCACTCGACGGTCACTGCCATCCATGTTAGCCGTTTCAATCTTAGGGCTGTCACGATTCCAGTCGGTCCAGAAAATTGCTCTGCAAGAATTGTAAAACTTTTCGTAATGTTAATGATATTTGAAAGTTTAAATCAAATGCAAGCTCAAAAATTGCCGTTAAAGAGAACAGTTTCTGGTGTGTCTATCTAAAAACTAAACTAAAATTAACTCACCGCTTCATTTAAAAATTGAAGTATTCCATTAATAATATTATTGTAAACTACTTTGTTAATTAAAAATATTAATGTATTCGATTAACTAATTCAAGACTTAAAATTTTGTTGTCTAATTACCCTCGTGCAGGATGAAGTGCGATTGCTCTGGGATTGGAAAGATTTTTGCCAATGACTATCTTATATCCAGCTTTCACGTCGGTAAGTTTGGCCACGGCAATATGATCGCCAGCCGAATCGGTCCAGAAGATATTACGACTAATGGAGTCCACCGCGATTCCTTCGGCCGACATAACTGCACAGGAAATATTGCTGATTTACAAAACTAAAATTGTTTACAAACCTAAAATTATTTTATAAAATTATTTACTATTGCGCAAGACCGCCTCCGTGCCGGTTCCATCATAGCGTGCCTTGTTGATGGTGTGTCCAGCAATGTCCGACCAGTAAATGTTGCTGTCGGCGCAATCGACAGCAATACCGACGGCGGTCTGGCCTGGCAGAATGGCGACTTGTCCACCGCGGTCAGCCGAACTGCGGTCCACTGGCAGCTTCATTATGGACATTCCTTGAGTGAAAACCAGAAATCCTCCACGCGTAACTACCAAAGCTGCAATAGGCGAATTTGGAATAAATCGGTCAAAATAAAGCTAAATTAATCGGTTATTCATACCCATATAAACATAATAAACCGGTTCAGAACGGCTTAAAGATAGAGTGGGTAAGTGCTTTTTGTGTTTAGATTTGCGGATCGTCATGAACGATGGTTTCTAAATCTATCGCATTGAAAAAAGAATAAATTTTACGTTAAATAAATTATTAGCATATCAAATTCTACTGAGTAGGTATAGCACATCTGCAGTGTGATTGCGGAAGCAGGAAGATGGTCACTGGTCAATTTTGATACTTGAACTCGTACCTCTGCATGTTCGGCCATCGCCCTCGTAACCTGATAGACAATTACACTGGAAGCTGGCGCCATTTTTGACTGGAATACAGGCTGCATTCTTGTCGCACTGTTCCGGATGATGATAACAAGAATCTTCGCCCGGCGGCAGTCGACCATTTCCTGAAACCGATTTGATAGTTTATTTAAATGTGTGGCTTACCGGTTAGCCCTTAAAAGTTCCTGACCTTGCTGCTGTTGGCACGTTCGACCGTCGCCCACATATCCAGTCGAGCAGACACACTGCATCTGCCCTTGTTGATTGGCTTGGCAGCGGGCATTACGGTCGCATAGTTCTGGTTGGGCAGCACAGTCCCCAGCTAAAAAGAAAATAATTAGAAAATTTCTCTATATTTTTTGCAAGTTATATAATTCATTTTCAATGGTGTAGACAAATTATGTACTTACAACTTGAATCTAACTTTTCAAAAACTGATTAAAACCATGCGTTGTAAAATCAGATAGTGTAATATGTTCACAATATGCACGCAGTTTATATATACTGCATTTTACGCATCACGAAGTCGAATTTATTAAATAAATATGTTTGATTTGATAGATAGTTTGCTTTTTTCTAAAAAATTCAAAAAAAAGTACATTGTCCGCATAATAAAAGAATCTGCTTCGTGTACCTGACTGCGCCAGTGCACACCGATAACCGTCGCCCTCGTAACCTGACCGGCAGCGGCACACCTGTCGATTGCTGTACTGATCCAAGGTGCAGTCGGCATTTGGATCACAATTACCACAAGCATCCGCTGCAAAAATACAACCCACCTTATGCGCTGAAGAATGCAGAATAATTTTTAGTATCCGATAAAGACTAACGTTGTTCGGTTTCTCCGATAGTTCTGCAGTTGCGTCCGTCTCCGGTATATCCAGTCTGGCACTGACACCGGAATGATCCGTCCGTATTGGTGCACTCTGCATTTGGACTGCACTCGTTCCTACTCGTGCACTCATCAATATCTGGGTATATACGGAAAATAATTTTGATCAAATGAATTATTTTGTGTATACCAACGACGTACCAACACAACTGATCGGCTGAGCCGCGGGATCTGAACCCGGTGCGATTTGGTAGCCAGCTTGGCAGACACACTGCGCCTGTTCGCCTTGCGGCACACAACCGGCAAACTGGCCGCAGTTCGTGTTCTGACAGACATCCTGTCCGGCTGTATACAGTAAATGCTTGACTTTAGTTCAGGGAACGTAATTAACTGTCTCGAAGAGAATTACGCACCTTGCCCATAAAGGGTCATCTTGGCATTCATGCCGAAACGGGAAGCTTTTTCCTGGAGCTGATACAGGGAAACAACACCCTGCACCTGCAGACGCGTGGTGCGCGAACCACTCAGCTGTTCATTGTGGGGGCACTCAAAGTAGGAAATGGACTCCTCCACCGTGTAACGATGACTTTCCTCGCCGATTTGAACGGCATGACTCGAATACGACTGGATGAGACCTAAGTAAAATATTTATTTTTTAATTCCTGAGCTACTTTTCTTCACGTTAATTCTAGAATTTGTATGAGGATTGTTTCTTTACCAGGTGACACCCGTCGGTATTCGATATTATGATCGGCAAATTCAAACGTCTGGCCCGGATTGGCCGGTGGTGTTGTACCGGTCACATACAGCGTACTGTGTAACATATTGTGCTCATCCAATCCGGAGAAGTGCTGCGATACATGCACTGTCTGTCCGCTCCCGGTAAACTTAACGGTTGCAGAGTGATTGAAAACTCCGCCTACGAAAGCAAAAAAGTTGACACCATTATCCCCATTTGGCGTAAATCGGTTGTAACATTACCGGTGAGTGTTAATCCATTGGCCACGCCGTTTTCCGGCAGAGCGAACATCCAGCCCACAATGGTCGCCATGGGGAGAATCGTCTGCAGAGCGTGTCCAACTTCCGACGTAATGGGACTGTAGGCCACATATACACGTCCTTCGTTGATAATGACATAGTTGTGCATGAGTGCATCACGAAATTCCGCTCCATTGAGCTGGCCGGAAGCTTGACCGTTCATACGTTGCGGTGTTTCTATTCAACAATCAATAATCAGCAGTTGCGACAATGACCTTTACGCGAGTTCTAGTCACCTTTGTCGATGCACAGCTTTCCATTGCCAACGAACCCTTCCTGGCACTCACAACAGCTTCCCGACGTAAAGCTGCGGCATTGAGCGTTGGCATGGCATGCGGCAGCGTCTGTGCACACCGAATCGCCCTGTAAGCGGGAATCGCGAGGAGTAGGAGCCGGAGGAGGGATGTACGAGTATCCAGACGGCGCTTCCGCTGTAGGTGGCGGGTCCAAGTCTGCAATGCATTTGCAAATGCCGGTCAGTACGCCACATCGCTTATAGGCTGAGTTATAGCACATGGTGACGGCGACATGACACAGAACAAAAACCAACATAAAGGTTAAAAGTTTCTTGTCGTACTCGCACTATGAGAAGTGATAAAGTGGTCATTAGATTGTAATTAAGTAAATTAGCCATGTTGATTTTTAAAAATTTTACACAGCTCGCTTAATTAAGTTGCGTGCTAGAAAGACCTCTGGTTTCCATTTAGGTATTTGCAAAACCTTCTGCCATTCACTTTTCATAACAACTGTGTAAACTTACGCTCCTCATGTCCCGTAACTTGGTGATCTTCCGGGTTAGGGACGTCCACATCGGTATGGGGCTGCGGTGCCGGCGTGCGCAGATTTGCCGGGTCGAGAGGATGCCGATCATCGATAGGCTCACGTGTTCTGGCTCTCTCACCATCCGCTTCTTCATAATGAGAATAATCCTGCTCGTGCCCCGCAGTCTCGGCTTCATGATGACCTTCCGTTTCCGTAGCCGCCAGTGGTTGACCAATGCGATACACGTACGTTCCTGCCTCAATGGCCCCTTCCTCTGGCAGTTTGTTGCTTTATAATCAAACAAAAACGAATTAATTCCATAATCCTTTTTGTTGCACATCTGGCTGTCTTTTGAGAACGTAAGTTACGTTTTACAGAGGTGAAGTTTCATCAACCAGAATTCAATTGTAAAACATACGGCAGCAAATACTTTTTTCATTTAAGCTCATACGGAAACAATTCAGCATACAACAGAAAAATGGATTACAAAATGCCGAATGAATGTGCTTATGGGAAATTTAAATCGTACATCAAGATAAGCCGAAAAGGCGGCTGTGCAAACGCAGATGACCTTGTGATAATTTGTTTGTTGGCATCGTATCCGTACAAATTTAAAGCACACAAATTTATGTTGTCGGTACAAACGGGATAGTTATAACTGGCGATTTCAACAATTTTTTTAGATCATCAGATTGCAGATTGCAATGTAAAACAATAAGTAATCCATGTAAGTTAAGTATAGCAAAGCCTTACTTCGGTAAAGCCCTTAAATAGTCGGTCCCAGATCCCTCAAGGAGCGTTTTCCTTCCATCGGCGGCAAAAAAGCCGGCTTGGGCTGACAAGTCCGACTCGCCCGGCGCACGCGCACGCGTCTGTGCCCAGACGATTCTTGGGTACAAGAAAAACGCAAAACTGTCCTCGCCATCGTTAGCCACAACCAATTGAAAAGTGTTGTTCTAAAACAAATGCGGAGTTAACCACAAATTTAATACAGAATATTTATAGATACTGTATATCAAACTATATCAAACAAAACGGCAAACAGTGTGCCGCACAGCCATTTATAAGGCATCTTTAATCTAACGACTTAAGCGTAAAGTTGCTGCCTTATTGGTATTACTTGTATTGCTAAATAAAAATATACCCAGTTTGTTGGTAATCCATAACCCAAAACATCACTCCAGGTGGCTATTAACAGTGCTTTGGCTTGGAAAGAACTTTGGTCAGGAAACAGTTGATGTATCTGATTGTTGGCCTTATCGAGCAGTTCAGGCTTTTTCGACTGTCTGCAAATGCAACAAAGACGTTAGCTTTCGTGTTCTTTACATTTGTTAGAAAGACACTGCCATAACCTAACACAGTAAAGTTTCAAAAAGTTGATTTCATCGAATAATTAAATACCGAAACTGAACGAATCCGCTATCGTCGGCTTCCGATTCAGCCAAAATATCTGCATAAAAAGGAGCGATGGCCGCATAAGACAGCGGAAACGGCCGATTTTCCAGTGCTGGTGCTGGTTCAGCGCCAAATGTTACAATCCCTTTTAGGCTCACCTGTGTAAAAAAACAATTCTGACATGGACCGGTTTTATTTTGTAGATAAGAATGAAATTAAGAGTAAAAACACAATCTCACTTCACTGAGTTCAACAACGTTTTACAATTGTCCATAATCGCAGATGTATATACTTCGCAATCGCAAAACAATTCGCAAAAATGCAAGCAAAATTCGCAAAAGTATTCGTGCGAAAGTGTTGCGAAAAGTAAATGCAAAAGTGTTACGAGGTATTCGCAAAAGTATACAATCACACTACAAATGCCACACAATATAAAATATCAATCATGGAATCTGCTTTATCGAAAGCGGTTTCAACCGGCTTGGTTTCGCTAGATGCCAGATTTCCTCTTTCTCACACTCTAGTGACCTTATAAGTAATTACGTTGTATTTTATCTGGCAGGAATCTATCCGAATGCAGTATATATGCGGAAAAAAAAGAAAAAGTAGTAAACAGCAACACATTATAAAAAAATTTTTTTTCCCACGGATTCTCTTTAGCTTAATGCTAACTTGTAGTTCTGTTGTGTGCTACTTAATTATACATGAATGCTAAGCGGGTCAAACTATTCTACAGTCGTTAATACTGTACTTCGCTGGACAAAATGCCCCGTTAAGAAAACCACCATCATGATTAAGCCACGGGCATGGTGATATTTAACTATGGTCAAATACAAATACCACACGTTTCCAAATTAAATACTTAACTATGGTATATTAAGCTGATTCCTGAGTAAACTATCAATATTAAAACAGGTAAGTAAATTACTATACAGCGAAAATAATGTCCAGCAGTGGAGATCTTACATGCGCTGTATTGTGCTTGACTCCGTACAGAACAATCGGTATATCCAACTGTAAGAAAGCTGTCCCGTCGGTTACAAAAGCATCGCTTTCGTCCCCATTGGCACCATTTCCGTATGAGAAAAGGTCAGCTTCCGTTATACATGTCACCCACGGTATCAAAATAAAGAAAAGGTAAAAATAAAAAGAGGTGCAATGTGCCATATTTCCCCAAGAATATAATATCATGCGTATGTATGCTGTACAATCCAACAAGAGCGATCCCGGTTAAAATGGCCGGATACGCAGAACCACGGATTCGCTGGTAAAAGATTACGCGACAAATTTGGTTTAGTGCATTTTTAGCGTAAATATTTCCGTTCCACTGAAAATCTGACTACTGTGCCACACTTGGCACTATGTTATCACCACTATTTACTGATTCTCTGCACACCAAGGTATCATAAAAGCCGGCCACAACTCTGACTCGGCACGCTGCTGCTATATTTATGTTCTTCCAAGTTCCATCAGCGCGAAGCAACCGCTAAGACCAAAGATAAATCTTGATGGGAAATACAAACTGACCGTCAGTATTACTGGAGTAAAGAGCACAGACGCCACACTAACGCGTTATAAACAGGTTAAGCAAAGCCGTGCAAACATAGATCATTTACATTTTGTGCGAAATTATTCCTCTATCGGTGCCCCCTTTCGCCCAGTCCTATCTGGCAAGATGTCCATAAATAACCACTAATGTGTTAAAGAACGTAAATATTTCCCTTCGAGCCTTTTGACCGTAATAAACTTTGCGGTTTGGAAGTGTACGAGCTAATTTTCAACATTGATCAACGTTATTAAACGTATGCAGTAAACGTCACTTACTGCAAACTGCAACTCGAATAGTATCAAACGTCTAACTTTTGGCATGTGTGCAGCACCATCAAAATTTTTTTATTTATTACATTACCAAAGGAATGCTTGTTGCAGTTATTTTAGATAACGGAAATAAAAATTCAATTTTGTGCCAATGTTGAATTGATTCAATTAAGAAGACCTGTTTCATTCAACAAACAGCAAAGCATATTTAGGGTAAGAATATGCATTTTACATAAGATCTATGCATAAACTGATTATAAAAGGCCACCTAATAATTAAACTGCGAAACTGTAAATACAAAAAAATTCAGTAAGCATTCATAAAAGTGTCTTCGCCTGGCAGCGCATGTGCATATGTGGACTGAGGAAAATTTACTGCAGAGTTTTCTTCACTTAAAATACTAAAAAAAAGCTGGATGAGCTATTTACTTGTTCTGCATACTTACAAATTAGTGGAGACTTTAATTTAAGCGTAAATGGTACTGAAATGAAATGCTCGTATTTTTTGAAAAACCTAAAAAATGCTCACGTATAAAACGTTAATTTCAGCAATGATCGCAAGTTCGCAATGGCACTATATATCGTACTTTTGATCTAGCTTTCGTATTCGCGTAGTGCAGACTTAACAAGGAAAGAGCACAAAGAAAGTGGGCAAGATACGAATTCGTTAAGAAAAATGCAAGAAAAATGTCGGACTTCGTAAAAACCATAAATCTTTCGGGTGACAAAAACCGCTGAGTCACAACGTCCGAAAGGTAATTCGTTGTGTACAAAAGAACAACTAAGAACTTGTCACTTTGCTTATGCAATAAACGTAAACTCCAAGAGGTGCACTCTCCGGATACCGGTTTCTGAAAGCAGTGAAGATTGTCAGCCAAATAATGTTCTGTGTATGTAAGAGACTGTTAAGTGTTAAATAGTACTTCTATACAAAATCAAAGTCATTCTCAACAATTACTTGTCAACTGCCATTTTGTCTTCAAACCGATTAGCCAAACACTTAGTACTCGTATCATGGTCTATGTCCACTTGTCGGTTGTTTAGAAAACGTCAAATAAATTCTTGTACTAGAAAATACGCAGGCATTTACTTTGTAGACCGACAAAATATTTTTTTGCAAAAGCCGTATCTTCCTTAATTTAATTAATTAAACATTTAAAACTAAGTTTGCAAAAGCAAACGTAGTTTAGTTTAGATATAGAAAACGACGCTATTCGTTTTAAAACACGTTTAAAAATTTAATAATCTGTTACATACTTTGGTAGATCACGCATGCAGTCAGTTCCTGAGCCAGGCAGTGTTGTAACTCCCGTTTTGCCGTCGGTGTAACCTGCTTGTGCAAATAAATACCGTGGTTGTGCAACGTTTTCCGTTGGCTGACTGGAGAACTGTGTCCATTCAATCCCTGCTTGCGGGTAAAGAAAAATCGCGTAGCTTTCTTGCCCGTTCGATGCCAAAGCTAACTGAAAGGAATTATCCTACAGCAAGACACAGAAAAGTTGAAATGCTATGCTGTAATCGATGCGTACAGCCGTAAAACACTCATTGAGCAGCACTGGACCGCACTCATTCATCGATAAAATACTAGAGACACAGTCGTATATAACAGTTAACAGAGAAAGTTTGTGTCTTCAATGCAAAATCTGAACAACCACAAATTGTTTATGGGAAAATAACCAAATTAACGAATATTTATGCGAAGTAGTTTTTATATTATGGTGGTCAAGCTAATGCAAAATTTATCAAGATTGTCCGATTACGGCTACGCTCGATATAAAACGTTAAAAACTAAGCAAGCATTCTGCTTCTTTGAAAGCTTACCACATCCGCAGAATTCCCGTACCCTAAAACTTCGTGCCAGGTGGCAAGAAAAACAGATTGGGATCGGAATGTATCTGCTTGATCTGGATAAGACTGGTGAATCAGCTCATCAGCCCTCGCGACCAGCTCAGCCCGTTTGGATTCTCTACGAAAAAGCCACCTTATATTAATTTACGCAAAATATTGTCGGAGAATGTTTTTTTATGTGTAAAATTCATTTATTTAAGCCCTTCTTTACTGCAAGAATTATTCTGTAGACTATAGTACATATAAGCAGAAAACTATGTATTATTTTTTCTATCCATCATTTGTGATGGCTCACCGGAAATATATTAATCCTTCGTTTTCGTTGTCGATGTGAGCATAAAACGGTGCAATTGCAGGATACTTGAATGGAAACTGGTCGGCATTAAACAACGGGACATTTGTGTCCGGGTTTTCTGGATTACGAGGCTGTTCCCGACAAACGGGTCCCAGAGTAACAATTCCGTTGAGGCTAACCTAAAAGCGAAAACCGTCGAAAATAGTGCATTGTTAGAAGTTTTGGTAGTGGCGACCCAAGAAAGCAATTCAAAAGCGTAGTATGTATGCAGTCGGAAGTTGGAACAGTACGCCGTCGACCGTAGGCAGTGGAAAATCGTAAGTATACTCAACGTGTACCACCTTTAAATATTTTATGTTTATAAGCAACGTGTGCGATTTTAACCAGAATACATTGTACTACTGCACTAACATAGGCTTCGTGATACGGGACACCGTAGAGAATGATGGGCACGGTAAGATTTAAATGCTCGGGGAAGAATGTGACAAGATTATCACCGTCAGACCACAGATGTTTTTCGGATGGAAGGAAGCCGGCAACAATACCGAAGGTGAAAAGGCCAGATGCCTTGCGTCTGTTGCTCATGCTCTGCAACGGAAACACAAATCCCATTAGATACTAGTACGCAAAAATCGCTTCTTGCAATAATAAAATTCATAACGAGGGCGAGCTGATTTACGAGAGTAACCCATATTGCAAAAGTAGCAACCTACAATTTTGTCGATCGGTTTTGGAGAATTTCGGTTAGGCGATTTCATCACACCAGTATATAAATATAGGAGTATCTATATACGTTTTTCCCTAATGGTTGCCTACTCAACTCAATGCCGCATACATACGAGTATATAGTAAGTAGTTGTATTACTTGTATATGCTGTCAGTTGTCGCAGTTGTTAACAAATTCATCCTCAAATTGCGAAAAACGAAAAAAAAACAAGAATCAACTGCTTTTATTCGTAATAGTCTATCATACTTACGGATTTCAATTCTCCCGCCATTGCGTAGACGACGCCTGGATGTCCACTGTGCCAGCGCGTCGTACTTGGCGAAACAACTCCAACAAGATCTTCCGGGGATATAGTGACAGATGAGGGATATTTGCCTGAATCCTGAGGAAGCACAGACCTTATGTAGTTGGAGTGAAAGTGAGCGCTCTCTGGTAGTTAAACATTCTTGGGCGCATCGAAGTCTGAACGATCGGAACTGTCAACAAAATCAAACTACGTAATAATACTGCCAATACAGTACACGCAGTAGTAGCGTAGTAAGTACAGTAGTAATGCTCGATGACTCAGGCAGCAACAATGCGCAAGCTGTGTGAATCACGATAGTGCCTTGGGCGATTTCGACATAGCGGGTTTAGCGTCCTGAAACGATGAGTGTTCCTCCCATTCCCTATCACATGGTGTCAAAGTACTTATACTCATGCAGTCAGACTGTAAGTACTTAATCAGCCATAACTTAAGCTAAAACGTTGGGAAAACTTAATCTGCTGAATTTAGTGTTGTTTTTAGCGAAATTTTTTGCCCTAAAAAATCCGTAGTCACTTATACATTGTACTCTTGTTCTTATATATTTTTGTACTCGACGTGAACAAAACAAAAATCACCCATGAACTGTAATTGCTGACACGAATTATCGAAACGGTATTAACACACCAAACTTTCCACAACAATCGTACTGACCGTAAACAAACAAGATAACAATCAGCATACAATAAACATGCATACTCGTATAAACTTTAGTTGCCACATAAGTATTCAGATCAACTTAAACGGGCTTGTTGCAGTTACACATCACCGCGTGAAAGACGCAAACAGTTCGTTTACAAATGTAAAAACTTTGATCACTAGAATTTCTGGAATGTGGACGGTTTGATAGGCGAATTAATGAGCGTCGCCGACTGCATAAAATCCAAATTTCTAAAACGCTTGACAATTTCCTGGGCTTCTTCTTCCGGAGATTTTCCAGGCAGAGGTTTTATTACACCGTTTGTCATTTTCACCGGCTTTAAAGCAGTATCAGTGCTGGGCCGAGCAACAAACTGTGAACTGGATAGAGAGGCTACAGCATCTGTGAAAAATGCGATATTAAAATTTATAACCCTTTCGGTATACACGCAACCGTTTTCCATCCTTAAAAACAGGTCTTCTGAATGCAAAAAAATCGTGTACAGAAAAATGTTCACTTCAAAGCACTTGCCTTTAGAATTTTGTGTATTCGGTGACGGAACTGTACTGGGCGTCCGATAATGTGTCGTAGGGGCATCAAAGGTTGCCAAATCAGACAATAGCTGTGTATCAATCACAGTACGCATCGCTATATCACTCGTTTGATCCTTCTGCAGAAAAAAAATTTGTAACAAGTTTAACCCGACATCAAGGTAGGGATGAGTACCTGCACAGCGTTTGTCTCCACTTTTACAGGCGTAAGAATAGTTTCGCCGTATCTGCTGCTGTGTAAAGCAACCGGTTCCTTCTTTTGCATTGCAAACTAAATACACAAGGTTCTTGATTAAAAAAAAACTTAGGGAAACACATATGAAAATGCCGTACCACGCTGTTAGGGTTTAGATTCAATGCACTGAGCATTTTCTGCCGTGAAACTGACGATAACCATTGAAATTTCAAGGCACTGGTTTCGTTAAGATTCTCCAAGGATGCCCATACGTCTGCAGCAATTCTAATAGAAACAAGATATCAACAATTTTCGAAACCTATCAGACTTCTATATATCGTCTTGATTTACCCGGATGCTACAGATGTACTGAGGATTCCATTTTCTCCTGTCACAGAATTATCGTCGGGCAATAATTTTTCCGGAAACGACTTTTGAAGCACAGCATCGAAGGTTACGGCAATCTAAGAGCAGACAACCTTCATTAAAACCTTCTAAAAAGTTGACATGGTTACTCTTGTACCTCATCAGAAACAGTTTCGATCGGTTTTTCGGCCACCGATACGGACTGGAAGTCATCGAAATCATCCGTGCCATCGTCCGGTTGATTTTCAAGTTCTGTAGGAGGAAATTCCGTAAACTCAGCCCAATCATCGTCTACAGTATCGTCATTTTCAACTTTAGTAACGCTGCCATTTTCCGGATTAGCATGGTCCGCGCTATCATCCGCTACCGAAGAAACTGAATCCACAATATTCTGGACTGGTGCGGTCTGAGCATCTATTAGTTCGGGAGCAAGATCAACTGCGGAACCGGAAGCTGTCGGCAACACATCGGTACCAGGCAAGTCTGAATCGACAAGAGCGGCCGCATCGACTGTTAGTGTTATCCACTCGTTCGTTATTTGTGCAGCATCTTGATCCATTCGTTCTTGATTGGCAGAAATGATGGTAACACTTTCGGAATTGTCAGGGGAATTTGCATGTTCATTTTGTTCAGCATGGCCCCAACAAAATTCCATTGCCTCAGAATCATCCGCATAATCAAACTCCGCAATATTACTCGACCCAGGATCGTTCATAGATTCCGATAACGAATTATTCGTAATTTTTTCTGCATACATTTGTGTCTCGGGCTCATCAGCTGTCTTATTCTGCACTGTCGGCAGTTGCTCCAGCTCTGTTTTGCATTCTTCCGGATCTCGTTTCAGTTCTGGGAAACATTAAGCAAGTCAGACAGATGTTAGGAAAATTCATAATTGCAGGCAGACTAATGCAATTATGTAACTGAAAAACGCGAGATACTACCATCGGGGAAAAAGTAAAAACATTGCGGCCAAATAGTATGAGCTTTCATACCCATACTAATTTGAAGTACAGTACAGTAAATACTTTAAAATAGTATGGAGTCATGGACTATGGATATCGCATGGTCAGGTAAACTGACCCCTAATACCGAAAGCAGATAAGCAATCGAAAAAATTAATCAGCAATTTGGGCTTACGCTCCAAGTGGCAATACAACAATGCACCAGTCTGAAGTGATATTGTTAGCAAAAAACCACAATCCTAAAAACGCAAAAAGAAACTTAACTAATTAATTACGAAACACATACCATCCCAAGATTCAATCGGATATGCCGATTCGCCTACATTGTGAGAAACGTCTGTTGCTTTTGCGCTGGGATCAGCCAATATGTTGGCGAGTGCAGCAGGATTAGTTTCGATCGTATCAGTGCCAGCGACTGTATTCTCCTTCGCCTGCCGCGATAGCACTTCCTTTCGTTTTAATGAGTCCTTCTTGCGATCAGTTCGACTACTTGCCACCATCTCGGCCTCGTCCTCAGCGTCTAACCGGCCAAAAGAGAAGCCAGTCGGAGTCTCTTCATCGTCATCCATTTCCGCGAACCCCCGTTCCATGGGTGGGGGACTCGCTGACAGCATGGGTGGAATGTCTTTATCCATTCCGTTTCCGATCACAGAACCACGGCTTGGAATCTCGGATAATTGCAGGTTCCCGTATCCCACACCACAGTACAATTTACAACGAGTGCGTCGTCGTTTAATGCATTCATGCACTGAAACGGATTACATAATTCACCGTACCAGAGTTTAGACCATTATCTGGAGAAACCACTATTCAGCAGGCAGTGCCAACATCACGTAGTTCGGGTCATATCAAAATGCACATTAATAATATAATGAATGAATATTCAACAGACACGACGTTCTTTCGCCTGGTACTGAAACGGATCCGAGAATTATTTGACTGCGTCCGCATAGTAAATAAAAAATCTAATCCACATATAAGAGCCCGGAATTTTAAATACGAATCCTGGAATATATATATTTTAATACAGTACTCGCAAATCGCAGTATTAAATGGTGCGAACAGCGGTGTAAAGCAATGCAGTACAAGTGTCAACAGAGGAGCGGAAGTCCTGGAACAACGAATTGGAAGCTTCCTCGTACGCTCGTAGCGATCAGCTTATCCAGATGCGTGTCGAGCCGAAGACGGTATACGCCTACGGGCTACTTGCAGCACTGAGCACAGTAGCAAAAAGCACGAAAATGCGATCACAGTGTGATCATCACACTGAAGTGACTGAACTAATATCGAAGGATTTGCATTTCTACAAAAATGCAAAGATTCCCGCTTTTAAAGATTTCCTTTCTAAAAATTTCTCAAGTACTTTCGAATGTTAAGGTCTTGACATTTTAATTAATCCTAAATCCTAACATACACTACTGTATAGCGTATACAGCAATGTAGGTGTCGATTTATTAGTAAATTATTCCTTACCATTAGTACTTCATAGCAGTTCTAAATTGTTGAATTAGCGTAAAATATATATCAGTCAATTAATTCAAGCCGGAAAGTACAAAAATGTAATTCCGGGAATCAGTGCCTTTTATTGTCAAATCGTAGCAGCCGGTTAAACTACTCATGGGCAGAAAACCTTGAACAACAAGCAAAGCCAGTGCCACTTTACTGAACTTGTTGCAAACAAGTAAAAAAAACGTTACAAAAAAAACTCATGGCAGTTTCAGTTTTATTAACTGGTTTTTGATAAAAGAAATGATAAATCTTTATTTTTTAGTTCTAACGGGACCCCCAAGTTCGTCCAACTGTGCCTTTAACGCATTCAGTTCATAATCCGGAATGTAACGCACTTCCTCATCTATCGGTTCATGCTGCTTTATAGTTAGAGTAACACCTTCCGGAAGAGTGGTATTGAGAGTATCCAGAAGCAATCCTAACATAGAAATCGTAACTCCTCCGATTTGCACGTTCCTCTCGTACATAACCATATCGTACTCGTGCTCCACTAGGGTGCTCTGCGGCTTAAATGTCGTAACACGTTTGGACTCTGCAGGTGTAGCCCATCTAAAAATACATGACTTCGGTATATAACAGAGCAATAGAGCAAAAACCGCAAGTTCTTCCAAAAATGCTCACTTTTTTATGAAGTCAGCTCCAAGCGAACTGGCCAGCTTCGTTACGTAGGACATATGATTTTCAATCACGGCAAAATCATAGCCACGCATTCGAATGTTCAGCAGATCATGCGCAGGTGCGGATGGAGGGGGCTAAAATTAAATAACGAATATATAAAAATGACAAAGTTCGGATGTTTTGAACTTCTAAAATTCCCGAGTGAGCAGAACGATATAATAATTTCTCACCAAATCTTCTGGCTCATAGATGCCCTTCGCACATTGAGACGTAGAAATATATCTTTGGTTAACAAAAGGAATTCGCAGAAAACGCTGCTCGGGAGTACCCTTGGATTTGAGCAGGATAGGGACGGAGTATCGTCCGCAAAACCCACAAATTTTACCAAATGTTGTCATTTTAATATATTTATATGAAAATAAACTGCAGAAGTTTTGTCTGGGAGATTGCAAACCACAAAACAGCCTGTACTAACAAATAGATAACAGTTTTGTGCAATTTTTATTTTGAAGCTGTATCAGCCTGTATATGTGTAGTTTCGGCTCAATGGTTTGCACAGTTCCGACGCCCGTTGGCGGTTGCCCATTACGGAAGTTAGTGCACAGCATCCGGAGCAGACTGGAGTCCGGCGTGTGTCGGAGTTCGGACTGAAGTCTAAAATTCACTCTAAAATTGCTGTTCCCGGTAAAATCCCTTTTTGAGAGGACGCAAGAGAATTAATGATCTAATCAGTTTGTGAAACAGCGAAATAAGCGTGCATACAGGACAAGTTGCATTGGTAGAAAGCTTTAAGAAGTACAGTAATCGTTTTTGAAACCTGCGGTATTTAGAGCAACTAAATAGCTAACAACCGTTATTAAAAGCTACAACAACCTACAAGCCACAAGGAGTAAAGCGTACTAATTAAACTCGCAACACTACTTTAATTTTTATAAAAACACGGGAAAAAAATACAAGAATATCAACCAAAATATAAGAAAAATCAATAAAACCAAATGGCTGTATGGTTTTTACTTTATTGTTAGGAATGAGTCCAATGACTATTGGTAAGATTCTATACGTCATTCACAGATCCACATGACACATAAGGCCATACATAGTGTGAAAGCTCTAGGCCAAACTGAAAAAACACCTGTACAAGTATGCACAACTCCCAGAAGATTCAATACTGTAAGGAAACAGAGCAATCTGTCCAAAATCAGCATGTTTCCAAAATTTCAACTGTATACGTTTTCTTTATAAATTTCCTGTCTATTATTTATCCCGTCGATAAGGGAAGGCACTGGAAATCTTTGGCTTTCTCAGCATCGGTAAAGTTCTGACCAATCAACCCGGCTACACTGCTGGCGCCGGTCTCAGTAAAGTTCAGATCGGGAAATTCTATGTCCATCTCCATTTTCACTGCTGCCTCTTCGGTCTCTGCCGAATCAAAAAAACTATTTTAATGGCGAATTTCAGTAACACATGCACTGTTATTTCTTTAATTTATTTACTCAATACCCTTCGTAATCCATTATAAATATATTATACTTAGAGTACATGGCGGTTTAGAGTTTTGATTATGTATTTCAGTAAGCACATGAGTGACATGACCATACTGCTCACCTTTTGGTGTGGGACTGGACATTCGGCCAAGTGGCAAAACTGATACTCGAAATCACTGACAGCGAAATTTGCCAGACGACCGGAAGCGGTAGCTCCTTCGGCTTCATTACTAGAAATTTCTACAAAATTACTGCAGCTGCAAAAATGAATCGAAACCATTCAAACGAAGTACCTATGTGCCAAACAAAACCAACACATGGTCAATTGGGTGACGTCAACTCGTCACGTAAATTGTAAATACATCAACGATGTTCAATCAGCTATTGTAAAGTCTACGTCATTATCATATTATGCAGCAATTTATGCTCTAACAGTCTAAGCAAAATCTAACCCGATGTGACCATGGTCCACGACGGCGACGGTCAAAAAACAAACCTGCGACATCAAAGTGAACAGCGGTACCATCGGTGTTCTCAAGAACTGCACGGCCTTCGTAAATATCGTCACCAATGCGTAAGTAAACCACGCCATCCGGTCCTCTCGCAATAGCCATCGGTTGGTGAAAATAATCAGCAGGGACATCAGCTTTAATCCGTAGTCTGATGCTTTCTGTCTATGTAAATTTTATCGTACACTTTAAAAGCAAAATCTCTAAAATTTAATATAATCATTTTTCGAATTATTTCCTATTGAGCTACAATGTTTCTGTAGATTCCTTACCAGTCCACTTTTTAATGGAATTAGGTCTTACAACTTCTGAGTTCTGACCAGTGAGAAGTAAGTACTCGTAACACTCAGTAACAGCATCGCTTATGGCTAATTACCGCTTATATCAGTAATCTTATAGCAATATAAATTATTATCTACAATAATAATTGTCTTTTAGAAGCAAATTAAATGTTATCACAAGTACGAGAACACTCTTCGAAAATCCTCCAACGTTCAGACTAAGAACTGGTTCAGTTAAGTGGGTGGCCATATTTGACGCTTCCTTGGTGGTGTTTTTTACCTTTATTTGAGGCTTCTGGTAGTCCATCTTGGCTTGCAGAAAACACAGATTCTTGTGACAAAACTACAAAAATGCGCGAGAATCATCGGAACTACAACTGTGGACTGCTTCGCACTTCGCAGACAACCGAAGACCCAAACTGTCCAGACATCTCTTTTATAGGTAACAAAACAAGAACCACGATTGCACGTCCTGGCTCTTCTGGCATCTACATAAGAATCTGTAAGATGTAAATCGGGGTTACAGTTTCAGTGGAAGTACTTAAAATTGTTACAAAAAGAGATCTCATTCATATACGACTAATACGAGTAATAAAGCAAGTATAAATATGAAGTACGAGCACGCAGATCACAAACCATATTACGGTGCCGGTGCGGTAACGCTGATGAACGTGTGTAAATCCTGCAACCGCCAAACGACGGTGTTTACGTTTATCATGGATTTGTGTATGAACTTTGAAGCACGAAAACAAAAGATGTAGGGCCTGTAGTTACGATTAATTCAAAAGGAAGAGAAAATTTTGAGGACTTTGTGAAAATCTGTGCAGTACCTACTATACTCGTACGTTGGTACAACGGCGGCTTCAAGCATTCACTATGAGTAACCGTACAGTGGACGCAAAAGTACGGTCCGTACTTAAGCGTCCACTGGGTAGTCTTTCCCGACCAGAGCTACGAACACCAAGACAGACTGACCTTTAAACTGAATAGTGAGTGCTAATTTGGTAAAAAGCTGTGACCTGACTAGCATTTTTTAAAAATAATTGTAGTCACGCATTTGTAGCTCACGGTAATTTCAACAAAGATGAGCACAAACTAGTACGAGTAGCTTCCTTCGTAACTTTTTTTCGTCTTGGCTAGGAAGATGTCCTTTATAAATTACCCCATCAAATCAAGATACCGGTACAGAGCAAATGTAGGGCAGCCAAAAAACCTAACCCAGACAAAAAGCAATCTCTGTTGTCAAGTCCACAAACGGTTATAGTGTTATACCAAAATAAAATCTATTCGAACAAAGTTTTTGAGCCAACGCATATCAGACCTACAATAGATCCAAATAACTATTAATGTTATGCAGTTTCCAGCGCACAATAAAAACAAAGCAAAATGAAACGTAATCCATCAGGTCACTACCAAGTTGACCAACGAGGGTCTAAGCGGACAACATAAATTATAAAAGGCAGTCTGGTCCCAAAATTCTGGCGTTCTCCAGCAAACTCCATTCTGAAAAAATGGCTTAATAGAGGAATCTAATACGAAGTCCCACAAACACACTTCCCACCTTTTTCAGAATCAGGTCAATGTCATCCTCGCCAACGTAATGAGGATCGACCACCAAAGCTTTGACTTCGCCAGTGACGCGGTTCATGGCAATTCCAGCAATGGTGTGGGCATACACTCCCCCTCCTACAACCCACGGAATGCCTACTCATACATCCCAAGCAGCACCGGATTTTTAACTGTAATGTGCACTGTGTAACAAACCTATCATTACAGGAGTTCCTTCGGTCTCAAAATGGTACTTCAATGATGCAAATGCTGTTGACAATTCCGATCCAGAGTTAGCCGTCACAAATCGGCACGGCACCTGCAGGCAATAAAGTTTTCCAAATTCCTCATGCAGCAAAATTCACACTGATCTCCCACCTTCAGGATATGCTCCAGCACACGAGTAATTTCAGTCGCCCCAATCCACTGTTTCGATCCGATAATGGAACGCTCGCGATCTTTAACTTCTACCAGTACTTTCTGGATCTGATCGTGCGTCGGTATGGGTAAATCTGTGAATCCTTGCAAACGAAACCAGGAAAATATTGTTTGCAGTGACCGATAGGCACACCCCCAGCCGTCATCGTCAAAGCGATCTTGTTTATAGTGATGATAAGTATACAGTCCTTGTACACAAGCAACATCCCATTGCTCAGGATTTTCGTTCAAAAACTGGCCTATTATCAAACAAGAACAGTAAACAGTTAGTGCCACAAGAATAATGGCAGCGAGTAGAACCGCACATGTAAATAATTCGTACTTGGTTTTCTGATGAAAATGTACGACTAATGCCAACGATTATAAGTATCGGCTTTATATGAAAAGTGTTCTATTATTCTGCGTTCTACAACGGGATCAAAGTTGTATACTCGTATACTTAGTAACTTTCTTACTGTTTTTAAGCAGAAGTTTGTCTCCGACACCCATTAGATTCTTGCGTGCCATTCCAACTCTATTCCTTAATGAAGCATAAGGATGGAGCACCAGATCTTTGGTAACGAAGCCAAAACGACTGTACAGTTGTTGCATTAAGTCATCTGAAAATCGCAAGGTTAAAACTCGAAGGAGCATCTTTTTACGACGCTGTAATGCAGCCTGTACGTAATCTTGTTTTTAAAATCTCGAATCGATGACACACCTTGCACACGATCCTCCGTCAAGCGTTTCCGTACGGTGGCAAGCAAAGTAAGAATGTTTGGTCCATTAATAATATGGTACGGTACCGGAATATCAGCCTTGAAGTGGAAGATACAAACCGTGGAAAAGGCGAAATATACTGGCGTATTGAGTTAAACTTACGTCTTCCATGGTTAACGAGCCACATTCGGGACGACGAAGGAATTCACAAAGTGCAGCAAACTGCCGCTTTTTTGCATGTTCTATGAACTCCACAAGCTCACCCAAAGCCTTTTCTTTGGGTACAAACAAAAAAGCATCAACCTGGAAACGTATTAACCTAGTCGCCCCTGGAAGCAAAAGTAAAAACTGTAATGTTTCGGAATCCCATTTTTGAGAAATAAATTTACGAGTAAACTTTACCGGAACCAACTGTCAACAGCGGCGAGCTTCCCTCTGAGCTGCTCTGATGCGACACATTGGAATGTATACTGATATCCAACAATTTATCCTGCAAAAAGTGAACAGTTATTCTGGCAGAAAACCCCAGTCAAAAGAAAAAAAGTGCGACTGAAACTAATAACCGTTTACTGAACGTTTGTACTATGAAATTTCACCTGACCCACTAACCGAGAGCAGATTTCCGGATAAATCGGAGAAAGACACAGGCAAGCTGCGCGGTTTCGATGCCGTTTTTTCAGCTTTTTGCTGATTTTTCTCCAGCACAGTAACGAAGTCTTTAATGGGAGTATGGAGATTAACTCCCCTGAGGCCATCTTTAACGACGACAACCGAAGGCTCTCCAGGAAGGAAAAAAACCGAGTTGTCGCATAAACTGTATCCAAAGTGAGATTTGTTTTCAATTTGTAATTCCATTAACTTATCCTCAACGGCCTTTGTAATGCCTATAAACCAAACATTCCATGAAAAAAACAGCGCAGACCTTGCAAGATAAATCAATAAATGGATTAGTATCTCATTTCATTAGTTTACATAACGCCACAGATTCACAATAATATCACAGGATTAGGAAGATACCATTTTTATTCTGATTAGGTGTAATGGACGTGCTGAAAGTGCCCCTCAGAGTGAAACAAACGTAAAACTGCTGCAGGAAACGATTGGGTTTGACCGTAACCGGAACTTCACGAAGCGTATCGGTTGTGTCGGCCAACAATCCTTTTAAGTTAGCGCCCGCGTTCTCACAGCAAATCACAATTCGGTGCTAGAAGCACAAAGCACCATTAAAAACTTTGCACAAATTAGCGCAAGAATTACTTAGCAGCCGAATGGCAATCATCACGTTAGCGGTTGATGATAATATGTGTCACCAATAATTATTATTAACTGACTGACACTCAATAACAATCCCCAATTTCTATTTTTATAGCATTAAAATTTTTCCGGCGACTTGCAGCAAATGTTACGCTATTTAAACAACTGAAAAAAATCCCAAATCATCGGTACCTGCTTTAGTTTTGGAGAGGCCGCAGAATTTAACACGCTGAGAAATGCAGCCAAATTGTGTCGGCCACTAGAATCGTCAGAATTCGCGGTGGCTGCCAATATTCCCACGCTGACAAGCCCTACCAAGAGTCCACACAAATTAAAGAGTGCACCTCTCGAAGCTTACTATTTTCAACACGGACCAGTAGGAATTAACTGATTGTTCAAGTCCAAATACTCCTGCAGACGGCCTGGATCATGAAATACGTCGGAATCACAGAATGAACACATCAACACAATGAACTGATTTTGCTCTTTTTCCAGTTCCAGTCCATAAAGCACAGCGTACTGGAATTCAGGAGACTCTTCTCGGTAATAACGTTGCAAATGCTGGAAGTAAACGCAAACATTAACAAATCAAATAACTACTACATACAGTAACATCCTGAAATAACTTAAGGTCCCACGGAGATGATGCTGTAAAAATCATCTGACACACGCAGCGCTTCTGTCTCTGAACTGCTGCGGGGATCGGCAGTCAAAGTCTCAAAACTAGACCTTAAGGATTTCTCTTACCTTCTCCAAGTTTTCCGCTACGTGAATACTCATTTCAACAATAGACAAAATTAACAGTTTGCCTTAAAATCGGAAAAATTCGGTATATTGTGCTGATACTGAAAACAGAAAAATCTACACACGCATAAAAGCCTCGTATCAGATTTTGTACTTGTAGAAGGTAAAACTGAAATAAAATAAATTTTACATCCACGCGCGGCTAACGGGAAAATTGCTCCTCGTAGACCTAACGCTATAACGAACCGCGCCCACAGCCAATGAGCAGTTTCTTAGCCAACGAATCGTAATTACCTACAGGATTAGAAGGCACATTGCAAAAATGTACTGGTACTATGCAGAACTTATCGGTAGCGGCTATATAAAAAGTTAATGTGCAATATAAAACTTTTTAATCAAAGCTTCAGTTCTCATTTTTATTTATATAAAATAATTTTACGTTTTGGTTTCTGCTAATTACGTTTTTGCTGAATTTCATTAACGATTTTAATATCGATGGACAGTTTCATAAGAATAAAGTCGTGTCATTATATGTAAACTGATGTCGTAGCAGTCGTGCTTTTCATGTAAATGAAATAGCTTACGCCACAAGATTTGTTCAATGGTTTTTAAAATTAAACACCGATGTACAAAAAAATCAAAAAGTTAAAGATCGCTACAATAAAATGCATTTTTGTTGCAAAAATAAAATGGCTTACAAAAAACAAAAATTCTAAGCTACTTCTCATAACTGTAAAAAATAAAGAAATTATGCGAAATACAAAATTCTAAGCTAAATCTCATAACCGCCCGCATCAGGATGCACTACAAATTTTACATCAAGTTGTACTACAAGATGTACATAAAGGTACACTCCAGGATGTACATCAAGGTGTACTACAGGATGTGCATCAAGGTGTACTACTGAATGTACATTAGGTTGTACTACAGGGTGTGCTGCAGAGCATTTATTTAATAACAAACGATATCTTAATGTAATTAAAACTAAAGGGAAATACTAAATTTAAAATAACAAATATTGTTACATATGTATTAAATATACATGAGAAAACAATTAATATAAGAAATTACTACATATACAAAAACTTTCGGCACTACTCTATACGTTTTTAAGATAGGAGGTTATCGTTAGCCCCGACATGCACAGTAATCTGGTGCGTTTTAATGTAGACTAATATTTCAGTACGACTGTAGTATGCTGCCCTGCAATGCTACAAAACAACCTCATCATAAATTTAAGACGCCACAAATTTAATTGTGGATTTCGCAAACAAACTTTTTAGAATGTAGCATTTAGGATTGTTAACTCACCCATACCGGCAAAGCGGAATTGTTTAGGTAACGTCGAAGACATTACTAAAACGCAATTTTTACAAACATAATCTGGACAAGCTAAAAAGAAATTTTTATTTTTAAAGAATAATTAATAATACAGAAACTAATTGTTACGATAATGCATATAATAATAATGTATTCCGTACCAGAAACTTTGCTCATGCCCTAAAAACGTAATACCGAAGTTTTTGTAGTGGTGTCTCATGTTAATTTTTATCTCGTGTTTTCTTTAATATAGATATGACAGTACTTATTATTTCAAATTTTAGCATTAATATATTTAAATAAACGAACGTCCTGTAGCACATCCTGTAGTACATCGTGATGTACATCCTGCAGTACAGCCTGAAGTACATCGTGGTGTACAACCTGATGTAAAACCTGTAGTACACCCTGATGTACAGTCTGCAGTGCTCCCTGTTGGGAAAGGCTACGAGAAATAGCTTTGAATTTCTGTATTTTGCCACTATTTGCATATGTAAACTAGTTTTTTGTGACAAAATACTTGTTTTTATTGTGAACAATAAAATTGTTTGTTGTTTTTCACATTAATGTGCAATTTTAAAAACGGTGGAGTGAATTTTGTGACCCAGTAAAAGTTATGATAACTTGTCATTTACAAGGAAAGAACGACGACAACAAGACTACCAGTCAATAACAACATGAACAGAAGTAGTGAAATTCAGCGATACCGTTATCGACAGAAAAAAACATGAAAATTAATCTTTCTTGTAAGAAAAACGAAAACTCTGACGCTGGGATTTAAAAAGGTTTAATATAGCATGTACGGTTACTTTTTAAATGCTATGGCTTTCAAAGCCATAGCATTTAAAAGCCAATGATTTGAATCGGAGAAAATTTCTCTTAAGTTCTGTGTGCAATTAGGATTCGTTGGCTAAGGAACTGCTCATTGGCTGTGGGTGGGGTTCGTTATAGCGTTAGGTCTACGAGGAGCAATTTTCCCGTTAGCCGCGCGTATTTTACGCGAAATACGCAAAATACATCCCATTGATAGGCAGTCGCACAGTGCGCTAAAATCTTAAGAAGATTTAATAATGCAGCCGGTGTAGATCAGTGGTAAGACGGACGGCTACAGACGCAGCTGGCACGGGTTCGAGTCCCGTCATCGGCAGATTTTTATTTCTTCAGTATCTTCAGTAAATTCAGAAATTCATATTTAAATTTCATTTATAGAATCAGCAGTGTTCTCCTGTCGCAGGCGTCCGCCCTTCTAAGATGGTAGCAGATCCGTTGGTTCACCCCTCCGGGTGTATTTAAAGTACAGCAATAGGCTTGGCTCCACACGCACCGTGTAAGAAAACGGATAGCAGTAGCACCGTGTAAGAAAACGGACAATACGTGGACAGCCTGCAGTACAACAGCAATGTTATCGGGAGAGAAGGGGGCGCTTGTACGAAGGAGTACGTATCACGCACTGTTGCACTGTTGTTATCAGACTACGCTCAAGGGGCTTCGCTGTCTTGCAGCGGGGATGATAGGCAGTCGCACAGTGCGCTAAAATCTTAAGAAGATTTAATAATGCAGCCGGTGTAGATCAGTGGTAAGACGGACGGCTACAGACGCAGCTGGCACGGGTTCGAGTCCCGTCATCGGCAGATTTTTATTTCTTCAGTATCTTCAGTAAATTCAGAAATTCATATTTAAATTTCATTTATAGAATCAGCAGTGTTCTCCTGTCGCAGGCGTCCGCCCTTCTAAGACCATTGATGATAGGCAGTCGCACAGTGCGCTAAAATCTTAAGAAGATTTAATAATGCAGCCGGTGTAGATCAGTGGTAAGACGGACGGCTACAGACGCAGCTGGCACGGGTTCGAGTCCCGTCATCGGCAGATTTTTATTTCTTCAGTATCTTCAGTAAATTCAGAAATTCATATTTAAATTTCATTTATAGAATCAGCAGTGTTCTCCTGTCGCAGGCGTCCGCCCTTCTAAGACCATTCTTGAAATAGGAATTCCTCTTTTCGGGTGGCAGCTGCCTTTAAAAATGTACACAGCGTTATAAACTATGTAACATGCGCAATATTATTACTAACGTACGCATACCGGCATACGTATACTTGTATACAACATTCACGTTTTTTTCAGGTTCCATGAAAATACATCAGAAACGACATTCCCCGAAAACCACCTTATTTTCCCAGTTAGCAGTCATAGAAACGAAATTCACCACATCTGAACAGACAACAAAAAAAGGCGGCGTAATTCAATAAAAAACACAAAAAGATGCCTTAGATGGCATCACTTTCTCCTAAACAATGATGGCGCAAAGTTACTCAACATTCCACGTTTATCCTTTTCTTCCTGTGCGTGAGATAAAGCGGCCGCCGCCTTGCTCTGCTCCTCCTGAAATGAACAGAATGACTTTCTTGAGTTTCGAAAAGCACGGCAAATAACCGTACCATCAGTATTTTCTGTCGCGTTCGGAAAGCCGAGAGAATATCGTCCTCATCTCGATAATTGTCAAGAACTTCTCTGACATCATCAACCTCACTGGCAGCAATCGCTAAAGCGAACAACAAGTTAACTGCAATCTTCCCATCACTTACGACAAAAGAAAAAAAACAGACGCAAAATATCGCACTTTTTAAGAATGTTGCCAGCTCCAAGAGTGTGCGGTCATCATCGTTGCCAGTCCACTTTGGAAGTAAGACAGCATTGCGAGTATGTGGAGTAACAACAGCGGGATCACAGTCCACAACGATCACTTTGGATAGATCTCGATTTAGATAGGACAAATCTTTAATATGCTTCCCGTTGATATAGCGTGTCGAATCACGGAATAATTTATACAAAATACATCCATTCGGATCAAGGCTGAACAAGATAGGATAAGCTGTCTGAAAAGCAAAAAACTGTCAGTCCATCCATGACCATTGAGCCGCAATATCAACAGTATTAAAATACGTGACACGAAAGATTACGTTTCTTAGGTAATAATCAAAGCAACGATTAATGATCATCTTACTTATTGGTTATTGCAAAGTAGGCAGGCAACCCATTAAGGGCTAGGATCGCCATCTAGCGTGAGAATTTAAACCTGGCTAACTTAACGAATTATTATCAAATTCAGGATTAAAGGTTCTATTTACTGTTCAGGTAAAACCAATCTACGAAATCCTTATAAACTTCTTGCCGTACAAGAAAGTGAAAAGAGTTACGTCTATAGTGACAGCCAGGCAGGAGATTGCTAGGCGTGAAATTTTGATTATTATTATACATAAACATCCGTGCTTACGAAAGCTTGTTCACTGGTGTACACAACAATTTCAAAATAAGGGCCGGCAAGTTGCTCCAGGAAATATTCCACACCGGGTCGCTTCTTAAATCTCCATCCGGTTGCGTACTAAACATAAGTAATAATAAAGTTTCACTAAATGAGAAAGTATTAGAAAAACGGCGGTTTAATTTTTTTTATAACCGAAATTAAGAAGAACTGCACAATTGAAGTCATAATTAAGCAGCCGTGTGGTTTATTCAACAAGAATATGGGTAAAACGAACAGATGCCCCGGTATCTGTTGCAATCCTCCGCCAGCAAATAAGTACTTGCAAATCTTCCACTTTTTATTGCACAAGCGGTTACAATCAACACTTTACCGTCCAATCAGGATGCACAAGAACTCCTGTCATTTCCAGAACTAGCGTATACGGAGGCTGGTGATATGGTTCTTTGAAAGGGTCTGGCAATAGTTTCTCTCTTGATGGTTCTTTAATCATCTAAAATTAGGAACAATGTAGTATCAAAACAACCCCATATGCGAAAATAGTACGCACGTAATAATCTTTCGACACTTCTTAATAGTAATACGTAATGAAAACAAAAACGGTAAACAGCCTAACGGACACAAGAATAACATTTACTGATTTTAATGTCTAAATTTTAATGATCCAGTAGAGTGACCGCGCTTCCTTTTTGTTACAGTATCTGGTGGCTAGGTTACTGTCTAAAAATACTGTTTTCAAGATTTTACAAGAAAAATTAATTAATAAACAACTTGAAAACAATAAACACTTACTGAGATACATCGAACAAAATTAGTTCAGAAATTTTAACGAACCTGAATAAAAAGTAACCAAATAATGAAAATAAAGGAAGAACTGGAACTAACTACTCAGCGATAAATAATGCCGATATCTGACGCAATAACCGAGTTTAACTACTGTAGTGGCTCGCACATCTTGAACCACAGAGTTGTTGTACGGGAAAAACGTGCATCCCATATACACACTCTAACAGGGCCACACGCACGATTCGCAGTTGTTTGCATTGTTAATTTCTGATGTTTCACAACATCTGGTCTGGAGAACCTTCTTGAATATTAAAAAAATTAGAGCTCTAACAATTATTAACTATATTTATGCTCAAAAGCAGCCATTAACTTGAATCTTTGCTGTCAGCTGGAATTCAAACACTGGTTTGTTGTGGTTTTTGGGGTGCCCCTGCAGGGTGAGGGGTACGTTCAGCGTCAGCATGCTACAGCTACAGAACAATTCGAGCTTTCAGATACAAATCGTTTTTTTCTAAGGTGAATTACAATTTTAATGAAAATGCTTGATTAATTGGACAGATTCAGAAGGAGTGTTCATGTTGAAGTCAAATCAAGCATTATTTCGTAGCCGTGCATTTTGCCCGGTTAGAGTGTGTATATTGGATGCACTTTTTTCCCGTACACTAACTCTGTGGTTCAAGATGTGCGAGCCACTACAGTAATTATTTGTCAGAATTCCTGACGGCTGACAAATGCTATTTATAATCCGATACATCATAAAAAGAAGCGAATGCTAGGATATCATTAAAGAATAGAGCAGGTGTTAGGTAATTTGAATTGTCGGACTCCGAGCTAAACCTCAACAGAGCTGAAAATTGATCCATCCATGTTTACATATTAATAAGCATGTTATCACATTACAGTACTCACCTTTTCAAAAAACACCATCTCCTTCCATGATCGCAAAAGATATTGTTTCCACACTGGCACTACAAGAAAAAACTTAAGAATGATAAAAGAAAAACCGAAGACACATGCACACTTACTGGTACTGAATTCATCAATAACCTGAAAAGGACGAAATTTAATTATCAATTTAAAAAAATAAGAATGCGATCGAGTCGAGCGAGCGACAATTTAAAAGCAATTACAAAATCGGCGGTTACCTACAGTGTATGTTATTCTCATGAATTACTTGCATCTACAGTTCAAGTAGTAATGCACAGTAACGATAAATATTGGCACATAATTAAAAAAAACACTAATGCAGGTTTGAGTTACTTAACATACCAAATTCCCGTCCTCATCTTTTTGTGGTTGCCCTAAAAGACAACAGTGTTTAGCATAGAAAACTAAAAATGCGCAAATTCCACTGAACTAGAGCAAGTATATGCCTACCCCACTCTAAAATGGCAAAACCGGCTGCTCCGACAAATGTGCATCCCATGGCTATCAGAGACCACTTCATCGCTCGCCGAGCGAAGGCATCTTTACGCCGCTTTTCTTCCTCTTCCGCTGAGGATGACTGCGACGGATTCGGCAGATCCTTGCTAGCAGAATCATTTGTCTGCGACTGCACGGTCTTATTTAAAATTTGGTCCGCAAGTTTTTTCGTATCTGATTCTTGCGCCAAGGATGTTGACCATGTTTTCAAGCTGGCAATTTGAGCACCTGATATCCAAGGAGAAAACTGATGTCGTCCGGAGCTACAATAATGTTTTCGGTTTTCCGAACCGGAATGCCAGTCATAAAGCGGGCCAGAAAAACAAGATATATGGCGTGATGTGCTCGGAATAGTATTCCAGTTTCGTGATTGATCACAACTCGCTAGGATATTCGCTTTCTGTCGGATTACATTCGCGAGTTTCTTCGTCAGTACTGTTTTACCAGCAAGCGCCATATCTATCACATCAGGACACCACGATGCGAATTATTCATAACAGATAATAAATTTCCCGATGTATCGCGCGTACCGCTCGTGCGCGCATGTAAATTGCTCACTGCAAACAGATTTTCTTAGAAATTTTGAACTAAACCGAATAAAAATTGGTAACCCGAGGTCCAGAATAAGTACTACTCGTACGAATGTTTCCATATCACTCCAAATTGTTGTAAGTAATTCAAGTACCTGCCGTACCGAGGCTGCCTGCGCACACGTCGACGACTTGCTATGCTCGCAGTGGTAAAATTTGAAAACCGTGTGAAAATCCGGCTCAAACATAAGACCGGTTGCATTAAAAATTCAGAAATTTTATTACATAGGTGCATACCTTTAAATGTAGCAAAAAATGTGAAAAACTCAGAAGATATCATATGATATCGTCTACACTTCTGTGGTCCTTACAGTTCACGCTGGTTGTTCAACGGACCGGTACTACATGTAGTAGGTTTACAAAATCAGCTTTTACTTGCATTATGACATTGTTTATACAGAAAACCCATGGTAAAACTAAATCCTCCGAACAAAGCTTTTGATTAATAATATCTGATTGCCAAAACCAAGGGACAAAGACGCGCATGTACAACTTCTACAAATGGAAACTCAAAGGAGGCGCTGTATTGCAGAACAAAGCATCAGCAGATACAACAAATCCATTTTGTCAGAACTGAGCTACCGCTTTCAGTCTGCGATCAGTGAAAAACTGGTGCTGATGAGGGACTGATGAAGTACCTTGAGATACCTCCCGTTTGAAAAAATTCATGATGGACGGCGTTGAACTGTTGACCACTTCGACTACCTCTTCCCATGTCACACTTGCCGCTTTCTCAAGAGCAGTTTCCGTGGTTGACCAGCTGAACCGGATCAACTGCGGATATCCAAAAACATGGTCTCTGAACTGATCAAGGAATCGTTTTGTTTCTGGATCCGATGGGTATCCGCTTCCATAGTTTAAATCCGCCAAAAACTTCTCGCCCTCGCGAAATTTCCATTCACGGAGGGCTTTATCACGACACACTTTGGCAACAATACTAGCCGCACTGACCACTGGGAACAACGAGTCGGCTTTCTTAGAAACCACAATATCCGGTATATGCGGGAAACGATCCCGTAGTTTGGCCTGATATTTACTGGGGTCACCGACGGTGTCCAGGTACACTCCTGCCACTCTGATCTCCAAGTCCAAAACGGACTGGATAAGAAACATTGCCGAATCATGAGAAATGGCATTTAAGTTGTACTTTGCTCGGCTCAGCATGCACCTGGAAATACGTTGAAAATGCTACGACTGACAACGAGTAGCACAGCAAATGACAGACTGCCGGTACTTTGAGATGACCGCAGGCGAAAGGATTTGGGCCATCCAGCCGAAATTGTCGGCGCCGGCGTGTAAATTTGCAAAGCACTGATTGCGCTGCTCTTCTGTTAGAGTTTTTGAATCAGCAACCTTTACGGATGACAGAAGACCTTCGCTTTTTTTCGCCACGTAACAGGCTCCATACACCATCGGCCCCAGAACAGGACCCCGTCCTGTAAGATACGTAAAAAAACCTTGAAAGCTACGTTTAAAAAAAACTTGTTAAGCAAAGAAAAAACAATAACGAGCATAATCGGCGGCTATACGTAAAGATTTTTAACACGTAATTTCACTCCGCTAAATCATAGATGACGAAAACTCAAAGCAACACGTTCTGCAACATTTACCGCTATCGTTATTATAAGGTAAGTTCTTTTTAAAATGTACAGTAATTCCTATCGTTAATCAGCGCTACGTGCATATATTCACCCAGATTCTATCAATTATCATGCAAAAATAAGGCAATACCTAATTACAATGGAATACAAATATACAATCAATACATCAAATTATCGAAGGCAAAAGCCGCAAACTACTGTAAAACGCAAACAATGCAACAGACCTGCTTCATCGATCCCGATTATAACATCCTCTTTCCCGATTGAAGCTGGAAGGACTGATTTTAAGACAAAATTTTTTGTATTATCTTGATGAAAATCTTCCAGTTCCATTGCTGACTGCATATTCCAAAATTTGTGGCTTAAACTCCTTAAAGAACACTGTAAAGTCCGTCGAGTACAATCACAGTACTTAACTACTGTATTTACAAAGCAAACAGGCGAAAACGCCAAAAATCGCAGAACGTTTACTATCGCAGTACAAAACAATCTGCAGTTTGGCTTGTGGAAGAGTTGTAGAGGAGAAGTCCAAATCGACTCACCCCTGCAATCTGCGAGCCTGGCAGCCTGCGAGGATACGACAGGGCGGACTGCTGTAAGACAGTGCAAGTATAAAGTACTACAGTAATTGCTTCAGTACAATTCTCAAACTGCTTCATTTGAAGCGATCTCCAAAGATGAGCCTTGTCCAGCCTAAAACAATACTTTTGATAATTTATTGTAAGTTTTTACGAGCACAAATATGATACAATAATAATAATTTACAGTTTGGCAAAATAATAAATTGCATTTGCAATTTTGCATGAACTAGAAACAGCATCCGTACCGCTTCTTATATGGCTCCATACTACTTGCGTTGTTACCTTCCTCGTCAGCGCCCTCTACTTTTACGAAAAAATGTCGGCCAAAATTTTTTAGAAATCTAATGCAAAGTAATGCAAAGTAGTTTTGCAGCTTTGCATTTTAGTATTCCTGTGGATCGTCAAATTCCGCTTTTGATTATCAGACTATCTCCGCATTACCTGCTTTTTTGGTTTATACGTTTTGTTAACACACAGTTTTGCAATTCTATTAGTCCAGAATCGACCATTAACCACGGGATAATTGTTTGCAGTTTGCACAATAAAAAGAACCCATAAACGGTATGTTCGCTATGTTGTTAGCTTGTTTGTTTTTCGTTAAATTTTCGTTTTTTGATGATTTGCTGCATCATTTGCAGTAAAAATTGAAATAGTTAAAGTTAAATTAATTATTATTAGTGAATAATTTTTTCCTGTTTATCTGCAAGCGTTTCGATTTTAGTTTCTGATCAATTTACACAAATAGAATGATGGAATAACCAAATTGTTGCACTTTGTCAGTTTACGGCTACTTATACTTACTGGGTTACAACGAAACAATTAACAAGCAATCACTTTAGATTCACCTAAATAACTTATTAGTAATCGCGTGCGTTTTTTACAGTTGTCCAGTTGCAGCCCATTGAACTTCATTGCCATAATGGCTACGTCAGCGGTCTCGCAGCCAGTCCGCTCGGATTATGAGAAGCGCGTATCGTATTATTATGATGCAGATGTCGGAAATTTTTATTATGGTCAGGGCCATCCCATGAAGCCCCATCGCATCCGAATGGCGCACAATCTCATTCTCAACTATGGACTATACCGGAAAATGGAAGTGTACCGTCCCCACAAAGCGACCTGCGAGGAAATGTCCAAATTCCACACCGATGATTACATACGCTTTCTCAAATCCGTCAGGCCTGATAATTTGGCGCAGTACAATCGCTACATGCAGCAGTTCAATGTGGGAGAAGATTGCCCAGTGTTCGATGGACTGTATGAGTTTTGTCAGCTTTCTGCTGGTGGATCCTTGGCTGGTGCCATCAAGCTGAATAAACGCCAGACCGACATTGCCGTCAACTGGGCAGGAGGTTTGCACCACGCTAAAAAGGCCGAAGCGTCGGGCTTTTGCTACGTAAACGTAAGTTCTTTGCTGAAATTATGGTGTTATAAAATCGTAGCATTTTTTTCAATTAGCATACGGTACCTAATAGGGAGCATACACATTGCACAATTTTTGCCTGATAAAATTAATATTAGACAGATTAAGTGTCATACACTTACATAAAAGGCTGCGCTGCACAGACGTGATCTACAATAACTGAATTCCAGATCCGTAGGCATATTGGAAACACTTAACAAATCTTTTAATTGCAGGATATTGTTTTGGCCATTTTGGAACTGCTGAAATACCATCAGCGTGTGTTGTATGTGGACATTGACGTGCACCATGGCGATGGCGTGGAAGAAGCTTTCTTCACCACAGATCGCGTTCTAACGGTATCATATCACAAGTATGGCGAATACTTCCCCGGAACTGGCGATTTGAACGACATCGGAGCTGGAAAAGGGAAGCACTATGCCGTGAATTTCCCCCTCCGGGATGGCATCGATGACACCAGTTATGAGGAGATTTTCGCACCCGTTATGACGAAAGTTATGGAGTTCTACGACCCGGGAGCTGTTGTGCTCCAGTGTGGAGCTGATTCTCTCACGGGAGATCGATTGGGTTGCTTTAATCTGACTGTCAAAGGTACGGTCCTGTTATCACTATAAATACGGATCGCTTCCATTGGGCTTCCAGATAACCTTTCGCTGTTTTGCTTACTTTGGGTGTAATTCCCTGGTTTTTTCCTAGGACATGCGAAGTGCGTGGAATTCATGAAACGCTTTAACAAGCCGTTGTTATTATTGGGTGGAGGAGGCTACACAATCAAAAACGTAGCTCGCTGTTGGACGTATGAAACGGCCGTAGCGCTCGGAGTTGATGTTGCTAATGAATTACCGTACAATGATTACTTCGAATACTTTGCTCCTGACTTTAAACTCCATATTGCACCATCTAATATGTCAAATTTAAACTCGAGCGAGTACCTGCAAAATGTTAAAGAGCGCTTGTTTGAAAACCTGCGCCATATGCCGTTCGCACCGTCTGTGCAACAGCATGAAGTCCCCAAGGACTCTATGGATCTCGATGACCTTGAACGAATGGCCGTAGAGAATTCCAACCCGGACGAGCGTGTACCTGAGGCCGTGAAGGATAAGATCCGTGAGCGGAGCACTGATGATTTGGATACGGCGGAAGGAGGAGAGGCGTCGAATGATCGCAATGCGGATAGCAATGGAGAAATTATACATCCAAGCGGAGCCAGGAAACGTCTCTTGCCGCAGGGTTTCGGCGAGCGTGATGACGATGGACCATCCAGCAGGACACCAACCGCGGTAAGTGCTGCAGTACAACCGGAGCAAGCATCTGCTGAGCCTATGGATCTGGGTGCCGGGAATGAGCTGATCAAGGCTGACGACCGAGAGGCACAAAAAGAAAATCCCACTGTCTAATTTTATTGTTTTTTATGGAAGTGCTGTTCCGATATTTTAACTTTATTGTCATGATGGTCACTTTTGCATGTTGGACACTTTGTTATGAGCTTGTGCTATCGGTATTTTTTGTTGAGTCATGGTATTACTTATTGGCATGCGTGTTCTCATGGTTATAACTCGCCGCTGCTTTTTTAAATTTAATTTTGAACTATTTGTGACGGTACCTATTTTTTCCTCAACTGTACTGCACCTTTTTATGACAGCGACATTCGCATCTGTATGAAATTATCACAAGCTTATTGTCTTTTTGCACTTTAAGGTTGTATTGTGTCAGCCATCAGAGTGATCAGACTTACAACCATCACCGAAGGTCCGAAACCATACGGAGTAGTAGTTGTTGTAATAAATTCAGTAAAAACTTGGCGCGGTTGCAGGTTGGATTTCATTTGTAACAGCAGTCTCTGGGATACTGTAGGCCTTGAGCACTTCAGTAGGAACTTTCATTAAAAATTAGAATATGCCGGAAACCGGGAAGACTTCTATCTATGAAGAAAAGCAATTTCAAAAATATTTTACACAAATGCCACGTACAATGCCGAACGCACTCTATTATAAACTTCAACAGAAGTACGTAAGTACTAAGTACATATCGGTGCTTCGCTTCGGTCGATTAAGTACGTATTAAAATTTTACAATATTATGGCAAATTTTTCATGATCATCAACGTAACTTTCGGCTCGGTGGTCTGGGCCTGCCACAAAATACGGATCCATCGTCCCACATGTTATTTTTTTTATGAAAAGTTAATGAGCTAATTTTCATTTAGTACGTTTATCAACACTCTTACGGTATCTCCTTATGGATCATCATAAAAATAAAAGTTCCAGCGAACCGATGAGCGCCTGGAAATGGCCTGAAGTCGATTCCTACCTCTCTGATCGCGTAAAAGCTTTGAATTCCCACTCTTTGTCAATGCTTCGAAGTCATGTTTCTGTTAGTAGTACCGTGAGCGATTACAGTCACGGATCCTTAAGTGCTCTACCAGAAGGTAAAGATTAAAGAATCATGAATTTACCAGTGTGAATTGGCTGATAGCCGATTCTAAACAAGAAGCCGAATTTTTTGATTCTTTACTCGTACGTGTAGTTGTGTTTGTATTTTACAGGTGCATTGGAATGCCTTAGCCGTGTTGATTTTCCAGAAATTAATCCTGAGCACAAAACCGGCCCTAAATATTATTACGAAGCCTTCGATTTAATGGCTCCTTTTATTTCCTTAGTATATCGTACTATCAGGGATAATTGTAATGGTTGCCGTGATGAGGAAGCATGCTGGACACAATATAGTAGGAAACTGGAATGGACCGGAGATGCGGCGGTGTGTTTTCGCGGGCAGTCGCATTATGTGGCTTATAGACAGATCACCCAAATGATCGCATTTTTTTCATAATGTGGTATGTTTTTTATACGCAGTTTTTGGTGCAGTGCCTTAAAATGTGCCTGGAGCGAAACTGTACGGAGATTACTCTGCTAGCGTTGCAGCTAGCCAGTGTCCGAATGGAGAGATCTTTAGGAGATGTGAGTGAGTGTTCAAGCGTCGTTGAAACACGCCGTTTCTTACTAATGTTGGAATACGAGTAGTTCTGCAAGTTGTCTGCTTCTATGGATTTATAATGTTTTTCGGTTTGCCGGAAATCAATAACTAGGGCCTGTGGCACATGGAATTATACCTGTAATTCTGCCATTATAGAATTACTTGTATAATGATATATTATAATACTCGAAACTTTTTTATTACGGCAGATATTAATTAGTGTGAAGTACCGGTGTCCTCCGTTGTTAAAAGATATTTTGGCGCATCCCGCTCTGGCTGCTGCAATTGGGACTGACATTGTGCGTACAGTATATCTATTCAGACTATACTTACTGTTACTTACATACTTGCAATACTTACGTCTTTAGTTTTCAATTTATGCGAGATGGTACAGCTTACCATGAATTTGGTTTGCAAAGGTGAGTGTTTTTTGCGCTTGCAGATTGAAATCTTGACCGTTCTCATTGGACCTCCTACGTCGCTCAATTTGAGAAACCTTGCGTGGCATGGATTTCTTTCCCCCAACGAGGTTGCTCTAGAGTGGGTGTAGGAATGTTGTGGTTCTGAATGCATACTGGGGGACTTGTTTCCTTCTTAAAATGTTGGTCAGTAATTAAAAGACTTGTGTGGTTTGACTCTGCCTGGTCGAGTACTTATGGTTTGTATACTGTATAGTGTTACCTTCCTTTTGTAGTTTGTACTTATGTTTTTATTGATGTTACACTTTTTAGATTCCCAGTATTTCTGACCTGGCTTCTCATTGTGATCGGTGAACGATTAGACAAGAAGCATTTGACCGTACGGAGAAGGAATACCAAAGTGTGTCCACTTTTGCTTCCGAAAAATTTATCATTGCCTTTTTTGGACGGAGGTAAGTATAGTCTAACTCTAACAAGAGGCTATTTATTGCGAAAAAAGTGCGTTGTCCCTGTACATATTATGGTAATGGAGATTTGACTTTTTGCATACTTCCTTTGGCGGGAATTCAGGCGGAAATGCAGCACTGTATACTAACGCGGAACAGCTATTTCGGGCATCAGTTCTGATCCCAGAGAACAGACGGATGCTCTTTGAGCTAATCACCATACTGTTTCGCAAAAACCAGTGCGTTTTAAAGGTCGTTTGTGACTTTGTATGCCGAACGTTTTTGCCTTAATGCATATGTTGGTGACCTTTTAGAACATGGTTGGCGGTTAACTTGTTGCTGCCGCAAATCGAAGCTGTCTTGCGGTTGCTGTTTTCCTTATCAAATGAAGAACCAAAGCGAATTTTAACGGCTGAAGTATGCTCCCATGAAAATGCACCATCTTTCAGCAGATTTTATGTTACTGAATTCTGATTACAGGATGACCAGTTTTTTCTGACCCTTGATACGGTGGGTCCTTCCTACCGGTGTAATTTGCGTATCTTTTGACAAAGAGTTTTGGCTTACAGATACTTGGGCGAGACGCCCAGCTTACGGAAAATAAGCTTCGGAATTTTCTTGGAGATGAACTATTGGTATGAGAATGGTTTTGCTCACTACGGCTTACACATATATATTTAATACGGTACTAGTGTGATGACAAGCCGTAGACTTTCTTTGGGGTGACCTTATTAGGAGTTGAAATTACTTACATGTTGTAGCTTTTTATGGCTTGTTGTGACTTTCATGGGCATCGATCAAGTCATGCTGGTAGATTTTGGTTTGTAGAGCTTTTTACTGGATCTTTATATTTATCCCCAAGGACCACGTTACCGTCACACGCTTAGCCACGGGGAGTACGATCAGGCCAGCATAACTGAAATAGACGGAAATGCGTTACTAGCGGTGACAACCTGTATTATATTACAAGCTGAATCTGATCCACTTACACCGGTTCGTACATCAGATAGTTCCAGTTTCTTCTTCCACAGCTCACTTTTGATTTTTGCAGACTTCGGTCACTTTAAATCAGTGGATAAATTCGTACACGGTGCGGTTTCATCCTGTCGGGATAATGAAACTGTACATAACCAGCTTTGTTGGGGAACTAGAAAAGCTTAATTTGTGCTCACTGCTGAAAGATTATCGTCAGTAAGAATGCTTCTCGAAGTTTAGCGCTTTTCGGTTTTGAGTAATTTTCGATTTTATTTTTAGAAACTCGTCTGTAGACGGTATCTTCCGTAGCGCTTTTGCTATGTCGGCTCCGTTTGATCAGTCTTGCGCGATTTTCCGTGTGATTGCCGGAATCATCGATTATGCAGACTGGCACCATGTGTTCACGGCAATGGCTGGTTTTCCTTTCCAAACAGTTTTTCGCCCAGTCTCGGAAGCTGCATTTATTAAACTGTGTACACTTATTTGGACTCGTATGGTTGGTGTTGTCAGCAACATCCGTAATTATATGGAAAGTACCTCACAAAAATTCGCTTGCAATGGCGAACTGCCGAAGCAGAATGTTCTCCCGTATCTACGGTTCCTTGATGTGTAAGCCATATATTTGCGATTTGACGATCGGTGCAGAGCGGCAAAAAGTGCAGTGACGTAAGAATTTTTATTTCAGTTTCGAACCACTGTTGGAGAAGATCTTCAGCACTGGATTGCTTCTGTTTGCTGTAGTGACAATTTTGCAAGACGGAAGCCGGACGGCCGATAATGCACCGCAGAGTCGTAGTAAACTAAGTAAAGACTGTAAAAGTTTGAAGAAAGTACTGCAGGCTTGGGAAAATATTGATTCTTTGTCGAAAACAAGTGTCAATGATTATTTTCCAATTGCACACTGGCTTAATTCGCTCGATTCTCATTTGAAATGTTGTTTCAAGTTCAACTTTTGAACTGATGTGATGGAGGTGACTGTGATATTTGTTTTTGGTAGTTTTCGTCGTCTGAAAACGTGTTTCTCTGGAAGTTTCGAAATCGAATATAATTTTAATTCCTAAACAAAAATTCTGAGAATAAGCCATTCCCGATCAGATTTAACCACGCCTAACCCTCGCTGCAAAACTATACGGGTAAACAATGAGATAAAATACACTTAAAACACCCAAAACAACGAAGTCCGAAGCATTGTAACTAACTCAGCAGCATTTATACACACGCTGCGGCGAACGAAAAACTCATAAAAAATATTAACAGCCAAAAATCATAAGGGAATTTAGCCAGAATAGTCCTGGTACTCAAAGAGATCTCGATCATAAATATCAGCCTTCACAATGCGTCCAGCAAAATATCGCCCATTAAGTCCGGCCTTTGCTTTGTCAGCACCTTAAGAAAAAAAACACCATTCGTAAGTGATTAAGAATTTTTACCATCAGCAACCATGCTATGGCAATGGAACTCACCATGTGGTCCCTCGAATTCCACAAAAATCTTCACATTAGTTGGCGCATCTGGGCTTTCATTTTCTCGCTCCTGATAAATAACAACATGTTTGACTGCGCCATACTGCGAGCATTCCTCCTCGATCTCCGCTTTCAAAGCACCATCCACTTCGTCGGGAGTTACCATGTTCCGCAATACGATCACACTCGTCTGAAAAATAAACCGAAACCTACAGTAGGAGAATGGATTTACAGAGATTAAGAAACCAGTGCACTCACATCCTTCGGTCGCACAAGCTTTTGCATGATAAGATGGCGTGCACTGCTGCCTTTAATCACCATATTTTCCTGATGGTGCAAAGTCTGAGGTATGTCATCTTCATTGGAAGCAGTTTCCTTTTTAGTTTCCGCTTGCTGTTTATCACCATTAATTCCATTCTCCTCTTTTCGAGCTCCAAGTTTCTGTGGAATCACTACACCAATCGGTGGTGGAACAGCTGCTGTGAATCCCGGCGGCGCAATCACGACACTTGGAGGAGGCGGAGGCGATGGACGTCGTACACTGGACGAAGATGGGGACTAAAAAAGATAAAAAGGAATTTCCAAACGATCAAAAACGGGTTTTTCGTTTTGGATACAACGACAAATTACATACTGCGACAGCCTCCAATGCTTGGAGTTTAGCCGTAACAGCGGCAGCAGCCACGGCGGACGCGGCGGGGAGTCCACCCGGAACCAGCACCATGGACTGGATAGTTGTATTCGGTGGCATAATACACTGCAACAAAGTAAAAAAACATTCCCAACGCCAAATAGGAAAGTATCAGTGCTTATTTTCTCACCTTGCCCACTCTCATGTGCATGCCACCTAAATCAAACATATTCATTGAAGCGATGGCGTCTTGCGCGCTCTGCGTGTTTTCGTATTCTATGTATCCATACCCTCTGCCATGTAATGTCGGGTTATCGAAATGTTCATGGAATGAAAAGTAAAGACAGGACTTACTTATGCCGACTAGTTGGCGATATTCTGGCCAATGTCACGCTAACTATTTTCCCAAAGGCTTCGAACACACTGTAAAGAGCAAATAAAATTATTGGACAACAAACATTGATATAAGACAATTTTAATTACAAGCTGTATGATTTAAAAGCTAATTATTTATGGACGTACCTTTTGAGATCGTCTTCGGCTATATCCGCGTGGATACTTGCTAAATAAATTCGATTACCCAGCGCCGCTTCCGCGAGAATTTCTTCCACAAGCGGTTGGGCTTGAGGCATATTGCTCGGTCGCCCAACCTGGTTATAAAACGAGGTACAATGTAAAAATTTACTCATAAAAATTATCTTAACCATTACAAACACAGCAACTTGCAAACTAGGAATGACGCTTATTAAATCAAAATTCAAATCCCGCAGTTAAAACTCGCTTTTATGAATTTATTGTAAAAGCCACCCCACTTCTGACGTACACTGAAAAACAACAATACTTTAGTCAAATTAAAAATGCACCTTAATATTCCGACCTCCGATGATTGCACCTCCCATCTGCTCCAATGCAATCTGCGCTGCTTCAGGAATTTCGTATTCAACAAAAGCGAATCCTTTATGTTTATTCAGAATAGGATCGTATGACATGTTCACACTTCTAATTGGACCAAATGGATGAAACGCGGTTTTTATGGTCTCTTCTTTCAGTTCAAAACTGATACTTCCAACATACACCCTGCAAAACCAGCGTATATTTTCGGAAAAAGATTTAAAAAGCTGGAATAGTTCACCTACCGACACATTAACATAAGCGCTTGTTGTCGCTGAAGATGCTTCTGTTGTTGTTGTTGATGGGCCAAGGTTTGTTTCATAAGCACATACTTAATACTTTGCTCCGTGGCATACTTTTTCGCCTTATTAATCTTTTCCTTTTGGTCCTCACTAAGTGCTATCAGATTCTGAGATAAGAGCAATGGGAGATCGTTCTTGGCACCAGGACCGACAAGAATTCTTCCCGTTTGCTCGGCTTGGCCGTTCTATGAAAAAGTACGCGTTAAGCTTAACTACCTCGTTCAAGATTGTTCATGCATACAGTAATATACAGGGAAGTGTTATAAAAAGCAGGGAAAAAACTCTAAATATGAAATGCCAACCTGTAATCCTGATTCCAGATCCTCCATGGCGACGAAGGCTTCCCTTTCCAATAAAAGAACCAAAAAACCGAATTTCCCAATATTAATCAAAAAGCAGCGATATAACGAAGATTTAAGGCTCCATTTTTGACAGTGCCGTATTAGAAGAATTCCATATGTGCGAGGTTCGCACTTCCAAGGGCTAAGCCCGACGAGATTGTTTTCAAACCACTCTCCACAGTTAAGCAATACTAACGACTTCAGTCAAGCAATTAACCTTCCCAATGCCTACAAATAAAACAGGACAAGGCCTAAAATGAGCAAAACGCACAAACTCCTGCCATCTTTGATCTTACAATCAATTTTCTAGGACTGATCAGTGATCACTGACGCTCCAAGAAAAATCGAAAGATACGCTAGTGTACAGCATACGGTACCGTATAGACTATAGAGTCTATAGACCGAAACCGGTACGGCGTAGAGTCGGCCGGCTTCACGGCTTCGGTTTTTGTAAGATCGGTCTTTGAGCGGTCTGGCACGAGACTGTATGACGGGACCGTGTGGGAAAAAGTTATCTTCAAAGTTTTCGTTGTTTGTTCAGATTTAGAAAACATGTAACCAATAACTATTATTAGTAGTTATTAGTACTCAAAGTATATATGTGTACAGCTCTCAAACGTATCATTTTTAATTCAATAACTGCTTTTCGTATTGTACGGGTGCACAAATATTATAATTCTACTTCACAAAGCATGATGCACAATCGTACAGTACGTAAGTAAACCCGTTACCCAACCACCCCATCTCAATCAAACATTCACAGCCAAAACGGCAGAAGAGAAGCAGAAAATTAAATTATAACACAGTTAAATAACGCCGGCTTCGGTTATCCAATTAAGCATTAAGCTTGTGATCACCCGTCTTGTCGCGCATCACCACCGAACCATCTTCCTGCCCAAAATAAACCGAATGTGCGATTCCAACAAAAACTCCCGTCGCAATAACACCTAGAAGACAATGACGTGATGTGTATTGTTAAATTAAATACAGCTGCCCATTTTAGCCGGAGCCCATTAACCTGGAATGGCTTTGATGCCCTCGTCCACAGCCTTCCAGTCAAGACTGGAATCAGTGGGAAAAATCCAATCCAAAATCAGATTACCGGCATCGGTGATTACCGGTCCCTACAGACAGACGGTAAACATCTATACTATCATACTACGGTAAACATCAAATCCTAGAATTTTACGTACGCATTTCTTTGAAGCCTGACGAAGGACGGTCTTTGCGTTATCACCTCCAAATTTCTTTAAGATGGCCGACTTGACTTCCTCCGCGTTGTGACGAAAATCACAGTCCACAACTTTTTCACTGTTGACCACGATTTCGACGGGAATTCCTTTTGACCACTTTTCTCCAAGACGCTGGGATTTCTTGCTGAAAATTGCAACATAAAATGATGAAGTAAGTAAACCGGTACGCGATAAAAGTCTTCGTACGAATTATCAGCCAGGATAATCAGCTGCTTTGCGTGAAGCGCCACAGTCTTCTCCAACAGGAAGCATCCACCACCGCCCTTAATTAAATTCAGATGTTCATCCACTTCATCCGCTCCGTCAATGGCCAGATCAATCTAGGAAGCGTACATGATAGTATGATGATACCGAAATAATAATCACATGAAGCGTAAAACAAAAACCATGTCTGCATTTTCGTACCGATGGAGAATCTTTGACGCTGGCAATTTGGTCTTTCAGGCCGGCGGCCACCGCAGCTTCGTATGCTTGGAAGGATGTTGGCACAACTTTTATATTATGGCTTTTCAAGTAATCGCCCAGTCCTTAAAAGGCAAATATTAAGAATAAAAGTAATACAAAAACGATTCAAATTAAATGAATAATGCGGCATATCATTTTCTAAGCGCACCGATTTCCTTGTCTTTCATAGCCAGTTCAATGGTGGTACCACTGCCAAGCCCGAATATTTTAATATCCGTCTGCAGCATGGAGAAGTCAAGTTATCAACATTACCACTGCAACTCCGGTTTTTTAACTGCATTTTTTGTCCTACAACAAAAATCTAAAAGACTTACGCGAGGACGAATGATTTTGTCCATAACATATTTGGCAACCACACGTTTTGTGGCATTGGCTGCTTCGCTTAAAGACATTTTCTTGTTGAAGACGGTCTCAGAGCTCAAAATATCTCTCGCTTATTATAACTTAATGACTGGGTCTCGAAAAGATGCAAAAGAAACTATCAAAAAGTAACAATAAAGGAGGAAATCAACCGTAGGCTAAACGTAAACGCGAATCCAGGAAATATACGGTACCGTCTGGGTACGGTGGCTCTGGTAGGCTCAACAGCTGATAGAAATTCGCGATGACGTCACGGAAACAACATCACGAATACGCTCAACACAGTGAAAGCCGGAGTTTTGCTTGATTGTGTTCTGTATGTACAGTACTTTTTTTACTACAGTAATCGTAAATTTTTTATCGTTAGTAATGAAAATTTGGATACTACTCTCTTTTCTTACGACCATTTCTTATTTCTATCTCGTGATGATTGTAACTTTTCTACTCTAGCGTTTCGGAGTTATTCAACTCATTTAGCCACAACGACATGGAAAACCAGCATTTAGAATGCCCAGTTTGTTTTCGGGACAATTTCAACAGCAGCGATGCACTAAGTAACCATGTACAAACCCATTTCTCTGACAACGAAACGCTTGCTGCATCCAGCTCCGCGAGGGAAAGGAACCCAGGAAACCAAGACAGAGGTTTGTTTACCATTTCGGACTGTGGCTACACCATGCCTGTTTTCCGGAATTTGATGTCATTCATATCAGTGTCGTGTCTTTTCAGCACCTACCATCGAAGAACAGCTCCGAGAACGTCGAAATCGTATCTCGGCGTTACGTCAGCCAGCGGCTCAAAGTACAAGCGTCAAACAAAAATCACAAAATTCAGACCAAGTTCTTCTCGACATCGATGAGTTTCGTATGGAGAACGATCGACAAATAGCATTGCGTTTAGCTCGGGAAGAAGAGGATTTGGCATTTGCTAAGTCGCTGCAAGAGCAAGACAGCGTTATCATTATTTCCGACGAGGAAGATGCGACTACCAGTGTCAATCATCACGAAGACAATTTCGCAGCGAGCACGTCCGCAGACTCCTTCGCTTCCAATTCCGCAATGCAGATGGATGTCTTCCAGGGTAAAAACGCCGACAGTGGATACACATGTACCTGGGGACTGATTTCCCGCATCTCCCAGATTCTGCGTGAAGATGATCGCACTGAAACATTTCTGCTAGCTGATGAATTTGCACATTTTGCCAGTGATCCAGAAGATTACGGATGGAGTTGTGGATACCGTAACGCACAGATGCTGATCTCGGCCATGCTGTCCATTCCGCGTTGCAAGGAACAATGGCGCGCCCGACTGGGCAGCTGCTTTGTGCCGTCGATTCTGTACCTGCAGCAGTTAATGCAGCAGGCATGGAATGCCGGTTGGGATCCGCAAGGCAACACGGAGCATCGCGGTGAAATTATTGGATCGAAAAACTGGCTCGGCCCGATTGATCTCTACAGTATGCTGATGAATTTGGGCATTGAGTGCCAGATTACGTTTTTTGTCCACGCAACGAGCAGGGAGGGCCCGCATCCGGAATTGTTCCGCTGGTGTCAGGAGCATTTTGCTAACCGGTCAAATCGCAATGTCTTGCCGATTTATCTGCAGCACGCGGGCCACAGCCGGACGATTGCTGGTATCGAAGTGATGAAAAATGGTGGCCAGAACTTCATTATCTTTGATCCCAGTACGAAAAAGGAAAAAGCCCGCAATACTACAATAGGCAAAGGGAAGTGGTTAGGATATCATTTCCGACGATCGTTGAGCACTGTGAATAAAGCGCGTTACGAAGTTTTGCACCTTACGGGAAACATCCTCACCCCGGCGGAAATTGAACGTTGTAAACAAAGTTCCCGGTCTGGAGTTCGTGGTGTTAGGAAGGTGTCTTGAGAGAAAGCACTAACCTTTATTCTGTTATTCTGTTATTATTCTATTTTTTACAAAGGTGATTTTTCGTATTGACTGTTTAAACAGGCTGTGATCGAGTTCTCGCCGATAAGATTTGTGCGATCGTTCTCGCAATGGGTGTCTTCGTCAATTGTGATAACGATTTATTAAAGAGCTAAAGCATTGCACCGTTAACATGCAAGTTTTGAACAAACTGGGATGTTTATGTTAATACGTAGTATGTAACATTATGCGAAATGCTGACGGGTACATCCGTGCATTAGTAATGAATAATTAAAACGCGTTCCGACGTTTGCACTTCTTCAATGATCAGTTTATCTTCGCGCTTTCGATGCGTAAACAACACGTTCACAATAATTTCATCCAAAAATAGTCATAGACTCGAATTCACCAAAATAAAATTCATAACACACCGTGACACCGATGCACTACAGTAGTTAATTTTCGCACGATTATGTACAGGTCAGCAGTAGTCCACACGCAAACAAAAGCCAATTATGCGCCATACGCAAATCGATAAATACCGGATACTCACGACTGTAATAGAGACATTTTCCAAAGGTTAGTCAGGCGAAACTAAAAGAAATCTATCAAATAAACCTCTTTCGACTACTAATATAGTCACTGGTGCTGCTTATCCAACAAAATATCCCGCCGCATACCATCCGTGATTCTTCCTAGAAGCACTGTGTGTCATTCATCGGAACTGATAAACTTCGTAGTTACAAGCCGAAATATGCTTGAGGCTTAACGATTGATAAAGCTCGGAGGAACGATGATAGTACAGTCCCTCGATTGTGCCTAGGCTTTTTTGCAGGCAGATATAATAAAAACCAGCGAAGCTGGCTCCATTAATGTCTCGGATGTTGTGGTCAGGTATGAGGAAGTGTTCTTTCCAACGCATGTACACGAAATCGTTCTCTTTCAACACATCGTAGCTGAAGGTATCACTGTTGAAGGTTTTGTTGAACGGCTGGAAAGAACTGAATTTCATCTGAAAAAAAAGATTATAGTGACTAGGGGACTAGAATACAATACTCTCCCAACCAGATGAAACTGCGAGAACCGCACTACATGTATAACATTCCATAACTACTGATTATTGCACTAATTCAGCGTAAAACACTGCAAAATTTTGTCATTGAAAACTCCATCACTGAATTCCGCGTCCGACAGTCTGCACGACTGCACGATATGATAAATATTTCAATATGCCGTTTGTCTACAATAACAAACCTTTAGGTTTTCAGATTTAAAAACAAATTAAGGCAAATTCCGACTCCTTAGTGCCTCTTCTAAAAAACCTCGTCTCTTCAATGCTTTAAAACTTTTAAAAACATTTTATCGTTAATGCATACAATAGCAGCAATACACTGTGATTAAACACCATTTCAAATCTAACTGATTAGCACAAATACGACAATCGATGCAACGGATTCTATATCGGCCACACTGTACAGCCCTCAAACAGTACAGTTAACACTAACGACGACTTACCCAGTGCTTTCTGTCCATCTCCTCGTCCGCATCCCATTTTCTTGTAAGAAACGGATAGCGTTCACTGATAATTTCTCCATCAAAATACGTAGTCAGGACAGGATATTCGTCCGTCAGTCCCTTAATCTTCAGAAATCCACACAAGAACGAGCTGGCTAGATCGACATTGTGCAGAACAACTTCGACATCATAGCAATTTCCTCGGGACTTTTGGAATCCCTGAAATCGCGATCCGCTGTACAAAATGCTGTTCGGAAGACCAGGAAGCTTTTTCCTGCAGGCAGGCACGGCAGGGAGCTTTTGAGCAATGCCAGGAACGTAATGAAGATCGGAGAAGAGAGATAGGCCAATAAACTGTATCACAGGTTCCTCCTTGGGTTGTTCCTTAGGCCGTTCCTTGGGCAGCTCCTGGACTTGCTCCTTGGGCTCTTCTTCCTCCATATTGATTCATACGCTAATTTTTATAAACGCCTTTTCACTGGCCAGTGGTTATCAAACTGAACGAATTCGAAACTTGTTTGACTTACGCTTTGCTCACTTCGCTGGCAAGTGTCTCGAAGTCAGATGGTGTTATTAAAGTGGTCCGGTGGAAACTGCGATTATATGGCTTTTCTCTTGCAGGATCGAACAAATACACAAAACAGGATCATATAAAATGTTAGTAGACTGGATGCAGATCTGCCTTTACGCCATTAAAACTAATCCAGATCACTGATTTAACGTTTTGTCACAATCGTCAGAACCGTCAGATTCTCTGTGTGGTTTTGTTCAGTTGTAAATGTTGTAAATAACAAATTTGTGGTTTCCATAATAAGCATCCAAACTTCCGCTTGTGCAGTTGATTATGGAATCGTGACGTGAGTTCCATCGCGGATGCACGTTCCACAAGTAGGAAATGCACAGGGCACGTCACAAACGCACATAGCCTTGAGACTCAGCTATCGAGTTACCAGGGCGGGAGACCTGCGACTGTGACCCAGTCCCGTGTGACCCAAGTGTAAGTAAATAACGACATTAATTTTTGTTTGGTTGACGATCAACATTCGCCAAAAATTTCTTGTTTTTTGCAACAGACAACAAGGATGCCTGTTGCAATTACTAAATCAATCAAATCATTCTTAGTACCTTATCTTATCTGCGTGACTATGCTGATCATTAAGTACTTGTAACAAAATTACGTAGTTTACCCACTATTTTGAACTGTTTCCAAACAACGGCAGTACGAGTACAGCAACTTTTCAATAAAAAAAATAGTTTTATATTACCTGCACAAAGCAGTTTATGCAGTTCTTATTTACTACGTTTTATGTTTAGTTTTGTGGCCTGGAGTGTTTGTTGTGCGGTAGTTTCTAAATTAACACGATGTTAACGTTCGTTCCACGGCCAAAGTTCACCAAACTCAACCCAGGATGTCCCGATAAATCCAGCTTTTTACCGTCTCTCAAGCGCGATGTGTTCCGAAACCACATTCAAACTGTGATTACAGTTTTACACAATCTAGGTGCGCAGATCATGAACCCAAGCAATCATATTTTGGGCTCGTATAATTCTCCTACTGCTAAATAACGGATATACAGAACTATGGAACAGCGAGTAAGAATTTGCAAAAATAAAAATCAAATCCTAAATTTTATGGTCTGTTCGTTTACAAAAACGAAACTATAAATTGCTTGTTGCTAATTGTTTCCGTAGAAAACTTTGGTTTGAATAAATTATTCGTTTGCCCCCTTTGTTAAAAGGAATCAGTGCTGTAACGTTTTTCGTAGCTAGCTATGGGGAAGCGGACAAGAAACGGTTCACTGTCCCATCATCGCAAGCGATATTTACCGATGACGCAAATAAAAATCTTGGCATATGTATGCCAGGATTCTCAGGCATACCCCCGATTGAGCCGACGGATGTCGAAAAGGTCATCGCCGTGGTCAGCGATATGGTATGCTAGATTATGTAGTCAGATTTAAATCACCTTTTCAACTGATTACCTGAGTTAAAGCTGAGGGTTGAAAAAACCTGAGAGTTGATGTCATACACAAATAACACAATATTCTTTGACAAATGTGCACTTTGCACAGTACGCGCAGCAAGTACCAGCAGCACAACACATCTTCGATGTATAACTTTATACGAGTATCGTCCCTATAACATATACCCTACCTAGTATAAATAATGTGGCCATTGGCTGATGACCCGCAGTACGTGACTGCATTTTGGAAATTTAACAGGAAACGGAGTATCTTCGTCTGATACATCAGTTCGAATTAATCCATTTTCGTCGAATTAAATATTATGAACAACACCCCAGAATGGTGTTTTTATTCCGGCGAAATTTTGCCAGTAAGCGTTCCCGTCATTAATGGCTTTGACTTTCAAATTTGCGAAACTCGTCAACCGTGGATGATGCGACCGTACGACCGTTGAAACTTGTTGTACAGGAAAAGTTACCAAATGCCGAGCGGAAGGATTACGAAAGCTAAAAGGAGTATTTAATCAAACCAAAGAGATCCATCAGCGCTTATTTGAGCGGAAACGACACTTGACGAAGCTGCGCACAGATAACTGCAGAATTCAGTGTGGTTATTCTACATATGCATGACTTGAAACAGTTGCGAAATTTTTAAATTGCATATTTCGCTACATGACTTTTGCAGAGGACTGGTCGAATCTGTGGCGAAAGAAACGGCGGCCATTACGAACCAAGTGCTTATGTATTACAATCGTCGTTCAGAAAACAAGAACGCCATAACGAATGCAATTGAAAGTGTAAGTACTAGCAACCTCAATTATTTATACAACTATCAACAGCTAAGTTTTAGTACTTATCCAGCCACCAAACCAGAAAACTGCCGATTAATTGGATTTTTTTGCTCGTGTCTCCTGTCAGGTTAGAGCCACAGAAGAGCGAATAATCAACATCGAAATAAATAATGCTCTGGAAATTGAAGACTGGGACGAAGAAAACTACGGTTTGCAATGGAAAGGTTACGAAAAAGATATTTCACACGCTGAAGAACGGAATAATTCATTAATGCATGCCGAAGTATAGGTCACTTCATAAGATACGACCAAGATTTTACCGGCACATCATTTACCGTTCACCCATCATTACGAAACTGAAATGTATTATGACATTGCCGCCGTACATATACAATCTTTTCTTCATGTAGCTGGAATTTAACGGTAATCAGCTAGTTAATATTTACTTTGGACATTTAGGACAGCATTGATAAATTAACTTCAAATTTTTTTCTTCCAGCTTGTTTTCTTATATTTTTCAGGCCATCAACAACTATCAAGCGGAAGAACAAATTTACAGTGGTCAAATCACAGAAACATTTCAGGAAATCGAGACGCTGCGCAGCCAATACGAGCAGAGCCTCAGCACACTGCGAGCACACCGGGAGGTTAACGACGCCACCGAAAAGACACTGAACAACGTCGGAGCCGACCACGACGAACTGACCTTTACCAAAACTGACATCGAACATTGGTCAGCGCAAATGTACCATCCGCACGTAGAAATTCCCGTCGTCAACGCGGGCTCCATTCCGCAGACGACGGCAGACTGGGAACTGGAGCAGGAGGAAATGGCGGAATTTGCGCGGGAAGGGGAAAACAAAATCATCACCGATATTCCGCAGTTGTTTCAGGCCGCGGCGGGTGTTACCGGGCAAACCGGCGAGAATGGGCAAATTGTGGGTGGGCTGACTGCAGAATGGGATGAACTGATCGATTCTTTGCAGGCCGACGCGGACCTGGAGAACAAAATGAAAATGGTAAGTAACAAGTCCGGAAGTATCAAAGGCTCGCCATTCAAATTTTGAATGTTCGGTCTAATGAATGCATGAACAGTTCACTGTATTTCTTGCTGGTGCTTACCAGTTTTATTGATTAATACGCGTGCTCCTGTTGCGAAGATTGTGGAAGAAGAAGAACGCTTGCACAAGGAAATGCAAAAGAAAAAGCGTAGTTCAGCGGCGAAATCTAAAAAAGTGGAACGCTTCAAGAAATTGGCCGGTCAGCTGCAGGACGAAACTCGCTCCATCCAGCAAAATTGTGATGCTGTACATAACAAAATCAGTGACTGTGTGGATGACCAGCAGACTGTAATCGAAGAAACGACAACCCAGATAGATCAAATGATGGTAAACTTTTATTACCTAAATTCTGGTGAAATATTTTTCTATATACTACTGTGTAAAAATACACGACAAAAAACTTACATAGCCGTTTACTAGCCAATCAAAACGAAACATTTATACGATAATATAACGATGTACATTCAGTGTAGTGTGTGCATACGATGTATAATTATTTACAAACGTACATAAATATCTATAATATAGATGTTAAATTATATTTTCAGACTGCAATTTTGGATGAAAATGAGCATCTGAAAGAGCTTCAGGAACAATTCTCCACCACCGAAGCTGCGCTGCTTGAGTTTTCCCGAACAACAACGATGAGAACCGAAGATTTACAGGATGAGGCGGCTAACAATAAAGACGAAGAAATCGTGATAGTTGATCAAATCGAAACGGATGGCCACCGCATAAAACTGCTTGAAGCGGAAATTGAGTACGGAAAAGCAGTTCGCCTACAACAGAATGCTCTGCGTGAAGAAATCGCTGCAGAATGCGGAGAATTAAGCGAACGCATGCATAATACTGATGCACATTTTTCTGAGGTAACCCGAATCCTGGACGACGAAGATGATATCTTCGATGCGCTTTACCGACACACTTCCGCTCAACTGGGCGAAATAGCTATCATCTGTCAAGCGGCGCGTGCAAGTGTTAGTCATGCGCAGATCGTGCTCGAACAATGGAAGCAGCATACAGCAGCTGCTGTCGCGCTCGTTGAGGAAGCCAGAAAGAATTTTGTAAGTGAACGAATTTATGCTGAAACTGGTGACAGAAAATAAAAATTTTGAAGGTCAAACGCGAATTTCACATGCTCACTTCCATATGTACATGTACGTTCGAGAAATCGATGCATGGTTGTCCAGTAGATATCGATCTGATGAAGTTTTCTATAATGCAGCAAACGGTCTCCACCAAGGCGGCGACTTTCGGAAAGTATTTTGAGGAGGACCTGGAAGACTTCCGTAAATCCGTACTAGCCTACAAAATTCTTAGTCGAATCTGTCGTGACTATTCCGCCTACGCCCAGCATCAAACAGAGCCAGTTCTGGAAGCAGTGGATGAACTGACAGAAGCTATCGAAAAAGTCGTGCGCGAACGACCTCAAGTCAAAGCAGACATTTTAGCGAAAAAAGAAAGCTGTCGGAAGCACATAGGTGACTATAAAATGATAGAATACTATTCTAATTTTATTAGCCCAGTATCAAGCTGTGACGTCCTTCCCATTTCAGAGAGAATGATCAATTCCGGTCCGGCAGGGGAATATGCGTACAAGACTTGCACCACATTCCTGAACGAAGCATACACAACTTTGAAAGATTTATTGGTGGCTCTTTCCACCACCGCCCAGTATTCGACCTTCACTACGGTGCAGTGCCAAAAACTGTACGATATTGCGGAGCAGTTTGCCTGCTATTTACTCCGAAAACAGCCGGCTTTTGACATGGATCTTTTACCTCCAGTGGAATATGACAGAGGGGATACCAACATGCACAGTACCAACTATAAAACCCATCTACTATCGAAAATAAACAAATCATAGCCCATAACTGAAGAAACATTCCCTGTCTGAAAACAGATGACCAAACCAAAGTTTCCGAAAAGATTGTGGTCAATAAGGATCATCCACTCATGTTAGCACACTAAACTAGAAATCTATCACACAGAAAGCTACAAGAAATATTAAAGGTCCAAAAGCAAAAGTCTAGGGTCTTCGATAACCTGCTTGATTTTTTTTAAGAACGTTACTGCTTCCCGTCCATCAATCAGGCGATGGTCGTAAGTCAACGCTACGTACATCATAGGCCGAATGACCACCTGAAAGAGAGAGAAAGAAAAACGAAGTGATTAAGCCAAAACGTAATACCAATGTAATCCTTGAAGTATATACCTGGCCATTCACAGCCACAGGACGGTCATTGGTAGCGTGCATGCCCAAAATGGCCGACTGAGGAGGATTAATAATGGGAGTGCCGAAGAGCGAACCGAAAACACCGCCGTTGCTAATAGTGAATGTCCCACCCGTCATATCTTCAATAGCTAACGTGCCATCTCGTGCCTAATAAATAGAAACATCGGTTACTATTAATACTTTCAAAGAAATTAATTGAAGAGTTATCAGTTTAAATGCGAAAAGTCAACTCGCTAGAAGTACTGTGTTTCTTCAGTCTCACCTTTCCACTCAGCGCTTCCAACGTAAGCTCAATATCAGCATAGGACATATCTTCCACATTACGGATAACCGGGACCACCAGACCTTTCGGAGAGGCAACAGCCACACTAATATCAATATAATCGCGGTGAAGAATATCGGTCCCGTCGATAACTGGAAAAATACACGGCACACAATTAAGTATTAAAACCAATTTACCCATAAAGCTTTTCGCCATTTTACCTGCGTTGACGACCGGCTGATCTTGTAAAGCATAGGCAGCAGCTTTAATAAACGGGGACATGAATCCCAGTTTAACCCCGTGCTTTTTCATAAACGCATCCTTGTATTTGTTGCGCATCTCAATAATGTTTCTATCAATCGGATAATATTATGATAACATCGAGCATGGAGATTCAGAAATATCCAATTCAAACTTACGACATATCCACTTCATTAAAAGTTGTAAGCATAGCTGCAGTGTTCTGAGCCTCTTTTAGTCGCTCTGCAATCCGCAGCCGCATTCTGTTCATCTTTTCCTACACGCCGAAAATTCACGAACAATTTAATTACTAAATCAAATCTATTAACGAAAATTTTATTAGACAATTTACCCGGTGCTCCGAGCGTGATCCCGAAATGGCACCAGCCTTAGATTGTGATGCAGCCGGTGTAACCGGTACAGACGATGTTGGCTTAGATTTCAGAGGCTCCTTCGGTGGAGCGGGAACGTTTGGTTTCTTTGTTGGAATAGGTCCGCTCTGGGCATCACCCTCCCCACCTTTCGCCTTCTCCCCTTCAGCGCGTTTCGGCTTCTCTTCACCCGACGGCTTCTCTTTCTTTTCTTCTTTGGCTTCTTTTTTCTCTGGCTCTGCTTTATCTTTAAGCTTATCTGCAGCCTTGCCAGATGTAGCACCTGTTTGTAGTTATCGTTAATTCATCGTATCTCCTGTACACTAGCTCATATTTTCATCCTTGATCCATCTGCGACTCTTCGGACTTACCTACGCGAATTTTATACAAAGCAGCCCCTTTGGTCACTTTCTCGCCATCTTTCACCAACAGTTCTTCGATGACACCGGAAACTTGTGATGGGCATGGTACAGCAGTCTACAAGATCATATTAAAATGATCCTTTAATTCATAATAAAATGGACATTCATGGTTATACTGTACTGACCTTATCCGTTTCGATTTCACACACAATATCGTCTTCTTTAATCTGATCGCCCACGGCTACAAAACAACAACATTTCCATATCCGTTCATTTTAAAACTGCCTATGGGAACATGCATCCTGTTAGTTCTACAAGTGACGTAATTAATACAGTACTGTACAATACAATACAGTACCTTTATGCCATCTGACATCTCCTTCGGAAATGGAATCAGCAAAAGGGGGTGTGTTTATTGTCCGAATTTCGTCATCTAGCAGCAAAACAGCGCTAGAGATTTTTCGAACATAGGATTGGTTTCGCGAATAAAATTACTCAGAAATGCCGTAGTGCGAAGTGGCCGGTAAAAGAACCGCAACACCGCTCTCCTGTAACGAAAGCACAGTAACGACTTGTACTTCAATTTTAAATCAAGGTTAATTACAACACTGAAGTACGTAATGAACTGATAGTCATATTCTACACTGAAAACACTACAAAATTACCACGGGTAATATATGTGTATAATTATCGTATATTTACATATTTTACTGGTTTCTGTAATAGGCAAATGCTCTCACCTTTCGACGCATATTCCAGCAGAAGAATGTGTGCGGTACAAAGGCGATGTACGGTCTGCTGAGATTTTTATTAGTCAATTTGACATTTATAGATTGAACGCAGTTACGCAAATACAGTAACGAAAATGGACTGCGGGCAACGTGCCTGTAGTATTAGCTTTCCCGACTCTCCCGACTGATAAACATCGAGCAGGAACCTGCACAAAAAAGCGCTTTGAAGTTTTGAACTTGTGACTTGTCATTAGAAAAATGGAAAATGCTGTAATATGCACAATCCCTGCCCACAGACCTGCTGCAGATACGATCGAATGGGAGATGCGGACAATCCGGAAATCACCGATTTCCGGCTGGCTAAATTACAGGCGTTCCGCGCCAGCATGTTTAAAATGAGCGCACTGAAACGATACAGAATTATATTACTGTACTTATAAGTCTACAAGTACATTCTCAGCTGCGCTTTGCACATAATCAGAATACAGTGACTTGCCACAGTGTATCAAGAATATAAAACGTTTGTCAGAATGTAAAATCAGAAACAGAAACTATTGTAAATAAATGTGTGTAGAATGATTAACACATTTAAAAATACAGATTTTGGGAGAATGCATGATTGGGTATCCACAAGGTCCAGCTGGCAGCAGCGACAAATCAATAAATATAAAAAAATACCTTTCAACAACAGAGAACTGTAATGAAAGTTACAGAAAAGCGCGCGAAGAACTCCAAAATCAATCTTATCATAATGTAACAACGGGAATGCAGGTGTGTTCATAAATCTTATCAACTATCTAATTGTAAGTAGAGAGGAAGCACATTTCATCTACCAATAACGGCGCCAATAACTGAATAACGATATTATTTACGGTTTTACCAATAACGGCGCCCGACACCCCTACATCCCTACCGCAAAACAGCGCTGATTAAATCTGAGTGGTATCATTACTGGGTGAAACGTGGGAATCTCAAAAGAAATTAAATCAATCAACGGGCACATATCCGGTGAGATCAATTATTATTATCCCTGTTACAGTGTTACCGAGGAATGTACAGCAGCTCATCCAAGCCAAGCATACGATTCACACAGGATTCACATTTCACACTTCCACGCAGTACTGAGACTACCGACTACCGAGTACTCACCTAAATTTCAGGCTGATGGTAGCTGAAAAATAGCGTTCCCAGGAATAGTGTCAAACTAAATGACTAGTCGCTCCCCAGCAAAATCTTTAATAAACCCAGAATTTCCAATCAGAAGTTCGAAAATAATGATTTCCAGTCTAGTCACAGCGCTTCGATGAGTACGGTAGACAACAGCAGAGGCAGCGAAATGAGTCTCCCACTTTTACAGGCAAGGGCGACTAGCAGAAGTGTGCACAGTGCAGTCGCCAGTCCCGACAGCCTTCAGTGGCATATCCCTCAAACATACGTAACTGCCATACAATACGTGGTCGTGAGCAAAGAAAGCATACGCGAAGCGACCGAGGCGCACTAAGCACAGTCAAAAAGTGCAAAAACACGATTTGATGCCGGCAATCCCAGGTAGTGCAGCTGCAGACAAAGTTAATTGAATTCTTTAACTTTTTCGACGCTTCATTATCAGCAACTCATTTGCTGGTAAAGAGCACATTCTAATTAGTTTCTTCAACGATCTTTATCAAACATACGATTCTGCTTCATAATCATTAAAGAGGAAATGCGCTGCGTGTAATGAGCACGTTGCCGGAAATAAAGATATAACAGAAGTGTTTCTGCTATAAATAAGCTGTTTACGGTATTTTTCATTTATGCTTACTGGTTGATTATTCTAGTGAAGGTATGCTTTTGTGTTTAGTACACCCAGAATTACAGAGTAGTGAGTACTGATACTTCTCAAACGATACCGCTTATTACTTCTCAAATGATTTTTCTAATGAGCTGCGCGTAGCACTCACATACATACGCAAGGTTCAAAACGAAAGCCCGACCGAAAATAGCATATTTCAAAAGCAGGCACTATTGTTTGAAAGATGCGGAAAACATGTACATAAAAAACAAGATAAAAAAGAACAGCACGGCAACGCCTAAAAGCCGGTGCAAAAGAGAAACGGTCAAATGAACAAATGCCTTGCCGCGCTTAGAGCTGTAAAAATGAAACATCCATTACTACAGTTGACCGAGCTTGGCAAAGGCTACAGTAGCCTTCCAAAGAAAATCTGTCACATAAAATACACTGTGTTTATACAAACAAAAATTCAAACTTACTAAACATGCACGCCAATAACAGTCGCAAAAACAACAAACGGAAAGAAATTCATCGATCCATCCAGATTCAAAGGTAAACGTTTGCCCATAAAGTTTATAAAAAACTGTTTCCTAATATGCTCTGGTTAAGCTGCCAAAAATTATCATAATACTTACGCAACTGTCAACAAACCATCATTAACAAAAAAAGAAGGTAGCAGAAATCCTTACTCCTTACTCCAAGAAATGTTCATCTCCGCTTCGTGACCGATCCTACACTATCCTCTAAGGGTATTCCGTCATCGTTCTGGGCTCATTAGAGGGCGCACTGCGCAGCACGTCATCCAACAGCTGCAATGCCCGATTAACATGAATCTCCACCCAGCATGGTGTTTCTTTAATGGTCTTTCTCTGGTAATCCGGCCCCCATCCCTTCAAAAAACTCAGCCGCAGAACGCAAAATTTTCGCAAATCATCGGCCCCAATGCCCGTAGAGGAACCCATAGTGATGGGAGGCACAGGGGACAAACTATTTGGTTGTCGGTGTCCGGTCACCGCGGCGACTTGCGCATGAGCCATCAGTTGCGTTCGTTCTAGCTGCTCCAGCATTTGACTATAGCAATACCGCAAGTCAAAGATTTTCAAAACCTGAGAATACGGATGAATCTTGTGGACCGCGTCGCCAGGAGAGATCCGGTCTTGTAACTGGATACGGACATTGCGATCCAGCAGGTAACTTTGAACGAAAACACTGTAGTTGTTATAGTTCTCCTCGCCCCCGCTACCCAGCACTCTCAGCCAAATGCCATCATCATCGCGATATTCCAATGAGACTCCATGACCGATATGCAGACGACAGCGTACAATTTTCTCGCCGATATTTGGATCTTCGCGATGCACATTTGTCAGTGACCCCAAGCAAAACCGACTGACATGATCTGGGTTGGAGAATCCATCAATCGTCACTGTTTTGCACGCGTGACGAACTTTAAATGTTTCACCAACCTGGGGGATACAAATTGCATCAGACATTTATTTCCCTACGCCAACATGAGTATTCGTTCCAAGCATTATCCAGTGCCGCTCAAAAACACGGTAGGAACGCTCTTTTCAATGGCTTACGCACATTAGTACGCAAACGCATATGTTACCTGGCGATCCAACTCGAAATATGCAATATTACACCAGTAATCCGGGGGTGGCTGAGATGTCAATGCCATCTGAAATTTCCGCTGCTCCCATTGATCTTTCTCAAGCTGTATGAACGGTGCACCCGGATCGCCCAATTCCGGATTTGGCATTGGCCCAGGTGGATTCGGCTCTTCTCGTTCCCAGTAGCCTGTCGAAGTCGATGGTTGTTGATTATCCCGAATGAAAACTGCGTCGGGACCCATCGACGGGAACAATCCATGTATCTGCGGTTTCTGCTCGTAACCATTGAAATCCGGCATAACACCATTGTGCACTAAATTACAGTTCGGTCGATTCTCCATTGCTGACATGGTCGGAGGTGCCAACATAGGATGCAGCTCCGGTTGCGGAATTCCATGCATAAACCCCCGTGAAGGCACCATGGGCGGCAATCCATTGTCGTAATCGTACAACTGGTCATCACGATGGTCCTGCAATCCTGATGGATTTTCGGAAGCATTAACAGGTGTTGCGTTAACGGGGCGCGAGTACAAAAGTCTTAAATTACTGCACTCAGCAAATCTAGCGCAAGTGTCAGCATTTTTTATTTCGCATGTTATTTTACGGTTAAGTGACGAGTCATTTTATCGCAAACATATACTACAACAACAAAAACATTAAATTTAAGGCTATCGAGCATAAGCAAACAGATGCTGCAAATTTACCTAAGCCGGCAAGGTTCAAATCAATTCCTGGCGAAATGACTCGTTCATAATGATAAGGATTGACGCACACACTGTCTAGCTTCCGGTCGAAAGCAAACTGGCAGTAATCGATGTTCTTCAATTCACTCTTTTGAATGTCATGCCATCGCCAAATTCTTGCATATATTACATGTGGAAAAACCTTTTTCCCAGCCACCTGCGATATAAAATCAACATTCAGCAAATTTCCTGATATTCATCTTTTAAATCCCAAATGTCACAAAGCCTTAAAGTCATAACAAATTAAGTGGCAATAAGGGAAAAATCGTCAGTACGATTTACGAACATCTCTTCTCAAATTTACAATAATTATACTGCTACAGAATTGTTAGTTTTACACTAAAACGCTGAAAAAATATTCAGTAGTACGTAGTAATCAGCAATTTAAAAAAAAATAAAATTAATGGTAAAATCGACCATAAAATACTGTATATTGTTACATTACAGCTGTACAAGTAAGTATCTGTACTCGTATTCGTAGCAAAAGCAACAAGTGGAAATCGAAATAAGTACTTACATTTTCCTGTTTTTCCAGCATATGTACATACAGATACACATATTTTCCAATAAGTCAAAGCCAAGGATACACTTTAACTGCACTGTTGGAGCCTGAATTGCATATTTTCCTCGAAATCAAATTAAGGTTGTCGCGCATCGCGAACTTGTGCGCACGAACTAAATTAAGTGTAGAAAAAACGGTTTAAAGTACACATTCAAACAAACCTGCAGCCTCCCATCCAAAGTCCGAGGGATAGTGGCGCATCTCGTTGCGTGAGATCCGTTCATTGTGATGGCTTGGATAAGCGCATCTAGTTCATCTGGTTTGTCTTTGAGTTTTTTCACTAAGCATTCAATGGCACGTTTGGCAAAGGCTTCCGATTCACCACCCTGTCTGTGGCACATCAAACTGTGCACGATGGATATGCAAGCGTCTGATGACGAAGTTCCATTTGAGTTTGCGTTAGGCATTCTCGATCAGCTGGGTGATCAATACGGCAATACCACATTCACTGATAGGGATATTAAATTTCAGTCAAATCATTGTGGCTAGTGTATAGGATTTCAAAGGACTTACTGACTTAAATCACCTGCAAAATCAACAGTGTGGGAGTCAAAATTTTGTTATTTTGTAAACAAAAGAAAGATGGATGCCAAGAAGCGAGCAATGCAGCCTAATAAGAATACGTTTTCAGAGCATGCGTGTCGGTGGTAATGAACAGCCGCACTTCGGGCAGTTGTTCCGTTAGGCTGATTTAAGTGAATCATCCGGAATGACGACAAATGTGCCAGATTTTGCATACGTTTCCATTGATTTCGTAATACACAGAGTTTTAATGCTTTTTGTCTACATTCTACAGTCCTTTTCCTACATGTAATAATCCTCATCGTCCCCGTTTATCAATACATTCTTAGCAAAATTGTTCTTTTGTTTCAACAGCGCCAGTTGAACTTCTGCGCAGTCCTAACGTGATCGATGAGAATAAGTCAGACTTTTTCTAAACCGGACCTCTGCAAACAGCTTTTCGGGCTTTGATACCAGCTAGACCGTATCAGCTGTATGTAAGTAGTACGAATCGTAAGTTCTCTAATCCTGGTTTATTCGCTTCGTAATAACTACAAGCCGCAAGCGGACCGTGTTTGTTTACATACCCATCATTATACCATGGTTGATCAATCTCGGAATAGGTTTGCCTCTTGGCGATAAAATCCTGCCAAGGAGTCTGCACAGCTGACGTAATCGGCGATTGATAGCGCCGACGAAGTACCCAGTCAGTTGGAAGAGCGCCTTCGACAATAGGAAACGATTTTCTGGACATTGTTGGTTGGTTTGCGGCGAGATGGGTGACCAGGTTAACGGTGTTATTTCACAAGTGGAGAAGCTGCAAGTGGAGGACGAGGGAGCGGGAGACCCTATGGACGAGCAGACTGTGACACCGTGGTCGGTGCAGACCAGTTCGGCGGCCGGTGTTGACTACAATAAGCTTATTCGTAAGTAGAGATGTTTAACCAGCACGATTCATTCGCTATTCTTAGCGGTATACCCATCAATTTTACTTGAACGGTACCTCATTTTCTACTGCATTAATGCAGGGCAGTTCGGAAGTCAGCCAGTCGAGGATGCACTTTTGGATAAATTCGAGAAAGTGACAGGAAAACCGATGCCACATTTGTTGCGTCGAAAAATTTTTTTCTCCCACAGGTGAAGATGGCGTGGTGCAAGAATAGTCTCCATTGATGTAACAGGCGATTTTTTTTGCAGAGATTTGGATCAGATTCTGAATGTTTACGCTAGTGGAAAACCGTTCTATCTTTACACTGGTCGCGGACCGTCGTCGGATGCAATGCACTTAGGCCATTTGATCCCTTTTATTTTTACAAAGTATGACAGTGTTCGTTGATACTCGAATAATGAGTGGAAAACATAAATTTATTTTCTTGTATAGGCAGTTGCAGGATCTCTTCGATATTCCTCTGGTCATTCAGTTAACAGACGATGAAAAGTTTTTGTGGAAGGATCTGTCGCTGGAGAAGGCGAACGAACTGGCATATGAAAATGCAAAAGACATTATTGCAGTTGGATTCGACATGGAGAAAACCTTTATTTTCAGTGATCTGGATTTTATGGCGTACGTTTTCTAGTCGTGTTTAACGAAACCGGCGTTACTTGAATAACACCGGAATTTTGCAGACAATGTCCAAGTTTCTACCGGAACATATTAAGAGTTCAGAAAGCTGTGACATATAGTCAAGCCAAGGGTGTTTTTGGATTTATCCCCGATGATCACATTGGCAAAGTGGGATTTCCGGCAATACAAGCTGTTCCATCCTTCTGCTCGACGTTTCCTTTCATCTTTGGCGAGCGGAAAGACATCCCGTGTTTGATTCCGTGCGGCATTGATCAGGTATTGTACTTAATTTGTACGGTAATTAATTTTTTTCGGAAAATTATGTCTGTTTGTTTATGTTTCGATTTGTTTAGAAGAATGGCTTAGACTTTTGTTAAACCGTTGACCAAGCCATCGGTAATCACATCACGTCTGATATTGATGCTTGCTTTAGGACCCGTATTTCCGCATAACTCGCGATGTGGCACCGAAACTTGGCTTCTGCAAGCCATCATTGCTGCACTCCACTTTCATCCCTTCGTTGCAAGGCGCCCAAACGAAAATGAGTGCAAGTGACCCTCATTCGTCAATTTATCTGACGGATACTAACGCACAGATAAAGAACAAGGTGAGGAATTTAAGTTTACATTATTTTTAGTTGCGACAATGACCATTTCTGGATTTTTGTGTATTTTTTATATCGCAGTGGTGTTCATGTGAATATGTGAGTAATGTGATCATAGCCTTATTATTTACTCACTGTCGGTTACTCGTATCCGTCGTGCGCTGAAACTTGAAAGCATATTTTACTTTATGGTGTGTACAGTTTGCGACTTTAGCTTCTCATTGCTGCTTGGGATGAACAGGATATTCTGCGTTTCAGATCAATAAATATGCTTTCTCTGGTGGACAGCAAACGGTGGAAGAACATCGCGCTAAAGGCGGCAACTGTGACGTGGACATTTCGTATCAGTACTTACGATTTTTCGTGGAAGATGATGCAAAATTGGAGCAAATTCGTACCGTATGTTGTTAAATGTCTACGCCTATGCATACAGTCGCTCTGTAGGATTTAAAATTCACTGAAAATGAATTCAGCCACTGACTTGGAATTTTACAAATTTCATAGGACTATAGTACTGGAAAGATGTTAACCGGTGAACTGAAAAAGGAACTGATAACCATACTACAGACGTTGGTAACGGAGCACCAGCGTCGACGTGCAGCTGTCACACCGGAAGTGGTCAAGCAATTTATGACTCCACGGAAATTGAATTTCAAAGGATAAAAGATTTAATTTGTTCTCTGTGGATGTACCCATATTTAATTTATTGTTTTCTGCGAACAGGTTGTAATACAGAGGCCATAATCTGCATGTCATGAAAGTTTTCTGTTTTTGCTTTTCATGGATTTTCTCGGTACTAATGAGTTGGCAAATATCTAGTTTCTCCTGGAAACGTTTGGCTAAATGTTTGTATCGCTACATCCAAGAAGCCAAGGAACTTGGCTTTCCGTCTTTACTTAGAATTTGCAACAAAACAATCACAAATTTAAAAAAAATTATTGAAAACTCACTTACCATTACTCGCACAAGGCCCAAGCACGGCCCACTCGCACAAGGCCCAAGCACGGTTATAAGATAGATACAGACATACAGTACGGATCCTGTGATCAAAATAAAAAACAATGGAGAGATGTGCATGGAAGAATTTTATCACTTCGCTTGGTTAAGAAATAAACTAGGCAGATTCAAGTCCGAATTTACAGCATCGGCGCCAAAAGATTCCACATTCTTTGAACGATTTTTGAATTTCGGTTCCAGTCGCGGCATCAAAATCTCAACCTTTTCCAGTTGACTTAAAGGCTTACCAATGTGGCTGTTCACCAAACGCTTGAATGCCTCTCGTTTCGGTTTGGCAAATAAATTGTTGTTGCTGTCAGCCTTTTCAAATAGCATCTTGTCTAGCTGTTTGAAAGCCTGCTCCAGTTTGGGATCTGGCAGAGCATCGGATCGGAATCCAGCTTCAACTTCCACAGGCAGAATCGGCTTCAAAAAGTAATATACGGAAAGTCCTAAATTAATGAGGATCAGCTGATTGGCTTCGTGCTGACCATGCGCTCTAAGCGCAGCCAAAATACAGCGAATTATATAATCGGCTCCGCTAGGAGTAATCAGAATGTTTTCCTTCCGAACGGATACAGGAATTAGGAGGTGCGCTAATCGACCAAAAATCAATGACAGTTCACTATCAGGCCACCACAATCCATTGAAGACCGTCATCAGTAACGCATTGGCAACAACGGGGTCCTGCAAAAAATAACAGTCATATTTTTTATTACCGCGGAGCCAATGATATAAGCTCACACTTTTTATCGTAAATTCTTCTCACAGTTGTGCTTACAGTAACGAAATATAAGATTCCATACGTATTAAGTACCTGCAAAGAGAGAAGGCCAAGTGGAGAAATTTCATCAGCGTTCTTTTTCGGCGCTTTCGCCGCTTGTGGTTTGGTGTTTCCTTCCTCGTTGTCGGAGGACTCATCTTCCATCATTTCGGTGTCCTGCACTTCAGCCACACTGGAATTGTCGTCGGAAGCTCTGTGTTGATCACATAAGATTCTCTGAAGGATGAGCGCGCAGTAATCTTTGGTGAAAGCCCGCAACAGCACTGTCAGGAGAATTTCCAATTTCTCATCACTTTCAGTGTCCAGAGAGTTCCATGACACGTTCAAAATATTGCTTACGACAGGACAAAGCAGCTTAAGGACCGGAATCAAGGCGGTGTGGAACAACGAAGTGGGGCAACTGCGAATATAATGAGCAAGCAATTCTCGGACCAATGTTCGCACACGAAATAGTGGAACATATCCGGCGCAGACGGAATGGAAAACTGAATTTTCCAAGGATAAACGAAAATCTGGAATTTCGTACAATTCGCCGCCGTTACTTCGCCCGGCAAATCCGACGATTCGGCAGACACTCTCGAACACAGAGAACAGCCAATTCTGAATTCGGCGTACGTAGACGGGAACAGATTTATGCGAGGAGTAATCAACAAAAACGGGTTTTAATACAGTCTGCACTTCGCCTTCAGGTAAACTGAGCATGGTCTGGTTGGTCCTTAAGATGGAATCCGTTAACTTCGGAGAATGCAACTCAAGAATGCAGCGAATAACAGAGAAATTGTTCTCTAGGAACGGCTTCAGATCACTTGCACTGCAATTCATATGCATGCACGTGGACGCAATAACGCGGGAGCAGAATAAAATTTGATTCCTTCGGATAACCATTTCGCTGTCTTGGAATGTGGTATCCGACAGTTTATCCAATCCAAAAAATACTGCAAAATTCCCTGCGGAGGAGATGGCCCGGCAAAATTCTTCCGATAACCAAAACGGCACAACGGCTGCCTGGATTTCTCGGATCAGCTGACTTTTTTTCGCTTCATCTTGACAGTTTTTGGTGACGGTAATAAGACCGTCTAACAGGACGCACTGATCATCGGTCGACAGGCGATGTACAGGATCAAACAGCCGGCGCACAGTATTGACCAGATCGTCATAGCGTTGCAGCAGCTGCTTGGTCAGCACACGACTTAACGACGTAAACAAGTTGCGGGCATGTATGTGAAGGTCCTCCTTGGCTTCGTGTCGAACATTCGACGTCTGATCGATTACAGTGGATGTCAAGAGGAGGAGGTCATGATCGAGCACTTTAACCACCATGTCGAGGGAAGCGGATTCGTCCTGAGGTGGTGGATTGGGAACAAATGCCGTAACGAGTTTTGAAACAAGACTCAGTCGAAGTGACGTTAATCCAGCATCTGGCAGTTCTTTCCTGCAAGCAAGCAACGTTAACGCCAAATGTCAACGTGGCGAAAAACTGCGGTAAACATCTGCCTTTAATTTCTCTTTGACTGAGCAGAGGTAGGAGTACTTTTACTGGTAATGCCGAACACGCAATCATGAAAAGCACTTACATGTTGCTTTTGTCCATTTCGGTTAACTGAAGAATAAGCTGGAAAGCGCCTTGACGATGGCTAGTCTTAATGTCGTCAGGCACATTTCTGGTTGTTCCGTCCAAAAGTGTCAGAACAGCGGACCACTTGTTTTTGTCGGATTCCTGTTTGCACACCAGAGAAGTGACCAGTCCAAAGGAAAAATCCAGCGCTTCCTTCGGAAAAACGCCACTGATTTTTCGAATTATATCTCCAATTTTCACCCGTAATCCAATCAAAAATTCCCGAAACAAGCTTTCCTGATCGCCGAATTCCTGTTTAATCCATGGCTCTTCACTAAACTTATGTATCAACGCTAATCGCGAACACTGCTGCAACAAAATCAGCGCACTCGCTTGCACTTCCGGTTGAGTTTTCAGTACCCCATTGCTCCATAAGGGCAGCCATCCGCTCAACGCCAAACCGCAGATTACCGGACTGCCATTCTGCACTAGCTGCAGCAACATTTCCACATACTTCTGAAAATTTGCCTTGTACTGCGCAAGATACACGGGCAAATCGGGGACGGTAGCCAATTTCACAGCGATCAGTGAAAACACTGAGCAGACTTTTTTGGATAAATCCGCATCGTCCACGTTTTGTTCCGTATAATATGCCAGCATTTTTACTAGCATACTAAACCATTTATCCTCCGAAAACAGGCGCAACACCATGTGGATATCCTCTTTTTTCGAATATTTTCTATCCAACACGCAATCGAGAAATTCCATCACTTCGGCTTGGCAAAATGCCTGATTAATGGTGTTTGAGAATACTTCATCGAACAGCATGCCTTCGCCTTCCCACAAAAATTTCACCTGAGCCGATTCACCCAAAACCGCGCAGACGCGCAGTACTCCGATGGTGGCGGAGTGGTCGTTCTGCTGCAGGCAGCGCACGAGGAACGCAATGAAATCCGGCAGCATACTGGTGAAGGCCTCCGAGACTTCTTTGTGCCGTGCCGGAGATAAACTATGGAACTGCAGTAAATCCTCCACCAAACGGTGAAACATGAGAATAATCACATACAGCTGGTTGGGGCCTTGTGCACACAGCAGCTCCACTTCTTGCAGCATGGACGGCCAATGCTGTGGCCATTCACGTTTGACGATTTCCACGAGAATCTTGGCGATGCCATCCGAAATGTACCCATCGACTGAATCGCTCCCCAGTCTGGTGATCAACTGAATCGTGATGTCTTTGACGAACACTTTGTCCGGTTGGTCAAGATCGTTCCAGCTGTACTTCACGACGTCTTCGATCAGCTGCAACCCGAAACGCCGAAGAACGGGGTTGGCACCGATGTCGGCGCTGGTGGCGATGCGGAATCCTAGGTCGGTTTTCTGGTGAGAGGACAGCAATTTCTTCATTTCTTCACAAGCCTGGTATGCCTGCATTCTCTCGGCATTGGGCACGGATGGATCGCCCATCATGGAAATAATGCGCATTATCTGTTGGATTTCTTGAGCTGCAGCGTCCATGTTGAGAAGTCTGCAGATTCTCAACTCGTTCGCACGGCAAATTCTACAGGCACTGTCAGTGTCAGGCACATGAAAGCGCAAGTAGTCAACGGACGCTTATCGCGGGCTCATATTAGTATTTTACCATTACCCATCAAAACACAAAAGATGACTTTACTATTTTGAAACTATCCAAGTTATGATGCAAGTTTAACAAGAAAATCTCTGGAACATGAAAATAACAACTTCGGTAATTAGTGGAATAAACTGATAACAACTGAAAATAATTCCACATTAAAAAGAGTAGAGCAGTAGTGCAGCACTAATCTAGAGCTCAGTTTCTCAGCTTTAACTTTTAAGCGTGAAAAGTCAGACGACAGCGATGTTACGCTCATACCCAGGGCGGTTGCCAATTGCCATCAACCTTCTTTTCTTGTCCGGAACTGGACCGGAAGCAAGAGCTCTTGTTCAGCCTTGTTGTTTCGACAAAAGCAGTTATTTCGTTGCACCGGTATTGACAGAAATCACTGCTAACGTTTAAGTAAATTTATTGACGAACAAACCATTGCATTTCGCGACATGCTTAAAACAGGTGCCACTTAATATGCACTATAACACTACGTAATGGTAAATATTGATTTTCCAACACCAGTAGAACAACGTTCAATATCAAACTAATTTCATGTGATCAATCTCTGCAGACCACGTATGGGAAATGTGCGGCTCATCAACGCATGCCAATTAGTCCAGCGTTGATCAACTTTTCGATTCGCGCAGCGACTTCTGGATTCTTCAAATGCCTAAAAAAAATTTGAAGATCTTAAATGTTCAGTATCTTAACGAGTAGTGGCTACTGCCATCCCACTTACTCTCTGACAGCATGTGGATCTTTCTGCATTTGCTCCAAAATCATCCTCATGGCAGGATCACCAATAATCGCCTGGACTTCCGGGTCTTCCATGGCCTGTCGACGCGCCGTTTCGGGATCTTTGAGGTTATCCACAACTGCACGCTGCATAAGATCTCGCGCTTCCTGGTTGTTTGGTTCCAGCTCCAATGCTTTCTCAAAAGCATGTGTGGCTTTCTGCGCCTGTTTCATCGCCATTAAAATACTGCCCTTCCGAATATATCCTTTGACTAAAATTACACAAATTTAAGCACAGAAGAACGAAAAGGAGAGAGTACTGTGTAAGGGGAACAGCATTATCAGTTTATAACTAACCAAAAGACGGATCCAATTTAATGCATTCCTCAGCGTCTTTCAGTCCCAAATTAAATTCCATGAGTTTTGTGTAGCATGCAGCTCGATTGCTGTAAAGCTTGGCATCTGTGGGATTTCGTTTCACGGCTTCCGAATAATGTTTCAAAGCGCCGGGGAAGTCGCCTTTTTTGAAGAGATCATTTCCTTTGTTCTTCTCTTCCTCCGCTTTTTCCGGATCAATGTAAGCCTTGTTCTCTTCCTCTTTTATAACTTTTTCGATCTATGAAAGGCGACAACTATTACGCGTCAGTATATTTACAGCACACCCAGTCCTGGACTCTTGGTGATACCAGTACAAAACGTTTGAATACTTCCCAAATAAACAGTAATAACAGTTCATGAATAGTAGCAACATACTTCTTGAAGTCGTTTTAACACATCCGGAGCTCGATGTTCAGCCAAAGATTTTGAGAGGAAAATCTTTGCATTCTGATTGTCGTCCATCTTGGCGTACGCATTACCAATACGAGCGAAAGCCCTGAAAATGAAAAAAATGGTACGCAACCCGTATAACGCATGCCGGTGGCCCATTACTTACTAAAAATGTCCATTAAGTCCGCACAACTTACTTTGCAACCAACTGGTAATCAGCTCGGTTTTCACGCCCAATTTCAATAGCTTTGAAGCACAAGTCAATACACTCTTGGAATTTTCCTTGCTCGAAATAAACCGCTTTAAAAGAACAACGGTTACGCAGTTTCAAAATCGAGAATATCCTTTTAAATTGTCTTACCAGCTTGATTCGTCATGTATGTCATGTTCACTGGGTCCAATTCAACTGCCTTTTCATAATGCTTTAAAGCCGTTTCGAAGTCTTTCTTCTTGTACGCCTCATTTCCTAATTCCTTCTCATCCCAGGCTTTGTTCTGCTCCGGGGACAGATTCGAAGGCTTTTCTTTCCCGGTTGGCTTTTTAGCCGAAGTAGCTGACGACGATGAAGGCGCCGGTTTCGATTCCGATGGGCGCGGTGTTGGGTAATCTTCGGTATCCATCTCGCCGGCATCCGCACCCATCGCACCAAGATCGATGCCAAGGAGAACGCTTAATGCCGACGACACTCGGGGATCGCTCAGGTACTGCCTAAACAATGAATTACATCAGTGATAACGTTATGCGTTTTTTTTAATTCTGTCAATAGTACGAGCAGTACATTAAACTCTGAGGATTGCGCTGAAGATTGGACATGATTAATTGAAAATCTGGCTGATTAACGAAATCTTTGGTCCGGGGATCGCTCCGTAGCTTATCCATAATACCAGGACCGGCGAATGGATTCGGGAATCCTTGAGATGGACGGGCTGCGAGAGAGTAAAATCAAAGCCATGACGCAAATTAAAATTAGAAAGTCTTTTAAACAAGAATACTAAAAAGCTTCGAATGCGATGTCTTTCGCATAAAATTTTTTAAAAAAGAGACAGTTTAGCGAAGACGTATGCGAAAAAAACACTACACTCCATCCATTAATAAACTACCTTTTATTTTCGTTACCGCTGTTTTCTTAAACTCTGAGGAAATTGCCAACAGCTATTACTGTAATTCAGCCTCATGAATACCGTTCATGGCAGATTGACATTCAGCCAGTCCATCCTTAAGCTGCTGATTGCCCGGTTCGTGTTTCAGGCCCTCTTCGTAGGCCGCAACAGCGTCAGGGTATCGTTTCAAATAAGCCAGTGCAGCGCCCTTACGCGAATAACCCTGCAAGCACCAGCCATCAGTTATAATGTTGGTAAACGCCACAACGAGGCTATCCCGACTGTATCGTACCTTCGACCACTGAGGTTTCAGTTCCACGGCTTTCTCGCCGTCCTTCAACGCCAAATCGTACTGGCCTTTTTTCGCAAATGCCGCGGAACGATTACTGTACAAAATTTCATTGTTCGGGTCCAACTTGAGTCCTTCACTATAAGCGGCAATGGCTTCGTCCACAAGATTCGCTTGCAAGGCTGCATTGCCTTTATCCTTCCACTCCGTCACCTACGAGTAGAGGAAAGCGATATATAGCAGTTTGCTTAGTGAACAGTCCGCTGCCTCTGTATTAAAAATTCCAGACTTTCCTGCGTTGCGGCGCACACTGTCACACTGTCATTGTTTAAACTTACCTTTGGATCCATTTTGCGGTTCGATCCACAAGAGTTAAGACCTACAATGGATATGAGTTTCTAGACGGGACACAAATATCTAAGCAAACGAAGAAATGAACTGACTACCCACGGAAGATAGTTCAAAGAATGCATACAATTGATACAAATAATTCTGTTTCTGTTTATAATTTTATTGTTTAATAAGCAGTACCCGTACTGCTGGAATTCTCATCACACGCTCTACGAGTAGATTATTCTTGCACGAATACATTAAACAGCTGGTCTCGAAGAAAACGTTTTACGAAAACAAAAGGTTCTTCTTCCACCTATAAACCATAAACGTTATTTCCAAAGGGAATCTTCAAAACCGAGCAAAGCAAGACTTCTGAATTCCACTTTACCAAGACTTACCGTCACTTACGAACTGTCAAGTTGTCAACTCACCAAAACATAACATACCCGAATAAGCTTCCGTTACACACTTACCTTGTTCAAACCAAATAAAAATCAAGCAAGTGAACAAACCAAAATAATAAGAATGTTACAACTGGAAAATATTCGCAATAACTGCAATTTAGAAAAATTATAAAATCTGTAAATCTACAATAATGAATGACGGTTTTGTGATCTCTTTTCTGTGTATGGCCGGCATATCTAGAATTTTCGTTTTCTTTCCGGACGAAACGGTTTCAATGTTTTGATAGGCAGGCAGTAGCATGGGCTACCGTTAACAGCTCCATTGCCCTGAGACTGAGTACGTTACCCGGTCACAGTACGTGCAAATTTGAATTATAATTATATTATAAGGCACACTCAATGTCAGAACTGTTTATTTTTGTGGAATGAAATACCCAAACTGTTGACGATTAACAACAAAGGTTTGTCTAAGGTAAGTCACCGTAAGTGGCTACAAATCTTCCCGAACACTTACGAATCGTATCGCAAAGATTCGTGGATCATCATACGCCAGAAATTATTAACCACCCAAGGCTGCAGCAACAACCGCTTAAATTGTGATAATAATTAGCACGACCTTTATATCCGCTTTTCACATTAATGTTTTTTTATTTCGATCACACTGCAATAGAGGCCAAATTACAAAAAAGGCAGCAGAAGGCCGAAAACAGCAGTCGCATGTCTAAACCACAGGATGCCAATCAACAGAAGGATTCAAGGTGGCGAAAGGTTGTCCGGAAATCGACCAAACATTTCGCCGAATCACCCATATTATATACCGTCGTCCCGTATTCGTTTTGGTAAACGCTGTTCAGCCGCAGCCAGTCGCCAGTACTGCTGCAGTCTTCGAAGCCAGTGCCCCCAGTATTTCCGGATTAAATTCAAATCAAAATGTATCACACTAGCCGGTTCACCCGTAGAATAAGCCACCACCACTGCACCGTGAGCAATTTGCAGTTGTTTCTCGTTGAATTTTCATCGAAATTCACAGCGCCGATGTAGGCGGCAACCTGCAGCGGATTGTCGTACAAGGAAGCAGCGGTTACCTTCTTGGTACCGGAAGTTTTCCAGTCAATCACGGATAAAGTGCCATCCAGTTTCACGATGCAGTCCGTGACGCCTTTGTAGCACAAGAATGGATGCACAACCTTTTCCTCAATCACTTCGACGTCGGAAATATCTTTGAAGACATTCTTCAAACTCTCCCAGTATCCTTCAACTGGTTTGGACACCTCTACTGACTGCGGCTCCATTCCCCGGAGGACACTTTCGACTGCCGTGTGGAACTGTTTTCCGTTGTCAAACAATTCTGAAAAAGAAAGAAACCCTGGTTATTAAAACCAATTTTTAAATTAAAAGCTTAATTCGCAACGATTGCCCACGAGCCCATTTCTTGCTTCCTTTCAAGATACCGTTATACCGGTAATACATGTATTAAATGCAATTTTAAAACCTACAGAGTTCCTACTACCTATTAATGAAAGTGCCTACTAGCATAACAAAGCCAACCTGAAGTTGTTTGGAACATAACCAATACGCACAGTTAAAAAAAAGCAATGATGAAATAGAACAGAAATTTTCGAAATTAGTGAAAATTCATGTATCTGTTACCGCATAAGCAATCAAACACACATCCACCATAAACAAGCATTCACACGTAAATCTTACGTTGTTGGAATTTCTGAAAGCCTTCCAATCCCAATTCTTCGATTTTACTCTTTTTCCACGCATCTAACCGTAGCCGGCTTTCAGGAGACATCGTAACGTCCAAAATCGTGGTAACGGAGGGATAACTATCCGGCCCAAGTGAAAGAGATGTAAGATCCTGGGGAGAAATTTGGAGTACCATCGGTGTTAGGAGAGAGAAGCCACTATCGTCGTCCACGTAATTCGGTCGCAGTTTGTTCAAAAAAGGAGACTGCGCAAGAGATTTTAGGTCCGCCTCCTTTTTTAACTGCACTATCCGGAACTCGGAACGGGCTCTGGAGGAACGGTTCGAAACTGTTTTCGAAACTTCCACACTCGCAGCAGATTCGATGTTCTGCTGAGAGATAACAAGGTTTTCCGCTAAAAATAAAGTGAAGGGTCAAGCATGAGAGAGACATAAGTCAACTCCTATTGCTAATGCTCACAAATTCGCACTTATTTCGCAGGCAGCGAAACGAATACAGAATAAGGGTAGGGTTGTTAACGGTGCGGTGCGGTGTACACCGGTGTGCCGTCGGTGCGATTTTGCAAAAAATCCGCACAACAAATAAACCGTGTAAAAAAAACCGCACCGGTCGGTGCGGTGAAAAATACAAACGCCCGCACAAATAATTTATCCACCGCACCGCACCGGTGTACACCCTTAAATTGCCCTGAGTTCCGAAACCAACAAATTGTCGACTCTTTTCCTATCAATCTTCCTTCGTTGAGCGGCCTTCTAAGGGCATAACTAGCAGCATGTATCCAGTCGTAGGTAGCAAAACTGTTACTTACAAAAACTTAAAATATCGAAAACAGTTTCTGTAACAATTTTTGTGACGAGAACAAACTCAATGTAGAGCGTGGAAAATCAAGCTGTCATATTATATTCTTGGGGAGCAATGCTATAATACACTTTCTTTCTCAAGGCAACCCAGTTGCTGCAGCAGCTAAGTTGAAACTACAGACTTTGAATGAGCACTGAGTACTTTGTCATACGTTATAGAACTACGATCGCCACAACCCGTGCTTTTTTTGTGGGCGTGAGCTCAGCGTGCAACGTCGTCGCAAAAATTTTATTTATGATAATTATGAATTTAAGAGTATCTTCGGTTAACCGGTGGTTAACCGGTGAACGTCAACGCGGTTTCCCAAACGCACCGGTGTGCGCCGGTGCGGTTTTTCTCGAAAACCGCACCGCCCATACCAATTTATTTTCAAAATCGCACCGCAATTTTTTCAAATTGCACCGGTGCACTGGTAAAAAACCGCACCGTTAACAACCATAAATAAGGGGCACCAAAAAAGGTTTAACATTATTAACAGTCATGCATTTCTTGAAACATCCACTGAGCCACGCTCGTTTCATGATTGTCGAAAGAATTAAATTAAAAACCGCTGCAACAAATATGACAAGTCCGACATCAATAAGAAAAAGTTGTACGAAACTACATATGTAGTTAACCTGCCCCTGCACAAATAATTATAATACATTTATATATGGAACTGCTCAATCTTCTCTCTTCCTTACCCTTAAATTCTCCCTGAGACTCATCCAGTAAACCAGACAGCGCTTTTAATCCCTCTTTTTCAGCTATTTGAATCGGTTTATCTTTTTTCTTTTCTTTTCTCGCGGCTTTCTTATCTGTTTTGTCGCTGCTTTTCGTCATTGGCTCCGGTGGTACAGGCAATACGTCGGACGCTTTCTTAAAAGGTCTGCGAGTTGCACTGTGGAACAGATCTGACTGATCCAAAATGAACAGATCATCGTGCACCTCTGGAGGCATGGGAGGAACGTGCCCTTGCATTCTTCTCTGCTTACCCGTATTGACCCACGTGCACACCTGCTGCAGCGGCTCGGGAAGAGTTTCCAAGCGCGAACCAAAGAGCAATGCTGACTGTTCGTTGAAATTAATCGCGAAATTCCTGGCACGCGCCCATGCTTCCGCAGATACCTCCTTTGGCATCTCGCCGCGAAGTTTGCCTTGGGGCACTTGAATAACCTTCCCGTGAATAGCTCGTGAATCTTCTTCGAAACGCTTTAGACTGAAATTTTTGTTACGGCGTCGCTTCTCAGCTTCGCGGATGAAGCGAACCTGCTCCTCTGCATCATCGACAACTTTCTTTCCCGTACTCGCCAACATTCGCTGCTCCATACTGCATAAACCGCTGAGAATCTTCTCCGTAGCCAAAGTTCCAGTGGAATACCAAGGATGACATCCTCGTTGAATACACTTAAGAGATATTACACCGTGCATAGTCGCAACAGGGAAGGCCTCCGTAATGGTCGGCTGTCGAATATATAGATGGAAATACAACCAGAGGTCCTGAACTGAGAAGGCATAAGACAGTTGTAAAAAAAAAGCAAAAAAAAGTAAGCGATGAAAGTCATAAAACAACACAAATTCATAACTACGCACGGTACGCAGTATCGAAACCAGATACTGAGAGTGCACAATAATATTATTGTGCACTCTCAATACACGCGCACAATAATAATATATATTATTGTGCACTCATACTGACCGTACTCAGTACTGTTAATGGTATCACAATACTGTAGCTGCCACCTCGCGCAGCCTGCGAATTTGCGCGGGATCTAGTGCATGTCTAGTGTTTACAGTGTGTCTACTGTTTTAAAAGTTTAAAACCCATATTAAAATTATAAGCTGATTTGAGCCTTGGTGAATTTAAAATTTAGTTATGGACAGTGATATGACTTGCACCTTGCTGTACACCGGTCTGTCGGCACTTTAGGATATAAAATTCGAGTGTGCTTAAGAACTACAGTATATAAGAGACCTGTGCAGAGTCTGAAAACTCACCTAAACATCACGGCTGATCTAATCCTCCTGGAGGGATTGGATGGGCGCTATTCACGCAATTCGGTTCATTTTATGGACTTGAGCGTCGTGCTCAGTGGCAGCGTTTACACATCCAATCTGCCACAAAATCCGTTGGAAGTTGTTGCTTTTCAGTGCCTAAGCGCAAGCCCAAACACGAAAATAATTAATATTACTGTACTTGAAATTAGAAATTTTAGCTTTTATCAAAAGGAGGGCTTAAAAGCAAAGCGCAGAGCGTATCGACCCTGATAACAGGTACCCGATTTTCTGTTATTATGGTTAAGATTTTATTATTGTTAGAATCTGACTAGCGTGTGAAACATTTTGTGAATTGTAAAAGGTACCACATATCGACATATGCCTCGTTTAAGAAGAAGAATTGAAGATGAATTTCTCTCGCTCGTACTAACTTTTATTTTGACCAAATAACAAATGAACCTTTTACAGATACCTTTCCATATGTTACACTTTCAGACCAGCAATGGAAGCATTACAAAACTATTTTTTGTTTAAAATGAAAAGTCAAGGACCGTTTTTGTCCTACCGAAACATGCTTACAAAGAAATCTAAAATATCAATAAATTATCACTTCCACTTAAGGAAAGCCTTTCGACAACACTAACATGAGCACTCGGGTTAAGACTATGGTTAAAACTAAAATCAACAATCAGGTTTTCACTTTGATCAGAACTAACGTTAGCACTCGGGTTATGGCTCCGGTCAAATTAAGGAAGTGGGCCGGTACAAGGTACCAAATTCGTGTACATGCACGAAAAGTTAACTTTTGCGCACTCCCAAACACATTTTTAGTTTTATTTTATGACATTCTGTTGCCAGATGATTTGTATACACGTTATGGCTGTTTGAAAATTCCAAAAAGTTTACCTGTGTACCAAAAGTCTCATTATGGACCGATCTACTTCAAATTTTGCACATAAATGCACACGGTCTTTCGTGTTTACAGCGATCTAGACTTTCATGATTTGCTTAAAATTTTAAAATGAATTTTAGAATTTTTGAAAGTCATTTTAAAATTCGAAAAACATGCTAGATCAGTGGATCGGTGTAAAACGATATTCATAGCCAGGTGCTCCCGAACCGGATGTTGCGCGCACAAACGGTTTTCACGCCCGTGTATACAAGTCATCTGGCTACAGAATGTCATAAAATAAAACCAAAAATGTGTTTGGGAGTGCGCAAAAGTTAACTTTTCGTGCATGTACACGAATTTGGTACCTTGTACCGGCCCACTTCCTTAATTTGACCGGAGCCATAACCCGAGTGCTAACGTTAGTTCTGATCAAAGTGAAAACCTGATTGTTGATTTTAGTTTTAACCATAGTCTTAACCCGAGTGCTCATGTTAGTGTTGTCGAAAGGCTTTCCTTAAGTGGAAGTGATAATTTATTGATATTTTAGAATTCTTTGTAAGCATGTTTCGGTAGGACAAAAACGGTCCTTGACTTTTCATTTTAAACAAAAAATAGTTTTGTAATGCTTCCATTGCTGGTCTGAAAGTGTAACATATGGAAAGGTATCTGTAAAAGGTTCATTTGTTATTTGGTCAAAATAAAAGTTAGTACGAGCGAGAGAAATTCATCTTCAATTCTTCTTCTTAAACGAGGCATATGTCGATATGTGGTACCTTTTACAATTCACAAAATGTTTCACACGCCAGTCAGATTCTAACAATATAATAAAATCTTTACCATAATAACAGAAAATCGGGTACCTGTTATCAGGGTCGATACGCTCTGCGCTTTGCTTTTAAGCCCTCCTTTTGATAAAAACTAAAATTTCTAATTTCAAATACAGTAATATTAATTATTTTTGTGCTTGGGCTTGCGCTTAGGCACTGAAAAGCAACAACTTCCAATGGATTTTGTGGCAGATTGGATGTGTAAACGCTGCCACTGAGCACGACGCTAGTCCATAAAATGAACCGAATTGCGTGAATAGCGCCCATCCAATCCCTCCAGGAGGATTAGATCAGCCGTGATGTTTAGGTTGAAAACTCTAAACGATTACTTTTATGATTGCGATCTAAAGGCAAGGGCATGGCTCCAAGCACTATCGGCAGCATCCCTTGGAACTTGCTTAACGACTCCAGCCTAAAGACAGCTGGTACACTGGTAGGCGGTATACACACCACGCCCGTGCATTTGAGGCGGCCAGGTGGATGAGCATGGCTACCATGGTTCCAGCTGCAAGTTCACCGCCGGACGGAAACCGAACCATGAAAGCCTCAAAGCGGTCATCAAGCGCGCCTTTGCGACTGAACTGGAACCTCCCGGAATCTCCCGTACACATGGCAAATGACCAGATGGTGTGACAATTTCCCCGTGGGAAATAGGAAAGGCCTGGGATGTAACCTGTCGCACCGCCATGGCCTTGTCGTTCATGGCAGCCACTTCCACTCCAGCCGGAGCAGCAGCAGCGCTGGCCGAGCGAGCAAGACCGGGAATACCGCATCATCACCCAGGATTACTGGTTTTCGCCGCTGTGCTTCGGGACCTAAGGAACATTCGGACCAGAAGCCACCCGGCTGATGAACCTGCTAGGAAAGATGATCCAGCATTAAGCAGGCGAACCGCGAGACAGAGTTTTGCGTCAACGGATCAGCATAGAAATGTAGCGAGGAAACGCGACATCTACCGTCATTATCATAATAATTATACGGTTGCATACCGCACTTTCTACAAGGAGTACCGCGTATTGGAACTGCCGCGGTGAAGAAGTGGTGTACATAGTACTACATACTATATATATACAAGAAACGGCTTCGGCTTTGCCTCCGCGTTTCTTGTGGTCTACGGTTGGTTTCTTGAATGATTTTGATTAATTTAGTATTACTGTGTGCATTATTTGCGATTACTATATGATGAACAGCAGTGTTACTTCAGTTCTTTACCACCTATCACGATTTGCGCTCACGACGATAAGGGTAATTTGGTTACTCACTCTTCCAGTTGGCTCTCCGCAGTGGACATCAGTGAGCATATTAGTGGTACTTCAGTTACTAATCCCCACTCGTTTCGTTACGTACCCACCAAGCGAGCGGTGCGAAACGGTTATTTTCAGTAGGTCGGTCGCCCACTCTCCTACCGCGGGCCGGGTTCTGCCCACGCGAATAATGCATAATATGGTAATTTGTCACTCACTATGTTCAGTTCCAGTAGGGGTAGCACGTTACTCGTTCGTCACCACTCGTTCGATTACTCACTCACACGCGAGCTCTGTGCACTGGAAAGTAGCGATAGTGCGGTTCCTCACCCATTCTATCGGGCTAGTAATGTGATCACTCAATTTGTACACTTAGTAGTAGTGATAGTTCGGCAACTCGCTCATCCGAACCCCTGTCACCGTACCCCCGTGACCCAGCCGCCAAATTAATACCCGTTTTTTAGGAATGGTATTTGTTATGAAGCAATTTTAATTTTTCTAAACTGTTCTTTGATTCGGTGTAGGTGGCAGCGGTGATTGTGGTAATTAATATTACAAAAAATTTTTAATTATACTTTTTATAATTCCTTGCCGACGAGGATGCCGTTTATTTTTCTGGTGTTCTTTTGTAAGGAATATGAATTTTTCGATCTGAGCAGTTCAACTGATTTGGCGTTTTCTGATCTGAAGAAACTAAATTATTTCGGATAATTATGATGATTAGTCACTGTCCTTAGTTTTGCTCGGACTGTAATGAAAGGTCAGCCCGTCGAACGATTAATATGGCTAGTTTCTTTTACAGGTTCCTTTAAAGGGCTTTTAACCATCTGTGCACTGGAGAGTAGTGGTAGCTCAGAGTCGTTATCATGATATCATCTAACGGGTTCCGTGCACGGACAGTAGCGGTTGCTCGGTTACCTGCTCACCGAACGAGCTCTCCTTCAAAATTAATGGGTTTTAACCAGCGCTCTTCTTATTCATAAGTCATGTTTTTGAGCGCTTGAAATTATTAACGATTTACTGAAATAAAGCTATCCACTAGCAGGATGGTTTGTGTTACTGCCAACTGGCATTTTTAGTTTTATAAAGTAAAGTTTAAACCTTTTTAATTTGATGATCTAAATAGGTTCCAGTTTAAATTTGCTGATTTTTTGCTCCTGCAACCGGACTCTGAAATTATTTTCAAGGTCACCTTGAGCTTTCAGCTCTACCACAGTTTCCAGACATGCTGAATCGAATGGCGTTAGCAGTTTTTCGATTAATTGTTCGATTTGTTCAAACCAGATCATACGGGGTTTTGCGTTGTAATATAGATCTTTTCCTTGATATATACTATATATATATCTATATATCTATATATAGATATACAGTACAATACATAATAGTGCATTAGCGCTGCAACTTGTATGTGTACAAATCACGATACATACATACAACTAAGACGTTTTCGCACTTGCCATTGGCTGGCCCGGCCTACTTTTGCCTACTTGTATAGATGTATGCGTGATGTGTACACATACAAGTAAGAAACGCAAATGCACTAATAACTTTCACCTCATCCATCTTGCAATCAATAATTACGGTTGTACGTACTGTAGTCGAATTTCCAATAAGTTTGTAATGGCGTCATTAACACTCATTATGCTTATTGGTTTAAAACTAGATACGTATTATTCAATATTATATGTGTAACTTGAACCATGAGGCATTTTTAATATAAATTTTGTTACTTTGATTTTTTAATTTCTTGTTTGGTAATTTTTATTTATTTTATTTTTCTTTCACTCAATGCGATGAATATAACCATGACTAAAACGTTGTTTGGAAAAAAACTTGGTAATATAAAGAATAATCGAACCAATGCATTTTAAGTCCTACATATCTGTACGCTGTAAACTAGGGTAGTAATATTTTACGTGAGATAAGTACTTTTTCTTTGGTCCAAAATTTTAGATTCCGGTGAGCTCGCACCACTTGATCCACCACAGAAAGTTGCTTACGAATACGGTTTCCTGCTGTTGAGTCCAAACGGGGTCAACGAAACTGCCGGCACAGCAGTTCCGTAATCTTCAATAATTACTACAGAATCTAATCGACTCATACCGGTAGTACAACGTGCCTCTTCTATCGTAACAGTTTGTTTGTGGCGTGCGTATAGAGTATAGACTTGCCAGTTGCCACTGTCGAAGCCAAGAAAAAAACGGCATCGTTGCGTCCCAGTGGGCTGGTGTTTGGTTCGACTGGCGTAACACTGCGCCAATCAAAAAACGAGTCACAAGGCCATCAGGCCCACATCCGAAATGAGTCTGCGCGTACAGTTTTGTCGCGCGACTTATCCTTACACGAGTTCATGTTCGATACCCTTTACCTGTTGTAGAGACATTAATTTTGATTTCCCTTGTTTCAGAATTTTGAGTCGATTAAATCAAAATCAAAATTTAAATTATTGTAATATAAACGATTAGGATGGACACTACGGCGTACCGGGTTTCGGTGGCGCATGACACTGGTGCTACCTTTATCGTATCGGTATCGATCAATCGTCGGTCGATAAATTTGTAGAATAAAATCTTGCCGATGTTGTAAACTGTAGTACTGCGAGAATACCTAAACACCATAAATTTTTTCACAATCTTTGTATTATTAATCTTGATTTGCCAAAGTTGCTTGCAATGTTTTATAAATTTTATTATACCTCTTGTATAATTTTCTAACCGAGACTCTGCAGATGATATGTCGACTAATTTGACACAGCTCTGGATCTCAGGTTACATCCTCAAATATTTGTAAGAAACGGATCCAAAGTTCTGCTTAATCCAACAGAAGTCAAGTGGCGTTTATGCAGGATATCCCACCATTCAAACTACATGTGAATGAAGTTTGCACTATGATAATGCATGAAAAAACCAAAGCATATACGGCGTGTGAATATTATGGTTCTTGTTCGTTCACTTCTACCACATTTAAATTATGCGACACAACAAATCAACTGTATTAATGCGTACGAGCGAATATACTGCCGGCTGACCGGCTGGATCACATCTCCGCAACTTGACGGTTTCACGCGGCCTAATACACGACTGCACTGTATTAACGCGGGTACTACATTGTAGACTCTTCGTGCGCGTTGGCCTTGCTCAGGGTTTACGTGCGATGGTGTTCGCCCATCATCTGTTCGTTGTCAAGTAGCCTGAACAACAGACTCGCGTTTCGCCATCTACAGACTATACCGTGCGCACCTGTCGCATGTAATTGGTCGTTGAAGGGTGCTCAGCATTTTTTGGTTGGCGGTTGGCGGGCTGATCATGGGGAGTTGATTAAGCGGGTAGGTTTTTCGTAATTCCTGGACCAAATTGTACAATAACCGGGATGAATATTCTCACGTCCGATTTGTGACGCCATCCCAAAAGCAGTACTTACTTTTGTAGGTTGTCGTTCCTGTTCGTCTCTCTTCCGCAGGTCACCGAGTAGCATCTATATTTTCCACCAGCGCACGTGTGCTACGCTTGTGAACGTGGACTTGGATAAACAAAATTTTTATTTGCTGGTCGTTCGCGTTACAAGTTAAAAATGACCCCCATGTATTCGGAATCTTTACTATGTTTTGAGGAAGCATCGAAATATCCTGGTTGAAGTGTTTTAATTTGTCGTGCATATACGACAATCATGGAATTTTAATAATCGATTGGAATATCCTCACACAGTTATTTAATTTGACGGATACATCTGCATCATTTTTATTATTTATGTTTGGACACTTGGTGGAAAGACAAATTGTTTTAAGGATTACCTATTTCTTTGTGACCAATGCATGGCATTTCAACCCCGATTGAAAATTTTTGCGTAAGTGTTCGCAGTACACCTTATTGGTAATTTTATGTAACATATTCTGTTAAATAATTTATGCTGTGCTGTAATTTATAATAATTTGCTATTTGTTACATATCATTTTTTGTATTTCTTGTGTATCTATTTTATAAGTTACAGAATTCTTCGATTAAGGTTCCAGTACTTACTGTACGTATACAAGAGGACTTGCGCTGTGATAGTCATGCTGACTATGTGCGGCAATGTGCCTACCTTACATAAGAAACACGCACCCATGTCCGTTAACCCGGCCGACGTTATGTTTTCCCAACCGTGCTACTTGACTCGATTTTACAGTATAATTCTGTGTTGAATTCAAACTTTTCATTTTTATAACATTTTATCTCGGAAAAATTTGAAATTTCTTTCAAATTTTACTGATCTGTATTTCCAATCGAAAACTTTCTCCTGAACTGTAAAAATTGCCGACACAGCTTACTTACATGTTTATATCGACTTCCTAAATTTTAGAAACATTTTATGGTTTCTAGGCGGCATGTTGATGATTTATATTGAAAAGCCGTTTATTTTATTTTGAAGAAAAAATGTGTGGCTGAGAATCGTTGATATCCAGTGATTAAATGTACTTACGTTGCAAGAACGAATATTCTCGAAAATTAGTACATGTTTATTTCATAACACTGAATTGCGCAATATATGCTACAATGAAAGCGCATCATTAATTGTATCAAACGCACTGAATCATAATTTTTCACAGGCGGACTAATTTCAAGCTGATGGCTCATCAGCCTGATTAGCGTACAGTTACACGTATTTATATAATTATATGAACTTCAATTAAGCCATTCCACCAGCAATCTGCACATTTATGATTCTCTTTTTAAGACAAAGCTAGATAATCCATGTTAATTGCAACTCCAGATCGTTAAAAATACAAACCAAAATTTTTGTAAGTTTATTATTTCTTTGAATAGTAGAGCGATTGCTCCATCTTGATCTTTCTGCAGTTAAATTTTACCGTCATGCGGCATGCATACGAAGGAGACTACTTATATACAGAGGCGACTAAATACGCGGCTTCATTTGTACTGTTCACGTTAATTATACTATGCGTCGATATAAGTAGGCGGCTTGATTTGTCGATTTGTATTGCAAAATAGTTCTTTCAGTACACTTCCATTGTAATTTGTCAAAAGTAGTCGAAAAAACAATACAGAAAAATTTAAGGGCATAAACTTACGTCAAAACGTGCGCGCATGTAATTTCGTCCGGTTGCAATAAGCAATGTCTGTGGGCAAGTAGCAAGTATACGAGTATAGCGGAGTAGTATATTATAGATATGAGATTTTCTGTTCTGTTGTATTTGCGTTTAACTTCCACGGTATTTAAATTTTTGGCCAGTTTTCCCCGTTAGGCAATTATTCCAGCAAAAACCTGCAGCAGCATGGGAAAATCATCAGAATAAATGAGCATTTCGAACTGAACTAACCATTAATTTTGCTTTTTATGGTGCATATCAACTTCCTGCAGTAAATACTGAAGTACAGGCGCTGCTCCAGTATAGCTGTATTTAATTTAACTGTTACGCAAAGAATAACAAGTGTTTTAAGTGCTGAATGGAAGTTCTAATAGTACGTATATCACGTCTGCGTTAGCCAAAAAATTAATATGAATCAGCCTCGGCGAATTGTTTTCTTTGTCCGAAAATCCGAATTACATATTATGTATATTTTAACGTCCACAATTGTTTGGCATAGGCTGAATCTAATACTGCGTCGGGTTTAACTTGACGCAATTAGCTATTTATACGAGTACACAAATTCGAAGAAGCAAGTATTTTAAAAGTAATTCTAATTTGAGCACTACAACATTTTTAAAATTTATTCTGCCACACACGCTGAGGGCAGTGGTCATTGTTATTTATAGCCACAAGATGGTCAGACAGATTTTTTAATTGTAGGAACAATGGTTCGTAAAGAAATTGCAATTACCGTGTTTACTTAATCTGTGATCTGGCGTTTATTTGTTTAACGAATGTGTCTGACAATTGTAACACATATTTTATTTAGCCCAGAAGTTATCAGTTACTGCAGTGTAGGTATCGAATTCGACTGTGAGCCGTTTGTGATTTAACACAAGTTTTTGCGCATAATACGTACTATTTGTATTTGCAGATTGTAAGCGGTAATTAAAATAAAGCTTTCTTTGACTCTATAATTCTACTCGTAGGAGTGAAAACAATGGAAGCGGTAGCACTGCAGCCAAGCTTGCCGCACAAACAGCAACAGCAACTTATGCATCATGGTCATTTGCAACTGGAATCGATGATTTACAAGCCCGGATTCTCGGACATCGATCCTCTGCAAAGCATGGAAAACAGCGGTACCTGTCTCTGGTTCTCGAAAACTAATCTAATTACACACAAATACCAAATTTATTCAGCTATTTTCCCAAGGCTGTTTTATTACCGGATTTGTGAGAATATGTATATGAGTATGATAGTTTCCATCGCCAAAACGCACTCTGGGAATATACCTAAGTGGTAACAGCACTTAATGCACTACTCGAAACCAGAAGACGGGTCATGCATCCCTCGGAACAGCATTATGCACTAAAAAGAAAATATAATGTTTTAGCTTTATTTGTTTTTCATAATTCTTGGTTAAAGGCACTTTGAAGGCTAAGGCTTTGAAGGCTTTGTTTTAAAAAGTGACTTTGCTTCGTTATAATTTTGTCATTATTGTTATAATTTTCACAACAAGTATATATCTGTAGGTATGCAAAGTTTGAGCCCTGTGGATTCTATCACTGCGAACGAATTGTCGTCTTTTCTATTTTTACAGGACCTCCTTCCGGTCACAATGCCCGAATGCTGCAGCAGAATGGCGCGGGGCCGTTTATTAACTCAAATGAACCATTTTGTCATGATGCCCTCCCAAACAGGAAATCATTTCGGCCCGCCACACGCCGCAGCCATGCCAGCACCTGACCATCTGCCTAACCAGATCGTAGGACATTACAACGGTATTAACGTTACGTCCAATGCAAATGCCGGTCACCAGTTCCCCCCTCAGCTGAAGAATAATAAGCGGGGTTCCGTTGATTATTCTAATGGGATGCCGGATTATTCGAAAACAGGTAATTAGCCTGGATTATAGCCATGTTGCAGCGCAGCGCGCCGCTGCGCGCGCCTCTCCTAATTTGGCTATAAAATTTTGCTACTTGTGTTAATAGAAATATTATTAATTTTTCTAATGACGATTACTATTAGCCGTGCGTGGAGAAGGAATCTTACATAACTAGTTAGGAGAATTCTTCCAATCGTAATTTAGCATTTCCGACATGGATCTGCGCTTTAAAGGTTATCCAAGAGCTGGCAGGAGGAATTTGACCAGCTTTTTGTAGTGTTGCTTAACGCGAAAGATATTCTTGCAAAACTATTAGCTCATACGAGTATATTGACGATGCACGTGTCACGCTTGGCTACAAGATTTCCGACAACATCTTTACTAGCGGAGTGCATACTCACCTTTTTGATCTGGACATCAGGATGTCAGCTAATGCACTTGTAATAGACTTTATAGCGATATTAAATAGTCTGCTTAGGGACTGTTGTTTTATTATTATGAGTAAAGGGCCTTTTGCAAATAAGTACTTTGTACAATGTTAGGTTACCGTGCTGTTATACGTTGATGCGACGATACCGACTGAGCAGAAGAAAAAACTGCAAGAAAAGCAGGCTCTTTGAAAGTAGATTACCTATTACAAAGCGGTAGCATTCGACTTACCTTCCAAATTAAATGAGAGGGCGATTGTGTTTGATTTTAGGAATTGTTAAGCAAGACTTAAGTCAAGACCTTGATCTCGAAAGGCATTATTGCGCATATTGAATTAGTTTTTTTTCGTGATCAGCCTTGCTACTAACATTGGCCTTGAATTTGTCATAAGTATTGTAAAAGTACGAGTAAGCAGCGGTAGAAGCTTGCTTTCCAAATTTAATTCGCCTTACAGCAAGGAATTCTAAAGCGAAAGCAGTAATATGGTAACGCACGGAACGGCATTGAGCAATGAGCATGCCTGCCATTGTTTTTAAAACGAAAATTTGTCGAAAGAAATTTGAAGTTCTAGTGTAAAAAAATAGAAAAAACCTCTAACCGTAATACTACCGTAGGTAAAAGTACGGCAGATATATGGACTTCATTGATATTCCTTACATTTGCCGGGGCCTTTACTGGGGCAGTGAACACTACATAAACGGAAATATAAATATACGGGTAATGTGATTAGTAAATACCGTATAATAACTATTGCATCATTTGTATGTAATGCCGATATTAGTAACAAGTATCATCGTTCATAAGAATTCAAAATGTCAGCAATCGCGTATGTAACCATAAGTAAAATTTGATTTCCCAACTTTAGACTTCCTACAAGTTCTCCAATTCTCCATCTGTATGAAAGTACTTACCTTAAATATATAGAATACTACTTTGTAGATCGTATACATAATGCAGGTATACTGCATGTCAGAATAGGTGCAATTATTATTATTTTATTTTAGTGTGTTAAATTGTGAATTTTCGCATTACTTTGTTAAATCTGGCAAATTTCCGTATAAATACTGCAAGTGCTACTGTGCTAGTACCGTGTACCGAACCATTCGGTCACTCGTTTAGTAGAAGTGCGACACAAAGGACTACTGCCATATACCCTAAAATCTCGCACACGTAAGTAATTAAGAAAATTACAGTACGAGTACCGTAGTACGGAATGTAGTGACTTGTGAGTGCGTAAATTTTTATGAGACTTCCGCTTTGATTCCATTTCATTTCGAAAAAACAGGTTGCAACGAAACCTGCAGGACATTCGCCGAGAAGTTTCATATGTTAATGCCAAGAATGTGTTTGCTTCGACCCGATTCACAATCATTACTGATACAATAAATAAGATACTAATGTCCGCAACGGCGCGGCTAAACATTTAGCGTACTGTACGATATACTTTGAACGATATTCACTTTAAATTATTGTTTATCTCTGAATTGTATTTGTAGCGGTGGAAACCTGGATGAATTCGCCTCGCTCGGTTACTTCCGACGATTCCATTGAGAATAATCAAAATCAGGTAAGAATTGCGTCTCCTAATTCCTGCAGCTGGAAAGCTGGCTGATTTAGTTGCATATCAAAAGTACTTTAAAGTTAAAAACTATCTTTATCAAAAGATTAAATGGTTGAATTAAATCACAGTAATTCAACAATTTGATTCAAAAACGGAAAAGCAGATTAACATACTATCAAGGCTTGGAGCAGCTGTCTTCATTAAAAGAAGTTGACAGGAAACAAGATTAAAAGAGTAAAACCGGAAAAAAATATAGAATGTTGCAAAATTGCAGAATGTTGGTTTAAGCGCTTTTGCATGAATGGTTTTAAAATTTGGTTTTGGATAAGTAATTGTTTGGTGAAGCGCGAAAACGTTTTGCACAACCGCGTATGTTATTATTTTTTACCGAGATACGTACCTGGTACTTGGTAGTACCTGCCAGCTAGCATCAAGCTACATGTAGAGTAAGCAATCATTAAGTTAACGACGAAAAGAACAGCGCGTTCGTTTGTTGCCCATGAATCTGCGTGGTACGTTGTTAGGCAGCCCCCAACGTCGATCACCTTTTACGTACACAAATTCCGTCATACGTACAAGACACAAGAGCTGTCCGATGCGATTGGCCTGACAGGAAATCCTACTCATAGCTTGGTAGTGCTGTTGTGGTCGCCAACGCGGTGCTGCGAGTTGTGTTTTAGAAGATGGGACTTATTGCGAAGTCTAATTATAACGTTGTATGGTATCTCCTCGGTATAAGTTAAGCACTTATGCTTACTTCCGGATCTGTTAAATTCTCACAAAACGAGTCCCTTGTACCGGGCTGTGCTGTTAATTGTTGAATGCTGTTGTAATCTGTTAAAAAATTAACGAGGAAGAGAGCTAATTAGAAAATAAAATAGCTCCTTAGTACAAAACATTTAAATGTAATCAGTACCAGAAGCCGCTTACACTAAGGCGATCATCGGCCCGTAATCTAAGCGGCAAATTTCATTGCGCATACAATATATATATAATCATAATTGTATCCTGTGGCTCAATTGTATCCTGTACAATATTAATAGAATAAGGGACGCACATACAGTACTCGCCAAAGAAATTATCAGTTAATTAGTTCCTTTTGCTACAATTTCGAATTCTAATTCCGTTTTGCATACAAGAATTTTACTGTAATCGAAAGCGTATATTAAAGAATATACCATGCGTGGTAGCAGTGAATGATGTGTAGTACGGTAGTACCTTAGGATGTTTTCGTTTATTTGTGCGTTTTTACAGAACATAAAAGGATTCCCCAAAAGCCTTGTGAATTATCCCAACAACGTCAAGCGACAGAATGTTGGACAATGGCATTCGCTGAATAATATTTCGCCTCAGTTCATCAGCCAAAATCCTCGCGGGATAAACGCAATGTCGCAAGTGACCTTTTCCCATAATCCAATGCAGTCCGGCGTTCCCATGGTACAACAACGGTCGGCATATTTGCCGGCACCAGCGGGAAATGTGGCGTTCTATGGCACACCGCGGATACTTGATCTCCAGGGTCAGGTTACACCCGCCATGCAGCATCCCCGTCTACCCGTACAGTACATTCTCCAGCCGCGGATGCAGCCCTTTAATCCGCGCATGCCCACGCCAGCAATGTCGATGCAAACAGCACCACCGCACATGCTGCAACATCAGCACCAGACTCCCTATGCGCCCAATCCAGCACAACAACAGCCAATGGGACCGCCACCGCCCACGGGGCCGCCGCCAGATCAACATAACTCCAGCGAAAAGAAAGCCCGCTTCCTTCGTACTGCTCAAATCCTGGAACAGTCGGGATTAATGGAATGTACATTGAAAACGGCGGCATTAATGAAGGAAAATGCCGCATTGCAGAAAGAAATTGATGCGCTGACAGCGGAAACCGAGGCCCTCATAGCGCAATATCTCAATATGCCCAGAGATGTGTCGCAAATGACGATAATGCACCAGATGCCTCCGCAATCCATGTTTCCTAACCAGCAACAGTTCACACAACCACCACCGGGTATGCTTCCGCCCATCCGGCAGGGAACAGCCACATCCATGACATCAGGGGTTCCGTATATGCATCCCGCAGGAATGATATGACTACCTTAAAAATTATATTCTACTTTGTTATACCTTGTTGATTGTTCCACGGACTGTAATCCCGACACAGCTGGACTGCAACGTCTCATCTTGTCGGATACGCCAAAATACCCCCACTGTATTAACAAAGGATTGTGATCCCAATGGTCACGGATGCTGTTGCGATCGTATAAAAGAAAGTTTTATTAATTTTTGACTTTCAGATGTTTTGTTGTAATATCGGGTACCATCGCTGCCTAAATTGCCTATTAGTGCTTCTTTGATTGCTCTTTCAGTGCAGTTTTATTTTTACTCTTTTTGAAATACAACAGATTTGCTGTTTTATAATTTTTGTATACTAATAATGCTCTGTAATATTTGATTACCGCTTCTGCAATAGGTGCCTAGTTTAAACTGCTTCCGATCTGCCCAAGATTTTTGCTTTGAATAATTTTCGCCATCGCACATGTTTCTATTGGGATTAAACTTATTACGAGTACGTACGATTTACTACACTGTATCTTCGACAGAAGCGTCCTCTACAGTTAACAGTTTATTTTCTTTCGACAATGGTGGAACTGGAGCGCGCAGTAAAAACTGCTGTGAAAACTGCTGCTTAGCGCGGTGAAAGCATGTTCGCTGTCTTCTGTTCCCCGAGGTGGAATAAACCGCCAAATTTGTCCGAATCGCTTCGGACTGGAACTGCGCAAATAACTGCGAAACGGTGTCCAATTCTTGCACAAATTCATCGCCGACGATGGAATGCATGTACTCCGAGGGAAGATCAGATGCTTCGAGATCTGAAAAAACCAGAGGATAAAAAGTGGACACTGGTCAAGCAAATGATTTCCGTCATTTCGAATTGACAACATATTTTCACTTTTCTTGAGCCGCATTTTGCCCGTTGCTTGCATGATGCAGCCACACATTTTGCAATTTCTATTGTGCACACTGCACATAAGTGAATGCAATCTGCTGGAGAACCGAGATCAAACAGAATGCACAAATTTCAGACTTACCAAGTAAATAATTTATGCTGTCAACACTATTGCAATCGCCACAAAAATCCAGGCATACGACATATGTTTCAGAATTGCCAGATTTGCTCGTTGGTGGCTTGTAAAGATTTACCTAAAATTAAACAAAAAAGAATTACCCAACCCTGCAAAACATATTTTTAGCGGTGCTTATCGTGCGCCGAACACGAGTCCGTAAAAATAAAATGCACCTTTAAAAAGCATCCACACAAAATTCTCAAGAGTACGCAGGTTTTCCATAGAAATGTTGTGAAAATCTTAAGCACAAAATTTCCTCCTTTCGTTAAAATTCGCAGAGCTGTAACGGCTTCTGCTAACTTCAACGCTGCCAGCGTTTCCTCTTGATCTGCAGGATGTTCGCTGCAATCCAGGCCGCCGTCCGCAGTAACAAGCCAAACGTCGCCCAGTGCAGTCTTCGCAGCCTCTACAAGGGCGCTGCGGTTCGCCCGCCGCAGTATGTCACCACTGTCATCTGCTCCGAAATGCCAGTTATGCTTCGTGCATCGTATAAGTGTGTCCTCCACAATCGCCTCCTTGTTCACCACCGTGTCGTAAGGTGACAAACTCGACGCTAACCACTTCCAAGATTTATGAATTTCGGGCAGTTTGCAGCTGAGAAAATGATTGAGTGCGGATACGAAAGCGCCGGGCGCTTCGCATAAATGCAGGGAAGAAAATGTTGCCGTTCCGTCTGATTTTGTTAATTCAGGATATTCGTGAAGAATATTCCAAAATTTCAGCCAAGCATTGGTGCCCAGCTCGAGGTCTTGATTGTTTTTGACATCATAACGCAGGAGCGATGCCAGATCCGTGTAATTTGTTAACGATCGCCATTCTTCGGGATCCATTTGTCCCACCTCACTCTTCACGGAGTTCAGATTTTCTTCAGTAATCCTGAAACTATCACGGAGGTAGGGCTGCTGCAGCGATCCCGTTGATGAGCATCTCTGTTGTGTCGGAATAAATGGCATAGGACATAAAGCAGTTAACCCATAGGTTCGCTGCCAAATCGTGCACAACATTTGCTGAAAGTGGCTTTCGAGGCTGGAAGTACTGGCATTTGACCAAAACCAAGCATCCATGGGATCATCCCGCTGATCGCTCTTGGCCTTGCGTTTACGCCGTTTTCTGCTGCGCTCCTGTTGTGATTCCGTGTTTTCCTCTTCTTGATCCACTGGCATTTTAGATTTACAGAACAGTCGCCTCTGGCTCTCCGAAGAAACCTTTTGCGGCGATTGGTCAATCGTGGCTGAAATCTTGATGAAACACCCTGACAAGACAGAAAAAGGTAAAAATATCAGCAGAACGGTGAAGCAAGAACGAGTAAAATCAAGAACGATAAAATATCATAAAAAATAGATAAAAATCATAAAATTAAATTTATTAAAAACAAAATGGGTAGGTAAGAGTCTTACCTACCTACCTTAATCGTATCTCACATAGGCTTATTTTGTAGAGAAAAAAATCTAGAACTTTTTAGTGTTTTTGAATAAATCGAAAGAAAAAGATTTCTATTCCAAAAAGCGGAAAAGATGGAAATATACGTCCCACAATAGGGTCTACGAGGAACCGCATTTTTAGCCGTGCCAGCCCGAATATGAGCCGAGCCGAGAAACCTAAGAAACCTAAGAAACCACAAGCTGAAGAACATAAGAAACATGAGAAAACCATAAGAAAACATCATCAAGCTTAAAAATTCTTAGAGAACAGATCAATACAGCCTAGTCGTTCAATACAGTTTTGTGTGGTACAAGCAGTCAATTAAACTGTAAGACACGTTGTAAGCGGATGGTGGACGAAATGAATGGTGGACAAAATGAACGGTGGACAAAATGAACGGTGGACAAAATGAATAGACACGATCTCTACGGCATACTTAAAGCATTGGGCCAGACACGGAAACTCGTGTGCGGTAGCCCTAACGTCTTAATCATCGTGACAGACGATTTTAGCTCATGTTCTGTGGCTTCCCAAAATTCTGAAAAGGTGTAACATGCTAGAAAACTCAAAATTTTTGAAAGAATGTTTCAAGTTTTATCATTTTCAGCGAGGCAGACACGCTACGTCCAAGTTTATCAGTGTGCCGTTAGCCAGGAAACCTTACGTACAAAACACCTGATTTTGCATATCACACTAATTTCAAGATCTGGAGTTTCCTGGGAGGATGTTCATCCCTAAACCGGATTAAATTGAAAGATAATCGAGTTTACTAACATGCAAATCAGGTTTAGTTGTGGTTTATCGTCCTAGTTCAAAAGATAGACTCAACAGAACACCAACTTTTGCCTAGTTCGACTGGGTCTACAACGTTTATCGGGACTCAGTATAGTGGTACTCGGGACAAACCATATACCATTCGATGGAGAATTAAATTCTCTTTCTGATTGGTGCATTTTAAGATGAGGCCAACCAGAAAGGCGCGGGGCAGGGCTATGACAAGCCGGGGCATGCATTTTCACGGTACGAAGCACGCGATTCGAGCCGAAATAGTGCAGAGTGTGGTGTATATACCTACGCTGTCGTAGAGTCTCTAGGTAAGACTGGTAAGTACTCGTAATGCATAGCGTCAGCTGTTTTAATAAATTTAAGCAGATGTCGCCTAAGGGTGGCCGACAGAACTTCAAAGCACCGAGCAGAGCGGCCTACCAGAGCAGCGGGAAAGCGGCGATATTCGGAAATAGTGAAGTTCGTGTCAGATTGTTGTCGGAAAAAACTATATATTAATATTCACATTTCACAATCACATTATTTTCAGAAATTTTTGAGGTTTGTTGTCTTGCAAAACGTTCTTCCAAATGGGATTACGTTAACATCCTCAAAAAAATATGCTTATCTTGTGATAAATGAGATAAAGGCACAATAACGCAGCGTGACTGCACTGTTGTTGTTCCATTAAGTGGAGAATTGCAATCATGAGTCTCTTGCCGGATTCTATCAGGCGGCTGCAGAATGCAGAAGAGCTTTTGTCCACTTTCCGATCTCTCAGCGTATGCAATGTTTGTTTGTTGCGGATTGCCGGGGAAACGAGCCCACACCGAATACGAGACTCCGATCAGTTGTTGATGGCTCTGGCTGGCGCTGATGGGCTGGACGTGAAACCGCTGGACGTGAAACCGTTAGGTGAAGCACCTTGTCCTTGCTGCTTCAGTGTACTGCAGTCTGATTTCTGCAGTGAAGAATTCCTGAAGAAAGTAATAGACTTCGTCAAAACCAGCGGATATACTATGAACACATTTTGGTGTTCGCTCACATTACCAAACGCTGCGGATATTCGGATGCGCGCGTTTGACGAACACTGGGACCAGACTTGTATGGACAACAGCGACGCCCGGGTTCGCAGCCGGTTGTCCGTAAAAGACGCCTGGAAGGCCATAGTCACCCCGGTTTTATCCAGTGCCTTCGCTGCAAAGTGGATAGGACACGAAGGTAAAACGTGATATGGCGATATTCTTCACATATGTACGCAAAGGAAATTTAGAATTGAAAGTCTTATCAACCATGAGCCTTCAACAAAAATATTTTGTTTTTCACTTTTTCTCTGCTATCAGCGATCGGTACTGTAGGTTGTAGATGCTGAATGACAGTTATACGTAGCGTGTACGGGTTTTTTGGACCATTAAATGTTGAGAGTTATGGGATTGTCAGATATTTACGATTATTAATTAAGTTCGAAATTTAATTAACCTATGCCAAAAAAATGCAAACTGCGAATCAGTTCAGCAGAGTGTTGTGAATTTGTCTTATTTGCGCGTTATTAGTTTTGTTATCAGTGGTAACATTTTCATGTACGTTTTTCGGTTTTGGCAACTTAGGGTTGGAGATCAATTTGCAAATCGACCATCCTGAGATGGACGACGAGTGTGATCCCCTTATAAGTCATTTTCCGAAATCTTTCCAAGAAAAGCGTGGTCCGGATGGAAAAATGAAGCGAGTGGTCACCCGACATGCTCTGGAGAACTTGTTGAAAACCGTTTCTTCCAGTGAATTTAAAGACCTTGTAAAATTTCCCCCGAAGCCACTCAGTCAACCGGCAACTTTGACTGCTATAACTTGTCTTCCTTGCCCGGTGTATGTTGGCGGGCGATATCTCAAGTATTCGCGGAATATCAGTCAGACGCCGTGGTTTATCGAAGAAGAGCGGAAGGGTGATATTTCCGTGGAAGAACTTATCTGCCGGAAAATCTGTGATAAATTCGAAGCTCAGAGCTGGCGTTTTATGACCTCGGGACGCGAAGATATCGATGTAAAGTGTTTGGGCGATGGTCGGCCGTTTGGAGTCGAATTGATCGGCGCAAAAATTGCTGCAGCATCCGAAACGGATATGCAAAATCTAGAAGACGATATCAATTTAAATACGGACATTGCAGTGCGATATTTGGAAGTAGTCTCGCGCAGTGATATGCAGATTATTAAAAAGGGGGAGGAAGAGAAAACAAAGACATATGTTGCGCGATGCCAGGTGGATCGTGTGGTCACGGAACAAGATATTGCTTTGCTAAATAGTCACCAAGAGTTGTCCATTAAGCAAAAAACTCCCGTGCGGGTTCTGCATCGACGAGCCAACACCGAACGAAGGAAAGTGATACATACACTGAGCGCAAAATTGCTGGATAGTACTGGTCAGTTTCGGCTGCTCTTGAAGACGCAAGCTGGGACATACATCAAAGAATTCATACACGGAGATTTTGGTCGAACGGAGCCGAGTATCAGTTCGTTGTTGGGTCAGGAAACGGAGTGCGAAGAGTTAGATGTAACGGCTGTGGATTTGGTGTGGCCTCCATCTAGGCAGATGATTCAGTAGTTTGTTTTACAAATTTTCTCAGTTGGGATTTACTAGTTGGAATTATTTTCCACATTAATTACTGTCACGGTGCCACCGTAAGAATGCATGCATAAACAATCATGCGTTTTATATTATGATTTCCTGTTACGGTTACGCTGAATGAATTATTTGTAATACTGTCGAAGTATAGACTTAGCGGCATTTTGAAGGATAAATTCTAGCGTACATAGTCGTATATTTTATATGAACCGAGATAATTTTATCGTCTTCCGTGAAGATACATGATCGTTTTAGACTTTTGTGCGATTGTGCATGCACTTTTACAACAAATTGGATGAATATCTATGAGTACGAAGTACAACCAATGCAACTACATTATAATTGTCGTCTGACAATTAAAAGTGGGCTAAAAAACATGCTTCACAACACATTGGTTCTTAATTCTTATATGTTCGGGGATATTTTATGCAGTACTTACTGTATTTGAATTTCCGGTTTTGGGAGTAAAATGAACAAAAGTGAAGTACGTACGATGTGTTAGTAGAAAATAATTACTTATGTGCAATATTTATTGTTAGATCTACTCATACGTGCCTAATACCGGTCTTTTTAGGTGGTATGTTGAGTCGTAGCCAGCTGCCGACATAGCTCGAATCAGTCAAATGGTATTGCACAGCGTAATCGATATGAGAAAGGAGAAAACGCATGCTTAACCTGTCCAAATTCTTCCGTAACATTTTTCATTTTGGGTTGTAGGTACAGTACATAGTTACCCGTACCGCTGTACTAGCGTACAGTCGCACGTTGTTTTTAATACTCGTACTCTTCCAAAATGCAGTTCGGAATTACTAGGGTAGTATCGATAATAATAATACTAGCAACGACCGCGGCGCGCTACGCGCCGCGGTATCCACCGAAGGTTACGTTGCGCTGTTAACTATCGTGTGATTAAATTACACCGTTACTTTAACGTGATTTTTTTACGGCGCGTAGTGTCGTTTGGTTAAGTTACGCCGCTCAATCTCTTGGATTACGTTTCGTCGCTTGCCTTACGCCACTCAATCTCGTGTGCTTACGGCACCTTACGCCACTTACTCGCGTATGCTTATACTCTTGTGGTTACGTTTTGCCGTTCACTCTCTTGTGGTTACGTTACGCCGCTCAACCTCTTGCGGTTGCGTTGCGCTGCTTACTCTCTTGTGGTTACGTTACGGCGTTCACTTGTGGTTGCGTTAGACCGTTCACTGTCTTGCGGTTACGTTGCGCCGTTCACTCTCTTGTGGCTACGTTACGCCGCTCACTTTCTTGCGGTTACGTTCTGCCGGTCACTGTCTTGTGGTTACGTTGCGCCGCTTACTTTCATGGGGTTACTTTTCCCGCTCACTCTCTTGTGGTTACTTTGCGCCGCTTACTCTTTTGTGGTCACGTTACGCCGTTCACCCTCTTGTGGATACATTGCGCCGCTTACCCTCTTGTGGTTACGTTACGCCGCTCACTTTCTTATGGTTACGTCAGGCCGTTCAATCCCTTCTGGTGACGTTACGCCGCTCACTCGTGGTTGAGTTAGACCGTTCACTGTCTTGCGATTACGCTACGCCGCTCACTTTCTTGCTGTTATGTTACGCCGCTCAGTCTCTTGCGGTTACATTGCGCCGCTTACTCTCTGGTGTTTACGTTACGCCGCTCACTTTCTTGCGGTTACGTTTTGCCGGTCACTGTCTTGGGGTTACGTTGCGCCGCATACTTTTCTGGGGTTACGTTATACCGCTCACTCTCTTGCGAGTACATTGCCTCTTGTGTTTGCGTTACGCCGCTCACTTGTGGTTACGTTAGGCCGTTCACTTTCTTGCGGTTGCATTGCGCCGCTTACCCTTTTGTGGTGACGTTACGCCGTTCACCCTCTTGTAATTACGTTACGCCGCTCACTTTTTTTGCGGTTACGTTTTGCCGCTTACTCTCTTGTGGATACATTGCGCCGCTTTCTCTCTTGCAGTTACGTTGCGCCGCTTACTCTCTTGTGGTTACTTTACGCCGTTCACCCTCTTGTGGTTATGTTCCGCCGCTCACTTTTTTATGGTTACATTACGCCGCTCACTCGTGGTTGCGTTAGACCATTCACTGTCTTGCGATTACGTTACGCCGCTCACTTTCTTGTGGTTACGTCAGGCCGTTCAATCTCTTCTGGTGACGTTACGCCGCTCACTCGTGGTTGAGTTAGACCGTTCACTTTCTTGCGGTTACATTGCGCCGCTTACTTGTGGTTACGTTAGGCCGTTCACTTTCTTGCGGTTACATTGCGCCGCTTACTCTGTTGCGGTTACGTTACGCATTAAATTCGTTTAGTAGGTTCTCTTCGCTTGTTAAGTGCGTTTAGCTGATTCAGTTGGTTTAATAACGTCGTTCAGTAGGTTCACTTGGTTTTGTTTGGGTTCTGTCGGTTCACTAATGTTTCGATTGAGTTGAGTTGGTACAATAACGAATGGTTTAGATTCATGTCGTTCAATATGGTTTGGGTTTAGCTGGTTCACTGAAGTTTTGGTTGGTTCAGTTGGATTCTGTCGATTCACCAAGGATTAAGATGGATTCAACTGGTTCACTAAAAATTTGGTCGGGTTCAGTCGGTTCACTAAAGTTTTGGTTGGGTTCGGTTGGTTCAATGAGGTTTCGGTTGGGTTCAGTCGGTTCACTAAGGATTAGGTTGGGTTCAGCTGGTTCACTAAGGTTTTGGTTGAGTTCAGTTGGTTCACTAAGGATTAGGTTTGGTTCGGTTGGTTCAGTAAGGCTTTGGTTGGATTCAGTCGGTTCACTAACTTTTCGGTTGGGTTCAGTTGGTTCAATGAGGTTTCGGTTGAGTTCAGTCGGTTCACTAAGGATTAGGTTGGGTTCGGTTGGTTCACTAAGGATTAGTTTGGGTTCAGCTGGTTCATTTTGTTTAGTAATTCTGTTCAGCAGGTTCACTATAGTTTGTAAGTTTGTTTAGTAGGTTCACTTTGTTTAGTAAATGTTTCGGTTCTGACCAATGAGAGCGATTTGGAGGCGGGAACGTTACAAGATCCGGCGCTTAATATTTAAGATTATGACGTATTTTAACCTGTACAGCTGTACTGTAATCTGCAACCCATTGACGATTCTCGCCAGGATGGCACGCTGTGGCGGTTGGCAGCCGTGCGCCTAAGGTGCGCCGGGAAGTCATCGTAGGCCCATAACAACAAGTGCTTATCCCGGCACTCTTTGAACAGCGCGCGTTCTCAAACTACGCTGTGTGTTAATTGGGCGGATGCAAAAAAAATTCACAAAAAACCATCTTCTGCAAACGAGAAAAAAATGTGTGATAAAAATGTTCACAGTATTCTTAAATCAAGCGCCAGTGCTATGACCACGGTATTGCACCACCGCCCATATAACAGCACACGAACAGAAACAGAGCGCATGCGTAGTTCTCCTGTTGGCGCACAGTAAAATCCCTGTCTGTTAGTGACGTCAGAATGACACGCTGCCAGTCTGCAATCGCGGCGAGAATCAAGAATTGCGCTGCTTACGTCTTGCACGTCGCCTAAATAACCATATTGCACCTACATGGTTAGTATCTGTTTTATCAAAATTAATCTTATCTTATGACAGCGCGATTATGATTACGGTTTACGGTAATTGAAATCATAGCTTTCCTTTAAACTTGAAGGATATGCTGTGCCGTGGATCGATTTGAAGTATACTTCGTGATATACGAGTTCCGTATCTCATGAAGGAAGCTCTCTCACCTCTCTATTTTTTATTCATCTGTTTTTTAAATGTGGCTGTACCGCCAGTGCTAAACTGCTAACAGGATTATAACTGTCACCAAAATCAAAAAGGAGGAAATTTCTGGAATATGTAGACTGTAGCGACTAGTGGAATAGCGGAAGTTTATCATTAAATCAGGGCTTTAAAGGGGTTTGAAAATCCAAACGGCATTCCGATCGCCCTCTAGACCATTTTTTTCTCCGCATAGTCATTCGAGGGGAAATGTAAGTGAAACTTTTGTATTGATATATATATCACGTGTACTCAGTCCAGAACAGAGCTAACATGAATATGAATACAGTTAGTGAATGGACTTGCAGTATTTACAATAGTACAACGAAAATCGCCTCCCTAAACTGTGTGAGAGACCGCTCAACAGTCGTAATAACAAACAATAACAAACGTGTATACTTGAAGTATTGATGCATATTGCAATACTTATTGTCTGCTGTTGGCGTAAATAATGATATTATTACTGTCAAGTCGAAAATACATACTTGGACAATCTAACGTTCCAAAATGACAAACCGAATATTTTACAGCAGTTTCGGAAATGCCACTATTTTTGGAGAATACCTATAAAGATACAGCTGTTTTGAAAGTATACCGCAATCCATCGTGGCTCTATTCGCATATGACACTAGTGTGTCGTATTGTCGGTCCAGCAGTAATGGTTGGTACGTATCGGCAAATTTACCGACCAAGACTTTTGCAATAATTTTAACTTGATTCTATTTTTGTAGCCATGTGGGCCTTAGCGATCAGCGCATTTATTAGCTTATACGCGGCAACTGGTGTTTATTTATTGTAAGTACGTTTACAAGTTTTGTACACAACATCCGAAACATTCTTCAGTGCACTGTAGGAGTTATTAAGCCGTTTATAGTGCTGACATCTACTCAGTACAGTACTTACCATTTGTGTGCCAGTTGCCAGTTGGTCTACAGATTACAGAAATAACCAGTTTGTGTTATTCTGTAGATTTATAGCCATCCTGCTAATATTCCACGAATTTTCTTGGCTTTTTAACAAAATTAGTTATCTTCGACAAGATAATGTTGTGGGAACCTGTTGGCGGATGTTTTTCTGGTTCGACTCATGGAAACGCTCCATTGAATACCTTTTTTGGGGAATTATTGCATTTGTTATTGGAGGTTTCACTACCTGGCAGCTTTTCGTGGGCGGTCAGTAAATGTTTTTGCCAAAGGAGTAGTCATGTCTTCTGAGTGCAACATACTTAGGGATGGTCTCATATCTGTAGCGTATCTCGCTACGGTACAGCACCGTAGCTAGTTTCGTTACAGTACAGAAATGGGACAGCCTTTCGTGCGCGTAACCAAGATACAGTACAGGCTACGCACATCGAAACTGGGCTCGCTATCGGTTTCCTGTATCGAATCTCTAGCTTTGGCCCCGTATCGCTGTATTTGCGTCCCATCGCTTCGATCACACATCGCACTGTTTACCAGTTTTTGTGTATGCTCTCGGTGATAAATTCGAGGTTTACTGGAAGGAATTGTGTTGATTGTTTTTTATGGATCATTCTAGTTAGTTTTTAGTCTGAATTGTGAAGTCTCGTTCCCTGGATTGAAAGTTTTTGTTTGGCATCATCGTCCGTAGTGGGTCATGAGCCAGACCAGTCGCAAACCATCCGAACAGTTTGTTTTGGCCAGCATACAGAATCCTCATTTTTCGAGGGCTGCTTATTTCTCCTGTTCAATATTATGTGTAATGAATGGAAACAAATTTTTATAATCAATAGCATCGTAGTGCATATGACGGAGTCCTATGCACTACGAGTCTACGATAGCACCTAAGCACGCTCGGTATCAGTAGTGGTGGAGGTCAATTACATTTGGGTAACTGTTGCGCGTCGGGTAATGGACAGACGCGTAAAAAATTAGCCATGACTCAGCAGAAAAACAATCGTCCAATCGTGAGTCGAGTACGCTTCCGTGCCAAGAAAGAAATTGAACACCGACGTGGAACTGAAAAACTCATTTTTAATGCTGTAATGTGGTAAATGTGGTATTACGTCAAAAAAGTTAATTATGAGTTTTGGATTGTGACTCTGGGTCGTTGGATTTACTTTTGGTCCAAACACACACAAATTTTGTTGATCTGTGTAGGAGAGTTACGAGTTACTCGTAGTTTGGGTAATGGTTGCGCTTCGACGTCGAAGCGCAACGCTTACGCGGACAAGTAAGCTGAAAACCCATCCCAGATTTTGTGACGGCGAATCAGAATGTTTGCTTGGTTACGCGCTGTTACGTCACATTTTTTACGCGTTTTCCCGTTACCCGACGCGCAGCGCTTACCCAAATGTAATTGACCTCCACCAGTAATTGTTTTTCATCTTCATTCCGTTTCTCTATAGCTGATTCTAAGGATGTTGGTTGTTATCTGAAATTTTTGTGCATTTACTAGTTGAGTTTGAAAATGATAAAAAAATGAAACAGCGTTCATTTCAAAAAACCTAAATGACTTACGAAAAGAAATGAAAAATGCTCACTGAAAATGAAAAAAGTATTGAAAATGCTTACTCATCAACAAAAAGTTACCAGGGAAAGCCACCTCTGGCTTCGCGTACCGTATCGTTTTTCTTTGTATTTCAGGTATGCGTAAAAAGCGCGCGCAAAATTTTTGGTTGATTTGAGACGCGGGGTTGGTACGGGTTTTGAGATACGCTTCGCGGGATATCGTACCAGAGAGTTGTGAATACGGGACGCATTCGGATACGCAGCTTACCCCCGTCCCGAATCTTTGCACTGATAACCAGGTGCCCGAATCGGGAACGGCCGTACCGTATCGGGTATCTGCTGTTCTGGGACGGTGGTGTACTGTACCGTAGCGAGATACGCTACAGATATGAGACCATCCCTTACAGTGCACCACATCATCATTGCGCAATAAAATTTGTGAGGTTGCAGATTTCATTTGACACTCTCCCATAGAGACATATGCTACAACATAAACCTTCAAAAATTCGTAACTTTGCCAATTTTCGCGTTAAGTTTTTGTGAATATGCTTGAAAAATACACAATAATACCTACTGTTAGGCAAAATAGTTATTTTTCTGTTTCCGTCTTACGGTTTGGCGCTGAGAGCATACGGGGTTAGTATAGCCGTCTACGAGAAATCTTTATATCAAATAAATGACTCCTCCATAGACAGCCATGCTAATTACAAAGGCACATACTGCGCAACCCTAAAAGAAAATCAAGAAAACATTTATTCTGCCTACTAGTATATATTATTCTGTATTTTTCAAGCATATTCACAAAAACGTAACGCGAAAATTGGCAAAGTTACGAATTTTAAAGATTTACGTTATAGCATATGTCTCTATGGGCGAGTGTCAAATCTGCAACCTCACAAATTTTATTGCGCAATGATGATGTGGTGCACTGTAAGTATGTTGCACTCGTCTTATTATTAATTTGTTGCAGTGCTAAGTGTTTTATGCTTTTAGGAGCTTTATTGATGCTCTTGTCTGTATTTTATTTCTTAAAAGCCATTCGATTTACGTAAGTAACAACATCTTCGTTTCTGCTCTTCTGAAATTACGTACATCTGCCAACTGTTCTTGCAGGAAAATTGAACCAATACAAGCGATTGGTGATATCCCGGTAAATCCACCGCCGCCATATGGAGCAGCCACGGCACCTACAGTCCCACAGATCCAGTGGGGAGACCAATATGGAAAATACTAAAAGAGCTTTACAATATTTTTTTTCATTTCGAACATTCGAAATTCAATGAAATCATGCCGTCTTTTTCTGATTCTCAATTTGTGGACATATTTATAATGTGATTTTTTCTTGTCTGCTAGATCTTTGTAATTTGTTTTCGAACTTTATGAAGTTTTACAAACCGAAACCATTCATTCGTATAGTCATAGTGTATTAAAAGTCTGTAAAAATACCCCATCGGTCCCAAACCTCACTGAATCATACAAAAATCACCAGCTAAAATTATCACAGACCAACGTGAGGCTCGACCGCTTGCAACTGCACTGCCATCTGTTGATCCAAACCAAAATATGAATCGGAAACCAAATAAAAATGCAATATCACCCGTCCAGGCTGGGATGGTGCTGAGAAAAGCAATGAGGAATTGAGTGAGCGTGAGATGAATCCGACACGTTTCATCGCCAACAATTCTCCACTGTCCACTTCACCGAGTAGCCGCCACCAGCCTCGTCCTTAGGTTTATGAAACCGGGATGTAGCGACCTTTCTACCAGGCTGAAAAGAAGTAGACGGTAGATGACACCTTTTCTGCAGCGGGGCAAATTTTTAAAATTTATCAGAATATCAAACACTGTCAAAGGTCATTTCATGAATGCTGTAAACAACACTGTAAAAAAAACTTACGATTTTTCGTGGTAAAAGACGGGTACAAACACAGTTAATCTCCAGCACGTAAGTTCCCCCGCATTCCACATCAAACACATAATATTTCGATCGCCAACAATATTTACGGTGCGAGTGTCGCTATCAGTATTATCACCAGAATCTTCTTCCACATTCTTCTTCAGGCCTAATTCTACTTCCAAAAGTGGAAATGAAAGAATAGTCTCAATAATCTGAAAAAAAACAGCCGGTATTATGAAAAAAAAATTGCTTGAATTTGAAACCGATTTGCCTTTACGTACTTTAGCAGCGTGACCTCTTCCAGGTGGGCATATGTTTCGCAGAAGTGTCCGTAGATTGTTTTCATTCTTTTTTGATAACGCGGTGTAATGAATCAATCCAGGAAGTGTCCCAGCAACTTTTATACACATAAAAATGTACTTATTCAAATTATAGAACAAAACCGAGTAAGACTATTAAACTCCTTCTTGTATACTGAAAAAGCAGAAAGGTGCGTTATGAACACAGAATGACCGGAAACAATGAAAACGACTTTTCGTATCTTCGTACCGCAATGCTTGTACCAGAAGACCATCCGCAAAACGATGTACAACCATTTGTGCTAACTGCATTTTTCGGTATTTACTGGTATGAATAATTGCTCTTTTATTACTTGTATAATACGCATAACCTGATCCAGAACATGACTGTTCAGATCCGTTGCGCATTCTGCATTAGGATGGCAATTTGATATCGGGAAAAATACACTTGCAGCAGTAGAAAAACTTTCGCATGTAAGTCGTGATGTGTCAACGGGCAGCGGCACTTGTCCAGAAACTAGGCTAGAATTCAAGAACAAATAAACAGTCTCTTCCGGTGCGAATCAAATGAAGGCAAGTAATCACCCATTTTCGGCATCCTCATTGTGGCGAACTACCCTAGCACCTGCGCGAATTCTTGGACGTCCGATAATATCAGAAGAATTTCTGATAGCTTAGTGCTTGGTGTCAGTCTTTCATGCGGAATTCGCATGGTGCCGTGTTTCAAATAGTAATATGACGCAATGGTCCCAAGGTACGTTGGGAAAACGAGAAAGTTTGGAATCTAAACACACCCTTTAGTTTTTAAGCAATAAACGTTATATAACGATCGGCCAACGTGTGATAACGTAAGAAATCTATGCAACAAGGCAAGCGAGGCAAATAAACTGTTAACTTACGCCCGAGTAAAACAACTTGCAAAAAAACGTTATCTAAAAGTTAGTAGACAGCTAAAATTGACACACATCCGTTTACCTAGCAGTAGTTACACGTTAAACAAACGTTTTTCCTACAAGCTGTTTTACTCGGGACGTCTTCATCAAACTTCCTTCTTCCCTCATTTTCTTCGTACTCCACACAGCCGGAATTTTTCAAATCAATCAAACAATCCAGAATCAGCTTCTTAACATGATTTTTTACGTAGGCAACAAGAACCGGGTCGTCGTCCAACATGTTGGCAGCTTTTTCGGGATTTTCAAGCGAAATGGGTCGAATCACGGAATAATAACTACAGAGACAAAACATTGGTAACTGTGTATTTTTATCTGCTTGTGGAGATTCAGCAAGTAATATTAACTCCGGGTTAGTCGAAAGACATCGGAACAAATAGATCCAGGTCACTCCAGGTTATGTACTCCAGAGTCCAGAGTGCCTTCAAAGTTCTTTCCGTAACGATCCTTCAATCCATCCACTCCGTAACGATCAAGTTTGGTTCTCTTGCGTCTTGAGCAGTACTCAAAAATGGCATTTTTAGAGACTGTGCAATGGAATTGGTTATGTAATTATTAATGGAAGTGCACAAAATTACCAAAATATTGCCTGAATACAACATTTTTCGCATACGCCATCGTATTCGCTCTCATACCTGTACGCCCATACTGTTCCCCTAAATTAGCATTCTGAAACTCTTTTAATCGGTCCCTAAAAATTGGGTACAAGTGCTGATTTAAATAACAAATATGAAATAAATGCAGAAAATAGAAGCACGGTATTCAGAGTACACTTGTTCGTTACACGAAGAACGACATCGGAGAAACAAATGGGCTTCCCATGTGCGTTTGGGTGCCTATGAAGCGCTCCAACCGGCAATAATTTAAAATTTTTGTTCTTTGCAAGAAATTCGACGCGAATGCAATCTGCCGTAATAATGAAACCAGAAATATTACTGAACGTTTCGTGTACGAAATTTTATTTTGTACAGCAGTATTCGCAAATTGCGAAAGCACTTAGGGAACTTTAATGCAGAATTTATAATTAGAACTATAACACAAATAATGTATTCGCTGGTTTGTCCAGAGTCTTTTGAGTTACCACTCAAATACTTAATACGCTTGAGAGTAGCTTTGGTAAATAGTATACAATATATAAAACTAACATGTGAATACGCCTGCACTGACTTGGGAAAACGTAAACTTCTATAAATATACGTTTCAGTAATTAATACACTTATTATTATTCATTTGACATTTTCTTTTACTAAATATTATTATTATTATTATTACGGCACAAGAGCAGACAACCCCAAGGGGACTTCAAGTCTGGTCGAACAAAAACATTTTTCTGCTAACAAAAACATTTAGGACAGCTTAACAGATTTGAGTACAAATTTAAAAGAAGGTACAGAACTAGCTTCGAGAATTTTAGGATTAACAGCAAGAATTTTATCAAGAAGACGCTTTAGTCGCATTTCCATAGTCCACCCTCCGATAACTTTCTTTGCCCGCATAGCATTGATCCGGGCCGGCTTCCGCAAATTGTAGCTCATGGTATTATCTTTTACTTGAATCATGTCCAGGAGGTATGCCGGAAGCGAGAACTGATCTTTGTTCCAGAACTTGAACAGCCACACCGCATCGCTCTGACGCCATCGGTCGAATATGTGAAGAATACCCAACTTCTGATACAGTTCCGGAGTTACCGGCATCTTGTAATCAGTGATGGTTTTCAGAGCTTTACGTTGCAGTCCGGCTAGCTTGTTGCGCTCAGTCGAAGACGCTGCTGACCATACCGGCGACTGGCTTGCGATATGGCATCCAAAGCAGGCGTGGTAACGACCTTTGCGCTGTGACATGCTGAGCCCTTGTTGTGCTCGCTTAATCATGGCAATGCCGAAATTCCCCTTCCGTTGCACCTTTCTGAACTGTTCACTCCACTTCAGGTGGTTATCGATCTCAACGCCGAGTCAAAATAATGTCAAAATTCCCTAAAAGTGATATTAATTACTTAAAACTGATTGCCAGATGACCGCCGCTAAAGCTATTCAAGTAACTACTGTAACTAAGCTATTAGAATACTAAAATTAAAATAACTTTAGGAGTTTCACGCTGTAAACTGCATCTGTATGTAGCTTATACAAAGGGGATACCAAAAGTTTTTTTCCCTATTTTCTATCTTCCCTCACAAACTCACTTTATCCTTTCCACTGTTACAAGGGGAAAGAGAACTCTTGCAGCGGGTACTGCGATGGACTTTATTGGTGACTCTTTCGACTCAAAACTCTCAATTAAAAAGCAGCTCTAACTAAAACAGCAGCCCAAACTAAGCAGCAGCTCATACTAAATAGCAGCCCTGAAACTCGCGATGAAATCGCGCTTATATTGGCGGCAAATGCCAAACATCAAGGGCTTCAAAAAAGATAGCAAAATATAAACAACAGGTTATGCAATCAAAACTTATGGGAAGAACACGCCTATAGGCGTGAAGGCATTCGCCATGATATCATACAAATGACATCATAACAACTCTCCCTTAGAAGAATCGCGTCTCGCGATTAAAATCAAGCAAACTATAGAAAGCATTATTAAGCAATTCAATTAGCAAACTAGCACAATAATGCATTAAGCTACCGTCAATTTCTTTCCGTTCCCTTCCATTTTAACCTTCTCATGGTCCATTCAATTTGTAGTCTCTTTAACGTCTCCAAAATTCTTCCGATCCAATCGCAGCTGGTTTTTTGTAGTTTTTATCGTTCTCTAATTCCAATTCTTTCCGCTTCTTACTGTTTCACTAGAATCTTCCACTGGAGTGGATGTAATGTTCATTCTTTCGATTCCTTGATTCCTTCCATTTCCAGATATTCTTCGTCCGGCATTCGCGGGCGCTTTCTTTTGGTCGTATCCTGGTTTTCTCTTTTCCAGTTTCTTTTGTCGATATTTCCACCGATATTTGCGATTTTCATTTTTCCATGGGACATATCGTCCAAATTCACTCCACAAATTTGTTCGTTATCCATTACAAAACACTCGGCTTTTATGGCGTCCATATTTTCAGAAATTTTATTCCTGTCGTAATTCGTCAAGCGGTTCGTTTTCAAAATGGGATATTCCAGATGTCCGACCTTCACTGGTGTTTGCTCATTCGTAATGTCACGACCCGTCACGAGCCTTCCTCCTCCGTGGAAAATTCTTCCCCGATTCTTTTTAGAATTTCCACCGATTTTTGTTATTTTTAATCTTTCTGTTGTAGTCCGCATCTTCCTATTCCATCCATAATTTTTCACATTTGTCAAACGTTTTCTTTCGGTTTCTTCCAATTTTCCGGCTTCGTTGTGGCTATTTTTTCATCCGCTTCGGGGCGTATTAACTGCTGTCGCCAAGAAACGCTATCCCGCTTCACCCAAAATGTTCTTCCAACCATATTTTATTAGGCGCTTTGCTATCGGTGTTAAGGTTTGCAAATTTTCTTCAATGCTTGAGCGTTCGTTCTTGGTGACTTCCATATCGGTCATCCTTCTTCCTCCGTAAAAATCGCGCGGCCATATCCAGGATATATTTTCGGGGTTTTTGCGTATACTCGGGTATTCGCTGGCAGATCCAGCTCCAATAGCACGGTTGCTTATTATTCGTTCTGGAATTCTTCCGAAATTATTTAAGTAAATGGGTCGTATTTGGACCGCTTGGGCCACGGAAACCAAAAGCAAAAACAGGAAAGTAATTACGGCAAAACTCCAGATTTTTTGTGGCAGCGGGCTGAATTGTCTAAGGTCAACATTAGCGACACCAGCGTTCCTTCGGATAGTCGTTCTGGGGGAATTCCGATTTTCATGAGTTATGTTACAGTCGATCGGGCAGCTTGTATAATGTCCATGGTTTCCATTCCATCTACTTGTCGCACGGTGCATTCGCTCGAAAACTGGCTTAATCATATACACATTAAAACTTCTAAGAAACTTTTCTCTCTCTGCCTCATATGAAGTCGGAGATCCTGAACTGGGAAATTTCCCGCAAATGTTCTCACGAAACTTATTTTTATCTGATTTATTTTCTACCAGTACAGCATGATGAATATTACCGCTTTTTCTGCTGTTAAAAGTATCGTTATTACTTTTGATCGGTTATTCCCGCTAAAATCCTGATCATCTCCGCCATTCTCGTTATCGTTATCGTCAAGCCAACAATTTACCGCAATGTGTCCAGTTTTTTCGCAATTAAAGCAAATCGGCCTTCCATCCTCAGCCCACCAGTTATTGTCATTGCTCGTCTGGTTTCGATAATGCTCTCTATTAGCCTTTTGAGTTGCCATAATCTTCGCCGCTTCCAGAATTACGATCGTCCTCATAATAATTATCCGAATTATCATAACCAAAATTTTCATCGTCGTCATTTCCATTTTCGAAATTATCCCTATCACCGTAGGTCTTTGCTCGGTTAATTTTTTCCAATTGCAAAGTCAGTTCATCAATTCTTTTATTTAATTTAAGTTTTGTAGACTGTACAATTCCTTTTTCGATACCGGTAACGAGATAGACTTCCTTTACAGCTTCCAGTATTAATTTTGGTGTGTTCTTTCCTAATAATCTCAGTCGAGCAGCTAACTGCTCATCTCTCATCCCACGAAGAATAAAAAGTCCTTTCTCATTATCATCCATACTAAGCTTTTCACACAAATCCACAACTTCGAATAAATAAGCTCGAAAATCTTCTTGTTCTGCTTGTCTTCTTGGAACAAGACTTTCCATTATCTTTTCTATTGTACCGATTTTTGCAACATTTTAATGAACTGTTCTTTTAAATTATCCCAATCTTGCCTTACTTCCTGTTCCGTATTTTTAAACTATTTCCTAGCCGTACCTGCTAGCACGTGTGCGAATCTTTCTGCTTTCTGTAATTCATTCCATTTATAGCTATCTCCACATCTTTCGAAAGATTCTAACCATTGCTCTGCATCTTCATGAGCGTAACCAGAGAAGGTTCTGGTAATTAAATTTTCGGGCCGGCAGATGCATTTATGAAGCTTTTAAAATCATTGTGTGTCGACATTTTTCTTTAACTACTGTAAAACTGATACTGGTCAGATTCAAAAATTGCTTGAACCTCAGAAAAATTTTTTGCTTTAATTTCCCCACCTATACTTATGATTTTCTTCCCCTTTGGCTGAAATGTTTCTCCTTAATGATGTTACATCGGCTGCTTACTGAGTCACGACTCCTTTGCTTTTAAAAATTTATTTTTTCCAACAATTTTGGCGAAGCCAAACTGCAAACTAACAGATTACGAAACTCCCAAACCTTAATGTAGTTATCTTTTACTAGTTATTCGTTTCAATTGTCCTCAAATTTGCCCACTTCAAAACATTAATTCAACAATTTTTTTCTTTTACTCCAAACTTTTAAAATATTTAAAGCTGTACGCGTACTCCTCTTAACTCTTCAGCATCTGTGGTTCTCATCAGCTTCCTCAACAATAAGTGAGTGCAATTACGTGATTGGCCAGACCACGCTACACCCAATACAACAACTTCTATCGCGCGATATCATTCTATCTTCCTCTTGAACCACTTCTTTTCAATTCAAAACTTACGGATCCGTTTAAAAATTTCAAACAAAGGTCATCAAAATTACATTAAATGCAAATTGACAACAATTTTATAAACTTTTTACCAGCTCCAATTCTTTAGTCAAAATTGACCTTTCAAATTATTTTAGGTACCTTTCCAGTTTCCACTTCAATAACATTTTTCAAAAACTTATTTTTAGCTGACCTTTCTGGTCTGCAACTTCCCACAATTTGTAATAATCCTCAAACTGACCTTTCATAGGCCCTGGGCAATAAAAAATAGCACTGATAACACAAACGATGACCTTTCTCAGACTTACACTGAACATCCAAATGCTGTGGCTCGGGTCACACAAGTTCTGATAATCAACTTCACGCCAGTTGTTACAAGGGGAAAGGGACTCTTGCAGCGTGTGCTGCGATGGACTTTATTGGTGACTCTCTCGACTCAAAACTCTCAATTAAAAAGCAGCTCTAACTAAAACAGCAGCCCAAACTAAGCAGCAGCTCATACTAAATAGCAGCCCTGAAACTCGCGATGAAATCGCGCTTATATTGGCGGCAAATGCCAAACATCAAGGGCTTCAAAAAAGATAGCAAAATATAAACAACAGGTTATGCAATCAAAACTTATGGGAAGAACACGCCTATAGGCGTGAAGGCATTCGCCATGATATCATACAAATGACATCATAACACCACCCATATTTTCACTAATGTCATTCATTAACTAAGGGATGGTCTCATATCTATAGCGTATCTCGCTACGGTACAGCACCGTAGCTAGTTTCGCTGCAGTACAGAAATGGGACACTCTTTAGTGCGTGCTACGAAGATACGGTACAGGCAACGCACATCAAAACTGGGTTCGATATCGGTTTCCTGTATCGAAGCTGTAGGTTTGGCGCTGCATCGCTGTATTTGCGTCCCATCGCTTTGGTCGTATCTGCACTGAACAACTTTTTTGGAATGAGTAGTTAATTACTTACGATCATTAATTTTTGCTGAAAAAATCTTCACTGATTTAGTTAAGCCTTCTTTCGAGCTTCCACAAGTTGCACCGATCAAGTTCCACAAGTTCAAACCGAACTGCACAATGCACATCGGTAGTGCTAATAATAGTTTTTGGGCTGGGAGATACATATATCTGCATGTGTGTGGAACATGCATTGCCACCAATTTGCAGAATTCAATCTGGATGCCCGGAAGAGCTTGATTGTTGTTAATTTTATAAAATTTGTTGCTCAGACAATAGTTTTAACGTTTTGTAATTACTTAATTACTTAGTAAATTAATCGGCAATTCGGCATTGCGTTCGTCATATAAATTATGGTCTTGGTGTAGTTAATTATAACACTGGTTCAAATTTACCGTGGTCGGCTATTAAATTGCCTACGGACTACGAGTACTTACTTACTAAAATTGTTACATCTGACGATCTGCTTACATTGTCACCGTAAATCTGCCATGAGAAACGAGGAATAAAAATATTTCAAATAATTAAATTTTATTGATACGAAAACGAAATCATCACATAAAAATACAAAGTGCTTTGAAAGGTTCTCTCACCAGTGATCACCAGAAAGATACCAGGGAAAGCCACCTCCAGAGGTGGCTTCGCGTACCGTATCGTTTTTCTTTGTATTTCAGGGTATGCGCAAAAAGCGCGCGCAAAATTTTTGGCTGATATGAGACGCGGGGTTGATACAGGTTCTGAGATACGGTTCGCAAGATACCGTATCGGAGAGTTGTGAATACGGGACGCATATGGGTACGAGCCATACCCCCGTCCCGAATTTTTTCGCGGGTAACCGGGTACGCGAATCGAAAACCGCCATACTGTATCGCGTACCTGCTGTTCTGGGACGGTGGGGTACCGTACGAAAGCTAGATTCGCTACAGATATGAGACCCTCCCTAATTATTGAAAATTGTAATCTAGGTTTTGCTCAATCCGGCTGGGGGAATTCGCCACAAAGACTGTTGGCGGCTTCTGGAAGCCTAATTTCTGGTCTTCCCGCAGCATTGTACTGTTATTAAAATTCTCCTCGTTTATTCTCCGAGAAGCACAAAACGCTTTTATGTTCAGAACTCTTCGCTCTTGCAATGTAAATCAAGAACGAAAAAAGGCAGCCCCTACTAGTTTTAAAAAAGAATTAAAACTGTTAGTGACCAGTTGTCAAAAAACGAAACCTGTCAGTCTCCACAGGGCAAAAATATGGAAAATCTAGAAAAAACATTTGCGGTTAACCAACTGGCAATAAATTTGATCATGGCTAGTATGCGCTGGAGTGGGTCAAGGGTAAAGTTTTTATTGAGGAAACGGATCCGAAGTTCGGAATAGCAGGAAAGGGGAAAACCAAAAAACTTGATGGCTTTTAGAAATAAAATTATTATGCTAATGTGTGAAAGTTTAGAAAGGTTTAGTCATCACGATAATAGCTAGGGCATGGTAAGCTTGTACTATTAGAAATTACAGGTAAAAAGGTTGAGAGGGAGAGAAGTGGCAACAAAACAACTGAATTTTGGGAAAGGGAGTGGTTAGGCTGCCCAAAGCATCACCGGCTAAATATTTTTTCGTCTGGTTCGTTCTTCTTCGAAAGTTAGAATTATTTTTTTCTTCGATAGGTAAGAGATCAGGTTACGCAACAAAAAATATATCGCTGATGAATCACATCAACTGGAAACCTGGCAAAATAGGGAAAAAAACTTTTGGTATCCCCTTTGTATAATAATACGCGTATTACAGCTTGGTGGCACTGTTAAAAATTTCTGGTAGACTGGCCTGATGCCATTTAAGTACGATTCAGAATGATAAACCACTACGGGGGTTAGGTACATTCTTAAAATCAGACTTCAGAACCATCTCACAGTCGCAGAATCTTCGCGGCCATTTTGTCTTTTTTCTTTCGTTTTATTTTCTTTTGATGAGAAATATATATCAAGACGATGGAATATTATCTGTTATGGGACGTAAAGTTCGATGCAGTTGGAGCGAAGCTGTCCAAAAAGCGTGTTGGCTGTTGAGACAGTGATGAGGTGGTCGATTTAGCAGTGGTGGGTTCTTGGCTTTTCCCATAGACTTTGTATGTTAAAGTTTTTGAGAGTTTTCTTTCAAACTTACGTTTTTCTTCAAAAACTGATTTGTGATGGCTAATTTACACTTTAAGGGCTATCGAATGATACGTAGTCACAGCAGTTTGGATCAGTGCATCGAGCTGACGGACTCAACAAAGATTAACGCTTACGCGATTATTACTTCGTCAAGAGCATAAAAAATTAATTCGTCTGAAGCCACGAAGAGCGTACGTCACGCTTTTCCAATTCCACAATCCCAATACCATTTTCCAGTGGTACTGGCGCTCGCGCTCGTGCAATAATGTGGTTCGCAAACCACCGCTAGTAATAGAGATAAGTAAGAATATGAGCAGTAGTTCTTTATACGAATGCAGCGTATAAGACTATAAGCGTAGTCTACTCGTAGCTGAACTGTATCTCTCTCTAGTCCTCTATTCAGCTTGACTACGGTATAAGTCAAGACGTGTCCAACTGACGGTAGGTAAAATATTTTATAGACTGGTGGACGGTGGTCAAAGTCTATCTCGAATACGGGCGAACCAATCGTGAGCTGCCATTATTCTATAAAACCGGTAGACAAGATCTGTGAGCAAACAATCAATCGATCTATTACAGTACTTCGTAAAACGGATTCTATGATGTTTGTGACTTGTGCGGTGCTGGCTGTCGCTTCTAATCGCCACCTCTACATACGGTACCGTGGCGTAGATTGATCCATTTTATATTTTTAAAAAGATTTGTAGTATGAGAAACTTAATATATAGCCTGACATACTACAAGACATTTTGAGTTTTATCGCATTTATTAATTATATGCAGAACCGCGTAGTTGACTGTTGAGCGGTGTAAATTTGTGGCTGTGTGTGCCAATGTTTAACCGAAAGCGATAGCCGCTCGGCAGATCTCCGAAAAAGACAACAACGTTGTAATCGTTAATTGTACAGCACAATGTCACCATCCGATCGCAACAAACCGGGTTCCACTCTTTTTATGCCCAGAGATAACTTTTATCGTTCTTCGATCCGAAATACAAGATCTCAACCATTTTATATTACGCCCGTGTATTCCAAAATGGCTGTGTCAAAAAAACGTTTTTCAATGCTCACGTTATTCGTTGGAATTTGTATCCTGTACTTCGGGTACGATACGTATACAAATTACCTGATAAATCAACAACTTCGAGAACTCAGAGAAGATGTTGACATATTGTTGGAAATATCACGAACTTCCATCCGTCCGCAGTCTTCGCAGACAACAACGTATCGCATTATCGGCGGAGAAAATGGACAGTCTGGTAGCGAGCCTAATAGGGAAAGCACAGCGCTATTACAGTTGAATGATTTGCATATCAGCGTAAAAACATCCAAAAAGTTTCATCACCAGCGACTGGATATTATTTTGCGAACATGGTTTAGTCACGCAAAAAATCAGGTCAGTAGTAGTACTACTAAGGATAAAAAGTTATTAAATAGCGCATGAGTTAGAATTTAATCATGGTTTATTCACGATTTATTTTATTAGTATGAATTTGTTAAATATTTTTCGAGTTACGAGTGTGACCACTGACCATTAGCCATGTGATTTGCGAATCGTTTTGGGTTTGAAATCGGTACTGATGTTGTCGACTCGCCATTTGTATTACACTCGTAAGTTATTTTCTCGGCACGTTGTGAATTTGACAGCTTATCTTTAACCGTTAGCGTGTACATTTTGCGTTGTTTAAATAAGCATGACGGAAAGAAGCGACTTAAAAAAATGAATTTGAAAGCCATTATGATTTTGCGAAGGAAATAACGCTAGATATTTTCTAAAGCTATATAGATCTATATTATAATTATTATGTAATAATAATAATATTGCTTTAAGCTATAGATCCACGCCGTGTGATACTGTAACTTGTAAGTTTGTAACTTTGGACAGACAGAAATTTAAACTGACAGAGAGATTGTGTGAGTGTAAACTCGGGAGAGGCAGAATGCTGTAAGTCAGGATAGACAGAGACGTAGATGCAGAGGAGGAGCATGTTTTGTGAACTGTGAAAGAACGCACTGAATGTCATTGTCAGTTGACTCAAAATTTCAAGCACTAGTTTTTCGTTTACCTCTCCATAAAACTTCCCAACCAACATCTCAGAAGATAGAGAAAAAATTTAGAAGTTTTTTTATCTCTGATGAGTGGTTATTTGTGGCGAACCGAGAAAGTTAGGCTTGTTTTGGTTTCTCGTAGACAAAGCATAGGGTGCAGGCAACCCCTCCATCGCACGGACCCATACTATGTCTATGAAAAACCGAAACAAACATAACTTCCTTGGTTCGCTATAAAAACATACTCTCCATATATCAAAAAAATTCTGAAATTTTATTCTCTGTTCTGAACCATGGACTGGGAAGTTTTGTTAAAGACACAACGAAAGGCTGGTGCTGCAAGTTTTGGAGATCAAGTGGCAGTCGAAACTCGAAATCAGCTACCCAGAGTCCAGACTACTACACGTATGCGCGTACGCGAGGTGGTTGCCAGACCATCTCGTTCAAATAGCCGTGCACTCAAGCGAACTTCTCAGATAAAATTCAACAACAAAATTTTTTTGCAGTTAAGTAAGTATTATTATGTAACCACGTGTACTCTAAACCATCCATTTCCTTCGCAAGGCCGCAGGATGCGGCGTCACTTTAAGTGTTTTTTTGAAACTGTACTGAGTAGGTCGTTTGCGATGATAAGCAGGATATGCAATAGAAATACAAAAATGCTTGCAGAAACAGTAATAATCACAAATCACAATATAGCTCTGCGTTAGCCGTTAGGCATTAAATATTGCAATATCGTTAGCTTTCTGTTCAAAGAAATGGATTTGCTCGGATGTCAAATATAGGATTCGTAGCTGCAGAGTGCAGACGCATTCGACTTGTATCCGCGTTCCCTCTGTCCCTTTATCTAACTTAAGGTAATTACAAAAATCTCATTACTAGACCTTCGCCAGTGGACTTGAGCCGGTGGCAAAATTAATAGCTTGCATTCAATGTCCATCGGTAGAACAGTACTCTAACAATTTAGTTACTTCTGATCGCAGACAGCGTGCATTGTTAACACTCGAGTGTTACGGGGAGTGTATGATGCTCCCTCGAGAAGTCTGTTACAGTAATTGTTATCCCTGGTTACACCGTTACAGTACCCGATTTGCGATAAGCCGCCGATCAAGAGAGCAGGCGCAAAAACCGCGCGCAGGGGCCATAAAAAGTAATTAAAAAGTAATTAAGACGCTGCTCTCTAAGACATGGCCTGCTCCCACAGGCACGGGCCCGACTCACAAAAGTGACTATGCGGAGTCCGGTAGTGGTCATGAGCATACGCGATGTACAACAATGGAGGAGACACAGGAGGAGGGAGAAATTAGTCTGCCCTGTGTCTGTGGACGCTGGACAGTGGACACTCACTAGCTCCAAGCGCATCGTATACAGGTTCAATGTGCATCCAGTGCATGTTAATTTTGCCACCGTCATAAAAATCCATTTGCTCGAAGTGGTTTGTTTACATAAGGATTGAATTTATTCGGCTGAGCTAAAGAGTAGGCTTACTGAAAAACATTACTGTATATATATTTCCACTATGGTATGTAGTACTACTATGTATGTACCACTTCCAGCAATTACGCTTGTAACGTCAAATGCAAGGGCACTGGGCGGGCGTCGTATAGATCTTTTTCTTAAAATTTCCTTGATTTTTTCGAATATTTTCGTTTCCTGATTTTTTAGCGTGTTGGAATTTTGTGTGTTTCCCAGCTTTTGATGTTGTGCATTAAGTTGATCTACCGGGTAGCTGAAAAAAATGACGGCATCCTGTTTTGGCTTGTTTTTCGTGGGCCCGTTGTCGCATTGTAAATTGTTTAGGAGGATTAGGAGCATGAGCATACAAGTGTGAGAATGCCGTAATCATTAGCACTCGCTGCAGACAAAGATTTTTGGTTTTATGGCAGATATATTTCATAACCGATGAAGAAGATGAAGAATTTAAGCTGAAAACAGGTAAATACAAAAAGTCTAATTTGTTTGTACAAATTGTTATAAAAGTGTGTTCTCTTTTGTAGATGGCCACCTGATAATCTCTGGATGTTCTAATTCTCATGACAGGTGTGTAGAAATGTTTTAAGTAATTATTTAATGGTAGCACTGCTTATTGCTAGTACATAATTATATGTATGTGCTTCAGCTGTTCAACGCTATGAACACTTCTCACAACCACGGCAGCGCAGTTGTCGAATCTGGATTAATGTAATAATATTTGTATCACATATTACATAAGTGTTAATGTTATAATGTAATAGTATTAGTATTAATGTATTATTGGATTGATGTAATAATTGTCGAATCTGTATTAATGTAATGTAATACGGTATCATATTCCTGATATCTATATACTAGTAAGTAGTATGAGTGCTAGGGTAGTTATCAGATCATGGCTGATCGTGAGGGGATGTTTTAGGAAGGCTCTTTGTTGTAAGATGGCGATGGAGCTGGATTTCTTCTTATCGCAAAACAAAAAGTACGACTTAATTTGGTGACATTTCGCAGGATACGCTTTCTGAAAAGCTGATAAATATTTACTGTGTTAGATGGTTTTGCCATTTTGATGATGATAATTACGTGAACGTATGGAATCTCTTGGACATGTTGCGTGGATATGATTACGCCGGACAGTGGTATCTCGGTAAAATCAGCACCAACGCTGCAGTAGAACTTCAGCTTTCCGATGAAGTAAGTTGACTTTCCGATGAAGTAAGTTGACAATTATGTGCGTCTTATTTTCGAAAACATAAGCTAGCAAAGTCACCGAAGTGAGATAGGTAATTAACATTATGCCAGGCTTATGGTAATGCAATGCCGACAGTCGTGCGTGCCCGCCGTAATGATCCGGCTGCCGGCATGGCTGAATAGTGAATACTATATCGCGTGTCCATCACAAAGTTTGTCACACGACAAACTTCATTCGAAAATTGTATTCTATTATTGTCCCTGGTTCTAGTTACTGTGTACACGTACCAATAATGCAATGTAGAAAAGGGTATTGAGTATTGATACCTTATTGAGTATTGACAACAGACCAGCGTAGCGGGAACAACCTCTAAAGAAAAAAATAATTTCAATCCCACTTGTCGCCGAACGCAATGCCAAATGTGAGAGCATACACTGCGAGCAGCTGCTTTATGCTTTGTATAGCGCATGCTGCTGAACTGCAGTCACTTACGTACCGGCATGCGAATAATCATCCCGTATATTTTTGTTTTTATTCAAATTTTCGTACCATTTTTATTTGGTTTTGTTTAATCATTTGCAGAAATTTTTTAACAAAAACGTAAGAACTTAATGTTGCAGCAGGAGTGTCGGGTTATTGCTATGATTATTATGAATCGAAATAAAGATATATGTATGGAAAAAGTATTTCGCAGTGGGCTAGTGAGTATATATTAAGGTGAATATTTTGAATTTGCAGGACCAAAATGCAGTCTTTCAGTTCGCTACAGGTGGCGCTGGTTTTTGTTTAAGCTATTGTTTAGTCGAAAAAATGAAGCCTCTGATCTCTGGGGGAAAGTTTATGAGTATCGCAAAAAAAACTCGGGCGCCTGACGATGTTACCGTAGGCTACATTGTCGGTAAGCGCTGCAAAATTCAAATTCACTTTCCGTATTCATATTTTTGGTATATGTTTAATGACTTGTTTCAGGGCACCTTTTGAAAGTTCCACTTACAGTTATCGAGCGCTTTCATTCACACCTGGAACCTCTGCACCTCATGGACTTGGAAACTTTGAAAACCCAGATCAGTTTCGGCTACTCAACGAATCCCGGAAATCAGATGAACAGGGTATCGGTTTCCGGTTGGGATACCGAATCAGATCCGACGCGATTCCTTTCTCTCGATTGTGTCCTTCGTCCTGATGATGAAAAGAGAGACTGTCCTACTGTACCTGTTTCTGTTTAGATCCCGCCTTATAATGGTATGATAGAGTGATAATATTACTTCGGTATCTGCTTAACTAACAAATCTGTGATGCGTTGGAGATTTTTTCCACAAAGATTTCTGTATGTTTTGAATGCCTTAATTTGTGACTTCTTGCACAAAATCAGTTGACAATTGTATGTTTGGCATTCCTCACTTATGGGAGAAAATAAAAATAATTCAGGAATATGGCTTAGCAGTCAGAAATTTTACTCTTTTTCTTCTCTGCTAAATCTTTGTAATTTATTTTCGAACTTTATGAAGTTTTACAAACCGAAAGCATTCATTCGTATAGTCATAGTGTATTAAAAGTCTGTAAAAATATCCCATCGGTCCCAAACCTCACTGAATCATACAAAAATCACCAGCTAAAATTATCACAGACCAACGTGAGGCTCGACCGCTTGCAACTGCACTGCCATCTGTTGATCCAAACCAAAATATGAATCGGAAACCAAATAAAAATGCAATATCACCCGTCCAGGCTGGGATGGTGCTGAGAAAAGCAATGAGGAACTGAGTGAGCGTGAGATGAATCCGACACGTTTCATCGCCAACAATTCTCCACTGTCCACTTCACCGAGTAGCAGCCACCAGCCCTCGTCCTTAGGTTTATGAAACCGGGATGTAGCGACCTTTCTACCGGGCTGAAAAAAGTAGAATAGTAAGTGTCATACGTTTTCCTCAGCGGAGCAAGTGTTCAAAATTTATTGGAATAACAACAACTGTCAAAAGTCACTTCATGAATACAACGTTGTAAAAAAACTTACGGTTTTGCGTGATAAAAGACGGATGCAGTTAATCTCCAGCACGTAAGTTCCCCCGCATTCCACATCAATCCACAAATTTCGGTCGTCAACAATATTTACGGTGCGAATGCTGCTATCAGTATTATCACCAGAATCTGCTTCCACATTCTTCTTCAGGCCTAATTCTACTTCCAAAAGTGGAAATGAAAGGATAGTCTCAATAATCTGAAAAACAGCCGGCATGATGAAAGAAATTATAACTGCATTGCTGGAAATCGATATGTCTTTGCGTACTTTGTCATCGTGACCTTTTCCAGGTGGGCATATGTTTCGCAGTAGGGTCCCCAGATGGCTTTCATTCTTTTTTGATAACGCGGTGTAATGAATTAGTGCAGGAAGTGTTCCAGCAACGTTTCTATACACAAAAATTACTAAATCATAGAACGCAACCAAATAAGACTATTAAAATTATTTTTCCCACTGAACCAGAAATCAAAAACCAGTATCATGCTGAAAGAAGCATCATCAAAGCTGAATAAAAGGAAACAGTTAAAACAACCTGTCATATCCTCGTACCGCAATGCTTGCACTCGGAGCAGTCTAGCAATACAAACGCCTGAATTATTATTTTTTATTTATTATCTTTCCTACAGTAGCCAACTTATTCAGCGTAAGCTGATGAAGATATCTTACCAGGCTAATGGAAAATTTTTTTGGTACATTTTGAAAATTTTATACTTTTTTTGGTTTGATTTTATGAGATAAAAGTTACCCACCTAGGAATCGAACCCAGGACATACAGTCTTAAAGCCAGACGTACTACCACCAGGCTATGGGCAGATTAACATAAATTTGGTTTTATTATCCCTACTAGCTTATTCAAAGCTGATGAATATCTTACCAGGCTAATGGAAAATATTTAAGCTGATATATATCGCATAAATACTTGCCCTTCCATTACCTGTATAATGCGCATAACCTGATCTAGAACATGGCTTTTCAGATCCGTTGCATAATCTGCATTAGGCATGGCAATCTGATTTCGAGAAAAATACACTTGCAGCAGCAGGAAAACTTTCGCATGTGAACTATCCAGTCGAGATGTTTCAACGGGCAGCGGCACTTGTCGAGAAAGAAGGCTACAATTTGAGAACAAATAAACAATCTTTTCCGGCACAAATCAAATGAACGCAAGTAATCACCCATTTTCGGCATCCTCATTGTGGCGAACTGGCACCTGCGCGAATTCTTGGACGTCCGATAGTATCAAAAGAACTTCAGAGAGCTTAGCACTTGGTGTCAGTCTTTCATGAAGAATTCGCATGGTGCCGTGTTTCAAATAGTAATAAGACGCAATAGTCCCAAGGTACGTTGGGAAAACGAGAAAGTTCGGAATCTAAACACACCTTTCAATTTGAAGACAATAAATGTTATGTTATCAAACGACTGCCCAACGCGTGAAAACAAAAGATTTACTTGATGAAGCGACGGTATGCGTATCGATAAAGGATCGCACAAATAATTTCTCAAAATGATGACGTTAAACTTTGTGCAACCCGGCAAGCGAGGAACAAACAACTTACGTCTCCATCGAACTTCCTTCTTCCCTCATTTTCGTCGTACTCCACACAGCCGGAATTTTTTAAATCAATCAAACAATCCAGAATCAGCTTCTTAACATGATTTTTTACGTCGGCAACAAGAACGGGGTCATCGTCCAACATGTTTGCAGCTTTTTCGGGATTTTGAAGCGAAATTGGTCGAATCACGGAATAGTAACTACAGACACAAAACAATGGTTACTATATATTATGTTTTTTCATCTGCTTATCTAGATTGAGGTAGCCATACTAACTCGGGGTTTGCCAAAAGACGTCGGAACAAATAGGTCCAGGTCATGTACTCCAGAGTTCCTTCAAAGGTGATCAGTGTTCCCGCCACAATCTCAGCATTGATATGGTCGGGCAAAACATCCTGCAACTGGCTCTCCACGGGCAACGGGTGGTGCAAAAATTTGCTGTAGTAATGCTTCAATGGCTCGTGGCAAAGAATTACCGCGACACCCTCCGTGTCAAACTGTGGACGTCCAGCTCGACCCGCCATCTGCAGGACATCTGAAGCACACAAACTTTCTAATCACGATCATCAGTACAATGAACAGCATGTATCGTAGCCCATAAAGTACTGCTCAAACGTACCAGTTACCGGCATTTTAACATACTGCTTCGTTTTTCCATCGTAATACTCGGTTCCCTTAATGACAACCTGGAACACAAATAGCTTACAATGTCAGCAATGCATGAGTAACAATAAAACAATACTGCGCAACAAACTTACCAAATGTGCAGGAAAATTAACACCCCAAGCGAGAGTGGCCGTAGCGATCATAACCTGTCAACACAAGCAGTGACAATTATCTAAAATCCCACATGTTAACAGATTTTTTTAAGACATCCAACATTATCAACTGCAAAACAGAATTTATCACAAATAAAACAGAAATGAGCATACCAGAATCTTTTCTTTTAGAAACAGCTGTTCGACGGTAACACGATCTTTTTCATGCAGACCAGCGTGATGGATACCAATGCCATACATTAACAGCTGCTTTAAATCGGGATCCCGAACATCCGACGTCAAATGAGATAATTCTTCGTCTGTCGTACCGTTCCATTTTACCTGGTCGAGTGCCGCAAAACTTAGCAGAGCAAAGCCAGTTAGGCGTGTCTGACGCCGGGAAGAGACAAACACCAGTACGGGTTTTCCATTGGAATGCGTTCGAATTGCTGCAACAGTCCCCGTTAGGAAGATAAAGCTAAAAAGAATTCAAGAAACATCTCGCCTTGATACGTTGGTTTATTCATCAACTGCATCCGGGGACAGTAGTGTTTGCCAGGATATCCGGAGATGTGGTATACCAAAGGCACCGGACGGACAGCTGAGTTGAAATTGAACAAACCGGCAGGATAGATATTCAGCCAACTAGCCACATCATCCGCACTGGCCAAAGCGGTAGACAAGCCAATAATGCGTACCTTCTGGTGTGTAAACGATGCGATAAAATTGGTTCTTGATACAATAACTTCGATTATAGGGCCTCGATCCTCACCTGTTCGCACAAGAATTTAAACTAACGGTTCAAGGCACAAATGAAAGCTCCCAAGCGGCCCAACGTACAACGTCAAAACAGTATTATCAAAATAATCAGCCTTCAGAAACTATGAACAGTTTCTTGAGATGTACAGTACAAAGTACATCAATTTTGCAATATAATTACATACACATTACAAAAAAATGTAAGAAAATGTAAATGAGTGCAATAAAATGTCACGTATTAAAATTTTATAAACATCTCACCCAGCATATGGATTTCATCGAAAATTAGCAATTTAACGTCTTGGACATAGCTTCGATGCTGCCAGCTGCGACTGATCCCATCCCATTTTTCCGGAGTAGAGATAATAATATGGGCAGCATTGATGGCGCGTATATCTGGAGTCGTGTCTCCTGTCAGTTCAACAACTTTCCATCCCGCTACCGTTTCCAAGCGTGCCTTCCAATCTGCCACTCTTTCTTTCACCAGGGCCTTTAGAGGGGCGATATATACCACTTTACATTTCGTAATTTTCAATGCTCGAAAGATTGCTAACTCCGCTGCGATAGTCTTGCCGCTGCCAGTTGGAGCACCCAACAAAATATTCAAGTCGGTGTGCATCAAAGTATGAAAGGCTTGAGTCTGAATGGCATTGAAATGCTTATGCGAATAGAGACTTTCCAAAACCGGGTCATGTAGCGCGCTCAACGACAAGGGCCGGAGGTGCAATATCGCTAAAATAAATACACCTCAAATGAGGATTCAACTGGTATGAAATTCATAACAACTCAATCAAAAAACAACACTAATTCCGTTTGTCATGCACCATTTACCTGTATTAAGCGCGCCTGTTTTCGGCACTTTCAGCGCCCCAAGACTGATATGTGATTGATGCTTGCAGTGCAAGAATCGATCTGATCTGATATGAATCAGGATCTGGCGCGATTTGTCGTGGGACGGTATGACAAAATCTAATTGATCTATTTCGTGTTTCAGGACCTGAAACGAACAAAAATTCACATACAATACTTACCGTTTGTACAGTTTGATATCTGTCTCACAATATCCACGCATGGAGTACCACATGACAAGATCATTTTTTTGTACCTTGGTTTTCTGTAACGCATACTCCTGGGTATGATACGTGCAGTTGTTAGCAGGATCTTCCGCCCAAATCCAAAAATTAAGTACTCGTTTGGTTCCCAGAACTTTATCGTTCCAAACAAAATTCGGCGTTATGCGCAGAATAATTTGGATGATACCATTGCCAATTGGTTTCGTCACTGTTTCCACGTCCAACAGAGGGTACATGTCCGCGAAATGCTTCACCTTCTGACCGGCTGCACGATTATGGACCAATTGGCCTGTTATAAAGAGGCAATTAAAATCACAATCACAGAATTATCATTTACCGCAACATCTCCTGCTGACTGAGGAAAAAGATTGTGCATTAAAAAAATGCATACCAACAGCAACTTCGTCCAGGTCTTTTAAACGCTCGATGGTTAAATGTTTCGCCGCTAAATGCTGATAGACGGAAAGAGGTAAATCCACTTGCAGTTGCTTTAAAGGATGATCGGAAATCCACATGCGATTTTCGACAAACAAGCACAAATTCAGAGCACTGTCGGCCAGGTTAGTATAATTCTTGTACATCGCCATTTGGAAAACGGCTCGCATAATTCTTGCTGCATTTTGCTGACAGTAATAGAGATCCGACGATAGCGAATGAGTTTTTGGCTGGCAATGGGATATATAAGATTGAATGAGGACATTAACTTTCTTCTCTGAATCTTCCATAGCCTGGCCAAACGGTAGATGAACGTATTCTTCTTCCCATTCATCCAGTTCAGTCATTTCCTCATCCCGAACTTTAATTTGCGAGAACTCAGTGGCTTTGCATACCAAACTTAAGATCTGATATTCCTGCATTTTGTCATGCAGGCCTTGCACATCATCGGCAAAGGTCAGCATCGTCTTCACATCAATGTAGTACCAACTGGCGATATTTCCAAACTGAGTGGGCATCAAGAAGCCGTTCCGTTCATTAAATCGAATCATTCTAGCTTGATCCAGAGTCTTTGCTGCTTCTGTCACCTTCTTTGTAAACCATGTCTCCATGTAATTTGGCACAGTCTATAGAGAACAAAACCAAAAGAAAAACAACTACAAATACAATCATAAAAATACAATCCTAAAACCATAAAATACTATAATCATAAAAAAACTACAAACTATGAAAACCCTCACAGATTTACCTGTCACCAAGTTGACAGAAATCGCACAAAAAATGCCTACTATAGTGGTAAATATATACATACTTCTGCCAATGTTTTGTCGATCCCATAAATCAATGGTTTTTTATGCAGGCGCCGATACCAGTACGTAGATCTTAACCAATCAACCGCTTCCGACACTTTGGTAACATTGTGCAGCACAATTTCTGCATTAAGGTGTTCTACAAGATGATCTGGCAACTGAGATTCGATATCCTGACTGCTGGTAAGCATGGAAATAAACTTGGGCAATGACTTATGCTCGGTAATAATTATACCATGTCCGGAGCTATGAAAAATGCAAATGCAGATCAGAACAACCTTACCTGGTAACCGTCAATACGAAATATTTCAAACTTACGTATCAAACTGTGGTCTTCCCGCGCGCCCGAAAATCTGCTGAACATCCAACACATCGATGTCCTCGTAGGTGCCTTTTTCTGGGCGGTAAAGTTTCGTACCAAAAATGATCACCGCGTGCGCCGGTAGGTTGACTCCCCAGGCCAGTGTAGCCGTACAAACGAGGACGCGGATGCCTCCTGTAGTATTTCAAATATCAAGATAAAATTTCGCTTTGACAATACCAATGACAATTTTGCAAAAGTGCTCATCTGTACCATCTTTAAAAAGCCTTTCTACACCGCTTCGATCTGATCGCACCATTCCAGCGTGATGGATCGCAATACCCTCCATGACCAAAGTCTTTAACTCTCTGTTGGCTGTCTTCTGAGAGAAATCCTGCATTTTCTTGATAACCATTCGGCTGACAAGGTGCTTATTGTCGTAATCTTCATCGTTCGAATTTGGAATAAAATAAGCACTATCCCCATGTTCAACAGCCATTTCGCGTATCGTATTGGCAACGCGATGTGTTTGATTTCGAGCGTGCACAAACACCAGGACCTATTTTCACAACAGAATTGACAAACAGCAGTCTTCCATGGCGACATACCAGAGTATCACCTGATGCCCTCCTTTGATGTTCTCCATCAGTTTCTCATACATAACTTCCGCCATCGCGACGTCGTTTCTTCCCCCGGGCACGGTTTTCATTCCAATGAATGTTTGCCGCAATGGCACCGGTCTAAAACGTCCATCGAAGAAGAACATTCCAACTTCTTTGTTGACGTGAAGAAAATCAGCAACATCTTCGTAAGTCGGAAGTGTTGCCGAAAGCCCAACAATGCGTATCATTTTCTGTTGTTCTTCAATCTGGGCAAGCAAACGAACGTTTTCTCAAAGCGTATAATTCAGCCAGAATAACGAAATATTACCATTCGAATAGTCCGGGCAACTAGACTTTCAATGACGGGACCGCGTTCATCATTCAGTAGATGAATCTCATCAATGATCAGTAGCGAAACTTGTCCCACCAACTTGGTATCACCAACACTTTTCCTTGTAATCACATCCCATTTCTCTGGCGTCGTAATAATCATCTACCAAGCACCGCTTATGTGTGTGCATGCTTTTTAGATTTGCTGAAGTCAAACTTATAAGTCACTATACCTGAGTTTTTTCCAAGTCATGCATTGCCACTTGTGTGTCACCGGTAACTTCCTCCACTCGTAGCTTATAATACTTCAATCTTTCACTAAACGTCCTTACCATTTCCGATGCTAGAGCTTTCATAGGAGCAACGTAAATCACCTTGAAGCTCTTATCAACAACACCAGGCGACGTCATATGCTGACTGATTTCCCGGGCAATCGCCAGCATGGCGGTATTAGTCTTGCCGGCTCCGGTAGGAGCACATACTAACATATTTTCACTAGTTGTGTACGCAGTACGGTAAACTGCACTTTGTATCTGATTTAAGAAATCGTAGCCTTCGAAAAGAGTTCGTATCACCTACAAAATAGTTCTCCTTAACATGCGCCGTCATAACAGTTCTACCTGAACCACGCAATATACAAACATGCCCGTAAAGGAGCAAAAACAATAATCAGGGTAAGGTTTTAGTTTACGAAATCAAAACGGTAGTGACTTATCACTTACCTCATCCATATCCTTTATACGAACGAGAGGTGGCAGTCGATCAACGGGGATACTGTTCTTCGATGGTGCCTCAACAATTATTTCCTGACAGGATTTCCTTTCGTTAACAACGTGGTCCGGCAAAACAATCTGTAAATCCATGAAAATCACGAAAGGAAATTCAAACGAATCAAACAGAAAGAATAAAAGAACGATGCCTCATACAACATAACTGCGGTACCAACAGCCTAAACCTACCTTTTGGCCCTGAAAAAGAGCAGCTGATTTTTTCAGCTCCGCCAGCTGATCAAAAACGAAAGGGTAAGTGCGCGTCACATAAGAATCCAAATCGGTTTTCTGAGCTCGCTGCATTTCTTGCATCTGCCACTTTTCTGCCAAACGAGCGTCTTCTTCTTCAGTCTAAAGTTCGGCAAAAGAAGGTAAAACACTTCTCAACGCCAAATGACTTCACATGCATTTCTTTACCGTCAAAATGCCATTGACATCGCTTTCATTCTTAGTTTTCTTACGAACTTCCACTTGTGAATGATAAAGTGGACGTTCCGGGCGACCGCTTCCTTTGTTTCGTGCAGCCTTCTCCTTATTCCTTCGCACCGCGTTGCGATTTGTTAGTAGGGATGTCACCAAATCCAGATTTTGAAATCCCAGCATTTCCACGAGCTATCACCATACGATAAACAATCCCACCCGGATGTATAGTACAAACTGATAAACATGTTCTTTTTCGTGATCAGGAATTTAAAATAAACATAAATCACTGAACGAAGAAAATGATTTCCTTACCTCTTCTTGAAGTTCATCATCTCGTTTTCCCCCGGTGAGAAGCGGTTCCACCATGGACACGAGATCAGTGACACTCACATTGCCACCTTCAGATTTTTCATACTGCGTGGTAATCAACAGCTTCACCAGATCGCTTCCCGAACCGTCTTCTAATTTTTCCGCAAATTTTCCAACAACTTTCATAGGACGTTCATTCTGCAATTCCACCGGCCTCTTCTCTTCTCTCGTTTCATCGACTTGTACAGCCACCGGTGGCGGTGGTGGTGTATCCATTGCGAGAGCACTGATTCCATAATTATCCACCGAGGGACGTGGAATTTGCTCAGTCGCATCCAGATCAGCAGTTATCACATTCTGAAACTGATCGATCAGCGTATTTATATTGGTACAAGATGCTCCACGTTCACGCTCCACCGTTTCCTTCAAGCAGACCCATTCTTCCTCCGGAATGAGGGGGACCAGCTGCTTTATCAAAGGCACAGCGGCTTCGATGAAGGGATCTTGGTCAAACGATGTATGGAAGACTTTGCGCAGTGCATCGCGCTCTTTTTTCCCAGTTACACGGCCTCGACTTTCAATAAACACCAACAGAGACTTCACCGCGCAGTCGTCGATCTGCTCCTGGATACTTTCTGTTCCCACTACAGAAGCGATTGTAAAATAAGCACTGCACAATTGTTGGTTTTATAAGCCGTAAGCACCACTACTGCACTTACAGTACTTTCGAACCAGCATGCGATATTTATGGAGTACATCCGCCAAGAGCTTCTCGCGGCTTTTATCATGCAGCTTTTGTACAAGAACAGAAATCGCAACATTCCATTCCGATATGCCTGCTCCACTATCGTCCCTTGAAGAGTGGCGAACAGCTGCGGAGGAATTGGAATGATCGCGATCGCTGGTCTGCCAGAACTGCCAACTCAAGCGACCGTGATACATGATGGTCGCAACCGTTCCACGACGGACAACCTGTGCGAGCAGAGCTTCTCTGCGGGCTAAAAAATGACGAAACACAAAAATTCCGTTAGAACTTGGGCGTCATACGCTGAATTTTCCTGATTTAACCACCAGCATCGATAAAAAACGAATTAAAAATTTAAAAGTGTGCAATCTGCTACATACACTTCCTGTGACTTCCATAAAAAATCTACCTGTGTAGTTAAAATGACTTATGATGAGAATCGAAGCTCAACTTCAAAGACTTCCGCACCGGAAGTCGGCTTGGGAATTAGATTTGCCAATTATTTTATCTCGCGTATTCTATTTAGCACCACAGGGCAGCACGCGCCGCGTCTCGCTGACGTATCCACCCGGCGTATGCGCACGATCGCGCTGGCGCTGTTAGGCTAAAAAACCTTTGATGCTCATACAGACTACATACAGTAAGTACTTAATCGAAACTTACAAATGAAAATAGTTTAGTATAATTGTAATAAGTAATTTAACAAAAAAAAGAAAATTCAGTAATATCAGCAAATACAGCTCCAGCGTCGGAAATTCGAAATGTACCGGAAATCTGAATAAGTGCAGTACTGTAAGTACTTAAATTTTCGAAGCTTTTTGCGTATCCCTCTTACGCACCCAACACGCTTTCCGTACGTTTAATTTTGGATTCTAAACAAACTGCGCATAAAAACAACATCGAAGTTAATGGGAAAGTAGGGACCGATGGGAGTGTGCGAGTTTTTGAAGCTGAAACGCTTTTGTGGGGGTGTAAGTTTTCCTAATCTTCCGTTGCACGTGGTAGTTCAGTTTATGTAAAACGCAAATTTTACCTGGTTTTAGGCTGATTGACTTCAACATGTAGCTTTACTACAAGATCAACGCCAAAATTTGCTGAAGTTGCGGAACGAAGTCGGAAGTCCTGAACGTAGGTGCCGTGATTTGTTGTGGCACGTGTGAAAACACATAAGTACATTTTTCCAGTTAAATCTGATTCTGTGATAAATGTGCAGTTTCCGTTTCTTCCTCCTCTTGTCCGACTGATCCTGGAACTACCACGTTTTGTAAGTAACCACTCCACGTTTGTTTTTAATATTTAGTTGCGTACTTGAATTTGCTGGTTTATATTGTATGCGGCAGTATGCCGTACGCGTAAGAAGTTGTAATTTAATTCTAGTGTTGAGATCTGACAGTTGAAAATACTTAGAAAGTGCAAGCAATTCAAAATCGGACAAAACTCTAAGTATGTTATTTAATATGGTTTCCTAGGATTCACGACAGCCTCAGCTGCATTACGAGAATGGCTTTCCCTGGCGCTGGAGATGAGCAGGAGAAATTGCTGGAGGAAATATTGCGCATCGTTAAACAAGAAGCATTCCAGATGAAACGGTGCATCGACAAGAACCGTTTGATGGACGCCCTGAAACACGCATCCACTATGTTAATGGAATTACGGACGGGCAGCTTGACTCCCAAAAATTATTATGAGCTTTTTATGGCCGTTTGCGATGAACTCAGCCACTTGCAAGCCTACTTGCTGGAGGAGTTCAATAAGGGAAATCGTATGCCAGAGCTTTACGAGCTTGTCCAATACGCCAGTAACATCATTCCTCGAATGTATGTAGGCTTAGCGACGCTTGTAACAAAAGCTCCATGGGTACACTAACTAGTTCCATGGGTAATATTTCTTAATTTCAGCTGCAGATTAGTCATTGGTGTTTCTTTGGCGGTAATGGTTAATTTGAACAGTTATACCTGTTATACTGTTATAGTGACTGTTATTATTCAAGTGTATTATTTTAGTATATTTCTGCGTTAGCTTGCATTGAAAGTACTAAGATTAATGTGAATTGTGAGTAGACACTGTGTAAGTACAACGATATGGCTGAATGAAGTATGTACCAGTACTAATTTTACAATTGTTAGTTGAATTATTCTGTACTATTCTGTCGGGATACATGCTCAATACAAAATTTTCATACTGATTTCATTTTTGCGATTGTAGTTATCTTGCAAGATTCTAATGGCTTTAAACTTGAACGCGCATTGGTGTCTTTTAGGTATTTGCTGGTTACTGTTGGTGTGGTTTTCATTAAAAGCAACGAAAACTCTCGCAAGGATATTATGCGAGATTTGGTGGAAATGTGCCGTGGAGTGCAGCATCCGCTTCGTGGACTTTTTCTTCGGAATTACCTTTTGCAGGAAACCAAACATGTCCTCCCCGATGTATTGGAAGCGCCAACAGAAACCGCTCCTGACGGCTCACCCATATCTTCCGGCACTGTTTCCGATTCCGTTGATTTTGTATTGACGAATTTCGCTGAAATGAACAAGCTATGGGTGCGGATGCAGCATCAAGGACATTCCCGCGATCGCACTCGACGTGAACGCGAGCGTCAAGAACTTAGATTGTTAGTGGGCACAAATTTGGTACGGTTAAGTCAGTTGGAATCTATCGATGCGGAATCCTTCAAGGGTCATGTTTTGCCGGGCATCTTGGAACAGACTGTCAGCTGTCGTGATGCCATTGCACAGGAATATCTGATGGAGTGTGTCATTCAAGTTTTCCCCGACGAATTCCATCTAGAAACCTTAAATACGTTTTTAAAAGCCTGCTCCGAGCTCCAGCCGGGTGTGAACTTGAAACGAGTTATCATTGCATTGATTGATCGCCTAGCATTGTATTCCCAACGCGAGGACACAAATGGCATTCCTGCTCATCTTCAGTTGTTTGACATTTTCAGCAACCAGATTACGGCTGTCTTTGAAGCTCGCCCTGAATTACCCGTAGAAGATATTGTTGCTCTGGAACTTGCTCTTATAAATCTAGCTCTGAAATGTTATCCGGACCGGACTGATCTCGTGGATCAGGTCCTGCAAAATATTGATGTTATTTTCCAGAAGCTAAGTATTGATGAAGTGCCAGGAGAAAGTGCTGTCTGTAAAGAATTGACGAAACTATTGAAAATTCCGCTGGATCATTATAAGGATATCCTGACAGTTCTTCAGCTGCAAAACTACGCCAAAATCTTGAAGTATTTGGATTTTAAACCAAGAAAGGAGATCAGTCTCTATGTTGCTCATAATATTGTCGATAACGGTACCATTGTGGCTCAACAAGAGCACGTTGAAGCACTGTTGATGATGTTGGCGCCTTTAATTGAGGATCACCCTTCTGCGCCCATTAATCCAGCCGATGACGATTTCATCGATGAACAAACTGTCATTGGCAAATTGATTCATTTCTTACGTCCTGCAGAACTTGATCAGCAATACTTGATCCTGAGCACGGCGAGAAAATTCTTCGGAAATGGCGGAGTGCATCGTGTTCCTTATACTCTACCGACGATTGTTTTCTTGGCTTTCGGCTTAGCGCAAGATTACTATGCAACAAGAGATGAAGACCCAAAATGGAGCAAGAAGTGCCAAAAAATCTTTCAGTTCTGTCACCAGACAATTTCTGCCCTGGCGAAACTGGAGTTGCCGGAAATTTCGGTTCGTTTGTTCCTGCAGGGTGCACTGGCTGTTGCGCGTGTGCCTTTTGAATCGTCGGAAACAGTTGCATACGAATTCATGTCCCAGGCTTTCTCCATCTACGAAGAAGAGATCTCAGACTCTAAAGTACAAATCCTGTGTGTTCTTTTAATCATTGGTACTCTTCAGCAGCTGGGCTGTTTTTCGGAAGAAAGCCATGAACCGCTGCGGACGCAGTGCGCTTTAGCTGCGGCCAAACTGTTAAAGAAGCCAGACCAGTGTCGTGCACTGATCGCTGCGGCTAACATCTTTTGGTCTGGCCGGCTGTCGAATTCCGATTCCGATTTAAAGGATTCCAAACGTGTGATGGATTGTCTAAAAAAAGCCTTGCGCGTGGCTTCCCAGTGCATGGATAACACGGTCAAAGTGCAGTTGTACGTTGAAATAGCCGATGCCTATTGTGTATTCCAGAGTCGAGGTGTTGAGGCAGTGTCGGATGAGATGATTGTGCAGATGATGCAGAAAATCCAGGACGAGCTACCTGCCCTGGATGTCAACGAAGAATCCAACCATATCAACAAACAGTTCCAGAATTGCTTGGACAATTTGAAGAAAGCGAAGCCAGACGTTCCGTTTTAAACCCGTTAGAGCCTTTTGTATTTATTCTTTCTTTTACAGTGATTCTCTTTTAACCCGTAATTTAAAGTGATTTATCGTTAATTCAGTTTTCATTTGTTTTAACAAAGCCTAATGGTTTTTAAGTTATTTTATGATGACGGTTAAATAGCCATAATATATAGTTGATTTAATGATTATTTAGTGCCGAAGTTCAGATACATCGTTTATTGTAGTAATATTTATTTGCATGTTGAGCGAGCGCTTCTGAAAATTTATTTTACCATGCTTTCTTGAACTTTCTTCCAGCGTAATAAAGTTGTCGCATCTCATGTACGCCGAAGCTGCTGATACTGTTTTTCCCTCTGCTCAGAATCTTCTGCTTGCTAAATTCGTGCTACAGTTTAATAGTCAGCCCGCTTTCCATTGTGTTCTTACGGTACGTTCCCATGATGACTTAATTAGCATTTATTGTGTTAAACAGTTAATCTCCCATATTCTAAATGCTACTTTTTACGCCGCTTCATAAAAAGTTTTTCACTGATTGCGGCAGATTGTTCGGATATCACACAAATTAATTATATTTCTTGCCAGCTGAAAGCTTCAGAGTAAAATACCGTGTTTCCATTTGCGTAAAACTTATTGTTAATACAAGTTGAAGTGGCCGCAAAAAGTTCGCGAGACTTGGTAGTATGGTTAGCAAAAAAAATTAATAGGCCTCGGCTACCGGCTAGTTTAAAGTTTACACGCAGTCACAACAGAGACACTGACCAGTGAGGCAGAATGTATTGTACGTGTGTTTATACGGTAGTTTGTACCAGGATCTGCTTTTCTGCGAAGTGTGAACGGTAAGTACTGGCCAGATTGGTTTTGCGGTTTTAATACACGGAGTAAATAAAACAACTTTTTTTATACCAAGTGGTCCAAGTCCAGAAGGAACCCATTTAGTGCAAAAGCTTAATGTGAACAACTGCTGTAAGTTTTTGGTATCATAATTTGCAAAGGGCATTCATGGCTGCTGCAAAGGGATGGTGGATCTTTGCCTGGCTTGGAACAAGTTTTATCATTACCGCTTTAATCATACAGATTATCACCTTATCATGGAGAAACTGGGTCCAGTTAGATTTCGCTGTAACCAACCATACCGTGGATCATCTACAAATCGGATTGTGGGGAGCATGTGTGGGTGGTGCAGAATGCTATTCGTTCCACGGGGAAGGATTGCCATGTAAGTTCGCGTCGTCAGTAAAACTAAATGAAACCTTTAATTACAACTGGCGCAGCAGGCTAACAGAAGACATTTGAGCAATCACAATTTTGGAAAAGACTGTTAATTTTAATTATCCTACGGTCACTGTACGCTGAAAGTTTTAAAGAACAAGATAAATAGTCCAATTGTGCCAGCAATATGCCGAGGATTATTGACCATTTTCAAAAACAGCGTACTTTTCTTTGTGGGATGTCCATGCAAAAATGTCCAGCAAAGAGTGTGTTATCCGTACAAGTATACTAACCAGATAACCGTTGTGATTCAGCACGCTATCAATTATTTGGATGTATTGTTTTTCTGCTTTGCTCGAGCTCATGGAACGGAAGTCGTTAATCCAGGACTGAAGTTTTGTTTCAGGGTATTTGCAAGCAACAGTGTTTCTGGCCATGATTGGAATTTGTTTTGAAGCCCTGATATTTTGTTTGTGCATTGTGGAGCTTTTATATCTGTGGAATGCGAAGGGATTCTTCCCATTGAAACAGTCCCAGCTGTATCTCGCTCTGGTGACTGGTAAGAAAACGAATTTTTGTGCACTATGGTCAAAATGATAACGTGTGAAAAATAATACGGCGGGTTGATCAAAATAATGGTTATTATCCCATGACTCTCCCTATCAGTGATTTGTTGTTGTATTGTAAAATTACTGTACTTTTGTGGATTTTCATGCTTTCTTCCTAATAGTTGTTGTGACGTTAACGATGGCGGTAATTTCCGGTTCCATGACTTTGTCTGGACTGGAAAAGGACATGTGGAAGATCGTAGATGACCAGCTGCATCTGATGGAAGCCGGTTCAAATGTCCGAGTGGGCCGATTTACCGTGTCGCAAGCCTGGGGATACCAAGTTAGTGTCTGTCCCTCACATTCAGCTGCACGGTACTATTGACCAACAACTGACCATGGGCGACAGATATTATAAATTTCCGGATTTCTTACATAAACCGATTTTGTACCGCAGTGCTCTTTTAAACGGCGTCACTATTTAATGCTGCATATTTTATATACACATTCATTAAATTATTACAGTTTTTTATTTATGCCAGTACTATGATCGGAAAGCTTTCTGACTGTTTCAGTTAATTTTATTCTTCGTGGCCCTGTAGGTTCTCGTTTCGATATCCGTTATTTGCTTCGTTATCATTACAAAATCGCAACTGACGCGGATGAGCGCCGTGCAGGACGAAGAAAGACCCGCCAACCAGCGCCGCATTGAAGTTGTGCTCGTGTCGCCGCCGATGTTCCGTGCTCCTAATCTTCAGCTGCAGTACACGCCGCCTCCCGCGTATTCCCCACCCCCCGCATACGATGGTCTGTATCGCCTGGATGAAATGGAAACCCCCTTCATTCTTCGTATCGCCCAGGAGGAAAACGGAGAGTCTCGCACGTGTCGGTCTGGTACGGATGAAGATACGGCCACACTGATAGCCTGACAACTGCGGTGCCAGCATTTTCTGTAGATTTTAATCTCCATATCGTTAACGCCGTAAACCTGATTGGGCTTCTTCGCGAAAAAAAGTGTTTTATTTTAAATTTGGATAGTTTTTTCTTTCAGATTTGGGTGGTTATCGTGCGCCGTGCGTAGATGTTCTGTAACGATTTTGATGATGGAAATAGTTATTGCGAGTATTCCGCATTTAAATACTGTCTGTGTATTTATGACGAGTATTAAGAAGAGCTCATAATTTACGTGCCAATGATGACGTCCTACAGTATGAGGAAGCATATTTGTATTTTGTCCTAGTTTTCGTTTTATAAAGAACCTTGATGCAACGCTTGTGAATGCTAATAAACCAAAGCATAAACTAACAGACTCATTTGGTGCAATGCCTGCATCGACTACAGGTAAAGGGTCAGTTTTTTTGTTTATTGACCTTTAGGTCTTATACTGGGTTAATCCCGGATTCACAAACTACTTTGTACAACAAATCCCGCGCAAAAAAATCCATTGCGGTAGAAGCCGCACTGTCTTTCCTTTCGAATGTCAATGCAGTGCCACCAATGAGCAGCCAGTCTGCTAAACGTAGTGAATAGAATTATCAATAAACAACAGGATAGAGGTGATTTACTTCTGCCTAGTTTAATTTTGTTTTGTGCCGATAGATCTATCTGTGTGAGCCTTTCACAAAAGCGAAGATACCCACTTTGTACCTATACAGTGGGATTTTTACACGGGTACCCTGTCTAGTAAACGTACACTGTTCTAGTATTAAAAACTACTGTCGTCATTTAATGTTGTTTGCCGGTATTTGAAACGCTGACATGTTTATTTTCCCGTGCGGCGCGCGTTACTATACTGCGCTGAGTTCGAGCCATGTTTTCATTGTCAGTGCCCCAGGTGCACATGAGTTAATATTTTCTTATAATATTCGTCGTAAATTGTCACACGTGTGGGTTACGAAATGTTGGTTGTTCCTATACGCTTATACTCGTAGATAACTTCGTCATGTACCGATAACTCCTACGCTGGCGGAAGTCAATGACTATGCGGAGGTTTACGGCGGTAACCGTCACATTCCGCGTCCTCGCTGTAAACTCTGCAAGGTAGAGCAGTATTGACTGATTAACTCCCACGATACGAAATTAACAATGTAAGGCAAAACCGCATTAATGCTTATATTTAGATGATACAAAACGGACATTTTAAAAAATTTGAAGAGAAATATTGGTGTTTGACTGCAGTACTACCAGTAGTGTCTGTTGTTCGACTTATCGTGTATGGTATGACTGTTTCATTACGATGGCAATGTTGCAGAAGAAATTCGTCTCGAATTGGTTAATTAGGTGGGCACTGCTTACATAAATTATGCAAATTAAACCGAATGCTCATTGAATTTATTATTTTTTTAATTATGCCGATATTATAAAAATAAGAATCGATTTTCAGTTTTAATAGGAAGATCGGTGGATGTATGGCCATTGCCTGTATCCTTTACAATTGCACAGATGCCGCCTACCTGAAAGGTCACCGGTCGAAACGTAAGTGCTTCACAAACCGTGTGCTTACTGCTTAATAATAATAACCAACCAACATTATCTTTCTTCCATGTACAGTATAAGTAAAGGTGACTGCTATGCGCCCCGACGAACCGGGCGCATAGAATTTAGTTATGCGCCCCGATGCCCGGGCGCACAGAATTTGGCTTTGCGCCCCGAATGTCCGGGCGCAGAAATATCGGTGATTTGCTGTTTTTCCGAAGATTTTTTATGTTGTATTTGGCTTCTTTTACTGTTTTTATTTAACAACCTGTAAATTTACTGGCTTTAACGCGGACTACGGCAACAACAGCGACGATGCGTAATTATTAAGATTTATTTGAGCACTGGATGCAGACACTGCACCGGAACACGCGTCACCGATGCAGTTGACTCCGTCGTCCTTGCTAAAGCCAACCCCCAGTCTCCTCTCAAAACCCCCAGTCTCCTCTCAAAAGAATGTGGAATGTGGGGGGGGGGCGCAACTACATGATACATGAAAATAATCTTAACTGATACTAAAGTTGATTTACTGCAGTGGACACAATACTGTGACAATAGCAACTAAAATGAACTACAACACAAATGTGCAATCGGTATGCGACATTGTCAGTCAGAGTTGCATTACTCCCCGATTATCGGGATGAACATCCCAACGACACACCCTAATGGCTTTTCTCGGCTTGACACTGGTCATCCAAGTCGTCCAGCCTTGCAACTACCTCCGCTACGTTAAAGGAAGTGGCCCGGTACATGGTACCATATTCGTGTACATACACGAAATCTTTCACTTTCGCGTACTTCCAACCCCTTGTTTGTCTTGTTTATGACATTCTGTAGCCAGATGATTTGTATACACTGGCGAGAAAACCGTTTGTCCGCGCAACATCCGGTTTGGGAGTTACGGCTGGTAGAAAATTTCAAAAGTTTAAATGCATTCAGGTGTAGCAAAGTCTCATTATAGACCGATCTCTTTCAGATTTTGCACGTAAATGCACATACCCACGAAGAACGTTTTCACATCAATTTACTGTTCTATCATGTCTTTCGATTTTTAAAATGTATTTCAAAATCCATTTCAAAATTTGAAAAAAATCATGGAAGTCTGGGATCGGTGTAAAAACGATGTTCATGGCCATTGTGAAGGCCGATAGCTCCGCCTTCATGATTGGCCATTCGCCATTGTGTTTTGCTGTTCTGGGGATTTCCATCCCACACATTGCTGCTGTTTTGACGGACCTACAGCACAGCTGCGCTGGCTGTAGGATCCGATCTCATTAGTCTGGTGTTGCTGCGCCACGGTGCGCGAGTTAGATTTCGGCATTAAAGCCTCAATCCGGGTTCGCCGCTGTTTCGCCGTCGAAGGTACGTGGGCGCCCATAAGGCCCCACGTAACACCATGTGTATTTACGTGCAAAATTTGAAGGAGATCGGTCCGTAATGAGACTTTTGGTACACCTGAATGCATTTAAACTTTTTGGAATTTTCTAACAGCCGTAACTCCCAAACCGGATGTCGCGCGCACAAACGGTTTTCTCGCCAGTGTATACTAATCATCTGGCTACAGAATGTCATAAACCGAAATAAAAATGTGTTTGGGATGCGCGAAAGTGAAAGTTTTCGTGCAAGTACAAGAATTTGGCACCATGTACTGGTCCACTTCCGTTAACCGGAATAAGCTTTGCTAATTCTATGTGCTACATGGAGTGGACTTCTGTGCCATTCTATGTGTTTTGTGCATGGAGTGGACTTCTATGCCGTCCTAGATGACCTATAACAATTATTACCCACAGAACGTGATAAACCAGTGTTATAAGCTTGCTGTAAAGTTGCTGAAAATCAGGATCTCTCAGCTGATTCCGCGATGTTTTGAGTAAGCTTTTCAATAAACCATGCGATAAAATGGGAAATGGGTTAATCGAGTAAAAAATTCAATCAGTTGCCGGAAAAACATAAAAACTTCGATATTTCTGCGCCCGGACATTCGGGGCGCAAAGCCAAATTCTGTGCGCCCGAGCACTCGGGGCGCACAGCAAAAATCTATGCGCCCGGTTTGTCGGGGCGCAGCCATTTCGATAAGTAAAACTAGAAAATTTGAAATTCAAAAAGGTAAATACTATGTTGAAATTACATATTATTATTAAATGTGAATACGGTATATACAGATAGCCGCTTGATTACATGTACGGGCCGGCGGTGTACGCGCAGTTCGTGTCGGCATCCGCGTTAATTTTTCTCACAGTTGTTAAACTGTTATATTGTGCAGGACAGGATAATTGTTGCGGGAATCTTGGATGTTTTGACCTCACGGCTGCTTTTATCGATCTTTTTAAACGGTACATATTTTCTTCCACAAATACCCAAAGTTTTACGCGTAATTTGATATCCATTTTCATTTGGCTAGTTTTGCACTATATATATGTCATGTATTTGTTAGGCCAATAAATCTTTTCCCATCGTGCAATACAAAGGTTGAATTCACACTGAGAACCCAGGTAACCAGCGCGGCGCCTGCGGACAAATTTGTCACAAGTTATACAGATAACTGTTTCAGGACAACGTGGATAATTTGGAAAAACTAAATTACAGCGACATTGATTCTATAAAAAAATCTAATTACCGAGCAGATCGCGAAGGAACAAAATTTATTATTCATGGGTTTATCGATAACGGGGAAAATAAATGGATTTCGGTCAGTATGTGCCGTGGCTACTTTACATGTATATTCTGATTATTGGCGCAACAAAACGCTTTCTTGCTGCAGATCTACAGTAAAGATTAAGCCTTTGCGACTTTTATTCTCGGATTAAATTGCTATCATACTGCGCTAAGCAAATTTTACAAGAGCTCTGGTAAATATTACAATTAGGCACCCTAATAATTAAAGTCATTTTTATGAACTGATTTGTTTACACCCCTCGGTACCCTTTTAAAGCGCTGTCATCAAATTCTCACCTGCAGTAAATCAAAGCGATAACACCCCTTACATTACAAGCTAAATTTAACATTTTTAGAAGGTTTAATGGAGGTTTCAAAAACTACTGACATTTCTGTTACTTTCCCGGTAATCCAGATACAGCTAGCCGGACAGTAGTTTTCTATGTGTATACGTACTAATATGCTTTTGCCTATGTAATACAGTAATTACCTAAAATAAACGACAGTAATAATCGCAGACGTCAATGTGTCTGCGCTTTATAAATTAAATTTTTTTGACCAGGTTATGGAAAGAAAACTACTCGTAGAAGGAGATTTCAATGTTATTCGAGTTCACTGGGGTAAGTTTCTTTGCGGTGGTTTTCGAATGCGCATTGAGCATTATTAGTAATTATTAATTAAAAGCTTTGAGCGGGGTCACTTTGTATTGAATGAATTTTCTGTGAATGGCTGATATATACATACGTTCTTGAGCTTCGAATGCAACTAATCGGCTAATACATACGTTCTTCTCGGCTAATACATACGTTTTTGTGATTTCTTGGTGGAGCCGAAAATATCGCAATCATAGGCTTCCAATTCTGTTACACTGCAAAAGGCACATCAGGGGAGATATCGAAACTCTTTTTGATTTGTTCGAGTCAACAGCTGACCGACGCTCACTAACGATATCAACTTCACTGCTGCTTTGTAAGTTAATTTTGTAATTGTAGATAGCGGAAGCCTTCTTACATATTTTCAAGCTGCGGCTAACTCCAGAGTGGTCGGATCCATAACTGCAAAACTAATTCGTTTGTTGAATGAGCTGGGTCAAGATTATGCTACCGTTCATCTAATCGGTCACAGGTACAGATACAAGGCCACAAGGTTTCTAGCTTTTTTATTTTCATCCTGTACGTGTGCCAGTTTTAGTTGCGCGCTATGTCTTTTGTTATACAGCAACACAACAAACCGTTTAAGGGTATCGATATCGTCGTAGGATTGCATTTGATGAAATCATGTTATAAAGTTAGAATAGAAATAACCTTTTAGTCAGCTATGTACACACCTTCCCATCCCTGTATATTCTAGACACCCCTTTTCACACCCCGTATGCGATAAGCACTCGTATTAGTCAACTTCAAAATAATTTAAATTAACCTACCTATACTGTTTTACAGAAATGTTTTCTCTATAAATGATTTTATCACAACTGGCTGCTTGCAACGTTTCGGGATTAGTGAGTAATAAGTACACAAGTTCGTTCGTGCATTCGTCTGAGTGCCTGGGTTTGTTGAGGGAAGTGGCCCGGTACATGGTACCAAATTCGTGCACATGTACGAAAACTTTCACTTTCACGCTCTCCCAAACACGGTTACAGGGTGGCTGTAATAAACGCGGCTGCGGGTTAAAGGGTGTCTAATTGTCTATAACGTTATAGACAATTAGACAGGGAAACGGGTCTCTGCGTTTCCGATTTCATGGCACCAGAAAATCAAGTGATTGGGCTGAACCCGTTTCCGAGTAGGTTACCAGTTCCCGAGTAAAACAGCCTGTATAGAAACCGTTATAACGGTTTCTGTACAGTAAACTGACAATGAATCGTATGATTTATTAATTAATTTTTCAGCCTTGGCGCCCATATTGCAGGATATGCTGGCGAACAAGTGAAAATTGGACGCATAACTGGTCTGGATCCAGCTGGTATATGAAGTTAGATGTACAAATATCCTCTCGCACTCTACGCTGATATGGTGTTAATTCTCCTAACCATAGGAGTAAATCTGTTATGCTTAGGTTTATATTTCAAAGACATGCCACCATCCGTTCGGTTAGATCCCACAGATGCTGACCTAGGTACGGTGTAACTGCACGCTAATTAAAAGTTGCAGACGCGACATTCACAGTCAGCATAATTCAGAAAGTACAGTAGAAGTATGTTTTTCTGTCACCATTGCTAATTATCATCTGGCAGGGTTGAAAAGCGAACCAGTCGAGCCGCATTTAAAACAAATGTATTTGCAGTGGACACAATTATCACCGACGGTCGGGTAAGGAAACCAATACAAAGAACAATTTTCATGTTTCCGAACGTCCGTAATTTTCTTACCTATTTATAATATATCAGCGCTGGAAAAGTGTTACGAATATTTTTATTTGTCTCTACAATAGTCAACGATTTTTTATCTCGGAAATTTATTGGAAACACATTTTTCACTAGTAGTAAATCTTTCGCAAAAACCTTATCGCTAAAAAGCGCAATTTTGTTTAATAATAATAAGCTTTACACCGTCGGTGAATTGCAGGATATCCTTAAACTGGGATATGGCGCGTTGCAAGCTATGGGACATTTTAGTATGTCCTCTTATATATTACATACATATAAAAACTCTTAAAATAAATGTGTTTTTGTGTTGACATCGGCATGATAATTGCAGACTTCTTTCCAAATGGTGGAATAAACCAACCCGGTTGCGCCCGAAAGTATGTGCAACTTTAAATGTTTTGTTTTGTTGTAAATTTTCTTATAATAATGCTACGTGTACGCGTAATGTTTTTTCCAACGTCTTATTTTTAGCCTTTTAACCAGTCTATTCAAGTTCGAAAATTCAGGTAAAATTATGGAACATGAATGAACATTAAAGCGACAACCTGCATATATATATACAAATGCGTTCCGTGTTTGCAGATTTTGCCGGCACTGACGTTTTGGGATGCAGCCATTTTCGTGCCCCGCTCCTCTTTAGTGGTAAATCGTAATTTAGATTGGTAGCACTTTCAAAACTAGAACACAATTTTCAATATTGTTTTATAGTTCTTCGTGTTACCAATATACGTAAAGTAAAGTTTGATGCTGTGTTTGTTGGTAGATACTGTTGCCAGTCCGTTGAGCAACTGTTTGGCCGTGGAGTGCGATTCTTACGAAAACGTACAAATACAGTTTTGAAGTGATCCAGAAAAAAAATCCGAGCTCACTGTTACTAATTTGCCGTAAAAATTATGTGTTAAATTTCAGTACAAGATGGGGAAATGTTTTTCCTGCAACTCCCGATCTTGTATTAGTATGGGCTTAAATATGGGCAAAAACGCTACCAAAGCGAGTGGACAAACTAAGTCGTTCTTTCTGGATACTGATACAGGAAGTCCTTACTGCGGTAAAAACGAATGTCAAAATACTGAAAGTGAAAGAAACTTAACATGTCAAAATATGACTGATGTGCATGATATCATGGACTGCTCGAATTTACTGTACTTTATTCAGGTACATCATTCCGTATTGTTTTTGGTTTGGCGGATGAGCAGTCACTTTCGGTAAGTGTTTCGTAAATAGGACACATACCGGTACATACACTGGCAAATGGCAGCGAGTAATAAAAAACAAATGTAGATATGTCCACTTTATGCCCACTTTAATATTTTACAGGGAAACGGGTTTCTGCGTTTCCGATTTCATGGCGCCAGAAAATCAAGTGATTGGGTTGAACCCGTTTCCGAGTAGGTTACCAATTCCCGAGTAAAACAGCCTGTAGGAAAAACGTTAGTATAACGTGCAACTACCGCTAGGGTGGGTGAACGGATGTGTGTCGATTTTAGCCGTTTCCTAACGTTTAGCTAACGTTTTGTTTGCAAATTGTTTTACTCGGGGTTACTATACTGCATGTAAAACAGACTCGAAAAAATTAAAGTACACACATCTTCCTCGATGTTTTAAACTTGACTACGGAATCAGTAATACATGAAATTTTTTTTGCCAGGTCAGTTGACCTGGCTCCGGGACGGTCGTACACCTTTATTATCTTGGCACCTTCGAATATTGGTCCTCTAAAAGCAGTCTCTATAACCTGGAAGTACGAAAGGTCATTATTACATGTATTCGATTACCTGCGGACATATAAGATCAAAATAAAAGAATCTATGGAAGTCCAGCCGTTAAATGGAAGGTACGAGTCATCTCTTGCAAGTTTTACATTCAAATGCTTGCTTTGCAAACGGCCAAATCAAAAGCTTGAAATTGCTTAACCAACAAAAAATTATCCAAATGTGTTCATTTTACTACACTTTGCAAAGTGGTAGTTGTACCTAATAATATTTACTTCCTGGAAATTATTGTTCCTACTAGTGCTGCAGCCTGATGCTCTTTTGAAGTACGAGTGTATGCAATGCAGTTTGTACTTCGTAGCCACATCAATAGGACAATCTACCATGTCAGGATCCTTGAGCGTTACTTTTGTGGCACTTATGTCGCGCTCTATTAATGGCAGCGCAGCTAGTCCAGGGATACTCCATATTTTTAAAATACCTACTGTTCTCTTTTCCAGAATTACTTCTCTAAGGACAAGCGACAAAGAGATTTACGAAGATACTCCAGCAAAATATCAGCTGCATGACTGAAGGTATGATGTTTACGCCTTAATTTATACGCCCCAATGTTAGTATAATTTTACGGCGAGGGTACTGTACTGATATGTTCATTTATTGACTAGAATTTATAATAATTTATATACTGGTACCATAACAGCATCATACAATGTCATCTGCGCGAGTAATTTTTGTTCGTCTAACAATAGACAGAAATGGTTTACACAACCTTAACGGCTTCTTTAGTATTTACTCGCCAAGGATTCTGCTTATGGATGGGCACGAAATGAATAATTAAACTTGTTTTCTTGGGAGGAATCGTCATTTCCAGCGGCAATTTTTTACTGGGCCGACAGTTTTCCATTTCTTTGACATCGCACTCCACAAACTGAGTTTTCGCACCCTAATAAAATAACGAACTCATCTGTTTCCAGGTTCTGATCTGCTTTTATTATAAAAACACGTTGTTACAATTTTCTTTCGCACCGGTATAGTCCAGTAATATTACAGAAAACCTTAGTTCTCATGCATATGCTTATAGCTACAAACATAGTGATACCGTTGCCATAATTTTGTCCAACAACTATACAGCTCAACGTATAAGTACGTGACCGTTTACAAACGTACCCTGTTTTCCACAACCAAACTAACGCGGAGACCATTGGTGACCTTATACATTATGACATCTTCTCCGATATCCTGCGCCACTCCAAGTTCAGATGCCGTACGAATGATAGCTTTTTCGGAAGTGGTTGTGACTAGTTTCATCTCGGTAGGTGTTATGCGCGGATTGCAGTTCGATGCAGTCAAAAATACAACGAATGGCATTGTCTAAACAAAACAAATAATAACAAACGGAAGGGTGTCCAAAATAAATTTGTTTGTGATATTAATTAACTTACTCTATTCAGAACTAGTTGCCTGTTGAATCCCATCGATTCCAACATGATCCACATATCGGTAACATCATCGTTTTTGGCACAATCTGTGGCTTCGTTGATGTGAAGCTTCATAAATCCATCCCGAGTCAGCTGGTCGTTGTGAACGGGAAAACTAGCTGTAAAGATTTCGATGCCACCATTGTATGTAACCTGTATACACGGTGAAATCGAAGACAATACGAGTACATAAGCTGTATGTGATGTGCACTCGACGAAAAAGCACAGAGAATTCCAAACTATTTTTAGTTATTTCATTTAAAAATTTATTTTGATCTTACTTGTTACGACATTCCAATCGTCGTCTCTTACAATATCTCCCGTTGATCTAACGAGAAAAATGTTAAACCAGGATGGCATAAATGTTAACAAATGTATAATCATTTACGGACATGTGCCGCTGGTATATATTTGGTGTCACCTGCGTTTAGGCGAGAAAAATGAACAAACAAAGATCGATGCGTTAATTAGTGTACTTTCCTTATCATAAATCTCTAATGACTACGGAACACGGAGTGTTTAAACTTCGTCTTCGAAAACGACAACTGTAAAGGGGAAGCGCAAAGAAAAACGCACCCTATTAAAAGTTGCTTATGTGGACGTACCGCTTTGCAAAAATATCGAATTCATTTCTGCTAATGTTGTCGTTCCCATCCAGATCGGTTAACTCAAATACCGCCTCCAATGCATTTCTAAAAATTAAGCAGAGGAGAATCATCCCCCTGATCGAGGAGGGTACTCTATCCAACCATGAAGAAAAAATCAAGCCTACGAATATTCCTCAGATAGCTCTAACAGTTCCCCATCTCCCAAATGGTAAAGCGGAATTCCAGTGGAATGATCCGAATCTGGTGCATCTTCATTGTGATGATTGGTTGTCGACTGTAGCTGTGGTTGCGAAGAAAACCAAGCTCCTGTGGTAAATGGAACCAACGTGTACTGACCCTTAGCGGCTTTGGTGCGAAATGTGAATCTACACTGCAAAACAATTAGCAGCAAAATTAAGCAGGCATAAAATAAATTAAGATTTTTCACATAACGAGCATCTTTTTATGAAAGGTCACATAACTTCATTAGTGGAACGTCCTTAATTATTGCATAATATTAATGCCTCAGATTAAACCGTTTACCTTTTCAGCGTCTGCTACGTTGGTGAATGCCGTTAACTTTTTATGACCACTGGAATCGGCGTCCCGCAGTAAAAACAGTTCGGCATCAATATTATTAAATGCCGGGTCAATACTTGGATTTAAGAGTGGCAATGAGACCAATTGTATGGACACAGTTAATTCCGTATCTTCGCTTAAGTACAAATCATACTGATGCGCAAAAAGATGACTGGCATCGTCGAAGACCATAAAGCCGCGCGCGTGGATGCAAGCGCAATCCTGTAAACAGGAACTTCTAGTCTAAACAGAAGATACCTTTTCACCTGCCGTGCAACGCCTACGAGATCTATTTGTGTCCATCACGTCGATGTCGTACGTCACTCCACGACGAACCATTATACTGATTAAAGCAATCGATATTTGTTTTCTCGGCCGTATAAGCAATAATTGTACATTATGATGATACGCTGACATAATAAATTATCACAAGATAGTTTATGACCGACGTACATCTATATATGTATCATGTGCTACATATCCAGTTGGCCCATTAACCTTATGTGATTTTTACAAGGTCAACTTTGCTATAACTACGCAAGTAAGAGGTGTATATGCCCGTTATACCGCCATAGAATCACAGCAGTACAACATGTACATGCTCGTTTTCTGTTTTGTTTCGACCTGCGATCAAATTAAACAAGAATAAAATCAATTGTATTTTACCCTTGGCACTCGTTTAGTGTAGGCGCTGATCACTTGTTCGAATGACTCGCGGAACGAACCAACTGGACGACGATCCGCGATCAAATGACCATCGTGAATTCCAGCGCATTGCTCTGCAGTTTGCTCGAACGAAGTCCATAGCTGTAATCACACTATTTATTATTGTACATTAAATTTTTCATTCAAAAAATCTGGAAACGAAAAATCGAGTATTACGTCTATAAAACAAAAACAAATTTAAACCAAGCATAGATGGCTGTTACATTTAATCGTGACTGGTTACAGAAAAGCCATACCCATATCCATATCCTCTAAACGTAGATATTATTCTACCCGTAGATCTATTTGCAGAAATTATGTATCTCTGATATTACCGTACTCCTACATATTTCTAGATCAATTAGATTATGGTTTTGATACTTATTAGAGATAACTCTATTGTGCGAAATCATTTGCAACCATATATTAATTTTATTTCAAAATATATTCAGGCAGCTAAATACAAAATGTTTCATAATTGCTGCACATGCGTTTGGAAAACTGTGAGATATATACTTACTACCCTATATACGCTTTCGATCACCAAGTTTACGGTGTTTAGAAACCTTTTTTGGCATCGCAGAGGAAATTCAAAAAAGAACCGACGGCTTACTGTATAAGTGTTTAAGTAATAAGAGTATATAGTATATGGAGAACACGGCATTGTATCGTTATAAAATTGTATACGATAGCATACTAACAATTCTTGTACCTCAAGGAGGTTCACATGGCCGCTATTAGTGTGACTTAAGATAATTCGATCGATTTCATCCAGAGGAAGAGACTCTGGTCCAGATGTCAAAAGCTCACTGCATATACAAAAAACAAAGCAATGACATAGGACAGAGAACGACACATGGTACAGCAACGATAAGAACCATGAATTATAATATGCGTTAGAGCCGCTTTGTTTACCGAAGACTTTCCGAAGGAACAAGATAATTTTCTTTGCCGTACAAAGCACGTACAGCCTTGAAGAATTCATCCTGTGTTGTATTGGGAATGCTTTTGGAAATTTCTTTAAAGGTTTCTAAAGGAACAGCGACACCATTGTTGACAGAAGGAACTTGGATTCTCATGGATCTTCAATTTACCATGCCACTGGCTGTCGACTTACCGAAATCCAGAACTTTATTGTTGTCGCTGTATTTGCTCCAGTATTGCTTCGCTTCGGTCCTGGTCGGATTTTTGCCGGTTCTTTGCAGTGCAATCCACAGCTCACTTGCCGATACCAGAACATTCCGTCCTGGTTGTCTTACCGAATCAAAAGCCACTTTGTGGTCACACATTCCAGTTACGGTGACTTAATTTAGTATCATTAGGTGCAAACGAAGAAGTACCCCTGAACTTATCTCTTAAGCAAACAGGAAAAAAGTCAGCTGAAAAAAGAGCTCCGCTTTACCTCCTCAGTTTGATAAAGTTTTTAATTAACTCTCTTATTTTAAGTTCTGCCGCTGTTCATTTTGTAGCCCACAAGATGCTTGTACAGATGTATTGTACATACATTTTATTGGCAAAGTGCTGGTACGGTGCTGTGGAGTGCGGAATGTCACCTGAAAGGGAAAACTCTCAAATAAATCGATGAAAGGTGCCTATATGAGCACTGTCGGATGGTGATCGTTTCATGGTGCATAATTATAATATGCAAAAACTAAAGATTTCGGAGCACCTTGATGTTTGTGTGGTAGCGCAAATAAATATGTTAAAACATACTTATAGCTACCAAATAAAAACAACCGTAACCAGTTTACCAATAACATTTACCGCAATTGTAAGTTTCGCTTTACTGCCTTTGTTTTGCAGTACGTAAATGCACTGTATTGCCTTTGCCGCCGTTTACTTAATTTGCTTACTTACATTACGCAGCGACATTGGAAGTCTGAACACCGTCAGCTGTTGTTCCGTTGACCGGCTATCTTGTACCCTACCGAATTATAAACCTTTATCTCATTTATCGGCCTTTCACAGTCAATTGAATTTTGAATATCATCGCACAGTATGCAGTTACGCAAAATTAACAACAGTTATTAATTTATTATTATGGATTGGCATAGTGCTGCAAATGCGGACGACTGGTTGAACATCCAATAACATTTGTAGCCTCAGAATTTGATCATGAAAATTACGGAAACAAATATATTCGTACAGCGTAAATATATGATTCTGTCACGGTAATTCTTAATTGTTGATTTTTGCGTACTCCTGAGTCGTGCAGTAGAGAAAAGCATTTCTGTAGTTTTTGGAACTACACTAAAACAAACCTAACAAACCCTTAACGTGAAATACTATTTTGCATTTCACATTTCATTTCACTTCACACTCTATGATCACGGAGAGCAAAAGCTGATTGCTTATTTTTGGGCAATTTTTTATTGGAATATTTTTTATTGCCAAATTGTACAAGCTAAACGCCATTTACACTTGATTTATATAGGACTGAACATACGTTTTCCATGTCTCACAAGTCAGCGAAGTCCGCAAGACCACCATATTTCTAGAAACTTCAGAATCGGTTCATACTGTATTTTGTGCTTAATGTCCAAAAGCAGTAAGACACACCAGTGAGGCAGTGACAATACATCGCAGGACATGTAATAAGTATAAGCTGGATTAGTTTAAAAGTCTTGCTTCCCGTAGAAATTAAAGTTTTCTTAAAATTAAGGACCAAGACGAAACACTAACCGAGCAGCATGTGCACGTGCTTATGGGCATTAAAATTGTTGTTTTGCTGGAACATAAATAAGCGAATAAGCGATTATATTTCAGCACTAAATTACGAAAAAGCGATTACGCGTTTAGATTAATCTATTATTAATACTGGTAATTATTAGGTACTGCATTATACTGTATTTTATTTTTAACCTACGTATACGGTCACATTAACATGGGCAGAAGTTGTGCAGCGGAAATAGCATTAGGATAGATTCTTTTAAACCTCAAATTTGCAGCTGCTTGGCCTATGCCTTCAAGAAACCTATATGCCTTTAAGGGAAGTCGAAGGAGCAGAAATCAGAGCAAAAACACTGATCCCCTTCGTTAAATTTTAACCATGGGAACGTATTAAGATGAAACCACGATCTGCTCTGGCAAAGGCAACGACTACTGTAGCGAATCTGAAATGGGTTCATAACTTGCGCACACACCTACGTATACTTTTGGATGAAGGACATGTTGTATAGAAATTAGAACGTCAAAGTAGATACATGACGATTCAAAAGTTCAGGTTTCACAAGTTCCACATTCCCCACCGAATCGGTACCTTACGGACGAACAGTCGGCTAGTACCCTTACTGGTTGCCCGAGTAGCTGCTACTTCAACTCCACTAGCAACTAGCAAGTCGATTCTGCGGTAGTTAAATTCCCGGTGCATTCAATTCTGAGCATGGTTGCTTCGATGCCACTACTATGGCCCAACCACTGAATACGGCAGCAGCAGCGCACGGCAATTGCCAGCTGCCAGCTTATATTCCGCAGTCACCATACAGACGACGGCAATGCAAGCCAAACAACATGTACGGCAAAGCAAGAAGTTTGAATAGGCTGAATCGATGTTTAAACCATGCGTTGTCGAGGAGCAGGCCGATCATCGCAGAAACCGTCGAAATCGGCCTATCAGGGTTGCACATCGAGTTTGCTAACTTTGCTGGAGAAACAGAATTTAACGGTGCAATGTGTCAAAGGGTCACAAATTATTCCTACTCGTTACACCATTGAATGATTTTGCCAACATTTCCCCAATAGATGCCGGGCATAATGCCGTTTTCCTTATAAAACACCACATATTATATGCGCAGGTATGTTGTATGTATGCTACGACGGCTGAATACACAGCAGTGTATGGAGTGATTGCGTAGTGATGGTGCTTTGCTGATACGAGGAACAGTGCAACATTCGAAAGCCATCCGCGTGGGTTCGCGGGAAATTGTACTGGAAAACTATCCCCTACAGTCAGTAGTGTGTGTGCCTAGTGTGTCCAGCCATAACGGGCAGCATGGACAGTGGCCAGCGATTAATGCACTCAGCCTTTGCATTGTCCCGCTCCAAAAACCCCGTTGTCGAAGAGCCCGTGTTTCCCCGTGGCGATGTGCATCGCCTGGGGCCATCACCGTACCATGTATCCAGCGAGAATACCACGCGTTCACGGAAGAATAAACCAGCGCCGTCCATGCGTCTGAATCGGGAAGACAGCGGCTCATGGAGATTTAGTCCCATCCAGTCGACGGAATCAGCGTCCGTCTTCCGACCGCCTGCCCACGCTAATCCGCCGTTTGCGCAGCAGGAGAAACGTAAGCACTATTCTCTGCCGGCGGCTGATGGCTCGCATTACGGGGGAATGTCATCGTCGTTCTCCTCCGAGAGCCCCTACGGGTACCACCATCAGCCCGCGTATTCAGGGGGCCATCATCATCCGTCGGTGACGTCACTGTCGCCCTTCCATCCCCTGTCGACGGAACGCGCGCTGCCGTTTGATTTGTCGAATCCCTACGCATCTCGGCCCCTTCCCAGTGGGAGCGGGGTACGGGGCCACCATTTATTACCCGTGGCCAAGCCGAAAGCCAGGAAGTCCAAGCACAATGAGTCGTTTCATAAAAGCGCGCCACAGTTGTTTCCCATGCCGCCGCCAATTCGTAATTTCGTTCCCGGGATGACGAAAGATAGCGCGGATAAAATGAAGCCTCCGGAGAAAATCAGGAAGAAGCCAGGACCAAAGCCGGGCAGTAAAGCGGTGGTAAATGTGCCCATTATCAAAGTGGATGGACGGTGGAAAGCGGTGGAGGATACACACCACACCCGCTTGATGGATTTAATTAAATTGTAAATATCGAGTTTATTTACGCTTTAAATTACTACATAAATCAGACCATTTGTTGTGTACAGGAAACCGGGAGAGGAAGCGGAATTCGAAGAAGAACTGAGCTTAAATTTGACCCGTGGGAATAAACTGAAGACGCATTCTGCTGGTCGATCCATGAAGAAAGAGATTAAACGGCTCAGTTCTCTGCGTTCAGGCCGTCGTAAGTTTTACTTTAACACACTTAACTAGAGAGTGCAAACATTCAAAAATTATTTCTAAATAAGCCGTTATTTCTTTGACAGGAGAGGAATTCGGTATCAAGCCTGACAGTCCGGCAAGTGACGGCGATGTAAACGGTGGTCAGGTACGACTACGCGTTGCGCAATGTGCTTGTCAGATAATTTTCATTTCGTAATTTGGTTTTTCTTGTAGGGGGTGAAAGTTATTGCCAAAGTACGAGTCGGGGCTGCTCCCGAGGAACGCTATCGCAGACCAATAATGTCCAATCCGGATTCGGAGATTTTTGAGCAATACTATAGCGCGAAAAAACGTATTCAGACCACATTAAAACGTGCCAAACCGCTCACGATGATGCGACGGTCTCCGACATCCAAATTAAGTGCCGTCCTGTCCCGCAAGAAGGATGAGTCCAGTGGTCACCACCAGGCGCTTTTTAGTCCTTTGGGAATAAATTATCCAGCTTCGGACTGGGGTCAGTTTTCTATTGACTGCAGATTTCTAGCAGAGTTTTCAGTTAACATAGTAAAACCGTTGTTGCATAAGTGGGTTTCAAAATGTCGTTATTAGCCAACAGCCAAGCAATTATTTTTTACAAAACAGTTAATTTTTTGCTAAATGCGGCAGTGATGACAGTTTACTACAATATTATCGAATACTTAATTTAATTTTTGTAAATACCACATGACCAGTGACCACTAATGCTGTGTGCGTATCTAATGATATCTATAGAAATTTAGGAATTAATAATGGCTGAACTGGAAGAGGCATAGCGAAACAAGTGCTTTCTGTTAGTAGGTCGAGCTGCGTTCATGCCTGCTGGAAAGTTAGCTCGCAGTCCTCGTTTGACGGACGAGTACGACATTTTGGGCAGTTTACCATCAGTCAGTTCAACGCCATCGTACGCTAATTCCGACACTCAGCTGAGTGAATCAGATGCCGACGAGAATCGAAAAAAGATTCTGGTGCAACTACAAAAGCTAAATGATAAGCGCGCCCGATTGGAGGCTCAGTTGACCAAGATCCAACGGAACAGCGGAGCTCCCGTACAACCACCTGGACCCTCTGCATACGAACCTACGAATTTACCAACCCTGCATGTACGTTATTCGGTCTTCTGTGCGTGCTAATTCGTGGTATCTGGACAAATGTTCTTTTCAGGCAAAACCAGCACGTCCGCCTCCAGAGTCATTTCCGGGGGTCAATGTGGTGGAGGTTGTTCCGCCTCGTCCTCCTCCTCCTCCACGCGATTACGTCAGAGAACAGTGGAAGATTATCGCCATGAAGTTTGTTCCTATGGCGGTTCGAATGCGCAATATTCGTAAAGCAGAGGCCAGGAATTGCCGCGCTAAGGTAAGCAGTGGCATTTGTTACTGCTGTTATGTGAATCTGTACTTTCAGAAATTTTTCATCTGATGCCGCATTGCTTGAGAGTTGAGGTTTTTCGTTTTGAATTTCTTGCTTAATATAATTTAATTACAGATTTTGTTTTAAGCCTTTTTTTAAACTTTAAATTTATGGTGGTTACCAACATTGCTGGTACGCTGTTGAAGAATGAATAAGTAGACTCCTCGACATGTGTGGAACGCCGATGGTAAAAGCGAGGCTGCCGACATAATATATACGTAGACCTTTAAAGTTACTATGAGTTTGGCTACTCTGTCTGTAGTTATAAGAGACACTTCCTACTGCCTTATAGATCAACGCGGCATGTTTACGGGAGCATGCCGATAATCGGCTGGAATCCGAACGTTTAGCAATGGAATACGTACAGCGCTGCAAATTCCTTGTGCGCGACATGTTTGCTCGGTGGAAAGTGATCGATAAAGAAGAGCGGAAATACAAGCGATTGCAGGAACGCCAAGAGGTCGAGCAGAAGCGCATTGATTTGGAAATGCAGGAGGTTGGTCATGGGCATACGTACGATGTAGCTAATTATAAGGCCGGCGAAACAACCATGTTGTTCTTTATGGAATGGGCGGATAAGGGTAGCTGCGAATAAGGTTAAAAGCGGCTTTGATTTACGCATGTGTGAGTAATACCGGACCTAAAATACCGAAATTCGTAATATTAATTATATCCAGCTCGAAATGGTCTGCTTAGTCACAAAATTTAATCATATAAGAACGTATTGTGGACGTATTGCATGAAAGGCATTTTCAGATACCAATGCAAAAACTTTTGATGCGGTTTAATTCAACTTTTATTAAACAGATTTATAATAAATATCAAAATCTGCACCTATCAGTCTACTACCACCGTCACAAAATGGTTTATTTGCAGGCTCGGCGGCAGCAGCGCAAACTTAACTTTCTGCTGACACAGACAGAGCTGTATGCCCACTTTATGGGCAAGAAAATAAGCGGCACAGCCGATGCTGATCCAGTTGCCGATCCAAGTGCAATTTTGCAAAAACTAGAGGAAGCAGAAAATGACAGCGAGCAGAAGGAGGAATCGGAGGAACCGGATCCGACTACCTTACTTGGTATATGCGAATGCAAACTGTTTATTAATTTGCGAATGCGAATGCAAACTGATTAATTGTTCTTTTTCTGCGCAGTTGGCACCAAAGGCAAAGAAGAAGCGGTGAAGAATGTCACCCAAGCCGTTGAAATCAACCGCAAAAGGGTACGATAAGAATTTCTAAGGTACAAAGATTTTGTTTTCCAAGGATTTGGTTATTGCTCTAGATGGCTAATTTTAACGAGGATGCTGGCATTGCAATCGAGGCGGCTGGGATGAAGTTGTCGGATGACAAGATTCTTTCAGAACCGGTGATGTTTGATGGGGAGTTGAAAGGGTATCAAAAAAAGGTGTGGTTATTACTGTAGTGGAAGGAATGACACTGAAAGATACTTTGTAGCAGACTTCATAAGGATTTGCTTAACAGGGTGTATCCTGGCTGGCCAGCTTATTTTCAAATGGCATCAATGGAATTCTGGCTGATGAAATGGGGCTCGGGAAGACAGTACAGTCCATCGCTTTTTTGGCCCACGTAGCTGAAGTATGATGAATTTTGTCTTCAGCGTAACAACCGATTAACTGGACTGCATTGGTAGGAATACGGTATTTGGGGACCATTCCTTATTGTGGCTCCGGCTTCCACATTGCACAATTGGCAACAAGAGTTCCACCGTTTCGTCCCAAAATTTAAGGTGAGATGCAATGATCATGAGTGTTAAAATTTTGGTGTAGGTTGACGTGCATAGGAATATACCATCCAGTAATTGCAAATTAGAACTAACAGTACACCCATAGGTTACTGTGATGCACAATTGCTGCAGTATGGAATGAATGTACATATGTTGGCAGGTTGTTCCGTACTGGGGAACTGCGGACGAAAGAAAAATATTACGGCAGTTCTGGAAGGCTGATAAGATGCACACGGAGCAAGCCAGCTTTCATGTTGTCGTTACGAGCTATCAGCTGGTAGTTCAGGATGCACCATATCTGAAGAAGTTAAACTGGCAGTACATGATCCTGGATGAAGCTCAAGCGATCAAAAGCAGTACTAGGTTAGTCAGATAATGGCTATTAATGGATTCAGTCTTTCTTATTTAAGATGATCTACAGCATTCGATGGAAACTGCTATTGGATTTTCCATGCCGAAATCGGCTGTTACTTACCGGAACACCTATCCAAAATTCGATGGCAGAAGTAAGTTCGGGATCTTTTCCGTGCTGCGCTAAATACTCCAGTAACAAGCTTTCAATTGACTCTCTAGCTTTGGGCGCTGCTGCATTTTATTATGCCTTCCCTTTTTGATTCTCATTTGGAATTCAGTGAATGGTTTTCGCGCGACATAGAAAGCCATGCTGAGAACAAATCTCAGATTGACGAAAGTAAGCCTGAATTCGCAGGTCGAAGCTGTTTGAGATGTTTATACATGAGCTTTTTTTTGCAAACAGAGCACTTAAGCCGACTGCACATGATCCTTAAGCCATTTATGATGCGAAGAATCAAGCGTGATGTCGAAGAAGAGTTATCGGACAAGGTATGGGAATAGGGGTGCTAGTCTGGCTGTACTGGATCAAAGACCGGTAAGTGTATTTATTTTTGGTGTGAATTGCAGATCGAAATCATGATGCATTGTCCTCTCACCCGTCGACAACAAATGTTATATGAAGCCCTTAAGCACAAGATTTCGATTGATGATCTCCTGTACTCCTCGTGTTCTTCTGTAACGGCGTCCAGTGAAAGTACAAGCACGTTGCTCAACTTGGTCATGCAGTTTCGAAAGGTATTTGTTACGCTTAAACCATATGTTCGAAGTGATTTTTCCTTTTTTCATTTTAACATCGATTCTAACAGACTGTGATGACTAGATATAAATTAACCGAATAGCATTTGGGCCATTTTTAACTGTAGCTGCCATTCACAAGATAATTTTGTTGTTACAGTAGTTAGTAGGCATGTGCTGTGGCATATCTATCGTTCCTCTGTGAATATGATTGTAATATTTATCATTTGTAAAATAAATATGGGTTTTATGTTAAAGGTGTGTAATCATCCGGAACTCTTTGAGCGCCGTGATGTTCGTTCCCCTGTCTTTTCTGGCGGCATCGAATGCAGTGTTCCTAAATTGGTGTACAATGACTGTAAGGAATCATTGTGGTGCTAATGTTTGGGCGTCTGTTTGACCGGATGGTTAAGCCATTAAATTTTTGTTTAAAGGTGTCCGGCAGGATGACTTAGCTGCGAAACAGTCGATCATTCATAAATACTTCTTGCTGTCATCCCCAGCCAATGTAAGGCATACTCGTGTGGAAAAAGAACAATCAAAAGGTGAGTTGTGATTTCGTTTCTTCATTTACATGCTACAAAATGTTGAGCGCTTTTCAGGGCCACTTAGCTCGATATTGTCGTTTTGCCGATTTTATCCAGTGGATGAATGCGATATTGAAAAGACTTTCCGTCTTGGCTACGCCCACCTGTATGCTAGATCCCAGGCTCACAGCTGGTTGTTGCGAATGTGTGTTTAGTTATGATCATTTTGCAGGTTAACAGCTAGAGATAAACTGGAATCTGTGCGATCGACATCGCTTATGAAAGACGTCTTTGGTTCTGAAAAAACGAGGTTTGTAGGAGAATAACTGTTTTTATGGGGATCTAGAGTTAAAATATATAGTAATATATAGTAATTAAATATATATATAGTAATTAGATAGATCTATAGTAATTATATAGTAATAGATATATAATATATAATATATACTAATAGATCTATATAGTAATTAAAATGCTTTTTGTTTAAAAGTTTACTGTACCATTGACCGCGTAACATATTTTCTGTTATCCACTTAACTTTATTAGATCGGTATCCGCTCCCAGTCTTCTACTGGATCCATTTCTGGCTCTGTCGCCATCGAAAACATCGGAAATATTTCCTCATTTGATCGTATGGAATGCTGAAATCCATCGCTACGCATATGGCCATTGCCGAATCCACCACATAGCTGACAGCACGGATCAGAAAACGCAGAAACCGGTGGAGCAGCCGGAAGCAGAGACGTTTTCCGCAGGAGACGATAGTCAGGCAGAGGTAGCTGCTTACTGTGGCTGTTGTTTTTCGCGGTGTTGCAGCATCTTATATGTATTTCTTCTCATTTACAGGCTGAGGTGGAGGAGCCGCGTCAACCTCGACTTATTGACACTTATCCTCTTTGTCTGCCCCGGTTTTTTACTTGCTACGTTCCGAAGGTATGCCTTGAGAACGAAGCTGCCGGGTGGGTTATTTGAGAATGGTAGTACATAATGTGATAAGTTCCATTTTTTAGGCGCTTTGCAAACCGTCTTTCATGTATTGTTACGACCGACATGCAGAGTCCGATCAGCAGCTACTGTCGTTACGTAATAGCTCTAACGACAGCCGAGAGCTGCTACTATATGGATCAAAAAGAGAAGCTGAATTATATCGGAAAAATCGTTTTGTATTTAAGCCAGCAAAAATTGGAGGGCTTTTTGGTGTGCGGGAGGAAATGGTGTGGTCACCCCTGGAAATTCCTGGTAAGGTGCTGGATGGGGATCGTAGGGCTGTTATTGTGATTCTTATGGTTTTATAACTACACAACTTCCGTTTGGCGATCAATGGTTGTAGAAAATGTAGAATGCTTTTGTTTGCTCCGCCAGTGTTATCGTAGTCAGGACAGATAAGCGACTTTGCATCTTGGCTTTACAGATAAACAACATTTGGTTGTGGATTCCGGGAAATTGCGCGTTTTGGATAGTTTATTGCACAGACTGAAAGACGAGGGACATCGAGTTTTAATCTACTGTTTAATGACAAAGATGATGGATATTCTGGAAGAGTTTATGGTGTTCAAGCGGTATCCGTACATTCGCTTAGACGGGTCATCGAAGATAGCCGAACGGCGCGATATGGTTCATGACTTCCAGTCACGGGATGACATATTTGTTTTTCTGCTGAGCACCAGAGCCGGCGGTTTGGGTATCAACTTGACCGCGGCAGATACAGTAGTATTCTATGATAGCGACTGGAATCCGACTGTGGACCAGCAAGCCATGGACCGGGCGCATCGTCTTGGCCAGACCAAGCAAGTCACAGTGTACCGGTTGATATGTCGAAATACGGTGGAGGAACGCATATTGCAACGCGCCCAAGAAAAAAGCGAGGTACGATTGTTATTTCTGCGAAATCTTGAACGGGATAATGCGCTATTTTTGAACATTAAAAAATGTTGTTTCAAGACACGAAATCTGCTTTACCAAATCGAAATGGGAGAAGTCACTAAATCTTTCTGTCATTTGTTGTCTAGAACGCTTACAGCAACCATTGCATATATATAGAGTGAAGTAAATAAAGTGAAATTTATTAGCCAGTTTTATGCGTGGAATAAGTTGTAGTGTTTTGTGCTAACAGATCCAGAGAATGGTCATCAGCGGTGGAGATTACCGACCGGATACGTTACGCCCAACGGAAGTTGTATCCCTACTGCTGGACGACGAAGAAATTAGATCACGATGTAAAAGAAAATTAAATGGCTTTTATTGTGAATACTCAATAATCGGTTACGTGTTGGTAATTTTCCTTTTTGCAGTGCGCCAGCGAGAATCTGAAGGCAGACCGAAAGAAACCGGACAAAAAAAAAGTGCCTCCAAATCAAAGGCATCGAAGCCGAAAACCGATAGCACGAAAGTAGGTTGGAATCTGTTCCGCGGCACAGCCTTGCGTCGTCAACCTATTTTGTTTTGCAGAGTAAAAAGAAATCGAGTAGTAAAAGGAAGATAGCAGATGTCAATGCGGATGCGGCGGATAGTGGTTCGAAAATCAAGAAAAAGAAAGCCACATCCGCCACCGGCACAAGCGTCGGTAACACTGAAACGAGTACACCGGAGCCGGCGACTAGCAGCACCAGTAACAGTACGTTGACTACGTTCCATAGAAATCAACATCTTTCCGGTAATAATTTAACGCTTTTGATGTGGTGTAATTTTTTGTGAAAATTGCCTACAGAAAAGTCGAAATCAAAGGTTTCCAAAAAACCGAATGCGGTGCCAGTCCCTAGCGAAAGCGAACTCGGTAATACCGAAGTTCATCAGGGGAAAGACGATGACCTTCTTGGCACTGAAGTGGCTGCTACATCGTCGCAGTCAGCGGCATCTGTGGAGGCTTCCATTCCTGCCCCAGATGTTAAAGTGTCGGCAAAAAAGGCCAAATCGAAGAAGTCAAAAGCGGAGAAATCCGTTACGCAGGACACACCAAAGAAAGGTGCCAAACGCTCTCGGGATATGGCAGACAGTGCCCTCGAAACAGTTCGAACGGAAACTGTGAATAGTTCCGGTAAGGACATCCATGATATTTCATTACTGAAAAAACCTCGCTGCATTATCAGTTCTACCGCCGATGTATTTGCGGACCATGTTATTTTGTAGTCGAAACTAACGGAAAGCATGCCGCAAATCATAAGAAGTAACTGCAAGCACGACTGCACGTTGGATTTAAAAACCATCGGTGGGATTTCTTGCCGAACTGTTTCGGTCTCTGAATGGTGATTTAAAATTACCTGTCTGAAACTGTATATGGGTTCGCTTGTTATGACGGAGGGTGTGAAAATGTGGCTGTGAGAGCTTGATTTTTCTTATTACGATCTCCTGTCTGTTTTTGTTTCAGTTTTAAAAATCATTTCCAGTATTAACATACGGACTTTATTAAAGGTTTAAATCATCATAAAAACAAACCACTTACAAAATAGGTCTCAATGACATCAACATAATTAACATTTGTAACACTATTTTTGGAAAATGGCTCACAAAACAGCAAGGCCACGATCCTGTGCATCATCTGCCGACAACATAAACGAATCTCTCGGACTGGCTGCGTTCACTCCAGCTTGCCACAAGGTCCGTAGACGACTATCAGAATTTGAACAGAAACTCCGGAAGTCGGCTAGCATTTTATCAAGAAAGGCTTCATCACCTAAATCAAAACCGCGTGCATGAGCAACAAACTGCGGAACATCAAAAAGGGAAAAGCAGGACGCACCAGTATTGGCTGTACGCCACTTCTTAGTAAGACAGCTATTCCAAGCCCACCAAAACCCTATTTCCGTACGATTATTAGGCAGTCCACAGTCACCGGCACCGGCTTGTTCCGTGGTAGATCCTGTGTCGCCAAGTTCAACGTTGTTTTGAGCGGGAATCATGACAAACATTCCTCCAGTAGTGTGCACATATTCGCGCGACTGGCTTGCAACATTTGTCCTTTTGGCATTATCTTGTAAATGAATAAAACCGAATTTCTGCAGTATCAATTCTTGGAAAAGCACGGTGCGCAAATAACGACTTTCCTCCGGACAGTCTGCAAAAGCAATTGACAGATTTAATCGGGTTGAAGTTCGGCGTAGAAAGCAGCCTAAACACGCGGCACACGTTTGCTCATATTATTCCGTAATTTTATATTGTATTTTGATTGAAGGAATACATTACTAAAGAAAGGTAAAATGAATATACCATGGAATAATACGGTCTCCGAGGTCAACACCTGCCATTCCAACGGCACGAATATCGGCATCCGAAGAGGATCTGAATTGGCTTTATACGGCAGCGCAAAAGGATCAACGGGAACCGGAACTAAATGAAAACCCGAAGCCGGACATTTTCGCGCCCAAAACTGGATCATATCGCCAAACATCGGACCAGATGCCTGAATCCATTTTAGTTCGATTTCGAAAGCACACTTCGGTGTGAACGTATGGTGGTAGTTGGCTACAGCCCATTCCAGACGATCGCTTTTGTGATTCATATCCACGTCGATCACCGAGGATTTCTTTTTATGCAATGGGTAGTCAGGTAAATCTACCTGCAGAGTGTTGAATTTCGGATCCGGTTTCAAGTATTCAGGAATAGCCGGCGAATTTGCATGTGCTGATGGGCGTTCTTTATCGCAGTTAAGCAGGGCACACTCAATCCAAACTTGAGAGAATTCCACATCAGAGTTAGCCGCATCAAAACCTGTTAATTAGTTTACGGTAAACACCACGTTATGGATATTTCAAACAGCTGTAGAAAGCCAACAAACGTAACACCCACCTGTATTAGGGGCTTTGTGATCGACAACACAATATAGGTAAAAACCCGAAATAAATGGGAAATTCGGATCTCCACAAGCATGGACAATCAGACCCTCTCGTAACATTTGGGAAAATAAGCAGATCGCTTCCTTGGTATGGATTAACAAATTATCTATGGCCCAATCGACTGCCTCGTAACTAAGAAAGCAGTTCACAGGCAGATCTGGTTGTTTGGGAATAATGACATTAAATGTAGTCTGCTTCATGGCGTCCAAAATATTGGTCAGCGAGGTTTTAACGGTCGGCGGAGCTGTTCTCACCGGGCTCCCTAAACTCTAAAACAGGAATAAGAAAAATTTAACAGTTAATAATTCTGCAATAAGATTCCTGTTACGCTTTCGGGCACACACTCACTTGTGCTTCGGCCGAAACTGTATCAGGTGATGGCGTATGCGACACCTGCTTCAGCTGCTCCAAGCAGGCATAATAGCTGATAGGAGAGTCACTTTTGGGTGTGCCACTGGCTGATTGCAGATCCGGAGTGGACATGGCGGCAGGATTGGCACCTTTATGAAGAGGTTTCATTGTGGCTATTGCAGGGCGTTTAATGGTGCTTTCGGCACGACGGTTGCTTTTAGAGGGTCTCTTGATACGATTAACTACTTCCATGATTCGCACAAACCCCTCGCATAGTTCGTCACAGGGCATACTTTCGAATTTACAACAATCAGAGCTGGAAGAAAACAGTTTTCCCATAAAATTATTGGCAGTTGCAAGCATAGTTGTGAGATCGTACTTGGGATCCGAATCTTCTGCTATCTTCTTGACCGCTGGGTTGCACGGCAGCAAATAATATTGCCCTTTCCAGTATTTCATGATCTGCACCGCATTATTTGGTTACAAATCAAATGGAAACATAACAGAAATAAAAAAATAATATTTAAATGACTTACGGAGTCAAGGGTAAATTCTCCGCGCCCTTTAGTAAGCACACAAAAATCCATGTAATTCCAGTTGAAGTTTTCCAATCGCTCATGCGAAAATTCAACCAGAGAGACTCTGTAGCTCATCATATCGGGTACCATAAACCTAATAAGCATACCATGCATAACGTCGGCTGAAATCCAAATTATTTCAAGTGCAATGATTTCCGTACCGGTACTGATATTTCACGCAAGGAATTCTATACAAATGTCGTGGCGTAAAACGTGTGACGGTTATACTCGATTGATACAAAGTAAGTTCGTGGATTACTCGACCCAAGGAGAGATATGTGATAGTCTGCAATACAACAACCAGCACAAATCACTATCTATTAACTGCAGCGTTTTACTTGTTGTGTGACTAGATTTCATTTATAGACCAGCAGCAGCTCATTTTTAGGTGGCTCTGTTCAGTCTGTTGTATGTAACAAAAATTTCAGAAAATGCTTAATACTCAATGGTTAATACTCAACTGCGTACTACTCAATTCTGAAATTGCTCAATACTCAATGGTTAATACTCAATTTATGTAGCTTAATAATACCGTGCTTTTTATCGGACATTTATTGAACGGAATGTGGCATACCGGCCGCTGCATGTTCTGTTGGGGACCTTTATGCCCGGCCAGTTTTCCGGCAATAGTGGGAACATCATCAGGCTTCATGTTTTTGCGAGGAATTATTAGCTGGAATCCCTGCTGCAGTCGCTGACACACAAGTTCTTCGTACAGCTCTTTTAAGGCAAGCGGTCTCGAACAATACCGACTGTTATCGTACATATCCCGATTTCCACTAAAACAAACAGTTCCCTAAACGCTTATCTTAACAGCGTTTAAACACAAACCCCATTTGCATACCGGTTGGATGCTTCGCTCCAGCCAGCTCCTTCTTCTGGGATCACGCTGTAGTCGGATATAAGGTAGTCGTTCTGTAGTGTTCTCCGATCTGGCAGATAATCTGTGGTAATGGGCAACGAAGCTGGAATCGTCAACGCTTTCCAGTCCACACCTAAATAAATTTGCTCGGAGTAAGAGCTGAGTATTTATTAGTGCTGAAAATTTTGGCCAGAAACTTCCATGTCCTCAATTCCACACGCAAGTTGTGATACAACAATCATGTTAGTTTTTATTATGGTTGCCGACTTTTGACCTTTCTAAAACCACCTGCGAACGCTCGCCACGTTGTCTATATCTAAAATTAGTCAAAATTACCGGTTGTCAGATTAGGTGTCCACTCCATCTCACCAGTAATACCCCAGACGTAGTTTTTACTAGTGGATGCTTTCTTTTTCGGCTCAGCGCTCCATATCTGAGATCCCGAGGGAGCGGGACTGCCTCGGCCAATATCCTCTTTTGTCCAGCCATTTGGCTATAAATTGCACGTCAATTAAATACGACTATTTCCAGCGACCATCCATTAATCTCATGCATACTTTCACTTACGTTATGGCGAGGGGATCGGATGGAGTCTATTGCCGTGGAATCGTCATCGGCTATGGAATTGTCATCAGGATCGCCACTACTGACCCAACTTGATATGCGATCAGTTTCGGCAGCTTTAAAAAAAACCGAATCAACTACAGCTGAGACACTGGACGATTTTTGCCACATTCCCGGTACTTACCATCCTGCCGCCTGGGTTTTAGATGTGGGGAATCAGTATCACGAAGTGATTCACTAATAGGACTTTTGGATAGTACTTCTTTAGAAAGGTCTGATACATCTTCGGAATGCGATGTGGCACGGCGATGGTGAGTTTGCACGGCTGCACCGGATGGATCAGTCGGAAAAATATGCACCCAGCGACGTCTATAAATATGCAGAATGAAGAGGAAATCAATGGCATCATCCACTGAACGTACCTATTTGATGTCAGCTTCACGGGGATCTTCGACGGAGCCAAAGGATTGATAAGCGAGCGAGGATTTGGTGATTTGTTCGTTCTTCGTTTCGGTTCAGCCGAGCGCTCCAGGTTTAAGTTTTCAATGGACCGGCTGCCGCTGCCCAGTGCATTCGGGCGTAATGCTGATCGGCAAACAAACATATTTTCAAAGTAAAAATCAGCAGAATAAAAGGGAAAGAAAAAACGACTTACGGTTTGCTGTTTCCAAAGATGCAGACAACAACATAGGATACTTCTCATGCGCTTCCCCGCTCAAATGTAAATCTGCAGCGGTTTCCTCGTAAATTACCGAAACTGCGGTGCTTTCAGACAGCCGTCTTTCCGTTTTAACCCGGCTTCGTGGACGTTTACCAGCAATCGGTCGGTTCCGCGGTGTCCATCCATCGTCGCCATCCAACCGACCAGGCCCGTCGGAAATTGACGATGTATCGAAAAATGGCTTATTCTGAACAGCCTGCAAAGTTTTTTCCGATATCCGAATGCGCGGCACGAATGTATGCGGATTCGCACCCTTGGACGTATAATAACTGTAATTCAGCCAGTTGGGAATGGCATAAACTGCCGGTTCATCACCGGTGTGGTTGGCATTGCGCTGCTTGTTGTGAAGAACAAACAGCGGTACGACGTGTAGCGGCTGCTCGCCCATGAATACCAAATCGTTACCAATACCGTAATCGATAGATTTCTGTTTGGTTAATGTGAGCAACTCACGGTCCACTTCGAACACTCCCGTGGACGGAGTAATGACCACGCACATCTGACCAGTGCGCTCGAAATTTCGGTCGGTTGTGTGCTTCTCGAACACGTTCAATCCCATGTTAAGCACTTCCAGCACATTTCCTTCCGCAGCAGTGCTGTTGTACGCGCGCGGCAATTTCACACCAGGATGCGCGTGAAAATTCAAGACCGACTCATTGTACTCGTGAAATAACGTTTTCAGCTTAACCAGGACAAACCGCCAATCGTCGTATTTTTCGTTTTGGACCACAATTCTGAAAACAAAGTTGGTCAAAAATTTCGCAGTTTCGACTGCATACAGATTTCCACTTCTGTACGGATACAAAATCAAGTGAGAAAAATTATAAAGAAGAACAAGCACTTCTATGAAAATACGAAATATCAGATTTGCTTCATTGTCCTTGTAAAATCGGATAGTTAGCAATTACCGCAATGTAGGTAAGTCAGTTACTTCTCAAGAAAATATAATCTCCATTCCAAACTGCGAATTCTCGGTTTACCGGTAAAAATCTTCGTAAAATCGCCCTTTGTAATCGCGCAGTAACCCTTCTCTCATAGCGCAAGGGAAATCGTCCAAAGTGGTTGCTTCATAGAATGTCCGAGAAAATAAGACAATCGTCACATCATGGTTGGCATTCTGGTCTCTCCACCGGTCGAGCAAGTCTGTGAGGAATCCTTTCACTGATTTCTCAAAATACAGATCACCATAAAAATCAAATTCCCACATTTCAACGCTCAGCTGGATGAAGATAAAAACGTTGGCTGTCAGCGAACGGTACACGATTCGGGTATTTTCACCGATCGTTCCCGATGCCACCCGTGTGCCTTTAACCCACATCTCATGAACGGTGGTGCGTCCGAAACCGTGTTCAATTTTTCTAAACAACTGTACACAGGATCCAACAAGAGCGTTCCTGTATCGCCACATATCGCTCCGACTAAAATACTGGTCCTAAAACACGGGAAAAATTCAATTCCGATAACTTAAATATAATATGAATATCCCAAAATAAAACTAAATTTATTATTAATGGCGAATAATACAATTAGCTTGGAAGTGATCTAGATAGTACTTAATTTTAAAACCAGCCGTTGATAATCCATTTTTATACAACAGAATAAATAGAAATAACCAAAACTTAAACTGCGTTAAGTAAATAAAAATTATTACGTAATAAACTATAAAATTTTTATAATTTTTTTCGAGTCAGTTTATCAGATTTGACAGATACAATCAGAAAAACTTCTAAAGCCAGAAGTATTGCCAACCTTAACAGTGAGCTCCAGCAGGTCCAGCTCGACATCTTTGAAAGCAACGGAATTAACAACAACATCACGGTACGCCCGCAGCTGGAACGTCTTCGCAATTGACTCTTCGACAGATACTCCATCTATTCCAGCAAACAAAATTACGACATTATGTGCTTGTAGGGCTTATAATTTTCGAAGAAAAGCATACGAGAGCTGTTGCAGACATACTGTGTGGAGCATCGTCTTTCAGACTTCGTTGTTTGACTTGCAGCAGTAACCGACTGAATGAGTCCTCTTGATCGTAAATCTCCACAATATCACCTGTCTTCAGGTCTGGATGATCCCTGGGATTCAAGTACAAATCCTCCAGTTCCTTGTGCTCATCTGCGCAGGCCCACAATCTGCACTGTGCAGCAAGGAACAAGCACAAAAACAGCAACACTCACCAGCGTGTCCATGCCGCGATGCCGTGCTGCGGGAGTGGATCTGCAATTTGAACAGCTTGGGTGGCTTCATTTTGCCAAGAAATCAATAACAGACGTTAAGGCATTTAATAACAGGTTTTCTGCTGCTTCCTGTGCCTTTCAGGACTTGACTTAACAAACGCTTTAACGATATAGTGCAGCTTCAATAACGACAAGCATTCAGTTTATTTCCACATCGTCCATAGTGCTTCCATCTTTCTGTTTGTTTTTTTTCACAACAACTTCGAGAAACAAACAAGTCAGCTGTTCGTGAGTAGCACATGCGAAGAGGAAAAGCCGTCCAACCACCCAGGGCGCCGGCTCGTTTCTTTATTTATCGACGCTCTCCTACTCCAGGTACTGAGGTATGCACTATGCACACTTGTACAATGTGGGATTTCTTCTTTTAAGGTCTGATTGTCGTAAATTGTGACCTATTTTTTCCTGCTGACGGTAAAATCTGTTGCATAACCGTTAAGCTACACAGCTCTTATTCACGGTTATTCCTTTAGGTTCAACTAGGACGCGAAACAGAGCTCGTGAGTTTTGCTGGTTTATCACCTTGTCGTGGAAGCTGTCAATACTTAATTTGATTTAATTTTTGTCACCGTTGAGTCGTTGACTACTCTATCTGGCCTCCGCTGCCCATGGACGGCCGACGTAAGAATAAATTTGCCATTCCGAAGCAGCGGGCGAAGCGTCGAGTTAATTCTAAGACAAACACCACAGCACATCCGGAAACGATTCCAGCAGCGCATTCGACTGTTCCCGTATTCACGATGGATAACGTGTACTGTTTCGCTCAGGACGATGCCAACAAAAATCGCTTAACGCCGTGGAAGTATTTCGTCGACCGATCACAGGATGTGGCAGTGTTCTTCCAGATTGAATTGCAGCCGTGTATGCGCGATCTGCCGCAAATGTCCAAAGCTGTCCGCGTGGAGAAGGAGAACGCCAGCAGCCGCCGGGTGAAGGGCACTATTTTTTTGGGCGAACGGCGTATGTCCGATGACCTCGTCAAGTTCGTACTGGGACGGCCGCTGCTAGAAAGCGAGGCTGATTTGGAACTCCTGCTGCAGCACGTTGATCGCTTTCCCTTGGCCCGTGTGTGATGAGTTAGAAATCTCCATGCTGGTCAAACCGCGCCATTTTTGAAAGAAATTTACGTTACCATTTACCATTAGTACTGTTGGGTTCGGCTTACTTGTAAGTTTACTGTATTCGTAGTGTGCATACAAATGTTTTGTTTTTTAAGTGCGCATTAAGTATTATACGGCTGCATGAGTTTGGTACGTATGTTTCAGCGGTCGTATTATATTCCAAGTTTACTGTTTAAAGGTAAATAGTTTATTATTTTCACTATTTTTATGGTAAGTACTGCATTGTGGCTGTAAATTGCTGGCTTTCGCTTGCAAGCTATCAGTAGGTACATTACTTTTGCAGGAGGCAGTGATTACTTTTTATGTTTGGGAGATTTCTTGCAACAAAAGTCTACGCATTTTGCGGGAACAAACCTGAAGCACGGTGTATCCATTCGGTTGCAGTTGTCGCAATAGGATCGAATATTTCCTGAGTCGGCAGTTGGTATGATGTGAAAACGTACAAAGACACAATAATGATGTGAAAGTAAAAACGTATACATACAAATATAGATATTAGATAATATTATACAATTATTATCTTGTCATATTCTTGTACAATCAGGCTGAATCAGCTTTGGTTGGTGTGATATTTGAATCATAAATTCATTTTGATATCGAATATCGGTGTAACGATGTATAGGTACTGGACTGCTGGTCATACTGGACGTAACTGGAGAATCCGTTAAACTAATAACATAAGAATAGTTCGCTCGCCCGCGTTTCTAATTCAAGACATATTGAGGGTTCTTTAAGACGGGGAGTACCCATGACCTTTGGGTCGCCGCGTGACCTTTGGGTCGCCACCAATTTTCATGGTGATTCCTTTACAGTTTGATGTGCTGAGTCGAACTGAAGTACTCGGGGACCTCGAACCCGGGTCCCCGAGGTCGCCACCACGATATGTACTGCACATGCACAGTTTGACCTGCCGAGTCGACCTGAAGTACTCGGGGGACCTCGAACCCGGGTCCCCGAGGTCGCCACCACGATATCTACTGCAAATGCACAGTTTGACCTGCTGAGTCGAACTGAAGTACTCGGGACCTCGAACCCGGGTCCCCGAGGTCGCCACCGCGATATGTACTACATACGCAGTTTCATGTGCTGAGTCGAACTAAAATGTTTGGGCAGTAACGAGGAGGAGCGCATCTAAGTCTCAAACCCAGCTTCCTAAAAGAGCTGTTATGATATGAACTTCGAAAATATTTCAAAATCCCTACGTGTGAGTACCAACCGTAAGCCCCGATCCAGATCTGATTTCAAGAAAGTACTTTTAAATAATTCTAAATAATTCTAAATAATTCTAAATAATTCTAAATAATTCTAAATAATTCTAAATAATTCTAAATAATTCTAAATAATTCTAAATAATTCTAAATAATTCTAAATAATTCTAAATAATTCTAAATAATTCTAAATAATTCTAAATAATTCTAAATAATTCTAAATAATTCTAAATAATTCTAAATAATTCTAAATAATTCTAAATAATTCTAAATATTTAATTCTAAATAATTCTCTGAAAAATTAAACAGCCAATAGTAACACCTGTGCGCTTCAGTGATTATACGAAGTCCCATTCGACCTCGAACGTTTTTAGAGCGAATCTGGATAATTTTTATTGCTTTTTTCTGATATGGAAACCATTTTTCAAAATTTTTTAAAAAGAAACAATTTCTGACTGCCGGGCTACCTCACGCCTCTCAATTACATTGGGCGGTTGCAGTAGCGCCACTAACAAAACTTTTGTTTTTGCGTTTGAAACATTTTTAATAGGTGAACCAGTGTCGCTGCTGAACAATATTATGTTGTCAGAAATCGTAATGGGCCGAGAAAATTTTTTTTTTGGTTAAAGCAAAATTGTGCAAATCTATCTAAAAATTTTAAATCGTAAAACCCTTCCTTCAGATGACTAATACAATTTTCTGACAACATTTTCAGAATTCACGACATCGATTCACCTAGAAACAGTGCTTAAAACGCAAAACGAAAGGTTTTTTAGTGGCGCCCTTGCAACCGACCAAAGTGTTTGAGGGCGTATGGGGCCCGGCAGTCAGCAATTTTTTCTTCAAACAATTTTTGAAAAATGGTTTCTCTGCTTCAAAAAATGCGTTAAAAAATTATTCCCAAGTCAGATTTGCTCCAAAAAACAAAGTCCCGAGGTGGCCCCCTGTTTTGTATATTCACCGATGCACTTGAATCCTAAATACTCACTTTCAAAAATTTAAATAACTACAAGTCTACAAGCTATTCATTTTACAACATTTATATTGGTCAAATAAACTATAACTTAAAAAGCAAAATAACTGAATAGCCGGAAAAAAGAGATGATGAAAAACTTTAGCAGCTAGGTATGGAAATTTTTAAATACTTAATTTGCTTAACTTTCAGGTCTTTGATTGAGAGAATATCGGATGTAAGAAACTTAGAATACCTTAGATAAAAATATATGTAAAAATTTATCTTCGAGTTGAAACCCAGTGCAGGAAACCTGGTTTCCCACATTTCGTGTGCCGTTTTAAAATGCAATATTAAAATGTAACAAAAGTAATGCGAACTAACATTGAAGAAATTTCAAGAGATTCTAAAATTATGAATGAACGTTTCTAATTCAAAATTCGTAATTAAATAATATTTCATTAAATTTGAAGTGGAAACCAAATTATTGCTCTCAATGTTTATATTATTTCCGAATTTAGTTTTAAATCGTTTTTACTTACAACTGAGCTCCAAAGTAATACTGTGTAAAAAAATAAATTTAAAAGCCAAGCCCTTTTAAATTCAAATTTCTAATCCAATAAGTTACTTTTTGAAATTTATTTTTGCTGATTCGTTAAGTGTACAATCAACTTTTGTATCAAATTCTGTATCTGAATTTTTATCGATTTTTAGAATTCGCAGCAAATTTCCGAGGCATTGTTTTATTCAGGTATGATTCCAAACTGAATAGGTTCTAACTTATCGAATTACGTTTCCTACCTTGCAACAGCGGTCAATCTGAACACAACTTTCGATTGATTTTTAATGGCTACCGCAAGCTTTTGCTCCTAGAAAATGCATATTATATTTTGACTTAATTTTTAACATTGTATCATTTGCTTTCTGCGAATGCAGCGGAAAAACGAACTCTTGCAAAAATAGCTAGATATTTGAATTTTCCTTAAACCTATTCGACAGTTTTTTTCTAATCTGCAGATGACACAAAAGCATGAACACCTTTTGAGCTAAAAAACTTACCCCAGCAATCGATTGAGGAGGTTTTACACGGAAGTAAAAGAAAAACAGTGTCGCTAATTCTTTCAGGTTTTTAAATAATTTTTATATTTCCTGGGAACTATTCTAAAATTGAAAAATAACTGCGCCGTTGTGCGGTGTGCATATTCATGCGCATTTACTTACATGTAATTTTTGAACAAGGTTGTTTATATTCTATAATGAGACCCTTGATATACCGGTTTACTTTAACTTATTGAAATTCCTCCATTTCTATAATTCTCCAACTGGATGATGCGACCACCAACAGCTTTCTTGTGTGTATATCACCGTATATGCAATTCGACAAAATGTCATAGAAGAATGTAAGAAAGTATTATTACGCGAAAGCGAAAGTTTTCTCGGAGTAAAACGTATTAAAAGTATCATGTAGCCTGCGCTTCCGTTAAACTTATACAGAATTTATTAATTTCCAGGATTAATTCTGCAGCTTCAGCGCTTACGTGTTTATAAGATTGTACTTCATACATTCGCTGCCTTATACAATAAAAATTAAAAACCGCCGCCCGCTTGCCCTAAGGGCGTATGAGACCTTATACTAGTAATAAATTAATAGAAGATATCAGCCTTTATACAGAGTAGACTGTTTTGGTGGCAGCTCAGTGACGAAGCACTTAGGCTACGCCACGCGAGCCACTGCACTACACCCATTATATAGCTGCAGCCAATGCCATACATGCGCGGTTATTATCTGTATTTATGATTATTTATTATAATATATATTTATTTATAGTTTAATAGTAGTTATAAATTACTGTTAAATTATCTGTGTTATTACAAAATTATTAACGATAGCCGTTAATGGGTGCTTACCTACATATATTGGGGCTTAACTACGAGCGCTCGTAATTAATATAATGCTGAGCCCAAAAATATGTACGTACCTATTAGGCTAAACTTTAATGCCAAATTTTGTTTATTAATACGTAATTGTAAAAATTAATTATACACTGCAAGTACAAGTGTGGGTACATTATAAAACTCGTTACCAACAGGTGAATACTGTATGCAATACCGCTAAACTGACCGTGAAGTATCGTAAATGCCATAGAAAAGCTGCTTCTCCTATCTTTGAATATTACAGCAATAGCCTGAAGAACACAGGTCACTGAGTAGTGCTTCGTTTTCTTGAGGACATGAGTTCATGTCCGCGTGAGTGGTAAATTCTGACTTCCACAATTGAGAAAGTTAAAGTTGACGCTAATCTTCAGATTGATGTTAAATCGATCTGATGAATCTACAAATTTTGCAGTTTCCCTGATACTCATCATTCATCACGTATTCAACACGTTAAGATCGGTAACTGATTTTTAGTAAGTACTCATGTGAATAGTATCCCGCGAACGGATTGCCAAAGCGAGATTTCGCTTACGTTTGGGCATTACGTATAGGTCCCGCTGTGGGGCTGCCCCTGTTTCTTCCCTTCCCCATCGACAAAACCTTTGACAGTTGATATTCATACGGAATTACAACCGAGTTTAAAAGATGGAAGGATATTACGATCGCGATGCACCTCGTGAACGTCAGTCGGGTGCTCTGCGAACGGGAGTGCGAGTACACCGTAAACATGGTACAAATCTTCGAACGGGCTCAGTTTCATTTCTACGAAAAATGTTTTGGATTAAAACCCTGATACCTTTGCAATGCGGCAGGCGCTGCTCCGTACGCCCGCGTGTTACACATGGACAGGGAAGGAGACGCTCAGATGGGTGAAGGATCCGCCAGCGGCGCTGCCACTCAAAGGTACGTACGCATTTAGACTGGTTCTTAATGGACCCACGGACGATGAAGATTAACTATTTTTTCATCGCGATACAGAGTGGCCTCGTTTAATCCCCGTGGTGGCCAACAGGCTCATCGGAGCCGAAGTCTCTCCGTCGCGCTCCCCGCTGAAAAGAGTAAGTGGAGTTTTCCACCGTTTTGCTTCACGGTTTTTAGCATTGTTCCATTTCCCAGATGTCTTTTCCCGGTTGGGTCCGAAAAATCTCAGAATGGCTCGCGAATCCTTCAGCGTGCGCAATCGTGGTCGGGGAAGACCGTTGTATGGATCGCGACCTCCGGTGACGGCTTGGTTTAAAGTTCGGGTATGGCGAAACGTACTCTTTTAGCATTCGAGATTTTCTGGTAGTTTTATATATTTTTAATTATTTACTGTAATCTGAATTCTGTGGTGAGATTTTCTGGTAGTTTTATTTATTCTTACTTATTTACTGTAATCTCTGAATTCTGTGGTGTTTACGAACTGTTTTCGCAGCTGGTTGGTGCGGCCACAGTGGATAGATCGTGGGTCATGAACGCCATTGGAGACAGACTTTCCGCGGAAAATGTTACGTTCCAGCCAATTCAAGTGCGTTTCCATACGGATTTGTTTCCCACTAAACGGTTTCCCTTCAAAAATTTAACATCTAGGTTGCCGTCGATGGAAATTCTTTAACATTCTTTGTCAAGGACCAAGCTGCTGCAGATAAATTGAAGATGCTGAATAAAGTGATTCAGTTCTCTCATGGGCCAAAGGTATTACTGAGTAATCTGCGTTTATTGTTGGTTTTTTTATACTAATGGTTTTGGATAATAATGTTATCTGGACAGATGCCTATTGGCGTAAATCCTTCGCAAGCTCCCGTTGTACATTTGGATGAATCCGTAAAAGACGCGATAAGGACCGCAATGGGCAAACGATACGACGCAGCAACACGCTCTTTAACTTTGAGCTTGTTTAACGAAGCTCCTGGTGAGTCGGAAAATCCATCTTTGGATGTTAAAGGAATATGTGGTCCGTATTTTTAAAATTCGCGAATTTGGTCGTACCTAGTACAACATGATTGTGGAAGCATGATAGTTCCAGTACTGCCTGACATTATGCATTTGAACGGATACTTCTAACAGATGATTACCGTTTTACTTTAGAGTTCAAAATTGCCAGTCTGAGCATTCAGCTGTCCAGAACTAGTCACATGAAAGCGGTTTTGGAACTGATCGAAACTAATATCAAAGACCTGCACTCTCTGGACCTCAGTAAAAATCGTCTGACGCAGTTGATGGACTTTTTTCGTTTGGCTGACAAAGTGCAGTTGCATCAGCTGAACCTCAGTGATAATGCGATTCGGAATATACGTGATGTGGAGCTGCTGCGCTCTTTTACCCACCTCGTGGATCTGGACTTAAGTCGGAACCCCATTCGGGATGCGTATCGTGATACGCCCGCGTACATCGAGGATGTACGTAAGAAGCTACCCAACCTGCTGAGGTTAGACGGTGTAGATTTGCCGAAGAAAATTGGATTTGATGCGCCGACGCGTGTCCAACTCCCGGTACCCACCCAGTTCCATGCGCCAAATGAACAGGCCAAACAGCAGCTTACAACTTTCATACAACAGTACTATACGTACTTCGATGGAAGACGGTCAGAATTGTTGGGTGCCTATTCGGATGATGCGCAGTTTTCCCTCTTCGTCCCGAAATTTCAGGACAAGTAAATTAAATAGCCCTTTCATATGGTTGTATTCTGGTGTGTAAAAAATTGTCGGTTATGTAGGAGCTCGGGTTTCTTTCCCCATAGCCGAAATTTGAACTTTGTCGTCGACAGTGCCACTCGCAACGTTAAATTGTTGCTTGGAAGGACATCCATAGTCGAATTCTTTAGCAAATTGCCTGCCACTGCTCATGTCCCGGAATCGTTTACAGTGGATGTGTTTTTCAACGAGGTTTGTTAAATTTTTTTAGCTTGTTGTTTCCAGGTTAAAATAAATATGTCTGAATTGATGAATCGTTAAACTGGGCTTCGCAGCTCTGAGTAATTTTATCGATCGAGCGATATATCCGAAAAGCCCTTTTTTCGTAAAAAAACGCCAAATATAGTTTATTTTGAAGTTGTAGTCGACTTTGCTGTACACATTTAACGTTAACAATGTGCTGATGTTAAATGTGTACGAGCTCAGCTGGTATTGTTATAGGCTTGGTAGCATCAGTTTGTGAAATATCATGTTTTCTCTGCAGAATGCCTTGGTGGGATTCATGGTGACTGGTGTTTTTCGAGAAGGTAAGATTGAGAGCTCGATTTGACATTTGACTTATAATTGAGGTTTGTGTTATTACTCGTATAGAGCAAAACAAACACCAGCGAATCCGTTCGTTTTCGCGAAATTTTGTCGTTGTGATATCAGATGAAGGGTGAGTTCGTATCGAAATACCGGATGTTTTTGGTTAGAATTAATTTACTTGAATAATTCATTATGCTGTATTAGGCTGCGAATCCTATCCGATACCTTGACAGTCAGCCAGGCTTCCCCCGAGCAAGTTAATCAGTTCAGTCAAAATACGCCTTCGGAGAAGCCTTCTAGCAGTGTTGCTACACCTGCAACTACTGTACTTGACGAACAGACGAAATTGGCCATGATAGTTAGTTTTGCCAGTCAGAGTGGAATGAATGAGCACTACAGTCGATTGTAAGTTTTCTGTCAGCTAGTGCGATGGAAATTGTGTAACTGTGGCCTGTGGAATACTGCGTGTTCTGTTGTTGTAGAGCGTTGGAGGACTGGAACTGGGACTATCCAAAAGCTGGTGCTGCTTTCTTGCAACTCAAAAGTGAAAATAAACTTCCCCCGGAAGCCTTCGTAAAATAGCAGCAAATTGAATAAGTTATGTTTGACTCTGTTTGGAGGACTTACAAGCTGTTGCTTTGACTTTGCCTTCGTGCGCTGTTGATAGTAACCTGATTTTTATTTTGTCAGACTTTCATTTACTCAGTGACAACGTTTTTTGCATGGACTTCGGGGAAAAAATAGATACATAGCAGCCAACGCTTTGAGTATAACTACGAGACACGATACAAAAACAGCTGTAATTCCGGAAACAAGGGCTAGAAAAGGTAATTGTGCAATAAATGTAATCGCCGAAGCATTGCAGACGTCGGAATAAAAAACTCAGAACAATTAAGAAAAAATAATAGAACCGGTCAAATCCCGAATATTTTTCATCACAAGTATTATGACGCAACGCACTGGGAATAAAACCAACCAATACATGATAAAATTGTGAACGGCTCGAGTGATTTCGAAATGGGACTGACAGGCTGTTCATCGGGTATAATACACACGATAGTATAAGGTTTTTGATCGCCACAATGAGAAAGAATTGTCGAACTTTAACAGATAAACGCCCTGGCGAGCCGGATACAAATGACTACCGGCGATAACCTCTTCATGGCAATCGCGACGATACACCGGCAAAATCTCATCCACCGGTGGGCCAGTCTGGCCTCCATTGGGACCACCCTTTTCTGGATCATTCGGACTGCTTGGCGCGCCTTAAAATTGAACAGATGAATATTAAAAATCCTTTTAATAAATGATGAAACTACCATACGAATTTACATCATTAATTTACTTCTACCTAATCACTACTTCTTGCTTTGTGTGCGAACAAGAACATTACAAATACAAGGCAGACCCACTACAAGAAGACCACCAAGCGGGGAGCCTGCTCTACCGTAGGGCAACGGCACCACTACGGCGGTTAACCTGTACTGCCCGTCGCTACAACCTAATGAAACGCAAACCACGGGAAACTGTCCGTTACATCATAATTATCAATCGTGAAAAGTGATTGAGCACGCGAAGGTAGAAAATATAAGTAAAAACGAGCAATCGTCGGTACCAGTATGCTGTCAGAGACAACACTATCAGATCGGAAAATGCTGTTAGCCTTTACCTTCACCATCGATGTCTTCGTCGTCTTCATCCGTCTCCGACACGTGGATGGTAACTCGGTTGTCGTTGGTGTTGTTGCTCCATTCAAAATATAATCCAAAGCCCAGATCATAACTATCGGTGGCGAATTCCCAAAATAAATAGTTCCCTTCTGGATGGGTCGGGACACGAATCGTCACAGTTTCACCTTGCCCGATCTTCAGTATCCCCTCGCCACCTTCTTTCTTAACGGAATCCTTAAACTCTTTGAGATCCTTACGCGTCCACACCGATGCCGTCTGAATAACGCCGCCTATGGTAGGCGCATGCGATGTCATAACCTCCTCATTCTCTTCATCGGAGGCAACATCGCCTGAAATAACCGCGGCATTAATAATTGAATATACCATATGGAGCGTGCATGTCGTCATATATTGAATTATGTAATGCACAATAAAATCATTTTTGTTCGTTTATGTTTTCCTTCAAGTACTGGCTAATGGCTCATTACTGTCTCTTACAAATGTTTCAACCATACATTCCAATTACGTGACAAGCTATCGGTACAAATTACATGAACTCATCAAGCGCTGAATGAATTACTTTTTTAACACCAAGCGCTATATGAAACTTCTTTTTGCATGCACTGGTGTAATTACCATTATGATCCCGCTTTCTGTTTAAGCAGGAATGTGCCCTGACTGAACCTATGCACATTAAGTAGTAACTAGTAAGCCAGTAATATGGAAGATCGCCCGATTATGCAAAATACTCAAAGAAAGACTGTCTGACTGTCTAACAACTAAATACTTGACTGTCTAACAATCCTTATTATTTGAAGAGATACTGCCTAATAAACTTTAGGATATAAATTATGCGAATTATATGTCGTGTTGTAACATGCACGATTCAGCATACCTCTTTTGGAATCCTGTTCATCGGCGTTGTTATAGGCTTCGCCATTTTGCACAGGTTCAGGATTGTTCACTTGGTACTCCATCCAGTGTCTCACGTACTGACGGAAATGTTCTTCTTGCAGCTTTGCTATTAACACCTTTTGCTGCAATATAAGTGCTCTTGTTAGAAATGCTGCAGCAATTTACGGTTTACTCCACGGCAAACGCTTAAAAACAATCTTTAAATGCCGAAATGTACAAACTCTGTGTAATGCCACTGCATTACCAGATCCAAACTGACGCAGAAAACATGCGCACTTTTTCAAGCAAAGCGATCGATGAGCTCGTGATCTGCAGTCTATGTTATGATGATCTCTGTATCCAGCTGTGAAAGCCCAACTCCACAACGGTATCTCATCGATACATAGACACAGTCTTTACAAGTACTGCCGCGCAATACACAGCATCGACAGAATCTTAATGATCCAACGTTTAGCCTTAAATTTAAATCTTCACACAGATGCTCCCGTCAAAAGGCATCAAATTAAATCCGCACCACAAGCCCCACACAGTGGCACAGCAGCAGTTGCGTTACACGGCTACTACCTTACGATTAGACAACCATCATCTTACTGCACTGCCAAACATTCCCTAACCATACACTTCACTTCCGCTGTACATCTGTTCCCAAATTAAATGTGCACATATTGTGTGTGTGTGTGTTCGTTTACAAAGCAGACTAATATCGATTTTCCTCAGCTAAGTGTCAAAGTCAATTCGGCTTTTTCGAAGATCCTTAACCCACGAAGAGAATATTAACCGTTAATGGTCACTAAAACACAGCACGCATCAGAGAAAGTAAACATACAAAATTTATCAGATATTTTGACAAGTGAAATTAAGTTATTGTCGTGGTGGCATCCCCGATCATTTAACGCACTTACAAATTCCACAGAATTCTGTAATCTGGTAAATCCCTCTGGATAATGCAGATGCGCTGAGATAATCTAAGGTCAACCGATTGATCGCATAGATGCAACTTATAACCCTAGGCCGTAGCTCGTTACGAAGCAGTTGGCGTTCAGTGCATGTACGGTGCCAGCTGATTTACAATTCAATTCTCGTCCCGGGGATGCGAGCCCCAGAAGTCACCCGTTAAAGATGTTATCGAATTCATCAAATATACGATTTCCCTGCTGCGATCGTGGAAAACGTCAACGGGAATGACCAACAGACAAATTTAAATTATCCTATCACGTTCTACTGAAAACCATTTTCGACCTTTGAGACGGCTAAATTTTTAGCTAACAATGCAGTCTGACAACCATAGTACAATTACGAAAGTAGAATAAAAATCAAATCTGAGCGGAAAATTGCTCCCATGCCTCTTAACTGCAGTTCAATTTTTCGCAGAGATAGTCCTCACTTTAAATTTCGTATTAAATAGGTCGCTAATGCTTTTTTATCTATCATACCATCAAAATCAAAAACTGGTATGACAATGATTCGGTAAACCATTTGAAGCTTCGCGGAGATCTTTTAATTAGACAGCGCCAGGCTTGGAACCAGAATCATTAGCTCTTTCAATTAACCACACGAAACAGCAATCAACACAGCACAAAGCATGGTAAGAGTCATTTTGCATCCAAACGACGTCGTCAACAGCCAGCGTTAAGAGCATCTCTCCAGACTTTTGCAACGTAAAGCGTGAAATCACCATTACGTTTACGAAGCATTCTGCAGCCCGTTCTTACTGTTTACTCCTTAATCACCCCTCGATGCTCTCTTATACTCTTTTCTTTACTGTACAACCAGAGCCGAAAATACTGGCCGACTTCTCATGGTTGCATTAAGGAGCTACTTGTTCTACGTTTTGCCACTTAAGGGATTTTTTGTTCACTCTGCTACGTGTAGCCGGACCCCATCTGTCAATCAGAGCCAAGCAGACAGCAACTTTTGCAATCAGATTTACTTTTATTCCACACGATCGATGCTAACGAGTAATGGGATCATCCGGAAGAGTCCCTGTGCTCATTCCAAAGACAGATACTCTTTTCCTTTACAGAGTACCATCGCCTGGCCACAGCTAGTAACAGCGTATGCGTATTGATCAAAGTATAACACAATAGTTTGATGGGCGAATCCGACGAGAAATCTGCATATATAACGCTACTAAGGCATTTCATGCTGACAGGGAACTGCAGCGGAATAACAAGCCACACAGCATGTTCCGCCTCATCGCCCCTGTGTTCTTGTAACCATTTTCCAAAGACCCGAATCTGTCTGATAAAACCAGTAACCGCAAGTTAATTTTGAATTCCTTATGCTGTTCAACGCCGCAACCATTTGTGTCACGGAACGATCGCAACGTTATTCGCACCCAGTAACCATACATGCGTAGCGTTGTTAACACTTAAAGGTCACCGGTGCCGCCGTTTAATGGTAAAATGTGCAAAACCGTTCTGTTAGTGTATTTATTTATAATTATGAATAATTATAATAATAAAACCCTCAAGTAAAATAACTTGTAAAATCATGAGTTCTAAATCCATCGGAACAGACCTAATATCTACTACACGAATAGCACATTATGCAAAGCGACCACTAACCTCTTCCACTTTTCCCGGTAACTGCTGCTCACAGAAGGCTTTGAACTGAATATCCAACAAAAAAGCGTCAATGTTTTGAGCAGCAAACAACGCTGCTTTCTTCCTCACCTGTTGTAAGGTTTGAGCGTTTAGAGCGTTCCGGATCTCTTGCTCGTGTTCAGGTGTTAAGTGGAACTGAGGAGCAGCACTGGTCATTCCCGACACACTGCGCTCATCATCCCTGCTCGAATCACCTTCCTCAGGCCTGGAGCAGCATATTTTGTGTTAGCCTTTGCCTTTTTTATTTTCAAAAGTGCTCCGCCTCCATCATCTTACCCGATACTTTCAGTCCCGTTTCCCAGTCTAGGTAATTATAGAGATGAAAAACATGGCAATCGTTGTCAAACTGTACACAAGCATTAGGATTACTCACTGTTTTTTCTCCAGATCCTCCCTGTCACGCTTGTGCGCCTCGATGTAGGGCTTGAAAAGGGGACAAAGCAAATCAAGAAGATCCACGAAACGCAACATGGCTTCTTCTTTGCTCATTTCACCCAAGCTCGACCAGGCGCGCCTGCGAAAAGTGTTACAGTTAACAACAACGTAAACAACAACAACACCGTAATTGTGTTTTCGACTGTGCATTATTACTAATACGCCTCTAAGGCCTTCTCCTCGACAACCCAGAAAAGGTAGAAAATTATCTGCAAAATTAAAATCAATTTTTTTAGATTAAAAGAATGGTAAATGATTGCATTTACAGCAACTGGGAACAAGGAAGAGAATCATGACTCTCACAAGTCAGTTCACTGTCACCTGAACATACCTAATTTCAAACCACTTTTTCACGAGTAAAAAGCGCACGGATAAACTACGTCCCATAACACCAGCCAATTATGCAAAGAATCACTGCCACTAAATTGGAAATGTTTCTAAACCTTCAGTCGTTCCCATTATACTGTCCCATGAACTTATTAATGCCGCGAAGCCAAATGCTGAACCAAAGGAGCAACCAGAGGAAATTGCAGCTCATCAAATACACTGCCTAAATTTTCGCTCCAACAATCACTTTACGGCCAGTGAGGCGTGCTTAAATTTTACAACGTCAAGCCAATTTCCAGAGAAAATAAAATCACAAAAATCCAAGCCGTGTACTAAGTATGCAACAATGCAATCTAAAATAAAAAAAAACCTCCCCCGAAACATGTTTTTGTGGTAAACTGGTCATCAGCGGAAATCGTTCAACATCACAAGTATAACTACTCAATATCAGAAAAAAAAACACTTCGTCAAACTCAACAACAGATCTACAACTGCGACAGAATGGGATAACTAGTTAAACGCTATATATACTATATCTTCTCGTATACACACGCCTAAACGATTTGCACATATGTACACAAAGCACCAGCATCTTCGTCTGCAGTTTCATATGGACAAAAACGAACGAACAAAATGCAGATACCAACGATAATTACCGCAAAATGTGCGAATACAAACACCGCAAACCGCAGCTAATAACCTGAGTGTACAAGCCACCATCTAAACATCCCAACTCATTAGAAAGTCGTTCATCATTCCTCAACTGGACGGGATCATCAATCTTCTGTGTGTCGATCGGGCATATTTCACGATGCCTCAAATGTGCAACAGACACGGAGATTTCCTGCATGCAGCCGCAAGTATCTTATTTTCTTTTTCCGCACAATAGTCACAATTAGCGGAGCAAACATTGTGAAGCGAATTGATAATGACCTCAACGTCGCACTACACGGCAACGGTATTCGCGATAATTTCCGGAGAAGACATCAAGTCTCTCCCGAACATCGAGCATGCCACGCACGCAAGCCGGCCGCATAACGGATCGTTTCAGCCAAATGAAAGCTTTCAAAGTTAAGCATAATGTAAATTCAATTAGTTTCTAAGGTTTCTTGACAACTGAGCAAGTCCACTTTCTCTATGTTTCAATGTGCTACAAGCGGACGACACGATAAACAGAACAGCCCATCATGCGATCTCAAGTGCACTATCGGCGTGTCACAGTAAATAGTCCAATATAACTGTTCAAATAAAGAAACGAAGAGAAAGTTCTATTTTTACTTTTTATCGAATTAAAATGGATATTTTCTTTGAGAGTTCACTTTTTACTGAAGTTATCTTGCACCTTTCCTACGGCAGAGAAACAAAAATTATAAATTTTTAGAGGATATGCCGATCGGAAGTTACGAGCAGATCAATAAATACCTTGCAACACTCATTGGAATATAACAAAGCAAGTGTTACGGCAAACTCACCTTTCGCGACCTTAATTCAGGAGAAAGTCAAATTCTGTGCTCAACAGAGTTGCGCTTAAATCTCCATAAATAATAAAATATTGTAGTGCTGCACGACGCGGATTAAAAAAGGTTAACACCGGTCTATGTTACGAAAGAAACTGCGGTGAAAAATGCTACTGACAGGCAAAACTTTGACTATAACTACTCGGCTAAAGATCAGTTTCAATCTAGCGAGGGAAGGCAATAAGGGAGGACAAAGTGAACAGCAGCATCAAGTTTCACGTCACTGTTACTAACAATCACACCCTCTTAAAAAGTTCTACGGGAAGAAAACGGGGCTTATTTGCCACGATAAATACAATCAACAAAGCCACAAGCGCTGGCTGCCGCGTGCACCCATCGGATTCCACGACACCACGCCCTTTCATAAACTGAAGGAGTTATGACTCGCTCCACATTCGATGAGGGGTTGCCGACAGATCAATTTATTGCCAGCTGCAGTTCATTCCTGTCTTTATGCAGTGTAGGAATCAGAACTTGCAGCTTTTCATCAGGTACAGCAACGTGGTGCCGTGGTACGATATTACTATATCAACATCGCTTATCGTTGGACACCGCAAAAATGCGGTTTCGATGCCTCGCGCACAATACAACAGTACATATCATTTTTAAAAGAGGGTACTAGCAGTAGTAAAAACCAGACGGATACACCGACAAAGAAAATCACAGAAAATTCAGCGATCGCTAGAAGCAAGCACCACCTATTAATCAGGAAACAACCAAGGCGTTGTGCTCCCACCAAAAGTGTGAAATCAGAACACGTGCAAGAGCAGCAGCAATCAATTAGGCAAAACATTTTGTGTGATCACTAATTGACTAATGTAGAAAAACGCAGCAGAAGCATGGAAATGGTAAAAAATCTAGTACAATTACTATGTGGAAAACAGAAAATCCAGAAAACATACCTCAAATGCAGGATTTTTTGAAAACCTTTGCACAGTCAGACCGATGAACTGCATTTGAATTTTGAGAAATTTTCGTATTAGTATGGAAACAGTTCGCTTCTCAGCACAGACGCACCAGGCTCGCGATTACGACGCAAAGTACGCAGGGATTGAAATTTATAGCACGTGCTTCCCACTTCCCAGTATTGCTTTGGAGTCTGGACACAAACAGAAAACTTCTACCAAATACGATGCGAAAACTAAAATTCGTACGCAATGCATCACATTAGCGGATACCAGTTTCCAACAATAACCGCTGTACTGGACAGGAAAGCGAGCAACCGCTTCATTAATGAGCCCTCAGTTCGCCCATTTCCTCCTGCGGATAAATAAATATCAAACTAACCTCCTATCATTGCCAATAACGTCGAGGAAACCGACTTCGGGCACGAGCGACGTCTGGAAGGGTCCGTGTGTAATCTGCTTCGTATAGGCTACCAGGCGCATTTTATCGGCGTACGATATATGCAACGGAGCCTTGCCGTCTTTTTCTGTGTAGAAAGAAATCATAGCTGTCGTACACCGTCAGAATCATCATGCTGGAGAGGCCACTCGATTACCCTTATAGAATCTGAGCGCCAACTTGTAGACGTCCTCCACTGGCAGACCCCATTTCTCCTGAAAACTGAATGGCGATGCGTGGCCATTCAGCTTCGTGGGACTCAGCTGGCCGTTAGATTCCGAGTAGTTGCACACAACATGGTCCAGCTCAGGTGTAAGGGCCATTGGCATTTGGGAATTCGCAGGATAGAGTCCCACTGTGCCAAATTACTTTTACAGAGCCGAAGGTGCGACAACTGAGTGGCTTCCAATATCAGCTTATGCTTATTGTCAGGGGTATGAAGGATTAGGACACAGGATCATTTGCCGTAATGCGGCCGTACATTCATAGCAGAAATCGCTGCAGTCCGGGAAATACCTACATCGCGCTAGGTAATAAACAGCTGGCTGAAAAGATCAGCCATTTAATAATCGTTATTAAAATTTCTTCGTTCGACAAAACTGATACTCTCTACTGCAATTTTTTTAGCCACGTCGAAAGGCAACGCAGGCTAAAAATTTACAACTTTGAAATCAACGTGGTCGCCGACTCGAGCGTCGAAAAACGGAATGCTCGAAACCGCATTTATGTATGCACTCTGTTTTGATAAAAATTCTTAAATTAATCGCATTCTAACAATACTAGTGTCAAAAAATTATTTTAATCCGCGACTTCGATCTTCAAAACAAAATTGGAGTTCTGTTGTTCATTGCATTGAATATTTTAAAATTCTGTAGAACAGTTTCGCGTTAGATCCGAATCATATTATGTCGATTTGCAAGTATCATAGATCCATAATTAAGGCGTACCTGTACTCCTGTACCATAGAGAAAATTATTATTATTATTATCATTATTAGTTCAGTGTACCGTAGCATCGAATACAAATAGATGGCAAAAACATGCAGAAATGTACCAAAGCCCTCCAACTGCTAAATGATTCCTATTGGTGATTTGCTATCCTATGTGGAAACCGGATAAATAAAGTCAATAATATGTAGGTAAAGGTAAATGAAGTCCATACCAGTATGTATAGTGTATTGTGCATGTATAGTATAGTGTAATGTATAGTATTTTAGTGTATTACGTATGTATATCTATACTTCTAGTGTATTGTGCATGTATATAGTGTATTGTGCAGTATTGTGTATTTTTGATTGCATTTACTGAGTGCTGCTCATTGATGTGCTTATTGAAAAATAAAGGTAAATTTAATAAAGTCTACAAAAAATTTATATAAATTTAATATTTTTTTATTTATTCACTGCAATTATGTTACCACATTTCGCTGTTCCATAATTGTTGTTTTCGGACTATACTATATAGGGGGAAAAATGTGTCTAGCCGAACCAATCCCTTGTACTTCTGATGTAAGCCAGCTGGTGGTTTACGTCACATGTGGCACGGTTTGTTTCGCCACGAAGATCGGTAAACTTCCAGTCCAACGTAACCTATGCAACCCAACGTAACCCAACGCAACCGCCACGCAACCCAACGTAACTGCACGCAACCCAACGCAACTGCGCAACCCAACGTAACTGCATGCGGCCGACGCAACTGCATGCAACCCAACGTAACTGCACACAATCCCACGTAACTGCATGTAACCCGGCGCACTGCACGCAACCAAACGCAACTGCATACGGCGGCAACGCAGTTGCGCAACCCCACACTGCGATGCAGCCCAACGTAACTGCGTAACCCGACGCAACTGCACTAACTGTGCAACCCGACGCAACTGCATGCAACCGAACGCTACTGCAATCAACGCAACTGCAACCCAACGCTTGCAGGCGGCCAACGTAACTGCAGGCAACCCAACGCAACTGCATGTAACCCAACGCAACTCCACGAAATGAAACGCAACGCAATGGCACGCAACCCAGCGCAACTCTACGTAATTTCATGTATCTTCATATAGTTGAATGCACCTCAACCTTACATACTACATGCAGGTAAATAATCAATGTAACACAAAGCAACCTAGCGTAACTAAACGCAGTACCATGCAGTTAAATGCATCTTGACGCAAGTCAGCATAGCTCACATGCTGCAAGAAATTTTTTGAGTAGAAAACTCTGGAATCTGTACGAAGTCACGTATTTGACGGAACTAACCTTTGAATGCCATTACAACATTTTTTAAAATTTTTTTGATTTCTCGGTCTTTTAGAGTTCTTAGGTTTCTTAGGTTTTCTTAGGTTTCTTAGGTTTCTTAGGTTTCTCTAATTTCTTGGGGTTCTTAGGTTTCTGAGGTTTCCTAGATTGCTTAGAATTCCTAAAGTTTTGTTAGATCTCTCAAATTTTTTAAGTTTCTTAGGTTTCTTATGCTTCTAGGTTTTTTAGATTGCCTTTTGCTTTTTCTCAGTTTTTTTTTTGCGTGTTTAAATCCCTCGAAAGAATAGGTTTCAGAGTTTCATGCATTCAATTCCATCTGCGTTAAGTTGTTGAGCTGCGCTGGGTTGCATTGAGTTACGTTGAGTCGCATTGATAGCATTAACTTACGGTGAGCTACGTTGAGTCACACTGAGTTACGTTGAGCTGCATTGAGTTACGTTGAGTTGCATGGAATTGCGTTCAGTTGCGCCAAGTTGCGTTAAATTGCATGCGGTTGCGTTAAGTTGCGTTGGGTTGCGTTAAGTTGCGTTAAGTTGCATGCGGTTGCGTTAGGTTGCGTTAAGTTCCGTTAAGTTTCATGCAGTTGCGTTAAGTTGCATACGGTTGCGCTGGGTTGCATGCAGTTGCGTTGAGTTGCGTTGGGTTGCGCTAAGTTGCGTTGGGTTGCGTTAAGTTGCGTTGGGTTGCGTTAAGTTGCGTTGGGTTGCGTTAAGTTGCGTTAAGTTGCGCCAATTTGCGTTAAGTTGCAGGCGGTTGCGTTAAGTTGCAGGCGGTTGCGTTAGGTTGCGATTCGCGTTAAGTTGCAACGGTTAAGTTGCAGTACGCATCATATTGGTTAGTTGCGTGATTGCGTTGAGTTGCGTTGGGTTGCGTTAAGTTGCGTTAAGTTGCGCCAATTTGCGTTAAGTTGCAGGCGGTTGCGTTAAGTTGCAGGCGGTTGCGTTAAGTTGCGTTCAGTTGCGTTGGGTTGCGTTAAGTTGCGTTGGGTTGCGTTAAGTTGCGTTAGGTTGCGTTAAGTTGCGTTAAGTTTCATGCAGTTGCGTTAAGTTGCGTAAAGTTGCATGCGGTTGCGTTAAGTTGCGTTGGGTTACGTTAAGTTGCGTTAAGTTTCATGCAGTTGCGTTAAGTTGCATACGGTTGCGCTGGGTTGCGTTAAGTTGCGTTGGGTTGCGTTGAGTCTCGTGTGGTTACGGTAACGAACAAAATAACCGCATTACGCGCGAAAACAAATCGTGCCATATAGATATCTAGTTTACGTTGTGGCTTGACAGTGTTCTATGTAAAGCGCTGCTATTAAGATTAGAGGTACTGATAACAGGTGAGCAGCACTCGTACAACTGCCGGTAAACAGGCTAAAAGTGTATTATAGCCCGGACCTGCCTGGTGCAGTTAATACCACATGTACCGTCAATGCCGCACAGCCTTAATAGCAGCGCTTTACATAAAACGCTGTGCAGCCACAACGTAAACCACCAGCTGGCTTACATCAGAAGTACAAGGGATTGGTTCGGCTAGACACATTTTTCCCCCTATATATCGTTGACTCTCAGACAGTACGAAATACATACGATACAAGAAAACAACGGCCTCGGATATTCATTTGGGTAATAAAACTCCTATCTTTTTTCTTCATTAGATAACTAAAGAACAATAGAATAAAACACAGGAAAACTTCCTCAGAGTTACGTTAATATGTACCATTAATACAAGCATGTGCTATTTCACAACCCTGCCGAATACAAACATCATCATCATTTGCATAAGGAAACCGCATATACATACATGTACTTCAATTCAATTAAAATGAAATCCCCTTTCTTTGGTAGCAGCCATAAGTCGCTGATACAAAATCTGTTCAGATGAGTATTCTGGCAATTTGAGATAATGGACGCACGTGTTAACGGACGGAAAACCTTCGTCGACTTCCTTCGTAACTTTTCTGACGATTGTCAGCCTAGGATGCAGATTGGCCAGACCGCCGGGTGGCAGGCTAGAGCACCCAGTGACGAACTGTACAAATGCTTTTCTCTCGTCTTTCGTCAACGATTCCATTACATTCACAAACCGCAAGAATGCAGCGCTGGAAAAGCAACCACATCAAGAAAGTTAACCACATGACGAACCACATCGAGAAAGGTCTTCATGGTACGGTCATACCTTTCAAGAGTGTACCCAAGCTTTGGTTCTGTAAAGGTCAGAATGTCGTTTCTTGTCCAAGATGGCGCTTGATCACCACACATTATCAGCTGCAGTTCTTCCGCTTTGAAGAGACGTAATTTATCCAAAGGAACAACTTGCTCAATACCCTCTAAAAACATTCGAATCCAAAAGATGCAGTGTTTGTATGTCAGGCCTTTCTATGCCGCTCTGATATTAGAAAAACTCAACCAAGTCCTTTAACCCTGAATCATTAATTATACAAATTTAACTGGGGCGATGCAATGTGCCCACAATTCTCACCTTTGAATGCGTCCATTTGTGCGCGAATTCCAGAATTGAGACAGAAATCCAGCGTTAAATCCACATAATATTTCACATTGTCGATAGTCACCGGAACCGTATCACCGTCCGAAATCAAATCACAGGACATGTATTTGAAAACACGAGAAGACGGACTGAATTCAAACGTCAACCTACAAAAAAACCGTGAATACCGTGAAATCAGTAACCGGTAATAAGACATCTCACCCCAAATCTTCCAAGCGGACATGCTCGACTCCATTGGCGGTATGCAGTTCACAAGCTAATGTTTTCAATTTCTCTCGTTTATGATCCTCTCCTAACATTTCATCATCCTCAATCATTTGCTTTCGCCGAATTAAAGCCAATAAGCTCCGAATAAAACGTCCGCGATGAGGGTCTACTTCCTCCAGATGGTCCAATGCTAAAACATTCTCATACCAGCCCGGTAAATCCATGTGATTCGTAGCGCGCATTGAAGACTTTTTCGATCTGCGCTGTTGTCGCTTGGTTCGCCGTGCTGGTTCATTTTGCAATCCGTATGCAAAACATTCTTTCGATTCAGCATTGTTTAGCGGTATCGCATCGTTCGCCGAGGAGCTACGAGACCTTCGTCCATGCTCACACAGGAGTTTTAGAAAAGCGTTGGAAAATGGCAAGTCAATGAGACGGTTATCCATCAGTGCCTTCCCGACAATCAAGCCCAATACACGGAATAAATTTTTCACGTTTCCCAACGCTGGGTGCTCAGCAGGGTATGGTGCCGGAAAGAGCCCACCCGTAGATCGAACGTAATACCCGGCTGGCTTACTTCCTGCACCCAGATCCAGCTGTAAAAGCAAAGGACGAGTAAAAAACTAATCAGCTAACTTGTAAGTGCAAGTGAATAGTAACTATGTACGAGGTATTTGTACACAAAAATTAAGTACACAAACAACGACTACAATACAGATCCCATGCTAATCTACCACCAACTAATAATAAAATGACAACCTCATATATTCACTCACAGCGATGGCAGCAAGTGGTTGGAATTAAAAACAAATAAAACAAATCTTAAAACAATTAACCACCGAACTTTCTTACAGCGTCGGTGTTGTTTCCAATATGATCATCATCGCAAATCCACATTCCCAAATCTTTGCGCTGCAATTCACCTGCCACCAAGGCATAAAATTCCAGGGTTGGACCCAACCCTGTTCCTTCTTCGTTTTCGAATTCGACCTGTTTTAAAAGTCCATTTTTACTCAAGACTCAATCACTACATAGCTTGTCAGTTCAACACTGTTAACGTCGAATTACTGTACCTCCAACACCGATTTCGAACCAGCCTGGGACATCATTACCTGCAACAAAACATGGGTATTATAAAAGAGCACCCACCACAAATACAGAGTATTTACCGTCATAGCCCAATCCAGAATATGCTGTCGCGAAACACGGACACGGACATGGCGTTGTCGTCCAATACGAAAATCATGCAACAAACCTTCCAAACGAGCCAACCGGGTAGCTTCGCTGCCCAGCTCTCGTTGGTTTTGCAACCATATTATTGATCTATCACAATCAAATGCATTAACAATACTTTCCAAATTATGAGCATCAAAAGTGAAAAATGAAAACGAAAACTGATACCGTTCTGTTCCAAAAGCCGTGGCTGTAAAGTAAATCCGGCGATTTTCAAACGGAAAAAACATGGGAAATTCAGTGGCCAAGAGATCACACCAAGATGGCAGCGTATTAGACGCGACAGCAACCACATCATTTAACTGCGCCATCATTTTTCCGGTTAGCTTTTGGCTGATAAAAGCTGTGTGATCAGCGGAAAACCCTACTGGAGGTGGCTCTATAAAGATAACTACTTTGTTGATTTTTTCTAATAACACAGTGAATGATTCCCTAAGCTGGATGCTGATGATATAGAACTTCAAAGACAGCAAGATACGCACCCATATGCGAATCGCAATCTTTTCGCGGCTGAGATGCAATGTCAAACAGGATTCTCAAGAGAATGAGTGTATCCGAACAAAATGCAGGATCAGAAGCGGCCAGCGGCACAGGTGATCCACGGTTCGACGTACAGAGTTCACTAGATTTTTTGGATCCCTTCTCACCATAAACCAGCCTGCAATTAGACCGTGATTTCCACTGTTTCAGCATAAAATAATTTGAACAACGCTTAAAACTAAAGTCATTACACGATGGAATTCTCCCATGTCCTTCTTCCACCAGCCAACTTTCCGCCACTATCAGCTTGTAACTTTTGAAGAACTCCAATAACGGTGTCATTTGGATCACTTGGCGTGGTTTCAAACGTTTCTCCATTACATGTTAACCGGAATGTCATAGTCACATTTGGGGTTTCGTTCGATTTCGTATCAACAACAGCTTGAGATTCTCCTCGACCTATCGCAACAGAAAACAACTCATTCCGTTGACTTTGGTGGAGAGTACAACCGTAGTAGCTGCGACCGACAGGAATTTTTTAGCCACAACATTCAATAAGCATCACACCTGACAAACGTAAATCCAGTTCGGTTGTTTGGCTAATGTTGCTTCTGCCGGGACGAGGGTCAAAATTTGGAATAAGGGACGAGAACTGGCGCTTAAGAATGAAGTCATCATTCCAGTTGCTCCGACAGCGTTGGTGTTCAACTACTTCTTCTTCCGAAGAAGGATCGTCCGTTCCATCATCATCGCGATCCGCTCGCCCTTGAAGAGTCCGCATAGCGAATTCAGCTAGAGAGACAAAACCACTTCCTTCTTCGTTTTCCTGAGTATCGTCGTCTTGAGAAACAAGATCCAAAGCATCTTGTAGATCCATAGTTTCACCACGAGTATGGCTCATCAAACGAAACAGATCCTAAAACAAAAGTTTTGGCTCACTTAATTCAAATGACGATTGGTATAACTTTCCCAGATGTCCAATCATGGGAACAATGTCAAAAGCAGATTACGGAATTACTGTATCAAAGAACAAGTCAAGCCGGTTAACTGACTCATGAGTACAAATCAACCAGAACAGAATATTTTACTAACTGTCACAGCTTAAACATAACAAACTTACACTGCTATCGCGTGACACGGACCGCATGCTACGCAGCAGAGCACGCGTTCGTGATGCAGTAAGTGCGAGGCGAATCCCGTCCGATGAACGGTCCTGGGAAGTTAGCGTAGGAAAGCTCTGAGCAGCAGCCAAAGGACCATCACTTCCGTCGGCGGACAACAAGGAACTGAGCAGACTCCGAGACGTATCGGCAGCATTTGTGGACATGGCACGGCCTTCTCTCGTCGGTCCCATGGCTTTTAGATGATCGTCGGTTACGGGCCCAAATGATGGCATGGATAAATTGGGCACGCTGAAACTCAACTGGTTCAGAACGCTGGATGTATGGTCGGCTACGTCATTCAAAGAAGACAAACTGCCCGCCGAAGCTGTCTGATCGTTAGAACTGGCTGTTCGCGGATCAAAGCGGGAACTAACGCGAACGGGTCGGCGTCGCTCAGCAGCTTGAGAGAAAGGACGCAAATCGGCTAGTTCGGCCAGCGTGTCCTCGCTCATCTGAAAGGCATCAGCACGCGATTAATATATGCAAACAGGTTTTGGAGAAGGACAAGCGTTTTACACAGGATTTAAAACAGGTCCAAACCAACCTCCGGAGATCTCGAAATTTCAGGGGGGAAGGATAGCGCCGAAAACGATGTCGGCTCTGGTGAATCGCGAACCGTATCTGATCCCAACCGCCAACGATGTCCACTAACGATGGATGCCAAAGAGTTAAGATGCGACACCGGTTCAGCGCGAGCAATGTAAGTCTGCATCATCTAAATAAATACAAAACGATAACCGAACACATATCACTACTACAGCAATACAAAAAACACAACATACATCGGTTGCTCGGTGAAGCTCATCAGCAGATACTGCTGCCTGTTCCGTAACATTCACGGCTGGCAGATTACTGAGGGAAAATCCCAGCGAAGTTTCCGGCAAACTCAACGTCGAGCTGGTTGTACGGCTGTGTGTTGTTCGCATATTTCGACTGCTTTCTGCTGCAATAGCCATACGATTTGCATGGCTGATCGGGAAAGAGTAGCCGGTAGCCGATAAGGGAGACGAAATCGATCGAGCGAACTGGGGAAATAAACTGGACAAAGCACCCACATCCCTGACCGTCAGGATATGTAGATCAAATTTCCCATCAGCGCCCATTCGATATGTATGGCCTTCACCATGATCCCATAGGACGTCGACCCAATCTGTAACATTAAACGTCGATACTGCGCCAAAATGTTAGCATTGCGCTTCGATTTGAGTGTCTGTACCATCGGAATGTCTAGCTACAATGGTCCCAAACCCTGGCGGATCTCCGTCTTGAGTGCCCCATATCCAGTCGCGACCTGTGACAATAATGTTGTACTGAAATGCTCTACAAATGCAATAAAACTATCATACAATTTAAGTGCTTAATCTACCCAGGGAACATTCTGAAGCTGTAAATTCAGAAAATTCTCAATTTTTGCAGAAAGTTAGAATAACTATACAGGTTGCCTAAAAAAATTATTTCACGTGCCATGGCCAATGGGCGTGGCCAAAACCGAATTTATAAGTTAATTCTACACTGTGCTGTCTATAGGCAGTGCACCGCATTATACCATATAAGACTAATATAAACGGTACTGGAGCCTTTAATAAGTATCGTCATGTAAGTACAAACTGAGTACTAGAAAAAACGAGTTTATAACAAAAACACTTCTTCAATACTATCCTGCTCGGGGATTGTACCCATGACACATATCGCGTTTCCCCGTTGCATTTGGATAGATAACCGCTGTCTAAAAAATTCTTTCGCCCGTTTCTGGCCTGTGGCAGTGGCGATACCGTCCCCGACCTTTTGCACTAAGTGTTTAGTCCCGTTACTCCATGGGCCAGAAATTTCAAACGCTAACCTTACATATAAACGGTAAACCTTACAGAACAATTTGCACCAGTACGAGGCCAGCTTTCTCGTTTCAAATTTTTATCTGTGCTTCACAAGCGGCTGAATTGGGAATACTTCTTTGTGTTTCGAGTCTTACGACTTCGACGTAATATTCGAACAATTACTAACAGAAATCAAAGTGAATCGTTTCTACCAGAAAAATGAAGTGCCAAGTGCAAACTGTACAATCTCCAGAAACGGGAAACAGCTATTACATACCACAAGCGAGCAACACATAAAAATTTGAAACGAGAAAGCTGGCCTCGTACTGGTAAGTACAGATTGTTCAGTAAGGTTTATACATATTAGTCTTATCCAGATTCAGATCTATATTGCCACGAATGGGATACACCAGAGCCGGCAAACCAGAAAAGACTGACCAAAACCAAGATTATTATATCTGAAAGCCCATAGTCGAAAACCCGGCCAGATAGTATTCATTTCTTTCAAAACCTCTCCCGCTTCGAACGCCAAAGCGGAAGAGCTTTGACTACTAAATTACTAAATTTTCACCAACTAAATTATTAAAATAATAATTATCGTCGTGGTATTTTTAACCAGGCAGTGTTGCCACGTAAACCAACTAAAATATAGTTAAAAAAATGAAAGTATTTTCCACTACAGTAATTAAAATATCAGTATGAATTTATTAGCAGACCGTTATTACGAGAAGAACGTCTTCATATCTAACGTTGTCATCGAGGACAATTTCTAAACAAGTGCCGGCCGAGCAGCTATCGCTACACTATCCTACTGTAATTGTCTGTTCAATCAGTGATAGACCGAAATACCGGCGCTGTTCAGTGCACAAAGCCGTTAGTTCAGCGAGTGACCGAAATACCACTATATTCTAGTTAAAATAGCCCGCTAAGCCAGTGAGTGACCGGACTACCACTATGGATAGCTATGTGAGCGGGTGACCGAGTTACCACTACTGTCCGTGCAGAGAGCCCGGTAGGTGAGCGGCTGACCGAGCTGTCAGCATTGTGTACAGAGCGTTCAGTACAATACTACCGTCCGTGCACAGAGCCCGTTAGGTGAAACGGGTGACCGGGCTTCCACTACTGTCCGGCAAGAAAGTCCGTAAGGTGAGCGGGTAACCGCGATGTCTCTAACGTTCACTGTACAAACCCGTTAGGGAACGAATGACTGAGCTACCACTACCGTTCGTGCACAGACTGAGCTACCACTACTGTCCGGCGCAGAAAGTCCGTTAGGTAAGCGGGTGACCGAGCTACCACTGCTGTCGGGCGCAGAAAGTCCGTTAGGTAAGCGGTGACCGAGCTACCACTGCTGTCCGGCGCAGAAGCCCGTTCGGTTACGAGTGACTAAGCTATCACTACTTTCTCCGGTGCACAGAGCCCGTTTGGTGATACGAGTGACTGAGTTTTCTTTACTGTCCGGCGTACAGAACCGGTAAGGTAAGCAAGTAATCGAGGTACCACTACTGACCGGACGTACACTACCGGGCACACACCACTTTCCAGTGAAAAGAGCCAGTGAAGTGACAAGTCACCGAACTACCCGTAGTGATCCAGTGCTCTATCACTGGTTCGAATTTCATACCTTATAGACTGATATTTCGGCTTTCTTTTCGGGTAGGGGATATCGTAAAAATTAACTGTATGTACAGCCAAAGGGAATGCTTTCAAGGTTGAGAGAACCATGAACTGATTTTCATATAAAATTCGTGTTTGCCTATTGCATGTACCGATCACGTTTCGACGAAATATAGATGTTATTCTAATATATATTCATTCAAATTCAAATACATGTAAAATGGCCATGGACCACAAGAAACGCGGAGGCGAAGCCGAGGCTGTTTCTTGTAAGTTATAAAGCGGTGCACTGCCTATAGGCTACAGCACAGTGTAGAATTAACTTTTAAATTCTGTTTTGACCACGCCCATTGGCCATGGCACATGAAATAATTTTTTTAGGCAACCTATATAGTTGTTCTAACTTTCTGCAAAAATTGAGAATTTTCTGAATTTATAGCCTCAGAATGTTCCCTGGTAAATCAAATCCTACTTCCCAGCTACCCACCGAAAGTATAAGCTCTGAAATTTACCTCTTCGCACACGAGACCGAGATTCCGAAAATCCATCAGACGAAGACTGTGTGTCATGCCGACTAAGTCGTGCGAGGCGTTCTCTAAATCCTTTTCCTAACAAGCAGACAACATACTCTTCTGATGGAAAAAGGCCAAATGTGTTTCAGTTTTAGCCATTGTCTATTCCTATTTAATTTTTTCTAGGAATTTTACCAAGATCGTCACACACGCCGGTGACTGTTCCATACACTTCGAAACCACTAATACACAGGCAATTTTCAAACTCCGAGTTTTCTCCTGTCATCTGAATCCGATAGTATCTGTATGATGTGCCTTCGCTACCGTCATCCAACCGCCAAGTATGGGTCGATCTATTTCAAAAACAATAATAAAAGTTCTAATTAAGCCTTCGGTTAAACATACTCGTATGTGCGCCATACCCAGAGCCCGACAGCGTAGCATCATTGATGTGAGATTTCAAAGCAACCCATGATATCCCATCACGAGATGCCTGAAATATCCATGAGCGCACGGCTCCACTTCCGCGACCTAAGACATCAATATCAAACCTTTTATAGTGTAGTAAGTCACCAAGGTTTTTTTTAAGCAGTTTACCTACTAAGATCTACAATTTATTTACCAACAGTAAAGCGAGACTTTTATCTCACCATGTCGTAAGGAGTAATGAGTAGGTTCGACCCAAAGGCCCAAATCCACACCCAACCATACATCTTTCGATTCACTCGTTCGAATGTATGACGGTAACGCAGATCGATTTAAAAAGTCACTGACGTTTCCGCAGGGAATTGTTTTACCATCACTCGAAAAAGCAACCACAAGACCAAAGGTAGCAGGATTGATCCATTCTTTAACCGTCCTACAATAAACCCCAGTATTAAAACTGTTGAATATTACCCAGAAACTGACAGTCTCACTTTGCATTTGTCCCAATCCAGTACAAAATCCCGCTTTCATCAAAATCAAAAACATACGGAAACGGCAAGCGGCCATGAGATCCAAGACTATTAACTTTTTTTATGAACGCCATTTCCGACCGTTCATAATCGTACCAGTTCTTAAAAAGCTGAAAAAAATTGCAGGCGTTAAAAAACCCCAGTGAAACCGTTTGCATTACAACAAAAAATATATTTGACAAGGATGGAAATTACAAAGCTCCCGCCCCCGGCTCCTCTCGGCTCTCGGTAACTTTAAGTCTATAACAATTACTTTTTTCCACAAGTACGCTTCCAGTTCCCTGACGGTTACCAGTGGTTCAATACGGATTTTCCGACCCGTTCTGTCCAGCAACTGTTGACTGTCACCGCGACTTTCCAATTTAACGTTCAAAGGACGGGTCAATATCTACAAGAACACAATTTTTTGGTACTAGAGCTTAGCATCAGAATCCAAAAAATGCATCCTACAGCAAAAACTGCTTCTGAAAGTCCCATTACAGAAAGGAGTTAAAACACTTACAGGCGACTAAACATTTGTATGCTTTAATGCTCGATATTCGTATCACTAATCTACAGCCCAGGTGAGCACAGAATTAACGACAAAAATACATGAATGACCAGACTCATATTTAATTTACACCATCGCTGACTTTCCTCTCCAATATTTACCTGAAAGCCACTGCTAATGGAGTTCTGGTCAAAGGATGAGATGGAAAACTTCTCTGTATATTCCAGAGCGGAAACAAGAGTTTTGACCAGAATTTCTGAAGGAGGTCTGGAAAACCTGCATCCAATCCATATTACACCATATTCGGAAAAATTTTGGAACTCTAATCCACTACCAACCGCGAAGCAGTTTCTGCTTGATGAAAAACAGATTTCCAGAGCTCAATCCGATGGTTACGTTGATCCATGGAATGTTGATCCTGCAAAATTGCAACCCATGAGAAGCTTCCGAAGTAACAGGTCCACATTTTACTCACTTCCAGGTGCACTCCCAGGACGGCAATTAAAACCTTGACAACCCCAGATGACTGGATCTCATACGACGAAAACCGATTCCCTTCTCCAACCGTATTAATAAGCTCACGAATCCCGTTACGGATATCTTCCGCAAACAATTTACCACCGTACCGCATCTAATAATGTGCAAAATTTACAACCGCTTTTCTCCGGGCACATAACATGTACATGAGTCCTAAGACTCTTTACGGCTCACACAATGAAACTTATTCTTACCACAGGTCAGCTAAATCATCTGCACAAACTTCCAGTTAGCACCATTGTATTTATTTTCTTATATTGTCTAATAAGGCAATGGCCCAAGTTTCCCGTAACGTTACAACACTTTCTGTGTAAAAATTATGTTTGGTTACCTTCTCTCTCTCCCTGAACTGCTTCTCCATTGCTGTTTCGAGTTGCGACATTACCGACAACAGCTGTGCGACAGGTCCACTTGTAACAGGTTGAGATTCCGTGAAATATTTTCGCTGAACTTCCTGTGCAACTTTACCAACGTGCTAAAAGAAGTGCAAAAATAATTTCAATGCAACCAGCAAATAATAAATACCCGTTTACTGACCTTCAGACCAATTTTATCGCCTTCGGTTTTTATTTTATCTCCCGAGAGAACCGATAAATCGACTTCGTGTCCATCAGTGCCATGGATTTTTGATGTTGCAGACAAAGCTGTCATACTTTTATCGAGACCCACATGGAAAACAGTGTCTTTTGAATCGGAGCGAAGTTGAATCTGCTAAAGTGGGTGACTGATAAGCTAGCAACCACTTGTCAGTGTTTTTTACTGTAATGTATTACCAATGTCGCACTACTATCCGCCACCTTCAGAATTTTTGTCTCTTCACAAGTCAGTTCCCACAGGCCATTGCGCATGTGCTCAGAGGACATTAAAGTAAGGGCCTGCACCTTCCCACCGGTTTTGACTTTTTTTGTAACGTTTGAAAAATTGTCCAAGAATTCGGTGCCATCGGTCCAGCGACCAAATTCATCAATACCTAGAACAACCACAAGGCGAGATTGAACTTGCAAAAATTACCAGTCCCATACAATACAGAAAAAGTTTTTGATTCCATTTTTTTAAACTGCTTCTTAAAATGTCAGTCGCGAACTGTGGTAGGTCCACATCTGACGCTGCCTTAACCTAATTCTTTTCAAGAACAAAAAATCACCGAAGTTACAAGTAAAGAATGAAGCAAGCAATTGTGAAGTTATCAAGGTGACTTAAATCGACTCGCTGTTAGCAAGACTCCCTTAGAACTTAGAACAATTTCCCGAATCTGAATTTGAACGCTAGCAAAGATTACAATTTTTTAAGATAGAGTACCATTAAATTATTTTTACAAAAGACACCTAAACCATTGTCATCACGGAATATGTTGCGTTTTACTATAGCACTTATTGAATAATAAGCCAGCCTACCATCGACATCAACATTTTGGTCCACGCTAGCTGGAAAGTGCGTAATGGCACTCAACTTGCCGTTAGCGAATATCAGGGGCATCATGTATTCTTGTTGCGGAAATTCCAAAATGATGGCATCGCTCCAAACGTAAACGGCCTCTTTCGATGACAGAAAAAACCAATCTCCAAATTTGTAGCAAGTTGCTCCAGTCAACGTGATTTTTCCACACTCGCCCGTTGCACTGGGATGTGTATCGGACTGAATTTTGTAATCCGCAGCTAAAGATGTAATCTGATCCACAACACCGGTTCGATACAAACTGTCCGCAACCAATTCACGGCATTTACTCATCAAAGTATCAGCTAAACTCAGACCCAAAAGGGTACTTTCACTATCCCCCTGTAAGCAAACATTTAAGTAATAAACTGAAACCCATGTTAATTAAAAAATTAAACAAATATACTGTACTCACATCATTATTCAGCAATATGCTTAAGAATTTCACTAAGGATATAATCAGGCCGTCTTGTAGCAACTGCTCCTGCCGGACCAAGGCGTTCAATGAAGCGCTTGGCATAAACAAAAGCATTTTCTCAACAGCACTGGCACAAGATTTCCTAAAAAATAAGTCGTCAATTACTAAGCATATGTTAACGTTTTTGCACCCCCTTCACAAAAAAAACTATTCAACCATGAATTAATGAATTCTACTAATTTAAACCATAAATTACTACATCTGCATTGCAGCGTACTGAACTCACCTAACAGAGGCTGTTAGAGAAGCAATTCCAGTTCGCGTAAATAAAGGGAGCAAATTCTCTGCAATTTCACATCCTTTCTCAGGATTTTCACCCTTCTTCTCTTTTGAGCTCGCCACAATTTTTTTAGCGGCTTCGCTCGTTCGAGGTTTATCCTTTTCTTCTTGAGATTCTAAAGAATGAAACATACAGGAAATTTGTATTCAGTTCGGAGCTCATAATTTAAACATATCTTTTACCAGAGATCGTTAATAATTTTACGATTTCCTTATGGCCATCCTCGTTCCGTTCTTTGGCCTTTTCAAGAGAGGTTTTGCCATCTTCGTCTTTGACAGTCGGATCCGCACCGTGTTGTAACAGCACCTAAAGAAAATTCGAACACTCAAATCTGTCGTAGCAGTACGAAGTACCGTCCCCACATGGCTAATCAAATTAATGCCTTTGCTATCCCTGGACGACCAAAGCATGCTGCGTAGTGCAAGGATGAAGACCGCTGGCCCTTGTTGGGATCGGCTCCATTTTCGCATAGAAATTCCACCTGAAGACACCCACACACACAAGTTAATAACTTAATCTTTACGTAAAGCGCAACAAAATGATACACCTTCAAGCCATGAGCATTCATTTCATCACTGGAACGGAACGCAAGCGGGTCTCCATCACAAGCATCACACAGCAAGCACAATTCACACCAGCCAAAAGCAAAGCAAGCCAAACAAACAGGACCTACCATCTCCTGTGTTCCAAAAGCCGCGGCCCAGTTTAATAAGGACTGACCAACGTCATCCATGGTATTGACGTCGACACCATTCTCGACTGCATCCACAAGAGCGTCATAGTCTTTTCCTCTAATGCTTTCGATGACATGGCGATTAGGACGATCATTGCCGCTCAGTGGATCAAAGCGCCGCAATGAGTGCCGGCCCATCAATCCCGGGACAGATCGAGGAAGATGATTGCGTCCCTCAAAAAGTACAACGATAAGAAGATCCACGAATCGAACTGTCTCCAAGATAGACCTGCCATAAAAGGATATCGCAGCGTTAAACAACCTGTGAAACGCTAACTGTAAGTTCCAGTATCGGTGTCTCATTTACTTATAGTCAGATTTCAGAATCATTGAATTTCAGTTTCTTACCGATCATCGCTTCCCATACAAACTTCGACAGCTTTGAAAAATTCGGGACATTTGCATAAATCCTAAAATTATTTTGACAACCAGTTGAAGAACTTCGCTTACAAGCTATAGTGACTGCTAAAGAAATGTCAAGACAGAAATGTCAGAATTTTAGTTCAACAGCGTAATGATCATAAGTTGGAACGAACTGAAACCCTGAACAAAAGAAACAAACCATTACTTACAATAAATTGTACATACCTGACAAACCGATGACGACGACCGGACCAAAACTTGCAACAAATTCAAAACCCCGTGCGCCATCGAATTTTGAGTTGCGTCTGTTGATATCCCTGGCACCAGAGATCGCCCCATTCTGGGCATGCTTATGAGCCTTTGTATTAGTATTTCACCCAGACCAAATGCCGTTAAAATGCAGGTATCTGCGTTCTTCCGAGAGAACCGATCGGCCAATGACGCAAAGCACTTCAGAGAACTTCCAGACACCTATAAAGTCGGCCGTTAACCTTATGCAGTTGATTACTTTGCATGCAACACACTAATCCATCGGCATGTTTCAGCAGCTCCGTCAGCGATTCGACAATAGCATTCATGTTTGTGTCGGCTGGTTCGATCTTCGAGCAGAGACGCGAAACAACAGTCATTGCTGACTTAAGCGCATCCTTATGAACGACTGATCCGAAATTTCTAATAAAAGCCAAAATCGCGTTCAGGGCACCTGCTTCAAGCAGTGCAGACAAATCGCGAGTGCTCATGTGTTCTAAAACCTGAAATAAAATGACATTAATGGATTGAACTAAATCAAAAGTCGTAATTTTGATTTCTTCTTTTGGTGCTGACTTTTAGACACTGTTCAGCGAGATCCTTTCCGGTTTGGCTGTCCAGAGATGCCACCATTAATCGATTGCAGATTGCCCGCACCGTTCCCTCAGTCTGTACGAAAGAGCAACCATGAAGCAGCTGCCGTATCGGGAGACAAAAATAACACATACACTAATGATTCTCCTTGTGCATTCTGCTGAGACATCCAAATAATAAGTCAACGCTCGCGCCGTAGCTTCCTCGATCTGTTGTGCTGCCTCATCCCAAACACATGTTAAGTAACAATGAACATTTGGGCAAGTACAAGTTAAGTGTCAACAATCAATAATGTACATACGTTCACGAACATTCATAAATTATCGAAAGCGGTCTAAATATTAAATTCCATTAGGTACGAAGCCTTCCTTCAAGATTTTAAAACGATAATATCGTTTTTGCATTGGCCATTAGCTGCCGTCTTCCCGTAACTCATAATATCTCTAATAATATTCTTTCCAAAAACAGCAGCAATCGATTATTCGACTCAAATTCAACCAGCATACTGTCAACTGGATCACATGAAATCAGTAACGTGCTTCTCTCACTTATCTGTTATAAATTTGTACTTACTTAATTGCTTGCTGGCACGAATCTTTTCTAATTCCTCCCAATTCGAATCAGTAGCCCTAATGAAGGTCTTCCATTTCAGCTGCAATTCGATGACATCACATGCTTGTGACAACTGTTTCAGTCCAAAACGCTAAGGGAGCAGCAGTCAAATCATAATTCCAATCAGTTGCGAAAAAATAAGACGTAACTCTTTATGCAGATACGCAGGCAGGGAATTCTGATTCCTGGAGCTACGGTAAAATTACGTACTGCAAAAACTAAAAACCATTCCTGCTGTTGCCCTACCACTGCGTAACCGCATGCCGATATTACGAATCATTGCGTATGGCTGCTTAAGGCACGCAATGTAACGTGTGGCGTACGACACATTACGTAGATAAATAAACGGCCCAACAAGAAATCTTGTTCTTGGTTTGTTTGTTTTTGCCAACGAGTTTGTACATAACTTGCATTACCAGTAGTGTACCTGAACCTGCAGCAACTTGCTCATAGAATTCAAATGGTGGGTTTGTTTGAGCCGCGAAAAATTTGTAAGTACCGTAGTAATACCTTCGCGCTTGAGGCCATTTGGCCATCTCCGCATGCCTCGTGCTGCATGTATTAAAGCCACAAGGTTAACTGCCAAACAACGCAAAGTGGTAAACACAACAACTACTACAACAACGCAAAGTGGTAAACAGAACCAGCGCCGTGATCTTTTACATTATGGTGGGATGTTGTAGATTTATTATTATTTCCCTCCGAAGTGGAAGTGCAGGCCCTGGTATTTGGCTCGGAGGATCTGCTTCCTGCAGTTGATATACCGCTTGATTGAATAGGCGATTGATGGGCAAGTTTTGGTGTGCTTTCCCAGAATCTTCTTGCTTTTGCCGCACGCCCAAAAATGAGTAGTTCGCAAGTGGACGATGTGGAAATTAAGCACACCGATCATTTGGTTGCGGATTTCAAGCGGCAGATCCAAAGAACTGAGTAAGACCTACATTTTTCCAACTGTTTACTATTTAGTGGAGTATGATTTTTGAATCATGCATCGATTTGGTAGATTTTCGGACCTTACCCTGGTAGTTGACGGTACTAAAATTCCTGTCCATCGGGTGATCCTGGCAAGTCGCAGTGATTATTTCAGGTCTGCTGATTTTGGGATTCTGTATTTGGGTTTTCTTAAATCATTAATTGGGTGCAGTGGATTTGGAGAAGCTGTTAGTGTTGGGGTAATTTGTTATTTCTGTTAATTAGGGCCTTGTTATTTAATGGCATGCGCGAAACAAACGCGGTAAGTGCCGGAGCTAATAGATATGCGGATTTCTGAAGTCTGATTTCCTGTGTTTTCTCTGCACGATAATTCTGAGTAATTATCGTTTTGGTGGTTTGATAAATTTAAATATACCATAGGAGGAAATAACTCTGCACGACACAGACCTGCAGTCCTTCAAAGTCCTACTTGAATACATTTATACCGGATCCATGAATTTGACAAGATTGAAGGTACTTATGGCATTTTCACCAGTTCCGAAGAACACATGGTTTCCATCTTGAGTGTTACTGATCTATGTACAGTACCATCTTGCTTTTCAAAGCCATACCTGCTGTAGTTTAACCTTAGATTATTTTCTTAGGTTGTTGTATTTTGCTGTACGAATGAATGTCCTGAATGGGCATTTCTGGGTTGAATGAAGTCGCTTTTGCTATACGTGGCTATTTTTGTAGGTGGAGATTTTAGCTGGAGTGCTTGGTTTAGCAAATAAATATGGATTCAACCAGTTAGAAGTAGGTGATTAGTAATTAAGGCGGCTAGTGGATAATTTGATTGATTGAATAATACATATTAATTCCACAATATGATGTTTACGATTTTTTTTCAGGCGGATATGATTTTCCATATGAAAAACGTGTTAAACGGTATGAACGAAAAACATTTTCTGTACAATACGAGAGTGCAGTTTTGTCAAAACCTCAAAATATTGCATCTTCTTGATGATCTGATCGCTCTGCGCAATTTCAGAGAAAAATGTGTGCTCGTTATACCAAGTTGCATTCGGATTCAGCATGAACGACCTTACCAGCACATGCATGAAGGTAAGCAATAAGCACTAATTCAGCATTTCTACGAGTATTTACTGAATGCGCTGCCCTAATATGCAATGCTAATACCTGGGTAAAGAGCATTGCACTAGCAAGTAGCTGTACAGATACGAGATACAACGGCGCCCGTTGGTACTGACGTCGGTCTTGCTTTGCATTTAGTTCGTCGATCGATATGCGAAAAGTGTGCTCGAATCACCGGATATTGTTAATCTTAATGCGGTAAGACCTAGATAGCTTATGTAAAGATGTTCATGTAAAATTCTTCCATTTTTAAAACAACTGCGTGCTTTTTCAGTTGGCCTTAAAGCAGCTGCTACTTCGCAACTCTTTGTGTGCCCGGGAAATAGACATTTTTAATGTTGTGAAAGGATGGGCTGCTCAAAATGATGATCCTGAAGGTATCAAGATTCTTCTGGAGGCTATTCGATGGGAACTGTTGACTGATGTCGAACTTGTAAATAATGTCAGACAATCCAATCTTCTGCAGAGTGACAGAATACTGGTGTGTATGATTTCTCAGACGACTGCTACCTAACTTATATTATCTATTTTTCACTAGGATGTACTTGCTTCTAAGCAACTTCAGAACACCAACAGCAGCCTGCACTGCAATCATCGAGGCTTTCTTGGTAAGAATTTATCAGCAATATTTCGCAAAATATTCGTACCAAAACTTTAACCTGAACGCTGATGAGTAAATGTGTCGTAGATGCTGGGGTGAATGTAGCCTCTTCCGCATTTGGTGCGTCTGTTGTGCGTGGCGATATGGGATCTACGTTGTTGGATTGTGATGCCACGGTAAATAAAGTGTGCTATATTCTTACGATTTGAACTTGCAGCTCAGCACACAGTGATATTAGAAGTGTTGTTGAGTGTGCAATGTGCATTATTGTTAAGCCATCTTTTGTCAGAATTATGATCCTGAGCGGGGATATACGAGGCATTCCATTGAAACGCAAGATAAATCCGTTGCAACTTTCATCCAAGTCAAACTTGGAATGCCGGTAATCTGGCTGAATGGTTTCTGAAGACACGATTATGGAGTCAAATGTTGAAAATGTTGCAGTGTATTATCAACCATATTCGAATGTTGCTTTGGGATAAGGTAAAGCACTTGTCCGGATATGATAAGGCGCACAGCACACTTCTCTTGATTGTTTATTTTTTTCCTCGTGTGACTTTCCTGTCTTTTTCGTAGGATCAGAGATCATATTCTTACTATGTGGAACTCTCGTATGACGGCGTGCACTGGTATTAGTTTGAATCCTTTGCAGTTGTTAGATTTTCAGGAGAATTGATTGAGCAATCGTTTTAGGACTAAAATCGTGGACTACTCGCACTTTCTTTGTCGGTCGTGGCAAGAATTATATTTCCCTGCGTGCACAGTGCAGCATATCAAGGTGAAATCATATCCAGGGAATACAAAATAAAGTTCTGACTCTTGGAAATTTTGCAGGTTGTAGGAACACACAATACGGCGGTAGGCTTCCTTTACTTCATCTTAACATGCACTGGCTTTTGAGATAATAATTATCAAATTCTGCCGTTTATAGAACAAAATGTTTCATCTTGTTAAGCTTGAAGCCATGTGGACGGAAAACGCACCCGAAGTAAAAAATGGGATCATCGGTAAGAAAAAGGTTACTTACATGTTTGTTCAAATATTTCACTGCTCGTTAATTATAGTGCCGAAGGAGAATGTTGTTAGTTTGGCGAAAAATGCTGCTGTGATTGAGGGAGTCAGCCGGACTCGTAACGCGCTTATTAACGGTTCCCTTGTTTATGACTGGGACAATGGCTATTGTTGTCACCAGGTCAGAAATCCAGCTTACTACTGGGTTGGCTTTGATTACGTAACTGTGTTTTTTTTCTGTTACAGATTAACAGTGGGTCTATCGTGGTTCAGTTGAATCAACCGTACTATTTGTCGTCACTTCGGTTATTGCTGTGGGACGTTGATGACCGATTTTATACGTAAGGCGAATAATTAACTTTAATAATTACAAAATAACAGCTTTCAGTTGTCCACAGATGCACCTGCTGCTCTGAAGCAGTTCTGTTTATTTCCATTTTGTTGCAGGTACGTCATTCAGACGTCCCAAACACAGCGCGAGTGGTCTCTCGTGGTGGATACACGTGACAGTCAGCGACGTTCTTGGCAGTCTCATAGTTTTGCACAGCGCGTGGTATCTTTCATCAAACTGCAAGGTATTACTAACACTGCCAACGAAGTTTTCCATGCAGTACATCTAGAAGCCCCTGATCAGCGGACAGGAGCGGAGACTAGTGCCTCGCAACCGCAGGATCATGTCGACAATGATGCGGAGTCAGACGGAAACGATATGGAAATGAGTGTTGATGAGCGACCGATGGCACTTGCACATCACCCAGCGCGCCTGAATACTCATCAGGTCCGAAAACGGTGGTCCGGGTAGCTGGGAATCCATTCCACAGCCATCTCCGACTCTGTTGCCAGATGTAAATTTTCCCGCTACTCAAGTGTGTTCATTTATAGTGACGATATTCAGGTTTCAATTCCCACATATTACGATGCGGGTTCTTCGTATTATATACGCAGAATTCGCGCAGGATTTCCTTCAGATATCCAACTGGTTGGTTCGTAATGGTGGCCAGATCTTTGATGTTGTAATACTGATGCTGTTCAAAGGCAGACAACAGTTTCTCCACTACCACATCTTTTTCATCGCGCAGCTTCTTGGCTTCGGGCCTACGCTTCTGCTCTTCTTCGATATTGTGAACATGCTGTGCAACCGGTTTAAAATTAACGACATGTTCCGCCATTTTCGTCACGCGTACAGGCTTTAAAGCCACCTTAATTTGCTCGCGCTTAAGTTTCATGTATTCGGGTCCGCCAGCGGCTGGTCGAGCATCAGCTCGACGATTAAAATGTCCGTCCATTGCTAAGGATGAAGCTTCGGCAGACTGCGACATGACAGCCATCTTCTGGTCAGTTATCGGGCGCAGACAAATTTCATATTCGCTCGGGATTTTATCGTTGGTGGCGCATGGTTTTGATTTCATCTTGACATTGAGGTTTTTCCCCGCATCTCTGGAGATAAATATCGTGGCCACATTTTCTTCTGTAGAGTTCTCCCATGCTTGAGACAGATATTTGGGGACCTTGACAAGCCAAAGCGGACGTCCGCTGTTGGTGGCATCCAACACTTGAATGGACGTGATTGTTTTGGGAGCAGTAGGTTTAGGAGATGCAGTAGCTTTCACAGCCATTGTAATACGGAACCTTCCTGATAAATACAGCAAAAAATTTCGGTCAATACGCGTCAAGCAAATGCTGAAAACGATACGACTGCACTTTTTACTCCACCGTTTTGCGAAGAAATCTAAAATATCAACATTATTTTTTCCTCAGTATCCACGAGATTGATCAAACCAAATACCAAGATGGAATCATGGAAGCGTCAAAATGTTTAATATAATTATTTATAATTTTTGAAATTTTGCGCACAGTACGTACCCAGGGAAATTATCAAAGTAAGTACTTATTACAGTAAGTAGTAAGTACTTACTGCGTGCAAGCCTACAAGTTTTTCTGACTCTCTGGCCACTGCCACCCGGAGACGAGCCTAAAGCGTTCTGGAAGGGACCGCTCTCACAATAGCCGCACCCTGAGACCAGTCTTCCTCTTTCAACCAAGTTACTATCGTAAAACTTGTTGCTCATCCGAATAGTCTCCGAAATGACCAATACAATAATATAAACCAACATACGTATACGTAACCATTGACTGGCATTAAGCACCGTCTGTAACTGTCCGCAAAATGTTCGAAAGTTGCTGCTGGACCCTAATAGTCTCCGAAATGACCCTAATAGTCTCCGAAATGACCAATACAATATAAACCAACATACATATACGTAACCATTGACTGGCATTAAGCTCCGTCTGTAACTGTCCGCAAAATGTTCGAAAGTTGCTGCTGGACCCGAGTAGTGCGGTGGCAAAATGGGTTACGTCCGCAAAATTGAAAATTGTACTTAATTGCCCACGTACCTGCATTATCTGTACATGGGAATGATGGAATAAATGTTATTATTTTTTTGGGAACGATGGCGTCAGATCTTACCTGGATGTAAGGTATCAAAAACTTCTTTTTTTCAAATTTTTTTTTAAATGAAACAAAAATACGAAAAGTTGAATAAATAAGCGGCAAGAACACTTACTCAGATTACTTTGTAGTTGGCCAATTACGAGTATTAATACATAAAATATTAAGCAAATTTAAGACATCGTTGACAGAGGTATTGATTGGATACTGTGCAAGTCGAGAATTTAATGAATCCCAGAATAATTTCCGACCACACAGGTGAAAGGCATAAAAGAAACATGCCCCCATTAATTACTAATTGTAACCAGTAATACTCGTGTGACCTACCGGTAATTGCAACAGGCAACCTATTTAACGATTAGTTTCTTTCTCAGTATGGGAATGTCGTCATTACAGAATGTTCAAAATTTGTCAAACAAGGTTTGGACGTTGAATTTGATTAGCAGTAATTCGTCGTTAAGCTCGAAGAATATCACATATTTCCACCATCACCCACTTTTGACCAACAGTGAAAATATTGCTATGTCAAGGAAGTGCATAACTATTTTTACTCCAATGTGGCAACTTTTTCACTTTTCAAACCCGAGTAAACCAGCTTGTTGGAAAAACGTTATTTTAACGTGCGGCTACCGCTAGGTGAACGGATATGTGTCAATTTTAGCCGTTTCCTAACGTTTTTTTTGCAAGTTGTTTTACTCGGGAAAGTAATGTACTGATATCGAGATATTTTTCTTATGAACACGGCTGTAGTTGAATGCTGCGCCATGGCTAAACGTCCCTCTGCTCCAAAAAGTGATTTCTAAATTATTGTATTATTAGAATCTATTTTATCCGCATCCGGTAATGAATAACGTCTGGTCGGGCATTAATTCTAGCAATGATATTTTGTGCGGCTGTCACTGAGTGGTCAGCGGCGGTGCAACGCTCTCTTAAAAATGTGGTTGAATGGCAAACGGTCTAATTTTAGACTATGACAGTATCGAGATGCTTCTATCAAATGCAGATGGGCAAAGGATGCTAATTATGTGCCCGGCTTTCCTGAAGCGTCTGTTGTGCCGTTCGGGAATCTTTCAAGAACGAAGTGGTGGTTATCAAGCGGGTACCATTGCGCGCGCTGCTCCTGCAGCCGCTACTGTGCACACATACACAAACATGCGCTACTGACAGCTTTGCACTTGGGCATGTACGGTAACAATTCATGGACAAACCAAACACATCACGTAGCCTGAACTGCAGTGGATATTGGCTCGCGCATAAAATGATCACTCTCCAAACGAGTATGACCACATTTTACGCTGTCTCACATCATCCTAGATCTGCCATGATGCCATCTACCGTGGCACTTGTACCACTGTGCAAGGAGAATGAAAATTATAATACACTTCACGCTAACTTCATCTTACTCTTCTTTCTCTCCTCTCTCTCAGCCATATCTCGATTCTAATCTCCTTGCCGAATTACAGAATCTTTTCTAGCCGTCAACGCTACCGCTGTCAGAAATTGTGCGCTTTTCACATTTCTTTGCTGCCTGAGAATCGTTTAGAACACTGTTGGAGTCGGCATATCAATGCAGTTATTTGAAATCGCATGCTGTCGTTCACCGTGCGCGGCGTTGCATTAATTGAGCCAAAACGTCCACGGAATTTCCTGGGGATATATATGTAAAATTATTATTATTAAAAATGTGAAGCAGATGGTAAATTAATTCTCGGATTATATTACTTTCGACTTGTTGTCCTCTTGCGACTCATCCTGCGCATCACGCCTCCGAGCGGCGCTCACAACTTTCGCCAACGCATCTCCACTTCCGGTCTAAACAAACGCAACAATGAGCCGGTTTATTGTTTGCCTTAAGTGGATCGTATTCATTTTTAACTTGCTCTTCTGGGTAAGTTCAGTTATCCCAATAGCTGGCCTTAATTGATGTATTTTTTGCTTGTCATGAGTAGAGTAAGTGATCTGCCTGTGCGTACGGTACTGTACATAGCTGTAATTATAATATAGATAATTATATATACGTAATTATGACTTGTTGTTTGTTGAATATTTGTTAGATAAGCAAGTTGTAAGACTTTCTTTTGAATTTATTTCCAAGACCGCATGTAGCAAGGTTTTCTTAATTAGCTTTAAATTTTTGTGCGTCACTCCTATCTCGTTGGCAAGCAGCAGGTTCACAAGATTACAGTATATGTTGCCGTCAAGGTGTCTTACCGTTCTTCGAACTTGATGTGTACGCTAGCTAAATTAATTTATGAATTTAAATTACCGAAGCCCAGAAAGCCGATAGCTGCTACCAATATGCAAACTGTTCTGGTTTGCACCTAGTTAGGACGAAATTGAAACTGTTCGAAAATTGTTCAAAAACTGTTCGCGGAAACTGTATAGTTTGTCATTAAGAATTCGTCCTCGGCGTCCTGGCGCATAATGGAAGATGCTGTATACGTCTGGTCCTACAAACAACTGTGCAGTATACATATGATCCGTAACAGGTTGATCCTTAAGTTTGTGCAGTTGTGATAGCATAAAATTTTTATAAGGAACACTGGAACGGTAACAGCCATGTACAAGTACTAGTACATAACACATAGTCTGTACTATGATAATTTTGTAGACGTATCGAATTACACGTATCAGCTCGGAAGCAGCAAATTAAATAAATTAATTCATGCCGTAAAAACTTACATAAGTATTGTGCGTGCTACTGAGTACTGTGTAGTTTGAACATATTTTACGTTTCTCTGCAAAGGCTATTAATTCTCTATTTATTTCATAAACGCGTATACATTACAGATTGAAAAGAAACTATTAATTAAGCCACAGACCATAATAATAACTATCATGTTAGAAAACGATCAGAAAGTTCTCAATAACTATAACATATTTTTTTATTGATAGCTTACAAGATTTTAAATGTGCCCTAGTTTATGAAAGGAACATAAATACCAAAAATACTAAATAGATCAGTGGAGTATCAGGACTGACAGCGCCCTTTTCGTTCTGATAGCACTGGAGATGCATATTCAACAGTGGAAAGGTTATGACTACATTTACAAAGTTGCTGCTCCAGTTATATACGTAGCTGCATGTGTCCGTTTTTGTGCGCACTCTGTACCAGCGGTTCAAATTTACCGGCAGCTTTTTTGTGGAGCCTTAGAAGATTTATTTGCTGCCTTGATTTGCCGTTCGTCTGATTGAAATAATGTCATTGGCGAGGTAATAGCGTTAGCGCTAATGTGTTGACTGTCGTCATTTGCAAACGCATCTGGAAGAATAAGCATGACCTGGTTTATTTATTGGGATTCCGCTCAGTGGAAAGCTGGCGGTCTCATTATTGCATGATGGACTTGAATGTATTGACGTCGCCTTGAGATTGCTTCACGGCATCGTTTTAAGTTTCATGAATATGCATGAAGAATACTGATTTAACAGATTGAATGCTAGGGTAGTCCATATTCCTCCAAGGACGGCAAGCAACAGCAACACAGGCGTACGGTGGTACACCGGAGTGTACCAAAATTAATATTGTGCATACATATCTGGTCAACCGTTAATACGATTTTGTAGGTACTTTTCATCGCCTAAGGGGGCATCCATAAATTACGTACGCAGAAAACCACGATTTTTTCACCCCTCCCTCCCCCTTCGTAGCGGTCCGTCACGTCTGCTTGAGCCCTCCCCCCTGGTTCGTTCAATCGTAATACATGGAGCTGACCACCCCCTCCCCCTGGGTTCGTCGAGGCCGTCACAGCTTGTCACACTTTTTGGACCCCTCCCTCCCTGGTTCGCTGCGTACGTAATTTATGGATCCCCCCTAAGCAGATTTGCTCATATTGGCATGAACCGCAAATTAGCGGGTGTGTGGTCGTTGCAGCTATACTGCGGCATATACATATGCACCATTAAGACGTATTTTAAAAGGGTTCAGATTTAATTGTGGAATTCTAGTACTTATATACCTACTCGTATAATGTGGGTCCGTCTTCCAGATATTAACGGCTAAACGTGTTATCAAAGAGTAGTCATGTGGAATTTTTCAAAACATTTTCGCAGAAGCTTCTACATACAAGACATTTTTCGAACATTTTGCAGTCCACTTTGGAATACCAAATTAGCACCACTTTGGCCTGGTATTTTAGAAGTAACTTGAAAGATTTTGGTTAAACGAGTATGTTTGGCTAAACAACTGGCGTTAAAAACGGCTAATTAGTTTGTTGCACTTTCAGCTATGTGGATTAGCCATTTTGGGCGTTGCTATATTTTTGCGGGTGGATCCAAGTACGCAGAGCATTTTTGATACGAAGGAAAGCAGTCGGATACAGAGATATCATGTTGCCACATACGTCCTTATGGGAGTCGGATGTCTTATGGCGGTTATTGGTTTTCTGGGATGCTGTGGCGCTCTGCGACAGAGCCGCTGTATGCTGGGAACATTCTTCGCATTGCTGCTGGTGGTGTTTATTGCCGAAGTCACCGGAGGCATTGTCGCTTATATCCATAGAGACCAGCTGGTAAAATGCCCACAGCATGTACTGTCTATCTACCGTATAAGCCACGAAATATTCGTAAAATTTACTTTATCGATATCATAACTAATGAAATTAAAATTTTAAATTAATTCCAAAAAAGTTTACACCGGGTTCGTTTTTAAAACTGTTCCGGTACGGCAGCTTGGACATTACTGCTATCAAAATTTCAGTGAACAGGTTTCGAATATGGCGTATGTGTGCTTATATTACCGTACGTGTGCAGAGAAATGTTTTCAAAATATTTACTGACACATTTTTATGAACCCCCGAAGCTTACATTTAGATCTCGTATTTTAAACTATTAAGCATTTTTTAATAATGATAAGTCTACTACTGCGACTTATTGCTAAATGCTACTATGCTTAAGTAAAAGTGTTCAGCAACTTCAGTTTACATGTTTTTTCGTGTCTAATCATTGTTCTTGGTTTTGACAATGTCTCAGAAACCGTGGTTTAAGCCTGATACAGCATACTAAGCTCTTTTACAGACACGGGCTTTCATGGAACAGGGATTTGGAGACATTGTGAGACGGGAGTACGGCAAACCAGAATTCCAAGCGCGAAGTGCATATTTCGACTTTGTACAGACGGAGGTGCCAATCAAAATTACGAATTTTTGTAATTAAGCAAACAGTTCAAACTTGCTTTACCAGATATTCATATTAAAATATATATCCTAATATTCAAAAAATTAAGCTTTTGTGTGGCCTGGTTGGGACATGATCGAGTGCTAACAGCTAATATATATGTAGAACACTAACGCATTTACTCTGTACATTTTGATATCGTCTTACCTACACACCCTTAAACCCATTAACATCTACAGAATCAAAAATTAAAATTAATAATGCGTTTAGATGGAATGTTGCGGAGCAAAAAGCTCATCGGATTGGTTCCGTTCAGAATGGCGAGGTGGAAATGGCGACATCGGAAGCAACGGAACGCAGAAATATCTTGTTCCCCTGTCGTGTTGTAAAAAGAATTTAACGGATAAAGATGCCATTGCAAGGTGTAGAGCTCCTGGACGGGAGGGCGTGGAACAAAACATTAACGATGAAAACGACTCGGACATCATCAACAAACGAGTTAGTGGTACTGTAGCAGGAATCTTTGCGGTGCGCCTAGAGCTTCCACTAATTTTGTTGTGGCCTATAAAGAATTTGACTATAATGTTGATTATGGCGTTGCCGACGATCAGTTGTATATACTACAGAGTATAATAATTATGTTTTAACTAAGGACATACAGTCTTAAGGCCAGACACTACTGCTACAAAGTAATGTTATTATAATGATATATTATTTGTTTACTGAAGTACAGTAAATTACTTGCTATTAAATTCTGGGTTGGAGTCGGCTATTTCATTGCCTACATACAAGTGTTCGATCGTACACTATTGCAATGTGCCATTAAATTCGCCTAAAGCTTCGCTTTTTTTAAGCTTTTGGGTCTAAAAAGCAATGTCTTTAGATTCGATCTTCAATTTATTTGAATAAAGCTATAAAGCAAATTAATAGCGGACAGCATCAACACAATCATCATATCCATGAAATTTTTAAGTTCATAAACTGATCAAGTTGATTTGTCTGCAGGGTTGTGTTGCGAAACTGATGGACATCGTGGATGCTTACAGAGAATTAGTAATTGGACTGGGTGTGGGATTTGCGATAATCCAGGTAAAGGTCTTATCATGCACACCTAGAATTCGACTCATTAGTTGCGTGAAGGTCAAAACGATTTGTACCACGGCCAATTATGCCATGATTGATATTACGAGCAGCACATAATGCAGTTAACATAGCAGCTTTTTAAGGATTGTACCGGTGAATTTTATTTCTCGTATTCATAAACAAATTACCTATTCTACTTTTTTCTTTCATATTTTTATGGGATCGATATTCTGCTTTACTTGTATGTTGGGAAACACCTACGGTATAACTTGTTCTGCCTGGTTACTAAACCGATATTAATATCACTGTAAATAACGTCTACCAGTATCGTGGCCGGTAAATAGCTAGGGTAATTAACTGATAGATTAATATACAAGAAGATAAATTTATTGAAATATGGTAAAATTAATATTTTAATCCATGCTTTCTAAAGCTTTCCATTTTCTGATTTATCAACTGACTGCCGACAGGGCATTGTGTATATACGATAAAGTTTTCAGTATTCATATAATTTTGTTGCAGTTTTGCCACAACACACGACCAAACTTTGTCAATTGACTTTTGCTTTTTTCAGGTGCTGGGGTTGATTTTCTCAATTATTCTGTGTTGCACTATCAAGCCCGATAACTACGGATACAAATCTTAGCTTTTCGAAGCAAGATTCTCAGTCCTTGACCAAATGCAAATATGTTGCATTGCCGTTAAATTCGGCATACACGGATTTTCCAAAATTTCAGCAGCCTAGCAGATACAAAATACACGAGTTTTTTTGCTACGAAATAGTTCTACAGATCAGAGTAACTGGAATTTGCACATTTCCGTTTTTTGTAATGATCGTAAACGCCACGCAGTTTTTGGCCTTTTACTATGTTAAACTGTATTTTTTGTTGGTTTTGCCATTTGTTTCTGTGGAATGTTTGATTTAAAAAAATTACATTCAAATCGCCGTAAGATATGCTCTGCTATTTTGAGATGGAGATATCAACGCGGCATCCAGTAATGTTCTGGTATAGATTCAGAGGAAAAAACATTAGTACGATGTCTGGATTAGGCCGTAAACTGAACCGAAACCGAGTCTGTGGTATCCTCGCAATTTTTTATTCGCCTGAACCAATTGCACGCCTGAAACAAACTCGCAGACGTAGTCACTTTGTTATTCCCTAAACGGCTGTTTTTGCTTAAAGCGCAATTAATTACAAACCTAACTGCAGCTAGTGTCATCAGCTATGCGTTTGTTGCACCGGTACTTCAAAAAACTGAAGATTCGCATTCGGAGTTGAATTGTTTTTTTCGTTAATAAGGCCGACTTTTTTCGACTTTTTTCGTTAATTTATGAACTGACAGCTACGAACTCTTATACGAAATGGACTCTTATATTTATTAATATTTCTGTTGAGCTTGAGCACATGAGTTGCAACTTGCAAGCGCTAAAGAATGTTTTACTGATGTTTGAACTGAATCCTTGATTTTTTGTGCACATTCGGAATCAGTGTCCAAAAACGCTTATTGCACATTATATTGTTCGCTGTTAACCAAGTGTCGTCACATTTTTTAATGATTTAACAAAACGATGGAATAATAAGGTTAACCTTTACATTACAAAAATTTTAGACGATGATTAATTATGATTAATTGATTAATAACAATGTAAAGGTATTCTGTAGTCACCCAATTAGCGTACTGCTGTGATCGCTCAACGCGTATTTTTGCGCCTTTGTTGCAGTGCAGTTACCATGAGCATCTCTTGTAAGCTTGCATTGGTTTTCGCGATCACGTCGAGTGGTTTCTAAACAAATGAAAAACGGCACCAATTCAGCGAGCATTAAATGGAGTAAAAAATAAACAGAAACGAAGTATTCTGGCGGTAATATGGCCAAATGTCCATGGGGATGCCTTTCCGCGTTAGCTTTATGCGTGTGTACCCATCAACAGCTGCATCCGGCTAACCAGGCATTTGATATTATTATGCATACAAACAAGTCCGTTCGTATTGGAAATCAATATTTTATCAATGGCCAGAATAACATAATGCTGTACCTATCAATTATATTGTCTATTTCTTCGGAAGTCAGCACATTACATGTACGGCAAGGTTAAACGTCAAACTATATATAGAAGTATATATGCTATGTGCGATTATGTATGTACTTGTATACCAGTACACGAAGAACGATAACAGCATCAACGTATCCCTGCAATTTTGAAAATGCACATAAACGTCATTAACACGGCGATAACTACGAGTATATATGTGTCGCAAAGTACTGTATACGTATTGTTGTAGTTGTAAGTCAAAGAACGGTCTAAACAGTTTCTGAGGATTGGTTGAAGAATGTTGTGTAGTTTGAATATTATTAGTTTTTCGTGCCCTTGTAGTTAAATGCAGCTTCTCGTACGTACTAGCTAACAAAAAAACATGACAAAATACAGACGCTATTCGGCTATTTTTATGAAAAGGTCATCCATATAATATATGGTCTGGCAGGTGAGAATTTGGTCATTCTAATTTCGATGCCACCCAACTTAAACATTTTAGCAAACATGTAGACGATATGAATCTTGCAAAAAATGATCTAAATTAAAATAAGCAGTCACACAAAATAGGAAATGACACGTCGGGCTGATTAGAGCACAACTAATAATTATGTCACATGTACAACTGATTCTCTACACCGGAGCAAACGTATGAAAAGCACTTAAATGAATCGTGTGATGAATGCTGCGTAAAAGTACTAGTATGCTGGCTTTAAATTAATTTTTTTCATCCTTTTAAACGCTTACGTATGGTTTTTTTACTGACGCAAGGCAATGGACGGATTATCATCATACAGCTACTGTATTTGGCAGTAGTCGTTCAGATGATTTTACTTTTCTTTTACAGTTTAGAAATTTTAATTATGGTATTGACAGACCACGATTCCTAAGTTTCTCGTGCACAACCGGAAAATTCAAGTAACAACTGTGGAAAAATTTGTAAGCGCATATCTGTACTTTATATTATGACATTTGTTTTATTCAGTGTGTTGGACTGATCATGGAATGCAGTTCAGTACGCGGTACTTACGTACTGCCACCCTCGTTCTCACTGCCAGGGTATCTATTAGCACAAAGATCTTTTCCCGCACGTAATATATACAGACGTTTTGTGCGGGGTCATTTACAGCACGAAAATTTTGCAATTCCACTCGGAAAGACGTCTCGAGGGAGTTTTAAACATTTCTTCCCGTTTCGTCCTGCACGGCACTGCATGCGCGTATGTGTCTGTTGGCATCATTAGGAATTTGAGATGAATATCTCAAGCTAACACAAACGTAAACGATGTCGTCCGTATATTAAAGGCTCATTGCACATGATTTCGATTTTGCTACGGTTTTCTGCGTATTCATCGAACTGCTAGCTGTACAGTAAAGCGCATTTAGACTGGAAGCCGGCACAACATTTGCATCCACATCGGGATATCGTACAGATATACCAGTACGTACCAGCCGCTTATGACAAGAACGTCGTCTGGCCGGCGCTAGGGATGTCGATGAAAAACCCGGATAGCTCGCTGGCACAGCACGTATAAATTATTGGATACTCGTACAACACAGTGGAAATGACTGTGGATGAGAAGGAAAAGGATTGCCCATGAGGAAAGTGGCTTGGTATGAAAAACAGTACATTTTTGGCCGCCCAAAAGCTGACAGGCATCCAACATCCTCTGTGCTTTCTACACAATTTTCTGTACCAGTGTATTTAATATATTATGCATTGGGCGGCAAATTATTTTGAAAAGAGCCTGGCCTGTTGACTGCCGTCACGACTATTTCTAAAGTGCTGTCATTAGAATCCGCAAACGTCAGTTCAACTCAATTACCAGAACTCTATATGGATACTTTTACAGTACCATAACTTCTACACGACCATTTTATTTTATTAATTTTTGCAATTTATGTGCCCATTTGCAGCCTTTCGGCCCTGGCGTGCAGAATCACCAAACTTTCAACCTGACCTAGGAGTTTCAGTAAATTTTTTAATTATAATAAGAACGAACGAATATCATTATCGTATTCCAACCAGAGGATTTTCTTGCCTGGAATTGGTGGCCTTTTGTAGTGTGATCAGTGAGCCCGAAAAATACAAGTGCAACCGCGGATGATCTTGACTGCAGGACGTAGCCGGCATCTCCACTGCTTTCCAGGCAGAACAAAATCTCAGACACAGTATTATGCTCTCGTTCTGAAGCGTAAAAAACAGGTAACTACGGTTTGATCTTCACGTTTTTATTTCAAGCTTTCATGCTGTGCTTGCATGTCGATATTCTATTGGAATGTAAGTAACATTTATGGAAGAAAGAATTTCAACTATTAATGGATTTCGACTATGTACTGTAGTTAAGTGGATGTTTATATGCAATTATGCATTATAGCTAACCGTTGTACGTTATTAGCTTTTTGGACAACAGATATTCTGCACTACAGATCGTATCTTGCAGTGTTACACTGTATAATATATAGTATTTGCTGGATGTTTGAGTTTACGTCATTTTACGATAACTGGCTGCTGGGTTTTATGAACCTGAATGGATGATAAATAAAATAAGGAAAACACTAATAAAAATAAAAAAATAAATAAATAAGATGAACATAGATGTATGAATATGAATGTAGCTTTAATAAATGTTTCGTGCAGAAATATGGTAAACTGCGGTAGCTAGTTGTCGTGACACAAATCCGCTGAACTACATCAGTATGCACTAATAAATCGCTTTTGTAATAAAAAATGAATTGTCTTGGTTCGTATTCATCCTTTAGCGCACTTCCCAGAGCAAGGCAGTGTTCGCCCATGTAGACATATTGAAAGACAATTTATAGGAATATACTTACTGTAATGAATCAACTTCACATTCACAGTCTTTCGTGTTTTTTATCCCACAACTTGAGTGATGCAGAGCAACTCTCTGGGAACCTAGATAACTATGAGCTAGTGAAAGATTTTGTCTATGAATGAAAGGAGAGTCAGGTATTAATTTCAGAAGTCCACAGGGTTGCCAGTATATTAACCTGCACGACAACTCTTTTCCCCTTTCATACTCGTAATTTTCAGTTTACTATTTCCATCCTAATAAATACTGTAAACTATTTAGTGGTGTTTGTTAATAACGAGTAATGGTCTTGGTGGACTACAATCAGAGAAATTTGACTTCTGAAGTACGCCGGTGTAACGGTTTTAGTTTGTAATGAAAGATGTTCGACATTTACAGACAGATTTATGAGCGATATTCTACTCGGCGCATGGTTGTGTTTGACGTAAGAGGTGGCTTGTAATCCTTTTAACATGCGCGCCAACATATTAAATTATCTTCTCTCGGCTGTAAGCTTGGTATGTGCAAATTGTTTATGTGAACTAATGATCGATTAATACTGCATAAAGTTATTTTTAGTCGGAGTCATTTAGAAATTCGCACATGTTGTAATTAAGCTCTTGGACCACTGCGGATCACAAAACTACATTCACAGCTTAAGCGGCAGCCAGGTTCTGAGATGCCAGTTACCTAGTCAGAGTTGTCAAACATATTTTGTTTTATCGCTTCGCAAAAAAGTGCCGAACAACATCGTTCTTAAAAGCAAGGAAATTTTCTGTTTTTGTCAGGTGGAGCGAACAAAGTCAAAACTAGTTTATGCTACTGTAACTTTAAACTTTGTAAAATATCTTCTTAACCGTGAACACTGCAGCACACAGTAACAACGAACGTAGTGCAGACAGTGATCCTCGGAGTACTACTTTTTAGATACGTCGATTATAATAAATGTCGGTTTCAATGTCGCCATTCGCCGTTGCAAAGTCATCCTCATCTCCATTGAAAAATATTGATTTACCGCATCCATCGATTGCGTTTTACAGACACTGGTTAATTAGTTAACACGTACAGTACATGGGCAAAAAGCATTATGGATATTTTGTCAGTGTTACAACATATTATAATATTGTTGCTGGACTATAAAGTATGAACGGAGCGATTACCAGCAAAGTCGAACAATATGTTTTCTGTCAGAAATGTAAAATCTCGTGCAAGGCCACGAAGGATCATTTTACTAGTTGTCTATATTGAACCGGCAACCATGCACTCTGCGAAATGTCACTTTTTCCACTGCTTCGGTTAAACCGACTGTGATTGAGCGGTCTTTTAATCTCTTTGTGTTTAAAATTTACCGTAACACAGAATTATATAAAATTAACACTAATGTATCGTGCTTCAGAGTCAAAAAAGCTCATCATAATGAAATAAATCAAGCTCATAATAAATTCGAAGTACATTCGAAGTAGAAGTATACGGTCATTTGCAAGTGGTATTAAAGCATGCAGGCGACAGAGGCACTGTATGGTTGTAGTACTATAGAGTAGCGCATAGGAACATTACACCACATATCTGCTTTTTGCGGTGTCTGTCGATCCAGCCGCCGCACGTCATCGATTCCGAAGCGTCCTTCCCGCTGCTCTATCCTTTGCATTTTCCTGATTGTTCTGATTGCATCTATCGCTTTTTAAAATTATAGATCAGGACTGAACTGTTTCTGGCGGTGGTGTAGCCAATTGCTCCGGAACAATCTCCGCGCACAATCTAACTGATACTCACATCAGCCAAGCGAAATGGCTATTGGATTGGGTGCTAAACTTGCACGACTTCTTTTATTGACTTTCAATCTGATCTTCTGGGTAAGTGTTCCGCTGCTCTTTCTAGCCATCAGATTTTCTTTCTGCGCATGCAAGAAATTTTTAATTGATTAGGCGAAGTATAGAAACCGTATTCTGGGCACGTATGCTTTGGACTTTCGGTTTTTGGAGTCTGTTGACTCTTGCCAAGCCCAGATTAAGAACGTAACTGTGGACGGTTTCTGGGTCAAGTTAACACTTTGGCCTTTTTAATATTTGCAATAAAATCCCCATTCAACTACGCTAGCGCCAGTTTCTAAATATTTACGCTAATAAAAGTTAATATGAACTACAGCATCAAAGTTCGAAACGGATCACCAAGCGTGTGTGCATGCGTGGCCATTTTGACCAGTGGCTCTTTACAGCGCGAACCCAAAACTGAGGTCTGGCGTATTACGTATTGCGTAGGGAGCGGTGCAGATGATTTATGGGATTTCATGTTTTCTGGGGTGGTATTAAAATGGTTATTGCTGGTCCTCTGTTCATAAGTGACTCCTGTTTTAGTCCTACACTTCGAGTTGCTGCAGTTCTCGTGCCTGAAATGAATACGCGACTGCCGAATGTGCCAAAATAAAACTGTTAACGGTAATAAATTTTCAAAAAAAAATTAGCGAGAGAAGACAATGGGAGGTTATAGCGAGAGTGTTTCCGATTCATGTTAGAGAACTTCGTAGTTAGCACGTAGCATCCTCCGTGCATTTTCCTTCGCGACATTTCAAAATCTCTCTGTCATCATTGCGCCATCTCTTTTTGTTAAATATGAGATATTTATAACAGTGAGGAAACAATGCAAATGCTATGCAGACTATTTTTCCTATAATTAGCTTTCGGGGATCGGCTTGATCGGAGCAGGAATATGGATGTTTCTAACGGAAAAAGGCGAAGTGTTCGCTATAGTACAGGTCAGTGGGAGCCTAACGATGTCGTTGCTGTATTCATCACTGCGACGGTAATAACGCTCGTTATGTTGCCGCAGCCGGAAGGATCAGTGCCGATGATCAAGATAGCAGCGGTAGGTCTGGCGCAGCTCGTTGTTTACCGTATAATGTTCTCTTTTAATCGAACATTCCATTTGCAGTATGGTATAATCGGGATAGGCTGCTTTGTGTTACTGGTCGGATTTCTGGGATGCTGTGGAGCTATGCACGAAAACCGCTGCATGCTTGTGACCGTACGTGTTAGCCTTGTTCTTAGCGTTTTTATATGATTTTCTACCGTTTGGAAAATGTGATACACTGTACACAGACAACAGAAGTGACAGAACGCTTTTATAACAAAAAAGGCTTTAGATTTGACTTTGCACTGGGATAGGGTGAATTGACTGAATTCTTTGTAGCAGGTTTTCTGAAAGTGTATAGGGCAATTTATTATGGTTTACACTTTTTTTTGTATTTGGCAGTATGGTTGGTTTTATTCTGAATGAACTAATTTAAGCCGTTTGACAGAACCGGGTTTGATATATAAATCTGTTTATTGCAGTATTTTGCTGTAGTCCTCGTTATCCTCTTGGCAGAAATAGTTGGAGGAATTTTGGTGAGTTTATAAAGCCCACTGACAGAAAACAATTGAGGAATTTACGGCTGACGAAAGCTTATCAGTTCGTGTTTTATTACAGATTGTGGTGTTTAAGGGCGAACTTGATTCCAAACTGCAGAATAATCTCCAGGAAAATTTGCAGAAGAATTACGGCTTACTGCCCGACCACAAAGCAGTGACCGGTGGATTTGATACCATACAGAAAAATGTAAGGAGTTATATTTGCTGAATGCAGAATTGCTATGCAGATATGAGTAAGATTTTCTATTGCTGCATTAGGGCAAGTGTTGCGGAGTTGTGGGGCCTAACGATTATGCGCTCTCGAACTGGACGAAGGTCAATGAAGCCAAAGGGCAAAAAAACGAGGTAACTCGTGCTGTACACACAGTATCGCTGTTACGAATTTGCTTTGCCAGTTGAAGTAACTAACCTATTTGTTGCTTTTGGTAGTACGTATACGAATAATTGGTTTTAGAAAGAATGATAGTGAGCAGTGCTGTCGATACCTTTAAGAAATATAAAACCATTTCATCACTGCTTGGACAGTATTAAGCAGTGCGTGATATGGAGTTTTATATTTCAATTCGATTCCAAAAACTTTCATTACTTGCAACACTAAAGATAAAAAACATGGTTTCCGGAGTTTTGCTCTTGGATACGGGTTGACCTGTTTCTACAATCATATAGGTGCCCGATTCTTGTTGTGCGCCAGGTTCAAATCCTTGCGAGAAGTATCCCATTGGATGCTATGATCAAGTGAAAAAGAGCATTTCCGATGTCCATGGAATTCTGATAGGTGTAGGCGCTGGAATAGCAGCCTTAGAGGTAATAACAATTTGCTTAATGTATTGAGGTTGCGTTGCATCAGCGAGCAGTTATTTCATACCGTGGTTTAGTCTCACCCAAAGTGTGATTAATGTGCCTGGACGTTGTTGTTACAGCTGCTGGGAATGATCTTTGCAATTTGTCTGTGCCGGAATATTGATTACGATATTTGACTGTAACATTCGATCATCCAAATCCGGTTGTGGCAATATGACCACCTGGTTTCCTTTTATACGATTAACCATCGTTTAGAAGATGTGTTACACAGAAGTGACAGAACGCTTTTGTAACAAAGATTAACTTGAGTTCCTGCTAATGTTTCACTGGGATATTGTGGATTCTTTTTTTCCGGTTATATAATGTACAAGCTACAGATGTATTGCTGGTGCTGTCGCCCTTAATAAATGTTCGTTTTGTAAACATTTTTCTTGCAAGCGACTAATTGCTGGAAAACAGAATGTTATTCAAACCAAAAATTTGTTTACACATTAAACATCTACTTGCAAAACAAGACACAATAATCATTCCTGCAATGAAAAAATAAATAATTAAAAATCACTAACCAGTAAAAAATGCAGATCGTTTTTTGGAAGAGAAACTAAAATACTACGTATGTCACACTGCAGTAACATTCTGAAGTGGAGAAACAAAATTTCTGAGCAGCATAAAATCCACATCACACTGGCTATGGTCCAAAACTGGCATCAACAAGAAACCCTCAGCATGGGCAACATTTACGTGCTGGAACCAGACCCTTGGTCTCCGCCATCTCTGGATGACGGGGTGCGGAACAGCGTTTTTTCCAGCCGCTTCAGCTTTTTTCGGTATTCGTGTCTGAAAGTAATCTCATACACTTGACTTGGTTTAGCCCATATAACAAACGAAACAAATACGAAAGTAAATACTTACGCAATTCTTTCCCACTTGCGATGGTTAAGTTTCGTGAAATCAGTTTCTTCAGCAATAGCCTCCAGATATTCAGCGAGCTTAACCAACTCCATATCTTTGTCCCGATTTTCGAACGCGCGGCGGTACTGTGTGATCTATGATAGAATGCATGTGCTAAAATCCAGTAACAACAATCCATTTTATTAGTTGCAGTATCAGAGGAACTAACGCGTATTCCACTCTTGGGATTCATTAAAAAATTGCGCCTCAGATCGTCGACTATAATCGTATTCGTTTCGCTAAACTGTGGAAATTTTCCTGTAAAAAACGTTTTCTGTTCTCACATTTTCCTGTGGGCTCGAGTAAAAAAACTGAAAAAACGCAATTCGCAAGCTACGGGAAATAATGCATAAAAAAATATGGCACAAACCAATACACATACCCCAAATTACACCAAGAGCTTTCACCTGTAAAACAAAATAAAATAGTGAAACGAATAAAGGCAATCCAAGTCATAATATTATCCGAATGCTTTATACGAACACTTACGGTACAAGGGCCTTCAGGTCTGTGAATCTGAATCATGGCAGCATCGTCCAGCAAAGCTGCAATCTTATAATGCCCAGCGCGAGCATTGGAAGTGATTCCTAGTTCCTGAAGTTTAGCTACAATCCACCGCTTGCTCGTAGCCGACCAGATGATAATGTCAAAATTCCGATAGGCTACTTGCAGGAACTCGTGCAGATATGGCCGCATTAGCTCCTGTCCATTTTGACCCACAGAACCTGTATTCGAAATTCGGTAGTCGGTACTTGAACTACTACTAACTCCAACAAATACGAGATTGGCAAATTCCACCGCCAATAATCGTCGTACCGTTATCAAAAATGGTATAGTCGATGTCCAACACCAGTAACTTTTTTCCCTCGCGAAAATGACTCATTATCTATAAGGTGACCACTAGTATTACTCTAAGAAAACACTGACACTTATTAATTTCGGGTAATTCGAAAGCCGTATTACGATGCTAAGAGATGCCGCTTTTAACTCTTCCGCGGTACTGTAACAATAACCTTGTTCCACTTAAGCGGAAGTAAAGAAAAAAAACTACCACACAGGTCCAACTTTCCAAATTCGATTCCTACAGTACTTAGTTAACGGACCACGCGTAACCAAATGCCATAATAAATGCCATAAATGCCATAAGTAATTATTCTGCCCGCTCACTGTTTATGCGACCGCGAATGATGTCATACTTCGAAATCAATTTTGGCGCAATTTAGACGATGCCATACCTGCATGCGATAATCTCGAACGTGTCTCGATATTTTCTCTAAATACTCTACGCGGGCGGCATAAGGTATTTCGGGGTCAGCCATCACTTCAAAATCATTAACCACATTTCCGCTGTCCGGCTGATTATCCCAAAAAGACGTCTGAAAAGTGAGAAACACTGCGACAATGGAAATTCATTACTGCTGTACTAAATAGTGCTTCAAATGACACAAACCAGTGTTTCTTCGGGAGTTCCAATCATCATAATTCTTTGATTACGTTTGAAGATACTTCCCAAAGCCAGCTCGTCTGACAGAGTTTTTCCTGGTAAAAAAATAGTAAGATATGCGAGATCTGACAGCGAAAAGAGTTTCTTCCCCAACACTTGTAAACACACTTTGTAAATTTCACTTAAATCTGATGTACCTGCTCCCGTGAGTTTCTGCCGATGAGGCAGGACGTTCGTGTGCTCGAACAGCACTTCTTTCAGCTGCAAAATCGTTGCGGACTGGCTCAGGGTGGAAACAGTGATTTCCTTTCCACTCCATTTCACCATGACGGGATGACTGTTGTCTTCACCAGCATCCCCGCCAACAGGATCCGCAGGAATTAACGAGGCATCTGCGAATGTTTGAGTCACCGTCACTTCGCTCACGGTTATCGACATGGAAGTCGAAGGATTCAGGCTCAGATCATCTGCCATAATTTTCTTCGACAGTATTTCTTAATCTCACTATCGATAGTTGAAATTTGCGGATGTAATACTGCTGTATCTGTTTTATATCGCTTCTCGCACTAAACGTACAACAATGGCTTTAATACACTGCCAGAAAAAAGGCAAGTACTCAGTATTAAACCAAATCCAATCATCACATCAACAACGCGCGCAGCCGCCGCGGGTCGGTGGTAGCCCAATGTCACTTTTCCTCTTATGGCAAAGGTGTCACTAGCTCAACCGCCCAGTGTGTCGTTCAATTTTTTGTCTAACTGCTGTACGGGTACCAATCATTGTACCATGTACAGTACATATCTATATATAGATATTAAATTCTATTAATTTTAAATTATTTAATTAAGTTTGCTGTTATCACTTATCAGTAAGTACTTCAAACTTTAGAGCAAAATTATGTTCTGTGCAGATTAGACTGCGAGGTTTAGCTGATGCTGAGTAATGATGTTTGATGTGAAGTGACGTTTTCTTAAGGCTGTGTAAGAAATGTACTGTTTGAACACAATATCTATAATAGTATTATAAAAAGTACTCGAAGTACTTACACTTGTGCATACCGTGACCTTTAAGCAAGCGCCTAAATTTTGAACCAAGCTGCCGAAGAGTCCGTAAAACGACATAACAACCTAACAAAGCGTGCAGACTGCAATAACAAATTTTATGAAAATAATAAGACTCGTGCTGTGTATGGACAATCGAAAATTAATAAATAAAATAACCGAATTTGTTTATAGATCGTCGTGCGCAGACTACTACTGTCAAGGGTTGAAGGAAAGCCTACATAAATTCGACGCCGCTGCGCTGCGATCCGAGAGCCAGCTTGGGACGAGGGCGTAAGTCCTCTCACGGTACGAAGGTGCAATATAGTCTGCAGGTCACCTACCAGTAGATACCTGCAATTTGCAAACGCCATTTAACCCCGAGTTTCCTTGCAGTACAGGAAGACGAAACGGGATAGTTGCGCGACTTATGTGTGCCTGCTAGTCAGCGATTTAGCATACGAGCTAGCCAGTATTTGACAAACTGTAAGTTTGCGTCAGATAAGTACAATACAGCATTTTCTTGTGTACAATAGCCGCGGTACGTTAACGTTAAAAAAGTCGCTCCCAAAACGGACCCAGGTACGTATACGTAAGCGCGCGTAGGTTACAGCAGGCGAAACAGATTTTATTAGATACCTGAGTGCGTTAAGCAGACGAGCAGCTATGACATATTCTGAAAACTGTTATTGATTTCCTCATTTGAATCAGGCGGATTGGACAAACCGTATGTGCATGCGCAATGCTGCACAAATGTTCCATCTATCTTAAGCAATCTGTATGCATTTTACTCCAGAGCTTGTGGGTAATTTGAGTTGTGCCTCAGAGTCTTCAGGACCGAAAATTACTGTTGTACATTCCTGTAAAGAAACTGACCATGCAGATCCTATCCTGTTTTATTGTTCGGGTTTGGGCGATGGAAGAATTACCGTTTTTCTAACTCCTGCATTGTCTGTCGGTGAATTCATACTCAAGTGGTACAGTATGTCCGAACCCAAGTTTCGATGGAATACGTTGTAAATTTGTAAGCCAATTTCAGTTTTGGAGCTACGAATTGCGTGCAATGCAGCGTCGAGCTCCACCTCCAGTAAATCGTAATGCACCGGACAATCACCGTTCTGGGATCGTCCAGCAACTCCCTACACTTCCCGCTGATACCATCGGTGCTGCGGCCGCTTTCCAAACTGCTGATACCAAGTACGTCTGTGACAATTGCGGCTTAGGTTTTCATTTTGTGGCAATAGTAAAACTGCGCCATAAGCGCCTGTGGTTAAAAAAACAAATGCTGTACATGTACGGTGGAATAATGGAATAATTCTGTGTTCGATGTTTATTTCGTAGTAGGTTGATCGATATACTTGGCAAACCCTCGGCTGTTCGTTTGGCCCATTTCAACGGGCAATTTAATGGCAATATTTTGCAACGCGATGCTGAAATCGTCACACAGTCCTGTAGCGAAAAAGCGGTAAAATTATTTTTACGAGAACGTACAGTAACTGTACTCCACCGGTTTTTGGAAAACCACGGCATAATTACAGTGTCAAGCGCAGTATCCAGCGGTTCCGCATACGGTGGATCCAAAACACCGTCGCCCATTAGCGAAATTTTTACGCCTAATGGAAGATGCTGTTATGGAACAACTGGAACTCAATATGATTTGTGATACCGAAAAAAGTAAATAAGTTTATTAGAAACGTTCCATTTTATAAAGTTCACGTGTTGTTTGATATTCACTGTGATATGCGCGCTAAGCGGCAAAGCCGCGCTCTAGTCGAATACCGTATATATATGATTAAACCGCGATTTTTGTCATTGGATTATGAATTAATTCTGTTGCAAATTCGCTGCATAGAACCAGTAACAATTCGCTCGCACGACTGGAACGTGGCTTTAATATTGCTGAGTCTTAGTATTAATTACCGTTCCGTTATTTCAAACGTATTGAAATGCATTCCAGGAATCTCCCATATGCCCTTCTACAAACTGTATCTCTTATGTTTTTAAATAAGGAATTGCTGCTTAATTTACTTACATGCATAGATTACGATGTGGAACTGGAATTCAAAACGGACAGTCTGGACTTCTTAGCCTCGCTTGACCGTAATCACCTTTCTGTTCAGTGCTGCACATCCCTCTGTTGGAATTCTGCCGGTTCGCTACTCGCAGCAAGGTACAGTAAATATTTAAGCAGTAGGATGTATGGCATTGTTTTCGGTCTTAAACTATAAAAATGAGAAATTGCAGTTAACTGCATGAGCTAGCAATTAAAAATCGTGATTGATGATAATACATAATTTAATTGATTTCGAATAACCAGTCTTCTGCATGCAGAGTTTTGTATTAAATCTGTGCTTACCATTTGCGTTCTTCTTAATAGCTTTGGAGAAAAAGGTCATGACACATTCTGCGATCACAAGGGAGGCGTCATTGTATCGAAAACAAATCGGATAACCATGAAAAGCGAGCTTCGATCTTACATCACATGCGAAACTGACACCTGCATTTCGTCTACAGCTTTCCATCCACGCAGACCGAATCTGCTTGCAGCCGCAGGATGTAATGGTATAGTAAGATCCCATCTGCACGCCGCGAAATCAGATTATATTTTATCGGATTTTGACCAAATGCTTTTTAATTTAGGACAAATTTTTCTGTGGGATATAGTAGCCGCAACCCCGGCTACTGCAAATTTAATAGGAGCCAGTGGCATGCGAATTGCCGGGGGTCACAGCGAATTGATATCCTGCATAAGGTGGATTCCGATGGATATTAAAAAGCGAACTTTCATGGTACTGCTGGAAGTTCTCGAAACGAAATCAACAAAAACAAGTTATTTACTAAGTATCCTTCTCGCATCGATATATTTCTGCTCGTTACAGTCTTACAGATAATCCCACATCTGTTGTGCGTTTAAGATCATGTGCAATCTGTGACTAACAAAAGTATATCGATGCTTAAATCATAAAATTAAACATAACCGCATATGAGTAACTGTCACTGGTGCAACAAAAATAGTAAACCTAAAACCTAAGGGCAAACAAAAATTGAAAATTTATGTTTAAAAACTCCGAATGCAGATTTTAACCGGGGCTTGTGATGGGCGGCTAATGACATGGATAAACCAAACTGCGCAAAAACAGAGCAGTTCCACTGCTGTGGCAAACATCGTGCCACGCAGGCACACAACTGTCGAATCTGGAGCTATTCAAACGCACAACCAAGAGAACACGGGAAATTGTGGCGTGTCCAGTTTAAGTACGCAATCGCAAACGGACGACGGGTACTGCATCGTGGGAACAGATACGGGTGCCGTTCTTCTGTGCAATACACAGCGGTTTACGGACGCGAAGTTACCAATTACGGGTACATACATAATTACGCGTTAACTGAATAAGCATTTAACACCGCTATGAAAGATGAACTATCAAAATACAGTATTTCTAATGTGAACTAATCTGTTTAACTGTTCTGGCAATGTTTCAGTGACAGCAACAGCACTGAATTTCGTTCGACATTTGGGACCAGTTACATGTGTAACATTTTCTCCGTTTTCGACGAAATGTTTTGCCACAACATCGCTTGACGGGAGACTGAAAATATTTCAAACAACTACGGTAAAATACGAGCGACGAAATTTGATAACGAAGCGGGAATCAAAGTACGTCTAGTATAGTTAACCAACCGTCTTTAGAGTCGACCTTTATTGGAAGTCGCGATATTAGAACAGCCAACGTCCTGTGCATGGTCACCGTTTCGTCCGTTTGTACTCGCCGTTGGCACTATTACGGGAACAATTTTATTTTTCGACTTTATTTCTTTGAATGGAAGATCTGCCCCAGTTAAAAAAGCTGCCATATCCGAAAATCAGGAAGAAATCTCCTGCTTAGCCTTTAATATTAAAGAGTAAGTAGAAAGGTACCTTAAAACAAGAATCCTTTAAAAAATTCAATACACAAATGTGTTGGAATATTCTGGACCCAATTAAAAAATTCCTGTACAGTGCTAAAAGCATAAACTCAGTGCCAGTTTAAAATTTAGCAATCTAACTCCACCCCGACAGAAATATACAATCAATCCAACAACATCCCCCTTAAATGTGTTTTCTATCATAGTGAGGAACTTCTGGCAGTTGGCGGCAAAAACGGAGTCCAGCTGTGGAAAGTGCCAGACGCGCTTGCCAAACCCATCTTCGACGAGATAAAGGATTTCCAGTCGTTTATACAATCCGAATACTGATAAATTCAGGAACATCAAAGAAATGATCCAATCAGTCCGGTTTTGCATTCACTTCCGCTGTATGGCAATATTTTTCCAGCCGCTGTAAGAACTCCGCTCTTAAAGCAGCGACTTCTTTATCAATGTGAGCTTTAAGTCTTTCCTCCATTGATAATAAGTCCAGTTTGAGACTGTCGATTTTTTGAAACAACACGTGCATAGGCAATATTTGCTCCGGCGAAATTGTGGACGGAAGTTTTCCCACATTAGATATCGTAGCTGTGATCGGATGTGTTCGGGTTGCATAAATGTGGAAACCAAAAAATGTGATTGTAGACTGCAATTTCAGGGGGAACACCTGACGAAACAAATCAATCCATCAATAACCATCAACCAAGATTGCGACATACCATAAGTCGTTAAAAAAAGTACAACTATAAAAAATGTGGTATGTATAAAGTATAAAGCAGTATAACCGAAGTTGCCATCAATTCACAGTAAACACCATGTCTCGGCATTAACAAAAGCACATGCTACTTTGGTAATTTACAGTTACGTACACATGTCCAGTTATGCATAATAAGCAATAAAATGCATTCACAAATTAACTTAAAAAATAAATATGCCTGCTCATCTGAGGCCAGCAAAATACTATATTAATATATACGTGCGCCATTTAGTATTAATCTCACTTTAAATGCCTAGAATATAAAACTTTAACAATAATAGATGGTTATGCACCTGTAAATCGATTGCCGGAAGCACTCTGGACACTAGATCTATAGTGTGTCCGTGAATAGTTGTACCCTCGAATTCGTCCAGCAGTTGACCACGTGATGTCTGAATATATCCAACAGATGGTCCGAAAACTTCGATGACTGAACTATCCACAATGATAACGAGAGTTTTTACAGAGAACTCTGCAGGACATTCCAGACTGATCGCGCAAAATCGCTCATCGGCGTTGGGTTTAACGAGTTCACAGCACGTGCTCCCATCCGCATAATCCTCCAGGTCTATGTGTTCACTGCATAACAAAATGTCCGGTACGAAGTAGAACGAAATACCAAATGTTGTTAGTACGAATTTTAACAGTATTATAGCAAGACTGTAAGAGACTAAGAGACTTTTTAAGAGATCAAAAATAGCATACTAACAGACATTTTAAGACATCAAAACTTAGAAAATTTAAGTATCATTAAAAGTCAATTAAGTCTAGGAGTCTGCATGCATGATATCTTTAAAAAAATTAGCGTATTCTATGATGCGGCGGCAGTTTTGGGCAGTTTGCACGTATAAAAACCGTTGGATAACGCTAATTATGGTATTCGCTCGTTCTGCAGACTGCCTGACCGCGTCTTTCATCTTCTCTGGCAGATACTACAAGCTACAAACACGTACCCATCAAAATCAGCAGAAGAGTGAACACGAACAATGTTTCCCAGTTCCTGTTGACTGGAGCTGGATTCCCACGTTGATCTCGTAATAATCTTGCGGGACAAAAGCTCAGCCATAACGTCAGTGCTTGCAAGCACGTAGCATATGTTCTACATGAAGTAGATACCTCGCAGTTACAAAAAATCCGTGAAATTGAAAACCAAATCATTTAAAATTCAAGACAATTTTTTCGCCTTGTTAAACTGTTAGTTGTTAGTAAGTAGTTCAATGTCTGCCGCAAATACAGTACTTAACAAATTTAACGAGTACTGTATCTGTATAGAGCGCTGTAGTGTACGTAGTTGCTAATGTTGTGTGGCAGCCTCGGCTCGTCACCACAAAGTTGCCAACCCCGGCGAGAGCAGACATACCAGGGTAGTATGTCCGCTCTCCCCGGGCTAAGGTCTTCGCCTCGGCTGCCAGTCGGCAGCCGACGCAGCGTGTCCGATCTGTAACCAGAAGGTTTCTGCCGGAGTTTCATCATTCCTCGTCCATCCTCAACTCATCGCTCCTCAGTGCCCTTTGGCAGGGTTTTCTCTCCAAACAATTGACCAACCATTTTACCGAAGCCTTTAAAATGTCGGTGTCTGGGGTAAGTTCAGCTGTTATGTCTCGTTTGTCACATGTCATATCGTAAAATATGGTTCTAGACTTTGAGTTGGCATATGAGGTGTGAAAAGTCAGTAGGTTCTCCCGCAGAAACTACATTGTTAGAACGCGCCGATTTAGATCACAATGTATAGTGATGGTAACAGATGTTTTTTACTTGGATGCAGTTGATGAGCTAATCATTGTCATGGTGGTAGAATGGAATTACCTTGAGAAAGAACACAAAGACAGCACTTTCTGTTTTGCCTCGTAACAAGTATCATGTGTAATTTGTTCCGAAAAACTTAAAAGCTCAAAGATGGTTTTGAGAAGTCTGGCACTATGTTGAGTCCTTAAAATTGTTTAAAAAGTTGTCATAAATTTTGAACTGCTGTTGTGGGGTGCTAATTCTAGTAGGCTGGCGAAAGGTCCGTGGGTAATAGATTCATCATCATCACTATCAGTACAGTACTGAGTACTCGCACTTTAATACAGTATAAGAGCGTGGGGTATGTAAATTATGTTTTCTTGATTATAGTATTGACAATTGAATGGTACGTTTTTGTCGTTTAGCATGTTATGTTAAAAGTCATATTCTCAGAAGTTTCAGAGTTTTCACTACCGTGATTCAATTTTCATGTGATCAATTACGTTATGTTACTTAATACTTACTATCAGGAAATGGAAAACATCATCATCATTGCTCTGCCATATTGATAACTAATTATTGCAGTTTTAGTAAGTACTTCCGTGATTGTTGCAGACCTTGTTTACTTATCCGGACAACTTCCGTGCCTACAAGGCGTTGATTGCTGCTCAGTTCAGCGGAGCAAAAGTGAAGGTTGTTTCGGAGATTCCTGACTTCGTATTTGGAGAAACCAATAAAACACCCGAATTTCTCAAGAAATTTCCATCTGGCCAGGTACGTTTTCTGGTTCAAAAGCAGATGAACAGATACCTACCTATATTACTAGTATAATTATTCTGATATATGGACATGATTACAAACTTACGATAACCAGCTAAGTGGCATGATTTGGAATTGTTGAAGTCTCTTTTCAAAGACCAGTCAAGATGTGAAATGCTCGGCTGGTAACAGACAGAGATAAAGAATTGCATTTCGGCTTCCGATACCTTTCCATAGATGGAATGGTTCTACCAATTCGAAGTACATTAGTTTTTTCAGTATGATGATTGTTGGTTCGAACAGGTGTTTATTCTCTAAAGTTCTTGTTCTTAAAGCTTTTCTAGACAGTCGAAACTTGGCAAACAGTATTTTCTAGTGATACAGTATTTTTAGCTATCAGATTCGTTGGCACCACACTGACCATTGCAATTAACTTTTTCCGATGTAACTTTACAACTTGAGGGGCTAGCTGTAATATTGTCGTTTTTGCGTTATTTTAACAGGTCCCAGCATTCGAATCTGCCGACGAAAAGGTCCATTTGTCGGAAGGCAATGCCATTGCGCACTTTCGTAAGTTCTAAAGCTTGGTGAAAAATGTTGCTTTGTCTTCCAGAAGTAATCGCTGCATTGTATTGTATTTCTAGTTGCAACACCGGAACTTCGAGGAAGCTCTGCCGAGAAACAGGCTTTGATGCTTCAGTGGGTTAACTTCTCGGACCAGTACATTGTGCCGTCTGTCGTCGCCCTGGTTTTGAAAGCTTTGGGGAACCCGGTCGCAGATAGCGTATGGAGTTAGTTTTTCTTATTGCTGATGTAAACACCTGCAGAAAGTATGATTTTTGAATTGCAGCAAGATAAATCAGCCCTCGATGAACTGAACAACGCCCTAAAAGTGTTGAACACCCACCTGGGCGAACACAAGTATGTCACGGGTGACCAGCTGTCCCTTGCCGACATCACTGTTTTCGCTGATCTGTATTTCGCCTTTACGCACGTGAGTATACTAATTTTGAAATCTCGTTTTGTGCAGTGCTGAGAAGCCTTCTTATTTTCTTCTGGTCGATGACGACGTTCAAAGTAATATTTTTGTAAGAATTTTTGTCGGCCCTTGATTAAGCCAAAACAGGCAGTACTGAAATTGTAAGTAATATTATACGTAACGTTCGGTTGGAGCCTGCCAAGATAATATACGGGAAACATTTTTAGGTGCTTGATGAAAAAACACGACAGCAAAATCAGAAAGTGACGCAGTGGTTCCAAGGGCTTGCTGAGCAGCCTCAGTTTAAGGCGGTCGTTGGAGCGGTGGCTTTGTTCTCGGGCCAGAAGAAGGGCGGAGAGGGCGACAAGGGTGCTAAGAAAGACAAAAAGGATAAACCTGCCAAGGAAGAGAAGCCTAAAGAAGAAAAGAAGCCCAAAAAGAAAGAAGATGACGAGGAGATGGATTTGGCTGATGAAGCATCCGCTGAACCTCCACAAAAGGATCCGTTTCTTGCGCTTCCGGGAGGGTGCGAAAACTTCGCTTTCTCGAAGATGTGGCCATTTATTTGATGAATTTCATTGTAGATCTTTCAATATGGACGAGTTTAAACGGACATATTCCAACGAAGATACTAAGACTGTGGCTTTGCCTTACTTCTGGAGCAAGTTTGATAAGGAGAATTACTCAATTTGGTACTGCGAATACAAATATCCACAGGAATTGATGCAGGTTTTTATGAGCTGCAATCTGATAACCGGTGAGTTGCTATATTTTATCATGACTACATAACTGAAATTTGGAAATATTAGTATGAAATTCGTGGGAATGTAGGTATGTTCCAGCGGTTGGACAAGATGCGAAAGCATTCTTTCGGAAGCATGGTTCTTTTTGGTGAGAACAATAACAGCACCATTTCCGGAGTATGGTTTTGGCGTGGGCAGGGTTTGGCTTTTGAGGTAACTTCACATAACGTATATCTCTGAAATTGCTTGAATGTCCTCTGAGGGTAAAGCAGCCTATATATTTCGAATATGACTTTTTTCAGTTGAGCCCTGATTGGCAAGTTGATTATGAATCGTACGAGTGGAAGAAGCTGGATCCTGATGCGCAGGAGACTAAGAAGATGGTAGACGAATACTTCGCATGGGAAGGAGATTTTGGAGGAAAGAAATTCAACCAGGGAAAAATCTTTAAATGAAAAGCGCTGTGAAATTCTGGCGCGGTGTTTTCAGTTGGAAGTTTTTGCTATCTGATTCATCGTTCTTTTTTATGTACTACTTTAACATTTTTGTTACCGAGTCATGCAGACCAGAAGGTGGTAATCATTCGTTTTACTGCCTGCTGATCCATAAACTCAGAAAAGCTCATTGTCAGTTTCAGCGAAAGTTTTTGTTCCCGAATACATAATACAGTTTTAGAAGGAAGGCATACTGGATAAATTAGACTGATCACCAATTATGAATTTATGGAAGGAATCAGGTCGGAGGTTTGCGATTTCGCTCGTCAGAGAAAGTTTATGGGCTAGCTTTCTTTTCGTGGCTGTGTCTGGCGGCTACACTTTCTACGGTCTCTGCACGTTCCTGGTTCAACATGTTGTCCAAAATTCCTGTTCCCGAGTAGAGCAGCATGTGAAAAATACGTAGGTTGAACAGTCACTTGAACTTGAAACTACCTTTAGTTGCACAGATCTGGTGCTCAACAGTCAACACCTGTACATACTACATAGCGGTAGTTTTACAATCAAATTATGTATTTTTTTCCATGCTGTTTTACCCAGGGTTAACGTACACCTGATGCACAAACACAACAACGAAATATCGGAAACCATGGCATAAGAGTTATTAAATAATTAGTTATTTTAAAATCAAGCAAAAAATCCATTGAAGGCGTGTTGTTTGTTCTCTGCCCACAAATTGTATTTTTCATGGATGCCTTCCCGCATGGATAGACTTATTCGAACCAGCACTGACCAGTCCTCACACCACATTATGCTGAAATACTGTAGGTACGTATTTAATTGTAAGGGCTTTTGCGTTAGCAAATGGCCGCCGGCCAGCACGGTCAAGGACGTAATTAATAAACCGGTTAAGATTGGGTAAATTTAATCACAGTTTATTATAAAATTTCTAGGAATACGTTCAGAATACAGAATAGTAATCTATGTTACTGGTTATGTATAAAGGTTCCTTAAACGGCTTTAGCTCAAATGCAGTTTTTGTTACTTAACTCTTTGAATCTTCATCGACATTTTCTAATGCTAACCATTGTACCGGGCTGTTAGCTCAGTGGTAGAGCGCTCGCTTTGCATGTAACAAATATGCGAGATGCCGAGGGTTCGATCCCCTCACAGTCCACTGTTTTTCTCTTTTTTTTTGCGATTTCTATTTTTTTATATTTTTAATCTTTTAGTTTGGTCGTTTAAGCCTGTAAGGTGATCGAGTTGAGAACATTTTGACCTTTACATCATACTGGTTCCGATTATCATCATAAGTTCATACTGATGATAATCTGATTACAAGTGCTGGGTTAATGCTAAAAAAAATGGATACAATACAAAAAACAAACTCTGCAGTTATAAGGCTAACCATTGTAAGCTGGTTCACAATCCTCGAATTCGCAACCAAAGAAGATACTAAATGCGAGAAATCTGCTGAACATTGGTGCCGGTAACGCATTTGTTGCAACGAAAGCGTCATAAATCATACCATCAGAGAGAAGTCACAGCAGTTTCACCGGCCAACCGAGAGCTTCGTCGCGGGACATCAGAGATTTCGGTGCGCCTCCTGCGCTTGCTAGGGGTTTTTCCGCTTTCCTCCGAAAGTTTTCTTTTGTTCTGTCTGTCCTGACGCCTTTTTCCTGCTAGCTCTTTAAGCCAAGTGATACGTCGTTTGCTTTGGGTCCGGCCGGTCAGCGGACGAGTTCGTTTATTAACCTTTGGAGTAGTCACAGGCTGTGGCAGCGCTTCATCCGCAGTGGAAGCAGCAGCACCGCTATCAACGTGCTGTCTCACGGTAAGACGCAACAGCTCTGTTGTCAGGAACAAACTCTCCACTCGTCTCTGCATTTCAGTTAAATCTTCCGCCTCACAGGTTTCGTGAATTTTTTCTTCAACCATTAGACACGTTCCAGATAACAATTCCTTCAGTTTTACAAATGCACCAATCGTGGCCAGAGACGGAGGAATAAGAACCACGCTGTCGTTAATTTCCGCATCACTTTTCGCTAATACTGATTTTATGGCATCACGCTTCCCTTCCATAGTTAACACCTGTAGATCCGCTGGAATGGACCCAAACACATTTCCTTTGCGCTTTCGACCTAATGGCCTCATCTTTTCGATTACCGGCGCAGAGAACATCTCCACAAGATGGTGGTCATTTTCGGAAAGGTTTCGTGGGACATGTCGTACATCATTGTCGGCTACTTCGCGCTGACAAGGATGCAACAAATCCAACTCGCGCAAGAATCTTCGCGTCGGGATTATCACCTATGTTGAAAATATTCCTGCTGACTGAAATTTTCCCAAGACCGCATTTTATCAACATTTTGTTAACAAAAGCGGACATGACAGACTCCAGTCCAATGTTAAAAAAAACTTTGCATCTCTACGAGTCGATAGATCATTGGTCAAATAAATAAAAAAACCTACCTCTGGCGCAGTTACCAGCTCTTCCATGGAAACTGTCAGATCATCTCGTAATGGCTCCGTCACGGTGGAAAGCACATGGTCCATCAACTTAAGAACCAAAGCAGTCTTTTGTTCTCGGCTCTCGGTGTTTGGGAGGTACCCTCCTTTCTCTTCCCATTTACCATCCTAAGGACAAGCAAGCATTGGTTTTGTAGAACACAAACGAAAACTATCAAATATTATGTTACAAACACAGAAAATTCCAGGGCAAAAAAGTAGTACATGAAAAAGAGATCTAATTTTACGTGGCACACCTAAGTAACCGACAATGCTGCTTACCGGCGCACGTTTGAACATTCCATAAAAGACATGATTAATGTCATAAGAGCTTCGTTCGGGCAAAGCAGTCTTCAGCTTACTAATCCGCTGCGCTGTTTACAACAAGAAAAAAATAAATCGTACTGTAAGTAACCGAATGGTTTACTGGAAAAGTGCAACAGACTGTCAACCGGATAAGCCACTCACATATTCCCTTTTTGTTCCCAGCAAAGTTTCGCAAAATATTCATTTCCCGTTCAGTCCATGCATTCCGATTGGCATTCGGGTCGAGATTAGCTTCCCAGTACCTTTTACATGCCAATCGACTCTTTCCGGGCACAAGTGGATAAATAAGCCGCCAAACGCCTTGAGTAACATGGTAGGCATGAATGAGGCGGATCACGTCTTCTGGCGCGAAAAATAAGCGACGAAGACGATTTTCTTCCGGGCTTTCCTTCTGAAACTTGACATACTGCTGGCAGCATGCGAACGCTGTTCGACCTGGAATCTCTTGAGCTATAACATCCCAGTTATGTTCTCCATGTTGTTCGACTAGAAACAACAGTCGCCGCAAGTCTGGCTGCGTCCATGAGGCAGCTGATTTCAAATGCGGAGCCAGAAAATTCAGATAACGAATGCGACATCCGTCAAAACCATGGCGTTTTAGGCGAACATTCTTGGAAACGATATCAAACCAATCGTATTTTTTCAGCTCGTAGTCTAAAAAAAATAAACCTTATTCGCCAAGCTCATTCGAGTAAGCTGTACAATATTAAATGAGAATTATTTTCCAGTTCTAACAAATGTAAACAATCTCACTGTGTGTTGCGGACAAGCCTTACTTGCGATGCATGAGAACCCTAAAAAGGAGCGTGAATCTACCTGTTAGCTTTTCCACGGGATATGAAGTCGACAAATCACTGACTTCAGTAATATCCTTATTCAGTTTAGCTAAATTTTCGGTTATTTCGCTGAGCAGTTTCTCGCAAAATTCCTTGGCTGAAGACGACGTCAGAGTGTCCGGTAAAGTAATCGGTGTGGAAATAGAGCTATTCTGCAGCTGCGTGAGCACGTTCTCAGTCTCATCACTGGCATGATTTGTCAACACTTCCAAAAAGTTTCTCAGATCCTTCTGCTGTTTGTCCAGTGACCGTTTTTTCTGTATGAGCTCTACGGAGCGAAGTTCCCGTTTTCGCTTTGTAACCACATCTTTCAGTAATTTATCTTGCCGCTTGGTCCAGACAGTTTTCACTTCGTAAGGATCCAAAATGTCCAGTAAGTCGTTTGCTTCCATTTCTGCGGGAAGTGGGGGCGCATGTTGTCCTTTGGCGTCTTGGAAATATGGGCTCCGAAAAAGCACTGTCGTGACTGGAGCAGTAACAGCCGAAGATAAGGCATGGCGCATTCGGCCCTCTCGTTCTAATTTGGACGCTAGCTGCTGCTCAATTTGTTCCAGACATTCCAAAAGAGAGCTTTCGTACGATTTTGAACTTTGCAAGAACGTCTGTAGATTAAGCCCTTCATGGCCTTCCATCTTAACATATAAACATGATCCGAAAATCGGAGTCAAGTGCTTATCGTGATGTATAAATATCTTAAATTCTAAATGATAGTCACTTAAATGTTCTGAACTTCTTAAAAGTAATACAACTGATAAAATTCCAAATAAACCTTTAATTTTTGCTGAGCATACGGCATGCCGCATACCTACCCGGGTAAGTCCTTTTAGGCAAAAATAAATAGGCTTAGGCCGCTGAGCAAACTGCACGAGGTGGCAGGTACGGTCGAAACATGTCGAAAGTTACCAAGTAAGCCTGGGGGGATATGTCTCAATTTCAAAACAAATCCAGCTTTAGTACGGTAGCTCAACCACGCGAGACGGCTGCATGCAGTGGCCACGCCCACAGGTACGGTTCGCGAAACCACCTCGGGAGGTGGATTTGTTGTATCGCAACGAGATTCGCTTCGAAATTGAGACACTCTAAAGGTTCATGTAACCATATGTGCTCGACACTCGACAGCTGTCTGCACGAAAAGTTTTGAAACTTTTAAAAGTACTTACTTTTTAGTCATAATTTAGCCGTTCTTCATCGAACCTTATTTCTTCCTAAAACCGGATGAGACCTCTCTTGAATTATTGATCTACCGTACGGACTCAGCGCTGTCGAATTGCATATTGTTGATATTAGCACCTACGTTTGCTATGCCAGTCGACATGCGAGTTGGCAGAGAGTAAACTTGAATATTTTGGACATTGCCGTATACCTATGTGAGTTTTCCGAATCTTTCGATTGTGGCGCTTCTTGTTCTTTGTTAATTTCGTGTTAATAAGTTTTCGCGGACACTGAAGACGAGATCAAGTATATGTTCTTCTGTTCCAACTGAAATGTAAAAGTGGTTTAAATTTTATACATTTTTCGATTATTGGACTCATCTTGGACCCTTGGTTTGTTTAAACTTTACAGTTTACACCTTTACGGACGATTGTAATTCTTTGTGAACGCTATTGCTCTGCTGAGTCTGCTGGATTAAAACATGGTCCGGAAACTTAAATATCATGAAAAGAAATTACTTAAAAAGGTGGATTTTATTTCATGGGAAGTGGACAACAACCTTCACGAGGTGAAGATCATGCGCAAGTACCACATTCAGAGGCGCGAGGACTACACCAAGTAAGTCTGTAAGCAGTAAGTGGCAAGTTGCAACTCCATAGCGTCAGCGCGTATTATGCGTACTGTCACAACTGTGTAGGTACGAGTACTTCACAAACGATGAGCTTATCCTTTAGGAAAACTTAATCAGTTTTATTGAGTTGTCTTTTATAGGTATAATCGGCTTTCTCGGGAGATCCGAGAGGTAGCTCAGAGCATTAAAGATCTTGATGTCGAAGATATAGTGAGGACCGAATCTACGGGACGGCTTCTCGACAAGCTGTAAGTTCTAGCAGTCAACTACAGTACTTGCTCCTAATGCACACTGTTTTAGCCAGGTAGACCAAGGTAATACAAACGAATTCAAATTTTTAAATCGACGTAACTTGTACTGCAATATTAAACAAGATTTTGGAGTAGTATATTCGTAATAAATAAAAGTCTGTATTTTTCTCTTTCTTTCGGTGTTATTATCTGATCATTTCCGTCCATCCGTAGGTTTCATTTGGGATTAGTGCCTACCAAGGAAAACCTTGAACTTTGCAACAAAGTCACCGCATCTTCGTTCTGCCGGTTCGTGCATGTGTCAGTTACTGGTGTCCTTGAATTGCTTTCTTGTTAGTTTTTTAACGTAATCGGTATGAGCTGCATATCGGTAATATGGTATGAGTTGCATACTGTATCTTGATACCGGTATGCTATAAACCGCATATGCATGCAGATGCATTATTACTTGACAAGTGGAAAGTTTAAGATATTTAATTTTAATCGATATTATGGTATTATTGTAATTATCGTTTAGTCATTGGACTTTTCCCAACTGCGGATCAGTTTGTCTTTACATTTAAATAACGGATATCCACGTATTAAACTAAACTTTTAAACTTCTGATATTACTCGTACAAAAATCTCAGAACTAACTAATTTACGTTCAGTTTTTGGGATTTGCAAATGTATGTGTAACATCGGATGAAATTGATGACTACGCAAAATACTATAATTATTTTTGAATTTTTTGTACTTCCAGGATATTTGATACATATGTAGGTGGGCGGTACATATGTAGTTCAAAGTTTTGATCGCTTGTTAAGAAAAGTCACAGTATCATGGTCTGTGTATAACCATGACAGTATCCTTGAATTGTTTGTTTACCAGCAATTATATTGACTTCGTGCGTTGTTGTTCAGGCGGCGCTTACCTGTGGTCATGGTACGGAATCATATGGCGGAGTCGATCGCGCTCGCAACACGTTTCATTGAACAAGGCCGTATGTTGTACGATTTATTAATTTGTGCTCTAACAGATAGTTTTCGCTATCGATACGAATAGTGATTAACTGGGAAACGGAAACGAAGTATCAGATAATGCAGTTTTACGAATCCTTTTTTAAATATAATTTTGATTACAGATGTTCGTGTTGGGCCAGAAGTTGTAATGGATCCTGCGTTCTTGGTCTCGAGGTACGTCTTGGACATTTTGTAACTTTATAAGGCAGGATCTAGAATCTAGTTGCGCACCCTAACGGAAGCTGTCCATCAGAGATTTGTAGAACTGTGTTTAAAATTTACCAAATCATTTTATTTTTCATTAGGTCAATGGAAGACTTCGTTACATGGGTGAATACAAGCGCTATCAAAAAGAAGGTTCTGGACTACAACGATCTAGTAAGCGCAAAATCTGATAATCGCTTCGGCCTTTCATTGCCGATTTAGCATTGCACAGCAAAAAAGTCGGTGCGACTATTTGTACTCGTACTCGTAGGGAGTACGAAATTTACGGTAGAAGTTCAGTATTATGTACTATTTATTAACAGATCGTAATTTTTCAGCGTGATGATTTTGATATGTCCTGAATGGTGAGGATTATGGATTGGGTCATGAACTCGCTGCGCTTTCGGTCTACTGATCGTTGCTTGTTCGTGCTTGTTGGACGTGTGAAATTCTTTGTCAGAACCGACTAGGTCCCATGCACTTGTTTCTAGCTCACTGTTTGGTTTCGGAGTTATGTGCGGTCAGTTTGCATAAATATATATGACTGTTATCGTTCGAAAGTTTTATTAAGCCGTGCATTTGTTAACTTGTCATTTAACATTTGCGAAATCAGTATGTTTAGAAACTAAAGCGTTGTTTTTGAAATGCAGACAATTTACCTGTAATTTTATAAAGTCTATGAGAAGAACCTTGCGTATTGCACTGCATTCTGCGCGGCCGTGTCAGTCAGTCAGTGTGCGATGTTGCAAACGGCAGAAGTGTAGTTGCCGGCTGCGTAACAAGAACTACTCTAAAATTTTAGATGTACCAATTTCGCGCGCCATTACTACCTGAGTAGTTGATAATGAGTTTTGGTTTTTAATTGTTCATTATTATCTACCCGGGTTTTAACTACGGGCTTTTAGAAGACAATATTTGTTTTGTTCGGGCTTTTCTGTGTTGGTACTACTTGGTAGCTGTGGTAAAACGCATTCGTGGCAATCTGAATTTTCAAAAATCGGGTTCGTGTGTAAATTAGTCCCCCTTCAGCAGTAGTGCTCCTGCTTACAACTTATGACACTGCACTCTATCTGCAGAAAGCAGCCAGGTATAGAGTTATAGGCACTTGTGTTAACTGACAACTGTGGTAACAGCAGTAAGATAAATTCAAAAATATTTTATAAAAAGTTGTACAAATTTCCGCTTTTAAAAATCTGGGTCGCAAAAAGTCAGCCTCAAGGCCAAATGTTGAGATTTTGGTTCGACACACAGTGTTATTTCGAACAGTTACTGTCGAATACCGATGAAAAAACGTGAACAGCATGTACTTACGTAATAATTGTAAATACGTTTGAACGGGTGTACGGCGGGATTATGCAACCCTCCCGTAAAATTAGTTTCAACACGTTTCGAGCAGGCGTTCTCTCGGTATATATGCCAGGCTAGCCATTGTCCAGTGTCTAGAAACTACAAAGGAGATTTGGCACGTTACTCACGGCCGCACATTAGTGCGCATCGCACATGTATACGAGCACAGTACTGTAGTGTATGTATTGTACCCGCCACATAATGCGCAGTTCGGTTGTGCGCGAACGCGACAGCTCATTAGTATTGCCCGCTTCTGTTTGCTTTTAATCCCTACGACCAACCATCGAGCGGTAGATTTCAGTTAGAAATCGCACTTCAGACTTCGGTTGCAGTTGTTTCGTGATTTCCTACTCCGTCCTCACAGTTATTAGGTTTATAATTTATTTGTACTGTTAAGTGTTAAAATATAAGTGTTTATTGAGCAGTTATCATTGCGGACTGTACTCTCCAAATTTTTTGTAAATAATCTGAAATCACATTGGTTTAATTCTGAGCTATGAATAGTTGTTTTTCTATCTTCAGACCGTACGTACGCCTAAAAGTTTATAGCTGCGCGCATAAATGATAAGACATGCGAGTTTAAAACTACCTATCTTAGTAAGTACTTGGCGCGGTCAGCGAAAGTACATCTTTATATATATAAAACCTGAACGGGTTTTGGTCATCAGCTGTGCGAATTTTGCGCTCATGTTGTAGCATTTTCTCCCTTGGCACTGCGCCCACACTGCGGTTTTGTTGCTTCGCCTTGTAGGGCTGATTATTGCTGAACTTTCATTAGCGAATAGTGCTACCTGTGGTGTATAAACGTGTTGCGTCTTACGAATTGAAACCCACCGTTCTGTGTCCGGTTCGAAATGTAAATTACCGTTTGGAAACATACAGTACATGCAGTACGGGCAGCTTTAACAATCTGTTGTGGAACGTTGATTGGCTAGCGAAATTGGAGGCTTCGAGTGCGGTTACCAACAGGCAACAGGTATGTACATAGTAAAGAGGTTCCTTTTTCAGTTCATTGCATTTGGTTAAATGCTGCAAGCCATTGTGCAACTGCAACATTATTTAACTCCATACAGTAGCAGAAAAGAACACCATAAAACCGGGTTAACGATGTGCATTTACTTTAGTCTTTAGCTTGAGCGGACACAAGTGAAGAGTAGCTATAAGGTGGTCTGCTCCATCGTCCAGTCTTTCTCTAGTTTCTTTATTCCCTTAGGATCTGGTAGCGCGGCATTACCGATGCAAGATAAGCCCCGATTGCCTCTATGGCTAGCAGGTCTCACCATCAGTCTAAGAAGCGTTGCAATAACTCATTGTCCTCACCACTCCATCCTATACAAAAGAAGCAGCAATGTGTATCGAGTTCATCGTCGTTTGAGGAATCCTTCGAGGAACGGGATAGTGGACTGGAAACGTTTATCAGCGATGAATGCAGTATAGTGGGAGAAACGGTTTGCAGTCCACCGTCCAGAAGAGATTCTGAGGGGTTCCAGGATCTCTATTGCGCCGAAGGGGACCTCCGTGATAATCCAGTTGTGATCAGGATGGACCGCCACAAACACAGCGGCAGCAAAGTAAGCAGAAATTCCGGTCGTGGGAGATCTTCTGCTTCCAAAGAAAATCGCAGGGATGTGATACGAGGCGTGGTGAGCAAAAAGAAGACGAATTTCGTGACGGGCCAGAGTCTTGCCAAGGCTGTGAATTCACCATTAACCGAGTAAGTCCATGTGTGTATTTCTGCTGCTTTTGATTGTGTTTTGCACTTTTGCTCTGGTTATAAGCATTTGACGTTTATTTGGTTTTTGTACTGTTAGATGGTAACTATTTTTATGGTAGGTCACCAGATCCAACTGGAAAATTTAGAATCCGTCCGAACGTGTTGGCTCTGAGGAGTCGACCGCGCTTTCAGCCTGATACCTTTGATGCCCGTGAAACTGCTTGTCCGTTTTTGGATAAAGACAAATGGAACGGCTACCAGCGAACATCGCACATTTTTGGAATGCACCCGGAGCTTGAACCGTACATGCGGAGTATGCTGCTGGAATGGATGATGGAGGTGGGTACTTAATAAACTGTCTGCGATACGCAACGATAGAATTATATGTATAGGTTGAGATATGGACTTTAAATCCCACATCCGAAATTACGAGTAGCATATAAATACGAGTACAGTCTGGATAGTACATAACTCATACCGCATTATGCCTACGAGTAGTGCCAGTACGTAGAAATTTGTCAATAAATGTGATCAAATGTGGATAAGCAGCAGTTTGTTTGTAGATTGCGCTTTTGAAAAGTTTTCCTCTAACCAATTGTATTAAGATCGTTTTAAGTGAGAATAATCGAAATTGCAATTTATCATGACCGCAATGCAGGCCAGGAGCCTCCCTTGGTAATTATAATAAGTGCATGACGCTATATTTTGCAGGTTTCTAAAGCACATACTTTGCAAAGGAAGACGTACCAGATGGCGCTTGATTTTGTGGATCGATTTTTGTCTTACACCGAGAATGTTCCCAAAAATATTCTGCAGCTACTGGGGGTTTCCTCATTAAGTATTGCCGCCAAAATCGAGGTATAGACGTGTGGATATGTTGATTTAAGGTCGCGCCACGCGATAAGCCGATTGTATGTTTGATGTGCCAAATAACATCCGGCAAAATTTTATCCGCTTTTATCGCTTTGTAAATTGATGTTAGTTCGAGAAGGGAGCTCAGATGCCATTAAAATATTGATTACAGGAAATTTTCCCGCCAAAATTGTCCGAAATGGCTTACGTGACCGACGAAGCACACGATGCCAGCGATATCAAAGCCATGGAAAGAATTATCCTTAATGTAAGAGTCTGCTGTTTTTGTTAATTATATCATGGGCTTGTGAACTACCAGGCTTATTTATACCTGTCGCGTTAACCTATGTTTAGTTACAATTTATACCAGTTGTAAGTAATTCATAACATCTTTGGCGACTTAGGTACTTGGAACTGCTTTTATGCCCGTAACGGTTTGTGAGTGGGCCGGTATTTTTCTGTTCGGTGATACAAGAGGTTCCGAGGCACAAAATCAACCTCAAACACCTAAGATGTCTTTGGACGAGCCATCTTTAGAAAAATATGCAAGAGTGTGCAGGGTGAGTGCGAGTACGTAAAAGAAAGATGGTGTAAACAAAACAAGTATAAATGTGATGAAGTTCATTCCGTAAGCACAAGAATGCTATCGCATCACTTTTCGAAAGAACCATAATATCATAATTATCATCATAATATTAAAGGGTGGTAACGAGTCTGACGACTAAACTAAAATGCGGACTGATATAATATTATTAATTCTGGCTTTCATTGATTCATTTTCGATTGGATCTCAAATCAAGCAACCGTCTTTTTGTAGCTCGCAGATCTCGCAATGCTGGACCACAATTGTTGTAATTATTCGTACCGGCAGATTGCAGCAGCTGCAATTTATTCAGTCAATATCGACGAAAAGATTCTTCAAGCTATGGAGGGTAGGCTTTCTTAACGTTTTCAGCTTCTTACTCTTGTTGCGCACAGGAGAAAGTTGTATTCTTTTCGAGATTTTGCCCTTCTGGTTCTGGTCTGTTGTTTTTGTTTCTCTCTTGATTCCTTTGCGTTTTTATAATTCAGTGGGATGTTTCTGAAGCGCATAGTTCATACCCACCAAGAAACTTTCGATCATAAATATTTTTTTCGTACAGAATCTTTTGCGGCGGAAATAGATTCTATTATCGCATGCATTCAGTGGATGAAGCCCTATACGGATATTGAAGACTGCCTACCTCCTCCAAGTGCGGCATTTGCATCCCGATCTTTTGAGCCCGATTTTAGCTGGCCACATCTTCAGAGTCACGACTTTGATCTCGAAATCTTTGTAAGCAGAAACTTGGTGTATTCATTCAAACTTATTAATCCAGACTTAATTTGTTTTGTTTTGACACTGAATAAGTGGTTTTAAAAATTTCCTCAGAAACATGGGATGTACGAGCCACTGTATGGCCTATATATTGTTTACGCCATAAGTTTTGCGCTTCCTATAACGCTTATATTGTACATTGCTTTATCTGAAATTTCAAATAATAACAGGAAACTTCCATTTTCTTGCAGTTGCGAGCGTTGAACACACAGCAGCAGTTTAGGAGCCCTCTTAGTGAGCAAAACGAAAACTTGGAGCAGCTCAGCCTGATCGACTGGGAGGATGTGGACGAAGAAGTGGTTGTAACGTCTATTCTAACTCCACAGCGAGCTCACCTCAGCAGTGCTTTCTATACTCCACCTGACAGTCAAGCAAAGTCTCGCCGTCGTTATGAGTAATTTGGTTTTGGATTTTGCTCAGCTAACGAATATTTCCAGGGTTTTAAAAGTCTCCTGTGAACATTAAGTATTGTCGTACCTGCCTCGCTACGATATTGTAGTCACATGTTGTTTTTGCACATTTTAGCTCTCAGCTTTTGTATACAGGATGGTTTTTGAGTGGTTATTTATTTCTTTTTGGTTTATATTTCCTGTTTTTGTTGTGTATATTGCAAGCGGAAGTGATCGTTTGTTGCTCAAAGCATTTTTTCCTAGTTTTACCGGGAGGGTCACGTACAGACTCTGTACGAAATGCGGTGGACTCAAGTTGCAGTAAATATTCTGGGAATGATTTTTTGCACCTGATAATATGTAATTTTTTGCACCTGTTAATTATCTAATAATTCTGTAACGGGCACATGCGTGTTTTATTCTTTGGAAGTGCCAGTGATTTCATTTCTTGTTGCTCAACTTCAAAACGCCAAAGAACTGGGGAGCTGCTGTAACTGTGCCATTTCAGTGCTGGAACAATGCTTGGACTTGTGATTTCATCCCAGATAGAACAAAGATATGGCGTCAGGTTGCTAGCCCTAGCTGGACAGAACGGCCATATCTGGCTAGTTTTTAAAAATTTCAGTTTCAGTAATTCCCGGCTTAATTTCCGGTAAAGACCATCCGCTATTTGGCATTTTGTACTGTGCATAATTTGCACCGGCGAGTCGTGAAAACGTTTGTGACGTACACTCCTAAAGTTATGAATGCGGCATGTAAAAATAGTACAGTACTAATTAGCAAAAATTGCTTCGAGCAAGTTACAGTATTGAATACTCGTACCAAAGTTTTGGATGGCTCTGTTATTTAATATTAAAAAAATCTTTTGTAATTTACATGCTGAACTGAATGGTACTGAAGTAAAATATTTAAGGAAGACTATTGTCTACGAGTAGTACTGTACTTTATTCTTGCTTCATAAATCATTCTTGCGAAAAATCATGTGTAATTTACATTTACATGCAGTAGTGGTACTAAAGTACTTAAAATTTTAAGCAAGACTATTTTCTACGAGTATACTGTATATGGTTTGTATGACGCCAAATTTCTATCAAAATTACCGATCACCTGCCTCTGCAAAGGCACTGCTGTACAAAGGTACCGACCGTACTGTATCTTCTATTGTATATATAATTTTTTCTTTTTTTTAAACTGAGGTAGTAATGACAGGAAACAATGTTTGGTACATTCGTGAATCCATCTGCCTTTTGTTGTATTTGTAGGATAGTGGTACCGATAGAGAACAGAGTTTAGAGGCTACGTACGGCAATTATTTTTTAAGCAAGGCTTCATTGAATTCCAGCACCGAATTTTTCAAAGTTGCACTTAAAACAACAGAAAACGAAAGCCGTTGCTACTTAATACTTACATTATTTTTAATAACCTATTTTTAATACGGCTGAGAGAAGTAGAATATGCACCCACTATAACCAGTAATACGAGACATACGTATTACCTATTACTGCGTAGTTATGAGACAGCAACACAGCATGCGCCAAGCTGCTAGTCTGCCAACCTACCAGTATCCACCAATGAGCGCGTTTTTACCATTGCTTTGCCTGACGGCTGGCAGTGAGTCCTGAGAGAAGGATTACTCTGTATGTCCAACTATTTCGTGCATCAACTTTGCGAATTCTGCAGTTAACCATATATTAGAGTACTTAATTTGTTGTTGTTGTTTGTTTATAGGTTTTTCAGCAGTATGAATTTATCGCTAATTTTTTCAAGCGCACTGTTCTTTAGTTTATGCTTTCATTTCAACTGTTTTAGACATCTGTGCTTGTAGCGGACGCTGTACTAAGTGTTAGGTGTGTGACCTTATTGGTTTCGTAGCCCTTTTCCCATTGTTGGCTTTTCTCTTTGAGAACTTGGGTGTTTTCGGCTTTCCGCCAATGAAAGTCACGAAAATGTACTGAGATTTGCGTACTGTCGCTTTTGTGCTATTGTACACTTTGTCACCTTTGCTTACATCCAGCGCACATGCAACGGTGGGAAGTTTTTGTCACTTGTCTGAACTTGGTGATACTTTTTGGAATTCCTTCTGTTTGATTTCGATATCAGTAGATGTACAAGAAATTTTTAACCCAATACTAATGCCATGACGCTGTGTTATTCTGCAGAAATCAAAAGCATCTTCGAAAATGTTGACCTGGGTGCTTTTACCGAATGAATTCACAGTCTCCCTGCCCGGACCTTCCAAGGAAGACGAACCTGATCGTTCGGCACTAACAGAAATCTTCAATCGACAACGACTGCGAAGTAGTCGCATTATCCCTTGCGGAGCAACCTTTGTGCCTTGGCATGGACAGCTGAGATCGTTCGATTTGGAAGTTCTTTCAGCCCCAGTCGTAAGCTTTAAATCCGAATCTGCAGTTTAACATTATTGGCTCGATATTTGTGTGCTCAGATTCGGGAGAAGTACTTGTTTCTTGTGGTTTTTCAAATATTATTGACAACAGCTGTCAGTGTCATAGGCCGCTGATTAGCGAGGCATACAAGTATAAGAGAGGATAATTTAATAATGGATTTTGAGTTTTTACAATTTTGGGGTCAGCAAGACGAAGTCAGTCTGCCCTGGTCTGAGTACTTATTCACCGGAGCGCTTATGTTACAGTAATTTCCCACTTACCATTTGCGATGATGTTCAGAATCAATACGTTTGAAAACGTTCTAAAACCCCGCACTTTCGTTTACGCTGTTTTCTTCGGAATTATTCTCCTGCTAACTGGAAACCGGTCAATAACGAAAACTTTTTTGTGCCATGAATATTTACATAGTAGCTTGCGCATTTCCAAATTTAACGTTCTAATAGTATTCTGCTGCATGTTTTCGATTGTTTCTGACGTGAATAGCTGTTCTTCTTATTGTATTGCCATCATAGATGTATGAGTGGTATCACATGCGTATCGTCACCATGCGAAATTAGGTCACCGGGTTTATAATTAAATGGGTCTGGAAATTTAATGGGCATTTGGTACGAGAACAGCAAGATAGACTACAATGTTATCGGTGCATCGTTCGCCGTCGCAATTGTTGAATAATGCCACCATGCGCTGATCTGTTCTGTTCTTCTTATGGAGCGCTCGATCCATACCGTCACAGGTGATGATAATTAGATGTATTCAGGGTATTGTCTGCTAAGAGTTAAAAGAATCTGTTGTACACATAATCTCTTCAGAGAATGTGATTGTGATGTAACAGCTTGCCGCCCTTCAATGCAACCTAGACATGATCTACTAAGCTGCGACCTGTGTGGACGACGCTAAAACAATGCTGGAAACATCAAATGAGGTCGCGCATTAGTTTTCTGACAATGAATCGAATACGCCACCGGCGAACTAATATAATTGCTATAGTATATGCACGTTGATACTTCGTACGTAGGTTGAATAGCTGCAAGTATGCGATTCCGTAAAAAGTTGCAGTTAATTTTTTACCGTTCTGGTGTGATTACCGGGATGTCTGTAAGGCAGGTCAGTGTGACCTTTAAGCAAAATCGCGCCTACGCTGGCTCAACAGTATGGGATGATAGTATTTTGATTGTATAAAGAGTATCGTTCAGGCTACAATGGTTAATAGCACACTGCTATCATAGAAGACAATGTAATCATAAATAAAAATTAATGCAATGATACGAGTAAGAAAAATTTTGCGCAAAGTTGTATGGTTAGGTCTTACAATGGGCACAAATACGAGGTGGAATAATAGTTCGACGTGCCGCTAAATAATAAGGTCGCTTACGAGGAGGTTTCTGTGTTTTTTGATTTAGTTTCAAAGGTTATGTTTAGTTACTTCATTTATGGAAACATTCGGAATAGGCAAGGCGTCTTGTAACAATCAGAGCAGTACGCTAACTGAATAACAAACGCCCATGACACTTTGAAAGGGACCGATGTCGCCAGGAGTAGAGCGATAGACATCCCTTCCCGGCATCATTCAATCAGTTCATGCAATGCCGCTTGATTCGTGACACTGCCGATTGGATTGTCCTCTCGGTATCCACTAGCTTGGTAATGATTGCCTACTGTGCGAGATTGACCGGTGTACATTGTTCGTTTTCCGCGAATGATTGATGTCGGTAAAATGGCCTTAGAAATAAGAAAACAACGTCAAGAAAGACAAGAAATGCCGGAAAAACTAGGAGGGACGCTGCAGAAGTGTAGCACAGCGTAGATATCCGGTATCGCATGTCTCATAAGGATCGAAGTTCAAACACAGGATGGAACAACATGATAGCTTATCGTGTATGTATACCGCACACTTAACGAGTAATGACGACTCACAGGAGTTACATTTCCTCATAATATGCTTTATAACCTCCTGAAATTTAATCGATGTACAGCTAGGTATAAATTATATTTATGTTCTTCTGTTTGTTCTTTGAAATACAAATACATTGTTTTTGATCAGCATTGCGTGACTTTCTAGCTTCGTATACTTGTTAGTATATTCTCGTGTTTAATTTATTACTGTTTCTGGTTTCCTTAACACCATTTGATATTCTTTGTTCCTGTGTGCTCGACTATTAATGTTTTGAAATTAAATTGTTTTTCACTATAATTGTTTTGGTTCTGTCACGATGTTAGTTTTCTAGGTTAATCCAAGATTCCAAATGTACTGTTTTGTGTACGTACCATTCAAAATTGCAATCCCTGGATTGCACTTGCAGTTTTGCAGTGAATCACACCACGATTCACGATTATGGCCGTTTTGTGGTTTATCCGCAAGTGATTTTTGTGATTCTTGTGTATAATTAATTATGCAAGTGTAGTGGTCACCGCTGACCCGACATGCCTGACTCTGAATAGACTGGAATGTTCTTTGGTTTTGCTTGCCGACTGTCTCCACAGCTAGAACAACCAGCCAGCGGTGCAGGAAACGTGTTACGGACGAAAATGTATCCCGTCATTCTTTTCGGTAATGTCAGCTCATTAGTGTCTCATCATCCACTTCTAATCATTATATGCAACTGCATTGATTTCGAAACACCAGATTGCGCGTGCCGCACTATTGTTTTTAGCGGTTTGAGCGTTTCCATTTGGCCGCCCTATTGCATTATTGGACAAACCTATTACGGCTGTCGAGCACACGAGTCAAAGCGAATTTATTCACCAGAGAATGCCGTGAAAACGAATGAGCTTATGCAGTTTTACGTAACACCTGCCGGGCACTGTTCTTCTAACAGCAGGATGCGGTGCATAACTAGTCGTAACCTTTTACCAACATCACACATAATAAGCAGATTATTTCAACTACTTTAGCACCATGTGCACTACTGGACATATGTCAAATTGTTACGGCTACTGTAAACCGTAGCATCCCAAAAGGATGGACTGTAAATACGTTACTTCACGCTTTCGTGTTGCGCCTCTGCTGAACCACCCGAAAAACATTAATACATATCAAACTTCCCAGTTAAGTACTGGAGTATGTTTATATTAATTTAAACCTGTAAAGACTTAATTTAGTTGTTCATGACCTAAAGGATCCGCTTGTAAACCATGAAATCAGTCGAATTTTGCTTTAAAAGCCAGTAATGGGGTGGTTCTTGCACAACAGGAATAGTTCGTACTCTGGTTTTGTTAATTTTCTGTCGATGTACTGCTGTACCTAGTAAAAATTAATTCCTGTTGCCATTAATCGCAGGGATGGTGGAATTCCTTCGGCGGATGGCAGTGTAGCTACATGACACCTCTCCCAAATGGATCAGTAATACCGATCCAAACGTGCAACTGGGTTCGTCTACTATCTTTGACGCACGATAAAGCAGAAGCCAATCTGATTTTGGTTACAAACTATCCTACAACTTTTCAAGTCGTCAATGAAATACCGTCTAATCAGCCCATATGTTGCTTTGTCGATAACGATATGCCCATACTAAAACGGTTACTGGAACAAGCTCCAATGCATGATTTGCAAACCTATCCACTACCTTTTCTTTCGTCTCCATGCCTTCAAGGTGCATCCATTTTTAGTCACTTCTCACCACCGCATGGACTAAAGGTACTCGTACAACTTTTGTCGCAACTCTGTCTGTAAAGAAACATATGTTTTTCAATAATAATTCAAAACAAATTTGGAAAACTTACTCAGTTTCGTAACTGGCGAATAATCTCATAGCATGCATTATTAAACAAGAGAACTACTCGTATTTATCGGTTTAACGTGGTTTTGTGTTTTTGTAGTCCGTGACCTATGCGGGATCAGCCCGACCAGAGTCACTTGATATCCATCCAAGTGTGACCTCGACAATCACAGATATTCTGCCGGAAGACAAACCACGGAAAAATTTGTCATGTTCATATTGCAGTAAAACGTTCGATCGACCTTCGCTTTTGCAAAGGCACGAGCGAATCCACACCGGTAAATAATTGTAAAATAAAGTTCTTGTCATCGTTGCGAAGTCATGATGTAGCAACTAGCAGAAGGGGCTTTTGTACAACTTAAATGTGCCGTGATTGCATGCTTGCTGCTAAGGAGTAACGACTTGTGTTTCGCAGGAGAGAAGCCGTTCAAATGCGATTCTGCCGATTGCACCAAATCGTTTAGCACGTCCAGTTCTTTGGTAAATTTATATTGTAATTACACTTAAGTCACTCCTGTTATGAAGAATGCATGTGCACTCACAATGTTTGGTTTTTCAGAATACGCACAGGTAACAAGTTGGATTGACAGTGCAGTATCCGTACTACGAATTCGGCATTTCGATAATTTTTTTTATTTTGCTTTGCGAAACAGGCGCATTCATACAGGTACGCATGCATGCAGATATCCATTTGCAGTATATGGTTTCTTATCAGCTTTTTCGTCTATTCAGGAGAGAAGCCACACGAATGCAAGCAATGTCGGAAAAGATTTGCCGCCAGTTCCAATTTGTATTATCACAGAATGACGCATACATCCGTAAGTGGCCATTTCAGTCACTGCTGTGGCTAATGATGTCGTTTGGCGGTCACCGGCTCGTGGAAGCCATCAACGGAAAGGTCATTCACTACTTGTTTCAGGAACGACCGCATAAGTGCTCCAAATGTAACAAGGGATTTTCAACCCCAGGAGATTTAAGGCACCATTCTTATACGCATAATAACAGCTGGCCGTATAAATGCAACGAATGTGACCGCGGATTTTCCAAATCGAACCAACTCAAGATCCATAAGCTGCATCATAAGAGTTAAAGGGGCAATTCGAAATAAAAACCTTTTACCAAAACTTTGATGTAGTATTAGATACTCGCAGTGCCGTATAATTATGGAATATGTCGTAGCTCATGTTGTACATACTGCACTGATGATCTTGTGCTCCAAATATAAGTTTAAGTAGTGCGACCGCGAAGGCTGTGCTTTGTTTTGTTGGTGGCTGTTTCCAAATAAATTAGTTTTTAAGAAGTGTAAATGCTTGCAGTAAAAGCCACAAAGACAAAATCTCAATCTGAACTGATGTTCGCAATTCAGTTTATTCAATGCTAGCAAAATCCGTTTTGCCGATTTTGAAGGTGACATCATTTACATATTTGTTAAAGGATCATTGGGACCTAAGCCGGCCTGTTATAATAAGTTTGATGCGAATCGGCCTCTTATCTGAACTAGCAATTTAGTGTCAACCATCATAATTTTTTGAGCATTCGATATCGTTTTCCCGTATGCATAGAAGATTCATCGAAGAAATGTTTACAAATCTAGGTTTCCGTATTGCAGTACTGGTAAGTTACAAACTAAAGATTACATACGAATCTAGGAACCCCGCTGTTTAGCGCAGTCCACTATAATGCCGCGGAAACATGACCACTGAAAAAAGTGTCATTAGTTCAGACAACTCTTTCTTCGAAACTTAAGTACGAAAGAACGCCCATACCAGAAAGAGGCTTCACTGCAATAAAAGTACAATACAAAACAAAAAAATTATGAATGAGAAAGAGCCATAATGGCATAAACTATAACAGAGGAAGGCGATATTTCTACTCTCTGCGACTCGCGATATATCGCGAACATTTACGCCGCTGACACAACCAATATCATTCGACTAAAGTTCAACCGATCGATTCCGCTCCCGGAAGTTCAGCATTTCATGCTTTTCAGTGCGGCTGGAAGAGGAGGATGGCGTAGGCCCACTGTGCTGCTGGCCTTGACGGCTAGATTGATGCCCTTCACCTGGTCGCTTCATCAGTTCGTATTCATAATCCGAGAGAATTTTGCCCGTGAAGTACAATATCTGGTATGTCTCTTCTTTGAAAGACTTAATAGGATGAAAGATATTAGTCTTGTACCATTGTCGAGTGGCGGATGCGCCACGAACCGCCAGTTCCGCCGGCGTCTTGCCAGGATCTAAGATCAACAGCCCAAGCTTATCCGTATTATACAAACAGTTATCGGCGGCCGCCCGGTCGCCGTCTTTCTTGGCTTTCGGCTTCTCTCTGGGCTTTTTTTTGTCAGTCTCACATCCGGTCACTTCCAACCCGATAATGGTGCGACTATGTCCCGAATACTGTATGTACATTGGAGCAACGAAACCCTTCGTGGCTTCGGTGGCGAAATATTCTTGCACGAAGGTGAACAACTGATCCTGCACATCCGTCGCGCCGATCACACTGCCAAAGTCCCGGATCACGCAGTCAATGCGCATGGAGTGGAAGAGTGCCTGGATTTCTGTAGTACCAATCCATTTCGATGTCTCCACGACGTTGTGCTCCAGTTCCGTCGCGGCGAAGAAGTCAAATCCTCGTTCCCATGCCTGGTGGATGAGAAACTGCAGGTGACGAATGCTGGGAATGTAGTTGCCACCCAACTCCTCCATTAGGCGCGATTGCACCGCCGGCCATTTTAAAAGAGACGAGATCAGCATCTGCATTATAAATATTCAAAAGGCCAGTAATGAGTAGTATCGCTTTTTCAGTTTCAACAATTAGAAACTATTATTTATGAGATGCAGCTGAACTAGTACTGTACAAATATATATCATTCTGCATACCGCTGCTACCACAGAATGTTCCAAGTTTCAGCAGTAAATCAAAATCATATCGTGCATGTTATACCACTTTAACACTGACAAAATAATGGTTAAATTTAAATCGTTCACACGAATAAAATTAATGCAAACCCACCTGTGCATTTCGGTAGCCACATCCCCAGCCACAATCCCCCAGATCTTTGCCATAAAATTCCACGTAATTACAGAGCAGCAAGATAGGCATTTCTTTGGCTCGCTCCACGGTTTCCCTCACATGCTCCAGCACCAAACCGTCACGCTTTTGGTATTCCGAATTTTCCTTATTCCACTGCGTCAGCGCTTCCAGCACAGCATTGATTACGTATTCTGCCTCTTTACTCTCATCAACCAGAGATTGCAGTGATGCAAGAAATTTCGAAGCATATCCATCGCCCACGGGGACTTTTTCGTCATAGGTGAAACCCTCCAGTATGCGGTCGGTCAACACGGGAGCAATGGCGCGAAGAATGTCCACTGGATTTCTGGGATCACTGCTGGTCCAGTCCATGGAATTTTCACTGTCACTCTGCTCAGGATCGATGAGAGCTTTGTACAGGCTGTCGGTCAGTTCTTTGCGCATGGAGGCATCAATATCCTGCTCTCTGTTGGGATTCCGCGTGGGATACCTTCGCAGAACCCCAATGCTATCGGACGAAGACATTCTGATTTTGGTGAAGATTCGTAAATCCTTTAAAAAAACTCCAAAGTATGTTTTCCGATGCGGCCTGAGATATTCATCTCGCCGGGAATTCTAATTAATGGATACGATTTATCTCGCGTTGTGGCACCAGGAAGAGTTAAGAAAACAGTCGACAATACAAATTCATGTATACTCGTAGTAATAGTTACGAGAAATTACATAAACCATAGTAAATTACGTATTAACAATGGTCAACGGAAGCATATAAAGCGATCTCGTTACTGTGTTACCGTAGAACTGAGTAGCGTGGTTCAAATTTCAAAACATGATACAGTACTTACGATTATTTTCCTAAATTTAAATATTAGGGCTGGTGCATCACGATAATATTGTAGTGCGTAATTGCGTCACCTGAAAAGTCTCACAGAAACGGAGCCCGGAGGGCGGAAATGCTATGAACAGGGGATAACCAAACGTGTTACGAGGTTTATGGTACTGTAGGTCTCGCATATGTACAGTTTGACTGGTTTTGCAGTTCACTGCAAAGTGCCGATCGCCGATGTCTGTCACGTAGCACTTGGTTCAATTGGTTGTAGTTCTGTAGTCTGTTCTTTATTTACGGTACAATTAATTCGCGGTGTTCTCATGATTTTTTCGATTCGTGCTGTCACATACTACCGCTTAGCACGCAAACTTCAACTGAGTGTATGCGGCAACTGTAAACAGCAGGCTTGTAGTGGGCTCTTTTCGCATCGAAACTGTAGCGCAGAAGCAGCGAAACCGTCAGTTCCCGAAGTATCCTCTTGGGGTTCCAAAAAAGTCAGACAGAAGCAATTACAGCGAGCGAAGGAGACAATTATGGCATCTCCAGACCTGGAAGCTATTTTAGCGCCGCTGCGTGCATCTGTCAAAGAGCAGGTAAGGTTGAAAACGTGTGGCGCATTTGTGGTGCTTTGGATTCACTAGATGTACAGTATTCTGAATGCCGGATTGCATCAGCGAGTTTTCCACATTGTCAATTTGTCATTGTGCATGAATTATACATGAACTTTAGGGCGACTACGTGCGGAAACTCAAGGAATCGAAAGAATCGGATAATGAGCTAGCACGGGCGGTTGCCGAATTGAAACTGCGCAAGCGTGTCCTTGAGGACAAGGTTAGTTGGTTCACTAACGCAGTACTGATTATTCTAGGAACAACCACTGGGTCGCCATTGTTTCCGGCTATGGTGTCCTGATGTTGTGTTGTTCCCTCCAGGAACTAGAATTGACTAAAGCCAGGGAGGGCGATTTTGACCGGATTAAAATGGAAGATCTGATTAAGCGGCGCTTTTATTTCGATCAGTCGTTTGCCATTTATGGAGGTACAGTACTGCTGCTTTCACCTTTTTATGTTTTTCGCAACTGTAGAGTTTCCTGTGTAAAGCATATTTTTATCACACTGCATGTATAAGTTTGCTTTATATTTTGCTTTATTGTAGTTTCGACTTGTGTTCGTTCGGTTTTGATGTGCCGTGTGCGTGGTTTACTTTGCATAATAATAATATACAAGTACTGGTGCGTGCGACTAATCTTTACTCGAAAATTTTCCATGTTTTCATTCGTATTTCATACGTCTGTTAAATTTTTCTTATATGAGTCTGTTAACTATTAGGAAGCGTAGGTCGTTTTATTTTTTTTGGCTCTAATTTTTTTCCCGTTATTGTGCTTCCGGTTTGCCGTTTTCATGTGCGCTGCATCAGCAAATTGTGTTTTTAGGTGTAACCGGCTTGTACGATTTCGGTCCAATGGGATGCGCTATTAAGACGAACCTTTTGAGCGCTTGGCGGAAACACTTCATACTGGAAGAACAAATGCTGGAAGTGGATTCCAGTTGCGTCACACCAGAACCGGTTTTAAAGTAGGGCCATCCGCACTGGACATCTTGTTTGTCTGTACTCTGTAGTTTAATCTTGGTTAATACGTAAATAGGGAAAAATGCTATTTCTACTGCAAATGCGTTCGCACTTTGCCATATCAGAATGAATGACTGAGTTCGAATGCTTGGCTTTGCTTTGCAGAGCATCCGGTCATGTTGATCGTTTCTTGGATTACATGGTGAAAGATACGAAAACGGGTGATTGTTTCCGTGTGGATCATTTGATTAAAGCACATCTAGAAGATGTCCAGAAGGATAAAAAGGCCCCTGATGACAGCAAAGCTCGCGCGAAGGAAATTATCGCTACCGTAGGCATTCACGTTTGAAAACAGCATGCTCCAAATGGATAGATGTTTGAGTTTGTGGGTTTTTTTTTTTGCGAAGATCGACAATTTGAATAGAGAGGGTTTCCGTGACGTCGTTCGAGAATGGAAGATGAAATCGCCCATAACTGGCAACGATCTGTCCGATCCCGTTGAATTCAATTTGATGTTCGGTGTTTCTATTGGACCCACCGGTTTGGTGCGAGGGTGAGTAAAGATTTTGTATACGTACACTGTTTTCGTTTTTTACATCATATGATCATGGTCACGCTTTTGTGTCTGGAGTTGTTGTTGGTGATTTCCTGCTGATTTTGTTGGTATTGTGAATCGAATATAATAGAGTGGAATTTCAGCGATTTGTTTTTCAGATATTTGCGTCCGGAAACAGCGCAAGGAATTTTCGTTAACTTCAAGCGTTTGTTGGAGTTCAATCAGGGAAAGTTGCCATTTGCATGCGCTCAAATCGGCAATGCCTATCGTAACGAAATCTCCCCACGAAGTGGTTTACTGCGTGTTCGGTAAATATTCGTTGCGAATTAGTAACGCAGAATGTTAGACATACCTTTACAGTATCTTGCCTGATTTATTAGAGAATTCACAATGGCAGAGATTGAACATTTTGTCGATCCATCGAACAAAAACCACCCTAAATTTGAAAATGTGAAAGATTTGGAACTGAATCTGTTTGCCGCATGCGATCAGATGGACGGTGAAGCAGCAAAAAGAATTCCCATTGGGAAAGCTGTGGAGAGTGTGAGTAGCTGAGTCTGAAATTCAGAAAATGTTCTGTAGATTCATAGTTTTCAATAACAGTTAATGCATATCCTGTGTTTTGTTTAGAAATTAGTGGCGAATGAAACTTTGGGGTACTTCTTGGCGCGGGTGTATCTTTTCTTGGTGAAAGTTGGTGTTGATCCCAGCAAAGTTCGCTTCCGGCAGCACATGAGCAACGAAATGGCACATTATGCCTGCGATTGTTGGGATGCGGAATTGCTAACGAGTTATGTGAGTTGAGGCTTTACATACAGTCTTACTTTGTCTTGAAGTCACTCAAGCAACCTTTTTTCGTGTAAAATTTTTTTGGCACATGAAACATTGCAGTAAGACAGGATCACGTTCGGAATAACCTTTCTGTGGTTTTAGGGCTGGGTGGAATGTGTCGGATGCGCGGATCGATCTGCCTACGATTTAACGCAGCATACAAAAGCTACGGGAATTTCACTGGTGGCCGAAAAGCCTCTTCCGGCGCCCGTTACTGTGGACGTTGTGGAATGCGCACCGAATCGTGCCGTTGTTGGAAAGAACTTCAAGCAAGACCAGAAAAAAGTTTTGGATCATTTGGCAGCTTTGTCGGAGAAAGATACTTTGGCTTTGGAAAATGAACTAACTTCAACAGGGTACAAATTTAGATCAGTAAAGGTTGTGAACATAGTGAACCTTTAACTGCCTATTTAGTGATAAAATTATACCCATCGCAGCCAGTTTAGGTGGTAATTTTGTTTGGGTGAACGTTCAATCAGTCGATTTCACTGCTGCTCTTTCAGGAAATTTTCGATCAATGTTGACGGTCAGACGTTCGAGCTGACTAAGGATATGGTGGAGATTAAGAAGTACCAGAAAACTAAACACGGTAAGAAAAATATTGCATCGACGTATACAATAAGACTGATTGAAAGCATATTTTTAGTGGAGGAATTCACTCCCGGTGTGATCGAACCGTCTTTTGGCATTGGGCGCATCATGTATTCGGTTATGGAGCATACATTCCATATTCGGGAAGGCGATGAGCAGCGAACTGTATGTACAACGTTTATATGTGCTGTCTTCACCTTTAACATCTGGTGTTCTGCCATTTTTTTTATTTTCCAGTACTTTTCCCTTCCTCCCGTAATTGCCCCGTTCAAGTGCTCCGTTCTTCCTTTAAGTGGCAATCAAGAATTTCAGCCGTTTGTCAAACAGCTTTGTAAGCTGCAAAGATCACCCGCTTTCTGAAGTTTGCATCTAACCGGCATGACTTGTTTTTTTTTGTTTCTGAATGTAGCCCAAGCATTGACAGCTAGCGATATTTCCCACAAAGTGGATGATTCTGCTGGTGCAATTGGACGTCGCTATGCGCGCACAGATGAAGTGGCAATTCCATTTGGAATTACCATTGATTTTGATACGGTGAATAAGAAGCCGACAAGTGTTACTGTTCGGGAACGCGATAGTATGGAGCAGATTCGTGTGGGGGTAAGACCTTATCCTATGTGAATCCAGTTTTCTGATGTCATTAATTATATTTACCTTTAGATGGATGAAGTTGTTCCTTTAATCGCTGATTTTGTGGCGGGGCGAGCGAAGTGGGCAGATGCGCTGAAAAAATATCCGAAATTCGTACAGCAAGAAGCATCGGCCAAAAAGGAGTAGTAAATCACTGAAATTCTGTATGCTTTTTACTAATTTTGTATGTTTGATCTGGAGCCAGAGAACCTAACAATTTCAGTTTTATTGTTTTTATTGATTTGTGGTTCAGTTACAACGACAACCGGTTGTCTCGTTATGTTCTGACACAATTAATACATTTAAAATTATAAAAGTTCTCTAATGATCACAGTTTAGCAACACTCGGACGAAGACTCAAAAAGGAATAGCCACGCAATCGAACAAACGAAGATTATAAGGAGGACAGTAGATTGCTTGCGCGCCTGGCTTTACGTAACTCCGTTTGTAGAAGGTACTGTCGTTTTCGAAAATAGTTGAGTAATTCTTCAAAATCAATGTCAATTTTGGAGCCTGACGAAACACGGGAACTGTTCTTGGGAATGCCGACATTTGCTGTTTCTTCTGAATGTTTCTGCCACGGAATGCAGTCCAGTCGCCGTTGTAAAATACCGAACGCTTCGCTCTGCGGTAACAGCATTAATAAACCGTACAAAGCTTTCACTAAATAACCATTTACCGCAGGATCGAGCAGCTGCATACGAAGATCTGTCAACAAAAGAATGCAAAAGTACTGTAATCCTTGCAAATATTGCAACGAGGTTGAATTTAGTCTAATAATTAGGCATCAGTTGATACCAAAAGACAACGAACAATTGGCTCAAAGTACAAAACCAAATCTTCCTGTCATCGCCTCGAAGACAGAATAATTGCTATCTAAACCTTAAAGAAACACTTACAGGTGAATACAGGTGACTCAATAAGTTGTATCAATTTATCAATTTCGCTGAGATGTTCCACGGTGACATCGATATCAGCAAAGACCTCCAAGATCGCACAGGCATGCTGATATCGTTGAGTGAGCAGACACAACGCCACAGCGGCCACAGAATTATTTGCCCAACACCGGTACAACTTCTCAAACAATTTGTGAGTTGCTGCGGTAGAAAAGTCCTTCAGAAGATTGCGTAATTCAAATAATTCCGAGGCCGTTAGCAAAATGCTACTCAGCGCTTGAACCATAATAGACGCAAATTTCGGGTCAGCTTCTTCAAGAAGAATTTCCGCAATGACCTCGTAGATATCTTGGGCACTTAACAATAAGCATAGCTGGCGAATCATGAAGTGTCCCCGCTCTTCCAGCATCGAGCGGTCACCTTTAAATATCCGTAGCAATTCGCCAATGAATCGCCGAAAGTATGAGATCTCGGGCTGGTTTTCCGACGACTTATACATCACCTGCAGCTCTACAACAAATAAAATTCAAGTATGCGTTAATATTAAACTCCATCTGCAACACACTTACGATCACAGACCGAACTCAGTTCTGCAAACACTTCCAAGGTCGCTAATATAACTTCGTCGGATGTATCCTGGATAGCGACTAACAATGCAGGAAATAACTTGTCGATTGATTTGAACGTCCGTCTAGGAAACATAATAATAAAGAATCGATACAGCATCGACTACTCAACGGTAATCTATTTACATTTAAACATTATAATTATTTACGATAAGTAGTGCCACCACAAGACTCACAACCGGTGAAAATTTGGTCCGTAAGGAGTGCGTACATTGTACGGTTTCGTGTCAGAATGAAATATTTACCGTGCTATAGTACTCGTATGCAGGCCCGTCTCTAGCTTTTTTGATGGGGGTGGCGCATAACTTCGCGCCAGTTGGAAAATGGCCGAAAAATTGAGGAAAATCGTAGACTTTTTTTTTGAAAGTGGCTTTTTTGAGCCACTTTCCTACGATTTTCTTCAACAATTTCGGTGCGCCCCCCTGCGCCAGTCCCATTTTCTCGCGTCTGCGCCAGTTTTCGCGCCATGCGCCAGCTCTCGGCGCACTTTTTTCAAAAATTTTCGCTCCCGAAGTGCGCCCCCCCCCGTAAAGACCTGCTCGTATGCATTAAAAAACATGCGCGAAAAATTACACAAGGATATTAATATCCCAACTTACACAACATAATAAAGATTAAGTACATTCGCAAATTAGCAGAATTAATTACCACTTTAGCATCTGCATCTTGTCAGATTCTCTGAAGTTTTTGAATCCTACCTGGGTACCAAATCAAAAAGGCTGTACACCCATCGCAAACAAGCCAGTCTGGTAGGCACGGCATCATGCTTCAAGTTCACAATCAAAACATCCACAATGCCATGTAAATCCAACGTTAAGATGCTGCACAAGGAGGGATACATCATACAACCAGTATCATGTATCCATTCAATGCTGAACCCTAACTATACATACTCATCGCATTTCTCTGGAGTATCCTCCATCTCTCTCGGAATCAGGCGAACCAACTCCTGATTAACTTGTTTAGCGTTCTCCCTTACATCTGCAAGATAACCGCAAACAATCCAGAAACGTAATCGAGGTTAAGATATCATAAATAACGGGAAAAAACAAAGCGTACTTTTCCGGCTGTCACTCTCAAAAGAGAGACACGGCAAAACAGCAATAAGAATTCCCGATGCAAACGGCAGCATCCGCTCTCCTGAAAGTTTGATGAACTGCTTTATCCACAAAATGGCAGTAAACTGTACCAACTCGTCTAAAAAAATAATCCTAAATTACTGATCTCACAGAACGCAACAAAATTTTCGCTGCCACCGCAATCTCACCTTGTGACTGTGCATGAGCAATCAGAATGTTAATCATTGCTGCATAATCCACGTTCTGGGGACTTGTAACGATGCCATGGAGAAATTCTCCCAACAACGACTCACATCTATCAATGACAAGCTATTAAATTGCCGTATTCGACCAAGGATGAAACCATTTCTTACGTACGCTTTCCGGATTTCCAATCTGGGATCGCTGAGAATTGTAAACAAACCGTCTAAAATCTCCGGTAAATAATCGAGGATGTTAACTTCCGGTGCAGAATCTAGGACACTAATCTGACCAAAACACAACAGCAAAATTATAAAAATGTGCGATTAAAAATTCAACTAAAGGAGAATGATGGCCGTACCCAAGAAACCAAAAACTGTTTGACGAAGGGGTTTTTTGCATAAATGCGTTCACGGAGCAGCGGAACAAATATCTCCAAATCAAGGGTGCGGCTTTCTATTACGACATCTTTTACCAGACGATCAAGAAGCTCGGCACCGTTTTTGGTATTGGTATCGGAATCCGCGCATAGCTAAAAAGCTACAACTATTACTTGACAAAAAAACAATCAAAGGATATCAAACCTATAGAAAACGTAAGCATTCGCTGGAAGCATCACTTAAATTTTACATGATTATCAAAGATTATGCGATTTACCTTGCTCAACACATCAAATATTTCTGGAAAATACGGCATCGACGTTTCCCTCGCTACTTTAACCACATTGTACAAGGCTTCGCAAGCGAAATAGCGAATTCGACTGTCCGCATCGTTAAAACACGCGATGACCGGTTTGATTATTTGGGGAAGATAAATTCGGATGTGCTTTCCCAAAGCAATCGACGCTGCAGCCAACCCGATCAGGCCGCCTTTTCGATAATGCCCTGTTGCAAAATGTTGAATAATTGCAGGGACATTTCAGCGCCTTTATTCGTTTGAAAGCGTTGGCAAAACTCACCATTATCGGATAAAGTCAAATCCTGAGCCAAAACTTTGATAAGTTTTTGGATCATGGCTGTGTTATTGGTTGTCACGAATTCTTTCATCATCCTGAGACGGAAAATATGAAAATTAATAAACGCAGAGCACAGTACAGAGTCTATCGGCACAGTTTCTGCATAATATCTAATAAAATGACTAGAGCCAACTTAAAATTAAAACAGTACTGTAGTATTCGTACCTTTCGACTTCCGAAGCAGCTGTCTTACGTTTTTCGTAGATCTTCTCTGTTAGCAAACGCAACAGGTTTTGGTTTAATGGATACAAATCCTGGTCGGAAGCCATCACTGCGCTGCCGTTTTTGTCAGAAGTAATTCAATCAATGCCCCATGCAACAATCACAGCAGATTCTATAAGCATTAGTCGATTAGCGACAATACGTTCCAAAAAAAACGAAAAAATCAACAACAATCAATTCATGGCACACCTCCAAAATTTCAAATAGGCAAAACTGCAAGTAGTGCAGAGCTAGAGCAAGTGCCTGTGCACTAGGAAAAGTTAAACGGGCAGTGTGACGCACCATGGATTTTGCAAAATATTTTGCCTTAAATCAAAATATGTCACAATCGCACCCTTTATTTTGCAGTTTATGGTGAAAGCACCCACCAAATTGTAAATGTGAACTGAGTCTTTTTCCTCTTGTGCGCCGAAAACATCAGTTACTTTATTAACTCGTTATCCGGATAATCATGGATGACACTCTGGAAATCTGCGTCGAGAGTAACGAATTCGACGCGGAGGAGGAAGAGGTAAGGACCGAAAGGTTTCTCTTAACTGTCGTTGGTGTCCCAGCTCGCAGTCTCGCATTATTAGCAGTTTAGCATGATTATAGTACAAACTCGCTGTGGACTGATGTGTGATTAAGGGGCCCATATACCAGAGTATGTAAAATGTGTAGTTTATTACCGTTTGGATGCCGTAGTTTGAATTCCTTAACGCGGTCTCGTGTGTTAGCGGAGTTTTGATTCGCGTGTAACCGTGTTGTACTTACGTAGTTGATTCAACTAATTCCATCGAGTTCGGTCGCGGAGTCTTCGCATGTGTCGTCGGGCAGTCGTACCCCTTCCGCCGTGCGCTCTGTGAATTCCGACAGCCGGAACTGTTCGGACGACGAATCTGACGGCGATCACCGACCGAGTCGAAAGCGCAGAAAAGCCATTATTGCCAAGGAAAAAACGGAATCCTCCTCCGTTCGTGACAACGGTGGGGATTACTGAATATCGTAGTCATCAGCTAAACATCACGTATCTAGTATGTATTGTGTACGGTAACAGATGGACGTAATTCACTGAATTCAGCTGTGGAAATATCAGCAGCAGCGCATCCCAGTGGAGAGCAACCTGCATCTAATCACCAATCCAAACGTTCGCATAATTTCAAGCGGCCATCCGACAGGAAGCCGATTCCAACCGGAAACGGCCCAATGACCATTCATATTAATAAGCATTTCCGAGGAACCGTTCAGTCAGCGCCTGGGAGTGAGTATATACCCCTTCGCGGCATCGGCTTGCGAGAAAATGTCCAGACAGCTTTAATAACATAATGATTTTAACGCATGATTTTAATTTTCTGGTTTTGTGGGATTCTCACGCTGTGTGAGATTTTGAATAATTTTTTTGGATTTATTTACTTTCTGGTATTTTTGCTGTGTGGCTCGGCGAACATCTTTAGGTGCCCAGATGTTAAACCGTCAATGCGCTTCGTGCATTGCAAAGCTTTTATTCTGCTTCATGCCTCTTGTTTGCATATCAATACCCCCAAATTTAGAAATTTGCCGAATGCATCGCTGCTTGCAATGCCGTTTACTAGCGGTTGATCGGTTCCGTGTACGATTTTCTCAGTTTTTGTCTAACTTCGAACTATTCTAGTCATTTTTAATTGGCTTCATCCTTCGCTTTGCTCATTTTACTAGTCTCGCTTCCTAAATGCTGTATAAAATGTTTAGCTTGTCTTGCTTGGGATCCACTTGCTACCGGTGGTAATTTCCGTGGTGCCAGTATGTTAAATGGCAGTGTTTTACCGGGAGTCAAGCCTTTTGGAAGCCTGGCGGAAGGTATCAATTTTTCATCCCGCTTTCATGGATGACAGTTATTTGAGTAAAAGTATTTTTTTAGGTTCTTGTTCGCCGGTGTTAGCTGGGCTTCCTTTTGTTCGTCCCGTAATACCGTTACCTGGTGGTAAGTCAGTTCATCAGTTGTTTTCAATCTTTTCTAATAAATTGTTTTGCCTGTTTTTGATCGAACTGCAGTTTATGTTTTTACGAATACATATGATTTACATTTAGTACATGTTAACATGTAGATAATAACTAAACGCTACTCAAAATAATGATAGAGCGGCCCCCAAGCGGGTCAAGCCAATGTCCTTCCATACTTAATTGCCTGTTTTTGTATAGTTGTCGCTCCCGTGCTACCTCTGCCGCCGTTGCATTTCCGCCCTGAGCTGGTGGGAATGCGACCCAAAATGCCACTTGTATCTTTTGGACGAATGCTGCCAGTTCCTGGCAGTATGGGGCCACCAATTCCTCCTTTGCCTTTGAACATGAGGAATATGGCACGATTAAGGAACAACGCGGAAATCAACCAGCAATATTTGGCACGGAATTTTGATCCGCATACGTTCCAGATGAAAAGAAACAGAAAGAATTGATCCGTGTAATTTAAAAGTTTTTGTAGTCGTTCTTCGCTGTTAATTTTTCTTATTTTTGTTTCGTCGCAAACGGTCGCAAACGGTTTTTGCTTACTGTCTTTGTAAGCTAAATGATGAAAGATTTTGGATTTTATTAATGTTACACTTATACTCTCATAATCTCTCATGTTAATTTTTGAAAATGTTATGTTATTGCTTTTAATGACGTTCGCGTGTGTTCCGAATTAAAAATAATTTCCTGTTTGATTATTTTAATAAATAGTGTGAAGGCATTTGCTCGTTACATGGCTTACGCCGTCATAAGATTACAAATATTATTTTTCTGTAGGCAATTTTTCGCTCGTCGCAGGCATAATTTTATCTTGGGCGATGTAACCATTAAATCATATCATCATTTGCGTACTTTAAAATTTTTTGTATTTTGAATTTTGTGAGGGATACTTCTTTTAAGCTAAAATTCAGCGACCGATTACTTGTAAAACGTTGCGGTACTTTTGGAAGCAGCGATAACTGATTTGCATCATGCTGACGATGAAAAATCTTGGATGATAATTTCTGCGACGTGTTCATCTATACGAGTACGCATGTAATAGTATTCGAAGTGTTCTTCCTCCCTCACTCGTACTTTGGAGAAACCAGTTTCAGTCGCCTCCTGTAGTGATTTTGCTCTTACAATTGTTAGTCCTGGATTGTACTGAAAGCGGTTGATTCTCTGATCCGAGGCCGTGAAGCGCTGCACGTTCCTGTTTGAGAAAATGACTAAAATTGAGATCGAGAGTGAAGAAGATGGGTCAGTGAGACCAGTTTTCGTTGCTGCTCCGCCGCCCGTTCCGACACCCAAGATCTACAAATACCTCAGCCTTTTTACGCTCGTGGTGCAAACTACATCGATTATCCTGCTTCTGAGAGTCACACGCACTGCCGCCGGTGAAAAATACATTTCCTCCACGGCAGTGACGATGACGGAGGTGTTAAAAGTGATCATTTGCCTGGTTGTGATGTTAGTGCAAAGCGGTAACAGCAGCCTGTTGTTTTCGTAAACTCACATCTGCATGGTGGAAATTAAGCTGTTATATTATAAAAATACGTTGTATAGGAGGGGACGTTGTGGATGTTGTGCGGACGTTGTACAACGAAATTTGGATGAAACCCAAAGAGACGGCTAAACTAATCATCCCCGCAGCGCTCTATACGGTACAGAATAATCTCCTTTTCCTGGCGCTGTATCACCTGGACGCTGCTACGTACCAAGTAAGTGTAACTTATACATTCAAATTAATTTAGTAGTAAATTGGGTTTCATTAATATTATTTAAATTTTTAAACTAAAACTAAAAACCATATAATGTTTAAAAGTTGATGTTAGTTTATTGTGATATTATACTAATTTGAGATAATCCATCGGTTTTCATCCATCAAGTGATATTTTCATAATTTTAAAAATAGTGTTAATCATATCTTCTAAATTCTTAAGTAAGAAATTAATTTGAAATTAAGTGTAATTTATTTTGGATTGTCATGCTACACTTACAAGTTACATAGTAAATCGTTTTTGCCTGAACACGTTATGCTTATTTCAGAATTTGTACTTTGTTATTTTTCGCTAAAATTGTCTTCGCTTCCTTTCAGTGATCAGAATCTTATAATTTTTATCACTTATCTGTTAAAATTTAGGTGACTTACCAACTGAAGATTTTGACCACTGCTCTATTTTCCGTGACTATGTTATCAAAAAGGATTCAGATCCATCAGTGGGGAGCGCTTGTACTGCTGACTGCTGGAGTGGCATTGGTTCAGGTGAGAACTGAAAAAACACTGTCTGATTTGGTAAAGTGTTTTTCATTTTTCAGAAAATCAGGTGTCTCAGTTCTTGAATTCTCGCATAAAATCCAGTAGGCTTTTCGGCTTTTGTTGCCTTTTTTTGCCGATTTTTCAGTTTGTCGGTATATTATTGTGGTGCCACATCCAGCTATATACGTAACATAAGCCCATCTTCCCTTTTAGTTGCCATCAGGAGAGAGTAAACCTAACAATAAAGCGCCGGATGCCAGCGTCGTGGTTGGATTGGTGGCCGTGATTACAGCATGTTTTTCCAGTGGATTTTCCGGTGTTTATTTTGAGAAGATTCTGAAAGGCAGTCGTACCACACTGTGGATAAGGAATATTCAACTTGGTATGGTGTTTTATAGTTTCATGTTTTATGGCTAATATTTAATATAGTTTGTTTTTTTATAGCTTTTGTATCTATGATGAGTATGCTTCTTTGGGCTGAACTTAACAGAAGTTTGTTTTAGGTGCTCCCAGTGTGATTTTGGGATTATTGGGAGTTCTCTTTAACGATTACGAAGCTGTACGAGATAAGGGCTTCTTTCAGGGATACAATTACCTCACCGTGCTGGTTATTTTTTGTCATGTGAGTGAAAATTATTACGTTTTCATTGTCCGTGTTACTTTTGAAGCATGCTAGATAACTATTTTTTTCGTTGGTTAACAGGGTGTTGGAGGTATTATCGTGGCATTGACCATCCGCTACGCCGATAATATCTTAAAATGCTTCGCCAGTGCTGTATCCATCATACTATCCTGCTTTGTTTCATACGTATTTTTGAATGATTTCGTTCCAACGATGTAAGTATTTGGAAACAGAATAATTTTGCTTTCCATAAATGCACAGAAAAAGATATCTGCGGTAAAACATTTCCTTTTTTTAGCAGTAATTCATATTTTTTCTTCTGCAGTGCTTTTGTTTTTGGAGCTGTGATGGTTATAATAGCAACGTTTCTGTATGGATACGAAAAACCGGACCCTGTGCCGATCCATAAAGCTTAAAACCGGTAAAATTATGGTACTGGTTGTTATTGCACAGCACAGTTTGCTGTTCTGTGTAATTCATTATTTGATGTGATAGTATTCACACCGCAGTCAAACGACCTCTGTTATCTTACAGATGGTCCAGTGTGCCAACATTTGGAACAGTTACGCAGTTTTTTGACTGCGATGTTTTACCAGTGATCTCGTATTTGCTGCTCGGTTTTACGTATTCAGAATTCAGATACTTTAGTTTCAAATTGATAAATGGGGAAAGTGACACTGCCTGTGCATAAATTAAATTAAGTGGGAAATCCGTCCGAAAAAACTACATCCGTGTATTTTTGCCGCAGTGCTTCTTCGAGGGCTTTGGCATTGCTCCAGTCTCGGGTTTCCACCACGCAAGTGACTGCGACACTATAATAAAAACGACCTTGTTGATAATATTGATAATAATCAGATTTTCATCGACATGTGGATGCCAAGATTAAGTATTTTACCTGAAAACATCGTATCTCAGCCAGGCACGCTCGTGGAATATATCTTTCAAACTGACATCAAGTTGGCAGATGAGCTTCGTCAGTTCTGCCATACCGCCAGGTCGGTCACTGATGACAACTCTGCAGCATTATCAGAAATTACTTAGTTAATTAATTTTCGTATTTGCATTCAGATGGTGTACGATCTTTGCCATAGAATCAATATGAAAACGTTCCATACTCCACAGTACTCGCACTTTTAATTAGTTATAAACGTACCGGAAACGGCACAACCGTCCATCTGCCGCCAAACCGCGCTCCAGACAACGACCGAGAACCGTTGTATCGATGTTTCCGCCGGAAAGAGGAATAACTACCCTAGAAAGTTGTCATTTTAAGTATGATGGAATATAAAAAATTACGTGCGTTACAGCAAAACCTTGACCCACGCGTACTTTTTGCCTACAAGTTCGGGAAGCTGTCCGGAGAGAATGGCAGCTAGTCCGACCGCACCAGCGCCTTCGCAAACGACCTTCTCCATTTCCACCAGTCGGAGGATGGATAAGGCAATGAATTCCTCCTTAACGACGATCATTTTATCCACTAAGGGCGCAGCAGTGGCAAAGGAATTAAAACCCACAACGGGCACCGATAAACCGTCGGCCAAGGAGGAACTAGTGGGAGTGAATACCGGCTTTCCTGATTCCATGGCTGTCCAGAATCCGGGAGAACGCTCAGATTCTACACCGATTACCAGCACGTTAGGACGCATGGTTTTAATGGCCACTGCGATGCCGGCCAAGTAGCCGCCACCGCCTACGGGGATCACCTACAAGACACCGCAGCCACTTTTATCAGCAGTTAGCACGACTGCAAGAGGGATTTTTTAAAAATATATTCTTACAATAAGTGGTATTACACATGCAAATTGCACAAGAAACAACACAAGTGCACTTAAACATTATTTTGTTGAAAGAAAAAAATGTGCTCGTTATCGCTGGTACTTACCACGGCGTCCATATCAGGCACTTGTTCAAGCATTTCCAGACCACATGTCCCTTGTCCGGCTAATATCCACGGATGATCGAAACCGTTTACGTATGTGTAATTCTTTTCGCATCCCATTCTCATGGCATACTCTTTGGCCTTTAATAACGTGGTATCGTTATAAGTAAATTATTATATTATGACAAAAATGAATTGTTGATTCATTTTAACTGCTGAGTAAAATCAAATTCAGACCATAATAACCAACAACACGAAATTCATTAGTATTGGAATGAATTTATACTGACTTGTCAGGATATGCTATTTAATTACGACGTTGAAACTGATTTATGTAGCCTGGTTACTTTCTAGTGTTATATGCTATAATTCTCTTTGTTATTTGACGAAAAATTGGAAAGGTATTTAACAGTGAGCACGTTTTTCTCAGCTACCTCGGCGATGTTATCACCGTGAATGATGACAGTCGATCCGTACTGTTTGCATAAGGTCACTTTCATTAGAGGTGCACTTTTTGGCATAACCACCGTAACCTGCCAACCACAACGGCTACACATCCATCTCGCCACACGTTATGACCGGGATCAGATTGATTTGCAAGGAGATTACATAGCCCAACTTACCGGAACTCCCAATTGTTTGCCGTGATAAGACAGTGCCAAAGCGTGATTGCCGGCCGAACAAGCAATGACACCGGCAGCACGTTGTTTCTGCGTTCAAACATAACAGTCGTTCAGGGAAAGCAATGCACCAACATTTCTCATTACCAACAGTCAGTAATTACAAGAATTTTGATGGGGTTACCAGTAAAATTTACTTACTATGAGCAGTGTTCTCAGCTTCGATGTGGGTAAATAAAAAACTCTAACAAGTCGAAAGGAAGTGGTTATGCTATAGACTTACAGGCTTCAGTCGGAGGAGAAAATTCCTTGCTCCGCGCTCTTTGAAACTGAAAACAAAATCAACGTGTTAAATTATATTTACAAGGTTCGCGCTAAACTGCATTCATCGCAAAATTTACTTTCGATGATATTTTGAGTTACAGAGCCAGGAAGAAAATACTGATAAAATTCTATAACTGTGTATCTGGCTGCACTCGGTACTACAGATATAGTTTAATGTACGTATGTTATGATCGGCTTGTTTGTTTGTATAATTTTTTGTCTTGCATTTACAGTAATCGTCGGTGATACATTACCTTCCGGTAAACTGAAATAGGTCTTTTTTGAAATAAATATTGACTCCCGTCATGGCTGACATATGCGATAGCTGCAAAACAAAATGGCGTTCAGTAGAAACATAGCTATCATCAATATGTAGTGATACATTTATTCGGAAAAAGGCAACGCAGCAAATATGGGCAAACGCTAATCATACTACTTTAAAATTTGATTTATTTTGCAGCACTACTCGTAGTGATCACGAATGTTACTATGTCATTAGGAGATTCGTAAAAACTTTTCTCCCGATCACTAAAAGGCATTTTTCCATTCGATTACCGTGCACGGCGTCAGTTGTATTCCGCCTTTCAGCATATAAGCAGCTGCCGACACATCCTCAAATGTGACCTGTATGGGGTTCTCCGGATCACACCAGGGATCGAAAAGCGGATCGTCCGGGCGCTGCGGCGCAATTGTTCCGCGCCGCAACACGACCGGCTCAACGAAGCCGATTTCAATTTCGTCATCATCCTCTTCCGTGGGCACCGAGGTGCCGGTGATACGGCGCAACCGCGGACTGGAAAAGAGTTTCTTCGCGCTGGACGGTCGACGGGAGAAGTCGCCGACGAGCACTTCCGGCAGCGGTGAATTGCGTTGTGGCCCCGGACTGGACACGGATGACACGCTGTCCAGTTCGTCATCGGTGGAGGCACGCTCCTCGGTAATGGAGCCTCGGCTTAGTTGTCTGATGAAGCCGTTGGAACCGTCGTTAGAAGAACTTTCCGGCGTCGATGGCATTTTAATAAAATAAACACATATAATAAAATTTTTCGGGATTAAAGACAATGGTGACGTTCGAATGATAAAAGTTGGTTTGACGTCTTACTGCAGGCCTTCGCTGAGGCTACGAAATAGTACAGCTAAAAACATCAACAATTTTTTGCGCACTCACAAACATCAACAAGTAAACTTTAAACGGAATAAAACAGGATCTAGAATTTACACTTGTAAATCATATGACATGCGCGCTATGTATGGACGAAGACACTACTACTGCTAATATATTTCGTCCATATTGTTCGTAAGTTATTCCCTTGGCCACGCGCCAAAAGGTAGACATCAGCTGAAAGTCATCAGATAAATGTTCAATTATGTGACACTAGAGGCTTCGCTTGCATTCAGAAACATTTTTTCTACCAAAACGCCATAGATATTGTAGCTTAAAAGTACGCTGCTTGTAGTAAATGGTAATACTGGTAACACTTAATTCGACTCGAATCGTTCAACCGCCGAAGATTTCCGTGCTTCGAGATGCGAAGCTACGGTATATCAGCAGATACGCTAACACCTGGAATTCTGGATACTTCCATAATAATATTGTAGAATCATAAAATGATACTGCAGTAACGCAATGTATCGCGCGTCCCTAGTACGGTCAAGCACGGTTACCTACTCAGTAAATTGACCATACGGCATACGTATACGTTGACCATACGCATAGTGCAGTGCAATACATTTGTGTTTACTGCATGGCCATATGAATATTTTGAAAGGTCACATTAAGTTTAGTATGTTTGCCACAAATCCTTATGTGTTTATATTTGTGTACATTGACGCAAGCTCAAGTAACGGACAACCAACAGCTATCTTCTTCTGCAGGTACATAATACGGTGTGTAAAAATTGTACGAATTACGATGTACCTATTTGTCCATATAGAAAATTAAGCCATTCAGTCTTTGCTTTAAATTAGCCCGAAATGCACACTGGGATCGAAAACTCAGAGAGAAAACGTCATTGGACGGCATGAGTGAACAAAAAGACAATCAAAAAATACAAATTTAAAATGTTGAAGTGTTTCCAGTCCAAAATTATCCAAAATATAAAGAAAAACGACAATTTCCACTCACAGGAAGGCATTTGCTACAAAGCCGCTTATTTTAAAGATATTTCTAATACTTCTTTTGTTCCCTTTTGTACGAAAGCTGCATGAGGCGTCTTTGGTTGTCGATAACTTTGAGGTTTCTGTAAAATGTAGATGTTAAAGAAAAAAGATATTCTTATTTCACCGAACGCTTAAATAAATTTAATAAGTTTACCTGATGTAATTTTGCACATTAAATTCAGTAACCGGCTTCTCTGACGACGGTAAAACAATCTCTGAAAATTCAACACGCGTAGATTATACCTTCCCGGTTAACGCGCTAATCGTTTGCTGCAAAGAATCCAGTACTGTATTTCTATTAATTACCCATTTCTCCAGTCATGCAATTCCGTATTTGCCGCAAACATTCAGCAATCATATGCTACGACAAAAAATTAACCTTTAGCGCACTGCTGAAACATGCTTCCATTACGTGATTCGCATCGTTTGGGTACAATTACCATTTTTTCAAAGTTAACGAGATCATCAAGTAGGGTTTTGTTTCCTTCGTGTGTAAATGTGAGATCTGCAATAAAATAAGATCGATATTTGATTACTCACTTTTGTAACGTAAAGTCTTTACTCTCTAGTATTTCCGCAACTGTTTATGCTTAATTCAGTACTCGTACTTTGACTTCGAGTATTCATAGTTTTCGACATAGGTCAGTACTTAATGCATTGCGCTTAATAAGCAGCTTAATGTACCGGCTGACCTTTCATAATCAGAGGCATGAAGGGGATGACCGGAGCAGGATCAGTAGTAGTATTTTTACGTCGTTCATCAAGGCAGTTACTCAAAAGCATTCGGCTAGCCCGATGATTGCGACTTGGATCGATGATTTCTTCGAAATCTTTGAAGATTTTTGCAAATTTGGATGGCAACTTCTACAATAAAAAATAAATCTTTGTTTGCTTAAAATACTAGCTATTAGGTTGTCATTTTACACGCAAGATTTTGTCCGAAAATTTTGCACACTTTGATCGTCAAGTATACCAAACCAGCTTTCACTAAAACAACAATTTAAAATCAAGACAAAACCTTATTTCTACCATGCTTTGCTTGTCTAATGTTTAGAGAAATCAGCCCGACAAATAATTTTATGACTTATGCCAGTATAAATAAATCTATCATGAAAGTAAATAACATTTCAGTTTTGAAAGAATAATCAAAACATGGGCATATTAAATTTCAAGAGATTAAGTCGTGATAAACAAGGGAAAAATGAATAACGACTGCAGCCGATGATATTATATCATCACAAAAATAAAATTTAACTCGGCAATGAACGGCATTTGGCAGGCTCCGCTTCTGATATTGCAAGATACCGTAATAATTCATAACCGAATGGAAATAAATGTTAACTTCAACAATAAACGAGAATTATTCGCACCTCCCAAGTGCCTTTCAGCCTCGACACCGCTGTGTTTGTCAAACCCATGACTATGGCACTGAACGCGAACAAATTGAAATACTCCTTGCAACTAAAAAAACATCAGTGATGATAATGCACCCGCAAAACATGGACGTATATTCCTGGTGTACGACTTACTGTGCCGCTGCTTTGATAAACTTTTTAAGCAGATGAACGCGCTTGCTTTGGCTGGACGTTAAGCACATTTCGCTGGATACCCAGAACTGGATCTGGTTGAAGCGTACCAGCAGCCGGTCCAGATTGCTCGTAATACCGGTTGATCGGCCCAGAATGTGATTGATCAGTTCCGTCTAGACACGACACACAAAAGCGGTTACGATCTTTCAAGCAACTTTAAGAAAGTAATGCAAATGTTCTGAGATGGTTGCATACGTACTTCATGGATATTCCTAAACAGCTGCCAATCGTACAGAGTACAATGGTAGGCTAATTCTTTCGAGGTCACAGTTTCAAGCAGCTTTCCGGTTGGTTCATTGGGACCTTGTTGTTCGGGCAAGGGATTCTGCACATGTTTCAAATGACTTGTTTATGCTGATCTTTTTTACGTGTGAAATACAAACAAAATCAACCTTACCAATTGAGCCAAACTTTCTTTGGGGACACAAAATAATCGTCCGTTAACACTCAGTTTAGTTTCCACACTCATTTCTTCATCTTTAAACAGGCTATACTCTGCAAAAACATACAAAAAATGTTAGCGCATAAGAACTAGCTGGAATATCCTGAAGTGACGTGCACATGTCGGTAGTTCAAGTTGTACGAAATATGGAATGCGAACCTTGTATACAAATTTTGCGAATATCGCTTGCAGTCGGCACTTTGAATTTAGCCTGAGTGAAAAATTAAAAGTGCTCTCGTACCTCCGTTGGACTTCATTTCGACGAGAACGACATTGCCCTCAATCTGTAATTTCTTGGCAGCAGCTTTCAGGACCACAGAAGCGCGCATGTCGGCGGATACGCGGACGGTGCTGTACGTGGCGTCAGCATTGTACACTTTGATGACACTTTCATCGGATGGACGGATTGGACGGAGATTATCTTCGGACGACTTGGTGCCATCCGAGGATATGTTGAGCTTACTATTCTGATTGAGCCCTTCTACATATCTGCAACCACTGGTATAATTACTTTAGTTCACAAAATCAGACTGAACTTCCAAGTCAGTAAGGTAAATACAGATATGTACAAAGTATCTAGAGGCTACCTGACATGCAGTATTTGATAACTTTGCGATTTTACTGAATAGCTCCGTACTTAGTGCAGTTATCCAAAATATCTTCCATAACATTCCACGCTTTGTCGAGATTGTATTGGTGGCTATCTTTATCAACCGCTTCGCACAGGGTCTACAACAGGACAGTGAAAATGTCAGGCCAAGCTGAGAATTCAAGTTAAAATTAACAGGACTGTAAAAAATAAAAAAAGTAACCCCACACTGCTACATCATACAAGCATTATTTATAACTCCAAAACCTAATTCACAATTTGAATACTGAAAAGGAACATAGCTGATATTAGCATTATTTTAACAATATATTAGAGTTTTTCATCCAGCAATCTGACACTTGTAACATTATGCAGCATTATTACCTGTACATATTTTGTACATACTGCGTATTTACATTTTTGGTGCATAGAAATGAAACGTTGCCGACAAACAAAGGGTTTGTGTGTAGACTATCTGTGTCCATTTATGTATGTATTTATGTTTATTTGCAGGTCAACTAACACCCACGCCTAACACGAATTCAGTGCCTGGCGTTCAAGGAAAATCATCCTTACCTTTAAGAAATCTCTAACTGTCACTGACTGGAACATCACTTCGCGGTCAACCTGATTCCAGAAATTGACGAACTGTATAACTTGACGCTTGTTGAGACTCATGCGGTTTTTCACAGCGCTTGCATCGCTTGAATTCGTTTGACGTGGTCGGCTGTTGTAGTAGCGCAGAAGACACGCACATAAATCTTCGACACTGATGAACATTGTATGCGTCAATAAATAATCTTCTAACAAGTCATCCCTTCCTGCAAAACAGGACAGCCGATGAGTACTGCAGTGAAGAACTGAAATTATGAATCATGTCGACGCGATGTAGGAAAAGTGTACCCGGCACGTGCTCCTCTTCTGTTTCGTTTTCGAAGGTGCGCGTATCCAGCATGTACTCCAGGGTTTGCTCAGCCGTACCGGCCATTACCGAATAGCTAAAGAGCAGTACACTGAACATATGAAACAAAAAATCGGCTTCAGTAACTGTTACCGGACGGATTTTTCTTTCTTGCTTTTGGACGGTATTTTTTCCAGGATCAGTACGTCCTTGCCGTGCTCTTTCAGCCGGACAGTGTTCGCTTCCACATCCTGTACAAGTAAAAATACGTACTTACATGCCTCCTGTGCCTTACTATGCTGAATCTTCTATTTGGATAGATAGATTTATTCATCTGAAGTGAATCTGAACCGTCAATTTATTGAACAAACAATTTTCTTAATAAAAAAATAACATACATTGTTAAGGAATTATAAAATTTTTGTTTTTCTTTTAGCGTCTGATTTTTCAAGTATATTTTTAGTAAGAGATAGTACTGATTTACTCTTAGAATGCGATTAAAATCCTCCTTATCGACGCGCAAAAAATGGCAGGGCTCCCTGAGAATAATCGATGCGGCCCGTGGAGCATCATTAATCAGCGCCAGTTTCCCGAAATCGTCGCCCTCATGTAGTGTGCAGACAACCCCCTGGGACACACAAACACCGGTAAAGAACCGGCAACGCACAGGACACGCCGCACATGGACAGACAGAGCAAATTAAAATCCACATTGGACGAGCCGCAGCAGACACTCATTGATAATCAGACCGGCACCACAATACTGACCTTCCCGTAAATGACCACATTGACAGATCCTTTAAGGATAATATACCACGACGTTCCTTCGTCTCCCTGATTGAACACTGTGAAACAGACAGCAACCCATGAAGGACACACATGCTAGTTCAGAAGTCGTACACAGCTGAGATGTCGGAGAAATATGAGACCCTCTTAATTAAAGCTCTATCAGATAAATATTCGACCGCGATTTTATCGATAACAAATGCAAATCGGTACGCTAATTGCCGGCATTTTCTCTATTATGCACATGGCATATCGTGCATATCTGATGTTAGTCATTCCGTAATACACATATATTTGCGTAATACAGACATATTTCTAAAGAATTGTTTGTCAGATTGCAAATATGCATAAAAGTAATAAATACTTGAAAAAAGATGCTAAATTTAAATTGTACGAAATTGTTACTCTTCGCCGTTTTATGCACTTGCAAAGTATTTTGTGCGAAAACACATTAGTACAGTACTACTAGTACTTATGGTTAGTATACATACTGTACGACGAATAAGAAAGAGTTCTTTGTTATTATGGTTACTTTAATATACATTATCTAGTAAAAAATAGGTACTTTACTATTTTCGCATCCACTTACACACAGTGCCAGCTGAAGAATGCGACTCCAGAAGAACAACTTTGGCTAATTCTCGCTTAATCGATGTGGATGTTTGTGCCAGGGCTTTTATATGAACCAACTCATTAAAGATAAACCCGAGCTCTTGTTCCGACCGGCTACCAGGCTGTCGCCTCAACATCATACGGAATAAAGCATCATTGCCACGACGAATCAGATCATCCAACAACGACTGCAACTCATCTTCATCGATTTCATCCAGAGGCGAAACTTTGTCGAAGAAATAAACAAAATTTGCTTCTGTTTGAAAATCAGCAAACTCTGTCTTTCGATCCACTGAAAAGACACAGACCAGACGGAATTGACTCATTTACTCTGTGTTTCCGGAAGTGTAGAGTACAGTACGAGTAGGCGTACCAACAGTAACATCAGTTGCTCTAATTCATTACAATGGACCAACGGTCAATCACTTCCTTTTGACTTGCAAAATTAGCGATCTTCAGCTGTTTAACGTGCATAAACTAAAATCTATTAGTGCAACTGTGTAATTATCTCTTATACGCTTCTTAGAAGATTTGACCCACTCATGCCTTACGCCTCACGGTAAAAAATTTTAAGTTTATAATTACGTCTTATAATTTAACATTAAAACAGAACAAAATATTAGACAGTTTCACTGCAACAAAATAATCTCCATAAAACTTGAAATTCAGCAGACCTATGTGTGCATCGTAATTCTCTGATGATTACATTATATATCAAACTTACGTGGCTTGATCACACCATCTTCCAGCAATACTTGGCAGATCCCTAAGGTTTCTTTTGTTGACTGGCTTTGGGTTACTTCCGCTATGTAATGCATCAGATGTTCCGCTGTGACACAATGCTTCCTCCCAAGTTTTTGGCTGACATAGTCGGGATAGGAATCCATCAAGGATGTCAACAGCAAAGCAGACTGCGCTTCCGTTAGAGGGGGCCAACGAGGCTAAACAATATACACACTTTTTATATATATATATAATAAAGATATACAGATCAATATAAGTGCTGTATAGTTATTCGTAGTACGGTGTTCGGGTACGATAATCTTTCAAAGCCGTGGGAAAAATGTGCGTTCTACGTTCTAACACTAACAACTGTAAGCGCATTTCGCAATGCTGTGCACCGAATAACCTCTAAATTACCTTGACCGGCTCCTCATCCAGAAGGCCAGTATCTACTCCATCCTAAAATGCAAGCATTGTAGCCAACGCGAATTTTAATCCAGTTCGGTTGTAATAATTGCGTGGTGATCAATGACTGCGTAAAAAACAGAAGACAAAATTATTTTGGAGAGCGCGAAGCAGCGCTTACTTCGTGATTTTCGTTTCCGGCATTGTCCTGCAAACCAATAATCTGTGTAGAGAGACTTCAAAAAAATTACAGCGCGCTCATGAGCAGTTAAAATTGTATTCCATTTTTATTATTCTTTACCGAAATGCTGTTGCAGAGGTGCTGGTCTGCTTACCAGCACTGCTGGTAAGCAGACCTATTTTGTTTACTGCTGGTCCAGCAGTAAACAAAATAGACAATATAATTTTTATATACTTCGTAAAAGCGTAAAAGTATATACTTATACTTATATTTTTATATTTTTATATACTTCGTAAAAGCGTAGAAGTACCCGTAAAAGCAATTGATTAATTTATAAATGCTTGGTCAGCATCCCAAGTACCGTTGCATCTGTCTTGTGAGCGCAATTAATTTTCGCCTCGTAAGTGCGACAACGGCAAGAAAAATGTAAAACGCAAACGAACGCATGTAATCTTCTCGCATTAAGCACTTGCCTGATTGTCACCAATGGCATCCTGATTGTTCCGGTCAAGATGATCAACGGTAATGCGCGGTGGTGCCAGTATCTCTTCGGTATCGGACGGACGTTCTGTCGGAGCACAAGAAATAAATAAATGGAGCAGTGTATATTTCGGCGCCGTAAATTTGACACACAGCACAAGACTATCTTTGTACAAAATGATAAAGATAGCACGATTAAGGCTAGCGCATATACACGAATACGAGTGAAGATGGGAAATGGGCAGTGACAGGAGAAGCGAAGCATCCATCACAATACTACATCTCTGGAGAGCATTTATTATGAAATGTCTCGTGCAATATGTGTTTACTTGGGGCACTAGGCTCAGTCGGCTGCTGCTGCAGCCAGTCTGGCCCCGAATAATCCCAGTGCCAAGGGGCTGTGCGGTCCAATGGTGTGGAAACAACCGAGATTACTTGGATGCCGCTGCTACCGTCGGCATAGTCATAATAAACGCCTGCATCCGCTTCCTGCGATGCTGAGCGGAATAGTGGCAGCATGGATAAGGACAATTTCTTTTTCATGGATGAAAACATTTTTTCACCGTCCCCTTTCTGGCGCGCAACGGATATGCTGACGAACGGATGTACGTGTGTGCGCACGAAAAGTCAGGTGTTGAATTTAAAGCGCGCAATTGTACGAATGTCACGGTTTCGTTTCCTTGTTTGCGGATAAAAGCATGCTGGGGAAATAATTTAAGGTGCACTCTCCCACAAGAGGTACCAGAGGAAAATGTTCCTTTTGCCAGATAAAATCCTTTCCGAAAGGCAAAAATGTTTCGTGAAAACGTGGTAATGGATATAAAGTTAGAAAGTTACGGAAAACAGTGTTTTGAAGTATGCAGCTTGAACTTCCGTAACCGCAGAAGCAAAGCAGCAGATTAGGATAATCTTATCGGATTTCGGTAAATCTGGTACAATGGTATCTGTCGACGCGTGTATTTCTCGATTTATTATTTGCAGATATGACAGAGCGTCCGTTTAATTAAAGCACATCTTCAGATGTAATAAAAATCAAAAGAGCTAATATGGATACAAGAATATTAAGATGGTATAACATTTGTATATTCCATTAAAAAACTGGTAGTTTTAATTACATTTTCATGATATTATGCACGATGCATGACAGAAGGTTCAATAATATCCGACGCGTTTACATATAGAATTTTATCTGATTGAGGAGTGATATCCTGAAATGTTTTTCCCTTTTTTGTCTCAGTCAGCTTAATTTTGATTTGGAAGAAATGATGTCATGTGTCGCCGAATTTTACAGTGGTATCCAGTACCCTCAAGCCCACAGGGAAAACAGAAAGCATGATAATAAGTCCGCCAAATGAGTTATGACTATAATTGGTGACTGCAGTGCCGTGCGGCGAACAGTAATTGCCAAATAAGTTCAAGCCACCAGGCGAACCAAACAGCGTTATCGTGCTATATGTCAGCCCACTCGCGTTACCATCCCGGCTTCAAATTTGCACGCACTGTGAACAATTAAAAGCTTAAGGTCACATGCGCACTAGCAGTGGCATGTACAATGGGCGCCCTTTATTAAGGTGTTTATTTCCACCGCGGGTGTTCCGATGCGCCGGCTGCAAATCCCCGACGTCAAACGCGGGAATCTCGTTAGCGCAGCATCTGGAACGCCATGCTTGGTGTGGCCGTATATATAATTTTGCCAGTGTCGACTGGGGAAAAAGGGAAGAAAAACAGTGCCCAGTTCGCGACTGCCTATTTAAATTGACCTTCCAGCCTGATGAGAGCCTGACGACGGGGGATGCCATTTGTGATGTGAACCTAACTAGATTAGCGTGCTCGTAAAGACACACGATCTACAGAATACTTAGCAGTTTTGCGAGCGCGCCGGGTCGACAGGCAGCACTATATTATTGTGTTTTGACAACAAGAACAATATCTAACCCGAACAGCGGGGCCGTTCATTGATTTCCGCACCAACGGACTAAAAGCGCTTAATATTTCCGCATCCAGATTGCTTTACGACGATGACAACACTGCTTCAGCTCCATCGCCATGCAGTGCTACGTAGCGAGGGTATTCGCTCCTTATCGACTTACCAATTTGGTCCAGATCCAGCCCAGTTGTCTCAACGACATCTTTGAGCTGGTATGGATGGCTCTGGAAGGAAAACAAAAAAATCGACGGAAGTGTGCATGGATCATTTGCCGGCATTTTACGGTTCATCGTTATTTTCGCGAAGTCTGCGTACCTTATATTATACGGTTGCGGGGTCACAGTAACGCAATGTGTAAAGTTCAGATTTAATTGTTAAAATTTTGCACGGTTAGTGCAAGTAATAGCAGTAAATTGTTAGCTTTTAGTGCTGTAGTCTATTTAAAATCGTCGTAGCGAAACCAGCTAAAAGTGTTATTATCGACAGATTTGTAACATTTCTTATAATATGAGTTATTAAAAGTCTTTAGCAATTCAGAAAAGGTTAACTGAAACTTCACCGCATACAAACATCCGATGATCATTAATATTTGGTACCGCGAAAAATCTCACAGATGGATTTTTTTATTATAAAGACCGATAATTAATTAGTACTGGGCAACGGATATCGTATGATGAAAGCATATAATTTTACTGCACATACAGAAAACTGTATACCTTCATTTTCACCGTAATTTTTAGTTTCCTATATGTACGTGCCAGTTTCACCTTACCTTGCAAAACATTTTCATGTGTTTGCTTTCTAAGCGAATCAGCTGACAAAAGTCTTTGGTAACGACAGTTAATTTGCGTATGTTGTCGTATCCCGTAATCTCTTCAAAAACAGATCCTCTTCCAACAACATAATTCTACAGAACGTGCATCCCATCTCAAATATCATTGTACAATTGGGAAGAGACATCAAGATTACGGCGCTGCTATACCGGCATCTCGAATTTCTCATTCTTACCTGGCCACCTTTGATTACACGCAAACGGCCTTCTAATACCGCGTACCAATTTTTGGTGTATTCTCCTTGTCTAAATACTAAAGAACAAAAGCCCATTAAATATTAAATTTTATAAGCACTGATAATGTGTACTTAACGCTTTCTACGCCGATGTAGCGTATTTTATTTCTATATTGTCATCAATTATTCATGAGTTAAGATGGTCTAACGACGTAAACTGAAATATTTATTCTCACGTGAAAAATGTATGCGGGTAATTGATCTTCTCATCGAACTGGCGAGTGCGGTCAAGATCACTTACATGTAATGTTCTTCTCCACGGCTTCGTATATTCCATACTGGCTTAAATACTGCAGGAGGCGAGGATGTAGGCGCTGCAATGGATGTGCTTCCTGCTGGAGTTGTATCAGGATTTGCGCTACGGACACAGTTGGAATGGAGAAGCTGATTTTTTTATTATTTGACTTCACTGATTTCTTGGCTTTTAGCATAGTAAATTTGACCATAATCAGCAAAAAGTAAATGACTAATGAATAAACAGTGCGGGCGCGTGCGCGATGCAGGGAGACGCCGATGCGGTATTATTGTAGGCGCGATAAGAAAAGTGAGGCGAGTAAATAGACTCCCTAGCTGTTCAGTGCATCCCTAGTTACACAAACTAAGGCTTTACAATTGCGTTAAGAGGATCAGTAAACGACCCCGTGCAACAGGACTCATCGATCAAACTCCAGCACACAGCTACACCGACCAAGCAAGTACAACGAAAGCTAGCCCTGTACGGTTTCGGGATGAGGCTGCTGCATCGAGCGATAACACGCCTTGGACTCATGAAGAGTTCCCATCTTCCCCTAATGAACATGCAAGATGAGCACCGTGTGTACCATCATCCATCCTGCACGCGGTTACCGGTGACAGTCAAGACGACCGTTTGGGCTGATTGGGCAACATGTACGTACGGACAGTGTCTGCGGTTCCTTCGATTAACGCTGCAGGATGAAAAGCCGGTAGGCGGATTAAGACTGACGGTGCCATGAAAAGGTGTTTGCGTACTAGCACCCATTCGAATGCATTTTTAATTTGTCTGGAGGTTCATGCGTGCTCTTATTTTGACGATGAATTAGTTCCTTGACAACATAACATTTTCCAGCTGCCTCTTTGTTCGTTTGCTTTACGAAGGCACTTCCATCTTTCGATCTTGCAAAGATGTACGCTCTGCAGGCTTTATCAAAGGAGTGAAACGTTATAAAAATGTTCTCTCGTGTAAAAGGTTTAGAAACCGGCTCGCAGTTAGGAAGATGTTTGTTGTTGGATCGCAATACTTTCCATTCGGCTGCATATGCCGCAGCGCATGCAAAAGCTTAAAGTTTTACTTACCATTAGGTAGCCTCACTTAACATCGGTTAAATGATGGTTTTAAATTTTAAAATGTTAATAATGCCAAATTATCTGAGTGTTTGCTTAGCGGATATTCATGCAGGTTATTTTTTACACCCGATCTCTCTGTTTTGTTTTGCCAAGTATGGTAGGCATGACTGTACTAACCGTTCATTATGTTAATTTTAAACTACAAATATGTAAATCTATTTTCTGAAATTTGGAAACTTACGTGCAGTGAGTGGGTCACAGCATCACATTTAGACTTTTGGTTCACATACGTGTATTCAACTTAGTATGGCCATGGTAAGCTGCACGGTTTGGGAATGGCCCGCCAAAAATACAATTATTGTATTGTGCTTGTACCGTACATGCAGACTCGGGCAGTCACACTTGCCGAACGACTTCGGCTGATTGTGAGTACAACCTAAATAAGTTAGATAATTTTGTCAAATTTAACTTACCGATGTCGCCTTGAGAACGGTCCGCAGGCCTGCAAAATTCAGTTATTGCAGATCCAACAAATAGGTAAATGCAGCACTTTTCAAAATGTGCACCTGTACATGTATTGCGCAGGTATTGTATGAGAATTCACGCGTGCCAAATTGTGCCATCAAAATAAGCAGTAATACTGCCATAAACTAACAGTAACAATCTCTGTAGAAGCAGAAAACTTTAAACTACAATTTATACACAAAGTGTAAAAATTGTGTGTGTTAAAAGCACTACCGGTAGTGTGGCGATCAAATGCAGGAAACTATGATTGCAAGAAACCAGCGCGGCACAAAAAAGAAGAACGTTTCAGGTGCTCATCTGACGATTTTTTCTCGGTTTTGGTACGATATCAGCTCTATATGCTTAAAATCAGAAATGTCTGTTTTTAGACAAAATTTTTTCATTTGAAATTTTGTACTGAACTTGTAGTGCGTTTTTTGCCACTCAAAGTTTCGTTATATTGCATAAAAAATGAATTATGAATGAATTGTTATTACGGATGAATTGTTTTGTTCGCATATCGCATACGCATAAACAATGCTATAGGCGCTCGGAACTGGCAAAAACAGAATATCATAGAAGGTTTTTAGAACCCCTTAAAAATATAAAAACATTAGATTTAGTTCTCGCCGGAAATCCGGAGAATAGTTTTGAGAATACGAATCGGTACGAGTGATATGGCTGCGCTAAGTTTTAGTATTCCCACCTACTACATATGTGTATGTACCAGTGCAAAATTATATGAACATGCCGACGCGAATTTCGAACAAAAAAATAAAAACGAAAACACGGAACACTCAACAACTTCGGATTTGTGCTCGTAATTTCCGACAAAGGCTGCGGAGTTGTGCTAAAAGCTAACCATTTAGATACGAATTCAATTGAAGGGCGCTCCATATTTGCAGCTTTCTTTTGGCCTCGTTTAACATTTTACACTGCTTCTGGCACATGCATAAAATTATGATACCATAACAATGATAACATCATGTCGAATTTGGCGAAACGGTGGTACTATGATTTATTATTTTGAGACCCAACTGAATTAGCTATCGTTGTGCAGCATTTTTGGAATACTTCTAGTACTAGTATCTGTGGGTTAAAATACCCGGTATTATTAATCTAAAGTAGTGTAGGACGTACCGTGTAATTTTTGTATTAGCGCGCTGACGTACAGTAATGAGTACGGGTAGTCGGGTACTATAGCACTGTAGGTGAGCGCTTTGTAGTTTCCAGACATCCTGAACTCTGTGACCTTACTGGATAATAAACTCCATTACTTAATCAGTCTTAAATTAATCGTAAGTACCGATTGCAGCACCAAAACATTAGCAAACAACGTTGTACTAATTACAATATCTATACTATAAGCATCTGGTGCAGTTAAGTTTGAACGTTAACGCTGCTTTCAAAGAAATTAAATAATTCAAATTTTCTGTAAATTTACAAAAATTTAATCTGTTTTGTAACACTACACGGTGGTATCCTGTGTCGGTCTGTCCTACTGTGCATATGAAAATTCTGAACAGCAAGTGGCACTGCCACTTGCTGACTGCCATTGAATACAAAAAAGGCAAGTTCCGAAGATTATTGAATATTGCCGCAATGTATTGGGTGCTCATGAACGAAGGGTAAAAAAACACTCAAACGGATGCCTCTGTGATCAGTGTGATGGGTGAGGTTGTGTTGCCCACAATAACCAATAAACTGTTTAAAAGACGTATTTACGAGAGCTTTACGTTGTACGTTTTGCTGGTTTTTTTGGATCCTGTATTAGAATCAATTGTTGCAGTGCATGATCTGCAAGCACAACCAGTAAAACCAGATCAAAACGAGCACCAAAATATGGAGTGATTTTTTGATTGGGATTTGCCATTTAGTGCTGCATTATCCTTTTTTCATAAAGCAGAATTTCATTCTGGCAAACACAAGGAAACAGGTACCGTTCACGAACTAAACTTACGCTACCTGCACTGATTATTGATGTGTTAGGAAATGCGTTCTTCCCGTGGTGTTGTCATAATCCTTGTGTCAAACTTCTCCATATCGCAATTGTTAGCGTCATATGTTGTGTTATAGATACTATCCTTTTTTTATTCTGTCTTGGTAAATGCGTAGCAAAAATTTGTCAGTTTTCCCCCTGCCCGCGTTTTGTGGGCGCTATATACAGCGGCTGCTAACATTTAGAGAATAGTGACATGCTATGCGGAAGTCGCACCGCGACAACCGCACTAGATGACCAAACCTACTCAGTCGGTAGAGTGGGAATATGCTCTGGACTCCGTAAGTGGTACTACTGCCTACTTCCGCTAGGTACGAGCGGATTGCTGTGCCTAACGAAAGTTACCGAAACCCAAACACTCAGGAACTTCCCAAATGTTTAATCACCAAACTGAACGAACGAACAAACAGAACAGAACAGAACGAGATATGAACTTCCTTCTAACCTAGAGTCACACGACCTTTCAGCTAGAAACAAGCTCACAGATTTAGTAGAAGTTAGAAACTTCAGACTGATTAGTTAAACCAGAATCGTGAATCGCATTAGCGATCAAATCCGTTAGATAAGAACAGCACGTCGTACGTAACGGAACAGACAACACGTACGTCATAACACGTACGTAATACGCGCAAACTACGCATAGCGCGTTAATAGTAACTTTTGCATTTATGTATACATTATTTTTACGTAACCCGTAATAATAAAACTTCCAACGCCTACTAGTACTTGCATCTACGCTAAATGCCATTATCAGCCCACTGCAATCCTTTCATTGCCCAAATTAAAAATACATACTTTTAGAAATCATAAAAGTTTCATCATATTTTTAAAAAATGTGGGTAAGTTTATATATAAATCTATTTACTCATAAATTATCTTTAATTATTATAAGATATGAGTAAATATCTAGAGTACCTACGTTCGCAGTTATCACAAGCTTGCAACAATTAGAAATAATACTGAAGTAACTCTTAATTAATTATTTGGTTCCTAAGTAGGTCAGTGGTCAAGACGATGTGCTGCAACAGTTATAGCTGCATGGTTTACATTTAATTTGATGCTAATTTCGCTCTTTTTATTGCACTGCAAATGAGCATCCAATATATTGATCAATAAGTGGCATTTGTTTAGGTCAAGCAAAAGGTTTAACATATAATTTCTCTGGGTAACGGAAAACACACTATAACTTTGTAGCGACAAAAACTATCTACAATTGCAATATATCTATATTTTGTATAACTGGTAAATGGATTGGACATCAGAGCCGTAACTGTGAATAGCCTACTCAAGAAGGTGTCTTCAACGAAGTATCGCCATGTTCATGACGCAAGAAATTTCTGTGGCGGTCCACAGCGGTTGTGTTAAACGTCAAACGTTGTTTTGAAAGCGTAAGATACCATTGCTGGATCGTCTTTCGGTCTAATGGAATATAACGAAACAGTGTGAATTATTCCAGTTACTTTTTAGAGTTGCAGTGGGTATCGATTTATGATAGCGAATACACCCAAAAACGTATGTACCGTACTCTGCACAACAATTGCTGCGTACTTTTATTGTAATAATTTGGGAAGGACCACCCATGCAACGTACGTACAGACTACAGAGTACTTTTCATTTGAAACAATCGAACGTTTAACATTATATAAGTACAAGTAAGGTAAGGTTATAAATTATTATTAATTTGCATTTCGTAACATATACACTGAATTCTCTACTGTAATACCTGCCTTAATTTCGGCACATATGACCTTGTAAGTTTTAAAGTCATAACTGTTCCTACTACAGACTAACAAGGGCGATCAGAATAGCTGGTGCATTTTAAATTTTTTATATCAACACAATAATAATATATAATAATTAATATATTCATAAGTGAAAGTGTGTGCGACTGGATATTAGCATCTTCAGAAATTAATTATTATTTTTATGAATGCTTGTGGTCAGTAATTGTGTACTTACGGTCCGAAGTACTTAAGTGCATAGTCTGTAAAAACGCTAAAAGCAATATCGCAGTGACAGTTTGCAACAACTGTGCCTGCCTGAGGTTAGTATCGATAACTAATTGTTACAGTTTTGCCAGCAGGATGGCCACCGTTTGAAATCTTAAAATTAGACCATCCCAAAAGCCAGCAGTTCATTAGCATTTGTAACGTGGCGAAAAGCTGCGCCTTATGTATAATGCTTCCCGGTTTGTTATTAAGATCTTTATCGATTTTCCGATCGATAAGACAGCTGCAGGAACGCTTACAGCTGGGATTACATGGATATTAGTAAATTCCGGCAGGACTTTTCACGATCCCGACCCGTTAGTTTCGATCGCTGTGCGGCTGTGCCTAGTGCCTACCACAATATATCGTCGTCGTCCTCGTCTGAGTTCGTTACACAATTGCTGCATCCAGCACATTTTGCTTTCAAAGTATGATTTTTCCATATAGCACTCCCTGTTTTATAATTCCCAGCTGTATCATTTTGAAAAGCGTCTACAAAGATGACTGACAGACTATGGTTAGCACTGCCAGCTATCAAATGGCAGTTTTTCCTTGATCTCATCAGAACTGATGTTAACCTTTCGCACTACAAACGTTTATATAAACAACATCCATAACGTATAAATGGCGCATTATCGCAACCAGGGGGTTTCTTGATTACTGGTGGCAGATGCGGCGACTGTACAAAGCATGGTAGTCTATGCTGCACGTACTACTGACCATAAAAATTACTACCTAGTGTAAATCCTACTTCCGGTTGGAAGATTTTTGTTGCTACAAATACAATCATCGGATTTAAAAATAAATTTCTCTATATAATTGTTGCTCAATAGTTCCGGTTATCGTTGGCTGGTCGAAGTAAATTGTCTCGAACCAGCTTTTATCAAAGCAAACTCACGTTCGTCCACTTCAGAAATAGAACAGAAAAGTACAGATTCCCATTTCCCAATGCGAACAATTTGCACAAAATTCGTGTTGCATGCTCCAGCTAGGTTCTGTTAACTGTTAGGAGGAATAAAAGCCTCGGTTTGCTGCTGATTGTTGAGACGTGAATATAAGGTTATCATTACCAATTCCCATTTGAATAAACGATAATAATCCATTATACGTAACCCGATCTAAAGCATGTGCTTATACGGATTACTTGTGAACTGACTTTTGTTGTTGTACTGTTTTGATAATCACTGGAAAGCTACGGAAACGTGTGATCATGACATAATGAAGATTCGAAAACGCACAAACATTTTGCGAATGAGCAGCTAAACACGTTTAATGGTTCACATATGCCTTACCTAAAAATGGGCTTATCGAAATAATTGTTTGATATTTTTTCCATAAAATCAAGATATAATTTGAATACACCTTTATGCTAATCGATTTAATCTCAGGTATCGGCACATAGTCTACGCCTTATGCACAGGACGCTGGAATAGCTGCACAAATAAAAATATTGAATGAACGTACCTTTTATCTAATGTAGTAAACCATTCGTTACCTCCCAGCGCCATGAAGTACATGGATGTACCTTGCAGAATAACCGCATTTGGTACAACGCCGGAACGGTGTTCAGTTTTTCCTTAACCATCAGGCTTAAATTTGGTTTTGGTTCGGGAAATGCCGAAGACAATCAAAGCCATAAAAATATAATCCGAATTTCTTCTTCGATTATTTTTTGAGTGATATCATTTAGCTGACAAGGTATGATAATTTTTCTGGATTAACTGACCGACAGCGATGTCGTACGGTTGTCAAAATAATTATCAGATCGCGAGATTGCAAATATTCTTCAACTTCCATAATTTTTCTTTTAAACGCGCAGGAGATAATCATTCGCAGGCAATGTCAGGTATAAATATTTCCGTATAGCATAACACCAGTTTCGATAATTAGCTGTTATTTAGCCATTATAAAAAAAGATGAATCTGCAAAAGTTTTTATAACGGGAAATCATCTGGAGACGCAAAAGCAGCAAATGGCATTCTGCAGTTGTGCATATATACGCCGACGTAAGTAAATGGAGAGGTAAAAGATTACAGCGCAGTCTAGCTGCAAACGGGATAGTTGAACGCGCAACAGAAGGAGTAGCAATTCTACACCGGATGCGGACGCAGAACATTCCAGCTGGATCCCAAATTTCACCGAATGCATACGATCGTCAATGAGGATAACGCACCAACAGTTGTATCGAGAAACCAGACGGAAGAAACCAAATCAATTTATTTCGATTAGTTATCGAGGCCGATAGCTACGACAGAGGCTAGCGCTGTTTCATACACGTCGATTTTTGCAGAGTTAGAAACTATTTACATGCGAGGTTGCGATGTTGTCAGGGCTCAAAAAGTGGAAAGTCAATAATTTGGCACGAATTGAACTGCATATTCATATCGAGATCTTATGAATATACAATCAAGCTAATAAAGTACATTTGATTTAACTGATCGCCAGCAACATAGGAAAATTTCATAAAACGTGCAAAAGAAAAAAAATAGATTCTGAGAATGAATGAAATGCTGCTATGATCTATGGAAGCTAACACAGCTGATTGTGCATTAATAAAATGTTTCAAATTACTCAGAAAGCTAATTATTTAAAAGATGCACAACCAACCGATTAAGAACGTTTTCATAGTCTGAAGACCATTACATTAAAAATGTTATACCTGACATCGGCTGAATTTATATATTATTATAATCGTACGTACACCGTGATATACGCATTAAAGCCGGTAAAGGCGCATAGGTATGTAATGCACATGCTGTAATATCTATACTCAAGTATGATTCCTGTAATTATGAAATGCACAATTATTATATTCCGCCCAGCAGTTTCACCCTCGAAATGGTGCATGGTCAGTAATTAAGTTTTTTGCTTGTTTTATTTTTTATTGTAAAGAAACAGCCATCTGTCATTCTCGCATGAAAATTTCCGGTGGCCACACCTATTTATACCGGCAACACGGTATACCGGTAAGGTGCATACTGTATCATCATGTCCGTATGTACTGTACATATGAAATTGAGATATTATGTAATCATATTTTTAATTCAGCTGGCACGGTATTAATATTCATCATACGTGTAAAAAATTAATTTCTCAGTATCAGAATAAAATTTAGCGGTATCGACAACGGCAATAATCGAAAATAATATGCCCAACATGTCTTCTAAGAACATGATATTCTGGAAAAATTACTTATTCTGGAAATTTTTGACTTCTGGATTATTTACAGAGCTTTCAACGTAGAATAAATTAATCATCTATAAGCCAATATTAAATTTGTAAGGTATTACTTTCCGTATTCCCCTACAATTCAGTGTAACTATTTGAGACTGGAAGTGACTGGACATTTGGATATATCGGCAGCAAAATTCTTTGAACTGTCCTAACCGTTCCTTCTTTTGATGATGGCAGAAATTTAATCCCAAGTTATCTTAAGATTGTTAGCTGATATGATTATTATTTTTTAGCTTATGCTTATTAGTTTGAGTGTTCTGTAAAATAACCTATAGTGACTGTACACATCAGGTTCTTAACAGGGAAAACAAAACAACGAAGTTGGTTTTGGTTACAGCGGTAATTGCCCGAATTCCAGCTACATAGGTATTTATATGTACAATCATATAATATAGTGAAGATTTGGTGTATATTTACGTTGTCTGCGCCCCTTCACGATATATAGTATGCGGTACAATATACTTGGTAGGTATAACCATCCATGCCGGTATCGGGTATGGACATTCATATATATAGTGTACATCAGTGCTCCGAAACTCGCATCATCTCTGTAGTGAAAGTTCAGGAAACGACTTACATTAAAAGAGTTTGTTTGTCAGCAATCTGTGCAAAACTAATACTTGTTTGCGATTCCGAAATTATTATCGTATTATAGAACTGGATAAGACTGGCGATGAGCCAGCACAGGAATGCAGATACCGCAACTTCCTCCACGGTGTCTATGGCCATCAATTAAATTATTCAACATCAATATCGCTGTTAACGCTACATGGCCACTCCCGAATATTTCTCTCGCATGAATTACATTTTTCAAAGACATTTTATGGATATCCGAGTGTGAGAACGTTTGGAACGACATAACAATCATCCCACAATATTATCAAAAATTCGCTGCCTATTATTCTCCTTATGTGTTGGCATCATCGAGCCGCGTTTTATTTGCATGTTTGTTTGCCTGGGTGTTCTTATTGTAAAGTATGTAGATGCTGCGCTTCCTCGACACAGGAATCAGGCCGGATACGGTCAATTTAATTTTATTTGCACCACACGTATGCAAGCCGATAAAACGATAAAACTGACCAGCAACAGGCAGAATATTAATCTTGTAAATTTATTTTCAAAGACTCTTCATTCCATGGCTGCGGCACATTGAGGAGTGGTGTTTATCATGTTATCTACAAGCATACGGTACCTATCCGTAGGTTTGTGATATTAATGCCAAAGCAATGAGTTACTACGAGCTTCCTTAATCCCGGTCAATTTCACCGGGTGGCAATATCCGGCAAGGATATCGTATAACCTGCAATCACACTCCGCTTCTAATTCCAGAAGCCTGTTTTACGCGTTCGGGATTACCACAAAACAGAATATTACTGTAGTCGTTTCCTTATACGCGCAGTTAATAACAGCTGTCTTTATACACCTGACTATACGTTAAGTAGATTCGAATTTATAAGAAAATTGTTTTTAGAAAAACTAAAACTCCGCATTTTAGTGACCTTTACAACTTATCAGTAAAAGTATACGTGCATAGCGCTAGCCAGCAGTAATTTTGTGTCGATATAAGAGTGCAGAACTCTTTTATAAAATTATGGCAACATCGAGTAACCAGAACTGATGTGTAGGACAGTAGAAGAGTCTAGAGCAAGCGCTTAGTCTTAGCAGTCAGAACCTAGCAAGAACGCGCAAGAATTAAGCACGGTACCTGAGAATTGTATCGTAATATCAGCGAGATACTGATCATAACACAGAATGTTGTAGTCGATCTGAATCACATACATTATAACTCTAGCTGCGACGCTTTCTAACTGCATAAGTTTTCGGGTTCGGGATAGCTGATAGCCTGTGTTGCACACGCCTTACCACGAACAATCGCCAGGGAAAGGTCGGGAATACTGCTAACCAGAAGCGGAATACCGTTTATACCTTTACATGGGTGACACCGGCAGGTTCACGACTGTTAGAATGCACATTCTTCTCAAGACGGTAGAACAGAGTAACGCAAGATCATCGAAAACTTTGACTGGTAACTAAACACATATATTCCAAAAGATTAAAGTAGAGGCCGGAGCGAAAGAATTAGCAAGACCAGTAAAGCAAGATCGGAGACAGGAAACTATGAAATTCTGATCGTGAGCGCTCTGTTTTGCTGGTTCTGCACAGTGGCACAGTAAATCTTTTGTTAAGGTAACCCCCTTCGCGGTAGTACGGTGAGTGCGAGTTAGTGGTAGTGAACGTTTTATTCAAGTAGTAACCAAGTTGGTGAATTTATAATTGGTGAATATATTCTTTTAGAAATCGTTTCTGGACTCAAGTATAAGCTTTTCTTAAATTTCGTTGAAGTCAAAATTGATAAGCAACATTTAAATAATTTATTTAGTTATTCATTTGAAGTTTAATCTGAATGTTGACACGTGGATGCGAAATTTCCATTCGTACACCGGCGGACCAGCCATCTAATATTCTGCCTGTGAGACCGTTCGACCGTTCCAAGTCCTTTGGCGCGTTTTAAAATGGTGAGTTTACGAAATTGTACGGGTCTTGAAGTATTACATAGATTATGGGAGATGTTATCCATCTAGCGCGGCCAGAGCAAGAAGGCACAGAGGGAGCCGGAAAACAACGAAAAGAGCTCTGCTGAAATTACCAATAAGAAACCGAAAGGAGTTCCTCACACGCTTGACACGCTCCGAGAAAGAGATGCCACGACGGTTTTAGCGGAAGACGAAGAGGTTCTACAGGATGAAGAGACCGATGAATTATCCCCATATTTTAGCCGGGATTCCACGCCGAAACTATTGGTTACCACTTCCGATAAGGCCAGGAAAGTAAGCAAATGGCCTACTATGATACGATAATTATTCCTAAGATTATAATAATAAGTAAGCAAGTGGCCTACTATGAAACGATAATTATTCCTACTATGAAACGATAATTATTTTTTATATTGCTACTATGATACGATAATTATTATTATCACGATTACAATGTGCATGGTTACTTTTGCAAAATCGCCAACATATCGTACCTTTCAGAGAACCATTGCCTTAGCAAGGGAGATTGCTAGCGTAATCCCAAACGCTGAATATCGATCTCGAAGGAGGTTTGCTCTCAAAAAGATTATCCCTGAATGTGTGCAACACGGTGTAACCGATTTAATGGTGATAAACGAAAACCGTAATTTACCGGATGCCTTAACTTTGTGCCATCTTCCCAATGGGCCTACAGCTGTTTTTAAACTTCGAAGTGTAAAACTGATGAAAGAAATCAAAGTAAGAAAAATGTTTTTGTATCCAGGCTGGATCCAGAATTGCGCTTGAATGTTATTAAGGAACACCATCGGCATCAGTAATTAATAATTTTACGGTTTACTTTCCTCTAGAATGTGGGCGAAATGACCGAACACTGGCCGGAAGTGATCACCACTAATTTCACGACACGCCTTGGCCATGGCGTCGCTCGTATGTTTTCCGCTTTGTTCCCTCACGATCCCAATTTCCACGGACGTCGCGCAGTGACGTTCCACAACCAGCGGGATTTTATATTCTTTCGCAACCACAGGTATGAATTGATTTATGTGAATTGCAACACAAATTCACGTTGGACTAAAGATTTGTGTAAGTACAGTAAAGTACTTTCTTAATATTTTTGCAGATACATTTTTCGTAATTCGGGGCGAGCAGGACTGCAAGAACTTGGACCAAAATTTACTCTCAAGTTACGGGCGCTGCAGAAGGGAACGTTTGATAGTGAACAAGGAGAATATATCTGGATTCACAAGCAACTTGAAATGAACAAGAGCAAAAGAAAATTTTTCCTTTAACTCCTAAATGTGAATTAAGGAGCTTGTTTGAGCAAAGAATGAAATGTTCGATTCGTACGACTTCTGCTGCAACAGAAAAAATTGCAAAAAGAAGAATTTGGCGTTTCGCCATAATGTAATGTCGGTCTCGTAATATCATCGCAATTAAATAAATCGTATTATGAGTGCTTTCTGTTTTTCCGGGAAAGTGTTAAAGCACTATTAAATTAGAATCCAGTTAAACCAAAACATTTAGAATACTGGGAACAAAACATCTCTCCCTACGCCCTTGACTGCGCATCAAAACCACGAAAATTTCACATAAAGGAAAAGAATGACCACCAGAATAATAACTGCAGCAATTTTAATCGTTGAGGCCTTCTTGTTGAGCGTTTTGGCGTCCTTGCGGTATTTCTCAGAAGCGGCAGACAACATCCCTGCTTTATCTTGGAGGTCCGACAGCGCTTGGCCTCTCTGCAGCACGTCGTCGATATTCTGGACCATGATGCGCTGAACATCCTGCAGTTCATTATTCAGCTGTCCGAGTTGACGGCGCGCTCTGCTGTCGTTAAAAGTCTTCTTCGCCTTCTGAATGTAATTATCTAAAAATTAAAACTTGAGAATAATTATCCAGACGTAATTATCTGAATGTAATTATCTAAAAAAAATAAAACCTGCGAGGTAAACATTTTAAATAAATTAATGCATGCTATAAAGTATACACTAACCCTGCACTGGAAGGAAATTTTAACAATCAGCCACGCGTTCATTGTACGAGAGCATTTCCCTCAAGTGCATGGTTATAGTAATTAACGATTTTTAAGCTTCAAAAATAACAAAATTAATAAACTGTACCTAATTTCAACACCAATTATCAACACTAAGTAGTCAAAATACAGAAAAAATATATCTTGCGGTGTTACCAAGTATACAATACTACAATAGTAACAATACAGTGAATACACTAAACAGCGGTAATAATAAACGATAACAAACGGCTTTCTTTCAAGCCTATAAAAATCGTATGCAAAATAATTTAGAAGTTGATTTGATTATTTGGTTTTATTACCGAACTCAATGAAAGCATATGGTCGAGAGACGGTATTCACGCGGTTTCCATACAGCATATCGAATTCGTTCTGCAGATCCTCCAAATATGAGAACGCAACTCTTTTCGGGAACGATTTTTCTGTCAAAACCAGGTAGCAAACATCGTTCACAATAATATAATGGAAATAATAATTTCCAGAATCAATAGTGCATCGGTTGGGAGAACTCGGAGTTAGTCGTTTGAAAATTTGTTTGGCTTGCGTTTGATACTGAATTAAATTCTTGCCATGCTCTTCATCATCCTGAACCGAAGCTGCTAAAGGCAGCCCATCCGCCATTCGTGCGATCATTGTAAGAAGCACCATTCTGAACAATCAAGTCTGGGAAAGGATAAAGGATTCCAGAAAGATTTCGACCAGTGATTTCAGATGTCCAATTCCGACCAGGCCCAATTGGTAATAAGTTTCCAGTCAGTTTCACACGGTTGCTTTTGTCATGTGGCAGACCAAATTTCAACTCTCTTCGAACTTCCACCAATTTAGGGACAGGGTTAATATTCAAGGAAATGCAGCAAATTTTCAGGCTGTCACTGGTAGTCATACAATCTGGACAAGGATAAAAAGTACAAGTTTGTTATTTATATTATCATATTTTCATAAAATAACTAGCAGTACTCGGATAACGATTTTAAACGAGGTGCGCTATTTCCCATCAATGTCTGGAGAACCAATTTCAATCTCCATACGACAGCCTTGAAGTAGTGTTCATGTTAAAAAAATAACTCCAAACAGCTTCCGAAAACACAAGTGAAAGGCTTCAAGCTCGAAAAATATCAAATAGATTTCTAAATTAAAGCTACAATTTATATTCAGATCTACCAGTCGCACTAGTTGCACCTACAACTCACTGGCTGGCTGTGGCTGCATGACGTGGACGCTTCCTGACTTCGAAGTTTTCCAATTGGTCACCGCGCAGCGAGCCGAGGTTCTCTCATAATATCAAACGGTTATTGAGGCCTTTCGAAGCTCATATTATTTTTTAATTTTAAACAAATAACGGTAAAAATATTTATATTTCGTGTATCTTGTTTTCTATGATTTTATGATGATTTCATGATTTATATGATTTGTTGATATGGTAAGAAAAAGGGGCCAGATTTATGGTTGGAAAACAGCAAGGGAAAAAGAACGTGTTTCTCGGCAACTTAGGCGGTTACCTATTTTAACAGCTTCCGCCACACGGAGGTTGTTGTATAAGGATTTTGTTGGTCTGGTCTTCATCGGTTTCCACTTTCCAGCTTCCTTTGTTGCGATTTGTGGAAGCGCCGAAACATCGAAAGCCTTTAGAGACTGTGAGCACTGAGAGTGTGAGGTTGATCCACTGTTCCCGTTTATTAAACGTGAACTCCTTTAATTATTTATCATTTTATGTTATCCTTTCAATAACACAAACATCATTTATCGGCAATCTACTCCAATGTGGTTGTAGCAAACTAAAACTTCTAATTCCTGGACTCGCTATGTAAGTACTTACTGTACCTGTACTTTAGCCGTGGACCGTGGTGCATGGGTCGGCGAAGCGCGCACTTTCTGCTCGTTCGGATGTCGTGAAAACCCGCAAAACATACAGTGCACTGATGTCTAGCCTTCCCTTTAGTGCTTTCCACGTTGGAACGTGAAATCGATTTTTTGGAGCTCAAGAACTCTGGATAGCAGTTTACCATGAATTCGTCGTTCGAAGGTTAGTTTGTGAATTTGCGTGCTTTCCTGCGATGTTTACTTAGTCACGCGAGGTTCGTGCGATATCTAATGCGCGTAATTATTAAGTAGCATGAGTGCCCTTAGATTTTCCGTTTTCGAGGTGATAACTTTTTGAAGAAATTTCTGAAAAATATTATTATATGTTCTAAGTGTTCTTTTTCCATGTCTTGTATTATCCAGAAAATGCGCCAGGGTCTCCGCAAAGTCCTATTTCGCGAGCATTCGCGGAGTTTTGGGATCAGGTGATGTTAAGCAATGGGCTGAAAACCTGGACTGTCGGATGTAAGTGTGGCGAAGATAGCTGCATTCCGAGTCAGTTCTTCCTTGCACAAGGTGGCGTTTGTAGTTTTTATTGGGTTACTTTGCAGACACAACAGCCGGACCTTCATTTGATGAGGCTTCGCAAGATGGTCAAGTGCCGCGAAGCTCTCCGCTAGCCTGTGAGACGGCCGCTTCAACGAGCACACTGGAAGTGGATGCACAGCTGCCGGATGCGGATGTTCTGGGATTCGCAGCCAGCAGCTTTGATGAAGCATTCGCTGAGATTGAACAGAATCAGCAGCCGGAAAAGGCTAGCGACGAGGTCTCCATTGCATCTGAAACTGAAATGGATGCTGGCGACAACAAGACGGGAGCCGGACAGAAAAGATCGTACGATGACACGGCGGACCAGAGCGGGTCGGATTCTGAGGGCAGGAAATATTTGCGAGCGGAGGATGATGATGGAGACGATGCCGAAGAAGGCAACGATGAAAATATTGACGAAAATCAAGCGGAAGAATTCGGTGAAATCGAGGAGATACCGGAAGAATCGGGCGAAGTTGAAGAAATAGCGGAAGTGGCTGGCAATAAGTACCAAAAAGGCAATGGCAAGCGCATAAATGTGTTTGTTTATCCAGAAAGCGACGGAGATGACTAGGCAACAGGTAAATGTTGGTTCGATTTCCAGCAGCTGTTCCCTTTTTGTACACATGATCTACGGATTCTGAAATTGTTATGAGGAATTTGGGTAGTGTTGTTATGTTGATCGGAGTAGAGTGATTTTGTACGGATTAAGTGCCAAGTTTTTATAGCAGCGATTTTGTCGTTTTTTTTAAATTCTGATTGAGATTGGTGATGCCGACTGATGCGCGACAAGAATCTACGTATTTTCGAGCACTTCGTATAGAAGGACCAGTACAGTAATATTTAAAAAGTAGATTGACTACAGTATAATTATAGTATCTGTTTTACTCCCTGACACGTTCTCGAGCCTAATTCATGCTTCATGCCTGTGGCAACGCAGTGTTCGCCATAAACTCCATTGGAAACTCAAGGTCAGATTTCGTCGAACTGTGCATCAGTTTTTTTATGAAATCTTTACACTCATTAGAATAAGTAATTAAAGGTACTCATGGTGAGGTACTGAGACTTCTGTATGTAGTCATTACAATACTGCTTGGTGTTTGTGCTTGTGTCTTGTAGTTCTTGGTAGGTAACAGTAAATACTGTACAGTATTCTCATGAAAAATTTTTCTTTGAGTATTGGCAGTCTGTGAACAATAACATGAATAATTATTGCCGCTGAAGGTAATACGCGAAAATGCATTCTGCTCAGGTCAGTTTTGGCAATAATAAAGGACAAATGAAATTGAAAGTATTTCCAGTGTACGGTGAGTACGTGGTTAATTACCGTTAATAGTTAACAACTTAATTAACGCTCCTGTTTTATGTTGTTTTATGCTCACATACACGTTTGTTTTTTATTGTAATTTTTACAGCAGTGTTATTTAATTAGTTGTACGTACAAGTATGGACTTGTTTTGTCCAATACTACAGTCGTGTTAGTTCGGTGTTTGTTCAGAAGCAAGCAGATAATGGTTTACTATTAAACTAGTCCTGCTCTAGAGTAGTATTTCCTTCAAGCGATTTTCCTACTACTACGTGCGTAGTACAGTAAAGTACGTTAATCACAAATAATCATAAGTGGCACATTTGAATCATTAAGTCTGGACGGAGTTAATAAGGTCTTGAGTTCCAGCAAATGATAAGTACTTGCAAGTTCATGCGACGAGTTTTCATGATTTTGTGACCTTTATATATACTACCAAGTACAATCTGTTGCAATGTTCGGCGAACGCAGATCGTAGATGACTAGATGGCAACTCGTATAGATTGGGCAAATTATCGGTTACAGAATAATTGCCAATCATACAACTTTTGTTTTATTCCGCCCTGGCTGGTATAACATGACAATCTTTGTAGCTCAGACTAGTTCGACTTAAAATTAACCGAAAGAAGCGATAATCCCTGGAGGAAGAAAGACTGGAGAACGAAAGCGTACTTAACTCATTGTCAGCTACAGTAACTGCCTGCTGCTTCTTCTCAATATAACTAGATTCCAGGTGAGTAAAAATATGCTCGTTTTCGTTATTCTTATACGACTTTTGCCACTGCATTTTCTGTGCAAGCGAAGAAATATGAATTTTATGCTTGATTTGCTTGATTTCGGTAATGCCCTTAATCAGTGCTCATACGAGATTTCAAGTAATTTCGCACAATACACGATTTCTTAGAATCAATATCCATAATTTCATGGCCATTTTGACAATTTCACGAAAACTTTCTAAAACCACAATTTTTGAGAAGCTTAATCCGGATGATATTTGTTCGTTTTACGAGTGAGTTCCAGTTCCTTTCTGTTTTCTGGAAAACTATTCCCGAGTAACATTAATCCCATTAACTTTGTGGTCATTCTGCTAGCATGTTTGCCAACTGCAGTATTCTAGAATCGCGGAAATCGGAACCCGGAAATCGCGGCTTCCGCCTTCTGACGACTCTGGGTTAAAATTGTTGTATATGAACTTAAGCGTTATAATACTGCGAGTACAAAAGCCTGACTCCATACGTAATGTACATAGCTTCCGTCTCGGACGGTATGGCCAGCGAGATTTGCCATCTGGTATGGCAGTGGCGATGTGTTTACGTTTGTATGTTACTTTTCGTATTCTTTTGACGACGAGATTTAACAGGGATAGATCATAGAAGCAGCGTAACTGATAGAAGTATGAGTACATGTGGTTTCACTAATTTGGAAAGAAGAACCGCAGTTTTCTTTCACAGCTGATAATTCTACTTTCTTGATATAAACCGTCAAAGAACTCTGGTTGAGGAATTGTCGCTCCCATTTTTCAAGGTTCTCTGGTGGAATGCTGTGTGGGTACATTATTGTAAGCTTGAATTATTACTGCACTGATCTGTGCTAGGTTGTTATCACTATTTGATTGAATTTGGTTCTTATTCTGATGCTGAGAGGAACGATAACAAGGTGAGTAGGGCAAAATCTTTATTAATTGTACGGGTACCCTGTCACAGGGAATCACGATTTGATCGATTTTGGTTTTGAGGAGAGATTAACATCTGGAGCAATCTGGGGACCACTCTATAGGGTATAGATACTACCGACCTTGATTTATGCTTATGTTAATTAGACTTACAAACCTCCTGGAGCTGAAGGCTTGGTCGCCTACAATCGTTTCCCGGACGATGGCTTCCGTTCAGCACGACGAAAGAAAGAGGAAGTTTTACATTCCCACGGGTGCGAAGGACGCGCATTTAACATACGAATTGCCCAGAGAAGGGATAATAGATTTTCAACACACTTTCGTGCCCGAAGATCTCAGAGGCCAAGGAATTGCCGCTAAACTGGTGGACCAGGTAATTATATAATAAAGAGTTATACAGTTTACTATACAATATGCAGCGTACGCCACTGACAATATGTAACAAAAATCTGTTGCAGTTTAATACTAACAAATCAGAAAATTACCTTTATACATTGAAGATGAATTTATTTTTTACCAGTCATATTTTTCAACTCCAGAAATTGGTTGTACGATGCTACAATTACATTATAATAATATTATTAATTATTATAAACAAGTATACATACAAGTTACAGCTGCTGTAAATTTTATCTTACTTTGCAGGGACTTAGATATGCAGCCGCGGAAAATTTAAAAGTGAAGTTGGTAAGTGTTTCGTCCTAACGCCGCATTGCTTTGCGCTTCTTATTTTGGATTTAGAAGTGAGTTACCGGTATCCGCGTACAGCGATAGCTAATAGAATCTGACCTATGATTTTAACTTGTGAAAAACGGTTCCAGATTTTATTTACCCGATTTGAACCTGATAGTAAGTTTTTGATAATTATGACTTAGAAGCAAAGAGTTAGTTAGTGTCTGTTATTCACTGCAAACGGAGTTTAGAAGATTCTGATGATCGCGCTGTATCGCGTTATCACTGAATTTTGTTTTGTTTCAGACTTGTTCATACACGGAAGACTACGTGAACAAAAACAGAACCAAAATTTCGTCAGATCCCTTGCTCGGAAAAATCGAATTCTTATGATAAACCGACCCGTTCAGCGTTCTCATCAGTTACAGCAAAGCTTTATTAGCGCGTCTATCAACCCTTTTTTACCGTGACGAGGATGCTGTCCAGTGTGGTAGAGCAGTAAAACCTTCGTTACGCAATAAAAATGGTACCAGAATAGTGGAAAACATGGCATTGTGTGCAGCATTTGGACACAAATCAGATGATCTGCGATTGCCGCTAAACAGTGAAATAGCAAAACGCGTTTTTGCGGTCCCAAAAAAATTTGGTGGTTGCCGATATTTCCGTTCAAGCTCAGGGAAACAAGAAATCCCAGCACATTACTTCCCGCTCTTTTTTATGCCCCCACCAGCTATAAAAAAGAAATGTTCAGAATGTGCTGAAAACTTCAAATCGCAACAGCCAGAACAGCAGACGAATTCTTACAGAGGGGTCCTTTTTGTGCCGCCTTCGAGGCAGCTTCTTTCATAGCTTTTTCTTGCTCCTTCTGCTTTTGCTTGAAAGCCAGATCGTCCTAAAATAAAAGAGACCATAATAAGAATATTATTCCTCACTGTGTTTGTCACAGTTTGTGGAATCAAAGAAATTACGCACTTCGTCAAGTTCTTTTGCGTCCTTCTTAGGTTGCTTCAGCGGCTTCTTTTTACCACCTGGAACAGACAATACGTTAGCAAAATATTCCAAAAAATTAATAAACACTGAGGAATGGTAAATATGTATAGGTGGTAAAACCGTAAATGCAAAATTATCGTGTACCATGTGACTGTTGAGAACTGAGACTCAAAAGTCACCATGCAGCTTACCGTAACTCAATGAGCGGGCAATTCACGAGTAACATCAGCGACTAAGATGCGAGTGTATCAACCAGTAAATATAGATAGTAATAATAACCCAATAAATAATAATGACAGAAAACGTTTGTACTCTGTGACTCGAGATCTGAAAACCCACGACAAACAAACAATCACAGCTTCACGGATTAGCTGATGTACATAGTATTTTGTAGTTCTACCTGTGCGAGTACGGAAGTTCTCCATGCAGAAACAATTATTACAGTAGGTATTGATGTAAGTACTTACGATTACTAGTAACACCTGCTAAAACTCAATCAGTCTTAAATCTCAGGAGTTACACTTGATTCGTACTTTTCGTGAACTGCAGTTTGCGTGCTTACCTTCTCGGCTAGACATTTTGAATTCGGATGTTAACTCAGCGGCCAACAAAAGAAGTCAAACTGTTCAATTAGCCCGATGAAATCAAAATTGTTAAATACTGACACAACGTCTAAAGTCCCAAGATGAAGGCTGCGAAAATTCCCGATTCCAAAAAGCTTATTTTCCGGAAAGCAAACTACACGAGACCACAAAATCTCCAATCCACAAAAAATTTTCTCATAGGTCGAAAACAGTAAAAATGTAAAAATCGACAACAACGTGTACAGACATACTACCAGTGCACTACATCATCATTATTCATTGCGCAATAAATTTTTTGACGCTGGAAATGTTCACTGAAGCCAGCACTCAACACGGACTCAGCATCACTTTAGCAGTAACGTAGTGACACGTACGCATGCGGTGGCCCATGCCGCACGCCGTTGGAATGCAAATCTTCAAAAATTCCTAACTTTGTTAATTTTTGCGTTAAATTTTTATACATAAGCTTAAAAAACACAGAATAATTCATACTAGTAGGCAGAACAAGTAGGTTTTCGTTTTTCCTCTAGGGTTATGCACTGTGAGCCTATGCAGTTAGCATAGTTGTCTATGGAGGACTCATTTAAGACGTCTCATAGGCGGCTATGCTAACCACGCATGCTCACAGTGCGTAACCCTAGAGAAAAAACGAAAAACCACTTGTTCTGGCTACTAGTATGAATTATTCTGTGTTTTTTAAGCTTATGTATAAAAATTTAACGCAAAAATTAACAAAGTTAGGAAATTTTGAAGATTTGCATTCCAACAGCGTGCGGCATGGGCCACCGCATGCGTACGTGTCACTACGTTACTGCTAAAGTACTGCTGAGTCCGTGTTGAGTGCTGGCTTCAGTGAACATTTCCAGCGTCAAAAAATTTATTGCGCAATGATGATGTAGTGCACTGGTAGTATGTCTGTACACCAACAACTAGTAGGGTAGGGCGGTAGGTGTTGATAGTGCAGCATGCCGCCGTCACAGGCGGTGGCCCGACGGACATTTCGGACACCTCTTTACTCTTATTTACGAGTACGCGCAGCTAGCTGTGATGTTGTCCAATTCCGTTCTTCTCCGGTAAGTCCGGTTAATACGTACTTACCGTAGCGGTCGACGCCGGTATCTACAGAAGAAAACAAGATCTATTCTGGTCTGAGGTCTGCCTTTTATAGAACAGATCTGATGCAGGATTACAGGGAAAATGCGGCATCCGATATAGCTTCTGCTTAAAGCACAATGAAAAGGGTGGAATTTTAAATGAGTTTACGGTACTCAGCTTATACTTTACAGTAGTTACTAATTGGTATCAAAGGACAAGTACTTATGCATTTTTCTTGTTATAATGGTCGATTGTTTATCGATTGTGCACAGGTTGTTGCGGCTTCTTTAAAAGTCAGACGGTCAGAAAAAGCAATTTTCCCGTAGAAGGTGTAGAGCACAAGAAGGAACTAATCTAACTGTTAGCGGAAAGGACTGAAGGCCGGGAGACCCTTGCAGTTCTCTTACTTTGGAAAGCTGTAGCGAAGTTTAATAGTGAAATCCGTTCCAGTTTACGACAGACAGAACCGGCGATTGCAAACGAGTAAGTAACTATTACACTCCACTTGGACACTGCAAACTCCTTTGTGCACGATTTTTAGGTATAACATTTTTTAAATTCTGAAAAAAAGCATTATTTTAAATAAATAAGTTCAAATAAAGAACCGTAACAACCAAACGGGCAGGAAAAGTTGCTACTGACAAAAGGGAACATCTTGAGAGAATCAGGAAGGTATGAGAAAGAAGGCAACGCCATAATTCCATACTGTCTTCAGCAACAAGACGGGTAGCCGGTAAACGTCACATTTTCCGCAAAACACAGTCAGCCTTCAAATCAGCGATGACTCCGCAGCTTACGCCCGAGGTCGGGATGGAGAGAAGCGCCTTTATGTTTCCGACTCAATCCCACACGGATTCCACCGGGTGGATACGCAGATATACCCGCCTTTATATTGGCACTACGAGCGCGATAATAACACAAAAAATCATGAACTCCAACTCGGCCCGACTGCTAAAAACTTAAGCACGGTAAATATGTGCAGGATTTTTTCCTGTGCACAAGTGCTTATTTTTAAAAAAACCAGATATCAAATACAGTTATGGCGAAAATTTATCTGGTTACTGCTGATGCTTATTTTCAGGGTTAGTATGTGCCCAGTGCCCACCTGGAACTCGGTTTCGAAATTCCCTCTTCGCCATCTCCCCTGCAGCCAAACAACGAAAACTTAAAGGATTTAAATCCAGGTAGAATGCAGATACAACAGTTTTTCAGATACAACAGTTTTCAGTTTTGTAATTCACAGCTTATTAGTGGCAGGCAGTGACAGCTATCGCTCACTCAGATTCGTCTTCGCTTGGTTCCGGTTCAGATTCTGATGACGTTGACTGCTTCCGCTTCCTGCCGGTCTTTCGTGCACCCTTAGCTGCACCTTACATTTGTCCAAACAACCGTAAATGACTGGATGTCCACGAATTCACATCGTATCTTATTATCGTATTTTCACTTACTTGTTTTCGCCTTGCTTGGTGCTCTACAATTGAGATAATCGACAAATTATTACAAATCAAAATACAAGGCACTGTACTAACAGGACTTCAAGTAATGTTGTCCTGCACGAACAATTTTATGAGACCACAATTCATTCTTACGATTTCTTCGCTTGAGCGCTTTTATTGATCTCAGAACGCACTTTCGCGACCGGTTTTCCGCTCGCACCAACCGAAGCTCGTGGTGCTGGGGGCTTTGTTTTTTCAGTCTCTGACGGTGACACAACCTGCAGCAGCGCGAATCAGAAAGTTTAAAGGCAGGAAAAGAACCGTGAAAAGTACGAAACAACTCCGTGAGCGCTTCACTGCACAAGCAAGAGCTGAGCAAGGCAGCATCAAACGTACGTAAAATTGCATACCTGCTTCTTCTCGGGAACTGTCTGTTTATCGCTTGACATCGTAAACGTTTGCTTGTACGCTGATGGGCCGCTAGGACCGAAAGCACTACCAGTACATTAATACAAAGATACGAAGCAAATAATCAGTGATATTCAAACCAGAAAAGACAAAGGTAACCGAGTATAAAACACAAAACAAGTGACGACAAACGCAGCAACGTATACGGCTCCTAAGATTTGACTGGAAGGGAGGAGGTCTGGAGTCAGAATCCAGAAGAGCAAAATCAAGCAAGTGAACGCAAACAAAAAAGTTTGCTCCGCGATGACGTATGTACCGAAAGCTAACGTAGCAGCGCACTACGGCGGGAAGACCGACAGGAAAGTTGAAATGCTTTAGGAGTGAAACGCAAAAGCTGCTCTAAACTTTGACGGACCATTGATAAAAATTAAGATATTTAACGGATATCTTTTTTTTATCAATTTTTTTACGTTCATGTTTTCAGAAAGTTTTCGTGTCGAACCTTTCGAGGTGTCCTAAAAGTATACAAACAGTTTTGATACTCTGCACGTTGTTCCTATACTACTACTTACATGTTTGTGTTCACCGAGAAAGCGAGAATTAATCCAAACCTTTTCAGGATCAGGTTGCTATTTCCAATCGGTTGCGCTTTCCAACAAATGTGATTGTGCTTTTTAAATTTGTAATCTGGATGCTATGGAGAAGCACAGCAGCCGACGAAAGCATGAAAGCGGTATCCGGCGGCTAGAAAAGCAGTTGAAGTTATGGAATATACACTGCTTAACATGCTCTTCTCCCACGAAAGTACTTATGTGTTTTAATGTTTTTCATCTTATTACTGTACCCGCGCGAGTTTAAGGGACAGTAAATTCCCCTGGACCGCCCGCAAGTAGAATAATTAGACAATTAAATAGTAGATACTGCGAAGATATAAATGAGTGTCTAAGTTGTAAAAATAAATGTGTTAATTCTGTTGTTATTTTGTTGACATATCAAGTTGTTCTCTTAAAGGAAATACTATTCTGCTCCAATACATTATACTCGATACTCCGGTGTTATCATTTTTTGTGGCAAATGCAGGTGTTAGGAGTTGGAAACGCCGGCTTGGCTTGCGGTTTTTCCGAACAGGACGTCATAAACGAGATTGCGAAGATTTTTACTTTGCAAACTTCTTTGGGACAGCCAATTCCGCGGACTGAGGTTACCATGATTGCGGACAAACAATTTTCCCTCATTTCCTGTGAAAACGAAAGCGCTGCAGAACAAATTCATCAAAGTATCTCTGGGCGATCTTTTACGACCAGCTTTGGATCTGAATTTCCCTGGTTTCCCGCATATCTCGCAGACTTCGGTACACTTTGTAATTATTGCCCAGATAGTTAATTAGAATACAATTCAGTACATTCAAAACTTTATATTCGCTTGAATATTTTTAAATGGTGCAGCAACTGACTAACAAACTGGGAGTATTCGGGTTTTCGGTTCGCTAATTCCATGTGACTTTTTCGGCCGAGACTGATTGATGATTTACGGTATCACGTGGATGGATTAACAAATTTAGACTACACTATTATAATTATGTACTAGCGCTATGTTTGTAGATCCGAGGCAGACACCGGATTTATTATCACCCAAACAACCTCCTGGACTGCATTACTACCCTGAATTTGTAAGCCCCGAAGAGGAACATCAGCTTATTGGTTTTGTTGAATGCGCTCTGCAGAACGTTCCATCTAGTACGTAATAATCAAAGTTGGTTAATGTGTTTGTAAAATTACGTGTGGAAATTAGTTCGGATGAAATGATGTGACTCCATACGTCTTTTCACAAATAGTCATGGAAAAGGTTCGGCTTTCTCGTCGTTTGCCGTAATGGGCAGTTTACTAGTAAGAGATCACGAGTAGAAATTGTCACCTTAACCAGAATCCTGTTCATTTGTTGTAGAAGACGTTTTACGAAACAGAACAGCACTGCATTATGGATTCAGGTTTCTTTATGGATCGAACAATGTGGATATGAAGAAGGAGACCGTCGAACCAATTCCGGCAGTTTGTGATCCTCTTAGATCGAAGTTGGTCGCTTTGGGACTTTTTGAAAGACCTCCTGATCAGCTGACAATTAACATTTATCAACCTGGTCAGGGTAAGTAATGATAATTTTTCCACTGAACACAGTGCATTTGTGGAAATATACAGTACTGTTTGATCCTATGTGAGAACTAAGGTTATGCTGTTGTAAGCTTGCGACCAGTTCATGCACAATTTTTAGGAATACCAGCACATGTGGATACTCATTCCGTTTTTGAGAACGGTATTTGTTCGATCAGTTTGGGCAGTCCGGTGGTGATGAACTTCTCTCGTGGGTCAGCGACGTTGCCAGTAGTGTTGCAACCCAGAAGCGCATTAATAATGAAGGACGAATGCCGCTATGCGTGGAAACATGGGTTTGTTTTCTTAATTATATTGTTAATTCCGAAATACTCATTTAAAGTATTTATATCGATAACGAAATATACGTAACTTACTTTAACTATTTTGTGCAGGATTACGCCGCGTACAACCGATGTCATTCCAGGAAACAACTCGCGCCGAGGAAGGCGTATTTCGCTTACCTTTCGCTGTGTTCGCAATCACCCATGCACATGTGCATATCCCGATGAATGCGACAGTCAGTATACCAGACCTTCTGATCACAGCAGAGCAAATGATGAGAACGCTGGTGGTAACCAAGAAATCAGCTCAGAATTATCGCTGGAAGAAAGCCATGTGTATCAGGTAAACACCAAGGAGTTCAAAAAATTTGTTTTGAAACTTATTATCTGTGGATAGTGTATTTTGAACCTAAATGTGCCGTTATCGTTATTACTTAATGAATTCTGAAGAATTCCTACTATCACTACGGTACCTGGGCATCATTAGTGGCGCTGGACGATGGCATTGTAGTAGTAGTAATGAAATTATTATAGGCACTGTAGCGACTGAGTAGCCCCCAACAACATTTACAACATTTAAGTACGTGACATTTAAGTACTCACAACATTTATATTTATGGCACTTACATTGCATGTCGTTTTTTTCAAAGGTCAGACTTGAAAATGTCGTCACAGATCACTGGTACTGCACTACGGGCTTAATTAATGCACGTAATCTTCAAAGTGTTTTGCCTATAGAAATAAGTGCAGGCGGCGAGTATACAACCATTAATTGTATTTACCTGTTTCGTTTTCTTCAGGTTTATGAAGACATCGCAGCGCATTTTAGTCAGACACGATACAAGCCCTGGCCTAAAGTGGTGGAATTTGTGGAATCAATACCATGCGGCGGCGTTGTAGCGGATGTGGGTTGTGGCAATGGAAAATATCTTGGCTTAAGCAAACAAATATTCGAGGTAATTTTTCTATCATTATTTGTCTTTACATTTTTCTTCGCTTCTCACTAGTGCGCACACACTCTACTTCAAGGTTGGATGCGACCGTAGTGTCAACCTGATTGATATTTGCCGCGACCGGAAACTTGAGGTTCTGATTAGCGATGTACTGTCGTTGCCGTTCAGAGATGGCTGCTGCGACGGCGTGCTGTGCATCGCCGTGATTCATCATCTCAGCTCTCAGGTAGCTGCACTTTATTGATTTACGGTATTTTTCAGACCTGTCAAAAGAATCCGAGCTGGACATGATAACGAAATGAAAGAGGCTGTTTACTTTGCGGTTGTCAACTCCGCCACATTACAGAGCATTTCGAAAAGTGTTTTTAATTGCGTGATTAGTATCCATTTCCGCGAAGATCAGGGTATGTGAGACAAACGTTCCTTTGTTTTGTAGGAGCGCCGAATAAAGGCTTTGCGGGAACTAGTACGAGTATTATCAGTGAACGGCAGCGCATTAGTGTACGTTTGGGCACTGGAGCAGAAAAAGGATCAGAGAGTTTCTACTTATTTGAAAGGCGGCGGCAAACCAAGTACCTCTTCGAAAGACGGAGGCGATGAACGTGAGCAGACTCTTGATGTCCTTCCCACTGAGGCGCGATTGAATACTGCCGATAGCAGTGACGGCACCGAATTGCCCATTCATACCAACCGGACCCAATTTAAACAGCAAGATATTCTCGTGCCTTGGCATCTCAAACCGAAACGTAAAGAATGTGATGCGGTGAAGCAAGACGAAAAAGTTTTTCATAGATACTATCATGTTTTTCGAGAGGGTGAGTTGGAAGAGTACTGCGAATGCTTGGATAATATCGAAATTTTGCAGAGCTATTATGACGAGGGAAACTGGTGTATTGTTTTGCGAAGATGTTTTTAGTTGCATAGATTTTTATTCTTAGAATTCTTCTTTTTGATTTCTGATTACAAGGCAAATCATTTTGTCTATACCAGTCTATACGTAGGCAACCAAAAACATACGTATTCGTTTATGCCGGCTTTAGGCGGATAACAATACTTACTTAAACTTCAAAGAAATCACTAGGTACTTTCAGTTCTGACTGCCTTATGATAATGCAGCCCAACGGACTGTGCGTCATGCTGCTATGTGTCATTCAGAGATAACGCAAGCGTTGTGCATTGGTTTGTTGCAACAGTCAACACATGCCCACTTTAAGGCAACACTGCCCAACGGTAAATCTAGTCTCGACTAGATTTTCCGTTGGGCATCGTTGACTTATCCATGCATTGCGCGTGTTACACGCTGTAGATGGTGAGTGCTGTGGACTGCACTGCCCCGTTAATACCGTGCTATGGACGCTATGTACTAACAAATTTAGATCTAACATAATTACGAACGCAGAGTAATGCGTATGCTATCATTAATAATTTAATGACTTAGGGCATTAATTACTAATTAGGCAGTAATTTCCCGCAGTCATTAATAATTAGGCAATATTTAAGCTAATTAGACAGTCATTCAAGACGGCGGTGGTCAGCTTTTTTGATATGTTAAAGGTAATTAAGCTAATCAGGCAGTAACTTCACGCTCTCATTAACAATGTGGAGTTTATGATAAGTCTAACTTATCATAAGCTGGGGCATTCATATATCGCAGCCGTTACCGTTGCTGTGTTGTCGCATTATTGGATAGTTTTCTATGAGTCAATTGTGATTACTCATGGTTTTGACTTATCGTAAGTTAAACTTACGATAAGTCAGAGTGTACTGAAATATTGCACTATTTCTTTGGTGTGGCCAGCTATCAAAATCTTTAATCCAACGGAGACGTGACAATTAAACATAAGAACAATTAGGTATTGAATTAATATTGTCAGATGGGCTAAGGAGAATCCGTGTATGACAAAGTAATGGAGAATATGCGATGTAAAATGCAAATATTTACTTTTGCAAAACGACAACTTCAAAAATGTACGGAGCGAACGAAAACTCTCAAGCAAGCCTTCCCTTGGACGTGACATCAATCCTATTGTTACAAATTTTATGAACTACACCCTGCTTAGCCCATTCACAGTCGCCAAATGAATGAATCATTCACTAAACCTGGGCGCTACGGCTTTGGTCTGCTCCGCCGTACTATTGCGCCAATGCCGTAGAGTGGCCTGACGTGTCCGTTCGACTGTAATCGTAATCTATAATCGTCTTCGTTGTAAGCGGTAGGCAGCATAGCACTATATGTAGCAGTCACACCAGTCTGTATTCCCGTCAACTAGGCCATCCAATCTTTTGTTTGTGTTGTTCTTTATTATTGAATATTGATAACCATCGGCTCATGATATCATTGATATGTCGTGCATTTTTTATAATTCTTGTCACATGCTTAAGGTTTTTCTTATCTTGAGCGATTTCATAAAAAGCGACTAGATCGGGATAATCTTACTTTCAGCCATCTGTGTGTATTACTGGATAGACGACAACGGCCATTTACTGACTACCGTTTATCGAGAAGATCTGAATTTGTGTTCTTTTATCAGACTCTTCAACAGCAGAAAAACTTTGAGTTTTTGTGGATCTTTTTCCAAGAATATTAAAATCTGTGTTCGGGCATACTTTATTTATGCAACATTGTGGATTTTTATCGCTCCCATGAAATATGTAGTCGTGGAGTCCAACTCCAGACCATCACGTACCGTTCTTCTGTCGTCCAATGCCCATCTTGTGGAGGAGCCCGCTTCCCAATGGATCCTACAGGATAGCTCACCGTCGGAGAAATCTTGGGCCATGGGCCACGCGGGGATGCAATGCATTCGCATATGCTTTGTCTTGCTAAACATCCTGGTGACGCTGGGTAGTTGTGGAGCGTTGGGATTAGGGATCTGGCTGCATGTGCATACTGGAGGATATGCGCGCGTGGTGTATCAGTATGCCTTCTTCTCGGCAGCCATTTTTCTCATCAGCATGGGCTGCATTGGAATTTTTGTTTGTATTATGGGTTGTTGTGGAGCGTGGCTGATCAATCGGTGTTTGCTGTTAACGGTGAGATTCCGCTGCAGCGCACTGCTGGTGTATTTTCAGCTGTATTTTAATTCGAAATGGAATTGATTCAGATTTTAAACCCGACGACCCAACGTAGTGGATTTGCAGCAAAAGCATAATATTTTGAATTCCCTTATTTTTACTCATTTGTTTTTTGCAGTATTTTATTCTGGTCTTGGTCCTTTTTCTCGTGGAAGTTGGAGCGGGAATATACCTTTTAATATTTCGAGATACTGTAAGTCCATTTGTGATTGCGGTATCTGTCTGTGTTACTGTTAGATTAGTAATTAATTATATAGCACAGACATAACATGAGTAATTTTTCCCGAGAAGTAATAACTGACAATTAGAACGAATGTTTTCTAAGGTAGTGCTCTTACGTAAATTCACCACCATCCACATGTGCAACAGACGTCCGCCACAGCCCAAAAACTAATTTTGTTGCTGATCGCGTACAAACTAATATAATGATATATCGCACAGACGAAATTTACGGCATCTCGCTCAAAATAATATCATGTCAGCCAGAACCTCTCGCGCATTTGCTTTGTTAAATATGCTCTCGAACTGCCGTTCGATTATTTCCAGATTGAAAACTGCTTGGCATGATTACCCATATTGATCCGTTTACACAACATCAGAGAAAACGTAATTCCGTTTTATTGTAAGACACGATCGCAGGCATAGCCAAGCAGAAAATCTAATTACCTATTTCGGTTTGCACTGCCGTAAATCACTAGGAAAGGTTTTATTATACATTTAGCGATCGATGATCGTTATGATGCTGCTGATTTAGATACTTGACTATGTTTTATGATTTTTGCTGCTCACCATCAGTTTAACCGATTTTCCACTCCACGATAAACTCGTATACAGTGTTATATATTACTAAGTAATAAACCGAAAGCCCGCAAAATCTGGAAGCTTCAAAGCTACTTTATCCGGTAGCCATTAAATGTCAGTCGTACAAATCTATACGATTGCGCTATTTGGATTTTGCGTTTTGTGTTTTCGAGTATGAGATAATAACAAAAAACGTCTGTCTCACTCAGACTGTCTGTAACAGCGCAGATACATAAAATTAATAACATAAATACGAGGGTCACTCAAGGAGTTTTTGACGATTTCTAAAACTTGTTGAGCGAGCCTCGTATTTGGCAGTAAGATTTTAGTTTAACAAATTATTAAGTGAGAAAATACTTATTGTCAGCTGTTTATGATCAATAAAAGGGTTTTTTTAGCTCACGGATAACGTTCGATACGAACTGCGTTTAAGTTTGCGGACCAACTACTTGCCCCACTCTAGTCTGTCCACTGCATGGGACACCATACAGCGTACATTCGGTTGCTGCGGTGTGGACAATCAAGCTGACTGGCATTTCATTGCCGCATGGCCGGAACTAGCTATTGCCCCGGATTCCTGCTGCATACCGGAAGCTCGAAATTTGCCTAATTGTGGGAAATCACTTAACTACAACCTAATTTATCCACGCGGGTGTTTCGAAGTTATACGTGATTATGCCACGAGGAACATGTACATTTTTGCCATTGCGGCTGTATGTTTAGCCTTTGTTCAGGTAAGGCAGCGAATATGATCATTGGCGAAACTACTTAAAAGTTTGTTTGCAGTAATCTTGTTTATTTATCTTGCTTTTCTTGCTGCATTACTTGTGTAATATACTGTGCAGCTTTCACCATGTTTATTACTAGTGGCTCATATTACGGTTGCTCTGCCATCAGCTGTTTTGTGAAGATCGGAGCACGATACGCATGATCGTATTATGGATATCCTACCATTATTTGCTTAAAACCGTACTCCATTAAGTAATTGTTTTTCACTGCTATTGCCGTTGCAGTTTAAAGATTACAGAAGTTGTCGTGCATCTTCTTGGATTATTATTTATTCTTTGCAGCTTTTTGGTTTGGTATCAGCTATGGTGCTATTTTGTGGTGGTCATCTGGCTGAACACAGAAAGCTGATAGTCAGGACCGAAGAACCGGAAGTCGTTGAAGTTGTCCAAACTGAACCGAAACCAAAGTACGTGGAGACTAATCTCTGAAGCAGAAATATGGATAGTGCAAATTGCTTTCTTGTTTTTGTTGTCTCTCAAGTATTTGTTTGTAAAAAATGTTCGCCTTGATTGAAAGTATTTCCGCTTTTAGCGTTTTATACTTTTATCTCTTCGTGTGCATCTCTCAAAGGATCTGTTCTGTATTATTTAATTTTGCGACATGGTTAAGCATCTATCTTTGCTCCTTTTGCACTGGAAAATTTGGGGATATAAATGGTGTGAAAGTAAATTCTGGAGTTACGATTAAGGAAGCGGGAATGCTTTTGAATTTTTGATAAATGAATTGCAGTGCAATAAATAAAGTTTGGCTACGACAGTGAGAACTACATCAACAGGCTAGCAATAGCCTTTGCCCTCCCCGGGTGTAACAAATCGTTTTGGTGGTTTTTCGACGATATGTAAAGGATAATCACTATCGTCCCACGTACGGTAAATTAAATTATTATCAATATTGCTACTGGTAAAGTCAGCACAAGCAATATGCGATTATGCGCTCGCACAGTACACTCGACTCATTACAATAGTTGTCACCAAACCTATCAATACCGACTCATGGTCGGAATAATCCAGGAGAAATCGTGCCGAAGTCGCATATAACCATAATATTACTAAACACAGAGGTATCCAATCGACTAACATGACGTCACGGCAGCGCACCTGCACTGTGCGTCTGAGTGGGCAACCCCTGCGGGTTTGGCACTTTTCGAAACTCCCAAATTCATACAACTTGTTCGTACTATGGCTCAAAAAATGGAGGAAAAAAATTCAAGTTTGTGAAGCGAAAGTTGGCTAGTAAAAAGTTATCAGGGAAACGAAACGTTTGCGATTTATGTAATTCAGGTTTAGCACTGAGGCTGTTTGCCATAGACCTCTACGGTAAACAAAAATATTGATTTTTATCATTGTGATCAAATCAAAACAATTAAAATGTAATCACTTAATCAAAACAGAACATCCAGAACTCTAATCAGTCAATTAAAACAACCAAACAGTTAGATTTTTGATCAACTGAAGTAGTTTTTGTTTAGCATTGATGTCTATGGCAAGCTGCCTCGTAGACCTCAATGCTAAACAAGCATTACAAAATCGTGAAGTTTTCGCTTTCTTGATACCTTTCTACTCGCCAGCTTTCGCATAGACAAACTTAAAATTTTTTCCTCCATTTTTTGAGCCATAGTACGAACAAGTTGTATGAATTTGAGAGTTCTGAAAAGTACCAGACCCGCAGGGGTTGCTTACTCCGACGCATGGTGCAGGTTATCTACCGTGACGTCATCGTACAAGGTGCAAGCTCGATTGGATACCTCTCAGTTTAGTAATATTATGATATAACATATGCCAGGTGCAACTCGTGTTGTATGGGAACAGTTACTGTTCTCGTTATCAGTAGTAAGTCCTTGCCCAAAGTGTGGTTGTTAAGTGACTAACTATCACTTTGGGCTCTGACTAATCTTAGATAAACAGCAATTTTATTCAGATAGTAAAGAGTAAATAAAAAGCTGAGAAAAACGTACATCGATAAGCTAGTACATCGCCTACGTAATTATTCAGAGCGAGTAGCCATTACCTATGAAGTATCAACATATTTTTCACGTATATATGTACTAGTAATACGCTTGATGTACAAAATAATAATAATTATATAATATTATACCTTTATACCTATATAAATACGTGTATTGGGTTCAGCCAACTTCATTGCGAACCTACCATAAGTATGACCTACGTTCTACAAATATCCATAAAAAAACGTTATAGCGACTTCGCTTGTTGCATTCAAAGTATTTTGTCGCTCCTATCTTTACAAAAAATTCTTCACTTCGAAAATCGAGCTCAGGTAGAGCTTCGATATTGTAATACAGAAATCGACGCAATTCAGCAGCATCTTGTAGTTATTTGGTTAAAAGAATGCGCAGCCGATCAATACGCATTAGTGGTCACTTTGCCTTCTTTCTCCTGGATGTAATGACCTCGCATGATCCAGCTCGCTAAAGCGCCGAATGACTGCAAGATAAAACAACATAACGATAATCATTACGGTCGCCAGTAGTGCCGATTTATCTTACCAGAATGATGCAGATAAATATGCCGATCCCGGCTACAGCGTCCAGATTATAGTCCAACCATCGCTTTGCGACTTCCTTGCAGCCCCACACCTGGCTCATTCCCGATAGCCACGGGCGTTTGCAGGATTCTGGCACATCCCGAATACGATAATCATTGGCTGACTCACCACCGCAGCAGAATAACTGAAAATGTGCAAGCTGGGATGTAACAACGTCATGCAAACATAATAATATGTACCGTATCAGGAACTCTCTGTATACTATCTACATACACTACACAAAGAACTGGACCGTATGAATTTAGGTATCTATAATACGTGCAGTATGTTGTGTTCTCTTAATTTATTTGTATTCAACAAATAACAAAGATGGAAATGTATTCGGGATTTTGTGTTTGTATTCGAACTGAACACGTACATGTTTCTGGATCATGTCCATAAATGTAGCCGCTTGGTCCTGTTCCGGGCCCCGGTTATCATATTCGCGTACCATTCTGTCGATGTGATAATCAATAGTTTCCTGAATGCTTTTTGTCCGTGAGAAGGTGTACGCTGCGCCAGCCAGTGATATAATGCAGGTGATGATAATGCATGCAAAAAACTGCAAAAAGAGCCATTGTTTATTTTCAATACTACTCTTCAATACGTTGTTGCGAAATATCAAAACGATGTTACACATTTATAAACATATATTCTGGTAAACATTATAAAGCACAAGCGCAATATTAAATCTATACTTATAACATATAGTATGCTAATCCGCCCATATTCGCATGTATTGTACAATACAGCGTAACAAATCGGAAGTAAGCGGAACACGGCAACAAACCTTACGAAAGCAACAGTGCTATCGAAAACGATATCTACTTTTCTTCAGTGTCTGTTGCACTGCTTATCCATCTTCGCAAAATGAAACTTGGGTTTTAAAATCACAGTTTCTTGAAGGTTCAGTAGCAGAATGCTATTTTATCGATGGCTTTTAAGCTGAATTTTGAAAACGAGACAAGGATTTCAGACAGGAGAACGTGAGAAAAATTTTTATTATGGCGAAATTACTGGCGCATTTACTTTTCATGGTTAAAATTGCTTCAGAGTTCAAACCTGCAATTCCAACTTTTTGAAATCCTACTGTAGCCGCCACATCGGCTCACTAACAAGAAAATATTGAGAAACACCGAAATGTAAGCCCAACTTGTGGCTAAAAATGCGATTACCGAAGCAGCGTTTTGGATAGATTAAAGCGAACTAAATCGCGACTTCTAATCATTCTATTGCTTGAAATTAACAGTGCTTCTAGTGGTAAAGTGGCAATCTTACTGCCGTCATTAAGTTTGGATTCTTTTGTCCCATCGCGAAACATCCGATAATCGACGTGCAGAACAAGAAGATTCCCGTTGTCAGTAATAACGCCGCACCGACTTGCACTTCCGACAACCGCAGCCATGATACATACGTTCCCTGATAATAATCCGCGATAATCCAGGTAGCCAGGCCAAACACAATAATCCCGAACATCTAAAAATGTCAATTGAGTGCCGTAATAAGAATGCTGCATTTGATAAATGACCTTTGTCTTGTTGTGGATACAGGACACTTACGCCATATAGGACATCCAGAAAAAACAGAATGAATTTGGATATTGTATACAGCTGTTCTTTCGCCATGTTTACAGCTCGTTCCCACTTTCTTAGCTACTCAAAATTGTTATAGGATCGTCAGGTAAACCTTTTTTGAATAAAAATGCTGGATAGTAGCGGATAGAATACGTACAATTGACAATCACAGGGTACCCTAAATCAGTCAGGTAGTTGCAGCACCTTGTCCGCAGAAAGTGAGAGTAATATGGCAAAAATGCTCTTACTCACTAGGTGAAATATGCGCCTTATCGTTATCATACTTTATTCGTCCCCATAAACGCGATAAAACATTTCCATGTTTGTATTGCCATGTTTAGGATCGAACCAGCAGACCTATGCCTGCCGTAATCGGTGTAACAGGTAAATGGTACACACACTGCACACAGTCACCGATCTACGATAGCCGTTTGTTTACCTGATACAAGAATCGTGGAAAATGCAACTGCGACCACACAAATCTAGCAGTTATGGTATGACTTAGTGCAATAGGTACTGCATAATGAATGCCGCAAATGTGTGCGCCAAGTTTGCAAATACATTGTATTTTGCCAACAAAAGTTTATTTTTTACTTGACCAACAATTTTACTTCTTGACAAAGCGATGCGCCCACCTGCACTAGCTGAAAAGGGAGAAAGGTGTACGCTACTGAGATTGACCTTTAATTGGAAATCTTACCTAACATAAGTATTTAATTTTACATGATTATAAATTCGAACATGCGAAACAGTAAACTGTACGGTTACATTAACAGTTAACGCTTACCTTTGGATGCTGAAGCAATACAAAACTTGTCTTTTTAATTTTCTTTTGGGCAAGTGTTATTACTTATTACTGAGTCAAGCATTGCACTTAAGAAAATGATAACGGAAGAATAGATCTAGAATTAACAAACCATATTATAACAAACCATACAGTCAAAAGACAGCTTTAATTTTGTACCACCGGCTCTAATGGCATTCATAGTTAATACGACAGGCAACAACAGAATAATAATGTCGCATCTACCGCCTCAGCCATATTCTTTTGCCTTGTTAGATTTTTGTGTCACGTTAATATAATTGCTGCGCTGTTATTTCTTTATATTGGTGGTAACTGCATCAGTCTGAACTCTGTATTAGCGCAAAGGCAAATCTCTGCCATACAAAGTGTACGTTTAAGAAATCTTCAGATTGGTGCAATCGAAGAACTGTCAGAGGCAACAATTTAGCAAAAAACATCAGGGAGATGATACTTTATTAATGCCGGCATAAGCAGAGTTTGAAGTGCGTTTAATTTGTATTATAGCAACGAAACAGCACCAATAAGTTTAATCCCGGACCTGCATTTTAGACTAAAATGCAGGTCCGGGATGAAGCTTTCCCGAACTGACTAAAATTTTTAGTCAGTTCGGGGAAGAGCGTTGGGTGTGCTTATCTGGGCGAGGTTCTTCTTAAAGTTCATCCAGACTTGATCTTACAATGTACTTTTTAAAAATGTTTTTTCACGAATCTGAGTAATTAACGGTGTTCACTTTTATTTGTATACGTCGTTTACGGTTCGCGCAAAATGCATTTAATCATTTAACAGGAAATATTACAACTTTCATTTGTCTCGGTTTCAGCTTTCGGAAGAATGCTTTCATTATGGCCATTTTACAACATCGAATCCTTAACAATTCAGACAACAGAAGGTTTATAACAAGATAAAACTCTAATTTACAGTGCGGCTGAGTGCAGAATACAGTGTTATCAGAATCTATCTCGCAATATACGAAAACAAAAGTAAACACAACTGAAAACAGCTGCAAAAGCATTTCAACTCAACAAAAGGAAAAAATCAACGGAAGATAAAACTGCTCTAAAACTTTAACCAAGCATAATAGTAGATATCTGTGAACACGAACAATAATAACCAATAGCATCTGTGACGCACAACGGCAAAACATCCGCAACTTTGTATAAAGACATCTGTTTGGTGGCAGAGGGAACGGCTCTGCTGAGAAGACCAATGTGGCATCTTTGCACAACAAATAACCCAAAGCAGGGCAACAATAGGAACTTGAACAAAAAATGGAGCATTCATACGGCCAGATCGGAAATGTGTTGCACCGGAAGTATGATCACTGTCCGACGGTTTCCGGACACGGAAACCGAAAGTTGCCCGCAAGAAATTTTACATCAATCCCGCCATCCAGTAGCCTTTGGTCCGAACTTGTACACCAACCGGCGCCCAATCACCGGCAGAAGGATTTGGCTTTTGTAATAATATCTAACAACCAGTATGGTTTGTGAATATGGTGTCGCATTTAGGTACTTCAAAGCGAAGCGTGTTAGACCTAATATTATCCTGGAGAAGCAGCGCACAATTCACATCACGAGCACGATTCAGATTTACTAAGCGATAATAGATATCATCAAGATACTCGTATAAAAAGAGTCACGAAGTTTTAAATGCCGTAAACATTCCCACACCGCGAAAGAGTGAAGCAGAAGAAAAGGAAAAAGCATCAAATCCACCATAGCCTTGACATGCACAATGCAAGACAATTGCATACTGACGTTGTTCGATACACCCATGTTACACAGTGGTCATTATGACCTTAAAAATGCTACACAAAGAAGAAGAACAGGGAAACCCACCATTATCGCAAATTAGTTACTCTGGATCATGCCAGCCTGTTGCCTTCGGCCCGAACTTATAAACCAATTTCTTTGGATATCGGCCATTTTTCGGAACCGGTTGCAGAATCTCACTACCATAGTAGGTCCTAAATAGAAGTGAAAAACGACATGCAAGTAAGGTATCGTGCACACCAGTAATGCCATAGGAGAGAAAAAACCCCATCACCGAAATTCTTTTACTTTTTAGTCAGTGAGCCCATAACCGAGAAAAGTGCAACTTGCGCTGCCGATTGAGCGCATCAAAGTTATGCATCTCACGTTAAGAAAGCTCCAAAAGGTGTTAAGACAAGGTACACAACAAAGATGCTGTCAAATTTTACGTCACAAAATTTTGCTGTTAATTACAAGGGACGATTACATGTCAGAAGCTCCGCAGAGCAAGCCATTTGAGAATTACATTTTCCACAATGGTCACAATAGTACAACGCCCATACCTCATCGCCCGGCTCAGCTTTTCGTACGTCATGCGCGGGTTGCACTTTTTGCTTCCCCACATTTTCGCGACCGCCTCCGATTCTACGAACCGGAAAACGCCTTCCTCCTTGTTCTCCCATTTCACAATCTTAGGATTGAATTTTGTGCTTTTTAAAAGGTCCCGGATGAATTCCCAAAGATGGTTACCGCGTGTGCCTACAGGAGCATCTCAAGTTCAGTGTTAAGTACACAGACATGGGACATCGTTAACAACAAACCAAGGGTGGAATTACCATGCTTGCTACGCGTGCTTTTCCCACTCTTCTCCTTCCCATTCTTTTGGATTTTTCCCCGGGCATTCAACCGCGCTTCCGTCCCTACGCTCGCCCATTCTAAAAAAGAATTACTGATATTACAGTACTAGTACACCACTGGGGAAACTGCTTACCGGTGCATATCGGATACAGCGATACATACTTCTATCACAAACATCAATGAGAATATGATTATGGTTCACTTATTCGTTTGCCAAAAATTCCACGATTACAACTTTCCATGAAATTAATTTGTTTATTACTCTAAAATATGAAGTATTGTAATTATCCTGTTTCGTACCAACGGGAGAAGCCGAAGTATAGCTGCAGGCCCGTCCGCCAATATCGGTATACACGGACTGGTTGGAACTGCTACGGCTACTGTCCACGTCGTCGAGATCTAGAAATGGCATATTTTTTTAAATTGCTAATACGTATCATCAAGCTTCAGAATACGTTTGCTTATTTTCGATGATTTAAAGCACTCGCACCTGTCTTATAATCCACACCATCACTCGTTGGACTGGCCGACGGGCAGTAGCTTTGAGCAATGGCTGCTGGTGGACCAGGCATGAATTGTTGTTGGCAACTTCCATACATATTAGTAGCCATATTTAAGCTATCCAACGTGACTATATCGTCAAACTCATCGCTAGTGTAACTTTCTTGAATGTAATCCGACAAATCCTGGTCGATAATACCTGATAAAAAAAGAACGCAAAATAAGGAAACCCATGTCCACCCGGCAGACGTCTTGCTGATTTGCGGATGTCCGTTCATTGCTTATTGCTACTGCAATGTTCAGCAAAGAAAGACCCACTCTTTACCATTCTGAGATCCATTTAGAGCTGAAGAGAGGAACATGCCCGTCTCGAAATGAATGTCCACAGGTTCAGATTTGGGCGTAAGCACGGGCCCAGGGAACTGAACCGACTCTGTGAATGCAGACACTCACTTAAATGAGGACAACTAGCAGTACTCACTAACATTTATGATTAATTAAAGCCGTGAAACGGTAAAAAGTATACCACATTTATGCGTAAAGAAATAATTAGAAGTGTACAGACAGAATAAGAAAGGAAACATACGCTTAGCCAGAATCCGTGACAGGGCGCTATGCCACATCAGACCGTTAATTGGATCCTTCTCCAGGAAAGAAATTGAATTCATTTGAATTAATATGGAGCCGGGGACACCGATAAACGGCCGCAGGTCCACCTGGTCCGGATTCATTCCTTTGTCCTCTGCCACAGACCGAAAAAAGCCTATGCAGTCCGTCGGCGTCCAGTTAACCGGATGCTGGAAAGGCCAGCCAGAGTAGTCGGCGCTTGCAGCGACCGAGGTATCTGCAATTTGGTTAAACATGGTGTGCGGGCACGAGAAGCAAATCAAACCATTTAAATGAGTCAGCACAAAATATTATTTCTTCAGAAATAGGACCGTTTCAGGAAAAACTGTCCGATAAGTAAGAACGATTTACTGCTGTAAACGTTGGGAGAAATTACAGAAACACTGCAGGAACATTACAACAATACCCGCAATGTTAGCTGCGTGGCAAATTCAGGATTTCATCATAAAAAGAAATTTAATGCGTTTACATTCGGTTACTTAACTTATGTATCGTACGTTCTGTACCTCATTAGTAATTACCTTACAACGTTAGCGTTTACGAAGTTATTTACTCATTGTCAATAATGTTCTGAATAGTCGGGGAACTGTCGTTATACATAAAGCGCTAAAGTCGTTATACATACAATACAAAGTATACATTTTTCACTAACCATTCAATGTCCCTGAATACGGCATCCCTTGATGGGCATATGCACGGGAGTTCTGCGTCGGAGACAATGCGCACTGTGTTAATCCAGACGGAGGCGCACTGCGAGAAATCATCCCGTTGAAGCTGCTATTGTGGACCGATGCTGCATATGGAACGCTAGAAGGAGGGGCCATCGAGACCGGGTTGGCCTGTCCAATCCACTGATCCAAGCGCACGGATGGCTTTCCCATATCCTGCCAGAGGTGGCTGGGATTCGTGCGTGCGTACATGTCGACAACGGGCAGTTGATTCTGCATCGCTGGTCTGAGTCCACGCTGCATTTTTGTATCTTTTTGATTAGCCTAAAAGAGATAAAAAAAAAATCCACTACGACAAGCTAGGATAGCGGTTGGTCATTACTTCGGTATATAATATAAATATGGGAAATTACTAATGCATAGCACAATAGAATTAAAAGGTTGTTATTAATGGTGCTGTGTTAGATTGCCACCAGTTATGACCTTACGACAGTCTGCGAGTGCGTAAAAACTTAATAACAAACAAATCGCTGGGACTAAACGAGAACCGCCTTCCCAACCAGAAACTTTTTTGTGTCAGTAGTATGAACATAAACTACCTGGCTCAGTATTCAAAAGGTTACAGTTTCCGATGTTGCAAAATATAACAGCCGAAATTTTTACAAAAGGTAAAAAAACGGTACTCTCTCCAAACGCGTAAACCTACTACTGTTGAGTGAATTAACCGCAAGTAAGTACGGTAAGATAATGCAAAGATGCGGTGTAGCTAAACCTGCGTCACACAGACACCCAGACGCCGATGCATGTGCAATCATAGAAAAAGAGAAAAAAATCACAACAGTTCTCATGCATTCTTATCTTTGACAGATCAGAGGGCAGGCTGCCCAGTCCCATTGGGCACGATCTTCAGCGATCATAATCAACTGCACCGGCGTCAAACTCGAACACACAGGACGTACGTCTGCGTGTCTTCGCTGCAGCCAATGCACGTACGTGGTGATAAAATTGTATGCAAATTGCAAACATGACTACCGGAGAATTCTCCTGTAAATCCACATGATTTCTTATTATTAACAGAAACGACCTTGACGCTGCATACTTTTTGTGGCATTTTGATGCATCTTATGCAACACTTGGACCACAGCATCCGAAAAACACCGATCGAATCTGCTCGGAACAATGGCACGGATAGAGCGAGCACCTGTCATGATCAGCGCCGCAGGCGTGGTAGTTTATCGGCAAAATCGCCATTGATTGCCCACTCGGTGTTACGTAGTCAAAATGGCAGAAAAACTGACAGTAAATCATTAACTGGCTGCGATCCGAACTCCAAACAATTTATGCCTGCCTGCATTAATTACTACTGCCGGATCATTTCAAAACAATTTTGACTCCAAATAGTCAAAGCAGCTAGTCGTAAACCTGGATCTTATTGACAGTCAGTCGCCAAAACATTCGCTTCAAGCTCGCCCCCTTGCAAAACTCCCACTCAAAATTCTGGCAGTTTACCGACTACTACGCCCTACAGAGTCCAGACTTCGCCCTGATTAGCCGGCATCGACCGACATATGGAAGAGCAGTAATTCTCCCTACGGTGTACCGGCTGTGGTAATGACTATGGGTTAGCAAATGCAATTTTTATGTAGTAGAGTAGATGATTCGCACACACACGTAGCGGCCGTTTTTGCCCGACAACAGTTTGTACAGCAACAACAAGCTTATACAACAACAACAACAACTAATGGCACATCTTCCGTATATTGCACTTATTGTTAATTTACACATGAAATCATAATTATCTTTCTATTGCAATCTGGATCAAGCAGAGAAAAACACAATTTGTCCACAGTTTACTTTGTCTAGAGCTTCCAAACGGTTGAACGATAAAGACTGTTTTAAGCAATTATGTACCGTCAAACAAGGGATGCTAAAAGCTCCAAATTAAACAATTCGCACCCTATGTCTGCATTCACTGATGTTCTTGTGAAACTCTCACACAGATTATAATGTCTAAGTGCCGACTACAAAGAAACTGCATTACCTACTTATCACTGCAGCATTTTCTTGATTGCTCACTGCTGGTAAGGAAATTTAATTTCACTAATTTAGGTAAACAGTATTTCTGGTTTTAAAAATAGCATTTCGTGCTAAAATTATCTCACTCCCTTATTCATAGGGTACAGTCGTCTACAAATCTACGATCGGCGGCCAGTGAGTGATAAAAAATCCAAACATCGCACTTGACCTTCCCAGAATGAACTCACTAGAAAATTTCTAGACCAGATTAAACTGAGCAAAATTGTCCATCTCAGCAACATTTTGCTCAAAATTTAGTGCATAAACTATTTTCTAGTACACTCTGCATATTACCGGCGAAATCGGATGCATTACACCGGCAAAAAAATGTAAAGTGCATTCACACTGACCAAGCCGTAGCGTACAGATACGGTTTGTTTTGACTCCGGTACAGTGCGAACTGGTTTTTATAAACCACGCGCGGCACTTCATTGTTGATATAGGCAACAATCCTGCATCAATATATTCAACCAGGTAGTGGTAACCCGTATCGTTTCCGCATACTGTACTTAACTCTTAGGAACAGCACTTCGGTCAAGATTCTGCTTACCCTAGTTTCCAAAAAGCCCGGATTAAAAAAACCGCACAAGTACTGAAAATTCAGCGATAACGCTTTTTGTGGACACTAATGAATAGAAAAGTCAACTCTGGCATTGGCAATATATGCGATAATCAAGGCTGGACTTTATAATTAAGCGTACGGGATTTCAGTTACAGGTTCACACACCATAGACGAAATAAATTTTCATAATCGAAGAAGAAACTGAAAGCGCGGCATGATCAAGCTGGATCGCGTCGAACCGTCACAAACGCATCCCGTTCGCTGACAGAAACAGATGGTTATCTCACCGGTCATTATTGTGCCGGTGTGCCCGGTGCGGAAAATAATCGTGCAACCACTTCTCATTTCAAAACTTGTTACTTTCTATCTTAGTGTTATAAATCGCTCTATGACTTTTTAAGTGACGCATCATATTTTTTAACGATTTAACGTTATGAACAAAATTAGCGTAAGAAGGTAACGCGTAAAATGGTTAAATAAGTATGTACTGTAACACACTCTATGCAGTGCAACACACATGGCCTACCTGGCAACTGGAAACAGGAATGCTGTAGGTTTCGGACAGTGGCTCGACTGGAGCAGTACGGTTATTGATGTGAGTCAAAGGGGACGGTAAACCATTCACGAAGTCATAAGAGATTTCCGGATTGCCTTTACCATCGTGGGATATGGGATTGAAAATAGGTGAATGGGAAATACGATCAACGGATACCTGCAATGGCGCAAACAGAACGCTTGATGCAGGAGCAATACTTATAAAAACTAAAGATAATCTGATTGATAGTCTGTTAGCCACTGATTCGGAAGGATGTTTGGTAAGTACTTGATAGCAAGCAAATTTTAACGTTTTGATCTGCAGTGCACAAAAAGTTCTGCCAAAAACGTTTCAGAGTTTTACAATCCTCGGAAAAGATAGCATCTGACTAACCAAAGGTATAACTCATGTGTCTTCCCTTCAACGGCGTCACAAAAGACTGCAGTTTACATAAAATACACGCACAAGATCATCATGCAGGACTGGATATGTACAGATTACAGTTCCGATAAGCAACAAAAATTAATATCGATACAAGCGAATGCCCGGCTTGAGCAAAAGCAAAATTGCGAATAAATTCAGTGTGCCACTGTTTCCACCGGCACCAACACAGTAGAAAACAGCTGCACTGCTGCAAGGTGATTCATAACCACTTTCAATGCCATTACCAGCAGACGAAAGAACGAGCTGACTGGTGGCCATTCACCTAGCAGAGCCCGTACGAGTATTCGTAGTACACTGCCTGTTGTATGGTGCTGGCAAAAGTTCACTGTCAAACAGTGCGTAGTAGTTTAATAACTGTTATGATTTCGTAATTGTTGTGCATCACTGAAATACCTGGTTTGCTCCTACTTTTGAAAACAATAGGTGCGTAAGCTTGATACCGTTGCAGCAGTACTAGTAGTGCTTTAAATTTAATGAATTGTCGGGAAACTTGTATAGTACTGTACTGTAACGAGGAGGGCAGTCATAATTATAGTCTTCTACATCGATACCATGAGCACAAATCACAAAATTCATTATAATAATTATGATAACATTGAGTAAGTCATTGTAATATAATAACATTCCTTTTCAGTTTTTGAATACAATAATTTAAAATTACATATGAATAAAATTATCAAAAAGCGAAAAACTAGTGGCGCAGCATTTTTGTCGTGACCTCGTACGCCAGCTGCGTATGCCATACTGTACACAGTTTGCATACGCCACCTGTGCCGCAGTAATTTAGTTGATTTGCATTCATGGTGAAATTAAAAATGGTTTAATTTGTAGTGCAAAGATTTTGCTACAGTTACGTTCTGTACGTGAATGAAAAAACGCGAGTCGGGATTATGCGGCCTAAATAAATATTGCCGTACAAACTACGAAGCTCTTCAGAGGTCGATTACCTGCTCACGACGGTGCTTATTCACAACAGACTGCATGGTTACCGGAGGTATTGACATGATAAACACACATACTTAAAAAAATTTGTACATATTCTGTGAATCCGACCATTACTTCTAGGAATACTTCAAGTATTTAGGGCAATCCAGAGAATCCGTTAATTCGATCCCGCTTTGACCAACAGCCAATTTTTAGGTGGAATTGCATTGGCTGCATAATTAACCAAGTTTTTGTTTTACACCGTTTTTGTTACGGTATAAATATTTCAAAAAGGAAACTACATTATTACTTGAAATTTTTGACTTTGATATTTTATTTTACTAATGGTTTACGATATGCCGATTAAACGAGCCGGTAGTCGACCATGACTCTTAAGACATTTAAGATTTTTTGTTACTGATGATTTACGTAAGAGACATAATGACAGATTTTTTGTTTAAGGAAACCGAACGCAAGCGCAACGATGTACAGCTACGTTTCAGAGGTAGCCAGCATTCACTTTCAATGAGCAGCATATTAATGTGTCTTGGTGTAGCTAGAATTTGGATTGATTAGTATGTTTCCACTTCATTGGGTGACACCTCTCTGTTTGTGGTCCAAAATCTTTCTGTATTCATACGACGTATCACTTTTACCACCCAAATTAAGCGTAAAAAATTCTCTCTTGGCGCAGGGATCATAAATACATATACAGCGTGCTTGGAATTAATGTTTGTTCTGTAATACATAACTAATCGCCAAAGATGTAAACCACATGGTTACGTATTCAACGAGAAGGCTGCAATATTCTTTGTACAGTGCAGTGCATATGTGGCGGTACTGGCGGATACGGATTAAACTGTTCTCCAATTTGCTTCCAGCGGTTTACACTGGTGCAGATGTTGACGTAATCTAATTGGCAAATGGCATCCACAGAAGCTGCACACTGTCTGCTACAAATGGATTCTTGTAAAATATTGCAAATTAGTCAAAACACTGACAAAAACTGCCCTGACAAATTAAAATGTGGGGAAACTTCTGGACTGCACTCGATTAATGGCATGTTCGGACAAGTACGAGCAAAATCCCCTGAATGGCGGACATATACTCGTACATATTAACTGTTTGTACTTGGATTTACAGAGTGGACCTAATCACAACAACAAGTTTTCTATGGTTAATAAATTATCCGGATGATTTTTATTGGCACAGAGAATAAGTGCATTATAAAATAAAGCTTAATATACCAAAAACCTGGTTATGCAGAGTTGTGCAATGCTGAAAACAAAATTTATAAACAAGAAAGATCCCTCAGTGAACTTGTTGCTATCCAATACATAGTAGCAGGACCGACTCTATAGAGTCCGTCCTGATATAGTAGTGAGGCGAATTACATTTACAATACTAAACTGATTAATTTTGAACTCCGGAAATGTATACTAACCGTGAAGATTTTTTATATCCTGTGATGATAGAGAATATGAAATCCCTGTAATATTGGGTTTACTGCTGAACCACAGCATACGTACGGTATCCTTTGTTACCAAATTAAGACAGCAGGTCTGCACAGAGACCTACTTAAATGACTTGGTACTGAGTGATGTAAATAACTAAACCTTTATGTTATACAACAATATACATCGACGCCCAGTTTTGATTTTGGGTTTGAGCAACATATGATGTACTCGTAGAAAAAATAATATCCACGTAAATTACTATCGATAAACTTATCACGTTGGGCCGGTTTGCTTAAATAGGTACTAGTGTCTATTATTCCCAACCATATTATTTTCATTGCGGTCATGCTACAGTAATCAGTACTGTACTAACCTGATAGTGCTGTGTACCGGCAGACAGTGGACTGGAAGGAAAAACGGATACTTTATTGGAAGACAATGAAGACGACAAGGATGGTAGGGAGCTTCCTTGAGCATCACAGCTAAATTCTGGCGAAGCCGGTACGCAACGGGAGGCAACATCGTAGTTAGGAAATGGTTTCATTTCGTGGGAATTATTCGAAGGAAGGCAACTGGACGCAAGTATGGACTGTTCTTCGCGAATAGGAACCTATGGAGAAGAAACAAATTTAATCCAGATTCAGCCTGTACTGATACACTATAAAATGATTCAAATGTATCGTTTGTTGTTGATCGAATAAAAATTATTACTTTGAAAAAGAAATATCTAAACAGCTTGGGAATTGTACCGGATTAGTGGCAATTGTAAATTCAGTTTGATAGAATAATTATTGTATATATGCTCAATATATAAGCAGTAACTGTTATACTTATATGCAGACATATTATATACTGTAGATACTGTATGTAGATTCAGAATTCTACAAAATCAGATCACAGGACTATTGCAAGAGTATTGCAACAATGCAGTGAGATAGATAATATTATACGTATTAGGAATCAGGAGTGAAAGTACGAATACGAACAAGTACAATGTATAAATTAAAATACGAGCAATCCAACCTTTCTCCTCATACCTTTTTGCATGTATAATTTAATTAGCGCGGTCGTCGGCATTAAATTTAAAAGATCATTTTAGCACACACATGGATTAATTAGGGTCATTCCGTGTAACTGCCCTTTACCGCAAAATCGTCACTTACCAAACAAATTCTACAAAATCCTACTCTAGCTACAAATAAGAGAAGCGAAAAAGGAAATGAAGAGGTATGAGTCCTCTGGTTTTTATAACGTTACGGATCACCATATTATAATAAGCAGTAAAAATTGATATGTGTTCTCCCAAAATAGTAGTCACAAGGGTGTTGTGTACGAAAATACTATAAATAATGCATCAACCTGTATTGTTTATCGTTTAACAAAGTTGGTGTGCACCGATTTGTAAGCAAAAGCCGATATTCTTCGGTGACGGTGCGCAACAGTTGCTATTTTTGGTATATGACCAGACTTTATTACACGATACCGCAGTTGAAAAGCGTTCGATAAATTTAAATTAGTGGTGCAACAAAGATCGCTTTAAATAGCAGAAAAGGAATGGAGTTAGCATTAATCTGGAAGTTGTAGTAGTTGATAATTATTGTAATTTGTCGTTTCGACCGTACGTATTACTGCAAAAATTTCATGTTCACGCTCCCACAGACGGTCATCACAAATGAGTGGTACTCTTCACAGCGGCACATTTTGCTTGAGAAAATTATTTTTGTAGCGGAAAGATTTTAAACAATTTTGACCATTACCTAAAATCAATTTGCTGCCTGAATGTACATTTTTTATTAGCCATAATAATAACTATGGTGATGCGCACCTCGTTCACGGTAGAAATTAACCGCATAGAACAGCTGATTATTCCTGTCCATAGTTTCATGTTAGTGCCCAGTAGCTATACCAAGGGCACTTACTCATACGTGCACATATATACTCAACCTGCAATACTTTACAAGACATCCGAATGTTATTTCATAAAATGCACGCCGCATTTAGAAAGCTGTAAAGTTCATTGACATGTAAAGATGGATCAAATAACACAAGCGGACAACAGTAAAACTGATGTACCACTGCAAAAAAATGTACGGAATCTTTTTGCTTAGGTTGCAATTTTAAGGATTTCGAAATACGTCAGTGTTGAAGTTTATATCTGTAAATATCAGTTTAATAACCTATCATCACCCCATTTCGTTTGCACATTACCTTCAAAACTAACGTCAAAACTCATCTGATGCAAAAAAAACAGTTTTTAAACAGATGGAATGAATGGAAGTAATAAAATTTTTCCGGTCGGTAGAGAGAAAATACTAGAAACATATATAGACTGCTGGGTCAAATTATTCCCCCTTTCCTGCAAATATCACATTGTAAGTAACGCAACGTACTGTGGATTTGTGGTATTCGTATAACTGCGTGCACAGGCTGCACATGTATACAAGCATATAAATAAATATGTGACTGGCGCGCGGTCATAGTATTTATACTCCTATTAGCTATACGAGACCTTAAAGAAAATAATTTCCACTTGAATTTTCAAAAATATCTATCAACAGTTTTTATTGTGATCCGTAACTTTTCTCAAATTTGTTTCAGATGAATTAGTGTTATCCTAGAATAAGCCTGGAAATAATTGTTTACCGAAGTGCGGACAGGAAAGCGATATCTGCTGCGCGAACTGACCTGACCAGTGTGGTCCTCAGTAATTTTGAATTCGACATCAGGTTACAATTATACATACTAGTACCATTGTGGCGTAGTAACCAGTAGAACTTATTGATATTGGGAAGAAATGCGCAAAAGCCAGAGTTGCGTCAAGTTACCCAGATTCACTTACGGAAACGGTCGAATGAATACTATGCCGGCGTCCGGCACTGATGCTCATCTGCGGCGATGAAAGAGGAGGAGCGGATAGAAGTTTAGAAAGTGCACTTTCCTTCCCAGATAAGGTGAAACAGCTTGCTCTTCTTGAGCTCATTTTTAATTTTAATTACAAAATTCTAATCACAGTCAATACAAGGCACAATTGTATATTTGGCAGCTCAATGACCGCATCTTGCAGCACGAAAGCAACCAAGTCAAGACAGTATTAAACACCAGAAGTTCATCGGTTGAGGCTGACCACTGAAAACAAAAGGATTGGTGTCAAAATTTAGTACTTGTATTTAAATAATGGTAAACTGCAATGAAGATATGGGAAATAAAAGAGGTATCGATTTAAGCTGGATCATGGAGATATTATAAGGAGCGATGAACTTTTTAGTCAGTGGTCATAGTAAAGTCAGATATACCCGCATACTTAATATGTACGTAATGCTGCGGTAAACAAAACTACGATGTTATTATTGGTTGATAACTTTCGGTATACACATACGTTCCTACCTAGCCTACAAAATTAATAAGGTTCTACGTACACGTGACAATACTTAACGGTCAAGTCCGTCCAGCCGACAGTGATGATCACGGTGTACACTTGCGTAGTGGTACTGGTGATGTTGTCGTTGTTATAGACGGCAATTGCAATACATATGCAGCGGCTGTTGACAACTAAGTGTACAAGTTTGAAAACCTGCTGCGGTTGCAAACTCAAGTTCATCGCATTTTGGCCTGTATCGCCGTTTGAAAATACGGCATACACTACTTGAGTTCAGGAGTAGTTACTGGGTATGTTTTACGTAAAATATGCTGGTATGTAGTTTTAAAGGTAGAGTGGTAATATTTACTTAACACCGATGCAAGGATGAGATGTTAGTGTGCGGGGGATCGGCAACAACAACAGCGCGGCACAGATTTTGACAAATTCGCTTGGTCATCCAGTACATAATTCCTAACCTTTCACTTCCTAAAAGTTCAATCGCCGGGCCATTGTAGCACCAGAAGAACTTTCGTATACGCTGCTGTAATTTTGAATGATTTATAATGCATTATGGATTTTAATCATAGTTTTTCGCTTATGATTAGTAGACAGGCGTTAATTTAACTAGTTATTGTAATTATATCCCAAAAAAATTTGCACGTGATCCAGCTATTTGGGCTTTAATCGATCAAAGTTCTATGCCTGTATGCATAAAAACTTATCAGAAGTTTGTATCGTCTATAATAATTTTAACCGGGGAAAAATGCAATAGGTGCTTTTGTGACATACCGTTAAAAACTGATAAAAAATTGCAAAATTATTGTCGGCGACGAGGGTATTAACCTCTTGATCACATGGTCTTATACTACACATGGTACAAAGCGTGCAAACTTGACCTTATGCCTAACGTTAACGTGCCCGCGAACATACCATGTTTCGTTGTTTGTTTAGTGTGACACTTTTGCGCGAATCTGCAGATTACTAAGAGCAGTACGAGGTAGCATTTTACTTACATCCTTCTTCCACCAGAAATTAATATTGTATTCCAAAGTTCAGGAATCTTGATTGAATGGATACGTATACTGTGGATGCTCACTGTAGGTATAAATCTGTTCGATGTACTCGCAAACTATAATTACACAAAAGAAAATATCGAAAGTAAAGTTTTGGCATATTTTACATTAGTCACAAGCTCACAGCTGCTGCTGACAAGGTTGTTAATTTGATTATGCAACGATGTAAACAAAAAAAGATTTTACGCAAGTTTAATCCCATTTATGCTCAAGCCTTATAGCAAAGGGTGCGTAGTATAAAACGAATAGTTTTTATTGAACTTTGTCATGCAGTAAAGAAAGTAAAACAATTAACCGGCCCGTATGGTATTATAAAATAAAATAATAAATTACACAACTGCTATAAGGGGCCAGCAATTCATGTTAATTTACGCGGACGTGTTCGCAAAAAAATAAGTTAGAAATCAACCCAAGTGCATGGATCAATTGCAATATGCCGGCTATAAAAGGTTTCCGTTGTTTCGCCGGTTACTAATTAGAAAGAACGGTAATTTATAAAAATTAATTACCGTTCTTATCGCTGGTTCTACATTACATACATGAAGTTTAATTTTTTTCCCTTTTCATAAAGAAGCTGCAAGCTGCATGTACAAGTGTAAGCAAGCGCAAAGTTGCCCATCATGCTCACCAACTTCTGTAATTTATCACTTATAAAACTCGGGGTCGGCTTAGTTTTCGCCGCTCGTTATTAAAGCTGGCATCATATGGGAGATATATGTGTGATGTCCAAGTATACTCATGAAAATTCAAACATAAATCAATTTACAGTAAATTTTTTATATGTTCTTAGTATTAATCTGCACTTGGATACATGCGTACAAACAGATAGTTGATATCAAGTGATCAGGCTAGGCTAATAAGAAGATCAGGATAATAAGAGAGGTACTTTGATGTATCGTCCGGGATTCATTTTTTACGCAACGAATAATCTACAACTCTTTGCAGCGGGTGACATTACAGCAGAATGACAGAACAACCCACATCGACGATTCACGATCAGGACAGGAAGTTGCACAAATTACAGCAAGAAATCAATGCAACAATCAGGCAAAACCATCAAAAATACCGCAGAAGCCAAGCATGATAAATGACAGATAAAGCCGAGTTGGACCAGGTGGGAGCGTAAAATGTTATTGTATGGTCTATCATTAAGTGATGGTGACGCTCCCATGTAACCTTTCCACAAACGCGGTGGGGATCAGCCCATTCCGACCGGTGCGCTCATGTGTTGCCTTCATCCATCCGTCCGAATGTTTTTGATGGACATATAGTAAGTCATTCAGACGTAAGTCCAATTCATAATGATTGCGAGCGGGATAAGGCGCTATGCACCGGTAGCATTCAAAGTTAACCGGCTTGCTGGGACGATTTCCAGTGGACCGCAACGTAGTCAGGCACGCAGTTTTAGGCTTCTCATTACCAAGAGACCTGTGAACAATACAGCAGGATTATAAAAAGCCAATACACTAATAAAGAATTTGGGGAGAATGCTTAAATTGTCTGGATTAGTTGATGGAAATGCGCAAATTGTATCGCTGCGAAGGGATTCAAAGTGATCAGCACAAATTAAACATGCGGCGATTCAATATAATGATTGTAGTATTATTTTTCTAATAAAAAAATGAATGTGCTCTTCGGCAGCTTTACATTAAATGAATTTTACCCTTTGTATCCGCTATCATGGCCAGGCGAATTCTTATACTTTGGCGATGGATCCGGATTTTTATGGCTCCGAAAAAAGTTTTTTATAAACGACCTGCTGTCTTTTTGATGGGAGGCCGCCTATAAACAATAAACTGATATCTTTAACGAGATGGGTACATTTATTCTGCACAAATTTTTCGTTGTTCGTACGGTACTACAGCATTAGCAATTTAGCAGCTAATCTTTTTGCAAAATAAGACGTAGTACGTATATGGTGGTAAATGCGCTAAGAGAATGAACTATCGATATTTTTACTGCAGTATTACTTATACAGTACTGACACAAAACAATTCCGTAGGATTTCAAAACGCCGGAAAACTCTGTCCTTACAATTTCCTTACGTCAATTGTGCCGACGGCGAGCATAGAATGGGGGTAGTTGAAAACTGCTACATCGCCTGCATCATTTTGCTCTGCGGTAAGCGTGGACTGATGCGCCGCCGACTGATCCGCGCCGCTAGTGCGGTCACTGCGCCCGTTATAGCGAAAGTGTATGGACGTCGAATGGTCGCCTGTCGATAAATTCCTCACTCCTGCCCTACTTCCATTAATCCCGGTATAACCGGACTGTTTTTCAACAGGAAACGACCTGTTGTGCGATGAAATTCGCCATGCCGACAGAGTAAAAGGCGTCGACGTCAACGGTGTCCCTTCCGGTGGAACGGATTCGAAATTGTTGGCCGCGTAGGCGGGTACCGCAAAAAATCGATTTTCCACTGTCGACTCGGCGGTGGTTAACACGACAGCGGACGTCTCATCACAACCATCCTGGAAAATTTGAGACACAAAGACTTTAATTAAATCTGCTTAATAGATAACCTCTACACAGGAAGTGCAACAGTTTTTGCTTACAGTCAGGTCGTCTAAAGGTCATCCAGAATCTATTGGATGGGAATTAATAACATTTATGCGGCTTTGCATACTTACATATCTGTTGGCTAAATTAGCTAAATCCGTAGTTGTCCGACTAGTTCGCAATCCGGAGTTAGCGGATGAGGCACTGTGCAGGCTGATGTTATGGGAATCATTACCGTCCGATACTGTGTGCAGTAAAGCGGACGGAGAGCGTGGTAAACCATTGTGTATCCTTCTGGATGATGTGACATTTTCTTGGTGCCGCGGGTCATCATTTGGCAAACTTTTCCGGTGTGTTTGAGGAAAACTATATATATGATGGACGTTCGGTAAAAGTTTCTACATCGTTGAACGCCTTACGTCATATATGGAGTTCGGGCGCTTAACTCTTTTAATATAGAAATATAAAATTAATCATGGTAGCATATTAATAACTATACTGTCGATGCATGTAAAGATCTTTGGAAACGTTTTCGTACTTGGATGGATTTTGCGCGCAACAAAATCAGAGTGTTTAATATAAAACCGCGACACGTACAATAGTGGAAAGTTTGCTGCCGTATAACCAGGTGTAGTCGGGCAGGATTTAGTGCTGAAATCGATTGATGTCGACGCGGAACAGTCGGCTAGGTAAGGCTGCAGTCCTGTGTTGCTGTGCCGTTTAGCTTGGATTCCCGACAACAAGCGCATCAATAGGATATTCCGTGGTAGATCACATACCGCTGTCGTGATCAAAGCCTGCGACGGGAGAGAACTTTTTCTTCAAAACGAATATAACCAGCTCGTGTATATGCGTACATACAGGCAACTTGTCAAAAGTAAATAAGGTGTTTAAATAATCCTAATCAGCACATATTGCCAGCCGGCGGTACAACTCTGAGAGCACTGACGCACACACGTACCCGGCACTCAGGACAATGTAGAATCCCGCGTTTAGCCACGATATCGTCCAGACATTCGCGACAGAATGTATGCTGGCATGGTAAAACTTTGCTGGATTCAGTCAGCACATTCAGGCATACTGGGCATTCCAAAATTATACTTAAAGTCTGCTCATCCATAATTCCTAATAAAGAATTTTATACAGATATTTGTGTATACGTACAGATACACTGATAATCAAAAATTTTAAATTAGGTTATGATCACTCACTATCTACGAAGCATGCTTTCTAATTATAGCGAAATATGCCTTTATCAAGTCCCTTACAACTTTATATTTATTATACTGAACATTATACTGCTCCTTCATTACAGTTCAAACAATGAAAAATACTAGCATCACCTTCGAAAACGCTAAACTAAAGATTTTTAATCTTTTTTTTGATAACCGGTTTTCCCTTTAGCAGCAAACAGCGATTTTAAACAGAAACTGCATCACGTAAAGAGCGTTAAAAATGGCTTTATATATGCTCTTAGCCTCTTATATACAATGTAAGCTGACCTGAAATGTTATTTGAAGCAGACTAACGCATACTGACCGATAGGCTGTAGTTGTTCCCGCGACGTCCAGCTGCGAACAATATCGATCCAACCTAGTTACTGGTAACAGCCTAACAACACACTGAAATGTTCCACTAAACGCTGCCTCCATTAAAGCACAGTCATATTGATTTGAAAACTCTTTGTTGCGACCGGAAGTATTTTAATGGGCAAGCAAATGTTCAGCCGTGTCCGCTCGCGCAACCTTAAATTTCAGTCAGGAAATATAAGCAAAGGCAGGTAGTGTATTATTTTATAATATTCATCATAAAAAATTAATAATACTATTGCAACTACAAATAATTAAAAACGCACCAAGGACAACAGTATCATAAAATTATGTCTTACGAAGCAGCCGTTATGGACGGCGCAATGAAAAATGCTCAGGTGCAATACATCATACATCAAGCAAAGCAAAGTCAGTAAATTACGACAGTAATCACAGAGGAGGAAACCATCGAAAGATAATTTAACTTGTAGATGAACTTAATAACATTGACTTACCATCTGCAACCAGGATGCAACAATATTGATGAAAATTGTTCGGCCTGGCTGGAAACCAGCGCGCACAAAATGCGAGCCGTATACCAACGGCTACTGCATCGGAATGCCAGCGAGGCATATCATTTCAATCCTTAAGCTGCGACTGGATGATAGTTTGGATCATAAGCATATACGCACTCGAGTTCCTGTGGAGATCGATCATCGGCTCAAAAGGCTTGTTCCAGAATCACCAGCGTCTACCTCTGCGGCTGGACGACAGCGGATCCATATTCTATACTTGTACGCCTACAAACCGGCTCACCGTACGACGGCATATATACGTACCGGCGGTTTATTTTTGAGTTAATATTGCAAACTACTGAATTATGCATTATGCACACCATTATACACAGGCACCGGTCATACTATGGCTTGTGTTCTAATGGGTTATACATCTTTTCGATTGGATATTCCCTCTTGCTATACTGTGAAATCATTAACCAGAAAAAAATATTATTGTAACAATTAATAAATTATAAGGTTAACGAACACTTTAATTGTCCAGTTTAGCTTTAAGTACTCGGTCCAGTTTACTCGCGTGAGGTTGAAAGGTGATGGAAAAATTGAAAATTCACAACCGTAATTGGAAACGTAAGAAATTACGTGGAACTTGGAAGTAATTAACTGTACAAATTTAAAATCAAGGTGACGCACAAATTGAATACAAACTTGAAAAACAGCTGCCGATTCTTTACGTACTCCTATGGTTGTGAAATTGGATTGTTAGCGAATGGCGCGCAGTTTTACAAAACCCGACGGAAGTAGCGCTCGTATAACTACTATGAAGTATGAATCGCACTTATGTATACGTTCTGGCCTAGCCCCATTAAATCCCACTTCACATGTCAGATGATCTCGAAATAAGCAGCATCTCGATGAATGAGGCAGTTTTGGCATTATTAAATTTATGCGAACGAATTTCTGAAGTATTTTTGTGATTATCACAGGGAACACGGGTTATCCATTCTCGACTTTCAACATACTTTGTCTCCGGAATGTCCAGGAATGACGTTATAATGACGTTATCTATACATGCATACGCAGCATATCCGACGATAATAATTTTGTTCAATTAGGTACTGCCAAATTTTGCTCGTTTTCACCATCGTCAGTTCCTGTTCAAGCGCATGTTTCGCATAGGGTTGTGATCACCGTTAAGGCATTAACGCTCGACTGCTAACTACGAAGATTTACACTGACTGAGATGTCCTACCAACACCCTCCCGTCTCCCGTCGGAGATACAGCTCCGTGGAGGAGACACGTCAAACGGCCCTCGAGACCATCAAAACCACATGGAACGACATCGACCATCTACTGCAGCCGCTGAGCGAAGTCGTCGTCTCCTTGAACGCTCTCAGTTCCCCCTCGTTGGAACCCATTGCGCCCATCGTCAGATTACTGCAGAACGACGACACTACGAACAAGCTGAATGCTTTCTTCGAAAAAGTCATATCTTCCCTGGCTGCTGCAGTGGCGCGCATTCAGCTGCGCAACACCGACGACGCCGACGATGTGAGCATGCAGGAGGATGCAGTGGACGCTTCCTCGGAAACGGGACATTCCTCCAGCCAGGTCATTCTCCTGGAAGATGAAGTGCTGGAGTACTTGATTTCGGCGAATGTCTTGCTGAAAACCCTGGGCTATGCCACACATCCGCACTGTCCGGCAGCAGCGGCGCTCATACTGCGCTGGAATCTGCTGAGAATTTTGGAGACGCTGGTGTCGTCGTGCTTGAAAGATCCGCGCTTGCTGTCCCATGAGTCCATTTTAATACCCTTGCTGGCGCTGTTTGATGCCTGCACAGGCAGTCGACATCCTGCTACGGATCAGAAAATGATGGCGGTTATGAATGAACTGATTTACTGTTTGAAGCAGGAGCCGGAGTTGGTGCAGTTTTTTATTGAAGAAGAAACTCACACGGTGGATGTGCAGTCCAGTGCAGACGATGGGATTCGTGAGTACGTTGTAAAACATTCTCAAAAACGGTATTCTTGTCAAGATCGATTGTATGGCTTTCGATTTTCGAAATAATTTTTTTTATTTTACTAAACCAAATTAAATTAACTGTAGTTCTTATACCGCAGCGTTGCTTCCGTAATTTATTTTTATTTTCTATTGAAATATGATTTACGACAGTATCTGCTGACTGCTACCAACGTGATAGTTTTTATGCTGGTTTCAAATTTTTCCATCTCTAATTTTGTTACAGTAATTGCGTTCTTGTTCTATTTTTTAGCTGACGAATATGGTACAAAATCTGCCAAAAAAATTACGGTTGTCATATTTCGAAAAATTGTTATGCAAAAGTTTATAACGGAGTTTTGCTAAAACCTTATGGAACTGAACAGAAGTGACAGTATCAATTTACAGTTTGCGATTATTATCCTACCTGTTTCCGCACGTCCACAACCCACTGGAAACAGGACGTTTGGCACGAAGCGCCGTTCTTGCTTTACTACCTATCCTTCAACGTAACGAGCAGCTGAGTGCACATGTGGCCGGAAAGTCAAGTTTTTCTGCTGTAAGCTTTTTCATCATTTCGTCATGTGATATTTGCTTGGTAATTTGAAACTTTTTCTGGTGTAGGTATTGATTAGTGGATTATGTGCATTCTACCATTCCCTTCCAGGAAAGCTTTTTGCCATGTTTGGCCCGGGATGGCATAAAATCAGTCCATATGATCTTACATGCTCTGTGGATTTAGAGTATTTTACGGAGTACATGGTATTCTGCAACGCTGCTGTTCAGGTAAGGAAAAGAAGGCTTATGGTTAGTATGACTTTTGACTCCTGTATGACTTATACCTTGCTTTTCGCCGTCGCAGTTGTCACACCCACTGGTGCAGTCCAGCATCATATCTTTTTTCAAAAAATGTGAGTGGAACTGGAACAGAAGCGCAGGATTTGTTTAACTTACCGTAAAAAAGTTTCCGCTTAGCGTAGAAAACGTTCAAACCTTCCACTCAGTTTGATAAAAAATATTAATAACGTTTCTTCTCAAACTTGTAGTATTTCTGACTCCTGTTGTGGGACCGGCTCTTGGTCAGGTAAGCAGTGAGCTGTATGCTCATGTCATTCTTGGAACATACAGAACTTCTTGTATTCTGACTTGTTAAATGTTATTTTTTCCATTTTTAATTATTTTGATTCAGCTCTTCCTAGGATTATTCTTTCAAATGGAAACATTCTGACATGCGTGCTGTTTTTAGGAAGCGTCGGAAGATTTAATTCAGTCAGTAGCATATCTGGAATTTTTTATACGGATGCTACATGAAAGGGCTTTGCGCACAGCGGTCTTGGATCATCTTATAACTGCCAAAATTAATGATCGGGCTATCATCGACCATCTAACAGAATGCATATTAAACGCAAACAGCCGAGTAAGGAGACGATTATTTGATTAATTTTGCAACTGGACATAATAGAATTGGGCAACTGAAACGATAGTTACATGATTAATTCGTTGGTGTTTCGACGTATTTCCAGGTAGCGACGATGAGCATAGTGCTGTTTGACACTTTACTCAGTCTAAATTATAAACCTCTCCTGGAGCATCTTTTTATGCGGTATGTTGCCTTTAAGATTTTTGAGCGGTTCTTATTTGAAGTACAAATACAGCAGTGAACCACAGTACTGACCGGGACGAATTTAAAACATTTTGGTTGCCTTACAGCTATCTGAAAGCTGCTCGCCCTTTTCTTCAATCGGACGTTTTCCAGAGCGGTGATAGTTTGAACAACGTAATCCTAGCGGAGACATTGTTGGAATTCATACCGCAGTGCTGTCAGCAGTTGGGAATCGTCACTGAACCACCAGCTGCTCAAGAATCCCAGTCTAGCCCAGGAATGCTAAAAAAGCTATTTGGGAGGAGCGAAAAGATTTCCACTGCTGATTTGCCGCCGGTGGAATTGCCACCGTACTCGGATTACTTATTATACGCACGCTACAATTTGCATTGCATTTGGAGAGAATTTAGTGATTTGACAGATGTGGACGGCAGTGTGAGCAGGGACGATGCAGCCATTCAGGAGACGATTGGTCTTTTCCCAGGTAAAGCGATGCTGCCGTTCTTCCTAAATTTCTAAAGATAATTGCACATTTCTTCGGATCATATAGATTTGGAACTCCATGGGGTGGGTATAGGTGGCCCGTTTTTAGCTAGCATATTTTACAAACTGGATCATTTGGTGGAGCATGACCTTTACTTTTCCCTTCAACTAACGGGACTAATAGCACGGATTATGATGTTTCCCTATAAAGAAGTTTGGGCATTTGTATTTGGACAGAATTACACTCCAGAACTGGCTGGAAGGTCGCTGATTCAGGTAAAAAATGTTTTAAAGTGACGCTTTTACAGTATCACGTTTTAATGCGTAGCGTTGCGTTTGTTGATTGTGTCTGAATGCAGTGTTTATTTTTTTTCTGATTTTCTGTTGGCGATAGGTCTTGGGGACACTGAAATTATACGTGGATTCTGTCATCCCTTCGAATAGTCTGGGCAAAGCCCTTTTAGAACGGGTTTATCGATCGCTGATTCCCCGGCGTGCCGGTTCTCCTAGTTCACAGACTCCCGTGGTTTCCACGCCTCAGCCGGAACGAAAGAGCTTGAGCTTTTTACGCTCTGGGCCAAAGGTTTCTGAGACCGATTACGTCGACAGCATCTTTTTGGATGCTGATACTATAATGGAAAGCGTCGAGATGGATGGACACGGACCAAGGTATTCGCGTCGCAACAGTGCCGCTGGTGGGCCGGATCAGCTGAAAATTCGAATGGCTGCATACACGGCAGTTCTTTTGAACGAGTTTCTCCAGGAGCTGGCTGCTATATGCCACGAAAAAGCAATTTTGACTGCCATGATTTCTTGTGATTTGTTTGATGGTGCCTGAATTTTTTGTCTCCTTTTTTACTGTGTTCCTGTGCTGTCCTGCTACTTTATTTCAAGTTCCTTTTGTTATCTTTTAGCTTTTTACTATTTTAAAGGTGTTTTCGTTTTCCGTGTCCCCGTGTATGACTCCGAAACCATGCCAATCCACATGGCCATTAATGTTGGAAAATCGTTAAATTTTTTATTGACTATTGTGATTCTCGTCTGTGATGAACAAGTGAAAGATAAGCATGTGAAGTGGCAAACGGATGTCAAATAATGCGTAGTAAATCGCGCAATAAAACGCAAAACTTGCTAATGCAATTACGGAACCAATTCATCAACCCCCAAACAGAACCTCCCGAGAGCATGCAGTGCAATTCATAATCAACAATAAAAAAAACAAAGCTGTAATTATACTCCAACAACAGAAGCATCTTTATCAGCAGTATGTTCAGCTTCCGCTCCTTGCGCATCGCCATTTGTGACAGCTGGTTGAGTTTCACTTTTCGCTACTGGCGCGTGTCTTTTAAATCCGGAAGCCTCGTCCTCATAATTTTGGCCAACTTTTACACGATCCTCCTGATCCTCCTCTTCCACGTGTACATTGTATTTCTTCAACTTGGCGTAATCCTTAATAACACTGATGCAGCAAATACTCTTAATCACATCCACAGAAATCGCGTAATCTGGATCGTTCAAATTGGCCCGACACTCCGAATTGATTTTCCGCACAATTTCTCCAAAGGTAGCAATAATCATATCGCGTGTCAACGTTAGAGAAGTGTTCCTCGTCTTGAACAAGATAAGGAAGCTGGGATTTCCGTTACCGGTGAAATACCGTGTTAGCGCTTTTTCTCCGGTGCTGCGCACTGTGTCAATGTCAGCGCGACAGGTGGCAACAACAGGCAGCAAGCGCTGCATGTATCTGGCACGCGCTTTTTTCTGCTCGTGCAAATCACATAAGATTTTGTGCGCGAACTGGGTAGGATCTGTTACGGCGCTGGAGATGAAGACTAAATTATTACAACCAGATTCCACGGCTTTGAAACGGGCTTTGCGCTCCTCCATTCCAGCGCTGGTACGATATGCGCTCAATTGGCCTTCCTCGGAATCATCTTCGTGCTTCGCTTCAGTGGCATCGGCCGCCGTGGACGGTGCACTGGCTACGTCAGGGTAGAGTTTCGCCATCTCCACGTCCATATATTCGTTTAGCAGATCGTAAGCCTCCACCACCGATCGCTGCTCGTTACCTTTCGAAGTACTGATGAGGAAACCGGTCATACCTTCGCTCAGCTCTTCCCTTCGAAGTCGCTTGCGCTGCTGATCAGGCTTCGCATTGAAGTACTTTCTTTTGTTAGGCTTTCGAGGCATTTTAGAATACTAAAGCAGATGCTAGCAAAACTGTGGTGAAAATGAAATTTGGTCTTTAAAATAAAACAACTTTACAAATAACCGTAAAAAACATTGTGTACAACAAGTGCAGTCAACACAGTGAGCAGTGAGTGCGAAATTATTAATTAAGTAATTTTTTAATGTCTGAGGCGGTGTGAGCGGCGAGCTTAGGCTTGTTGCTCTCACCATCAGACTCGCGATCAAGCGCTCATCTTGGCTTCTGATCGCGAATGGACATTTTATTTTTCCCTAACTTAAAATCTGAATAAGGGGCTTAAGCTTTTTTCGGATTTATTTTCTTTTTTTTGTAAGTATTACTGTAGTTTTATATTACTGTCGTAAATCAGGGTTTTTGTTTATCGTGAACCACAATTCCATTGTGTTCCGGGCTAATCTATGTACTGTTTATTGCTCATTTTAAATATCTGCTTGACTGCTAGTCTGCTTCCGTACCTTTGCTTTATTCATGTACTCAGTTGTAGTGTTGTACTGTGTTCGGATATGTGGCGACTTTAAACTGGCGAACCCCGAGGAAACATCACATTTGCTGTAACGGTAACTCGCCGTCCCGTTTATCTATCTACCTTCTTGAGTAGTGAGTATTAACATCGTTCTTATCACCATCTCTTTGGTTAGTAATACTGTATTAGGACCGAATTTCTTGCTAATAAGTACCGGTAATTATGGATTTATCGTGTGAGCGTTGTTTTGTGAATACAGAAAATGCACATCGTTTTTGGTTGATTCCAGAATTTTGAAAGGGTGTCGAAAAGGGATCCATCATCCGGATTCATCCCTCCTTTGTCACGGGCTTTGTGACTTCTGATTTGTTGGCTCACTTGACTGTTAATTACTTTCTGTCAATATCAAAATGTCATAAATAATAGATTTGTCGCAGTTAAGATACGACCGTTGCAAACGTAAATACACTACTAGTGTCTCAGTTTAATGATGTTAATAAATTAAAGCATATGACAGCATGAGTAGGCCTGAATTTGGAAATGTTTTTTTGCCAACAGTATAAATTTGGTTTGATTTTTAGAACTCGAAAGGAAAGGGTCGGGAAGCACTTTTTTGCGCCATGGACAACTTTGTCTTCTACGCGGTGCTTGTTGTGATCGCAGGTTAGCAAATGAAAAATCAGTTGCTGTCTTTGTTGATTTACAATCATTTATGCGAGCTATGTAAGTACATATTGGGCATAGTATAGTATGTAAATACAAGAAACAGCCTCGGCTTCGCCTCCGCGTTTCTTGTGGTCCATGGCCATTTTATTTGAATTTGAATGAATATTTATTAGATTAACATCAGTCGAAACATGATCGGTACATGCAATAAGGCAAACACGAATTTTCTATAAAAATCAGTTCATGATTCTCTCAACCTTGAAAGCATTCCCTTTCGCTGTACATACAGATAATTTTACGATATCCCCTACCCGAAAAGAAAGCCGAAATATCAGTCTATAAGGTGTGAAATTCGAGTTGGTGTGTGCCCAGTGGTGTATGTCCGGTCAGTAGTGGTGGCTCGATTACTTGCTTAGCTAACCGGTTCCGTTCGCCGGACAGTAGTGGTAGCTCGGTCACTCATGTACACTGTACAATAATGACAGCTCGGTCACCCGCTCACGACCCGGGCTTTCTGCGCCGGACAGCAGTGGTAGCTCGGTCACCCGCTGACCTAGCGGACTTTCTGCGCTGGACATTAGTGACAGCGCGGTCACCCGCTCGGTCACCTGCTCACCTCCGGGCTTTCTGCGCCGGACAGCAGTGACAGCTCGGTCACCCGCTCAACTTCCAGGATCTGTGCACGGACAGTAGTGGCAGCTCAGCACTCCTTCACCGAACGGGCTTTTTGCGCCGGACAGCATTGGTAGCCCGGTAACCCGCTGCGCTAACGGACTTTCTGCGCCGGACATTAGTGACAGCGCGGTCACCCGCTCTCCTACTGGGCTCTGTGCACCGGACAGTAGTGGTAACTCGGTCACTCGTTCCCTAACGGGCTTTTTACACTGAAAAGTAGTGACAGCTCGGTCACTCGGCATCGGACAGTAATGACAGCCCGGTCAACCGCTCACATAGCTATCTATAGTGGCAGTTCGGCCACTCACTGGCTTAGCGGGCTATTTTAACTAGAATGTAGTGGTATTTCGGTCAACAACGGGCTTGTGCACTGAACAGTGGCGGTAGTTCTGTCTATGGCTGCTTGGCCGGCACTTGTTTAGAATTGTCCTCGATGACAACGTTGGATATGTAGTCGTTCTTGGCGCAATAACTCCAACGCCCAACGGTCTGCTAATTAAATTGATTCTGATATTTTAATTAGTGGAAAATACTTTCATTTTTTAACTATATTTTATTTGGTTTACGTGGCAACATTGCCTGGTTAAAAATACCACGATGATAATTATTATTGTAATAATTTAGTTACATTTGGTGAAGGTAGTCAAAACTCTTCCGCTGTGGCGCTCGAAGCGGGAGAGGTTTTAAAAGAAATGAATACCATCTGGCCGGGTTTTCGACTACGGGCTTTCAGAATATAATATTGGTTTTGGTCAGTCTTTTCTGGTTTGCCGGCTCTGGTGTATCCCATTCGTGGCAATATAGATCTGAATCTTGATATGCAGTGATACATAAATAAAATTAGAAATATTACGTGTATATGTAGTCCTCCTACCGAAGTTACTCTAGAACTTTTAAGTATGTACTTTTGCAAGGTGGAAATATAATAACGAATACTTCCCGACATTACTATTTGAATCGTAATTTGATTATACCTCTGTATACAGTAATTGATAATTTATGTGCACTCTGCATAATTGCAGCTCTTCTCTCCATTTTATTTTCCTGTCTTCGTCGATATTTTCGGGCTCGCAATTTGAATGCGTACCAGCAACATCATGATTTAAGGCAACAAAGCATCACTCAAAATGTGAGAAAATACCATTTTCGGTTTTGTGTAGTGCACAATATTAGTAAAATTGACGCATACGCAGATGAATTGATAGCTGGCATTGTAAATGCCGCTTGGCTCTACTCTACTGATTAATGAATATTGATTCATTTTTCCGGAAGCAGAATATTTCATAATACTGTGAGAATATTTTCAGTCGCAGCCGGTATTCGTCGGCATCTGGTTTCCCGCCTCGCGAAATACTTCTGGACAGTCAGAATCGGAGCAATATGACAACGCAGCGGAGCAATATGACAACGCAGCGGCAACTGTTGCTCCTCCGGCTTACAGTGAGATTGCTCCACAATCCGCTGCCGTTGTGAACAACGAAGGAAATCAGGGACCTAAGGAGGAGGAGCCTCCTTCGTACAGCGATGTCTTGGCGGAACAGAGTGTACAGCGACACTCTGATTCATAGTAACCTCTTTGGCGTGTTCCTGGTGATTGTACATTTTCTGCGTTGGTTGTCGCACTGCATGCACCAGTGATCGGGTAAATTTGTTGCGGGCGACATTTTGCTCACAAGTCACAATCAGTGTTCCAAGTGCCTTACTACTTTTGGGGCTTTTATCTGTTTTATCGTTATTTTTGTGTTTCTCAATCGGTCTTGGGATGCTATTGTGATCAATTTTCGTTTCATTCCTGCAAAGATATTTGCAGGAAAGGTTTGCGTTATTTGTGCGCTTTCTCGCGTTGAAGATGAACTGGTTTTAAGCGGTTTTTCATTATTCGATTTGTACATACGAGTATGTAGTATTAGCAGAAAAAGTGAAGATGAGAAATCGTTTCTGACAGTGCAGTGAGGGTACCTAATGTATTTCTTCGACTTAATTTTGACAGTATTATCGTTCCACGTTTCAATATCTTCTACACTGGGATGTGGGAAGCAGTAGACACTTCGCGTTCGTCCTGATTTAACAGTCACTGCAACTCATTTACAGCGCGACATTTACAGAGTGAATAAAAAGTCAAAATTGAGAAAACATAAAAAATCAAAACAAACTATAAAAATTCTGATCCAAATAATACGTTGTAAAACTCCATGAAGACTTCGCACCACCAGAAGTTAACTATAAATTGTCATCGTGTATTTTCGACTTAAGTTTGGGCGAATCGCTGATTAGCCACCTTTGAGAAGGTACTTCATTATCACAGTTCTCAAGAGTCAATCCGCGCATGTGCTCCTGCTGACTGTCCAGGCACAGTTCGTGCTTCACTAGGCGCAGCTGATCCTGGATATGCTCAAAACGTTGGGCATCCACGTTCTGGCAAGTGGTCAGTTGAACCGGGCTGCCGGCGATTGATTCCTTAGCCATCAAACACTGGTCACCGTGCTTTAGCAATTTCTCCTTGGTTAAAACCCAATCCTACGTAGATAAAATCATCAGAAAAGCGTCTGCTTAAGTCTTAAACTTACAGCAGAAAGTCTCGACAAACCTGATTGCCACCGGCTGCGTGGCAAGGATAAATTCCCACGCTTCCGCCAATCGTGTGACCCATGGAGTCCACACACATACGGCCTTGCTGGATTACACCAATTGTGAAATCCGAACTGGCAGGTATTCTAATGGAAATATAAATTTTTCATTATTTGTTCTTAAACGAGGCGTAAAAAATGGGATAAGCGAACCAGTCGAAAACATTACGATAGATTATGGAGCCAAAGGACTCACTTGAGCTCAGGGTAGACTTCCTCCATGTACCATTTAAACGGCTTGCAGTGTAGTCGCTCGCGCAGTTCGACCCGGTCTTTTATGTTGCCGAATGAGACGGCCCTTGCCATCGGTACAGCGTTATAATAATAATTCTTGTAGCTGTCCATCCACACTTCCGCCGCTCGGCGCGTATTTCTACGGTAGATAACTTTGTTACCAATAAAAGAACAAAACTGTGGTCTGATTCAATCCGTTAAAAGGGTACATCCAGGTAGTAACAATGAAATAGTCAAACCGACCGCGCAAAAACCGTTCCACTTCCACCGGGAAACGAATAGGGATGCTGTTTTCGAAAGACATGCCCGACACGACTACATGGAATTATTTCCAAAGATCCTCCACACTGCCATACTCGAAACGAAATTTCTATAAAAGAGAAACCGCTCAAATGCTGACGTCCGTCAGAGCGTGCCAATGAGTTGCCGTATGCCGGTAGATACTCTGAATGCAGTGACTCAGACTGATCTATTACAATTTTAGCTTGCTCTTATCTATCCCAGTTTTGGCACAATAAAGACAAAAGATTCCGGGAACATTCGCAAACACAAGCGCACCTAAATTTTCTCCTCCCCAGATATCCATAGCCATGTCGTACTTCCCCAGAGTTTCAAACCAGCTTTTTTCAATAGAAAAAAGGCCGCCTGCTATCATTGGTGTTCTGAAAAACAAATGCCTCGATTTTCCGTGATGTAACACCATACAGCATACCCAGTTCATTTCTGTCTTTTTATTATTTTCAGTTATAAATTTCAAAATTTGACAAAATATCAGAAATAACCTCGAGTAACACAGAGCATCTACTAACCTAAACGATTTCGCACGAAGATATTATAATTTTTTAATGTATATAATAATATAAATATAATAAATAATTAATACAAAGATACCACGATTTTAGATAATACCTGATAGGTGCAATTGGATCACCGTTTCGTTTTTCTTTCTCCGCGGCTGTCAGATATTCCCATTTAAATACCAGATTCCAATCAAAACCGCCACGCAGCTCTGTGTTAAATTAAAAATTAGCACTTAAAAAACTGACTAGATTGCGATCCAAATTTTTACCGGAAGATGCGCTGATGTACCGGAAGTCATCCATGGAGATGACATCGATTATTGGACTGACCACCGCTGTACGGTTCTAATAAGCACAAGCAAACAATCCGAATCAGGACCAAGTCACAAGACATGAAACATCTCGTTAAGCAGTAGACGTTTGCGGATCAGATAAATGCGTTACTGTGACTGAATTAGCGAAACTTTCGTGATTCGCCTGTGTTACTGGCAGTGACGAATTGGCAATAATTAACGTACGAACTTACCTGTGCAATTCTATCCAACAATGGCTCAAGCCAGTTTTCGTTACATTCGCAGTGGCTATCCAGAAAAGTCAAAATGGGTGCCTGCGCCACATCAGCTCCAATGACCCGCGATCGCATTAGGCCTGCTCAGTGAGAAAAAAACACAAAAATTTTATTAAATCAGCACTTGTAAATGAAAAATAAATGAATGATCATTATAAATAATTTTTATAACTTCCTAAACTTCGCTTAACTTTGCATGCGAAAACGCATACAACGCTCGTGGCGTACCTTCACGGCGGTCGTTGCGGATCAGTAAGACCTTCTCAATCACAGCAATCTCTTCGCCATCACTCGCTATAAAGAAAATACAGACATGTTATCAATCAAATAACCTTGAAGCCCCCAGCCTTGCAAGTCTTACTTACGGTCATCACTGAAATCATCCACTAAAATTATCTCCGTTATTAGCGCTGCCGGGGATTTTCGGAGTACACTGAAAATGCAGCATTAATTTAAATATCTGTTAAAAAATTTGAAGCGTAAACATCGTGAAGAAGGTCAAGATTTTGCAGCACCGTATAAGTGCGTCTGAGGTCACGGCTGGTCATATTGACCGTAACACATATTATTATGTACTGTTTGATATGCTATCGCGGCCCAGGCTCGTGATGGACTTTCGTTTATTGTTTCTTTAGTCTTCCCAGACAATTTTACGGAGAAAACCAGGGCCAGCAAAATTTCAAATCAAATCGCTGCTGGTTGACAAGCTCCAGCGCCGCCGCTTGTTTGTCCAGTTTGCTGCAGATTCTGCAAACAAGTACGCTACCGGCGCAGGAGCTGTGCTCGTTGCCCCATTGTACAAATAAATTTTACTACTCGATACGGTGGTCGGTTCACACATGTATCAACCGTGAGTCGGCGATGGAATTTGAATCTGTTCGAGGACCCTGACAAAGAACTTGATTCTGAACTTGCACTAACCTGATAACTGTGCGCAACAGTGTTGACCGGGCCTCGTTGTGAAAGGTAATTACCACACTAGTCGCCGGTAAATTCTTGCTGGACCACTCCACTGAACGACACCTAAACCAAGTGTCAATTGCTCAGGTTATGTCAGCCACTACAATATTATGTACAGCTTACTCGATACAATTGTGACATTGTATTACCTTGCGAATACTAGAATAAGCTAACAATAAGCGAACTGGATATCGGTTAACAATAGGGCGTCTTTACAACACATTACGGGACTCACTGTGGCTGCCGTGTATCGGGAACTGAACGCTCCATCGAAACTTTGTCACTTTCGATTTGGTTAAACTTATTTTTTATGTATCCATCTTCTCCAACTTTTACTGCTGTTTTGGCGAGATAAGCAGCCACGTCGAATTCCTGCCATGGTACAGCGCCGTGCAACGACTTCTTTTGGCTTCCGTTGCTATTTGTTTTTTCCCTTATGCCGGCCAGACCACTGGCATCGTCGTTAAAATGCGGATTGGACTTCCGCTCCTGTAGCACACTGGCTTGTCGGTTTCTCCGCTCTCTAGCGAGGACATCTTCTCCCTGCAATTTTCAGAATAATTCCGATTTAAAGATACCGCGAATTTACTAGAATACAATTTAAACTTTATTTCAGTGTACTTATAACATAACATTAATGTTGCCTTTGTTACTATCGCTGATCTTACTAAGTCCATTCTTCTCATATGCTAGCAATCTCTGAAAAATTGATATTTTTGGCTGTTTCTGGCAAGTGCAAACTATTTCATTTATTTCTTTGTCGCTACTACTGTAATTAATGAGATTTACTAAATTTACTTATGAATAAATATTAAAGCCCAACGTCTCAATATTTTGAGTAGCAAATCCTTAAACGGTAGCACCATTACGCATTAAAGCAATTATTTTGGCGCACGACGGGAATTTAAATTGTTATACTGATAAACTGAGCCTTATCCGGTAAGTTTTATGAAATAAAATTAAAACAGTTTAAAATTAACTGTTATAATTTTTGTTATTTCTGGGCATTTACTATACATAAATACGGCATGTTGACGCACTCCGTGTTTTTAGGGAGCGAGCAAATGAAGTCAACTACAATCACCATCACGACAGCAAAAAAAGAATATCTGCACATTAGAAAACTTCTTTGCATACGCTTTAAAGTCAAGGCCGCGATTCATCAATCCAAGTGAAAAAAAACTAAGTCAAAGAAAGACGTAAATACAAGTACTTGTTATGAAAATAAACACGACCGAGAGATTTCTGTTTCACCTGCTGTTTATTCGCACCGGATACATCGGTGTGTACTCTGTTTATCCAACGTATTAACCTTTTCTACGCTGCCATGCTGTTAATTCATCACCACTACCAGATCGTAGCACCATTGTCGTCCGTAATGAAAATGCGTACAAAATTCTTACACGATAAAATTTTATTATCAATCCACGTTCCTATTGATAATCGCTAGAAAAATAAATAAGGCGCGCATAGTGCAGTTTACTTTTCCAAATTCCACTTCCAGCTGCCAAATGCCGACATTTGTCTGATCGCCCGGCTGCTGTTTACCTACTCTTATAACGTTCCACACATGCAATCCATTGACAAGTGAATTAATAAGACCAATAATTAAAATGTAATACCTGTTCATTAACGGCGACGCTAACGACAGGGTCATCTAAATGTCCACGGGGTTTGACCACAAAAACAATTAGACCCACGATCCATATTAATCCCAGCGTAGTGAAAGTTCGAAGAATAAATCCCGAGCGCACCATCTGTATTCCGTATATGTACAAGCGTGCTGCTCTTGTCTTGCTGGCGTGCTTGTACCTGCAGCCTTCTCGAACATGAAAGCTGCCTAAATTTCTTTGTTACAAATTAAACGCATGCCACATCTGGCACATAAGCGGTAAAATATTGTTGCTATAATCAGCAGATCAGAAACAAGTCCATAAAAAAAACTTTCTGCCGCGGCCAGTGCATGTATCACCGATCCTCATGAGAAACAGCCAGCTTGAATAACACAGTAAATAATGTGTCCAATGGCCACAATCGCAACGAGGCGGATGAGAAAGGAGCAGTTTGACCGATAGTCGGAGGGAGTTCCGTCGGGTGCTATCACGTTACCCGGTATACAGAATAAACTGAGAAAATTAGCCAGCGCTCGCTAACGTCCGTCATCAACAAAACAGCCAACGCGATCGATGGCTCCTGCGTGTAATGTCAATGTCCTATCCACCAAGGTCGCACTTTTTTTCATTATTTTATTTCCACCAACAACGTGCGCCGGCCACTACGAACTCAACAGCAATGTCACTATCTTATGCATAGTGTTTTCAACAGCTCTAGAAATTCAAAACAACAACAGAACTGAATTTAGATGTTTGGAAAACTTAAGCTCTTAAGTCTCAACTTGTTGCTTCGAGTCAACACCAGCGCGATATCGTAACCGCACAGGATGGAATGCTGCCGTCCATTGGTATGTTACTCCACGGCGTGTGCAGGCTTCTTTGCATACACACCGCTAGAGTCTACTGCAGGAAATGTCCGCATGCACAAGGAAGGCGTTTCGCAGCCGTGCAGCGGTCGACTGCCTGCTCTAGATCCCTCATGCCTACATGCAATACAGTGAATACACCACCAGTAACAGTTAACCACGTAGACGGAATTGGCCAGAGCGAGTCTTGATAAAAGCTAAATATAGATAACAAGCGGCGTCGGTCCTCTAATTTATCTTTTTCCGTCACGATGTATAATTTGTTTCTTATAAAGAACTGCCGGTACAAGTACTTACAGTAAACTCCAGTAAAGGCGGCGCTCTATCCGCTCGCACCATTCCAGTTGAAGCAGCACTGATACAGTAAATCAACTATTGAGATTTCCGGTTACAACACAATTATTTTGTTTGCTGAACTCAATTAGCAATTGTATGGTGCGGGTTTTTTTGTTGTAAAATAAGCATGTTTGTTATCACATCATAAACAGTAAAATATCGTCGCTGTCTCTCTGACGTAAGATATGTGTTCTAAACCAGCACCTCCAGGAAGGTTCGATAAATAAATATGATTATAATTTAGCAGCAGGTAGTTTGGCTCCTATGTTGGGCGTGGTTGACTCACAAGTCACAGTCACTTAATGCAAATTCGTACATTTACACCGGAAAGAACGTTGCGACTTTGCGGACAAGAATGCTGTCGCACTAGCGAAGCCACTGGAATCACGTGTCGTGTTGAATTTGTACATGTTGTCTGTGGTCCAACATCCACCTGCACACAGTGTGATTAACGGTCATTTCTTTGCGTCCTATGGACTTCTGAAGGAGTTGCGAGCTGAAGCTTAAGAAGACGGTTATAGTAAAATTGACCCTTTCCGGGTGGTTGCTAAGTGCAATAAACATACGGGATCGAGGTCTTGACTTGTGACAGGTTTATCAATAACCTCCCGCCGATGCTGGGTTCACAGAAGTGGTTGTGGTTTCAACTCCATCCATCGCGGCGTGGCAGGAGGCAAACTTACCCAAACTGACCTGGTAGCTCTTGTAGCGGGTTGAAGAACTACTAATGTGAGATGCGGTGCCGATCATTCCTGTAACTGGACCGCCCACGTATGCCGATTTCTGAAGCCGCCCGATTCGACAACTGCAGCCACATCCGGGAAAAGTGCGAACGTGGACGATGTAAGGCGTGTCAGACATGCAGCAAGTGCAGCGTCAAATTGCATAAAAATTGTTTTATGAAGTATCATGTAAAGCCAGAGCGTATCACATACTTCTGTAATGCCATGTTGAGACAAAGATTGTTAGCATCATTTTGTTTTCGCTTTTCTGTTCTATTAGCTATCAGATTACATGAACACGTTTTTTTGTGGTTTTTGGGTTTTTGTTGACCATTGGTCAAAGACGTGACCACTACGGTGTTCCTGCTTTACTGTTTTAAACTATTTTTTTGTAATACTCGTACTACGCCGGACCTTAGTATTGGTTTTACACATACAGGATTAAAAGTTTTTATTTTTCATGCTGTAAGTTGTTCGTGGTCACCGGTGGTCACCACCGGCGATCTATGAGCACAAGCTCACGAAAATTTTCCTTAATTCAATTTTTTTCATCAAGAAATCCCGCTTCAGTGCAGATAGGACAGGAGATATTCGGACCAACTTGTGAAATGCAAGACCCACTGGTGACGTTGTGTTGGTTCGAGCGAATTTTTCGTGGCCTCGTGACTACAGTAGTATTCTAGTCCTGTAAAATTCAGTCTATCAGTGTGTGAGCATTTCTGGGAGCGAGCTGAAAGTGTTTGCTGCGAGTATTTTTATAGTTGTACATGTACTGCAAGACTTTATACTTGTTCATTAGTATACTTGTACACAGTTTGCACAACATCCGTGTGTGCAATTTCGCGTTTACTGATTATTATCAAATCATCAGAATTACTAATAAAAACTCTTATTAGTCTGCAAATTATGCCAGTCAGAAAACACAGCTGGAAGCCACAATATTTGTTTGAGAGCACCGGATGTGCAAAATCACATTGTGTCGGTTGTATTCAACACTTCACAGTTATTAAAAGAAACATAAAACTACAAAATTAGATAATAAGCGTAATTTTACAATACATTCACCATTTTTACACCAGATCAGGAGAGTGTAGACACGTACACACGAATTATTCAGAATCTCGATATCTCTGCAAACAGAGCGGAAAGAGCAAATTGAGAAAGCCACTGTGGCATGTTACCGTACCTGGAAATACCCGGTATCAAAACTCCGTTCATAATTACCGCATGCTCCGCCCAAAGAACAGAGCACTTGGTACGTTTTCTTACGGTCATATTACTATCCCGGAATTCGGCTACCATTTTTTGCCAGGTATTTTTTTTAAGGATTTTACAGGATACCGATTGCTCGTTCATAGCATGGTGATAGAGCTCAAGTATGGCTGAGGTATATCCTTTCTTTTACTGCCTTCACCAGGCACTGAGCTGCTTGTTGGCATTTGGGAACTCAGTACAGGTGTTGTGCGGGTGGTAGGAGCCGATACGGTTTCGTTAACCAATGAATGAGTGAATAGTGGTGACAGCTCTCGGGTCTGGTAAATTAGCGATGCTATACTATCGGCCGTAGCGGGACTACCAAATGAGGTGGGCGGGACCAGACTGGAACCACCCAAAGTGGACTGGTCTTCGGTGGACGAACTGGGAGAGCTTTTCCATTTAAAGTACGGTTTGTGAAATGCGCGCAGTGGATCGAGCTTCACTGCTGATCCTTCTTGAACCGCCAGAGGTGCTGCCAAGGGCGTCGTCGGACCGGAAGGCGGAGTGGGCGATTTGACATCGATAACTGTTTGTCGATTGGCTAACGTTTGACCGGCGTTGGTGCTGGGCGGGCTGCTGTCGGTGTGGTTACCCAGTTGAGGGTTAGGGTTTTCCTTCCGTTTCTTGGCAGCTCGCAGCAGGAGATCCCATTGCCGCGATGCTTGAGTGGGACCGCGGGGGACGTTGAAGCGAAACTTGGATATTTTCAGTCGGTTCATAGGAGATCGTTTATTACCCGGGGAGTTGCTGTAATCCGCGGGGCTATCATTCCCGTCGTCCAGTAAGTTTGGTAGCGATGAAGAAGGGCTCATTTCAAATTCTGGAATGGACGGTTGAATTTGGAAACCTTTCATGAGGCGCCTTTCTTGTCGGTTCTGCTTTCGGCTAGCCCGAACACCTGTCAGTTTTAAGCCAACGTATGAAACAAGAGACGATAACATATGGACGTACTGAAGATGTACAAAATATGTTCTAAATATTCACGCATGATTATCTTAAATATTCGCTATGCGAACTTTAATAAAGTGCCTTTCTCCGCCTAATTAATAATTCCAAGTTGCAACTGTAGTAAGATTAGGTACATGGTTTTTCAAACAGTGACTGAAGGCCATATGACATGAAGGCCACTGACATAGCACAACCCGTTTTAACCAAAAATGAGAAGTTCGGCACCTCGGTTTAGTTTTAATGCTTTATTGAGTGGAAAGTGGTAGACGCTTTAACTGAGCAGCGTTTCCAACCGTCACAGAACAGCAATGCAAGGTTAGCATTAGCCGTGCAAAAATTTTCTTCCCTTTGCGAGATTATGATGACAAATGTTAATTTCTTTTGCTCCTGTTAACCTTTAGACAGCTTAACGATGAACGCTCTCACTTATTATACTCTGTAGGTAGTTCTAAAGCCATAGTTTCTATTATTATATCGATGACCTTTGTAAGCTATCCGCTGCGAGCAGCCATCTTTGCAACGGTTGAGAGGTTTAACCCTTTCCAAAAGAAACTAGGTAAAGCTTTTTACAATAACACAGGTATTTGTTGATTTTTATTACTCATAGTCATTTTTAAGTTATTAGAAGTTACTTATTAATTCCATTTTGAAACTGATGTTTCGGAGACATTCGATGACCAGACCGACCCTGTGGTTGTAACTCGATGCTCATCGAGATCTCCGAAACCGTAAAAAACTGAATACAGCGGAAGAAAGCACTAAAATGAAATTTGCAAAATAATTCTGACTCCTTTTTGAAAACCATTGTACCACTATGCTTAATAAACTCAAGAGTTTACGTAGCTACCCGTACAGCAATCCCAAATTATAGTAATTCATTAAAATTGTTAGATATTCTTGTAAGAGACCTTTTGATCTGTCGATTAAGAAAATTGCTGCTAATCTGTTTGGGATGACGGTTTTCGCAAGATGTCCGTTAGTGATGATTAAAAATGCATAATGAACTCCCTTAATGCGCAAACGGCTTATATAAGAAATTTATGTAATTCAGTTAGCTCCAGCTGCGCTTCGTACGGCCTGGTTTACCTTTTTTGTTGGTAGCCGAGGAAGTATTCATGCCGCTTTGTTGTAAAATATGCAAGAGTTCGTAGCGGAATGAAGAGATGTCTTGTTTAATTTCGTTGACATCGTCCTCGCTGACACCTTCGGCTTGCTGGGTGCGCTGCATGTTCGTTACATAACGTTTGACCAGATTACGCACGACAGCTTGATACTTCGCTTCCCGTTGGGTGATTTTCTTAATCATCTATCGGAGGAGAAAAACATGGTCTTCTTATCCGAACGCATAGATGATCATTTCAGACTAATATGCAAAAAGCGCAGTCTGGCTCAACCGTCCGCGCTCCCCTAACCTTGGTGCTGCTCCATTTTCTCTGAAGGAATTTACCACAGCAGGCGCCTATTTTCCTGAAAGCCCATCTGATCACATAAAAGGCACTTTTTGGACTGGGAATGATATTGAATGGCGTCGGCAGTGTGCTTCCCTCTTCGAAATAACTCATCCATAATTTACTCCGTGCAAACTTCCATTCCGTATCTGATTGGTTCTGTTCAAGGCGTAAAATCAGAATTCTTTACAGAAACTTATTGAATTATCGATTGTAATAAAAGTTGCACAATGCAGCTGTCCTCTTCTTATGATAGATGTAATTACCATACGTCGTGCATCAAGCCCAACTACTGTCATACTGAGAAGAGCTGGTCATTAGTCCTTTTTCCGATGTTGCCAAAGTGGACTTCCCAGTTGCAACGGCAAAAAATCTAGGCTATTCTGATTACATGCACTAAGTAAAATAAAAAGGAAAACAAATACAAATTTTAAGGAAAGCTTTATAGAAAAAGATTGAACTTGAACAAAAACAAATACAGTAGGCATTGTTCAAACAAGAAACTGTAAATAACTGTCTTTCCCTAAAAAAATAGTTTCATTTGTTTGGTCTATTTTGACCGTATAAAACCTGATAGTTTAAAATCCGATTGTAAGTCGGCTGACTTACTGAAGCAAATAAACATCAAAAATCTAATCTCTTGTTTGATTTGTAGTCATAAAATGTTTATAAAACTATATAGATGCTCTATCTCAGCTATAAAATTTAGCTTTTCTAAGGTCACGTGTATTCTCAAAATTGTCTAATAATAGAAATAACGTTCAGTGGCATAATATATATTTATCCTTACCGAAATCAGCTGGTATGAATTCGACATCATGGCAATGAGCATATTAAGCAGCACAATAATACTGATGACACTGTATGTTCCAAACATTAGCCGGCCGACAAACTCAGTGTAACTGTGGTCCTCTTTCAGATCCAAATGGTCCAAATCGATCAGCCCGAATATAGCCCAGATTAGCGTCTGAAGTGTTTCCCACAAGCTGCAGGGGAAACAAGGGACAAATTATATCGTTTGTTTTGTAAATCAAAAATAACGTTAATGTACTTGGAGAAGCTTTTATATCTGGGCTGGCACGATGACTCCAGCTCAGGGCGTCCTTCTTTGCGAAACTGATTACACTCTTGCGCCCGCATGTCGGCATAGTACCACATTAACTGGTTTAATCCGCACGTAAACGAAAATAACACCTACAACGAAAAATCACAAAAACAAGTTAAAATCATTATTACATCGTAGTGCATTATCCAAATTATTTATGCTGAACAGTGACATGCCGGTAACTTATCTACTCGTAGTTTCGTTTAAAGCATTGCAGACGATATACCGAAAATTGAACTGAAACATTTATTAACACGTGCGGTTGCGCAGCTTAAAATAGGTAGCACATCGTAAAATAATAATTTTCCCGTACAGGCAGTAAAAGCTATGATTCTGAACAGTTGCTTACCAAAGATATAAAAAAGAAGAATTTCATTATATCCACAACCATTCGTCCCAGGGAAATTTGTAGCGGACCCAAATGGGGATTTATGCTGAAGATGTACACGAGTCTCAGTGAGGAAAAAATATTGGCAGCAGCAAAAAGGCCTGCAGTAGTAAACGTTTTGCATAAATCTATGGAGTTGAAGCAAAACTGCATGTTCCTGTAAGGAAAATCGCACCCTCAGATATCAGAGTAGGATCATACGCATCCCATCGTTTGCGTTCCAAAAAAGCTGCATTATTGCCGGTAGATTTCTCGTGTTGCACCTGGTAAACATTCACTCTTGACGTTATTTAAGACTCCACAGATATGCTAAATTGCGTATTACTTAAGTTTTCATTGGGAGAAAGCGTTAAAAAGAAAATGTGTTATCAAATCCTCATAAATGGCTCTGTTCTTAGTCCACCAGTTATAAGACAAAATAATAAGTCAGTACCTGTAAATAAGCGACTATCCGCAGAGCGATCACAGCGACGTAAAGTGAATTGGTAACAAAATCCAAAAAATTCCACATATCGTGCAAATATTCATAAATTCCCACATCCCATAATTGTTTTACTTCCACCCATATCAACCCTAGGTTGGAAATAAAATATAATCAGACCAACTGCGTATATAAATTAGCTATTAAAGCGCCTTATTTGTCTCAACATGATATATAGCTATTCAGTCGTTGAAAATCAGGGCTTTTATAATATTTACTTTATAAGCAAAGGAAGTATGACGTATATACTGACCAGCCACCCATATGACGATCATAGCCTCGACAAATGTTGGCGGTGGACCCCGCCGCTCGTTCTTCGTAGCTGTACTGTTATTTCCCGTCACACTTTTATCACCCGTATCTATTAAGGACTCGATTCTTTGAGAGGCAAGGATGAGCAAACCTGCATAAAAAAGCGATCAAAATGTCAACGCATACGGAAGTGGTAATTGATGCTCTCTGCCATTTGAGCAGACGAACCCTTTGTACATGATCTGCATACCTAGGAAGCAGATGTACGACGCACTGTGGCACAGAAATTTGATAAACGGCTGTCGCATCATGCCGCCAATCCGGCTTTTTGGAGCAATCAGGTACAGAACGGAAAAAACTGGAAACATGAGTCCAATACAAACGACCAGCAGGCTCTTTACACAAATATTTGCCCGACGGAAACCCGGTAACCCTTCGTAAAAAATGGAAGCAAGTAGTTGCTGGCAGTTAGGATGGGCCACAAACTGCAACGCAAATTGTTATAAAATTATACAACGTAGGCATTTATAGAGAAAATGTTCGCCAGTAAGTTATAGTACTAATTATCACAGGCTTGGCTTCTGTGCTAGTTAAACTTTTTCTCACTAATGATACAATAGACTGATCAACTCAATACACTATTTGGTTTTGCTTTGCAGAAAACAGTATGTCCGAAAACTAACAATCGCATTCGTTTCACTGACATACAGTAGATGGAAGTTAAGAAGTGACCTTTATAAAATTAAATGTAGGTACACTTTTAGAAACATCAGCTTTTTTCAATTAGATTTCGAGTTTTAGCTTAGGCAGACATAAAAGCAAATAAGTAGCAAAGTAGAAAAGAATTTTACTATCCTGAGATTGTTAGTGACAATAACGTATATACGATAAATCTTACCGACTGTACGCCTCTGCAAGTTACGCTCGTAATCTTATAAAAAATTTAGCAACATTCCCGCAAAGTAATTTTTTAATGATCGGACTCATAAAATTGCCCACATAAGGTTGCAAATTGATTGATTTTGGCTGCGTAACGTGTGTAGAATTGGCATTTCTGCGTCAATGTATCCGCGCAAGCGCATCCATAATGGAACTGACCTTTTTCTGTTTGCATCTGATAGCCATTTTGAGCCGACTGAGGTTCATGCGTTTGCCGGATTCCAGTCCAGCATTCCCGGCATCGTGGTTGAGCACAATTTCCAGCTCATCGGAACTGCGCACTTGGTTCAGCAGTGCCGTAGCAAAATCCTCGCATTGTCTGTTTAAGCGTACCACACACATATAGGAAAACAAACACTGACAGATGGATGCAAGCAGTTGGAAAGCAAGATTTATGTAGTGCCACATAGAGAGTGCAACATGAGAGGGTCCCTACTTAGAAAGCTCGATGTAATCTTGTTTAAACTCATTTTCCCGATTGCTGAGCCCACGGAGCTCCCAGGATAACTAAAAATTAATGCATTCATTAATAAAAAGCGATGTGTGTGATTTGGCAGTTTTGGGCGGGACGCAGCCGGGCACATCTGATGCGTCCGTGGCCTGTAATCAGGGGCGTGTTTCTTTACTTACTTGAAAGGCTGTGAGGATTGGATCTTTACTCGATAAGGCAATCTGCCAAATAGTTCATGCTTGGATTAATTCCGTCACAAACGATGCATTCAGGTGTCATTTCGGGAACAAACGAGTACACTTTTATTTTCAGAAATTTAAATGTTATTTTGTAATAATCATCGACAGATATACAGACCAAAAGGACATGAAATTATTCTTACATGGACCGTAAAATGGCTACGTGGTTCGAAGGAATATACTTACAAGGGAGGGACTCGCCAAGGCACGATAGGCATGGATCCGCGAATGAGAATGCCGGAGACTATCCGTCGACCGGCTAGTAATGCACTCATTGCATGCGCAACGGGAATCATGCGGCTGCAAATCCAAACGGTCAATCCGTGTTACGTTTTACGTAGTCAAAGGTCATAAAAATTGGTCATGCTTAGGATAGGATTCCAATCGTAGAACTTTTATGGCGTATGCAGCATACGCACTCTGATGTTAAAAATTTTTGATTTGGTCTTGATCATGATATGCCCTTATTAAAACAGAAAATAAAGCGCCTTCTCATTAGACTAGATAATTAATGCAGCTGTTATAAGAAACGTGTATGTGTACAAGTACATATAGAGAAGCCAGAAGAATCTTTTGAAACGCACACAAACATATTTGTTGTAAATTCTGACGCTGCAGGATTGATAACCATGGTATAAAAGAACCTGCTCATGAATTAAACATTACAGTTAGAAGCAACGTATTTATTTTAAGGAAAAAAGAATAACGCCTTGGTCACGTTATTCAGAGATGTAATCACGGAATGAAACCTACTCGGGTAGTCACACCACAAAGCCTCCCAATACATGGATCAGAGATTACTCAATATTGATTTATTCGCACTCATCAAATTTGCTTAATGTGCTCGAAAAGAAATTTAAATCCAAACCCTCCGTGAAACAATCACAGTGGGCAATGAAACATAGAAGTGCAAGATTTCATGGCACTATAATGCTCGGATTAAACTACACGAGATATATGTGCGAACAGTGTACCTGAGGAATGCGTGCGCCGCGGTCAAGGAGGATTTTAATGATTTCGTAATTGTCACGGTGGGCGGCAAGCATCAAAGGGGTAACATCGGGAGGAAAACTCGACGACTCGTAATTTCCAGCCTGGACACGTAATTCATGCTGAAATTAATGTACTTAATTAAGTAAATGAAAACGGGAGCTTGTTACGTCATCTTCAGTGATTTCTGTTATTAAGCGGCTTATGCTGTTTTTTATTTACACAGTCATGTGTTGTCCTCATTACAATGATAAGGTTATAATTTTTTATTTTAACTCAGAGGAAAATAATTAAGAAAATCATGTAAAGTGCTCCCTTGAATAGCTTCGGCATAACGGCGGATTCCCGTCAATACAACAACATTTTACGTAATCAGATATATGGGAGAGATAAATGTGTGTATAAAATTTTACCACTCAGCAGTGAAAGATTAATTCGTCCTGTAGAGCCTGTTCAGCCTGATCAAAAAGGCAATATCCTGTGTCTGCTTCAGACCAAACTCATTCGCGTCCCCATTACACACCGGAGACTGTAATGATCGATACCATAGGTCGACCTTTATCTTGTCGTCAAACTCGCCGGTACAAATTTCCGACTACAAGTATGAAGTTAATAAAATATTCCAAATGGTCAGGGAGGGCTGGGAAAATGACTTTACTCGATCAATTACAATGGAATAATTTTATTTTTGTTGAGCTAGCTTATACGGCACGTTCCGTCAGTTGGATGATTATCGTATCAGTGCCACAGCGTTCAGTATCCGGTATCGCAATCGTTATTACAAAAACATCCAAATATTGTAGGCAGCTTACAAACACAAAACAACAATATGTACGAATAAATGCCGCAAGTAATTACTGTGTTATTGGATTTTTAAAAAGCGGTTCGCAATGTTCTCAAAAATGCTTTTTTCTTTCACTTGTGTATTGTTCCATCTGGTTTTGATCTGAAGTATTTACGATTGTGTTTAAATACAATATTTGATAGCATTCACGTTTAAGTACTGTACACGTTCTGAAGAGGGCTTTCGACTAACGCATGCGTTCCTTAGTACTGAGCGGATATTAAAGGTATTTCACGTTCTATCGCCAACACAGTTCATAAAAAAGAAAAAGCTTTTCCTATCATAGCGCTCTTTCATTAAAACCATTTTGCAAAACGTCATAGCTAAAATTTTACGCTCCATGATCACGGTAAATTGGACAAGAGGTAGTACGTGTTATATGTACTGATACACCGTTGATAAAATGTCTATAGTCAACAAATCCTGAACTGCATTTCTATATAATATATATATTGCACACCCATTTATCCAATGGTTTTCCACGATTTTCCTCGTGCAAAAGAATAAGTTCAACTGCCTCAACATTTTCCTCGTTGATAGCGTGCAGCAGCTGAAAGTAAACAACAATCAAATTAAAAGATGAGGTGGATGCTTACCGGTGTAGCAAATATAGTGAAAAATTACACGTACAGAGTCGCCCACTTCAGCGTTGTGCTGCAGGAGCAATTCAACCATCTCGATGTTTTCGTTTTCAATCGCGATGTGTAGGGCCGTGCGTCCTATAGAGACAAATATTTTTGGCTGCATTCCGTGAGACGATTTAGGATGTACCCCATATGTTTTGGACAACAATGTGCATCTTGTATATTATTGTTTATAACCGGATGACAGGGTAATTTCTTTAAACGCTGTCACCAGTGTCTTCTCAACCGAAAGGGAAAACCTTGGGAAATTAAGTTGCGGCTCTCGAAAAAAAGTTCTTGGTCCGTGTAATTTAGCTTCCCAAGATTATCCCTTACGCAAACAGCCAGGGATTTGTTAAATTTGATTTCATCGCTAGACTGAACAAGGCTCACTAGCGGAGATCAGATGCAGCCACATATATACAGTATACACGAGATTCAACGGAATAAGTATGCTGACCGTTAATGGTAAATCTCCAGGGAAAAAGTGCAAGTTTCTTCCCAAAATAGTGGACCACTGTAAGATCCAATGCGCAGATATAACCTCTTGCTTTATCCACTGCTTATAATAGCGTACAAATCTTTAGCCTTGTAATCTCACGAGATTAAAAAGTAGTGCATAGTTTAGGCAACTATGTAATGCAATCAATATTATGATGCCAGAAAATCTGCAGATTTTAATGTTCAGTTAATCATACGGTTCAATTTCATTAGATTGTAGACAGCCACTCCAAATGATGTATTGCCATAAATCATTGTACTGTATTTCATGCGCGTTAAAATAATCCTAATTAAACTTTTCGATAATTTATACCAATTATAACAATCTAAATCAGGCCTTTAAAAAGGATTCTAAGTTTTATCTCATTATCGTTGTACTGGAGCTAATCCCGGCAAATCGTGCAAATATCAAATCATTACGACTTGCGATAACATAACTACAACTAACATTCCCAGTTCCTACGTACCCAAATGTACAAGGAAAACGTGAGCGCATATAAAAAATGTTTTGATGTTCCTTAACGCTTATATATGATCATATAATGTATTAACACCCAAATTTCCTTGATTTCCAGCGAATGGTTCTCGTTTATAACGAAACAGCGAAATGAGAAGTGTAATCGTCAAATAAATTTTAACAAAATTTACGATATTTTAATAGTCTTAATATTTTGGTTGGTTTTTTGCTGTCGAATTTCACTAGGAGTAAGAAACATTACATTACGCCATATCATACATTACGCCATCACATTTTACTGCACAAATCCGGACTTAACAAACTTCTTTAGAAATCTGCGACCTTTGCAGTATCTGAAACGAGCATGTAACCTTTTTTAAACAGCAGTCATTTTAGTTCTAATATTTACGTACGGACCAGAAATTGAGAAACAAAATATGCATTAGGATACACAGTACCTAAAAGAGAAAGCTAAAATCAAATCAGCGAAATACAATGCCGGTATGCATACAAGTCACCCCGAGAACGATTACCGATTCTGCGCATGTAACATCTGACAGGGCAACACTTCTGGCGTTTCTGTCACATTATGGGATGATACTAAGCTGTCAATTACAGGCATGTTACAGAGTTAACCTTACTGATCTCGCCCGATGCGCTGGGGCACCGTCACTGCTGTGACACCGTACCACCCTCCCAGCTCACATAAACGCCGACACGACAAAAAAACCAACTTACCCAGCGGATCGGTGCAGTTGATGTTTATGGGAATCCGCGGGATAGGTGGCAGATTGGGATTAGCGTCATCATCCTCGAACGGTTCGTCGCCCGGTAAGCGCGGCAATTTACGCCGCGTCTTGGCCATATCCCCGCGCTCGACAAACAATAGAAACTGCTTCTCATCCGGCGTTAGCTGGGGTTCTCGTCTAATGTTGGCCTGCACGAAAAGTGCTGCCGGCTGCAGATCGGATTCAGTATCGGCGGCTGCCGCAGCAGCAGCCGCGGCGGTGGCTGCATCTTGCCGGCAGAATTCATCACCAATCCCAATTGTGGGCTCAATCTCCGCAGCTGTCGTCATCTTTCTGGACCGCATATATGACAGAGTGTGTGTATATATATGACGATTTAGATGGTTAGTTCGGCTGGATATGTGCCACAAACTGCACAATGCAGTTCAGCCGGCAGACGAGCTGCTTCTCTCCGTTCGTCGGGCCAAGATTTATCATACAAACCTTACTAGTGTGACGCTGGCCCTGCCATTAGTCCGCTTCCCGTTTCGCCTTTCCGGTGATTCCGCCCCAGCCACGTCTGCGTTGTTGTGTGTGTACTGGACCGGTTTGTTTAGATTAAGCAGCGTATGATCTAATAATATGTATAACCAAGCCGGCAAACAGAGCGGCAAAAGGTGTTGTCTGGGGCCGGTTAAATTGTCACCCAGCTCACAGCAACCAATAATCATAAACAATTTGCCTCCTATGATCGGCTCCCACGGAAGGAGAATCCTCACTTGGATGATCACACGCGCAAGGTCCGGACCGGCGAACTAGTGTCCCGGCTTCAAGACTTGATATATATGCTCAATGAGTATTTTAAACACTAGAAACTGGAGCGTCCCCCCTATAACAGCTAGCTTTATCCCACAATCTAACCACTTCCGGTTTGGCTGCTGTTAGGGATTTTATCAACGCTTGGGATATGTAACAAGGAATCATTCATGCGCTGTTGATATTTCCTGTTGGTATTATGACACATCGTCGTGTATTGTCGGTCGTTCATTCCGCATCTGCAAATATGATCATTCAAGAACAGCATCGTGTTTGGCATGCACAGAATTTCTGTGGTCTATTATAGTTCTCTAATCTGCAGGAAAAAAGTGTGATAAGACCCATCATCATAATTATGATGAACTTGATTTCGAAAAGAAATCTTTTTTTGCTTTGACAGGTGTGGAGCGTATGCGTGATAAAATTTGCATGTGATGACTATCCTGGATTATGAAATACAGTTCACAGTGCACACTGTATAAATAAGTAATACATAGTGTGCTCGATACCAAGATTCTGTTACGTGACGGTAAATTAAACATACAATCTCCAGTATATTGCAGCGCAAAATTTTGTAACCAGGTGGGAATGGGCACTGATTTACTTTTCCTCTAATTAGATCTTTCTTTTAACAAAATTCGCAATAATGTTTTTGTAATTTATCTCTGTTATACTAAAATGGTATGCCACAAAATTTGTCGGCTGTTGTATAATGGTGAAACTAAACAATAAATAAAATAAAGCCGGTTCACTTGTTTCTTTTTCGGCGTTTAAGTATAAAGATTCAATGTGGGAATGCTCAGCGTTGTACTGGGAGCTGTTCTTCCTTTTCCTCCACATGTTCATTGGAATGGGCATTTCCATTAGAATCTGTTACTCCAGGTGCAACCATATTTAAACGTACTAAGGAAATTTTTAGATAAAATGAAATACAATAAGCATTATTAACCGTCCTCAAATACGTAGGAACCGATAAATGCACTAAGTACAGTGTGCAATATCACTTTATTATATTTTACGAATAATATTAAGTTGAATTTCTACTCGAATACGTCCGTTTTTAATTACACAGAAACCGATAGAGAAATCCTTTTTCTATCCGTCGATGTAATTATGGTCTTTAGCGAAAAAGCGCACAAAATTAGGCGATTTAAAACTCCTTTAGGTCTTAAGTTTTTGGCACAACTTTTATTAGTCGGCAACACAGTTGATATCTCTGTTCATGGTGGCGGCAAGTGTGCTGGCCGCTATGCCGAACATGCATTAAAATTCATTAGAACGGCGGGTTGAAAAAAGTGTAACCAGGCTCATGTTACAGTATCAAAATCTGCGTACAAGCGACGACACGATCTTATAGTTACAATCTTACACGTTGCTATGTTATGTTTATTACGAACGCCTATTTTTGGCATGATCAGATACTGTTTGTAAAATAAGTATATTAAAATGCATGTTTTTCAACTTTTTAAATTTTACAGTTTAAAATTCACCATTTTATCCTTTGCTGTAGTGGATGCGATAAAGGAAAAAAAATACGCTATCTGATAGCACTTTCACTCATGAAATAACTATCATCTGACAATTGGCAGTTTAGTTGGCAGTGAAGGGCTTTTATGTAATTATTATAAATTAGTCCCCCTTAAACGGAGGCTGTGTATACCTCTCGACATCGAGATGTGAGCAGAAAGTTGTGATAGTATCGCAAAGATAGAGCAGAAACAAAAGTAATAAAACTTATCTCTTAATTTTTCCCTATAATTTTTACAAATATACGAGCACTGTATCTTGTCTCACGGCATTCGGAGACTGCAAAGTTCAACAGGTACAATATTAATTAGGAGAGGAATTCATAACTTCTAGCGCCGCGCCTTACTAATAGGGTATACGGTATTACCGAGTAAAATTACTCTGTATAGAAGTATCTATATACAGAGTACTGTAGGGATTGGATCGTGAGACAGCAGGGCAGCCGCATTACTCGTATGAAAATCGATCAGTTTAAAAAAGATAGATACTCGAACAAATAAAAGTGTACAGCTACTTTTTCTCTTTGGTATTATTGCTTTATCATGCGTAGCAAGTTAACTGTAAAGAAGCTACATAATGCTCTGTGAATGAACAGGGAAGCGAACAATTATTACAATTAGCTACGTATTTACTTCTATGTCGTTTTGGTACAATTCTTCGGTTGTATCTATACAAAATGTTTAATAACTATTTAATGTTTGCGCGCATCCATGAAAGGTAGGTTACCGACAGAAAGCCAAAACATAATTCGAAGTATATTATAATTTGCTATCTGTATATACAACTACAGACTCTGTATACAGTACATCCGTAGACAAGAGCCAAGAACAAATTCAGATCAGGGTGAATTACAAAACATACATTATTATTTATTAGGCGCTAACATATACTATAATAGGTGCTAATATAATATATGTTCACAAATATAATATATTTGCAACCTATTGAGTACATTGTTATCAGTTTATGTACTATTAATTCTAAAACAATTTCACCCATGACTTTCAATCCGATCGGAATCGTCGTGTGTTCATAAAACACAGTATGTCGAAGTGCAAAAACGGACGCGGTGGTGCTATAGATATTATCGTCAACCGTAGGTTTCGCTTCATTTAGCTGTTACGACCGTAACCAACCATTTACAACAGTGAATTGACATAGTAATCAAGCCATTTATTCTTATCCTAATAGCCATATTTAAGCGATGATTTCCGCTGATCGCTTAATTGACCTAAGCATCGTTTTAAGGAGTAATATTTTTTTAGGCTATGATGTTGGCTTTTTCACGGATAGGTACGACTGCTAAAAATTTATAGCAGGTTTAGCCAACGCAAGTATTGTACAAACAATAAAATTAATTTCAAGCTCATGTACATCATCGCAAGACAGCAAAAAATAACAGTTACCGTGAAATACTCATTTTCTTGATACGTTGTTTATGTGTACGGTATACCAATGCCCCATGTGTACTAATACAGTACCCACAAACATTTATAAATACAGGATTTCTGGACTTCGCAATTAAAATTTATTGTGCACCAGTGTCAGATGTACATGTACAATATGTACAGTATGTATGCACCGACAAAATGTAAAATAAGACTTAAGACATATTTTAAAAAGTGGTCGGCTACTCAATAAACGTTATTTCTAGAAAGAGATTCAGCAGAATCGTCAAAAAACCTTAAAAATAACAGGAATACTGCATTCTGCACAACTTTTGAATAGATTTTTGTAGATGTAGAAAAATTTCATTTAAAAGAATCTGTTTTACATGCCCAAAATTTATTACATTTTAAACTGCAGACAAACAACTCAAGACTGACACAGTACGACAGAAGTACTACTTGTATCCTTGTCATTAATTAACGTTGCACCACATCACAAATACAAAGTAAGTAAGGTTACTGTGGCTTTCGATATCTGATCATTTCTGTGATCGAAAATCGGAGCCTTAAGCAATCGTGTAAGAAAACGAATAAATGCGGGGATTGTCAGCAATATACAATGTGCTCAATATGACCGTGTTCATTATATTATCGACAGTAAAAACCCAATCCAGAGATATGCTTTCCTTTTTTACTGTTTACAACACAGAACGAAGGCGCATGGTTGCCAGTAGTCCTTTCGTTGGCTAGCACGGCTAACGTAAACATTGCGCTCCATTCATGAAGTCATAGTAGTGCAGTGTTGGCTCAAATCCATGATTTGCGCCAGGAGCAATAAGAAATCCGATAAACAGCTGCATAAACTGTGCTATGATTTATGCAGATTTAATTGACACTGATTTCGACAGATTTACATAAAGCCCCTAACAGCACTACGCCCAATATGCGCTGCAATTCTCTGCTCTAAAAGCTAAAAAGGCCAAGATATTATTCTCACTTTGTGGTGTAGACATATCAATCAAGTACATATAAACAATTTCAAATTTCAAACACCAATAAAACTGTTTTCTCGCAGTAAAGTACCACCAAAACAAAAATGAGACATTATAATTTGCACTTAATAATGTTCAGCTAACAAGGGAGATGCTACCACAATGCAGTGAAAATTTGAAGGCGGCCATAACACTTCCGTTTAGTAGGTACAGTTTGGAAACTGTTATCAAAGAATATTCCAGAGCCGATCGGCACAATGAATCAGTGGTTGTTTTAAATCCAGTTAGCTCCCAAGTCACAAAATGTACTCTACTATTTCGGACCAGGGTAGTTTAAATAGACTTTCGATGCTTGTAATTTAATTATAAGTTACCAAGTGTTTGTATTAATCATACAGTATACCTACAGTAGAGGTGCATCAAATGCTGCTTTAGAATCTAGGATACCGGTACCGATCACTCTCAGGCGTTAAAGTCAATTCGCGTTACGGTATGCTGCCGGTAAATCCGAATGTTCAGTTTTCTAACTGTAAGTTCCGCTGCAGTGAGATACAAGGACTGCAGATATACAAAAAAATTTTCTGAAAACAAAACACGTAGAATTACAATTAAATAATTTATACAGCTACGTCGTATTTTCTTGGAGATTCAATGGCGGGTTCGTAAATGCCAGCAAATTGTTTTATTACACATTTGTTCAACTTAAGTATTTGCTTAGCATTATTTATTTACTTGTCGCTACTCTTACGTTTATCACGTTGCCTAAAAATTAATGTAAGTGCAAAAAATCGTGCAAGAAAATATAAGTAGCAGTACGCATAATTAAATTAGCTATATTGTCAATGCTTCGAAGCTTTAGTTCAGTGTCCACCGTCCCGGTCCGTTTGACATAGCGCATCGCTCAAATCTACTGAGTACTGTTTTAGTATTGCTTCATTATGTTGTGAACTCTGACTAAAGTATCTCAGTTCGTTTAAATTAAGAAAATAAAATAATAATATTTTCAAAAGATATTCATTCAGGTGTTGGAAATGTCATATTTTACTTGTATACGTACTGTGATGGCATTTTCCTATAACACAACGACATAAAACAGAGATTACAGATGCATGAAACATTTTTTGTGGTTCATGGAGCTTGATAGCAAAAGATGCACTTAATGGCTTTTCCACATTGAGCAATTGGTTTACGAGGAAATGCACAAAAGAATCGTTGTTTTCTCGTTGTTGCATATGGTCATAAGACTGGAAACTCATCAGAGCTGAAAGCTAATACGAAATATTTCCGTATTTTTATGGAGCATTCGCGAGCAATATTATATTATTATAAACTTGTCGACCGTTTCGCCGTCGTGCAAATTATAAGAGGACGCCCATCGTACGGTACAAGACTATGCTGGAACAGCAGCTGAAAGTGACATTCCTGACCATGTTGTTACATACCGTCCAACGACCGCATACATGCTAACATGCTAAACCTATAATCATGCGCTGGGCAAATACAGCATAATATATCTACAAGATCTAGAAACAGACGGAACCAGAACAGCAAAACTAGTCTTCCTTCAGTTCCTGTTTCAACCTCAGCTCAACATCTGTCAGTCTGAGGACCGTTTAACCTATTTCGGAATGTCGAAGGAATGGATGACACTTATCATTCCAGTACGTACTGCAAACTACCCAATCCAGACGCTAATGAAAATGCGTGATGTGATGCATAAAGATGTGTGCGCTTGCTTATATTATGCAATTATAAGCAATATCCGGTCCCATGCTGGCTCTTTAACAACAGTCGTTTGACTGAATATAATTATTATTTAAGATTTTCTGGCAACTTGGTGACTTGTTTTTGCAACGAGAATCGTAAAAAATGGAATTTACATAAAACTATCCTTTTCGTCATGCAGATTTTACTTACTTAGCCGGTATTACCAAGTTCATTTCACATGATTATTACAGATAGCTCCTGTCACGTCAGCGGAGATTAAAGCGGGACGTATCGATATCTCGGTAGTCACAAAGCATCATTCATGGAGTAATCCTTCCGATATCTCTATGCAGGGAAATTGATAGGCCAACGCAGACCGACCAATAAAACATATCCATCTGTATCAGCTCCCACCGGAAACAGTAATGACATATGAAACAAAATGGTCATTCATTCACGGTGCACTAGCGCCAGAATAGTCCCAATAATTTGCAATCCGTACAGGGGTGAATACATTAAGCACAACGTTGTTGACACACAACATGCCCGCTAGCGGTAAACGATGAATGTCGAAACAATGCGCTTATGACCTCGGCTAACCGTAAGATATTCATGGGATTGGATAGAGCTGGCAGCGTAATCCAGATGACAGAATAATATGATTTGTATAATAAGACACTGGCAACATACTTAGCATAATATGTATCGTTCTGGACATTTGATAAATGCCTGCCAACATATACAAATAACACGCGGCGGCAAACGCTGCAAGCCGGCACTGATGAACCGCGTTCCGCTTCGCTTGTGGCAGTTAGAAAGAGTTAATGCAAGAAATTCGTGGGAACCAATAATACGGGATCGGATGCGGGTGAGCCGAACCGCCTGTATGGTGTACAGGGCAGTGCAGCATCTATGAGTCAAAAGAGGAACAAGGGCCAAACCCGGCATCTGCCTATGTAGATAAACAGATACAGAGGGACAAGAAGTGACTGGTTCCGCCGATATATCCTTCCTGTCAACCAACCACACCAGACGGATGAGTTGCAGGATTCTCCGATCGGCACACTACTATTGCAAGCGGCATCAACAGCGAGCGACAGCGCCGTTCTGTGATTGCATTACCAGCGTTGGCGGCGGCGCGCGCGAGGGGAGAATAAAGTTTTGCTTACATTAGCTTCTTCCCAGATACATACAAATATGAGTACTCAACTGCAGTAAATAGGCCGACCCAATGTAAAGACGGAGAAGATTGAGCAAGATAGGCTGTGAAGATGGATTTTCAATCTCTTCGCTTCCGCACATGCATCTTCATAATTCACAGTATTGCAGATATTATAAATAATATTTCGTATGTTTGACAAAGTTGTATAACAGAAGTGCATGGGGCAATTCAAACTGGCCGTAGGTCGAAGTTACAAAAATTTTCCTGACTTAAGGTTGCAGGATAATTACGTCTGTGTACTCGTATAGAGACCGCTACATACATAACGCTTCCGCTAGACGTTTGATGTGTTTGTACATGGACAACATTTTGTCCAAGTAAACTTTTCGATCTAAATGAGCGCGGGCGCCAATAGCATAATGTTCCGATAGCTAACTGCTAAAAGCCAATTTTCCTTCTCCACTCGGCTTTCATTATAAAAATCTGCACATCTGGCCAAGCATCGCAACGGGACGTCATCCAAAGGAGGAGCCGCAATTTCCGATGTATCTTGACCGTTAAACTAAAACCGATACTAACTCAAGACAGGAATAGAGCTTCTTGCCATAACACTCTTTTGCCATTACTTCAAGCTGTTGTTGACTTCTTCCTGGAGTTCGTCAATTAGATACGTAGTAAGAATGAGCTTCGTGCATGAGAACATGTAATTATACATTCTTAAGACAGCCGTTTGGGAATCTGATCGCAATCCATTATGTAATCCATTTATTTCGGTTCAGCACATATAACCTTTAAGAAGCTAACAATAAATTATATCTGCGATATTCAATATATATGACCCTGTATCAGAATAACAAGATGTCGAACAAGACCAACCGATACTCATAAAAACTGGTGTGGTGTTCCTTGTTTTTCATAGACTTATCCAGTCGTTGTGTACACATGTACCGTATTAAATTTTGTTTTCATGTTGTCGGATGCTGGATTCAGTACTACTTTTCCTGCAGTGTCTAGTACAGTACTGTGTGTTCAGGAATCAACATATACAGAGTTTCAAGATATACAGATTTTGTTTTGATACAAGATTTATGCGAAATTTTAAAGTCACAAATGCCCAAAAATTTTGTTAAGGGCACGTTTAATGATACACAACGTCTCAAATAGCAAACCGAGGGTCACGAATTGCGATCATATGTACAAGTGCCCAAAGAACGTGTAATAATGTATGCGCCGTTCCATACGAATTGTGGTTATTAGCAGATCCGCAACAACTACGTATCTATATCAACATGTACATGCATACGGTACTAAATTAAAAACAAGTTAGTTTTTATACGCTATACGGATATTGCATACGTATAAAGCGGTTTTTCCAGATATTCACAATCAAGGGAAACCAGCAATTAAACAATGCCTGCTAGCTGCCGAAATTAACGATCATAATGGATCATTCGAGCTGTGCAATTACTTACTACAATGGCTCAAAAAGTTGTTTAATGAGCAATACTCCTCCCGAAATCAATAAAACAGATTAAAGTATTCTGATGTTTTCCGTTAATGCGCACTGCAGAATCGGATTTCAGAAAGAAGAACACTAGGCGTCTGACCACCGGAAAACTGTACAAGCTCGCAAAAGACGCCCTGACAAGGGATCCCTTAGGGATCAACATCAAGTCAGCTTGTTTAAATGAAAAACTGACTACCCGTAATTCCCCTGACGACGCAAGAGCAACAAAACCCATTCCTGGCTAATCATGCTACAATCTCGAAATCGGAAACCTTTGCACCATCTTAGACGGTAACTGACTTATTAGGGCAGACCCTGGTGTCTGCATGGATGCAGCGCAGTGGCGCACTGCCCGAAACTGCCGGAGACATCCACGCTGCAACGTCCCATTACGTTCTGTCTGGTGACCGGCACCCAGCTTGTTAACACACTGGGCCTCTCGTGACTGGATGGAATCGTGAATTATCGGCGCTAATGCATCCGCACATTGTTTCAGCTGAGCGCCAGCGAACGTCTTAATTACTGCACACACCAAAGCTCTTCTAATCTGACAACACATGGTACTCCGTTACAAGCTTTCCCACGACATCTTAAGATCACTCGCAATCACGCCGAGTCTACTCAAGCCAATACTATGGATCGGGAGGAGTGCGCACCAGGAGAAAGTGCATCGCCACTGTTTACCAATGCCGACTGAATTTGTTTGTACATTTTCCGAAAGTCGCTGCGTTCTCTGCTGGTCAGAAATTGAGTTTTTTACTGCCGGAAAGACGGGTACATAAGTAGCGGCAACATTCCACCCCAGATGCATTGGTCTACGCTGAAACAGTTAAATATCCCAATTAAGACAGCATAACGAAAACTGAAATTTTTTATCTGGAATACAGAAGAGCTTTGCTCGCTCACACTGTACAAATGTCTAAAAACATACCCTAAGCGGTTTATAAGGTCTATCCGCATTTCCTTTCTTTTTCTTTATTTATTGTACAGTATTACGAGTACCCGCAAAAACCTAAGCAGTAATCCATTTAATCGACGGTAAAACAACGAATAATATACATTACTTATATAGAACATCTATATTCTATAATGGGTAAATTTGGCTGTTGAAGGCACGATCATTTTTCGAAATGCGAAACTCCGCGAAAAGTATACTGAACAGCAATATTAACCATAAACAGTAACGTAACTAAAGAAAGCAGCTAGCGTACGCACGCTTATCAAACTGAACTAAAAATTTGATTACAGTATTTAAAGCACTGCAATTTGCGACTATGTAAAATATTGCCACCACAATCAGCAACCCAAACTGACAATGGCCTTACCATGTTGGAATTTGTCGAAAAAATTTCTTCTGTGATTTATTTCAATGAACCCTACAAGTAAAGATTTCATAAATTGGTTTTTTACAACGACGTCTACCATTCGCACGTCTTTCAGGAAATAGCCTGAAGTTCCTAAACTCTGAACTTCCGTACGCATTCACCGTGCTGCGCAACCTCCTTTAAATATCCACACATCCCAGAATAACGTTTTGGATGAGTAAAGATCTAGTCATGAGCGTATTAACAGCACGACTAACACCTCCACCCACCCGAAACGCTATGGGTTTCCGCAATTTTTTCCAAAACAGGAATCTCGCCGTTCACAAATCTCTCCAAAGAAACCGAGATGGTGGTTTCCGATCCATTCGTCTAAGCCGACTATCAACGTCACCTGATGCAAGTATTGATTGTGCAATAAATCCCATCACATGACCTCCCCGAATCCATTTGTCCGAAGTGACCTATCAATATCACACCAATTTCCTGCAGAGTTTTTGTCCCCCAAGTCCAGTCGCTTTAGAAATGTCCAGTATGTCATACCAGCAACAGGAGTTCAGCGCAATGAATTGTTGTGAGGCGAAAATTCCAGGTTACCACGGTTCACTGCTGAAAAGCCCATTCGTCCGAACAGGTATCCACTCCGTGCTAATTTTATAGAAAGACCATATGCATAAAATTAAATACCCTAATAGTTTTTGGAAGGATTTTACTGCGCTTACGACAGTACTAGTTCTTTTAAGTAACTTCAAGGCTTTAACAAGGGGGCTTACCCTATAGTGCGTCCGCACGAGACTAAAGAATGCTTGAACCATTTTGTAAGTGATAGTACTAGTACGGTTGTACCGTGTATATTCATCGATGCGACAGGAAAGACAGTGAAGACGCAAAAACTTCCAGTTTCCTACCGGACTCACGGTCTCTGAATGAACCCTACGTTCCCATTTAGCAGACACGATAAAGCCCTTGTAGAACCACGAAGAACCACAGTAAATGATCCACAGGGTTTCAAAATCTTCAGTCTAATTCCTGAAATGTACGATCACACAAGGACGTGTGCAATTTGCGGTAAATCATAAAATATCATCAAGAAAAACCAAAACGGGCAAAGAACCTTCAATCCCCATTTTCAGCTCTCTTCCCGGGAGGACCGGGACGAAATTAAACCAGAAATGAGAAACATCAAGAAAGTACCGCTCCAGAAATATTCAACAGGTAGGGACAGGCCGTTTCGCTGTTGAGGCATTTCAAGGCATTTAAGGCCGCGATTCGCCATCTGTTCATTGTGGTAAGCTGTTATGTTAAAATCGGTGCGAAAAGGTTCTGTATATGCACTGTTTTGCTCAATGCGGCTTCGCATTTGGCATAATGAACTTCAGAATCGGCACGTGACTTCAGAGTTGAGAGAGACAACCGCCGATGCCACTGTTATTATTTTGGTCAATTTTTGGTCAATTTTTTTTGGTTTTTTCACCCGAATAATAAAAAAATGGTTTGTGAATGTCAAATTGCGGTGGGCATCTTTTTTTGGAAACAGACGGTGGCGGGCACCTATTTGTATTTACTCCCATACGTTAGGGAAGTTGCTCCGCCCATTGTCCTAGAGAGCCTCCAGCCAGTAGTCTCCATTGTACTCGATATGTACGAGTACTGTACTTGTTACTTATACTTAAACGTAAAATACTTAAACGTTAATAAAACTTAATATTAATAATTATACAACTATTATACGTGTAATAACAACTATTTTACACTATTATACAACTATTATAGTTTCTCAATTATACGTGTGATATACGATAGACAAATATATCTATACTCTTATTTATTAAACTTTATTTACTGCAGAAACTCTGTTCCTGTTTTTTCCTGTCTTCTTTCGTGTTTGGCAATCAATGAAATCATAATACTGTTTTTTTATATAGAAAATATTTTTGCTATTGACTTTTGTCTGCTGCCATGAGGGGGCCTTCGCCCCGTTGCAAAGGACATTAAATCAATCCTTAAAAAACACTTTAATTAATCGTAAACATCCTACACCGCCGCCGCCTCAAAGGAAACAAAGAAAAACTAGAAGCATGTTCATTTGCGCGATAAGTTCATTTTTTCTGACCTTGCTTTTGAAACCATGCATGGGGCAGGGCAGCCAACTCTAAATTATGTAATTACTGTTACCGGTAAAATGCCTTTTGAAAGGCCACATGAGAAACGATATATCTATTATCTATACTCAAGTCAGTTTTTGAAACAACGGACCAGTTTTGAGCCATTGCACGGAAACGCAGCAAATTTGCAGGAGACATTCTGCATCGGCAGAATGACCACGTTTACTTACGTACTGGTGTCTGGTGGTCAACAGACTTCACAAATTTGTACCAAAGTACTGACTGTACTGCACCTGTATCTATATAGTTTCTGTATCTGTATACCGCATATCTATAAAGTAGTATTATTGTGTGTATTAAATTCCATTCATACTCGTCGTTTAATATACTGTACTTACTCGTAAATTACGTATACAAGCATACCGGCGCTTCACTGAAAACAGAAATCCAGAGTCTGTGAATCGTAAATCTACAACTAGGTCATATCCAGGGCACTAAAACTGGGAGGCACCCACACCAACAAGCAGGACCATAGTGTCATGGGCCGCATGGCCATGCCGGGGTACAGTCCTAATATCGCATGATACAGTAATTATGATTTTCTAAAACTCACCAGTCGACTTGTAGTAACATTCTCTACTTTAATACAATATTATAACTCCGTAAAGCACTTCAATACAGTTCACATAAAATAAAAATTGTCTACATAAAGGCCACAATATAAATTAATTTTTCATTACAATAATATGCAATGCAGTATCCAGTATGTCCCACTCCCACCATACTTTGCAACCACGCATTTAAAGGATCAGCCCGCTCAGTGCTGACTTGCCAGGACGTGCGATTACGTTAGGTTCGGACTTCGGATCTGTGTTTTTGATAAATTAGACTTTAGTCATTAGTGGTTCTCAAAATCAATTCTTCCGCTTATACTATTTGCATCCGCTTTTGTCGGGTTGATTGCAGATAGAGCAGCTAGCTTCTGACTCTGGTTGTGGAAGCAGGAATGGTTTTGTCATCAGGATTTCAGCCTTCGAGATGCGAAACGGGCTTTGTCTTACAGTTTTCATCAGGAAGTATTGCAACATGGGTCTCCTTTGCGTAAAGCTGTGTGCCATTGCCATTGGCCATTGCTGCTGCCAGTATTGAATCATTTTATGACGATCCTTGTAACTTACCTTGATAACTGTTACTGTATTACAAATTATAATTCCGAATTCTTGATCCTCTTGGGGTATGCGTTATGTGATTGAATGGACGAGGATCATTTTGCTAGTGGCGTACTTTTTTCTGATTGCTTAGTGGTGAAGCCCTAAACAGTAAGGGGGGCCTTTTGCGCGATATCATCGTCATTTAGAGACAGCAGATCTGCCAATTTCCAGACTTGTACCTACAGCAGCCGCTGTGGTGTAGTATGCCTTGAAAAGGATGCTTTGGCGATGAAATCCACAATGCCCGCAGTGCCTTGCTCAGTGGAAACCAAAGAAGACGGGGGAGACTTCTCCCACCTGTGTCGCAATGATGCGGATCTGGGCTTCGTTGATTTGCGGAGTCCGTGTGGCGCAAAGCCCCTGCGTTATTATTATGTGCGGGAGGAAATTGAAATTGTACGTAACAAGTAAATTATGTAACTATGCTATCTAAGCTGATTCTTTGCTTCCAGGATGGCGTTCTGTCCTCCAACATCGCGGATTTGCTTCAGTAAGAACGTTGTCATAGCGTTAACTTGCCGTTATTAATTAAAAATATTTACATTCTTTTCTTTTAGAGCTAGCTTAGTTGGCCATGAAAAAGCCGTCGAAGCATTCAAGCCCTTCGCAGTTCAAGCCAAGAAATCAAAGTCGTAAGGCTTTCATGGATTGTTTTCTGTTGTCAATCATTATTTTACTAATTTACAGAGTTGACGATGTCAAAGAATTGGTTACTAACTACGAAAGAATTCTGGAAGAATGCGTGGAGGTGAGTACTACAACTTTATTGCAGTATGGCATGGAATAAGATGAACTTCCTTATTTCCTCTAAAGATCGTGCAGCCGTTCGTTCCCACGAGAATGCAGCCCGATCCGTTGAATACTGTGTTGGCGCTGGTGTATAACCGAAATATTGAGAAAGTCCGCGATCTGAACAATTATGTTCCATTTTCGCCAGAGGTAAGTTGATAAATGTTGCGATTTAATAAGAACAGTACTAGTACTGCAGCTTCACGAATCACTGTTAGCACATTTGGCATAATGTTTTTAGACCTACGGAGAAACGACGTATGATTTCATTGTGAAAATGATTGATGAAATGAACATTGGGGAGAACGACATGTTTTTGGATTTGGGAAGTGGTAAGGGCATAACTGGAATTATTGAAATACGTAATTGGCTGCTGTAATTATATCAATTGATACATGCATGGCAGAAATTTCGTATCTTTGACGTATTGTTGTACACCTAGAGTACTGTATAATGTATTTTTATGTCCAGCTAAAATTGTTTGTACTGAATACTGAGTAATGAATATTCTGAAGTTTTTAAATTTTTTTTGTGTATGATCACAAATGATTCTGCTCGTGTATGATAGTACCTACAGTACGGTAACAGTGCGCAAACAATTTGCAGTAGTTGCATACACGCTACCCACTGCACTGTCATATGTCATATTTGGCAGGAGTTGGCAATGTAATCATCCAAGTGGCTGCCTTGTGCCACTGCAAAAAGCTAGTCGGAATTGAAATAGTGGAAGCCCGGGCGAAATTTGCAGAAGTAAGGAGGATATTGATTTTTTATTTTAAAATATTTTAAAATAATTTCAAAATTGTACTGGTGCATAGTTTGTACTCGTACCATGATACTTATTAAAGGTTTTGCCACTTAAATTGTACTTGTTTAACTAGAAAATAGACAGGGAGTTTCGGTCGTTAATGGCATGGATGGGCAAAGCTTACGGAGAATACGAGGTAAATGCATTGATTTTTGCCGTGATTTCTGCAGTGCAGAGAATTTTCATTCTTTTATGGGTTTTTAGCTTTTCCATGGAGATTTTTTGGAAAAAAAGTACCGTGATTTAATCCTGGCTTCAAAGTAAGCTGGCTGTTTTTTATAATTTGGTTGGTGTGTATTACAAGTGCTTGTCCACAGCGTCATATTTTGCAACAACTATGCCTTCACGCCAAAGTTGAATCTGCAGCTTAAAGTCATTTTCGGCGAACTTCCTGAAAGTAAGGTGTTCATTATACTGAATTCGCGTTGATAAGAAATTATCTCGGCTTTTTAGAAGTGCGGATTCTGGTTTCCAAAAGCCTCAGAGATGAAAAATTTAGAATTTACGACGACAAAACGGCAAACGGTGTGTTATAACGAGTTTCTGCTGAGTTATCTGAGTTTCTGTTGTTAGTAGTTACACTCTAACAACTTCATGCAAGTCAGGGTTATGTTGCTCGGGTGCTAATCGTTATTATTGTAGATCCCTCCGCGTTGTTACCAGTGAGAAAGACATTCCCTGGCGAAGTGTCGTGGACCGACAGCCCGGTGACCTTTTTCCTACATGAAGTTGATCGCACTATGGTAAGATGCCTGAGTTTGTTCGATTGTGGACGAAGACTCGCGTGTGGGTTCAGTTCTTATTTGCAGATTCAGCTTATCTTGTTGGATAGGTTTTTATTCATTAATTGCATGCAAACTTTGTTTACGTCACGGCATTTTAGCATTTTAGCGCCTTTCGGCACGCTCAACCTTACATAATGATGTTATCTTTCCTTACAATTAGGTGGAAAAATTTTTCAAGTCAAGATTGGATCCAGAGTTGAGGGTAAATTTTTCGTGGGGAAATTTGATCACCCATACATTTTGCTAATGCAGTCTTTACTTAATTACCTAATTTTGTTGCACAGGCGCAGTTCGAAGAAGAACAACGCCGGAATCGACCAAACTATTACGAGTCAAGCTCCGAGCAAGATTCGCAAGGTATTGAACGTGACCGTTCCGAGCCGGATAGCACAGAAGATGATGAAATGGAGCGGCCAAGGCGGCGAATTGCCACGCGGAGCCAAATTAAGAAGGGTGGCCGACGGGCTCGGAATCGTAGCATTACTGACGAGAGCGATGATAGTGAGGAAGACGAGGTACACTATGATTATGAGCACGCTTCAACGTAACAGTATCGCTGATTATAACGTCTATTTGATAGCGTACGCCTTCAACTTTGAGCGATCGTTCGGTATCTTCTGAGGCTTCAAGTGGCCGCACACGTTCAATTCCTCAGGAAGCTGCTCCGCGGCCTAGCACTAAGCGGAAACGAGGCCGACCACCCAAACAGGCTAACCGTGTAGCTCCGTCGTCGTCCGGTAGCTCCGTTAAAGGCGCATTACAGGCACTTCATAAGCATACCGTTAAAGGAATTCGAGATGTTGGTAAGAATCATCAGTTATAATGGTTTTTATGGTGATTGAAAAGATCGGATAAAAATTATGGGAAATTTGGTTGGGAAACTTTATTTACTCGATGGTGCTTTTCTGCTTTTAATAGATCGATCTGCTCAACCCGGGTGCGCCGTTAACAGTATTAATGGGGCTGCCCAAGACAGCGACGATCTTCCAGAGCCATTTCGGATATGTCTAAGTATGAAATTGAGGCGGTACTGAAGTTGTTTAAGTGATATTTTTCGTCTTTCTGTAAATCATGTTTCCTTATGTAGAAAATATGGAAAATGCTATGCGAGAGTATACAAAAGCAGTACGAACTCCTGGTTACCGAGATTCTGTCGGACAAAAGTTATTGAATATGGAAGTAAGTGCTAATATAGCCGTATTATGGTGTAGTTTATTACATTTTGGTTTCTTTGTATGGATAATCTTAATTTAGCAGTCCGACTTCTCTAATGTACGGCTGTTTACTATGGTAGGTGGAGATGCGTTGTTTAAAAAGTGCCCAGGAACGTTTATGCAAAGAAGTCGGCATATTGCGAGGTTTTGCCTATGCGCAAATGAGATCAATTTTTGAGCAGGTGCGGCTTCGTTAATTGCTCTTTTGAAAATTAAGAGCATTTTCTTTTCGCTGACATGGTTCTGCTTTTAATCCCCAGTTCAAAATGCCGATGCCAACTACCGCAGTTGAACTACAAGAAGCTAGTCGAACTATGTTAGATACCAATCAGCTGTTGAAGCATCGCCACGACACCTTAAAGGACGACATATTCTGGTTGAAAAATGCTCAAAAATATTCGGTACGATATTTATTAACCCGCAAACGTTGCAATACAGTATCGATATTTTCAGACTATACTTTTAATTTCCGCTTCTGTGTTATTCATATTTTAACTGCGCTAAAAATAATTATCACTATTCTGTCCTCAGAATAATTACTGAATTGTTTTTGTGTGGGTAGGACTCCGATTCGAACAATCCTTCAGTGAATGGCAATGTCAGCCTCTGTCCTACCGGTCCTGCAGTATTAAATATTGGTGCGCCTTCGGTGCGGCCTACAAACGAGAAGGCTTACCCATTTCAGCAACCTCCGGTGCCATCCGCGGTGTTTTTTCCTCCATCAATAGCTCCACCTGGCAGCGGCGGTCGTGATCACAAAAGTGCCCGAGATGGTGATCATGGTAAAAAAGGCCATCCTTCCGATGCACACCGGAAGGTTCCAAGAGAAAACACGGACAGTTCCAGTAAACATAGTCGAGGATTCGGCAGGGAGGCTAAAGATTCCGTTTCGCGGCCGCAGTCTTCGGATCACCAGTTCCGAGAGCCCATATCGCCCTTTGGAGATGATCGTGTGGATAAATTTGTTAAGTCTGATCAGAAAAAGCCCCCCGTGGGCAACCTTAGAGGTCTCTCTCCGTCGATCTCGACGGAAAAAAGCCATTCAGCCAAACCGTCGAAGCACGGGTCAGATCGACACCACTCTGACAGCAGCTTCAAGGAACCAAAGGAGACAGCGGGCAGCGCCAACGCATTACCAAAGTCAGCCAATGTGGACCCTATGGCAGCGTTCTATCGCATGCAACCCATGGCATACCCGGTTGGTTATCCGGACATGAGTGGCTATCCCGCAGCTTTCGGAGCCATCGGAATGCCTGGCAGCAACGGAAGCGTTCGGCCACCCATGTGGTCGCAGTATCCTATAGGGATGTTTGATGCCTCGCAGTTGGCCGCATCCATGACTGCATCGTTCAGTGCATTTCCCGGTGGGACGGGAACACGAAACGATCGCCACATTGCTCAGGATGGACCGGCGATGGCTGGCTCGAATTTCGAAGCTATTTCGCCGCCCCCACCCCCTCAGCCATAATTATAAATCAGGGGTTTTTTGTTGAATTTTCTACTTTTTGAAATTTTTACGGCAGTATTTTGTGATGTCTCCGGAACGGTACACGTAACAGGTCGGTTTACTTGTGACAAAGGCATTTATGATGCAGTGATTATGGGACTTTTTTGTTTTATAGTAATGTATCAGTCCACTTTTTTGTTTCGAGATTGATGCGCCACTTACGAAGTAGTGATCGTGTTAGTGTAATTGATTTTTGTGCATCCGTGAGACGGTTTTGAATTTGGTTGTATAAAAGTCGTATGAGTAGTTCAGGACCCAGGAGCGTGTTATCGACGCGAGCATTTCGGTGGAACATGTGCGGCGCAGTTTTACGCAGAGAAATCGCCAAAGCCATTGCAGAACTTCATATCATAACCTTCGCTCACAACTGATATGACCAGATTGTCGTATCAAATCTAAACCACCCGCTCAAAATAATTTACACCATAAAAAAATAAAAAAAGAAACAGATTACGAGAACTACAAAAAAATCAAAGATCTAGTTAGTAGCCAGCTAGCAGTTAAAAGTCAACTGGAAGTATTACTTTCACCAGATTTGGTATGCGTGAAGCATACGCTTGTTGCAATGATGTCAAAAAAGAAATTTACTTTTTAACACCTGGTTTCGGAATTCTCGATGGCACGGCCACACTAGGCGCGGGAAGGCGTACCGCGGGACGGGGAATTTTACTGACAACCGGTGCTTTAAGGGCGGGATTGCTGTCAGCCCGTCCTGGTCCCGCCGGCACACCATTGTTAACAGCCAGTTTCTTCTCTGTTCCGGAAATATTCCCCAAGGAAGTGGCCCGATTCATCCCGGGATTCTTCGTAGATTTCGTCACAGGGGGGCCCGGAGCACGCAGAATTCCCTTGGAAGCTGGTGCATTCCCTTTCACAGGCTGCTTTGATGTTGGAATGGTTGGTTTCACGGGCGCTGCGGCTTTCGGCTTCTCCTTAATCTCCTTTTCGAATGTCTTGTTAACAGGTTCAGGCGACATGGATTCTTTGGAAAATGTCCCATTGAGCTGCTCGGCATCCGCGTTCGGTGCCATTTTATCGAAATTAGCATTGCTTGTCTTGAGTTGTTGTGGCTTTCCAGCACCTTCCGTTAATCGGTGTCCAGACAGGGGCGACTGATTTTTGATGGGCGACATGTCATGGAACTGGCGCGCCAGACTGTTGGCAACGGAAGAGTTGGCCGCGTCGATTACGCCCGTCTCAACATGAGTGCCATCACCTCGCCCGTTTAATCTACCGTTCTCGCCTTCCTTAGCGTGGTGCGGCGTACTGTGGAAGGGGGAATGGAGCAGTTCCGAGTGCTCCAGGAAGAAAGCAGCGTCATTGATTGAGTCCATCGACGAGGAACGCTGGAAGCCCATTGCGCGACGCGGTGGCATCTGCTCGCCCGACAACCTATCGTTTACAAATTCATTACAATTTACACGCCCTTTCCAGTGACAAACACACAACAGCAACAAAGTATTCTATAGTACAGCGAGGGAGAATTATGGTATACCGTATACAGAACTCCTTACCATGTTTCTTCGTTTGCAATGCGCATGTCCATTCCATACAAATCAATCAGTTCCAATTCATCTACAGCAGCATAATGTTCCGGAGGCATACGCTGTGGACTGAGATCCGCGGAAAACGGAAAGGATTGTTGGGCAATGCGACTTTTCGAGTTCTTGGTGTCCATCGCTCAGCTTGGGCAGAGATCGAATGGGCAAAACGTCTGTCGTGAAACTGCCACAGCGCAAAAGCGAATTCGATCACGTTAGCCTCATCGGTCGTTAGGAAATCGCAGATTTTCGAGCAGGTTACCTAAAGCCCCCGCATGACTAAGATGACTTCACTTTATTTCACCGTCTTACTGTCTTAAGACTACTAATGCTAGTGCTGGTACAGGCAAAAGCAGTACCTAAGGTCCAGATTCCAGAAAGCTGTTGGAAGAAAAATCGAAGTGCAGGAGGCAGTTAACCAGCTATAGAAAACTATGTTTTTTCACGTGTCCGCCGACGCTAGGCCGCCGTCGCTAATTTTATATTACGTGCAAAAAAATGAGAAAATGTGCTTTTTCTGTTTTACTAGTTACTTGAGTACTCTTGTATGCTGTAAAATAAATAACTATTGTTACTAAAACTCACATAATTTTGATTATGAAGCTTTTTGAATAGACCAACCGGCAGTGCACAGAAACACAAATTATAATATTACTTGGGTAGTATGTACTGTACTTATTAGGAGGAAGTAAGCTGTAATATTAATCCTGTATATTAAAGCAGAGATCTGATTCCGGAACGCTCCCGCCTCCAAAACGTTCTGATTGACCAAAACCAGCCTTACGTTTCTGATTGGCCGGAACCCGCCTAGCGATTTTTAAAATTTTGCAGCCCCTTAAACCTGTGCTGTTACGCCTTTATCCTTACTAAGCTTCCGAAATTTAGTGCTTCTATCTGTAAAACCTTCGCCTGATAAACCGAATCTCACATGTAGCATTATTCCTTACTAAGCTTCGATGAACACCTTATTGCTTTTGGTCACCGATGGCCACGCGTGCGGTACCCCCCCTTTTATGCCTTTGGTCACATAAGGCCACGCGTGCGGTACCCGCATTTTGAAGCCTTTGGTCACCGAAGGGAACGCTTGCGATACCCGCCCTTTTAAGCCTTTGGTCACCGAAGGGCACGGGTGCGATTCCCACCCTTTTATGCCATTGGTTACCGAAGGCCTTTTAATCGTTTGGTCACCAAAGACCACGCGTGCGGTACCCGCCCTTTTAAACCTTTAGTCACCGAAGGCTTTTTAAGCCTATGGTCACCGTAGGCCTTTTAAGCCGTTGGTCACCGAAGGCCTTTCAAGCATTTGGTCACCAAAGGCCACGCGTGCGGTACCCGCCCTTTTAAACCTTTGGTCACCGAAGGCTTTTTAAGCCTGTTGTCACCGTAGGCCTTTTAAGCCGTTGGTCACCGAAGGCCTTTCAAGCATTTGGTCACCAAAGGCCACGCGTGCGGTACCCGCCCTTTTAAACCTTTGGTCACCGAAGGCTTTTTAAGCCTGTGGTCACCGTAGGCCTTTTAAGCCGTTGGTCACCGAAGGCCTTTCAAGCATTTGGTCACCAAAGGCCACGCGTGCGGTACCCGCCCTTTTAAACCTTTGGTCACCGAAGGCTTTTTAAGCCTGTGGTCACCGTAGGCCTTTTAAGCCGTTGGTCACCGAAGGCCTTTCAAGCATTTGGTCACCAAAGGCCACGCGTGCGGCACCTGCTTTATTAAGCCTTTGGTCACCGAAGGCCTTTAAATCCTTTGGTAACTGAAGGCCTTTTAAGCCTTTGGACACCGAATGCCTTTTAAGCCTTTGGACACCAAATGCCTTTTATGCTTTTGGACACCGAAGGCCACGCGTGCGGTACCACACTTTTAAGCCGTTTGAAACCGTGGGCCGCGTCAGCGCGGCGCGTAAGCGCCGCGCGTCCTGCTTGTAATTATTATCGCTGGATTTCCCATTTACTATTAGTAGTATTATCATTTCTGTTATGGTTGCTTCTACTTTTTATTGGAAATCAAATTAAGCAAATTGTTAGTGGAAGAAAATGAGCATTCTGGTTTACCAAAAATATTAGCGAAAAACTAAAGTCGAAAATTCTCTTTTTTGTGTTGCTGCGTAATTTTTCAGCTGGACTTTAAGCATACTTCGGTCAAAAGCCATGATGAGAGCTAAAAACATACAGCCAAAGCTTTTAATATTAAGAAGTTTAAGTTTAAACGCCCCGTAAAGCCGCGCAGCGCTGCCTTAATTATACTGTATAAGATTTCAGCGAAGGCAGTCTCACAATTAATTTCGAAGGGGTTTATAAACTTGTTCAAGTTGATAACACACAGCCGTAAGTGAAAATGAGAATAAACGGAGCTTCTGTAAAGTTTTGTTCTTGTAGAATAAGCGCAAGTGTGAAAGTCTTACAATTAATAATTTTTAAGAGACGGCCGCCTAGGCGTAACTGACTTGTGAATTCAAGATCGTTGTAAGTAACTTATGTTAACTTTACGGCATATTAGGGAATCAGAGAAAACAGCCGCGATGCAATTTCATATGCGCTTAACCGAACATCACTTGGACTGCTGTTATGTAACAAGTATGACAAGAAAAACTTCGGCGTCGTTTTCATATGTCGTTACGAATTTCTAATAACATTTCTTTATGACTTGAGTCAGCCTTGCGTTGCATATATTCAGCATACATCAGCGGCAAAGTCATGCTGCCGGTTCGGAAAGAGAATTGTTGCACTACGTCCGGCTGTCCACTAAATCTCTACATGCTAAACAATCTCTTTAAAGGAATATACGCGACGGTGGAAAATTAAAGACCTACGTAAGATAAAAATAACAAAAGCCGCTGGTGAGCTATTCTGCGCGTTTACATAATTATGCTTTATGTGCGAAGAATTTCTGTAAATGCATCTGGCCATGAGCATAATACAATTTTCAAGTAACAATAACTTGGTCAGCTGATACCGGTTGTGCATTATCAATTAACCTGCATCGCTGTTGGTATAACGTCGTCCCAATCTTCCCTTTTTGGTCTACCGTTTAATTTATTGTGCTGCGGTGTTTTATCGTAATAGTTATTTGCAGCCCTGCACTGCCGTTTTTACGGCTGCTGACGGATATACTATAGAATACGCATTCACGCATTCATCAAGTTGCACAAGAAAGCCGGTACCGTACATTTATCTGCTTTTATGTACGATGCACTTGCAGCAACCTTAAACTGCGAAACTTCGTTTCAGGCAGGTTTTTTGCGTTCTGACGAAGATCCGGCGCGTGGGTCGGTTCCTTTATCCACTGTAAGAACCATATGTCTGGAATTTATTCTTGAAAATAGCTGTCTGCCTGTTGAACGCTAGGTCGCACAACCAGTTTTCAAATTGGTTTGCCGCTGTAGCGCGCCGTCAATTGACGAGTCTTAATCACGTCGGTGCATTGCACACACATACTGTATACACTCTCTACCGTGCAGCAAAAGAAAGTACACAAACTTGGGTTTGCAAAACAAGATACTACGACGTAGTTTTACAAGATCAACGACGATAGGCAAAAACTCAGCTGACTTCCCGACTGATGCATCGGCGAACTGTAAGTAATTCCGGCTTCGATGTGCGCACTTCGTGTCTCTAACAACCACAAATCTTTGAACACTATAGGCACCCAAATCAACACTGCATTACTGGCATTCGCCTTGTGCCGACAGTCGAAACCCAAAATCTTGATCACGATTCACGATACTTATTACTTTTTTCCCTAATCAGCCTGTGCTATCTGCGCTTTGTACTCTGGAATAGTTCTACTCATTCCAGCCTGGAGCTTGACTATTGTCACCTTCGGCATCAAAACTCTGTATGGATGACCGATCCCTATAAAATGACCATGGTAAGTCAATGCGCACCGATGCGCCTCGTAAACCTTTAGTAATTTTTCTAACAGTTTCAATTTGAACCCTGTTGCATCTACTAAAATGTGACGTAGTGCTCACTAAAGATGGAGTAAATGCGAATAAATTTTGTTGCACCGATATCTCCAAGAGCTGTTTCGAAGAGATTCTTAAAATAAAACGTGCTTACAATTACGCCTAACAATAACATGTACCAGAGAAATGAAAGTTAAATATGTTCATTATTTGATTTTGTAACTTGATTTGAGATCAGTAAAAATTAAAACAAACACGGTAATTTGTTCGTACTCAGAATTTCAATGACATAAAATAAAATTCCTTTGTACGAGCAAGTAGTACTGAGTAATTTTTTATTTCTACTGAAAAGCAAAATACATTCTTATGAACTTCCAGTGGCTGACATTATGGCATATAAAGCCCAACGATCTAAGCCTAAAATCCTGGTGCGTTTGCATAAACAGCCTCAAGTCGGAAAAAACGTGTGTAATTCAAAGTCGCGTGTAAGTTCTAACAATAAGTATGAATATCCCCGGCCACTGGTCACTTTTTTCCCGGTCCCAGTGGAGCTATGATCATTGTCGATAGCAGTAATTCGTAAAATAGGCGCGCAGTTCTTAAGGGATTTGGCCCGGTACATAGCACCAAATTTGTATACATCCTGGGCAACTTTCGCTGTCCGTTTTTGTACCCGAATTTGGTACTATGTACCGGGCCAAATCCCTTAACTGTTGTGCATGCAGCGCCAGTATAAGGATAGAACACGGCTTATTGCATTGCTGACATTATTTATATGCACATTTAACAAATACAGTTTTTTTATAAGAACACTAACCGACAATAATACAAGCATTCAAGTACTATTCAAGTCATATAATTATCGTAAAATTTTTAGTTGTAGTGCTGATGTTCATCACGACGTACAACTGAAGGTTTTAGCATTGTAGATAAAAATCTCTAACGGCCACCGTAACTGTAAGCACAAGGTATGGCTATACGCCTTTTTGCTTACGCACGATTGCCAACCACGCAAATGATTCGCGATAGTTGTTAGTTACTGTACGTGCGAATTCGAAATAGCGAGGAATTGTAAACTGCAAGTATTGTACATGGCGGTATAAATTATATTATTTACTTATAATATTGGCGTTAAAAACTGAAAAAGATAAAAATAATATAAGACTATTTTTATATTATTATTCATTTTATGTGCAATACAGTAGTAAAGAATACGGACTTTTTTGTTGACAAGTTATGCAATAAGTACTGCGGCGCATGCGAGGACTGTACAATACATCAGTGCATTGTATCTTATACTTACTAGAATTGTTATCACTGCATTCTAAATAAACATATGGAAAAGACCGGTACGATTTAAATAAAATTCTATTTCTTTGGGAATGAAAAAATCTGTAACATAGAACAAGAGCTTTTGATGGATCGGGTGATACAGTGAGCAATTTTTGCAAGAGTTACTTACCGGATGCAACACTGCAGCGTTTTAAGTGACACCGCGGTACACACCACAGTTGTGGTTTGTGGGAAAAGGTGAAAGTTTTGAATTGGCTATTGCGTATCATTGCTTACTATGCATTAGAATGTGTGCACGAACTTTATCGAACGCCAACTGGAGCACTGACTCAAATTGTGGAGGCTCTGCCAAAATTTTAAAGGTTGATGGCTCCCGTTCTGCAACTAATGATACGCAGACTGCAGTGTTGTCCAAAATGTGTATGGCTGATTCAGCGGTTTTCGCTTATCGTATTTGATTTTCTTCTGTAAAGGATTTCGGGGTTAAAACAGCTCTTATCCATAAAAAAGACACGATTTTATTTCCGAAAAAATGTTAACGTTAACGTTGTAGCGGCAAATGTTTGGCACACGTCATACATTCGGCTTCTTGCATTTTCACTTTTTTTAAAAGGTCAGTCATATAAGTAGTTAGCTAGCTACAGATATTCCCTTAGGCTTATGTAATACTCCAAACCGATACGCTGTGTTACCACAGTAAAATTCGAGAAAAACGAACTGGTGTACAATACAATATCTTACAGTGCGGTTCATCTATTCTGTATCCACTACCACATTCAATGACAAGCGCAGGAAACAAAATTATGTTGGAATATGTGACTGAACCCAGTAAGGACTAATAATGCGTAGCTGTCACAGGAGTATAATATGGTATGTACAATTTGCAAAATTAACAAAAAAATTGGTCTGTTTAGTTCATTCCAGTGCGGCAGATACAATGTTCGAAGCTTTGTCCTAATATCCAGCAACAACAAACTTATCCGTATGACAGATTTTTCCGAGCACAATCTTTGTGGTTAAATCAAAAGTAAATTGTGTTTCCGTCCAAAGCTATGTCGATTATGACCATTACGTTACCTGGTCAAAAATTACAAAAGGTTTAAGATCACCACAAATTGTAAAGTGAGATCAATTATCTGTAACTACAGCTACAGCTTTGTTTTACATTGTACTTTGTAGTTTGTATATTCTGCACCTGCGCGCGATCGTATGCTGGGCGGTGGGCAGAGTTGCAAAGCACAGTAAATTTCGTTAGACGGAAGCTGCTGGGATTTACAAGACGGTTGAATGAGTGTATCGTACCAGACAAACTTTTTATTGTTCCTCACAGTACAGGACAATTTTAATTGTGGGCCTTGAGGCCACACAAAATAGCGTACACACTTATTTTGTCCCATAATTTTAAGTGCTGACTCTAACGCAAAAATCTCTGTCAGCAAGATTCGCCACCGACTGAAAGGTTTATCTTTACATGCACATTATTTTCGCGCTTAAAATTGGAGTGATAGGTTTGTGACCGAGTAGCTGACTCTTTTTATTTTGCATAGCTGTTTTCTCGTGAAATGCGGATTACATCACGAAGGTTTCATAACAAGAAAACAAATTTGGCAGGCTGCACAGTCTATCCAAACATACAGGCCTCTTCTTTATTTTCATGCCGGTTACAAATAGATTCTACACGCATCGCACCAGCAGTGTACGCTACTACGCATCCGCAGCTCTGTAGTGTATCATGCGTTTTTCATTCATTAAAAATGTTGCTTAAAAATCAAACAGTCTGAACATTAACGCAATGCAACGCTTTATAAATGCAGTGCTCAAATGTTCGTGTTATTTCTTTTAATCTACAAATTCACTAATTCAGTGATGCTGCGTTTTTAAGACTGACAACTGGGAACGAAACGCGCAAAACGGTTTTCAAATATCCGTATCGCCACTGCAGAACTAAGACTGTTTTATTTTGTGTTTTAAACTACAGTATGTTGCTTTAATTGTTTCGTTGGCAAAAGGAAAGAACATATGTACTACTAGCAATTGTACTTATACAAAATAGCAAAGCTTTGGTTCGAATTCTCTTTTTGTACGCTGCTTGAGTAGTTGTAGTCATATACTTGGAATTGTGTCGAAATATAGATCTAGAGAACATCGATTGATATGTATATAATTTAACATAAATATCCATCTATTAGCATACAAGTCATAACTGTTGTTATTAAAGGCGTGTTTGGTTATAAGTTTATTTTATTAAAAACAAACAACGATATTCATTCACCTGGATACAAATTTCCGCAGTTTTCGATCTACTTTCGCACTGATAACCAAACTCTAAACCTTAGCATAAAACACTCGCCCTAGTACAGGACAACCAAGTAAATTTAGCTAACTTAAACCTAAATACAAGATAAACTTCTTTCGATATTATCAAAAAACCGATGACGGATTATTATCGATAATCTATATTGCGCAATTTAAGAACACTAATTTCTACCTTTTTCGCATTCGTACAAAATTACTACAAATATTGTACGTATAAAAATTAGTGTTAATAAAATAGTAATAATCGGTTACGTTTTGCCGAATGCTGATGCGCGCAACGAACGAGAAACGTAATTGTTTAAATAGATTTGCACAATAAATGGTGTTGTTAATTATTATTTTATTATCCTTCTTCTTATGCAGCCGCTATCGTAGTGCAGCAAAATTTGAATATATTCTGATGGATTTTTTCCATAGTTGCTTATTATTGCGTATTATTGCTTTTTATAGTAAGTTAGTCATTGTTGGTGAATTGCAGTTTGTTATAAACGTAACTTACCATGTAACTGTACAATAAAATTGTGAAATAATAAAACTTCCTATGTAATTGCTTAATATAGATATGCCTATTACGTCAGAAAAAATCACCATAACAAAATATTCTGTAAATTAGAAACAGGTGCACCGTACCGATGCACATGAGGTGCACATGAATGTAAAGAGTGCAAAGGGCGGGGCTAGAAGGGTAGCTGTTGCGTTCCAAAAACACAACTTCAATCGCCGGGAAGACTCACGGTTGTCGTCTGTGATAGTACAGTAGTAAAGACAAATCAAATGCAATACGTTTCCAGGCTTAAGGACGGTTAAAATCTTAAGCTTATTTAATAACTACTCTACAGTCTACGGTACAACTTACTAAACAGCTGCGACTTTTGCATTTACCTAGAAGTGCTATAATAACCAAATTTTTTTTCTAAGAAAACGGTAAACGTCTTGTTTTCTGGAGTTCATGATTAATATTTTTTTGCGTTAATAACGGGACGGTTAGGTCGTAAAATTTCTATTATAAATTAATAACTTTAACTCGATAATACTTACTAGGGCTTTTATTTGTACCACAAATTGCTCATTTTGGCTGATCATTTATCCGCACACCACAGAAGATATGTCGCGCGCTTGAATTTTTGTGTCCTGATCGAACATTTCAGGTGCTGTTCAGTATTCTTTTACAATCTCCTTATCATTAATGGCAAATTGCAAGCGAACAAATCAGTTAAGCGGAGTCATTACGCAATAGCGTACACGGTACATATGTACACCTGTGTTGGACCGCACCGTACAACTGCTCTGCGGCGCAATAATAAAAGTTTTAACGTTGTGACGAAAGTGCTTGGGCTTGCTTAAGGCTGATTGGTAGCAAAGTGGCGCGTGTGTGAAGCGGCTTAATGGTCGCTGTTTGTTTTAGTTTCGAAATTTTATCTCGAGTGAACCGAATTTCGGATTATGTGCGAACCTGTTGTGGTCGGCAGCCCTTGAATTTGTGCCATTTGATATGCTAGTACCACAGATATCCCAGTTCTTAATGCAAGACCCAGAGATAGAATGCCACAGTATGGATTTGCAGCAGCTGATGGCAAGTCAACATTTGCAGATCACACCGGTATGTTTCCCCTTAGTGTTAGTCTCATAGTTCAGTAATCATCCCCCGACAACAACAGGAAGGTGTATTGTACCGGCCTGTATTGTGTTGATTTGAGTGAGAAGACAGCTAGTGGTCGTATTGTAAGCGGAGATGCCCAGAACGTTTCTTTCATCGTATATGTGACTACTGTAGTCTGCAGATGCTGAGAAGTGAAGTTGAGCGTTGTTCTCGAACGTTTTTATCCAGAAATCCTAACTCTTGAAAAATGGTAGTATTTCCTGATTAATTTTCGCTTTTGTTAAATTTTTAAGAACCCTGTTTTATTTTTTGATCCGGTCGCCGTCAATTGTGCCCAACAAACGCTTCTTTACTGCTTCACTCTTTATTTGTCTCCTTAAATATAAATAAATAATTTTCAAATTAATTAATTTCGTCAACTTTTTAGAGGTGCCTTACGCACGTGCGCTCTTTATAGTGCTGTTCAGTAAGGCATACGGGCGCTATGTGTGCCAGGGAACGATGTATTTTTGATAGTTAACTGTTTTAGCGTAAGCACTTGTTCCCAAGTTTCTGCATCAACAGGTGTATGTTCGTGGAGGATGAGGTTTATTGATTTCCAGACATACCCTTTGGAACATTCACTCGTGCTTAATTTTGGTTTAGTTGTCACATACCGTAGTTGTGCAGTACAGAGTAGGCTCGATCTCAGCATTGAGTTTGCTGTGAAGTTCAATGCCTCACGTAGGTCCGTAGATGTTGTTATGCCGGAAAGAACGGCCGGTCATTTTTTTCTTCTTATGGCTAATTTAAAATTAAATGTTTAATTTTGTTTATACAGTGAAAAAGGCAATGAATTAGTTATAATCCCAATTTAAGTATTGTCGAGGCACCGATTTTAATCTGACTTACGGTTCGTCGCTGCAGTGTTCTGTTATGCTTACAGCAGAACTAGAGCGGTATGTCAGGAGATCTGTTACGTAATGGCATCGGTGTGCTGCTACGGTTCGTCCCGGTATTTCGCAGCCTGACTTGATTGCAAGGTTCTGAAAGTTAATACGAGTATATCGTTTTGTAAACAACTGCATGCCCCCGACATATAAATCTGGTTAATAATGAATACCTACTAGTAGTTGTTTCGTTTTCGCGCCACTGCAATAAAGAGATTTTATAAGAAATAAATATATGTGTGATTTAAATAGCTTTGATAGGCACGAAATTAATTCATGAATAAAGATTACTTAATTTAGTTGTAAAGAATGAAAAACCATGGTATAAGTGGACCTCCTCGTTAGAACCGGAATACTAATAGGCTGCGAAGATGCTAGAGTAGTATGCTTTCAGGATTAATATAAAATTAGTAGTTCCCTTGCCTTGCATGCTGGCAGAAATAAATTAATTGTAAGTGCTGTACTTAAAATTTTAACATATTAGAATCGTACTTCTATAGAACTTCGAAGAACAGAATATCTTCGAATTCCGATCTGTTACTGCATTAATCGATCGGATTTATACGTCTTTGTATTTGAACAGTATGTACGTGAAGCCTGTATAGTGGCAAAGTTATTAGTTGTCATATATTTTTTAAATTTATGTGCCGAAAAAGAGCATCTGGTATATAAATCAAACATGGAAATACTTCGCAAATCTGTATTGCTCATTAATATAAGCCACAGAGAGCAGCTTCCGCAAATTTATTTCCTTGAAGAGGAGAATGTTCCGATAGAACAAATTGGAAAAGCTGACGAACTTTTAAAGCAAAGCCTAACTCCTTTGTTTTTTTATTGAAGGACGATTTTCATCCTTTTATCGATGCTCTCCTGCCGCTGGTGAAGTCTTTCGCCTACACATGGTTCAATCTGCAGGCTGCTAAACGGCGGTACTGCAAGAAGCATGAGAAGCGGATGACACTGGAAGAAGAGCAGCGGTGCAAGGAAGATTTCCAGGTGAGAGCAAGCCACAGTCACATTGCTTAATTGCCATACTGTATTTCACTGTCATTTCCGGGTGCTTGTGAAAGAGCTGATATAATCTTTCGTAACTTTGTCAGCATGATTTGTGAGTAGCTGCTACTTCAAGGTGGATATTAGGCGGCATGTTACGCCATCACCTGTTGCGATTATTCAATCTCGCCGCTACACACATATGACTACACAAGTAATTTGCAGCGAGCCATCTGTATCGGAAGATTTCGTAACCATTTGTTTTGTTAGCATAATTCTTAAAGCTAACAAGGTCATTTCCGGTGCTTTGAAATCTTTTAAACAGAACGAGAAACCGGAGGTTAAACAGAAATGGGCTTCCCGACTGCTGGGCAAATTAAGGAAGGACATTATGCAGGATTACCGTGAAGATTTCGTGCTCAGTGTGACGGGCAAGCGCACGCCGACATGCATTCTGAGCAATCCGGACCAAAAGGGGAAGATGAGAAGGATCGACTGCTTGCGTCAGGCGGATAAGGCAAGATTACGGCAGCAGATGGTGAAGTGGTGATGTTTCTGCTATCAAGTTACGTCTTTAGGTCTGGCGACTGGATTTGGTGATGGTGATTCTCTTCCGCGCCGTACCACTTGAGAGCACAGATTCCGAAAGGTTGGAAAGGTCACTCGATTGTGTCAATCCAGCCCTGTGTGTCAACCCGCATCACATCAACGTTACCGTCAGGGAACTGGATCTTTATTTGGCCAATTTCGTGTTTTACAAATGTAAGTGACTTTACATTTTAGGATTAAAAATAACCAGCCAATGTTGCGATTACATGAGCCGTCGCATCACAACTCACCAGTCAGTAAGGTATAATTAATGGTAAGTACTGCAAACATTCTTGTTAACCGGTTGCGAAGATCCTGAAAAGATTGGCAGTGTGCCCAAAGTTGTAGCAACTTCATCAAAGCAATTTTATGCTGTATGAATTGACTGAGCAGCTGTGAATCATGTTTAATGGTTAAAAACTGATATGTGCCCGGCAGCATTTCATAATATCGGTGTGAGGTTTTACGAGAAGACTGATTTGCCTTAATGTGTAATCTGTATACGTAAACTAACCACAAAATAACACCATTACGTAGAACCTTTTTTCATTTGCAGAGTTAGGTAACTTACTCAAGGCCATAAAATTTGTTTAGTTACGCTTGATTTCTCATATGGCTGCTGATAATAGCTAGAAACCGTACTTACGAATGCAAACCATTTTAGAAATTACAAATTCCTAAAACTAATTTTTTAAATACAGTAGTAATTCATTTTTTGAGCTCTACGTATGCGTTAATGCTTTGCTGTAAATCGCGAATTCTGATTTTGAATATCGCTGAAGCATGAAGTCATAATTCTGAAATGCGATTTGCATTGATCTGTTCGTAATTTGATAGGTGCTTTAAAGTTGCGCTTCTGAAAAGCGTATGCGGTGTGAATGGTTTCAATTTAATGGCGTAAAATAAGTGCAATAGATGCAGCTCTAATAATTGGGATCATCGTGACGTAACAATTTGCTGATGGTTTTCTTATTAATGCCTAGTGTTACGCGATTATACTAATATTTCGTTTATAACCTGTTGGTAGTAATTTTTGCTTGACTACTATTGTATCAATCGATGACATAACGTGTGGCGCTTTTTTGTCATCACTTAATTTTTCTTTATGTTGCAAAAACGCCACTTATGCAACATCTTCGAAGTATTCACCGTTAATTTCATTCATCCAGGTCTTTTGTGTGTGTCTCTCATTGAGCAGTCCATTTTCTTAATAATAAACATTCGCCGGTGTATAATGGTTGCGTAGCTAACTACCGATAAAGCTATTTTCTGTTTATCAGAGCTACTGATTTTCCCAAAATAGCTAGCTCATCGTAAAATTCGCAATAAAAGTTTACGATAACAGTAAAAGTATCGGGTGTAAAATCGTGGACGCACGTGTAAAAATTTTGAATCATCTGATCTCTCTTGAATCAAATAGGCAAAGCACGCTTTTCATTCCAGTATAAAATTATATATGTACATTGTACATATTAATTTTTAATACTAGTTCGTTTTTAGTTCAGCAGCTTCTATAGCTGAGCTTTCGGGTTTTTAACGTTTTTAGTTGATCCTAACATCTCTAAAGTGTTTTATTGCTCGTTGCAGCATCTTTAGATCTGAATCGTATGCGCCAAAGTGATTCTGAGCTGTCCGGAGAGGAAGGCGACAATGGTCATCACGGACAGTCATCGGGACTTCCATTTGCCGATTCCGTCCGCATTAACGGTGTCTTCACAGCTCAAGAGTTATCAGCGTTAACCAAAAGTAAACCATCGATTTGCAGAGTTATATAATCCACGATAGCGATGTATGCAGCAATGCTTTTTATCTGATAGCACCTATCTGCACCGATGAACCTAATTCCGAACGCGACAATTTGCACCTGGAACAGACAGCCGCAGCCTGTAAATATGGTGCACAGTACACAGTGTCGGTGCCGCCGTCCCGGCAGTCATCGTATCACTCCCAATTGAAACGAGCTTCATCCAATTCCGAAGCGCTGACCGGTAGCAGTCGGGAGGATCGTTACAGTCCCCAGGTGGCACGCTTTAATAAGCGTCGTCGCCAGTCAGAAAATGACCATCACCACCATCATCACCGGATGAGTAGTCCGGTGTCTCTGGGATATTACACCCAGTCAGTTAGCTCGCCGACGTCCAGTATGCGCGGCAGTAATGGCAGTATTCAGACGGGATGGAATGGTGGGTATTTTCAGGCGTATGAATCACTGGTGTTTGCCATTGACTCATATTGACAGAAAAATGATATGTGTTTTTTGGCTTTCGACAGATCCGGAGCAAATTAAGATAAAGGAGGAAGCGTCAATTTCTCCTACCGAGAGCTTGATGAATTCACCGCCTCAGTCAGCGGATATGCGACGTGAGTCATTCTTTAAATAATCTGAGTAGCTTTGGAATTTCAGAAATTTCTTTTGCCGGGTGGTGCGGGAAATTTTTGAATTTTGCTCACTTCATGTTCACGGTGAACATAATGACAGAAAAAGATAGTTGAACCGAATTTATTGGATGCGATTCGGCAACCAGATTTCAACCAGTTTTTATTCATGCTCACGCTTTTGCCGTGAGACACTGTATTAGCACCGTAGATATCATTTTTCCAGAACGCCAAACTGCCCAGTGCAGTATGCAGACTCATTGCATGGGCTCACCTACGTACAAGTAAAACTCAAACTTTCATTTACGATATAAATGGGTTGTATTTTCGAGATAATAGTGACATAAAAGCAGTACACTCGATAAAGTTTTACGATTATCGAACCACTTTCTTGGCGTTATTGCCTTTTCAGCAGGTGTTCTCAAAATCAGCTTGTGTGCTCCAGCTCATTTTTCGGTAAAGCTATGGATTATTTAACTTGTAAGCTGAGGAGTTTTTTCGTCTTTTCTAGACATGGCTGGACAAGTGTTTTATCTGCCACATAAATATCAAGAAGGCAGTGACGCTTTGTCTGACTTTGCCAATTTGGCGGTGGCACGTGAAGCGGAAAGCGGCGGTGATGTGCAGCAGCATTCCCCCGATTCCAGTAGTTCCAGCCGATTGGGCATGAAACTGTCTCAACAAATGTATGGAACGGCATCGCTGGCATACGTAGCATCCAGTACACGAGGCGGCCGGAATGGGCACATTGACATTTCGGACACGGAGTCAATGGTGTCGGCCGGTCAGCCGGAAGAGAATCCGTCTTCCACGGCCGAAATTGCCGGCCATCCTCTCTTTGGATTAAGTTTCGACCCGAGTTGCCTCGGCCGGTCGGTGATGGGGAGCCACCCACCTTATGCTTTTGTTCATACGAGATCGGACCAGTCGTTTGCCCAGTTCCCACCGACCCCGGTAAGTGGCATAGATTGTTAGTTTTTGACGAAAGTGCAGTATTTTGCAGTGGAAAAAAAGGTTAGCCGTTATTACACACTGGTAGTACTCAAAAATTAAAATACAGTAATGTTAGAGAGCCGTTACCTTACTGGATGGCAGGTTATTATGAGCTATATGCTAGATGAATTAAAGCACGAGTTATTCCTCGAAGCATATTCGACCCAAGAAACTACGTATCTCAAAATTCACCCTTTTTTGAAATCGCTATCAGTGTAAAACAACGCATTTGGTGCAGCGTTATTTTACGGAAAGCGTTTTTTTCTGTAGTATCTCCCGTTTACCGGTGTTAATTCCACTCTGCCGACGATGAGTGGCATGATGTCGCCAACCGGTATTTTTGCGTCTCCTGTTAATACTCCGCGTGGCACACCACGCAGCACACCGGTGTCTCGATGGAATGGTCAGCAGATTCTGGAAGATGATTATGGCTTCATTAATTCGGCTTTGCATATGAATATGATGGCGGGAAGTGCGCCATCCGAAGAAGTCGCCTTAGCTTACGCAACGGCGCAGGATGGTAAGAGGTTCTGGCTGAGGGAAGCAAGTTGCATTCCTGAATGAATGTGATTCTGATTGACAGTTTCTGATACGCAAAGGGCCTTCTTTGCGGCCTCTGCCCACGATTCTATTGGAAATTCTGGAAGTGATCAGAGCACATCGCCCTAGTCTGGCGAGCAGAGGCCGTTAGCCCGTAAAAACACTTAAGCAATACCAAAGTCAAAAAGAAAGCCTCCCGGATTTATGAAACAGTTTTATGGATGATACCAAATTACAGCATGGTCGGATGTGGACAGCATGCGGAAAGACTCGTTTTGTTGTGTATTATCTATCCTTTTTCGGTGCAGTTGTTTTTCAGATTACAAAAACGAAAATACTTGCGAGACCAGTTAGTGCCGCTTTTTGAACCGCATTTTTTGCTCATCATAATCTGCTATATTTGGTTGTCTTAACGCGGAATCTTCATGAATTTAGTCGTAGAATTTTTGTTTGTACATTTTTTGGTTGCAGTTTAATAGGAATTTTTGGTTTTGTTCCAAGTTTAATTTTGTGCATGTAAGCGCGGAAATCGGGAACTTTGACGGTGCGGCTCGAACTGCCCTTACAAGCTGCCTCTAAAGACGGCGTCTTCCAGGTGTACTATGCAATGGAATCCCTCCAAGGAAGTGCTCCAAAATGCTAGAGTATGGGTGCCTTTATTTTATCGTTTGTGTGAGATTGAAGAAGTTTAGTTTGGTAGTAGTTTCTTGGATTACGTTTACGTGCTATGATGATGATATTCATTTTTATCTTTTTACGTGTTATACCTACTAAACTTCGTGCAGACTATTCGTGAATTGGTGAAAAAAAACATAACTGCCGATCTGCGCCCATTTCGTACCAATGCTTCATATTAACGCTAGCGCATAATGACATTCGGAGCAAAAACTCGGGTGGTGGACGGATAAGCACATCTTCGACGACCCAACAACGTTGAATACTTACGCTGTAAATACAAACCAAAAGGCAAAGACACACCTAAAAACTTCGGTAAAACGAAGAACGGAAAGAAAAGCAATATTGCTCAATTCCCACAATGTCTGAAAAAAGACGCATGACCGTGTATCCCTTCAATCTTTAAGCTGTGAAATACGATGCTCCCATGCACTTCTGCGATCGAAACGAGTTATTCCATTGCCCAAATCCGAATCGCGCTGAGCGGATATTAATTTTCGTGCTAGTTCGTGTCGACGGGCATGCAAACTGTCTTTTTCCTACAACGAAAATATTCCATGACTTATTTCTTGGAGCCATAATTCTGTATTGAGATTAGTAGTAAACCGTTTACCCGAGCCAAACCGTGGTATTCATTCGCAAGTTTTTTGAAATAACGTTCTTTGGTCTTCTCCATCGACTGCGAATTGCCCAACAAGGTACTGGACTCCATTAAAAGTGCATCCAGTCGGTCCGTGTCCCAGTCGCATTCATCCAACAGGGCTCGCACATCATTCGCTCTATCTCCAAATATATCCGCCAGAAAGTTCGAAGATGCTTTAGCCTCCGACAGTTTCTTTTCCAAGCTTTTAACGCTAACATTCACTGCGTCCACCTCGCTAAAACCAAGCCACTTGGTAAAAGGATAACCACACAATTCAGGTAACATTTCACCTCTGTAAAGTACGAATCCAGGCAAAATTCCAGAAACTTCGAAAAAAATGTCTTTATTTTTACAAATGTCTTAAAGTCTATAAAATTTTCGAGACATCTTTCAATTCTGCAAAAACCTGTATAAGGGTTTGCTGATATAAGTCATCAGACTGCGCTTAGAAATGCAATTACTGCAATTAGAACGCGTACCTTTCCATGTTTCTGATGAGGTCATCCTTTTTTCGGTTCTCCCGTTCTAGGCTAAAAATTGGCATTAAAATGATTAAATGAATTTAGATCCGACCATTCACGTACTGACGTAATATACAGCTGTCACTTGCTAAACCTGCAGTTACCGTATTACCTAATGTTTTCCACGGACAGCTTATCAACTTCGTCATTTATCTTCAGTAAAGCTCCTCGACGCTCTCGAATATCCCGTTCCTTCACATCGCATTCCTGTTGGATAACCTTAGTCTGCTTTTTGAGCTTGTCAACAGTGTCCATTTCCTTGCTTGAAAGGTCCATCGACTCAGGAGTTTGCAGTTTCATTGCTCGATTGTCCATTTCAGCATCCAAATAAGAAAAATTAGAAAATCGAGGCTGAACTATGAAACTATCAGGAAAGGCTATGGAGCCGTTTAAATTTTGAACATCTAAAGCAGAAAGTCGCTCTTAAATATTTTAAAGCACTGCGTATGAAAATTTCAGAAGTCAAATTCCTGTTAAAAATGTTAAAAATAAAATTTGGATTTATGAACCGTACTTGCAAGTTTCACCAGCTAGGCTCGTATTTATAAACAAAACCAAACGCCAAAATACAATTGTATAAGAATACTCTTGTTTATATGCCAGTCAGTAGTATGATACCGTGGGCTTGGGCGTACAAGGGTCTTGCTTAGCATACCGTGGCTTTAGCTACTTCTTCGATTCAAATTTTTGCGCATCCTCTTCGACGTCGACTTTATTACGACACATTTGGAAATGATCTAGCGTGGCCAAAGTATCATTGCTGGACATTGGCCGCGATAGGAGATCATTTTTTGGAACGTTTTTTGGATAGTCAAATTATTTTGCGCTTCGATGTCGCACTGTATGTTTTTTCGTCGCATAATATGCTGTAATAGTTACAGCCTGAATCGCAACCTTGAACTTCCTCGCTGGTTATAAATACCCACGCGCCGTAGTCCGACCCATTTTGCTTCTGGCTCGACATTTGGAACTGCAATCTTCCCTCTCGATTCCGATTGTCGTCGCACCGTCATTTATGCGCTTGTATTAAAATAGTAGAGAGTGGGGGGACATTCCATTCGTAACTGGTAGGCGCACAGCTGTTCCGTTTCACCATGGGCGAACCGACCGCGGATGTCTCAATGGAAGACATCGAAGCGAAACCTAACGTCTTTTCGCCACCTTCTTCTCTGGAAATCATGGGTGTTCTGCCCGCACTGGAAGCACCATTGAAAATACTGGTTCTGACCACTTCCCCCAATGGGCCACTGTTAATCGAGTCTCTCCAAAGACTACCTGTGAGTGAAGGCACCCAGAGTCCAGTTGGCGAGACGGATACAGATCCTGTACATTCCGCAACTCCTGTTGTTCCCGAAGAATCGATTGTGTGAGTAAACGGCCGTAGCGGATAAGCATTGAAATAGTAACCCTCGCAAATTTCTAATACAGACCGCCTATATCCAATGGGGATGCGACATACGAGATGCCCATTTCTTCGCATGATATCGACCATCCATACTGTGAGTCTCAGTTGTGCACACGGCACAGTAAAAGTATAGTTAATACAACAGCTTAACACTAGTACTAAAATGTCTGTTTTAGCCTTTTACCGAATCAGCATCAAGCATTTAGTTGTAGTGCTTATCCTACAATATTTTTTTGGATGAAACGATCTGTTTGCTAGCTTTTTACCGGTTTCTGCGCATTGTATTGTACACTATGAATGCAAATACCCAGTGCCCACTAATTTCTGTTCTGTGTAACAGGTGCAAAGCCCATTGAACTGAAGTCTGAAACTGCCGAATCTGAGAAGAACTCCATTCCGGAGGCTCAATCACCAGAAACGGAAAAAAGCTCCTCCTCCTCTTCCACAGCGCGGCCAGCAAGTGTCAAGACCGAACTGTCGGAATTAATAAAGGAAATCCACAGCAGTGTATTCGAAGAGCACAAAACGCATCCTTCTCCGGTGTGGGCAAAACGCAAACTGCGAAGCTGTTATGTGGACGACCGAAAAAGTGTTCCCACGTGGTCAGTGTGCAGCAGCTGAGCTAAAAGACTCACTGGTTTTGTGTCGGTTTTTAAGACTGATCTTTGTCTTTTTAGCGCTGATTTACTGGATGCGTACGAGATTGATGCTTTTCTCATTCCGGAAATGTCGGTTCAGGATGTGGCTGCGCTGGTACTAAAGTTGTTTGGTCCGAAGCGGAAATATTTGTCCAAAATATTTGAAGACGAGGTGAGAAAAATTGAGAAATATTTATTGTGTGCAGCAGTGTGCACTGCACACAATATGAGCGGTCAGAGTAACTATTGCAAACTATGCAGTAGTTATTCGCTGACCGCTCGGCGCTCATAGCCATTTTTCTGGTTTCATTGATTTGCATTATTAACTACGCATTATTATTATGCTACGCATTATTAACTACGCATTTTGCATTATTAAGTCATTATTAACTACGCATTTAATAATTAAATAATTAGTAAATTTATTGTGTTCTGAAAAGGGGAAAAGTCACAAGCCCCTTTCCGCATACGACAAGATGACATTCGAGCACAACAGCAAACCCTAAAATAAATACAAACATCATTCCAGTGCTAGAAGTATGCGATTTGTAGACAAGACTAACATAAATGTCGATGAAAAGGAAGCCGAAACAGCAAGCTTACCATTAAGATAGAAGCGAGGTATTACAGTTTTTCCAAGGGATCATCTCATCTATATTCCGCGGGCAATCGAAGCTCGTACTTTGGTATCGAAAACGTTGTATTCTCGTCAGAAAATAGAATAATTTCTTTTTAAGTGTTCTGGCACGGCATACTTATGGCGTTTCGGATAAGAGTTTTTCATAACTTGGAAGAACTTGTTGTCATTTTGGACATTGATATTGTAACTGGGCCGTAAACTTGATAATTTTGTGTATTTACCAGACTTTAGTATTTTTTAATGGATATGATATTACGAGTGCAGTAAAAAATTTATAACCAAAATAGTTTTGCAAAAAAATTGGACATACGTTAATTTTATTATGTCTCTGGTTAAAAGCATTGCCCATAAAAACTGATTTACCTTTAAACGAAAAATTTACCCAAAGACAAGCTTTCCTTTCGCATTATAAGATCGGACAGTATTTAAACTTTAGTGGCTTTATAGTAATTTTAATAAAGAATTAATCCTAATGATATAAAGGTAGCGTACGTCCATAGATGATACTCCGACCGAGAAGGCTGTACAAGTTGCGAAAGCGGAAGCGAACCTTTCTCTAACATCGATGGTGCTTTTTTCTTCGCAGCAAATCGACGGAGCCGGGTTGATGCTGCTGAGTTTGAGCGGATATCTTGACCTTTTGAAAATTCCTATTGGGCCGGCAATCACTTTAGACGGAATTTGTAAACGAGCTCGGGAACTGCGACAGATTTCAGCTCCTGCCGATTGACTCAAATTATGTTGTTTTGATTCAGTATAGTGTTTGATTCGTATTGTGGTTTCTGTGTGTGCGTGATGTTTTTATTTTAATTTGTAGTTCAGTGAATAGTTCTCAGTATTTTGTTGTGCGCTTTTACTTTATAACCGAATTCTCCAGCAGGTTAGTACAAGTCTGTGTTTTAACTTCTGATTTCATTTGAGTTTGCGATGGACGTTCGGAAGTTTTGATTGTCTTTTTGTGTTTTCATGATGTTCATTTGTAACCGCATGGAATTTAAAAATAGTTATGAGACCAAAAATATTAATGCGAGGTTACAGTGTTGTCGATTTATAAGGCAGGCCGCACTAAAGCTTTTTATATTTAAGGAAGTATTAGGAGAATGATAGCCGTATTAAGAGAATCGATCTGTTAGTTACAGTCTGCAGATACCGTACATGTCATGATCGGCAGCCCAGTGAAACGTGGATAGAAAAAACGGCAAAACAAATTTAAAAAGTGATATCACCAATGAACTCAGCATTGCCCAAAAGGGTCGCACATGGGTAGATTTTCAAAAATATCCGGCGCGAGAAAAACACACGGATGCCGGTACCGGTGCGGAATGAGTTCAAGGTGGCCTTGAAAACCTATTACAGAATCACAGAGAAAGGTAATGCATTTATTACCACTATATATATTTGACAGAATGATTTGAGTGGAATCTAATTATTGTAATTTATTTATTTATACTGTAATTTACCTCGTCCAGAAAATAACCCATATTACAAAAGGAATATAAATTTTCTCTGGGGAGCCAGATCTTGGATTTTTGAGAAGAAAATTAGGAAAGTAAAATACCTTTAAAGTTTAAACCATCTTTTTTGGCATGTTTTCAGTTTTGAATTTCCTATGAGTAATAAGTAATTCTAACCCTTGGTAAGGTCTAAGAGTTATCAATGCACCGATTCCTTGAATTATGATATCAGGGTTGCTGAGTGAACGGAAGTGGCAGAAGATGCTACCATTGTTCAGTGATCAGGAGTTACGATTGGTTCGTGAAAGAAACCATCACCACTGTGACACTTTAAAGGATTTATGCCATTTATACCGCCATCTATGGGGTCCCATTTTACAGGATATGGGAGCATAAGACCACAAAGTGCAGAAAGGATTGACCACAAAAATACCAAAGTCGAAGCCGGAGGTTTTCCTTGTAGTAGTTACAGTTACCTACTGCGTGCATATTTTATTATACAGTACAACGAGTAACCTTTATATTATAAATACAGATTATGAGCCAATTTATGACAACATTTTAAAAAAACCTCCAGTTTTATAACTCGGACTTCCTTGCATTTCCACCATGACTCTTCCATTCTGTTATTTATAGAAAACATTCCCATTGGCACGTGCCATTGTTAATTAACACACGCCGCGCAATTGCTAAATAAGAACAAATAAAATTCTACCGGAATAGTAAGAAGCGCAACCTCACGAATACATAATTCACAACTATCGCTACATACGTTACTAACGAGCAGTGAAGAAATCACAAAACTCAAACCGGCATCACCGTAGTTAAATAACATTAAACGGTATCAGAAACTAGGAGGCACCGTAACAAAACCCGATGATTTCAGCTGTTCAATCCCTTGGTGAAGAGTGCAGACATGGGAAAATCCCAACCTTACAAGCTCCGAAGCAAACTACAGAGCATAAAAGTGGATCAGATTTTATTTCTACCGTTGAAACCATTGACTGTACACCATACCTTATCATCGACTGTGCTGTACACCATACCTTATCAGCGTTTGTGCATCTTCCATCGAAAACAATCACCAATTTTCCGCGTCTATCAGAGAGTACTTGACTCTCTGGACTGGGTAAAAGGTCACCATCCGCCCCGAAAGCATTTAGAAAAGGAATGTTAATGCTGAGCGGCAAGGTTCCTTTATTGTAACTGCGGAAAGCAAAAAATAAATCAACTCTGTTAAATAAAAAAAACGTACTCTACAGTGATCTTTGATCGACAACGTATGCTTTCTTAAAAACGCCTAACCTGTATGCACAACTTTACTAATATACCATCATCTGCGCCAAAATCGGAATCACAAAACATAAACTAAGTAAAGCGCGGTAAACTTTCCTGGGGACGAGATACAACTGTACGCAAGGCATGCCTTGCAGCCGGTCGTAATCTATTACCTACAAGGTTACGAGATAACGTACTCATCAGAAGAACGGATATCAATGAGAAGAGGAGCCACGGATGTCTTTCCAGAATCCTTCTCAACACGAGACTGTATCCACTGCAATTCTTCCCACGTAATTCTTGGGCACACTTCCTGCTTACCATTTTCTAACTCCGCCGATTTCTAGCGATTCAAAAATATATTTTCACTCTCAGGCTTAAAAACAAGCATTCCTTGACTCACATTCAAAGAATCTGTCAAATCACAGTCCGGGTAATCTCCATTCCGCATAGCAGAATTAGCGTGCACTCGGTAAGTCGCACTTTTGGGAGTATGGCGAAACATTTCTTTGGCAGTTTTCAAGCACTGCTGTATGTTTAAATCTAAAAAATTCAACTGCCCTTGAGCAAAACCGAAGCAGACTAAACTAACTTAGCGCTTCAAAGAATTAGTTTAAATACCTGGAAAATCCGAAAAGAGTAGTATACATTCGTTAAAGCCAAATCCAAGGAGCTTATCTTTGAGTGAATGTAGTAAAGCCAATCCGATAAACAACGGGAAGGAATCGTCGCCCAAAAGTAACTGATCCCAAAGTTGGAATATCTTGTGCAACGGAAAGACATCTACAATTTAAAGAAAGTTAAAACAAATTATCACTACATCACCTCGAGGTAGATCCGTATCAAATTGGCTTACGTGTAAACATGGTCAAAAACCAAGGAATGGAATATAACTGTAAGGAAAACGGAAGTGAATTAAAACAAAACGTCAGCCTCTCAATTGTACCTTCAGAAGTCAAATACACAAGTTCTACGAAGATACAATGTTACGTGCCTCCGGTAAGAATCCAATGCCAGTAAGATGAGTGTGAAGAACTGGTTCATGGAATGCCATGAGACGGGAGAAAACCGCTAAGTATTCTAATAACCAAGAACGCTACCAGTATGTTAAAAAATGACTAGCGGGGCGTAAATCAAAGCCATACCCTGAATGACTGGTGTGTTATCCTTAAGGAAAAATTTGTGGACATACTTCTCAACGAACCGAGAAAGGCACGCATACGCTAAACCTGAAGCCAGTCAACTTCAATAATGCAAAACCACGATAGGACGCAAGTGCATGAATGACCAAAGTACCGCCAAACCTACCTTCATCACTAAAGTTCAAGTAAATAAAAGGAGCGCACAAAGAATCCAGACCTTGCCAGTACACAAATTGTGGATGATCCGCAATCCATGCTTTCAGCATGCGCTTTAATTTTGTATGCGCTTCCGACGATGCCATTAATAAATTGTACTGGTGACATCTAGGAATATCGACTTCGATCTACAACAAACGTTGCATGCAGCTTAAATTGTTCCAACAATCGACTATGATTCCAACCTGGCGATCGGACGAACAAGATGAATCTTTGTCTATCATCCCGTATCGTTCAGCAACATCTCCCTGAAGCCATAATACTTGCACATCAGCTTGTGTATATTCATAAGAAAATTCGGATAACGTATAAATATACTCTGATTTCCAGTAATGCCGCCCAAACACGAGCTCGGTACAAAGGCGGGATATCCACCAAGCATTCCTTTCGGATTTGTGGAAGTGTAAATGGGTAACATGACAGCAAACGATGAAATAGTATTTGCCGATATAGCTGGAAGACAAAGATAACATACGCATTACGAGTGGCCGTCTCGAATACTGCAAGCAGTGCTAAGTACGTAGTCAGCCATACTTGGTAAATAAGGTTGTTTTCCCTTATGGCCAACCCCAGCCCTTGGGCTTCGTTTAAGAAATCTCCCATATGTTCCCAAGCATCCTTTCTATAAAACTTTGTCAGGTTACTGCAGAAAAAATGGCGCAATGTCTGAGTTTTCTTACTCCCGAAGAAGCAAAGGGAAATACATTTCCCGTGGAAACGTATCCAGTTTCTGCAATTATTCAATGTTATTAGCGTGCCACTCTCGAGACTTATTACAAAAAATTGCGGAGAGTACCTCTTTGAGCGCGACAATGTCCAGAAAAATAAAGTTGCGATCGGGATCGTGCTCCATGTGCAAATCGTTACCCATTTGCAAAAATTCTCCCGAACTAACCCTACAAGGAAAAGTAAACCATGTAACCAGATGGTTGTCGCTTAATTGTCGTCCACAAAAGATCAGATTATAGGCAAAGTAAGAAAAGCGAAGTACTTATTTGAGGACAAGACATGACAAACAAATAGTGCCAACTGTCATACTTGGGTAGTGTCAATATTGGAGGTGGCTCTCTTGCATAACCCTTAAATTTCATTTCAGACAGCACATCGCCACCAGCAAGCTTCCATAAATTGTATATCTCATCCAAGCTGCGATTTAAAAGCGGATTTTCCAAAGCATCTTCTGCAATTTACTGTCATCAAGTTATCAACGCATTTGACTTCGACAAATAAAACAGTGCAATACCTCGGCATTTTTCTAGCTGCGATGAAACTAGGACGGTTTTACAGCGAAGGCTGACCGGCGGGAAAACACCGAGTAAAGGATCGTAAGCCGTGCACATATGCTTGATTAGACAAGAGAAACCAATTAAAAATCAACAATAATCTGCAATTACAAATTTTTCGCTTTACCACAGTCTTTCCATTGCGCTCGGTCGAGGATGGACACGGACACTTTTCAACCGCTTGAGCCGGCGAAATGCGTTGCGAAGATGAAGGGAGAAGCATAAGCTCTAAAAGACTTTTCAAACTTTCTGGAATATCCTGCGCATACAAAAAGATAACATTTTACTTTTGTCAAGCATATTTTATTTTTATGAGGCACGGTAACGGTCACCGACACAGCTAGTATATTATTACGAGCTTCTTAACAGTATACGGAAGCGAAATTAGTAAAGCATCTAACGAAGCGTCGGACTGTTACATCTCAAGTCGAAACTCGAAAGAATAAGGAAAGGAAAACAAAATCACATCTAACAGAAAACTGCTCACCAGTCAGCAGAGGACACACCTTTACAATAAACAGCTACAATTACCCGAAATTTTTCCAAATATCCGACTTTGTCTGCGAAACAATTGATCGCGGAATCACTACGCTCGCCGGCACTGCACTCCAGAACAAGCTTTATCCAGTCTTTACAAGTCTGACTCGAAAGATCCACAATCTGCAAGAACGGAAACAACTATTAGACGGTACTGACGTATCATGGTATTCATCGTTTTTTTAAGATTTAAAAGCCTGCGAACAGCTTGGGCGCGTAGTGACGTATTTTCCATAAATTCACACTCGTGACGATGACAAGTAAAACGTGCATAACTTGTAAAATATCACAAAGCAAAACACCCAATGACCACATGTCGGTCGCCGGCCGAAGAGCTGCCCGTAAGTCACGCGACGAAGGATGCGGACCCAAAACGAGGACTTCCGGTGCTAGATACTTAACATCGCTGCAAAATACCAGTTTCGGTTAAATAAACAGAAAATACTGTACATTTCAGGAAGGTGGCCCAGGGAAGTCAGGTCAACCAAACAAAAATCAAAACTGCTAAAACTCAACAACGTCCTCACTGAAAATGAAGCGGCGCCAAGGATCCATAGTCAGCGACATGGGTTTTGCCGAAGTCGACTATTTTATAACAACCCGAAATTTCGTCAAAGGTAATCAATTCAGGAGCGAGACAGCCGTGCACAAAGCCAAACTGATTAATGTATGCCAAACCGGAGCACACATCCAGCATCATATCGAACAGTTTTTCGGGTGCACCGCTATAAAATACAGCAAGACATACAAGTGCAATATAACTCGGATGGACGGATAAGGAAAAACCAGTCGAAATTAAACCTAACTGACAGTGTAACATGAGAAGAAAACATACACATGAAAAATGTTCCCAACTGCAACCAAAATATGCCTTAATTAAAAAAATAATCTCAACACCCGATTCAAAAACGGTCGGAAGATAAAAGCGTCAGAATAATGTTGAGCTCTCATAGCAATTCAAACTGAACGCAACTTCAGCGGTTCAGCTATATCTCCGTCAGTACTATGCAACACTGCCGCCTCACCAAAGTTTTAAACAAAACGGCGAAAACTGAGAAGAGCATACATATCTGTACTCTATACCTTCTGATTGTCGAAATTAAGTCCCAATCTGTTAAGTTTCTTCTATAGTGCTCCGACACGATCAGCATTCTGTCTGTACAAAAGATAATCAGAACAAATTTTAAGAATGCACCCTCTCCGCCACAAAATCATGAAAAAACTAAAATTAATATTTAGTGACGTTTAGTCAACATTATCATCTTATGATTCTTATCCCTTACGGGGCTTACCATGCCTCGCTTTAACAATGTCGATGTACGCGCACAGATTGCGTTGTCGCAATGGCAGAAGGGCTCGAAATTTCCCCAGAACGTTCTGCAAACAGACATTTTTAACGCACTTGGAGCACTGATAACATTCTGCACAGGAAAACAACTAAATGCAAGAGAAATTCCAGAGATCAAATGCTCAGCTGCAGTATACCGATGTGGCCCAAGCAGAACTCCTTCCGCCGTCTGAATCGGATGCATCATGACCAACGTCATCGTGCGTAAATCCCGAAAAGAAGTTGCTAACAGCAATATTGCCTTCTTCATGCATGGCAAAATTCTGCTCAGGAAAATTTCAAAACCTTCGGAACAAAACCAATACTCCTACTTTGTGGGAAACCAGTGTTAAGAAAAAAATTAAAAAACTAATCACATGTGAGCATTAAGCAGTACCAAGGCAGATCTCAATACAGGCAACCCCACTGAGGGCGGGATTTGCAATGACGAAAGCGCTAGAGTAGCCCAAAATTGCCGAAGAACACCGTAAAAGCCAGAGTTTTTTAAGCTTTTCAAAGCGTATTTGTGTTTCTTTAGTCGTTTTCACTCTTTTATTGCAGTTGGGATTTTATTTCTAATATAAAATAAGCAATAGGAAGAGGTAACATGATTGAGTACTGTGCGGCGAGCTGCAAAGCGGCTGTTCGCAACTTGGTTTCTACCGGTATATGGCAAAATTATTACTGCACGAGTTGGTTTTGTTGATTTATTCCAATGAAACTTTTCAAAATCTAAGAACAAAATGAAGCAGATACTGAACTGAACAATGTGCAAAATTAAAGAACTAATTGGGACTAATTTAATGGAGAATACCGAGATATAATCACGCATCGCCGGCATCGGTGATTTAATATGAACACTTGCACACAGTACCGCACACTGCATTCGTATGGGGAAATTATTAAAAAATAGTGGGAAATTGATTTTAAATCATGCACGTTACACATTTAAAGGTTTTTTTATTCATAAAAATAGAAGAAGTTAATACGCATATTTTGCAGTTCGAATCCCATTCAACAGAAACAGAAAAAGGGGAGCAAATCGATTTTCCCCAGCATTTTACTATAGCCGCGCTAATATGCGAGCTACTCTAGTGATGACGTAACGAGTCAGTGGTATTGCCTGTATTGAGACCTGCCCTGGCAGTACTGTAATAAGTTTGCTTGAAATTACCGAGCAGCTGGCAAGACAACTGAGCGATTCCTGGGTGACTGCTATAGCGACTACCAAATCACGTATGACCCTCTAGAGAAAGCGGCCACCAAAACCAAGGGGTTCCCATAGCCGGAAAACACTCGAAAGTCATAACCCATAAGTGGCAAATGTCATTTGAAATTGCTAATTATTTGTATCTTCTCTAGTTCCGGTTTTCGTGGTTCAAAAGTTTTGGAATATTTTTTGCTCCCTTAAAAATTAAAAACCAGTTTTTAAAAGTATTTTTTCTTCAACCTTTTGTTGAGTGACTTTGCTGGGAGAAGTGGCTGGCTGCGATAAGCCGTGCTTTGTTTGCTAGCAAGTAGCTGCAAGTTATCTACGTAAGCGGCAATGGGTCGTCGTCTAGATTTGCAGAAGCCCAAAAAAGGCCCTGGTCGGAAAGCCAAGAAGCAGAAGGATCCGGCGGTTCCAGCGAGAATAAGAGGTGGGAATTCTAGCATGGTTACAGTCGACCGCATCCTGTTTCATGTTCTACCAAAATCGCAGAATTGGAAGCGCATATCGATGCGGAATCAGGGGAGCCTAAAATTCTTGGCAGCCGTGCAAAAAAGCGGTAAGCGATGTGATATCTAGTTGTAAAGCGCATCGCCTCTTGCTGCTCTTCGTATAATACGAGAGTTGACTTGGTGGTTCGTGCGATAAACCAGCAGATGACACAAAACCAAACGAATTCAGTAGACACATAGCAAAATATGTTGGGTGTACAGTTTCTGTTTGTATTTTGATTTTGAATTTCAGCGCTGCTAAGAGAAAAGCCAAGGCTGAACAGCTGCTGGCGAAGCGGAAAAAGCCTGACGACGACGAAGAGGATGCCGATGATGAAGAAGCGCCACATAATGGACGGAAGCGTCCGGCGACAGATAAGAAAAGAGTCGATCAAGATAGCTTTCGGAAATCCAAGACTGATGATGTCGACTCGGATGACTTCGGAAACGATGCTGGAGAAGAGCAAGACGTAAGCATTAGGCGCTAGTTTTTCTAAAGTAAGGTAATTAGGTAGCACTAGCTCGCTGTAAAACTATTGGTTTTTTGGTACTGAAAATGTGTGCCCTTCTTCTTCTCTGTTTACAAAGAATGAATTTTTTTTATACACGCTCGATTGAATTTTTAAGTACGGTTCCGACGGTGAAATGCCCGACGACTTTTCGGATCAGTCCTTTGAGGAGTCTGATGGCGAGGGAAATGCAGACACCGGTCGAGAGTCTGCTGAGGATGAGCATCCATCAGCAGAAGAGCTTTCACAAAAAGACAGATTTATTTTACCGGATGAGCCACAGGTAGCTGGGGAAACGAATTTTCATGTGTTGAAGGAAAAAAACGAGAACCGCATGCTTTGAGGAAAAATCGACCTTCATATCGAAATATTATTTAGATGGAGAACGAAAAGCAAAAGCAACCTGAACTGGCTGCGATCGAGCAGAGGATTCAAGAAATTTTGGTTGTATTAGGAGATTTCCAAAATCTACGGCAGCCGGGACGGTTAGTAGACTTTGTTAAACGTTTTTGCTAAATCTTTAGGTGAGTTTTCAAATATTTTTTTATGTGCAGGAAACGAAAGGAATATCTTGATGTCTTGAGAAACGATTTGTGTTTATATTATGGATACAATGAATTTCTTATGACAAAGATTATGCAGTTGTTTCCCGTGCCCGAGGTAATTTAAAAAACATTAGTAAAAAAATTTGTGACTTTCATAGTACTTTGTACTAGTAGTAGTCACTGTTTCCACTGTATAGCGGATGTATAGTGAATACCTATGTATGGTCTTTAGGTGCGGGAGTTTCTGGAGGCTAACGAAGCGCCGCGACCAATGACAATTCGTACGAATTTGTTGAAAACGAGGAGACGTGATCTTGCTCAGGTTTGATTGTGGCTTGCGGCTGGTGTAAGTGTAAATAACCTGCGGGTTGCTTTCAGGCATTGATTAATCGAGGCGTTAATTTGGATCCTTTGGGTGACTGGACCAAAGTTGGTTTGGTGGTATACGATTCGCAAGTGCCTATGGGTAATAAAATGATTTCTGGGTTTTATGTGATATTGTTGCCTGTTTACGGTTAGCACATCGTAACGTTGTTAATCATTTACTGTAGGGGCGACGCCGGAGTATTTGGCTGGACATTACATGCTCCAAGGGGCTTCGAGTTTGTTACCGGTGATGGCATTGGCCCCACAAGAAGGCGAACGCATTCTGGACATGTGTGCTGCTCCTGGCGGGAAAACTACCCACATTGCATCGCTGATGAAAAATACGGGGGTGATTTACGCCAACGAACCCAGCCGAGATCGCGCGAAAGCCGTGATCGGAAATGTCCATCGTATGGGTGTTACTAACACTCTCGTGTCGTGCATAGACGGAAGAAAGTTCACTAAAGTACACCTGATATTAGTAGATTAATTTTGACAGTTTTCGGTATATTTCCTATTAACACGACATACATATTACAAAAGCGGATCCTAGTTTCTATAATTGATCTTCTGTGTAGGAGTGGTGATTGGCTTCTTTCCCAGGAAAGGTTTTTTACATGCTTCTTGATCTTATAGACTACTCAATTGTTTGATCGAGTTTTACTGGATGCCCCATGTAGCGGAACCGGTGTCATTTCTAAAGACCCGTCAGTAAAGATTAATAAGGTGAGGAGTTTAAGAATTATTTTTTTCAAATTGAGTACAGTAGATATTTTATATTGATATTTCAGGACGAGCGCGACATTCTTCAGCGATCACATTTGCAAAAAGAGCTGATATTAGCCGCTATCGACTCCCTGGATGCCAGATCGAAGAGCGGCGGTTACTTGGTGTACTCTACGTGCTCCATTTTGGTGGAAGAAAATGAAGGTGTTATTGATTATGCTCTTAAAAAACGAAACGTCAAGGTGGTGGATTCTGGATTGTCGTTCGGAAACGAAGGATTTTCTCGGTTAGTGCACTTTTACATATGCAGATACTCGTATACCTGGTGTCCGATGACATCGTAATCAGGATGATTTTCGTAGTTGTCTTTATTTCAAAACACTTATTATTATGGGCCACATTGGTGATCATTGTGCTGTTTTCATATGCAGTACCTTTCGCTTTTAATCGCTTGCTATTCGTGAATCGTGAGTGACAAAATCTTGATTATTTTAGATATCGCGAAAGACGATTTCATTCATCGTTAAAACTAGCTCGGCGATTTTATCCACACGAACACAATATGGATGGATTTTTCGTTTGCAAACTACATAAAACTTCTAACAAAATCCCTCAGCCTAAAGGTTAGTGATTGGTTTAGCTTCTCAACCTTACTTGCAGTTTTGAAAATTTGAAAGTTATTGTACCTACGTTGTCTTTCGCAATGTGCTTCAGAAGAGCTGGATGAGGGAAGTGAGTCTTATGCAGACTCCTTTGCGACCGACGACGAAGATGGTGGAATACCAATTACTTTCGAGCTCAATTCCGAAATTCCAAGTCCTGTACAAGGTGGCGAAAGTTCCGAAGATGACGACATTCGATATTTTTTGGCTGATGATATGGCGAAATTGTCGACCAATTCAGATTCAGATGGGAATGTTGCCGAAGGAGAACAGAGCACTGCCGCCGAAGGGCAGCACTCTGCTAAAATCGGGAGGAAGAAAAAATTGAAATCCCGGCGTAATCATCAGCGATCAAAACCAGCTCAGCCCGACGACGAATCTGAAGCTTCTGACGAGAATTCGTGAATTTAAAAACGACATAGTCCGGAGTTTTGTTATAACATATACAACACGGAATAAAAAACCTGTTGCTGCTTGTGTGCACTGGCATGGATGTTTTGACGTAATTATTTCCGCATAGTAACTTTTTGTTGTACCAATTTTGGAACTGTTGCTTTTTTCCTTATACCCACAGAAAACAAATTTACATGAGCAGAAAAAAATGAAATACGCATATTTATGAATAACAAAATTATTTTATCCACAAGGGTGGAAACAATTCGGAATTTACAGTAACAAAATAGGACCACTAAAACTACTCAACTTCTTCCGTGGGCTCTGATTTCGATTTTTCTTCTTCTTTTTCTTCTCTTGTGGATGTTCAGCACCACCTTCGGGATCGACTTTCTCTGCCGAGACACTCTGCCAGGCCGCGTTGTAGTCGGGAATGTCTATTTTCTCCTCCTTGACTTTCGCTCCATCTTCAGCTTTCAATGGATTATACTGATAATCCACGTACATTTTCTGCCAATCAGTCGGTGTCTTCTCATTAGGTTTTCCGTGCTTATCCAAGATGCCACTCTTAATCATTAGTTTCTTTTTTGCCGCCACTGGGCCAAGACCCCATTTCCTCGGATAGGTATCGCGATCCATAATGACGCGCTTAATTTTAGCCACTACACCATGATCGCAGGTGGCCATGACAGCGGTGGTCATCAGTGCCACAGCCAAGGCAACCGCTTCACCCTTGGTGGTGATGACCACTATCTCCTGGTTCATTTCGATCCCGTCGTCAAACCGCAGCACGCCAGGCAAGAGAATCTTCGCGCCGTAGCATACGGCATTTACCGCACTATCCTTCATGATGATTCTCTTATGGGATTTCAGTAAGGCTTCCAGCGGCTGAATAACCCGTCGGAGGTACGATTCATCCTGCATGTGGTCATACATCCACTGCGCATCCATAACATCGTGCATGGTGACCAGATTGGCCTTCTCATTCTGAATACCCGATCGCACGCGGCGCAGTTCTTCCATGTGGCCGCCGACGCCTAAATACAATCCAAGATGGACGCATAGTGTCCGGACATAGGTTCCCGCTTCGCAGCTAACCCAGAATACTGCCAAGCTCTTCTCTTTATCGAATTCCAACAGTTTGCTCTCGTAGATGGTGCGAATGCGCAGCTGCCGTTTGACAGCGGCAACAAGTGGAGGACGCTGAAACAAGGCTCCGGTCAGATTCTCAATGGCCTGCAGTAATTTCTTTTCATCCTCCACGGGACTGTGGAATTTAGCGATGCCTACGTACTCTTTTCCGGCACTCTGCTGGCTTTTCACCAGACGGGTGGCGCGCTCCACGCAGACGATCAGACAACCCGTTACTTTGGGATCCAACGTACCGGAGTGGCCTGTTTTCTCCACGCGCAGAATACGCTTAATCCAGGCTGCCACTTCGTGGCTGGAGGGATTGGATGGTTTATCCAGATTGATGAAACCGCTCCGCACGTACTCCTTAATATCCCGCTGCTGGGGAGAGCAGCCGTGGGGCAGCGGCGTGTAGTGATTGGTCCGCACGTTCATTTTGTCGAAGTTTTTCAGTAGAAGAGGCCATTTTGCCGCACGATATACAGCGGGCTCCTCTGAAGGTTGGATGAAAACCTGTGGAAAAAAATGATAATATGAAGAAAATATCAAAAGCTGCTGCAACAAAAATTTTCGACAATAAAGGCGCGAGCCATATCCCAGTTAAGGAAATTACCGGTACAACGGAAAATGGGGAACCCAGCACGAGTGCTCACCTGCTCGTTCGCGGGAACTTCAGCTTCCTGTCGGTGTTTCTTGGATTTTTTCTTTTCCGACGTTTCCATCATAAAAGCTTGAGAGATTTAGCAATACAATTAGAAAAGGATTAATTCATGGCAACACTTTTTCGCCAATATAAGCTAATGATTTTGTGTTAATTATCTGAGCTCGGCCAATTTTGATTTTGATTTGCACTTGGATAGCAATCATCTGGGCTTCAGGGATTGTCCGTAAATTACGTTTGCAGGTGGGTGGCAACTTAAAAAGGAATGCCGTCGAATTCCAGCCAATAATAGTTCTGTCCGACTCCAACCGTCCTGCGTCGAGGACTACGTTAAAAGCTTTGGATTTCTGCAGCTGTTTATACAGACTACAAACCCCAAAAAGGTTTTTCAGAGTTTTGTTTTAAATGTTAACTTGTTAACTGTTAAGTATTTTTGAGTTCTGCAGTCTACGTAGCTTCTTTTAGCTCTGCGGAAATCGGATTGAATTTCATTTTTTTTTATCTTTTTTATTTTTAAACAGTTCAAGAAAGGCTATTGCAGAATTACCGATACTTCAAGTACGTGCGACAGTTGTTGTTATCGTGGGATACGGCGATGGCCGAGAACAGTGGAGTCAACACGCTACCAGATGAGACAGAAAACCAAGACCTGGACGAACTCCACGAGGATGGAGAGTATTTGGAAGTAATCGATTTGGACGAGGCTCTTGGAGGTTTGGTACAACGCCGATACTTAGCCTTACTATTACATACTTATACGCCGATATACGCCGTAGCTCAAACTGCATTTATTGGGTGCCAATTTGGCACTGCTTGTCGATTCGGAGTGATAATTATAAACAAAATTTAATCAGTTACAAAATCATAAGATTATTAGTATTCTGAGTGCAGTATAGAAGTGTTTATCTTGTTATTAATATTATGGTATGACTCCGTATGAAGTACATCGGCTGCATTTTGCACGATTTCATAAACGAATAATTACCTGTGGTCGAAATCAATTAAATGAGATTAATTTTAACCGCTTTTAAATAACGTTTGCACTTAATGACTTAAAACCGAAAGACTGGATGGATGGAAAACTGGATGTTTATCTGGGGCCTGATTAAAACCATAAGAACTTGTAAGGTGATGCATCTGTCGGTTGATTTAGTAAATTAACTCTGCAACTTTTCCCATTATGTAGACATTTATCGGTGTTTGTTTGCTTAATAAAAATTCGAATGCGAAAAAGGGTTTGAAAAATGTAAACGTGTCGATTTTTATTCCCTGAGAATCAGGCCCACCGCAGGATTAAAATCGTTATTTTATTAGTAATTACTGTGGCTTTACTTGCTGTATAGAAGACGAGCGAGAAGATCAGGATGAGACATGGATTTCGGACGAAGAGCTGGAAACGGATGAACCAGAGGAGGAAGTTATGAGGCCATCGTTCAACGGTATCGAAGGTGTACCCGTTGTGGCACCTGTACGCGTTTTTAAGGAACATCAAGGCACGTATATCAAAGTAAACTAAATAATACTCGCCCTTTAAGAAATATGCCCTTTAAGAATGCCCTTTAAGAAATGCCCGATTATGCCCTTTAAGAAATACTGTATATCAAATTTGGTTACGGTGTTTATCTTCGTGGTAAAACGTGTATCTGGCATCTAGGCTTTGCTCGTAGGTATCTTAGGTCATAACAGTTTCACGAGTGTCAAAATTTAAAAATGCTTAATTAAAATTTTCCTGCGCCGATGTCTAATATCTTGGAACAGCCTAACATTATTTAACTTTTACACCGGCACTTTGACTTTAAGTTTTAACTCCACGTTACAGCTGTATACTCTTGTCAGTGCGGTAACGTATGAAGGAAATAGCTCTTGCGTCTCTGCTTAAAAAAGTCTCGTGATTCATGAATAGAGGTACAGTAAGTCGTCGAAAGTTTACCGCAGTTGTTTACCGAATCCTCACTGCAGGTTCTGTTTTCTGCCTCGCTGTGGACAGCTTGACAGGATCCACTGTTATTTCCGGTGGCGAAGATGATAAAGCTTACATATGGAGTGCCGATTCTGGGCAGATCAAATCATGCAGCTCAGGTTCTGCTCGATTTCTGATAGTTATTTGTTTTGTTCCACTTGGTTTGTGATTAAGGAGATCTTTCTGCAGGTCATAAGGACTCGGTCGTGCAGGTGGGATTTTCACATGATTCCGTATTTGCGTTCTCGGCTGATATGAGCGGCTCTATAAAAGTATGGCGTGTGGCAAATGGGGAAGAAACTTGGAGCACCGAAACATCTGATCTAAAGGTGTTGTAAAATTGTTCCATAGATTTGTTCATTGAGTTTTGCTCTCTTCGAAACACTGTTGTGCTTCTTTAAAGTTTGTGTCAGCAGTTTTGCATGCTGTATTGCAAAAGAAGCTGAGAGATTTTAGCAGCACATAAATTTCCTGAGTATTTGTATTGTTGTGTGGTTGAAGGAGAATTTATACCATGGTAGTAAGATCGAAAATAAGGTTTTCGAAAGTTGTAATAAGGAGATTACATCTGTCACTGGGTGTGTATTTTAGTGGGCTAGATGGCATACAAAGACACATATTTTGTTTGCCGGAACAGAAGATGGGACGTTCTACATGTGGTTAGTGCCACATGGACAGTGCAAGGTGCAACAGGTTTCCGGAGCTATCACGGTTGCGGAATTGTTTCCCAACGGTAAACGATACCGTTTAGCAATCTTTGATGTATCAGTTGTCTGTTTTACATTTACTGTGATTAGGTAAATGTGTTTGTGTTGGTCATGGAGAGGGCGCGCTGAGTGTGTTGGATTTGAAGGAATGGAGAATCATGCATACTGTTCCAGGTACAACTATCACCGGAAAAGATCTGTGCTGATTTAGTAAATAAACTTGTAAATTGTGACTTTTACGCATCGCTGTTAGAAAGTATGACACAATGCGTGCGTTCCAAAATTCAAGAGGAAGATTTGCCTGCTTATTGTGGTTGAGATTATATAATGTGAATAATTTCAGGATGACAGATTTGAAAATCACCTTATTTCTATGGTCGCTTTCTGTTATGTTTTCTTATCTTTATTTTCCTACGTATTGCTTGGTGTTAGCAGTTTTTCGTTCATTGCTACAAGACAATACTATTTTGCTAGGTCGAAGGGGAAACGAAGGGGAAATACTCTGTGCAGCTGTTAGCACGGATGGGAATTTAATTGCTTGTGGAAATTCTACCGGAAGTGCGCGCCTTATACAGTCCCAAACGGGAAGAGTACTGTATTGACACTGTTTATTAACGGTGGTGAAAGCATTCAAAAGATGGCTTGCGCTTATTTGTTGCCTCTAATGGTGGCTCTGTTTCAGTTTTCGATTATGCGAATTAAAGGGGTGTATAGTTTAGCAACGATTGATGCGAATGTATGTATGAAAAATCAAGATATTATTCTTTCACCATTTTTTTGCCTCAGCGGCTGTCGCCTGCGATATTAGATTGATATACAATCTGTACCATAATATTACACTAAATACTGGATTTTACGTTAATTATATTTATATGACGTCGAGTGTCGACTGTATTTGTACATAAAGGATCCTGCGGTACCGTACTTATAATGAGTTGCATATTTAAAATTATCTGTTTGGGTTTGGAGCCAAAATTTAATAACACTAAAATTACCATAGTAAACATAAAAAAGGCGCAATAAACGCAAGATTTTTAAACGAATTCTGAAACTGAGCTTATGCTTCTCCGAAAATCAGGCTAATTTTGTTCGGCGATCAGTACTCAAGATGTTGCGCGCCTAGGCCAGGCTGTACTTTTAACCGCGTAACCTTCTCTTTGACATTACCCGTCGCATTGGCCTGAAGTTTGGTAACGCACTAACTTTATGGAGTTTTGTTTTAAAAAACGTGTTTGTAATTAATTGCAGCTGGGTGAATTAGAACCCTGCAAAACAAAACCAATTTTATTTAGTCGTAAATTGAATCCAGCCCATCATTTCCCATTTTATTATTTGATTTGTGCTTGTAGTTACCAGTTATGGAAGTTGATCGGGTTTTTGTGTTACGATAAAACCATAACGCCGTTAGAAGATCTTTTCTTCCGCTTGATTCAGGTTGAAACTGCCTGGCGCGTGGGTCCAAGCTTATCAGTTTTGAACTTCTTAATCTGTTGCCGTCTTTGCGCACACGAAAAGCTGTCGCGTTCTGAATGTGGTCTGGAACGAGTCTGTGTTGTCACCAGAATAACGCACATGCTAAGGTACTCCGTGAACTAAAAGCATCAGGCTTTGTTGTAAAGTTTGTGCTCACGGAAAACCGCGGTTTGACTCAACCTGTTGCCTGCGCGAAATCCCCTTCTCTCGAGACACTGATGCGTAGTGTTTTATCTCAACCGCCAATTTTGTAGATTTCCAGACTACAACCCATTGATCCATGAGTTCTAGAAGACCGGCAGCTGGTTGGCGCCGAGGATCTGGAACAAGCCGAAGCAGGAACTCGTACGCGTATCAAGACGAAGAATATGAAGGACCTGGAGGTCGCAGGTTTGTAATCTTGCCAGGGCTGTAGCAGTTTCGTTGCTAATCATCATCTGAGAAAAGCATGCAGGTGTGGTTCTGCTTGCAGAACGCCGTCGGGGCGGCCGGGGGCTGTCGCGGCTTCCGCAGTTCGGGGTGTGGTGTATGAGCACGACGAGGAAGAGTCTGCATACAGCAGCCGCAGGTAAGTAATATCATTACTGTAATAAACAGGTAACATGTCTTGATTTTGCCACGAAACCCGGTAATTATTTTTAGTTGGTATTAAAAATATTTTATGGGTTATGAATTTATTGAAAAAATTCCTCTTTCCGGTTTGTATGTGATCAGGCACTTATTGTTTTAAATTTGAAAGATTTTTGTTTTATTCATAATAATTTTGGGAAGATCACATTTCGTGTTATTGCATACCACAGATTGTCTTTAAAATCTAGGGAAACTAAATACCGACGCTTTGTCAATTAAAAATTCTAGCTTAAGTTATCACGTGGAAGCGTAATTTTTAACTGCAAATTGAGTGGCTTGGACCTCCTCCCAGTTGAAAAATTAGGTAGCCTTGCGCGCGCAATATTTTTAACATTGTTACGGCATGCGATTGAATTTTGTAGATCAAAAGGTTTTGACAGACCTGCTCGTTCAAGTATCCGCGGCAGTCGTGCTGCTGCCCGGGCTGCGCGCAGTGTTCGGGAGCCGTTTTTTGCTTCCGCTGGCGAGCGTCGCACCGCAGTGTCCACCGACGGAATTGGTAGTTCCTTAGTGCGGCACATCGCTGTTTATGATCGAGGTATGACTTTGTCGGCCGTGTTGTTGTCTTCAGTTGCAAGCCATTTATCTCTTTGAACTTGGCAGAAGCGGCAGCATGGCTTCGTACAGAAGAAGGATTATCGGTACACATTAACAGAATCATTCGTGCTGTGGAGAGTTTGGAGGAGCGTTTACGCACCGAAAGCTACAATGGATATTCGGGCAATGTATGGGAGGCGGATGATCCCATAAGTAACGCTGTTAAGGAAAAATATCAGGAACTCCAATCCCGCTTGATGGAATTATTAAAAATTTTGGAAAAGCCTTCAGTTGCGGTCGTTGAGGAAATGTCGGACGGATTTTATTTACTCCTCAGCGTCATGCATGTACTGCTCTTGAACAGGTATTACATGGCATACAAGTGCTACTTGTGTATTTTCCCGTTGCTCTACTGATAATTCCTGAACTTCTTTTATCAGAGAGGTCCCAGAATTTTGCGAAGAAACAGTTGCCAATATTATGGCGGCGGGTGCTTTAATTGGAATGAATCATGGCGATTCACAGTATGAAATTTTCAACTGAAATTAGCAATTCAGTAACGGCTTGAACATACTTTGTATTCTTTTACAGCATGGTTTTGACATGTACAACTGACCATTTACGGGATTCTGAGACAGATTCGGTTTTGCTGGCATTTCAGTACGTCTTGTACAAGGTAAGTAATCCAGATCTAACTATGCGTTTTTCGGACAAGGATTTAACGTCCTCTGATTCTCTGATCAAATTAGGTATTAATTGTTAACTCTATTCTCCAGGTTATCGACGGTGACACAGATGGAACGAAGTTGTTTGGCACGGCTCATGTATATATTCGTTGTTTCATAAATATTTGAAGATACGAGCACGTTTAACATGCGCATTGTTTTCATCAGAAAGTTTTGGACGCTCAGATGGACATTCTGGAGACAAGAGACGATGAAAATATTGCTGTTTCCGCTTTGAATATTATCGGGGCCATTTGTGTGCGCCATCCACAAGCCTTTAAGACGCGATTTTGGGTACGGCGTTAGGACTGGAACTTCTACCGAATCTTCAGTAAACATTGTTGCAGGATATTATGGATTTATTTTTCGGATGGTACGTGGATGCGATGCCTACTGACCGCGTTTTTGAAGCTTGTGTCTTGGCTTTTGGACTGTTCAAGGAGAAGTTCAAGCAGGAAATTGATTGGGCTTTCAGCATGGCCAAACAGTTTACTGTGGACATGGAAGATGCGGTTGTTTCTGTATGTTTTGAAATATCAGTGCTGACTTATAACGAAATTTTCAGCGGTATGCATAAATCCCAACAATATTTTGCAGTACCAAAATGCCGGAAAGGATAAAACAGGCGCAACTCACCACCAAGCGGCTTTCTTGGCTTTGTTTCAGTAATTTGATCCAGTGATTTTTAAAATCATCGATAAAGAATTTTGCTCATCGTTTACAGACTTTTCGCTCTGGTACATCACGCCGTGGCAGAGAGAATCCGGGGATCAGCTCGTATTCCTGTGGAAATCGAAACGCGACAAGCTGTCAAAGCTGTGAGCAATTCATTCGGAGTCGCTAACTTGGGCTGTTGCTTCATTTGTACTGTTTTCAGAATATGACCAGCATTTTCAAGGCTTTTAATCAGATTCTACAGGCTTCAAATCCGGGATTTGCTAAACTGGCAGAACGCGGTAAGGGATAGATCGGTCAGTGATATTTCAAAAGCTGCAGCGATGGAAATTTCTTGTAGTAAATCGCACTTTGATTGTGGTGATTACGGCGCTAGGAAGTGAGTGCACGACAATCAGCAGCTCCCTCATTTTGTATGCCCGGATGCTACAAACATCAACATTTCGTCTTCATTCTGCTTTGAAGATGCACGAGCCCTTGATCGATTCACTGTTCAGATTAGTGGCAACGGTATGTTGCGCAATGATTTTTTGAAAATCTTCCGGTGTGATCATTTTGGTGTGCACAGATTATTCGCTCCATTGGCGAACATTTTCCACGGGAAGCAGCAAAAGATCTTTTGGGTCCAGATTCGCTGCTGTTTGCTGCTGCACGATATCAGATTTTTGTGAGTAATTATTTTTTTAAAATTTTTTTGAAATATTTTTTTTTATTCATTAAAGTATCTGGAAAATAGCCCTTTAGTACGCGGAAACTAAGACGTTTTTGTTTTTAGGTTCCATCTTTACGAAGCGTGGTTGAAGCACTGATAACATACGCAGCCGCTCCTGTGAAAGATTTCGTTCTGCGGTAGACAATTTTGACGTTTCAAAAATATTTGGTATGGCGGGCATGCGGACAGTTTCTGATTAAATTTAGATCTTTTGCTGCCGACTACCGCCGCACCATGATGATTCTTGTGGAAATTCACAAAGACCCAAACAGGATGGCCAGATTAAGGGCACCCATCAATGCATTGACATCATTTCGAAAACCAGCCAGCGATAAGTTATTTGAACAAGATCGCAGTGTTTCTCCAACGGATCCATTAGCAAAAATGAAGAGCTTATGCGGAGAAAACAAGGTTTTCTTCTCCCTGACGGGATGGAAGATGACGCTCCTCCAACGGATATTCCGGGCGTAACCAACATGGAAACAAGTGGACAAATTTATCGGGAGCGCGCAATGGTGCACTTGTTCCTAACTCAGTTATGTTTAGTTTTGGACCAACCGATTGATCAGGTTAGACAGGCTTTGATCCCATCTGTCGTAGTGCAAGCAGCATGCCCCTCTGCTCCAGTTTGTGCATAAGAAGAGGCGTTTCGTGTTTAGAGGCGTTTACTTGTGCTATATTGATGCCCGTGTCGCTCTGTTTTATTTTCACTCGCATTTTTCATCCTGAAACTTCACTGCCATTATGTAGGAATAATTCACGCTTACGCAAATTAATGTGCCTTGCATTTACAGGAATTTGTTGATGGATGTTACGCGGTTCTAATGAACGATATGGACGATAGTTGGATTGAAAGCTTTCCTGAAGTACTGATTGGACATATCCATGTCGCCAAAGCGTTGTGGCAGAAGTGAATATTTTGTGCGTCAGTGTAATATAGACAAGAGTGTATATGAGAATGTATTGCAGAAAATGTGCATCTCTGGTCGTTAAGGAATTGATGAAAACCTCCCATACCCTGGTCAGCGTGTCGGCAGCGGATAAAGAATTTATTCGTGCTACTTTGCGTTTCTTGGACGGAATTATGGCAGGTGATCAAGCGGATATCGTTTTGCCAATTATAATGGAATGGACGAACGATGCGTTGCGAACGCTTGTTGCCTTTAATGCTCCACTGAAAAGTTTGGAAATCGAAGTGGAGTACATCAAACTTGTTCACCATTTTATGCGTTTAAGTAAATATATACGGGTCTGATATATTTTATAAATTACAGACCTTTTCCGTATTATTGCAATCCTTTAGGCTGGGGTCCGTCTCCTCATGATAAGACTGCCGCAAAGTTTCTTTCGGATCTGTTCATAACTCACTGGGAGGTTCTGAAGTCTGTAATTCCTGACAGGTGAGAAACGTTGTTTCGTGCCAAGTTCATTTTATGACATAATGTGTGCGTTGTGCATATCTTTCCATACAGCATGCTGGAAAAGATGTTCTTCATTTGTCAGCTGTCGTCAGTAGAAATGGCCAGTGTTGGAGAAACAATTCTCCAAAATTCATCGTTACAGAATGTTTTACGGTACAGACTTCTTTTTCTGTTGGTGAATTACCGAGCCTGTAGAATTTCATACTTTCGTATTTAATAAGGTGCACATATTTTCCTGCTGCTGAAAAATCCTCTGAAGAGATATTTCCGTCACGAAGTGATGTGAATAAGTGGAAAAGTGTGATTTTTCAAAATACCAGTGTGGGAAACGCTGATCCAGTTCTTATTCGTGCACTCATGGAATTATTTATGGGATTGCGATTCGGAAAGCGGTACCTTCGTCTCATATTATGACTTGACTTAGATACAAAGCAGCACTACCTCTTTACAGAATGCATTCGGAAATACGCCAGTTAATCCCCGATACATGGGAAGCCACTCTGTCGGAGGCGGTAAGTTATGGTTATCAGTATTTATCCTTTCAAAATGTTGCCGTCATCCATCTCTGTTTTTGGAAATATTTTCGTCGAACCGAAAACGATTTCGGATGTGCGAACTGTGTTTCCACAATTTTTTTCGGTCACACCGAAAAAATAGGAGGTTTAGTGTTTGATTTACTGCTGCGACTATATTAGTAACTTATACATTTACACGCTAAAATTTGGACACATAAGCCGGAGAACTGCTGTCACGTACTGTGCACTGCTTTGTTTTTCGTCTTTTTTACCTTTTGGCTCTTTTTGCAGGTTGCACACAGCGAAGATTTGGGGTATTATTACGTAATAAACCAAATTGCAAACAGTATATGTCATCAGAAAATGCCGGGAATCTTGTCCTCACTTGATAATGCCCTGAACTTCTTATCAGGTGAAAGAACAGACGCGTAAAACTTCGGATCTAGAGTTTGTGCCTTATTTTTGCGTATGTTTTGTTGTATGTAGTTCTGGCACAAGTGTATGCGCCAATAATTTTGGATCACAATAATTTTGTGCACAAATCGCTTTTGGAGCTGTATATCGGAATGAAAGACGTGGGACTCGATGTCGTGGATGAATGGGATGAGCTCAAACGAAATGCTGTAGAAAAGGCAGAAGATGGCAATGAAATCGACGTGCCCGTTCTTAATACTCAAAAGGCAGCAGAAAAGCGGCGAATTTATTCGAAGCTTGGCGGAATAACTGCTAATGATGTGACCGGTACTTCTATCTGGTGTCTGCCTTTACTCGATTTTTTCATGCTTACATACCCTTGTACTCAGCTCCGAAATTATCGTGGTTGGACACACAAATTCAGCTGTACAACATTCTGCAGTTTGCGGAGGGTGTGGAAAAGAGCTTGGAACGGATGCTGTATGGCTCTGCACTTTTTGCCAGTGCTCTGAATGATGCAGACTGGACGGTAATATTGCATTTTTTTACTTGGTAACTGCCAGGGACCAGAGGGTTATTTAAGTAGCTTTTTCCATTTATATGCCGCTACTTTATTGTATTGTTACTTATTGAACTCTGAGTGTGTTCGATTACAGATACACATGAAGCTTGTCAAGGAACTGTATTCGTCAGAGAAGCACCTTGAACAGCATCAGACGACTTTAAAGACATTGCGAAACCATATGCTACGGATTTCCATGATTACTGAGGACGACTATTTGGTTGCTCGGTTAGGATATCCAGTTTTGGTTGCATGCATGCAGGATGGAATCGTCTCCGTAAGCACTGATTGTCGTTCGATAGTGTTTCCAGTCATCTTCTAAGCTAACCAGCAACATTCCAGGGGATTGATGTGGAGAAACTGGCGGTCACGCTCTTGTGGAGTTTATTGCGTTTGCAAAGCACGTATCTGGTGCGAAATCTGAGTGCCTTGAATGAAATGAGTGAAGTGGAAACTGGAGTGTCCCAGAAATGCTTTGATATAGCCAAATGCATGGTAGATCAAAGGTGAGCAGGGTTAGTGTGCGCGGAATAAGATGTTTTGTCTTTTGTTAGAGTCGTTTTAACTTTTTGCATTTCTAGTTTTGTACCGTCATTTGATAATTAAGTTTGAAGAGTCATGTTTAGGCTTTTTTAAATTAAATTGGCAAAGGTCATAAATTCTTCAAAGGTATGATCATGCTCTCGCGGAGACTAACGGAAAAGCGGTTGATGGATTAACGGATGACGCGTTTATTGATTTGGATTACTTGGAAAGCGAACTTCGAGCCGAATGTTTCGCAAAATTGAACAACTGGAAAGGCCTTTCAAACCTTGTGGATGAGTGTGATAGCATTGGTCCTCGAACCGAGCAGTGGAATTTGTTGTCCTCGTTAGTGCTAGCGCTCACTCGTTGTTCCCTTTCGCTTCTTTATTACGGTGCTCGTTTTGTTCTTGCAGGTTAAATAGTCCAGAATCATCTTTTACAGAAGAGACATTTAGCAACACCCTGGAGCATATCAGACAGCTTTTAAACGGAGATAAGCTGTCCAGACTGAATGGATCGGAAATGGCTGCATATCTCGTTAGATCGGAGATACAGTATGAATATACGCTTTTTTAAAATTTTGTTGGAGAATTTCGTGTTATTTTGTTATTGAGAACTCATGATCGCTCTGTTTTCGCTGTTCTTTCAGAACCGATGTCACACAGGAGGCGCTTGACAGTTTGCGAGATTTGCAAAAATTGGAAATGATTCGGGGAATTCCAAAAATTTGTTCGCGAACTTCGATTCTTTTACATGCACTGGAAAGAACGAAAATGGTTTACGGGGCTGACGATTTGGTATGTCCGTTGAGCGCTTAAGATGGCAGTGGATGATTGGTTAAATTATGTGAAACCTTATCTTTAGGTTTCCAAATTTCCCCTGGCATCGAATCCTCCATTGGACATCAGAGGTCTGGATATATCCACTCAGCATACCGCTTGCCGTTGGCTGTGTGGCAGTCACCGGTTCGTTAAAAACTCCATGGAGATTGAAGCATGTATGTAAATTATGGAACCGTACAATTATGGAACTTACAATTACTTTTTTAAAGTAATTTTTTTACAATTACTTTTTTAAAGTAATTTTTTTATTAAAGTACCCATTCGGCTCGTTGCGCTCACAATCAGACGTACTGTAGCATCTGTCCTTTAGTCTGTATTTACTTGACTGAGAGAATAGACCACTCGTATTGTTCGTAGGTTGGGATCCGGAATTATTTCTCTCTGTGGTTAAATTTGGTCGGAAAACGGAAAACTCATCGTTGGTATATGGATATTTGAAAGACTACTTTGGCACCAGTACCATTTCCGACGACGAAGACTCTTCCAGTGACAGCACACTCGACAAATTTGAAATGCTGAGTGTTACGTTAGCGAAACTACTTCTGAAAGCATCGGAGACAACCTCAAGCTTTCGGGACCTTAATCTCGTTCGAGAAGGCGTAAAGTTTCTGGTGGACTGCGGAGAATTCGGTGCTCGTAGCAGAGGAGTGGATGTGGCGCAGCACATCTGTCTGAGCGCTTTTCGCATCACCCAGGAGGCACCCGATACGGCGGGCCATTGTTTGGTAGAAGTTGCGAAGACTTTACAGGGCATTGGCGATCTTCATCGCTCCGCCATCGGATTTGCCGAAGATGAGGCGTACAGAGTGCAGAAATCAGTGGGAGATGCAACGGCAATTATTCGCTTTCATATGGATGCGATGTACACTGACGCCGGTTTTGCCCGTAAGGAGACTTTTGCTTTCCGGTTGTCTTTACCACTATCTGGAAAACATTGTTAATTTCGACTGTAGCGGGAATGTTCGTCGAAAACCCATCATTCAGCGGATTCATGACTCCCAGTGAAATTACTTCCGGTCTCTTGGCCGAATTGGCGTACATGGCCCATTGTATGGAAGGAATGTATACAAAGCCGGCCATTCTCTTCGGAAATTGGTGTTATCAGCAAGCTTACAGAATGCTCACCTCGCTGTCAAAGTGAGTACGAGTATTCTTACCGGTTTAATCATTCTTACATTCGAAATCGACTGCGTTAGACTTGGTGACTTTGTTTTCCAGGTTTCACCGAATTTTCTCTTTTTCCTTGTTTAATTTAAATGGTTTGCTTTTTGTCTAGAATGCTTCCCGAAGACATTGTTACCTCTCTTAATGCTTCATTGCCAGATGTGGTAAGCTTCGCCTCTTGTTTTATCTGGTTTCGACACCAAAAATTTCTGTTTTAGGACTTGTCGCACTTGAGCCCCGGCATCATTTCCCACATTGTGCAGCGCTATATGGACAATCTCCCCTTGAGAGTTGGTCGTCAGACTATCAGGGCTGTGGTAGACGTACGTATCGTAACTTTCATTTGTAGGGTTATGGCTGATCAGATATATATCTTATGAAATATTTCGCTGCCCTTAAACAGATTTTGAAGGAAGTCCAGGAATCCGTTGAAGTAATGGCTGAACGGGTGGCTGCTGATGAGGGAGTGCCTCTGGACGGAGTTTCAGCGGTTTTGATTACTGTCGGCATCATTTTACCGAAGTGGTGGAGTTTTTTGTCCAGGCAACACATGTGTATTTTGTGTATTTACGAAGACCCAAAGGCAGCGATTATGCAGCCGTTGTTATAAATCGTTTAATGGAGATGTTGACAGCATTTCCTGATACTCTGCACAGCATCTGGATGGAAGAACTACCCAAGCACGATGTTGTAATATGGAAAGGTACTAGTATTGTTAGTTCTCTCAGTTGTTTGTTATACTTTGACTTTGTATGAACATCTGTTGCCGCGGTCTTCTGTTAATTTAATTTTAATATTTCTAAACTGAGGCGCGCTTTTTTTCTGGTGTTTTAATGTTGCAAAATTGAAGCTCTTTAACTGTATTTGCTCTCGTTTTAGAATTTGGGCCGCAGCTTTTGGGACGACTGCACCATCCGAATCATTTGGTGGGACAGTGTATGATGGCACTGATTTCAGCCCTGGTGGCACGTTTTCCGAATGATATGTTGTATTCCTTGACGGTTGGACGCATGATGGCCTTTGACGAGAATATTGGTGGTGGAGCGTGTACGTAATGGGCATAGTCGCGTTTAGCAAATATTCCAGAAAGGTTTTGTTATGTAGGTGTGCCTGGTTTAAATGCAGAGCAAATTGAAAGCCTGCAAAGGCATTACGGCGCTCTCACAGATGGTGCGAAAGATGTCTTAGGTAACCTGGTGGAAGGCGGGACTGTGTTTGCGACCGAAATACAACGTATTAGCTTGTTGTCCGAAGAACGTTGGATGCACTTCCTGCTTTCTCAACAGACAACTATAAAAAAGTACGAAAGTTTAAACGGTTGAATATGTGGCAGAATCAGAAATGACGTTTTTGCAGACAAATAAGAACAGCTATAAAAGAAGCGCTAGCATTCAGCAACGGTACCCGTGATGAAAGCATACAGGAAGATGATTCCATTACCGAAGATGTTCGAACTCCGTATTCCGATATGGATTTAAACTTCGACCAGAAATCCAGTAGCGTGTTCTCTGACGAATTTGCGGCTGTTAATCCTTTTTGCGATCTGAACGAACTGCGGAAAGAAAACGCTGAGTTGGTTATTCAGTCACGCGAAGGCACGCCGGACGAGAATGAGAATCAACGGGAGGACATCGAAGAAGAATGGAAAAAGCCAGGGAAGCACTACATTCGGTTTCAGACATATGCCAGTCAGAGCTGGAAAACTGCTTTTCGGCTACCACTTTATCAAAAATCTATTGAGGCGGTAAGATCAGGAGCATTGTGATAGAGACGTTTATGATTTTTTGAATTTTTTCGTTAAGTGTGTATAAGATACTTTAATTAAAACAACATTCTAGGCTTTTTTATCGTAGATATACCAGCAACTCGTGTCACTACTGGAGCTCTCCATTGGGGAAGCAGTAACTCCTGCAGAAGCGGAATTCGTCGGCGTATTTCGAAATCGGCTCAGTGAAGCGATCCAACTGCTGTACAACCCTCCCGCTCGAGTGGAATTCGACGAGGACTTTATTTGGGCTCCTTTCGGAGAAATTCTAACGATGCTGGAAGAGCGACATTCTGGAAAACGACGAGGAAGTCTAGCTGTTAACCATATTACCGTGCTTCCCGGTGTGCTTTCCCGCTGGACCAGCCTACCGATTCCGGGATTGGAGAGCAGTCTTGGCAATGTGGTTACTATTGCCGCTGTGGAAGCGTATGTGGATATTTTACCAACGAAAACCAAACCCAAAAAATTAGTATTCCGGGGAAATAATGGAAAACGGTACAATGTTTGAATGCTTCCCTTGCTTGCCGGACGGAATGTTATCCTTACTGTCCGTATTTCTGTTGCAGATATGCATTCCTGTGTAAAGGTTTGGAAGATCTGTCACAGGATGCCAGGATCATGCAGTTCTTGAACGTATCGGATGCTTTTTTAAGACGCAGTTTGAAAGCCGAAAAAAGTGTTCCGCGCGTACGAACTTATTCAGTAATTCCGTTTGGTCCGCGAGCGGGTTTGATTCAGTGGGTGGGAGAGTCTACGTCGCTGCTGACATTATATCGAAGCCATTTAGAGCGCGAATCGTTCTTGGGACGCCAGGTAATTAAATGTGGTGTACATGGTATGGAAGTGTTTAAATTGTGAAATTTAATTTTAGATCTTTGCTGTCAACGAAGACAATTTCGTGGATGTGCCGGTTTACGGGCAAATCAAAACAAAGAACGATGCCGCACAGCAAAACTTGACCTTCAGAGTTGCTGAAGAAGAACTGCAGGATCTGTACGAAAACATCCAAGATATGAAAGCGGATGCAACATTGTCCGAAGACCGTAAATCCAGTGCGCGCTCGGATAAAGTGGAAGATAATACGGATTTTTTCGACAAGTGGGTTGATTCGGAAGATGAATTTTCGCCTTTGGAATTTACGGAAGCATACTATGACACGGTAGTGCGCAAAACAAAAAAAGATTTGGAGAAACTGCAGCAAGGAGGCGATGATGTTTCTGTTCGTGTACACCCAAATTTGCACGAATTGTACATGTCATACTTGGTGAAAAGCTTGCGGAAAGATAGTTCGGTACGATTTTACACGGGCATTAGCGCTATATTTATTCTGGTAATTCTGTATCTATCTTCGCTTTTCAGATTGCTTGGGATAAGTTTCGTTTGCACGAGCAGAATCGGACCAAAAATATCGATATTGTACATCTGCGAAATGCACTGGAAAGTCTTATGAGAATAACCCCTTCCGATTTGCTTGCACGGTAGGTAACAACGTAATAATGGAATTGTAGTCGATCGAAAATTGGGTTGATTTATTTGGCGAAATATTAATTTTTTTAAAACTTCTAGAATTTGAACAATGTAGAACAATTTACGCTTGATTTAGGGAAATTTGGTTGGCATGCTCGTCTTCCGAAGAGCACTGGCGCGTAAGCCGTTCCTTTGCGCAGAGTCTAGCGATGACGTCAATCCTGGGCTACATCATTGGGTTAGGAGACCGGCATCCCGATAACGTTCTGTTTGATTTCCATACGGGTGAGGTTATTCACGTGGATTATAATGTCTCCTTTGAGAAAGGACTGCGCCTGAGTGTGCCCGAGCGTGTCCCTTACCGACTGACACCAAATCTGGTCACAGCCCTCGGTCACGAAAGGATTACCGTAAGTTGCCGAATTTCATGCGGTAACTGATTTCAAATGATCCGTTGTATTGAAGGGAACGTTTCGGGATTTTGCTCTGAAGACTCTGGAGACACTGCGAAAAAACCAGTCGGTGTTATCGCTTCTTGTCTCCAGTTATGTCACCGATCCATTGATTGACTGGACGACAGATAAAAACGAAGCGCTTGGCGTAGGACCAGTCAAACGACGGTCCAACTCTGACGATAGCGAAACAGGTACGTACAGTAACTACTTTAATGGCAGTTGTTGCTTGTCGATTCTTCAGGTTCTGTTAATGCACACAGACAGATGGGACAATGAACTGCAGATACTGCATTAGTTAAAATTAAAAATAGTTAATTAAATTTTATAGATGAAAAAGCCGAACTGTTCAGTTTGAAAGTATGGACTCGTATCCGCGAGAAATTGCTGGGTTTAGATGGCATCGATGGTAACCGGTTGGACGTTTCGAGCCAGGTAAAATTCTGGATAAAAAGGTCTGTGGTAACGATGTAAGCAATCACTAATAATTGTTTGGCAGGTCGATCGCACCATTACATTGGCGACAGATCCAAATAATTTGGCTCGGATGTTCGAAGGCTGGGTGGCATGGGTGTAGAAAAGCCGACGAAACAAATACTTACGTCATCAGACAGCTTTCTGGCTGTGTGGATCTGTGCTTGGGTCGACTGGGCGCCGGCGCGCACTTCTTTTTCCTGTCGCTCTGACAGCGAAGACGTCGGATAGAGTAGTCCTGTTGGTTCGGGCCATGGAATGGACAATGATACAACAAACTCCGGTCCGCAACAACTATTCGAGTCGCGTTTCAAATGAAGCCAGTCGTGCCCGGCACACGTTGTCTGTTTAACTGCACCGTCAGTCATCGTTCGTTTGCACTGTTCGATTTGTTCTGGTGTTTTGGTGGTGGTACTTTGGGGGCAGCACCCCCCGGTCCAGGAAGGGCCGGTGTGGTCTGTCGCTGTTGGTGTTATCCTCTAACCAGAGCTGGATGATTATTTCATTTGGAATGATGGTTTCGCTTTTATTAGGCATGGTCATCTTGTGCTTGTGTTCTTGTGCTTTTCTGTCGTCTGTTATTTGTACAGATTAATTAGCGGTTAAATATTATTTATCTCAGCTTGATGTAGTTTCGTTTTCACGTGCTTGACCTTGATAAGGTATTACTAATGATGTACGGTAGCTGAGCATGGGTTAGATTAAAATTAAAAGTATCGACTACCCTTTTTCGGTTGTTGTGTTCACTGTATGTCTATCTGTGTGGGCAAAAGTGTTGAAATACATCCAGATTCCAGAAGTATTGAAATTCTCCATAAATAGAGATAAATTTGCTCGTTAGCTTTGCAGTATAATTTACAGTCGGCAGGTATTTATTATTGTGCATTGCCAGAATTTTTATTGCGCATTGCCAGAATTGTCATGTAATATCACAAAAATATATATAGTTATTCAATAAAAATATTAGTTGACAAAATTATCAACAGTTTTAGTTCCCTGCAACGCAGAGTGTTGTAAAATCCTGCATCGCTAAATAAAAAGGCGAACTTTAACAAAAGCAGAAATAAAACGAGAATGTAGGACCGAAAACCAAACGGGTGCAGGTATGGGTACCCAGTGTGGCAGTGGCGGCCGGGTGCTATGTATGTGTTACCTTGGCCGCAGCAAATACTAGGCATCGGAAACGGACCGTTGGTTAGGGATAAAGGCGAATTACAGAATTACAGGTATATTTTTATTTTTGGAGCGTCCATGTTTTTTTTAAATGTTGATCGGTTTATTTTTCATTACTTAGTATTGCTCCAATTTTTTGTCTTGTCAGGAAAATCCCACTGTCCGGCGGTGTTTAGGCCTTGCAGAAGAAAAGCATCACTGATGCATCCGGTTTAGTTGGTCACGGCGCAGAAGGTGGCGACGGATGGTTACAGATCTTCGGGCAACGGAAGGTTAGGATAACTTTCGAAAACTCTTTCACAGCATTCACAAGCAAATCGTTTCCGAGAAGAATCGTGAACGACTATTCTTCTGTATTAGCTTACAGAAACTTCGGGGAGGGAGTCTTAACTGAAAACGTTTTGGCAGTCCGTTTTTATGCATAAGATTTTGATCCGGATCCCACGTCATTCCCGTGATTGGCTTATCAATACGAGAGACGTGCGGAATCCAACGACCGGAAGGCAGGGAGGATTAGGCTAAAGGAGTCGCGCCGGACTGGTGGTCCGATCAGCAGTGACCGGATGCCAAGATTTCGGCAGCCTGCCGTGTGCCGTTGGCAAGGACAAAGGGCGTAGTCCTCTTTATTCTGTTCCATGTTTCATGAGCCGGTTGTTGAACGACGTCAGTATTCCACTTATCATCCTTCCACGCGCCAATATTGGCGCGTGGAAGGATGATAAGCTGGCCGAAATGATTAATCATTTCGGCCAGCTCCAGTCTTGCGGATAGTCTAGACAGACAGCGGTTGCCTTGGAAAAATGCCCCCAGCCGCTCAGTTTACAGCAGAGTCCGGACGAAAGCATAAAAACGATAGACTTTTGGACGGTGGGTTCCAGAATTCGAAATGCACGGCCACAGGATATTCCATTTAATTATGGTACAGTGACCACTACAGTCACCTGTCACGAGTACGAGTACATGCTGCGGTTGAGTTTCGCCTGTCCGGCGTTACGGCTTCCGCCTGTGTTTACGCACTTGTACATCGTTTTGCAGAAAAATCAATCGAGCTGCTTTTACAGCTTGTACGGGATTTATCTGCCAGATCAGCCAGAAATTTTAGAATTTCGAAAAGTCCGTATTCGATAACTTGAATCTGATGAATGATATTGATTAAACATTAAACTTTTTGCCTTCATTAATAACTTATACGTTAGAAATTTATCAAACTCAGTAAGTACAAGATTTCGTTTCAAGATTATCTGGGGATAGACTGGTGAAGTGCAACATGGCACATTCGGGAAACGATGGCGTCAAGGTGGAAGTGGAATACTGGTATGATGATTGCTTTCCTACATATACGATGCTTATTTAACCTTGTACTTGGAAGCTGCTGACACAAATAAAGTATGGTGTGCGCAGCTGCATGAGAATTATACACATCACAGGATTACAACAGGAATGCGTATTGTCATTCCTGGCAGGAATGGAGCTGTTTATTGTGCTCGTATCGAATACGTAATTACAATGTGTTGTCTGTTTACTCCTGAACAGCGGTGGATGAGGTTACGCCCCCCGTTATGGGGAACTGGAGAGAATAATTAAGGGAAAAGTTCCGAATGCCTATGTCACTGGGCGAGTGGGACGATCAAGTGAGTGGTCGGTGTGCATACTTTTTGGAACGTCATTGGATTGTTGGTTTTTAAGTGATTTTGAAATGGTTTGCGACTGAGGTCACATCTCTAACGTATTCTTAGTGCCATTGACAATCCTGTATACGTTTTGCTGTCTGGGAAATGATTTGGAATGGTGGATGTACGTATTTTTGTTCATTTCTCACAGCATCCTTCGAAATTGTTGTTAACGGACAGTTGGTCTTCTCCAAATTGGAGCGTGGCGGATGGCCGGACTTTAATGAGGTAGATCGCCTTAAACAAAAATTCAATATCGTACTAATAAAACATTAACTACTCGTCTTTGGTTTTTTATTTTGAATGTTTTCGTATAATATTTTGGATTTTCCGAAAAGGGAATTTTTTCCAAGTCCAGTTTTCACAGTCGTTTCTGATTATTTTGGAGAGTATTACTATAAGTGATTACGCAGATTGATATTTTATAAGTTTATAGTATAAATATAAATAAAAACATATGAATGTGTTAAATATTTTCATTTAGAGCTAGAGGTATCGTCAAGCAGAGCAGTGAACTGTAAATATTTTTTTAAGATTGCAGAGATCGTGCGCAATGTCAGCGCCGGAGGTAAGCCGACGCAGGCGGAGAAGTCGCACTCCAGCTGCACGATCCTGTAAAGGAATGTTAGTAACATCGGTTTCACGATCGGATGCGTTGTTTGTGCTGTGAAACGGTTTCGGAAGTTCCCAATGAAGCGCTTGTGAAAACCCGCAAAACGGATCATTAGCGTGGATGCTTGAACCGATGGAATGCAGTTCACAGTGTGAATGCGCATTTGATTTTGCTTTTTTAGGTTTTGTTGCTTACATGCTTCCATTACTTTTACATACAGTTAGTTACAGTACTTTGCAATCAGATACTGTAACAATTTGACGTCATTTAGCCGTGTCGCCCTTTGATTATTGGCACTCCCATTCTTTCTTCGCGCTTTTAGTGTGCAGTTTTTGTCGTTCCTTATGCCGTAGTACTTTTCATTAAACTTGCATGCAAATAAATTACGTTCAACTGATCCTTTTCCAATTAACATAAGATCCAAAAACAAATTTGCTCCGCATAAATTATAAACAAACAAACAAGTTTGCGGTTTGCCACTTGAAGTGGAAAGATTTCCCGGTACCGAACACGAATCAAAATGCCAAATCAGTGTTGTTATATGAAATATGTAACTCTGTATGCACCTGCAGCATGCTTCGGGTGTTCAACTATGTATAAACAATTGCCATCAAATCTCGAACGAAATTAAAGATTTAGAAAAAAACAAAATCAGAAAGAACAAAAGAATTAAAATAAATAATCAGCTCCAACAGAACCGGAAATGTGCATCAAAGTTCACAATGAAAGTTCACAAAAAGCTAAAATGAAAATTAATAAAGATAATTTTACGGGTCAAAAAAATCACCATAACTGGAATATAAACGCACAAACCGACAAGGCCACAGTTAAGCCGTTCCGTTGCGCCCAGACCGCAGCGCCTCCAGAGACGTTTGCAGCAGCTGAAAATGATTTTTGGCATGTTTCAGTTCCAGCTCGGCCAACTCAACTAGACCTTTTCGGAAGGCAATAACGCGACGCTGACGATAATCTTTTAGCTCGCTGCGCGCCAACTCTGTGATAGACTCGAAACGCTTCTGGCATTCTTCGCGATGTGTTTCGGCCGCATGTACGTCCTTGTTCTTCATCTTGGCCTTTTCCAAATTCTTCGTAGCCTCCTCGAAATCATGCAGACAGCGGGCACGACGTAGGCACAGATCCTTGGCCGCTTGGGTTTCGCGCTGGTAGTACAGCAATGTATCGGTTAACTTTAAGTCATGATCGGCGGATTTTTTAAACTCCGTCTTGCGCGACTTTTCGAGTATCTCCGAACAATCTTCCAAGAATTTGGTAAGAGCCGGCTGCTCGGCAGCGGCCAGCTGCGACATGAACGAGGACATTTTGACGTGATCGGTGATGACTTCCTTATGCTTCTCCACCACTGTATCGCTCTTTTTGGCTGCTTCTTTAACGTGCGTGTGATATTCGTTTAGGAAGGATTTTTGCTGTTCAAAGTATTCGTCCACGTCTTTCTGGCCGGAAAGCAACACATCGTCGGCTTGCTTGAAAACCGCTTTTTTAATGCTGTCAAACATTTCGCGCTTGTTTTTTCCTCGAATACCAATCTGTAAAACGAAAACAACTGAACCTTTTACCAAAAAATAACTCAAAATAAATGTATTAAAGGAGCATAGTGAAGCGTTATAGTTTCGCCAACTACGCATGTTCTTAATTTGTCCAGCTGCTGACACGATGAGCAACTAGCAAGCATGTTTAGCTTATAGCCTTATACTCTTGAGCGTGAGTGCATACCTCTTGTTCATATTCCAGAAAAACGCGGAAATTCATGTCGTCGCGCAACTTCGGATGAGTGGCAAGCCGAATCAGGAACGCCTCATGCATCGCAACGGTCTTCTTGAATAAGGCCAAATATTCCGCTTCTAAATCGGCTTTGAACTTGGCAAATTCCTCCTTCGTCATCAGACCTTCGGATTCTCCTAATTGCTGCAGCTTCCGTCGGGAGGCCTCAAAGTCGGGGAAAGGCGGCGACGGGGGAATCTGAAAGAAAATATTAATCAAAAACTACGCCAAATGATGTACGGACAAATCCTTAAAGTATGCACTGTACCGCCAGAAATTTCACATCAGCAGTAGAATTAACTGGACCACATGACGGCAAGAAGACTATTTTACTAAGGAATTCCATTCAGTTTTTTTTTTTATTCTGAACCCAGGAAATTAATGCCGAGCAAAATAATATGTGCACAACACTGTACTTCAGTGTATCATATGGGTTTTGTCCGCAAAATTAACAAGCGCATTTTTTTTGTTTAACAGGAACTTACGACAACGAACATCAACACAGTTACTCACGATATATCCAGCATAATCAGGATTCTCCAGGAATCGATCATGCAGCCAAACGAATTCCTCGTGTTCGCGCACCACCGAGAATTCGGGTTTGCGGAAGGCAGGCAGTGTCGTGCGCGTGTGCACCGTGAATTTGACTTTGTCCCGTTCGCTGACGGCGTCAGAAATGTCAACAATCAGGGGCGATTCAGCCAAATCCACCGTCTCGGCCCGTTTCCGCTCCTTGTCGATGGGGATGTCATGTGTGGCGTCACTGTCCCCCAACATTTTCTTCGTAATCTTAAAATAACACCCAGTCAACACCGAATTCGACAACGCGAATTTCAACGATTAGAACCTCCAAAATCTAAGATCCCTGCTAAATGTGTACGAAACGAAAACCAAAGAAAGAAAACGACAACATTTCTCCAACACTCGTCTAGTCTTCTCGTGGACCAGTCGGCTTTAAAAAAATATTATTTCCCGAACGGAAACAATTTGGGTTGACTACAATTATACAAACTCCATCGTAATCGGTAACACAAAAGATCACGCTAATCCGTAAAGAAACCTCCGTCCAATTGCAGCCACGTGGGCACGTAGATGAATCAAAAAGGCCCATCACCCATTTTGAGTAAGTACCTGTTCTAATTGCTGTTCAATCGCTAGTCGCTACTCCTGGCCGTGGAATCACAATTGTAAGGGATAAAGCGATTAAATAAGCTGGTCCCAGGAAAAAGACAGCGGCGGATACAATTTGCACCTGTCAAAGTGCAGACTACTCTAGAGTAGGTAGATTACGGTCTCCTGAGATAAAAGTATCTGATTATTCACACAAACAGTCATGCATGCAATGGACATGGATATGGTCGCAAATTTGTAATGCACAAAACATAACACAATACCACATAGCATGACACTATACAATATTTTTACAATTTATATTTTACAGTTTCTATTTCACGTAATTAGGCAATAGTTTGTAGAAATATCTAAATCGTAAATATTTTTAGCCTGTGAAGTGAATCAGCAAAATATAATTAATTGTAAAAGACTTACAGTCTTACATACACAGCAAAATGAAAATCCACATACTGTAGGTTTGGTTTGGGCTATACAACACTAATACATTTTTTTTCGGGAGAACCAAAGAAATTATTAAATACGCATTCTGCTGTATATAGTTATTTTTACTTCCGGTAGATCTACTGCACCTAATTTTTCTGTATAAGTACTTACTAAACATATTGTGCTCGCTGCGCATGCATTTTTCCACATGTTATTATTTGAATTTTTAAAAACGATTTTGTTAGCAGCGCTTTCGTCCGCAGACGCCCTGAGAATCATATTTTATGTGCTGCTGTAACTTTATTTGCGGTTCCGGGAGCAGATAAAGCCTATGGCTGCCCGGAAGTCTCTTCAACGCTCCGCACAAACCAAGAAAAGCCAGTCCAAGTTAGCCCTGAATAAAAGTGGCAATCCGGTAACAGACCGTGGAACTGCACCACTCTTTGCGCCGATTATTCCCAAGAAATCTTTACCGTCGTTTCTTGAAACCGATGACATCCTCAAAACTGTAGCATCAGCTAACCCACAGTATTTTGACTGTAAAACCGCGGGGAAAATATGCATAAAAGGGTCTGCCTTAAATTCCATGAGCGAAGGAGAACCTAAGCCAGGCATGAATTAATTATCCTCTCGAAGTCTTGCATGCATGTGACTGTGGCATCACATCATAACATAAAAATTTGAAAGAAAATTCTTACATTTCTTATTTAACTTTATGAATAATTTCTACAGACACTCCAATATCTGCACCTATGGAGACGCATGTGGACCAGACCATACATCAGCGCAATCAGGCAAAACCTGCCGAAGCCGAGGTGATGAAAACCTGGAACGATTTCAAGGAACGTTTCCGTCAAGCATTTGAAGACGGTCAAGGACGAGACATGTGTTATGGTGAATGACGTACATATAATACGAGCAGATCCTAACAGAATTTATTGTTTTATCTTATTACGGAAACAATGCAAAAAACTTGTGAAATATTTGCATGTGTGCGTTGTTGCACACTTTCGCGTAGCTATTCGCCAGATGGAAGACGACTGTGAGCACATCGAGCGCACCTTAGTCAATGCCCACAAGCGAAAGGTCATGCTGCTTTACCACACAAAATACCTAGCCCGAATGGTAAAACTAAATTCTACATTCTCTGTAGTTTGGGTAGTTTGGTAATTTTTTAGCTGCATATAATTCCGCATTTCTGTGTTTACAGTTGAGGAAGAATTCCGTTCAGATGAAACATGCGAACAAAATGGAAGAGTCAATTGTCGCTACCATTAAAGCTATGTCATTAGCGCAAAATTCGGTATGATAAATCTGAAGACAATAATATACAGTGATATACCGTCTGGACAGCGCAAAATAGTGCCTCGCTAATATCCTGACATTCGATTGTCGCTTTATTATTACTATTTTTTAGATAACTCACGAGACCAGCGTAATCAACATCGGCGTGCGTTCTCAGTTGCAACAAATGCAAAACCATTTTTGGCGGAAACTAGGGATCCCACAATCGAAACCAAACGATACGAAACAATTCACCGATAAATCATTGGAAAATGCCAGCACGAAACGCGATATGCCGCAGATGGAAAAAGTCCGCATGTTGCTCGATCCTGCAAATTTTGCTGCTATTGCGGATAAGTCCAATGGACTACTTTTAGCTCAACACTACGTAATTAATTATCTGAAACTCTGTTCGGAAAATCATCCTTGGATGCAGAATCTCCGAATAAATTTCCCGACGGAGAACGGTCTGAGCGAAACGATGCAGCTGAAAGATGTTCCCATGTTTACTGAAGACATGTCGGCCCTTTTTACCGGACTAAAGCCTAGTCTCGAGCCAATAAAACTACTGGAAGAACAGTTTCCAAATGGCGACCTCCGCCCAATCGGCGAAATAACCGAACTGGAACCAATTGCCCCGTTTTTTGCATCCGAAATGTCTGATTCCCAGAAGCCACACCCTGCAAATCTTTTTCAGGCTATCCACCTGGATACACTTGCGAATCGTTTAAAGAAGACACGAGGCGAAAGCGATTTGTTGAGTTTTGATGAGTTTGCCGCGAAGAATTCGCATTTGTTTCAGTTTATCGAGCCGCCTCATGTGTCACCCAATCGACGCAGCACGGTGCCTTGGGAAGGAAAGGGCAAGTTAATTACCAACAGTTCCAACTTTCACGGTCAGGCCGTATCCGGAAGTAATCTGCAAATTGCTAAATCTGCTCAGGAGGAAACGTCGACAATGCATCCGAATGCTGCAGCGTCCAAATCGGGAACAGCGCTCTATACTAAGCCAACGTCGCCGGTTACCGATCACCAATAAAATCCTGGATAAACGGCACCTATGCGCTCATTCAGGCAGCTCACAAGATTATACGCTATCTCTTCCATCTGTGCACTGCCACTGTAAAACATCGTATTACAGAATTAATGTTGTTTGGATTTTCTATAATAACTTTCTTCCTCATTTTGCAGGGATTTCAAATACTCAACATGCTATCGTAGTGAGTGGCTTGATGTGTTCTCCGGTTCTCCCTATAAACTGATTTTTGAAGGATACACTAGCCACAGTGTTAAACAGCTAAATGTATAGTATAGTATTTTTATTTTATTACTTTGTGGAGTGCCTTTGAATCACTTTCACTACCTTTTTAAATATCGTGGCTACCAAAATGAACACTTCAAGCATGGTTCTGCATATATATGCACAGTATATACTATAATCATCTTTAGTTATTTTTGTTTAATTGCCTCCGTAGCGCAACTTTTATAATTATGACCTATGCTGTCTTTTCGCGCCACGCCATACAAGTAATGACAACTGTTAAGTACTCACATAAAGAGAAATTTTTCTGGATTAGCGAACGAATTAATTATGAAGTATTATGAAGTTCTTCTTTACAGTTAACGCCACTATTGCGTCATACATGTATATCAAGGTTTCCAGTTGCCGGGAGTCTTTACTTAAGAATGTTTAAAATTGTCGCGGTGTGTATTCTCGTTATTAATCAAACAGCAGCGTCGTATTTTCCGCTCATTTGTGCAATACTAATAATGATCGAAGACGAATTAAACGTCAATGGCTCGCATTTTGGTTGTACGGCCTTATCCCACGGTAATATGTGTGCAATAACCATGTGAACACTGCCTGCGTGTGAAATGCAAACAGCGGCTAGTTGCATTACAAACTGATCTGGCTGCGATTATATGAATACCTTCAGTTTCCACCGGCTTCCGATTTCATTATGAGTAAGCTTACTCAGGGTTTTCAACTGTCGGTTTCTGAAAAATGGTGACTATTAAATCCGAGATAAAAAAAGCGGGGATATAACCAGGAAACTGGTTTTTGTTTTATATTCATTACAGTGCAAGTAATTTATAATTACAATTAATGTACAATTTTATATCGATTTATGGACACTGAGTGCCGGGTGGTAATATACTAATATCATTACTACATTTACGATCAGAGATTGTGCTGCCTCGCCAATAGTAAAGTTTGTACTTACAAGATACATATAAAATGGAAAAACAATGCTTTGAAAATGAAAAGACGCCTTAAAAATGCTTAAAATTAATGCATAAAGTACCCCTAAGAATAATTAGCATTCCATCAGTTGTTCAATAAGGCAATCGGGGGTAAAACGTTTTGCTCAGGATGGCTTAAAAATTACTTAAACTACATGCATATGGAACAAAAGAAGCGATAACACAAAAGTTTCGAGTATACGATAAATAATCTGTTAACCAGAATAAACAGTTGCAGATTGTATAGAAGACGCCTCACTCAAAACGATACTGTTACGTTGTTAACATGCTTGACCGCATTAGTAAAGAAACGATAATATCAGCAATCAAGCTGACAACGGACTGCCGGTAATGGTTGATTGCTTGCTTAAAAAACGTGACAATGTGAAGTGATTTACTATTTGGTGGTAAGAAAATGCGTTCCCACGAGAACCGCCGCTTGAAAGATTGTAATGCCGGTATACATTACACTTTCCATAATAAAAGGTAGGCTATTGAGTAGGTAACGTTTTGGCTCAGCACGTCGTATTTGCTTTCGTTTGCATAGACGAACAATAGGTAAGATGAGCAAAGGAAACATATCATCACTGGTCTTCATCATTCTCAACAAAATACAAAAAACTTGAACCAGTGTATTGTCGTGATTTGTTTAGTCGAGTCAACTGTAAATGAAAAATTGTGCTTGTTCACGCAGCACACATAGCCGTGTGTTTTCCTGTATAGCGCTCACTATGTGTAACGACAATTTAACAGACCGGCCCGTAAAAGAATGAACCGGTGACAGGGCCGTTAACTGACGGAACGTGCGGAAGATGTCTACCTTTACACAAACACACCATCGCATCAAAATCAACGTGGGAATATAACGGTTCTCATGACTGAACATTTTTGCAGAAACTGGTATACTGCCTAGGCTGATGTGTGTTCGCAGCCTTGACTGCCAGTTCAGTGGAAGCTGCTGGGGCCCTCTCACTTCAACCACCGGCTCTTACTGATCTGGAACAATTGCTCGTGCTGGTCATTGCGCTTTTATTAATCGTGACCGGTATTACGATTGATTTGTTCTCATAATTACAAGGTGCTACTGATATGAGGAGTTTTTTCCGCGCTAGCTGCATTATTTAATTCATTTGTATCTCATTTTCCCTCGGTTGAAAAGTTACCTGCCTAGGCCTTTCTGCGACATGTATATAATACACGGGCGTAAATACAAGCTAAAAAACAACAGCTACTGTAAATCAGTCATGGTTTTCTCCACAATTGCAGGTTCATTTTTTTCTCAACTTTGCCATAGATCTACCGATTTTCAACGAGAAATTCTCATGGTGTATCTGTGATTGTAACCGCTTATCAATGCCGTGTATACATTGCTATTTGCGTTAAAACACAGCCAACATGATTTGAGTAAACTGTAAACTGAACCAAGATACTTCTATATATCTTGACTGAACTAACCATGGTACGTAAACTCGAAACAATCATTATAAACCATTTCAGTTCTACAACTATCTTCTTTATTCGGCAATATTGGCCACTTCACAGAATAAAATACCAGCGCAGATACACACTAAATACTGTAATATTTACAACTTGATATGGTCGTAATTGGTCGTGTAACAATAATCGTCTAAGATTCATATTACTATTTAATAAAAGCAATATTATCGTAATAAACTAATAGTCGTAAGATGGAAAATTTTCGCAAACCTTAACAAGAAAATGTCACTGCAAGCACGAAATTTAATAGCGACACCAGCTGTAATGACAATTTTAAAAAAATTGTGGTTCGTTATCATTAGCCTTTAGACTTTTGAGTCATGCAGTGAATGATCTCAGTTACCCGTTTTCTTCCACAAACAAAGACAATTCAAATAAATTTTGATAATATCGCATTGGATTCCTAATCTTCGTTAAACGGTCTCGTTTTTCCTGCAATTAATCGTTTCTTTAATTATCGTGGGATAAAGAAATACGTATATATACATGTTTTAAATACTGTAAAATACCAGTACAGCAGTACTTTCATTTAAGTTTCGTTCAGGCGGTTCAGCAACGTCCGCGCAAGTTATATTAAATTAGTTTATTTCAATCATTTCAATCTCGTAATTTGTACCAACTTCCAAAAAAAAGCAAAACAGGAAGTTGCCACTGAATCTGTAAAACCAGAAACCGGCAGTAAAATTAATATCTTAACAGAGTGGCCAGAAAAAGTCGAACCAGTCGCCATGCACTACCTTCCCAACCAATAACATCCATGAGTAAATTAAGCAAACAAAACCAACAACAACAGACAAGTTGCCAAAACGAAGTAAACAGCAAAATCACAACAACCGATTTATTCCACTGATCAAGTAATAATCTTCAGGTTATCATCCATCACATAGATCATTTACAGAATTACTTAACTACAACCCATTAATAACTGTCGTGACGGCTCTCATGGTCACTGTGGATCACACACCCCGGAAGTAGGTGACGCCGTCGAGAAGTTGAGCAAAAATATAAAGCCATGGCAGCTAAGACAATCACCAAGGATCTGCAATGCACAAAAATGCAAGTTATTCGTTGATTATTGTAGTACTTAATTTATTAAGCCATACAAATAATCGCATACTACATTTTTGAATTTAGTAATCTACTCAATTTCTGGGTTCGGTTCACATATACAGCTAGAAAAATTATCCTGATGTTTATATAAAGCGGCACTGTTATTTTGAGAACCAGTTGTCGGGCACCCACTGCGAATTGTGAAGAAATCTTTTCGAAAGATAATGAAATGTGAGTGTTTGTAGCTGACTGATTCACAGGGCATGAGATATGGGAACGGCGGAGACTGGTTACACGCTCTCTTGACCGCTGGCCACTGCATATCTGGCTTACCCAAGCGAACTGCTTTATCATGACCGTTTAGAACGTTCCCGACAATACGAGCAGGTGATCCACTGGAAAACGATAGCGAAATATCGTGCTGCATGTCAGTGTTGGGACAAGCAACAGGCGTCGCTTGGAAAATCGATTCCTGAGAGATTTTTGTCATGCACCTCAATAACTGATATACCACATCGAGCAAGCCTTTTTCTGTGGTGTTCCCTGCCTAAAGAAAAATATTACGCTGCTGGCCGACAGGGCAATTTGTTTCAAAATATTAAACGACACCTACAACCATGAGAACTTTGAAACGAAAAAGCGAAGACAAAGAAAGAATACGATATCCAGATGAAAAATCAGAAGCGCAGGAAATGTCGGCTAAAGTTTTGATGAGACTTTTATTATTCAATATTTGGGTAACTGCGGCAGACAGCATATAATTATATTTATGTTTTGATTGTTAAGAAATGCAACGCAAATTGCAGTTCTATTTGCGAAATGCTATATTTCATAAGCTAAATATATATCCTTAATGCGATTTGCGAAATGCTATTGACATGCTATATTTCTATCCATAATTTCTTACAATTTCTGCTTGTGTTATTCAAAAGATTGAAAGTTGGAACAGGCTCCGAACAGCTAACAAGGCATTGCGGTATCACTTATCACCTTGCGGGCGGTGTATAATTTGTTGCATTTCAAACAAACTTCCTACGGCATTTACGTAAACTGACACTGACTGCGTTATACAGTCATCAAGCTGATCAGAGACCTAGTTTTACGTCTACTGACATGTGAGTGCTTACAGCCGGCAAAAAGCCGGCTTCTCAGCGCTTATTAATGTTCGTAATTCTACGAGAATGAAATTTTTTTCCTGCTGCACTAACAAGCAAAGCAAGAAGTATCTTCTTGCGAACTATCTCACCAGAAAGCGCCGTGAGAAAATAATTTCCCAACTTTGTTAGTGATAGGTATAAATTTTCTTGCGCAGAAAGCATTATTAAAGCAGAAAGCAGTATTAAAATTATATGAATCTACAGCAGTGCTGTCGTGTCTGTGATCACTGTCTCTCTCGATATAATTTTTGTGTTGTTTGGGGAAAAATTTTATTAATTACCGCTACCATATTGCACGAATCTCCCTGAATGGTCGCACTTGTCTGCTAGGGTATAGGTTCTCCGTAGTCCACAACCACATGATAATCAGTTTTCTTTAGGTGAGCTGGATTGATTCAGAAGCGAGAATGCAACAGGTTGCAGGTCTGCCTTGAAACTGAAATTCTACGGCACCCGTAGCTGTCCCCTTCTCTCTCACGGCCATAATTCACGAATTGTGTTCTCTCTTATCACAAAGAATCTAAAAGGGCGCCTATGGAGAGCATTGTGGCCAAAGAGAGACGCATGAAAATTCCACTTCGCTTCAGTGCACCCTCTGAACAGAACAATCCTCAAAGCAGACCAGCCCTAACCGAAATTATGATCGTAGCCTAGAATGACCGGTTCAGATATTGGACTCACCATTCTGTATATCACGGAGAAAGCGTTGAAGGGCAGTGGCAGTTGCAATACTGGGCCAGAGAGAACAACGCGCAAGAAAAGGACGACGCCGGAGGAAAGATGATCGTCTCTCATGTGTCCATCTTGAATTCACACGCAGCCAGGACAGCGCTAAATCCTGCATTCTTCGTAGCCATAAAAATGAAAGACCAAGGCTAAATCTTTTTTCCCACCACTTGCAAACATGCCCTTCCCGTCTGTGTGTCACGATATACCCTTGGAATTAGCTGACGAACCGGATGATAATAGAAATGTCGCAATCTCTCGATGACCATTCCATGCCGCTGAAAAAAGCCAGTACGTCATAATCTTGAAAACATTTCACATTCCTCAATGCGGAGATTAAAGTGAATTTCAAGTAAATTGATTGTTATAGTTATATCAAATTCACGTATTAATCCGGCAATGCAAGCACATTCACAAGGGTTGGGCAATAAGCCAACAACACGAATACAGAATGCACTGTGAGTGCGGAAATTCATTAAACGATTTCGACGCCGGCTTGCAAAATGGCATTGAAGAAGTGGTAATAAGTACAATTAGATTGCATTAGATTAATCACTAAAACACTTTTGCAGCCCTAATTATAGCACAATTTTATGCAATTGCATTTGCTTGGGTAAAACGAGAAGTTTATATGCAGTTCCCGAGAGTAAATTACTCAGTTAATGGTGTCAATGTTGAGTGTCAATTGAGTAAGTGTTTAAATCAGAGGTTATGTAGACTACGAACATCAGTAGCGTATCACAGGAAAAGAAAGACAATAATGTGCTTAGAGCATACCCAAATGAAGAGCGTTCCATCCGCTTCTGGTTGTTAAGGTAATATCAGCACCCATCTTCACGAGGCTTTTGAGGCGTTCCAGATCCCCTTTTATGCAGCACCTATGCAAATCGGTCCAGCCGTCGGCATCGAAGACATTAACGTCCACATCAACAATTAGGTTATTTTCTCCGAATGGTTGCAGTTGCCGTCCATTGGGCTTTTCTGATTTCTTCGATTCATTTCGATAATTTCCTTCTCGCAGAACGAGCCGCAGCTGGGTCATATCCGCGCTTTTTGTTGCTTGGCACAACGAGTCCTCCAATTCCGAAAAATCCCGTTGTACTACCATCGCAGTTTTTTTTAACAAATGCACACCTAATAATCCCGACGATGTCCAAAATAATGAATATTCACATCGCATGCATGCGTTTTAAACCATACAAATAAACTTTACAGTTGAAATGTTTGCGTAAGATAACTCGATCAGTGAGAACTTTCCGGTCTGAACCGGTATCGCCGATCCATTTTTCAAACCATTTGGCATTTAAAAGCAAGCGTGCATCTATGTGGATGCGGTAATGTTGTTATGGCAAGTTTATGATCACTGAAAACGTAGATACCACTGCGAAATAAATGGGCTCGATGCGACCAAGATTCCAACGGCTCGGTATAGTGGCATTTCTTGCAATTTTCGTGCGGTTCTTCTGTGGTCAGTTAGGTGCACTATTTGATATGTACAGGAAATGCACTCCCACTTGCACATTTATAAAGCAGTGGATTGGCAGCTTTGAAAGTCTAAATTCCATTGGTCTGCAGTCAACACAAGTAGTACAGTACATACGTGTGTACATAGTGTCGCCGTTATTTTCCCAAGTATGCAAACGCTAACGTATCGTGGAAATTCGTGATCTGTAGTGGACGCATGCATCCCAAGTCTGGTGTGGCAAAAAGGTGTGAGAACGGCATAGATGCCTGATGCTTGAGAGCGCCAGCAAGCGCCATCCATCGTGTGGCGCATCAATATGTGTATTATCCCATCCTAGAATCTCAGGATCATTATCGTTCCCATGGATAGTCAATTGCGTACTTATGGCTCTTTCCTATCTCTAATGTGTTTGATGCTACCATTACTATTTCAACTCAGTTTTTTCAACTGATTGACATAAATATTGCCGGTGCTCTGTGATTGTAGCAAAAAACTGCAAACAATAGAAAAATACACAGTAGTGCCATAGCATACTAGTAAGTAGTGCGCTCGTACCATGGGTTGCCGGAGAAGAAAGCAGATATTTCGGTGTATTCTGTTCTGATTTTGCTAGCGTCCTCTGCTTATGGTATATATGGTGCGAATGCGACTAAGGTTTATTATAGGGTTTAAACTTTAAACTACATAAATATTGCAAGAACCATTAATACTGTAATTAAATATCGAATTAATATGATAATTATTGTGTTATAAATCCAAAGGAGCATTTTGCGATGATATCACTAACTGGTAAATCTTTATTTTTTCTTCTTTACTTCTTCTGTCGATGACACTTTCTTCTTCTGTTCTTCTTATAACATACCAGTATTGTGCTCACCGGGTACTTACTATTGTAGTGCTACAGTAAATCGTCATCCACTTTTTTGGTTTTGGCCTATTTTGTCGCGTTAAAAATGCGCGTTAATTTCCCTTAAATCATTAATTAAATGAATGACTAATACTGTTATAAAGTAGCAAGCAGTTGATTTTGGGTAGCACAGAAGTAAAACTACGTAGATCACCTATTATGAGTACTATATTAAGCTTAAAGCGGACATACACATACATAACATAAACAGAAGTCACATTCTGTCTATCGTAATGTAATGAAAATACGCCGCATCCGCTGGGAATGAGGATTTTAAAATAACGAGCACATCGACCGGAAAATTTAATTGTGAGACCACCGTGCAGTCACATAACCCCTTCCTTGGTTCACATCAATAGCCACATCGTGAAATATGGATCAGATTGCTGAATGAAGCGTTCATAGAGCATGCTTTTCGTACTGGTTATGCGATTTGCGCCATGCCGAATCATACTACGTAGCGGCTGTGGTAGAACAGTAGTGTGTATGCACGGCTGGGAACGGCACTACTCATATGGAACATATCTTTCGACTGAAATTCCGGTTTTCTCACCATCGGTTATTACTGGTTAATAGGAACTCAAAGAAATCTGCCGATATGGGATAGTACTGCATTTTACGAAGTATATTTGGTTTATTTAAAAATCATGGTATCAGGTAGTGAATTAATGACGTCAGTTAAAAAACCTTAGACAAAAAGCTGGACAACTTTTGACGGAAGTCCATAAGCGTATGTCCGCTAGAATCATCTTTAGTCACTTTCAGTGTAATTCGTGGGCAATGAATGGTGTTGCGTTTGACATCACAGGGGGTTGTTCGAATCAGTTGGTAAATTACGGTAGATTTGCTTTTAATTCTACAATTTATTACACAAAACTTACAGAACTACAGGTACGATGGCTGTATTATTAAGTACTTAACTAATTTGAGAGATAGCAAATCGTCAAGTACTAGACCGGTAAGTACTGTACTTCTGCCGAAGAAAGGAGCAGCCATATCGCGTGCAGTGCAGCCTAGAGTAGCAATTTCTGTGTACGTATGCTGAAGGTGTAACTGCTACTAGTCCGGTACTTTGAATTTACGGTTACCAAAAAGATTATGTAAACTAAAATTTAATCTGAATTCGAACAGACGATCCCAATGAGAAAAATTATGGCAGTGGTTGGATTAGGGCCTAGGATAAGCTGTAATGTACGTACTTACAATGTTTGTTGTACTAGCGTTACTGCAACAAATAGTTTTGTTACAACAAATATCATAATTAAATTACGAAAAGCCCCAAGCTTGCAACTGACACATCAAAAGCGTATTTACGAATTCATATGAAGGAAAGTACGTAGCATATCATGCTTCCCTTAAAATTTCTTTCATACGGATTAGGTGCCAGCACTGATTTGCAATTGCGCAAATTCCGGGGGAGGACGATACAGCGTATCGGTAATGGAGCTCATTCTATCCCGCGACAACCGCGGATGCCGCTGCATCACCACTTCCTTCATTTCTCGCGCATGAGTGTATCCGTATCGATAACGTGTACCTTCTTTATAGCCGGTATAGCCCGGTATGCCGTGAACAATTCTGTTTAGATCGTCGTCAGCTTCCGGTGCAAATGACTTTGCAATCGATGGCATTCTGGCTGAAGAAGTGCGAAAAACGTCCGCATCATGCCGGCACCGGTCATTTTCTTCTAAACAGACTTTGGACAATTCTCCACGGGTCAAACCAACAAATTCTGTCGTGAACGGCAGCCAGCCGGTATAACCATAAGGAAATCTCTTCAGTGCATGCCCAGGTGGCAACCGATACGGTTTGGATAAAGCCTTCTCAACTTCCGGCACGTAGAAATCGCCAATGTCGTCCAGGCTGCGGACGTTGTTTAAATACGCTCCGTAATCGTCATCCATTGTGGGATTTTTTATGGGCACCGGGGATTTTAATTCTAGATCAATGGGCATCTCGTTGCGACAGAAAAACGGGTTTGGATGATTCACGCATGTTTGGTCTTTTTCCTTTAGAATCTGCAGGGCTCCTTCACGTTCGCGAACGGGATTACGCTGGGCAAAGCGATGCTGTTGGTATGGGAAATAACCTTAACCAGAATACAGGCGCCGTCAGCCATCCTGTACCAGTTGAGAAAAGTTTCACAGCTATTTACTTCGTAAAAGGTCATATAATTAAAACGTTATTTGGTACACACCGGAGTACTTCGGATCGATGTGCGTGGTCAGTTTCGGCTGACCCCCTTGGGCATGTTCGTGATGCTCTAGAACGAGATCATCCTTCCTTGTCTGTTCTTCAGCCACTTGGCGCTGGATATCGGCATCGTAGATCGATGGCATAAGGTTCTGAGTGGCGTTCTTGCCGCCGGCGTCCCATGCTCGGGTCAGATGATTGTGGGAATGTTCGCCTGTAGATACTCCGGTGACCAAATGGTAGCCCGGAAGGTAACCTGTGTAACTACGATCATATGGTTTGGTATAGTAATTAGAAGCCACACTTTAACCAAAAACAGCCGTTCGATTTTCACGTACCCTGGCACGAACGCGAATTCTCGTGTAATGCTCTTAAGGTCAACTGGTGGGGGAGGCATGGTTTACGAAGGGGTCATCTCGTTAAAGATGAGAAATCAATTTTCTTACTACAACAAATTTTAAAGAGAAGCTACGGCACTGGTTAAAGAGAGGCACTGGTTCAAATGAGCCGGAAAATCCGCGAGAAAGATCTTAGCAACTTCTAGTTGAGCACTGATTGAGTAAAGTAAGTACCACCTCTATAAGTGCTAACGTACTCGTACTTTTTGTTTCAGCTCCTTTACACTTTACGAACGTCGTTATTAATTAGCGTGGTTGATTGCGCAATCTTCTCACTGCGTGTAATCAAGGTTGTTCGAAGTTGCTGTTCCTTCGAGTACGAATCGACTCAACTGAGCATTGCTGTAAGTGTAAACACTAGTGCAATATTTAATTCAGATTGGCGGCACAAAACAGTCACAAGTTTTCTATACAAGTAAAAGATTTTTACTACTAGTCTTATTTACACAGCCTTAGCCGACAACGCAACAGTTTGTTATTCGCTACTCATTATTTAGTTATATTAGTTTCAGAAGGTGCTTATGGGTGACCAGATTATTTATATATATATATATTTTTTTATTATTTTTATTTAGTGTTTATTATTAGGGGCATCAATATTACCAATCACTTGCATTTTGAACTGTATGTTTCGGTGTATAACCATCTCATAACACGCACTACTTTAGTATGTACGAGTACTTGTTAAAAACGAATCGGAAGTTGAAATTCGCAATTCATACGTCATCGCGGAATTTTACTTTGCCCTTAGCGCGAACGCTATAGGGTGGTTGCTGCAGCAGTTCAGCTAAACCGTGCGTTTATAAGCTGCAGAATTAACGACTTCGTAACTAGTGACTCTGTACTTCGCCAAAATTGCTTCGTGAGCGCATCGAAAACTTAGTTTTTCTTGCAAATAATGTTTAAAATTTCTTGCTGGCTATAATCGAGTTGTCATCCGCTGTAGTCAACATCTGAGGCATTTAAAGATATGTCGAATGCCAGTAAAGCGCAGTATCGTCTACCCACTGTAAAAGATGGTCGCCGTAATGTTACTCTGGCGAGTCGCGGAACGCTGGACCACAGATTCGACCATATACCTTTTCCATTGCCGAGTGACGGCTTATGTATGAAGGGATTGCTTGTGGATCGGCAGGTTCTTCTCTTTGACGAGGCGCAGTGCGCATTCCTCCGATTTAAACGGGTAAATTACGGTTTCACTTGCAGAATAGGCGTGTGGTTTCGTTGTGTCTATCGCTCTCACAAAACTTAAACAACTTAAATTTTTTAATTACTACGATACTAGTAATACTACATCATTATGCGCTTACGTAATATTCCAACAGTGTATTTCTAAATTTGCTGTGTGCGCTAAATAATCAGGTGACAGGTGTAGATAATTAAGGTGATAACGGTACTTTAGGGGTTTTTCGGCAATTTTGTTAGCGGTGGTGCACAACAGTCGCACGCGGACAACAACAACTGCGTCAAAAAAAAGCCGATCCAGAATGATTCTGAAATCACGTATTCATCCCAGACGGACCCGTTTCCACCGCCTTCTCAAACCAGTCCCGTTGCCAGCCTGAACCTTTACGAAGCGTATTTTCTATGTTATGCGTGCGGAGTTTTGGAAGTGTGGGATTATCGAAATCAGCAGAAAATCTTGCGGCAACATCTCATGCGCATTTTCACTGCGCTGGATCCTTTGTTTCCATACTTTTTTGCAGCATACTTTCATTTCCGTAGTAAGCTGTACGTTATTCAATCCGGACTGAGGTTCGCTAGTGATTTTGGTATGTTGGTCATCGTAACATCTACTCTAGCGGCTTAACAGTTTTCTGTTTGTTTGACTGCTGCGTAACAGCTAATGTAGACATCAACATTCAACAGGCTAGCACCTATTAATTCTTGTACAATTACAGTTTTATATGAATACGGTCCATCCAAGACACATTCGCTTTATGCCGTATACATCGTTATCCCCGGGCTGAGAGATGGCGGACTGTCGGTGCTGGATACGATGCAACGAGCTGCCAATGCTGTTAAAAAAGATGTATTGATGGTCGAGGTGGCCAACGGGAACCGCTCGGCAGATCAGCTTTTGCAACCTGATTGTTTCCAGTACTTTCAGATAACAGTAAGTACCAAAGCTGTTGAAACATCTACAATAGTTGGCCGCTACCCGTTAACGCATCCTAAAAAGTGAATTTGTGTTTAATACCTTCTAAAAAACAATTAAGTTTTGGTTTTCAACCGTATGAGTATGTAGTTATGAAATTGTTGGGTGGGCAATTCTGTAAATCCCTTTTTAATCGGGATATTTGTTGTAAAAATTTTATGATGATCTTTTCTGACAGGAAGTTATTGTACGGCGACGTGAAACGATACTGAATCCTAAAGGCACTGCAGAGTGCAGAACCGACGGACATGGACTGAATACAATAGCCGAAAAGTCGGTATTGGAAAATGCCGATACCAGAAGTAGTGACGGTAAAGGAATGAGGTACATAAACGTATAACTTCCGTTAAAAATGTGCAATTATACAGTATCTGGCCCTTAAATCTGATAACTACTACGGTAGTACTTACTACTGTAGCACGTGTACTTATTGTATTATACAGCTACAAGTCAGAATTTTTTTGTGCTTGCTTAGCCCTTTTTTTTGGAATAGGAATGGAAATGCATCCTTGAGTCGGAAACCTGGACTTCGTGGAATAAGATTTAGAGGAAAGGGTCGCAAACGGTAGCTTTCATGAGCGATTTATAAAAGCGGTTTAGTTTTTAAATTAATTTTATGCTTGACTTTCTAGTGCCCACCATTTTTAAGATCGTTATGCCCTTTTCCTACGACATGGCGAGTCGGCGACAGAGACAATCCTTGGTCTTTCTAACTTGTAAATTAATGTTCGAATTCCATTTTTCGTTTTTATTTTTTAATCGAAATCGGGCAGATGCTGGAAGTGCGGATATTGTCGCACCGGCTGCATTGTTGGATTATCTTTGGTTGGGTTGTTGTTATACGTGCTTACTTGAGGTTTTGGAAAGAAAAGTTTCTAACATTGCGGTACTTGCTACATCTGTTGATGCAGTGCTACAATAAGGAACGTACGTACTTACGGGATCTCGTAAACTAATGCTAAAACTCCTCTGTGATCCGATACAGCTACGTAGAAAGACAGTAGCAGTTATTGGACTACAACCACAGAAGTTTAATTATTCATGTGACCGAACCATGGAACATTTACCTATTCAAACGTCGAACCCAAAATAAGGTATACTATACCGGTGTCAAACAAGTTAACAACCATAACAAGTTAACTTACTTAACAAGTTAACAACAATCAATAAAAAAAATAAGTGTATTTGTTCGAATCGAACATTCGACATGTAGTATCACTTTTTGGTACATAAAAAAATCGACCACGATGGGAATTGAACCCACATACTTCTGATTCGAAGTCAGACGCCTTAACCATTAGGCCACGCGGCCAACAGACTTGTAGTTACAAAAATATGAGGCTGCGAAGTAGTGCTATCCCATAATCGCATGTTGACTGTCCTTACGTCCATAGAAGTACTGCACATACTCTACAAGCCTGTGTCATCAAAATAATTAATGTTTATTGTCCTTTGCACGGAGCAGTTGCTCCCTCTAGGCTACAGACAGCAGAAGTCTAACAACAAAATAATAAAAACATTGAAGCGTGTAGTCACAGTCAACAACATCAGCCAAAACAGTTAGCAGCAGTAACATTAGATGCATACAAGCGGAAGTAAACATTTTTATGTTGGTTGCGAACTTGCTATAAGTTGACGCTATGGTGGAAAACAAAATGGAAGGGAGACGATCGCGCTGGGGTCGATGCATAAAACCAAAACCCACGTGTAGTTAAATTTTTAAGTACTCAGAAAGATTTTCAAAAGAAATCGTGGGAAAAAAGGAAAGCAAGGACACTTGCGCACGTAATCGCCTTTCTGTACTTTTTCAACTAAATCGCAACCACATTAAATAGCCTACTGACACTATCTACTGTAATCATGCCGGTTCATTCCTTGAGTAACTTGGTGTTACAAAAACGTTTAACAAAGGTCAGCTGGCTCCAGTTGACGGTATCGAGCGCAGTCGTGAACACGTTGAGCGTGGTATAACTTTTCTTGTCTAGAGCAATTTCATTCCATAATAGCGCCAGGCGACTCGAGAGGGAGTCCGGGGAGGGCGGTAGAGTTTTTCCACATAAAGTTGTTGGTGCCGCCACAATGGGGAACGGGTGTCCACATAGCCGCAACGCTGACCGTGTATTACCTGAAACAGAGGACACAGCGACAGCAGTTTGCTCATACAGTAAAAAGAACCGTTCACCAAGTGGGATACGGTTGAACACAAGTTTATAAATTAAGACAAGGCTATGTTTCAACCTACGTAATTCAAAACAGTCCCAGTTTAGCTCCAGCAACCGCCCTTTAAGACTGGTATTACCAAGATAAAGTGAATCAAGGAAACGAGATAAACAACGTTCTAATTTTTCCCGGCAAGTTTTATTAACAGGCGCAATAAAAGGGCAGCAATAATCAAACGCCGTGAACACCAAAGACTTGAACAACTGAATTCGAGCGGCAGAATCAGCTTTCCTGAACGCAATATTAATCCAGCGTATTTTTTTACGCAGTTTAGTTACCAAAATGTCGGTATTGTCTTTGAATTTCAAACTGCGGTCAAAAAGTATACCTAAATATTTAACACAGTCGCTTTTCTCGATCGCATTACCATTAAGATAATACCGTGAGTCAACGATCGGCACCCGTTTTTTCGAAAAGGAAATATGGTACGATTTCAGAACATTAAATAGAAGTTTATGGTTTTTAGCCCAACTTTCTACCGCAGTAAGATCAGACTGTAACGCAATTTCATCAGCTCTTGTTGAAACTGGTCGGTAAAGAGCTATATCATCGGCGAAAATAAGCAGCTCGCTGTTGTTGAGCAGCGCAGAGGGTAAAAAATTTAATACACAAAGGAAGAAACACGGCCCAACAACTGACCCTTGCGGCACACCGCTAGTAACATTAATAACTTCCGATACACAACCATTAACCATTACACACTGCTTCCTGCCTTTCAGGTAATCAGACACCAAGTGTACTACCTGACTATTAATTCCCACTTTAATCAAAGCTTCCACAATAACCTGATGATCACATTTGTCAAATGCTTTTGAACAGTCCAGAAATAAAGCATGAACTTCTACGCCATTTTCAATGAAATCTGTTGTAGACTTTACGAACCAAGAGATCTGTAGTTCGCATGACCGCTTCTCCCTGTAACCAAATTGGTGATCAGTTAATTTTTGATGAGTTTTTAAATAATCACGAATGTATTCGTCAATACAACGTTCAAAGATTTTGGAAACAGGGTTCAACAGAGAAATTGGCCGGTAATTGAGAGGGCATGTCTGATCTTTAGAACTTTTGGGAATAGGAGATATGTACGACAATTTCCAGCATGCCGGATAGCAACCTTCATTGACCGCTGCAGTAAAAATTAATTTTAGAGGCTTTACAACTACATTAGCACATAATTTTAAAAGTTTATTCGTTATTGCAAACGGACCGCTAGACGACGAAGGCGAGCAGTTAGCAATGTGATAGAAAATCATTTCTTCAGTAATATTAAAAGGTTCAGCTACATTACTTGCACAGATATCGATATCAGAGCTACGACAGTGACGATCACATGGGCCTAGAGAATTTGCAAACATCTGGTTCAAAGCGGTTGCTTTTTCGGAATCTTTTGAAAGAACTGAACCGTCATCCATTTTCAGTGGAGGAATTCCAATTCGGTCATCCGCTGACTTAACATAATGCCAAAATTTTCGCGGGTTGTTACGGGCTGCAGTTGCGGCTTCGGTAACCTGATAGTTTTCAAAATTACGTATTAACTTCTCCGCATGCTTACACAGATTTTTCCAGTGAATTTTATAATTTTGAGCGAGAATAGAATTATTATTTTTTACTGAATTTCGATATTTTTCAAAAGCAGTATTCCTTCTTCTGATAGCTCTTTTTACGTTACTTGGATAAATGATAGTACCCTTACGTTTCGCTTGACCGTAAACAAAATATCGCTTTGCAATGGACAAAAACAAAGATTCAAATATTTCTACACGTTTATTCGTATCAGCATTTCGAAACTGCTCATTCCAATTAACAGATCCCAAATCATTGACAAAAGCAGATACTTTGTCCGCAGCAATTTTCCAACTCGGCGGGCTGAAGATAGGTGATTTTTTGCGCTTAATAGATAACATAAGTTCGAAGGCTAAATGATCGTTTTTAACTGAGGGAGGGCTGATTGGTTGGATGCCCATTACCAAATTTTTAGGTGATAAAATGCAGAGGTCTAGACAATTTTTCAGACGAGTAGGGAAATCAACAATTTGCCTTAACCCAAATTCCTTCATTGCAAAAATTAATTCTTCCCCAGTCCCAGAGTTTCCTTTACAACTGTTCCACTCTATTTCAGGCAAGTTAAAATCACCTATTATTATTAGCTTAGACATTACTGTTAATGGGATGACAGATTCAAGATGAGTAACGAAAACTGGTAACGAGGACTGCACTTTAGATGGAGATAAATAAACACACACAATAATCCTGTCAATGGTTGGAATTTCGACGAATATCGCTTCGACACACGCAAGCTCATATTCAATACGCCTAAAACTTTTCATGTTTTTACGAACAATGACTGCTACCCCTCCACCATATCCGTATTCTCGCCGTTTACGAAAGACATTGAAAGAGCGTAAATCCGCAAACTTGTTATCCGTAATAGCTTCATTGTCCCAAGTTTCAGTTAGACCGGTTATATCCGCATCAGCACAAAAAAGTTTAACCTGACAACTTTTATTTCTCACACTGTTCACGTTACAGCAGCGGATCTTAATTGTTTTAAGATTGCGGATATTGCTTCTTGCTGGAAGTTTGCACTTCGCCAAATTCACTGAACCAACTTTGTCAATTACCATGAAATTATCGTTTAGGCAATTATCATTGGAATCAGCTGGATTAGAAGAAATATGACCTTTAAATTCAAAACTCAGTAATTTTTGCGGTAAACCTGCACGTTTTTTACTGAGCTGTTATAAAACATCCTCGACTTGTATATATTTTGGTAAACACTGCAGTATTCAAAAGCGAAAGCCGCATGCGGATTATTATTATTCAGTTTACCAGCCGTTTTGCAATTTACGCACTCGTATTTAAAAGATGGGTCGTTTTCAGGGCAGTCAGTTGAGAGGTGTTGTTTCGCACAGTATCCACACACTGCATCTTTCACGCACTTCGAAGCTACATGATAAAATTCACAACATTTTTTACACTGTGGCACATAAAAGTGATCAGTTACTGGACAAGAATACCAGCCTAGTAATACGGATTTCTTTGCAGCTAGAGCATCACGTGTTTTGATATCTACATCAATTACAGCAGCATAGGTCAACGGGTTAGGGCGGTTGCTGGTAAGCTTTTTCACTATTTTTACTTCGGTATCAGCGGATAAATTTCTCAGTTTTAACTCGGAAATGAAGTCTTCTTCAGGCATTGCAACTGGTATCCTACGTACGATCATACGCTGTTTACGAGCTTTTGGCTTTTCGACATTAACCCCAAGCTCATCACTGTATTTTTTGAATAAAGCTTCACCGTTAGTTGCGTCACCAGCAGTTCCAAACTCGATAACGACTGACTTACCAAATCCCGGACGGACTTTAGTGACATTTGCGCCGCTGGCTCCGGTTGGAATCGTAGCAGATAGCGTCTTGCAAAAATCTGTCATTTCCTGTGGTGTTTTGCGCGACTGAGTAGCCAAGGAGGAATCCTTTGGTTTTAGCACAAGCACATTCTTGTTGGGCATACTCTTAGGATTCGGCGATGCGGAATGGGAAGTAACTGTGGCGTAGGTCGGTTTCGAAGGAACAGGATGATGTTGGAGAGATTCGATTTCCAACAGTGCGGTTTTGTGCATTTGCTGCAGGGATTCGGTCAACTCCAGAACGGCACGGCCATCAGTTGTCAGGGCATTAAATTCCAGCTAACTTCTTACATGTCAGAAAATTCGTAACGAATCGGTTAATTTTGGCTATCGATTGAGAAAAATCCAACAGTGGGATTTCGCATGCAAGAATAGAACTATTACTGTTTTCCCCCATGATGGGGAAAACGAAAGGTCACGCGGTATTTCACACAGAAAGGTCAACCCGGATGTATTATTCTTCGCTAACAGAAAGTTAGATCCGCACTCGAGCTGCTCGATAATGATATAATACAGATAAAAAACATGTCTCGGTCAAATTTGTTCTGCCGTACGCTATAAAATAATTGGAACAATCAGAAATCATGTATTACTATGAATGCTTAATTTTTAAAATGACCGCTTTTACGATTTACTTCTCTTGAGGGTCATCTATTTTGGCCATTGTTGACTAATGGGAAATT